TTTTCAATCTGTCTTGAAAGTAAAGCATAGATTTTTTTTCGTGGAAAAAAACTGATTTTTATGAAGAGTAACAATTCAAATATTGAAAGCTGTACACTTTATCTGACAAAACCACAACGTTGAAATAATGAAAAAGAATGCGAGGCAATCACCATAATGTGGATGTCTCACCAACCCTATAGGATTCATCCGTTTTTATTTCATAGACGAATCTGAAAGCAAAAGATGAAGAAAGCAGTGTTATATTGAGGGAGAGATTTACTGGAAATGTGGTGGTTGTATTTTGCCATCAGAGTACATTGGCTTTCATAAACGGATGGTACGATGAGGGAAAAGTTGTTGAGCAAAGTAATTTTTCTGCAATGGAGAAAGGGGAAAGACTCCTTGGCGTCAGTGTGTTATTCAGCATGTCTATAAATATATACATGTATTAAATCTACATATATTTTATTTATACACATTGATGTGACGATAAAAGAAATGCTGAAACGATTGATATATCGAAAGGGAAGCCTTTAAAACGATTTACATCGACGCGGCCTTATTTTCAGATATTTATTGACCAGCAGTCTCGCCGGGATTACACCATTGTGTAATTCTAGTTGAGCTAATCCCCCCTAGGGATGACGTGTATTACAGGAAGTTTGTGAAACTGCAAATAAAACGAGCATGCAGTAAATCGTATGTTACAGTATAGACAATAAAATAGATACATGTTATTCTCTAATAAATGTTGACTTTTCCATTTTTTCAACCACTTTTCAACCTTACAAAATCGTTTGCAATTAACCAAATTCACCATTTGTGGATCTTATTACATACATTGTTCATCAAATACCCAATAGCACTAGAGTCTGTTCATTTCGCTGTCAAATCCACTAGAACATGTTTGCAAAATATTTCTCCATCCGAGATATTAAAGCTTTTTTATAATAGTCCTGTTCAATAGCTAGCTCAATGTCAATGAAAATACATACTCCAATCGAGCTGAATTTTTTTTTTTTCTATTATCAAAACCTAGTGGAGCTAGAATTACAAAAGAGTCAAATATTTGTAAAACAAAAAATATTCAAAAGAATTTTTGATAAAAATAAATTTTTATTTTCAACTATAAAATTCAATTACTCACTAATTAATACTTGATTCAAGTGTTCAGCATTGGAACCCCACACGTGTTAAAGTGACACATGACATGCTCTCCTTACATCATCCCTTGCATAGAGCTGCTCTTTAATATTTCATTCCATGAAATTTAGTTCGTGATTAATTATCTTTAATTCAGCTATTTTATCAACTGAAAAATAGTGAAAGAGGAGTAAGATGATATATGCAATAATTAAAGTGGAATTTACATATTCACCAATTTGATGTAAATTAATGGTGAAAAATATACAAACTAAAACAGACACTAGAATATATGTTTGTTAGATTTCATGGGCATTTTAATGAACCATTGAGTTTATACTTTTTTTTCCTCTGTCGATCTCTCATCAACAGGATGATCTCTCATATAACGTACGTTGGCTCTATTGATATATCCTACAAACCAAAGAGGAAGAGAGGAAGAGAATAGTACGCAAGCCTGCGGCGGTGCTTGTCTGTGGCTAACCAAATTAAACGTAATTTAAATTTCGTTTGAAATTCAATCGATGCCCCACGGCAGAATGATGCTGGAAAAGAGAGCTTCGTAGATGAGGGAAAGAGGGTGGTGATAGCAAGCAGAGGCCAGGTTATCGAATAAAAATATATCCAACATTCCAGTATCAGTATGTATGTTCTATACACAACAACCGGCGTCAGTTCCGGCTGGGCTCGTATCGAAATTTTCCAAAACCTACCGGCCAAAGAGATAAAAGGCCAAATCTACTATCACCCTTCGTGGGCCATTTTTTTTCTTCTGACATTGTCAAATAAGAATGAAAAAGAAAATTATATTCCTTATATCTATTGTGCTATTATTTTGCTCGACTTTTTCACTGATAAAACTCGCTGGAATGAAGGCTTTATCTTTTGCCACATCTAGGACAATAAAATCTGAGTTTCTAGTTAATTTTGTGGCATCAATAAATTTCTAAGCTCGTGGAAACTCAATAATACAAAAAATATTCTCTTGATAACAAACTTTCTAATTTTATCTTTGCCAAAAAAAATATCTACTATATGTAATTCTAGTATTTTTATTAATCCATATAAATTTTTTTATTAATCATTACATCTCTGAGGAGGTCAAGTAACTCTAGCTTTCTTTAGTGGAATTAAAAAAAAAATAATTCCAGTATTTTATTGCTACTAAACTGATATGACTTCTTTATTGAGCTGTTTACGGCTTCGAACATTTTTCCAATGATGAATTCATTCATAAAATAAGCAGAGTAAAAACAGGTTAATCGATTAGCATATTCCAGCATGTGGGTAAGTGATCAGAATTAAAAAGTCATTTGGTGGAAAAAATTGTTTTTATTTATTATTGACAATTTATTCGTCTGATTATTTTAATATTAGTAGATGTTCCTTTTTTTGTTACTCTCTTGGTTTAAATGCTGATCATTGGACAACAGTGCATATAATTTATTCAAATAACCGTAATCGAAAATCTATTTTGTATATTGATATTAATGCGACTATTTGTTGGCATTCGTGCATGTAACACTCGCGGGAAACCACGTGCATCTCTTGACAACCAATAGATTGATCTCGCGAGAATGCCTGATGTGACAAAACAATATTGTGAATGCTCTTGTTGTTATCAATTGGATTCAACGATTGCATTCCAAAGACTAATTAGTTTCGTTTCGGTTCAACAAACGTTATCCCTTGTGACTTGGAATTGATCGATTTTTTGATTGTTTTATTCAATTTTATTCAAAAACTATCGTTCAATTAATTAGAAAGCAATCCAAAGACTATTGAGAAGTAAGTCCAGACAAATTTGTAACCTTTTCTGATCGGACCACGGAGATGAATTACGACGAGAGTAAAACGATTTCAGAGCAATCTCCTGCGGCACTTCCTGCGGTCGGATGTCAAGTGATGTGAGAAAGTATATGAATGAGATGAGAAAAAGATTAAGCTTGTATGAAAATACTTATTCTTATTACAACCTATGGTTACTGCATCAAATTATTTGTCAGACTTATTTTTTAACCGTTAATTTTATTACATCGATGAATTAAAATAAAAAAGAATATGGAGGAATAAAAAAAAACCTTCAAGGGTATGTAGTGGATAAAAATACTTGTGACCTTTATATTTTGCTTCTTTTACGACATATTATGAAGCACTTAAAGAATATCGTGCCAAAGGAACATAGTGTAATCTAGATTTAATGGACTGTGGCAGTATAGCAATAAAATTTCGATTTTTCTTCAATCGAATATTGGGATAATGTTGGTAAAAGAGAGCAGATGGAAAATTCCAGAAATTCTTGGAACCAAAATATTATTTTTCCTGCTGTTGCATGATCGATTGCCTGTCGGAAAAAATATTAAAATTCAATTTATTGGAAATTTAACAAAGCCCAGCCTTCACAAGATGGATTATTTTTAAATTTACACTTGAAAGAATCATTTTCTGATGATGATCTAGAATTTACCAGTTGATATAATAGCATAATCATTCTTAATGAAGAACAAAAAAATCCAATTTCACGTGTAAATAACAAGTCTAACCGTAAAGATTGTAAGAATTTCGGCTGGAGCATTTTTTCACTTTTTTCTAGTGGTTAACGAAAAATAAAAAATAAGGAGGGTATCCTTCCCCATATCTTGAAAGTACGAAAAGTCCTTGGTGGAACTTGGAGGACTCTCTCAACGACGTAGGGTAAAATCCAGTCTCTTTTTATACTTTCTACCCCTCTTTACTTTTTTTTACTTTTTCACCCCTTTTATCCCTTTATTTATCCACCTCAACCCCCAACACTCCCCACAACCTTCTCACACCAAGGAAATATTGAAATTCGTGATGAAAACTGTAGAACTCTAAGATATAGAAGCTTAGAGCGTGAATTTTCACGAGAAATGTGTAATTCTTCAATGGAATTAGATTTAATTATTATACGTAAAATTTATTGATGGATTAAATGGAATTTCTTGAGCTTTACGTCAATCATTTTATGTTGTCAATGAAAATAACAGAAGTGAATGAAATATTTTCAATACTTTACTCTTAATATTAACAATATTTTATTAATATTTTCCAACTCTCTCTTAAATGAATCAGTAAAAATCACTGCATTATAGAGTGTACTCATTAATTTATTTTTAGATAATTTATTTAAATAACTGTAATTAATAACATCATTTTATTTCTCATCACTAATTAAAATACTGCTTATTAAGAATAAATTCTTTTAATTATTATTCTTCTATTTCTGTGATATTTATTACAATATCTTGTAATTTCTACTGAATAATTATTAATGAAAAACTTATTAACAAGATTCTAATTATCCTTTTGTATGATTAAACAAAGCTGCTCTGTTGTTTTAGTACTCTATATAATTAATTAAAAAGTACACTGAAGGAATTTCATTTATTAGCCCCTTTGTTCTCAAATAAATCCAAAAACAAGAAGCAGGTGTAGAAGCATCAACACATAAATGTTCCTCGTCTCAACTTGACACAGCCACCATTATTACTAACCAACTATATATCTATCTAGCACCCATTACTCTGCGTGAATATATCTAGCCAGTGAACTATATATATATATATACATATATGAGTTCTACATACATACGTACAGATGAAACATGCTCATACGTTTACCGCCAGCTCGATTAATTCCCCGAGCAATATGTATTATCCGTCTCGCAGGCAAGCGAGTTGACCAGAGCCTACGTCGGCGATTCAACGTACGAATTCACCTGGCATTAGTCTCATGTCCACTCTGCCATCCTAAGACAAATTGATCAATGTTCTAAATGTTTTCACATAAGTTATGGACTTATCTACTCCATTTAGTAGTTTTAAGTTGACTTAATTGATGTCTTTTTGTTTCAGAACATTGTGGAAAATGCCGGGCAAGTACTCGAAGACTGAATCTCAACAAATACTGCAAAAGAGACTATGGTAAAACCACAGTTTTTTTTTAATTAAATTTTCATAATAGCTTTTACAAAAACAAAAATTCTGATAAAAACCATTTTAATGGACTCTTTAAAAATAGATTACTTCAATCTGTATTGATTTTGTTAGTTAAAAAATTAGTTGATATCAAAGGAAATAAAAATTGAAAAAGAATAATTCATCTTTTAATTAATTGTTTAATTATATTCATTATTAATATATTCAATCGACTTGGATAATTAAAACAATGTTCTTTAGATAAAAACTAGATATTTAAAATTTTTTGTGTAATGATCAAAGATTTACTTAAAAATTAGTGCAGCATCAATAATTACGATAAGTTATTTGAGAGGAATACTGATTAAAGTAATGAAATTAACTAGTTCAATCAATGGAAGAGTTAATGAATTCAGCTAACATTTTTTCCTAAATCAATTACCATGACAATTTCATAAATAAACCAAGTAAAATTAAACCCCTGCTTTTTATTAACTAAATATTTGAATTATAAATAGTATTAAAATAATCTCTTAAAATTCACTAAATATTTATTCAAGCTTTAAAATCCCGGTAAGCTTCAAATGAGTTTATCATCGTCAATAACTCAAACTAAAAATTCATAACCCAAAGTATATATTAATAAAAAAACGATAAAGTAGTATATAACAAGGTGAGACTATGAAAATGATAATAATTTAGAATATAAAGTAGCCAACTTGTAATGCAAAAGCTGGAACCCAGCATGCAAAAGTTGACCTGAAATGTTGGCTAAAAGCAAAGGGATTTAGAGGGAGCGACCGGGACCATAAGAAAAAAAAAGTAAAGAGCCCGACGTGGTGCTTCAATAATAGAACGGCACGCTTTTGAGTCTTCGCTGGGGCAACCACCAAGGGGATAGAACGGTGTGGTTGTCCTGCATAGAGCTTGATTCCACGCGCGAATAAATTGTCAACAGGTCTGTCGTACTGGCGAGTAGAGTGTTTATCTTTTTTTGTCCTTCTCTTTACTTTCCCTTCACTATCCTTTATAGATTCGCAGATGCCGGAATAGATTTTGTCGCGTTATTACTACTACAAAAGCAAAGTTTGCTGTAGCATTAAAATAAGATGCTAAGAATTTGCGACAGAAGCCAGAGGGCGTCACTAATCGGACCATTTGCCTTTTCAAACATTTATTTAAATATTTAAACTTGAAAATTTATTGCGACAGACGATGGAGAATAAGAATAGATACCTCAGACGACTATTTATCTACAGATTCATTAGCCAACTTCAATAGTACTGTTAAATTGTCGTGACATGTAGTATACTCTAAAATTATCATACTTTTTTCATATTAAATTGGGTAATAAATTTTACACACTCTCTTTGGAACTTTGTTCATTTTTTTAACTCCAGGGAACCGTAAATAAAAAATTACTTACATTTTTTCTAGAAGTATAACTAAATTTATCTTTTTTAATCAATTCATTATTTAATGTATCAACTAGTGAAAATTTTAAAAGAATATTGCACCATTTTTAAAAAGTCATTGTAGAATTTTATGTCTTACAAAAGTATTTAAACTCACACTCAGTTATTTAAATCGTTGTGCACTTTACATAGTGTAACACCTTGTAGACTATATAAATACTTTCATGTCTGAATGTAGTTTTTTTCTTTGACGTAATTATTTTTATATATTCAAAATAATGATCATTTTATAACACTTTGAGTTTCATCAGTTTATTCAAAATAATATTTATTGTACAGAAATGTTCAAAATGTATTAATGTATTAAAAATATTTTTACAGTAGATAGTATATCTTTAAATTGATCTCTGATATATTCATGTTTCATCAAGAATATTGTGTGAAAAGATAATTATATAAGAAAAAAATGAATTTCTTGAAGCAACCTAATAAGTAGTAGATAAAATAAATACATTATGTATAATGATGATGAATTTTGTTGCAGCAATTCTCGGTCGAGTAACCGGAAGATACAAAGGTAATGAGGTAGCAAATGGTAATTCTGCCAGCAACTCCTTCGCCAGATTCACATTGAACGTAGATGTAATCTACAAACGCAGTCCAGATTCAAAGATCAAACGTGGAACGATTACTCTTTTCGTACACACAACTGATCTTGCTTGTAAATGTCCGAAAATTAAACCAAATAAGTAAGTTTAATTATTTTATCTTTATTTCCACACGCCTTATTTTTTATAAAATGAAAAACATCTCTCGGTTTGCAAAATTAAAAATGAAAAAAAAATCTCAGAGTACTAAATGTTTTATTTAAAGTAAGAAAGTTTTCGAGAAGTAGTGAAAAAATTATTAACCGACCTCGTATACAAGCAGAATGACTGAGAGCATTACATTATATATTTCCGAGATGTGGTATAATACTTCTAGTTGTCACAAATATTCAGTGTTTATGTGAAACCCCTTGAGATCGCATTGCGCTTCATGTCAACAACACTCTTATGCTTTTTCATCTTTATGTATGTATGCAGTAACATACTACTCATTACTTTTTATATCTTTTATCCTTGATGTTTTCCATTAAATTTTTTTATTTCATCTTCATTCCTTCAGGGATTAATTTTTCACATTTAACAACAAGAAAAAATTAAATAAGCCAGTCGTTGAAAATATCATATATTATATCCACAGTGTCCTCTAAAACTCAATTCCATGCATTTCAAAATCTTGATATTTTTTTTTTTATAATAATTTTTCTCTGAGCTTTTTAAAGACTTTTTTTGTATAGATAAAAAATAATTCAGCTTATTAACAATCTTATTTTTCAGATCATACTTATTCTTGGGTCAGGAGAATGACGGAAGTGGTAAAAACGGACTTACAGTGACACCAAAATCCATCGTGATTGAGTGGCGAGATGAGTGGTATCGTAGAATGCGTCGGTTTCAACGCAGAGCACGATCCTGTCATTGAAAGATCAACGAATAATATCAAGAGAGAGCGAGCAAGAGAGAATGAATGGAATGAAGAAGAGAGAAACAAGGACAGATCAACTTGCTCCCTCGCCCTTTTCTCGATTTACTCGAGACACGATCGATAATAAGTGAGCTCGAACCACTAGCACATTCGCGTTTCTCAAACCCTTCACTGGTACTTAACCCTTCCCATTCTTCCCCTAAAATCCGTGACTTATCGTTTTTCATTATTATCTTAGTATCCTTCAAGACGCTTCGCCAAACGCCCATACAGTCCGGTTTTATCTATGAAATTTTTTTTATGTACTTTTGAATTTTTTACACATGATATTAACTGATGATGTATGTATATTATATTAGATTTTTTTTAAATTGAATATAATAACTCATTATTCATACATATCTGTTGAAACTGTATGAAATAATTGTTTAGTAAATAAGTTTTAAGTAAGCGTAAATAATGATAGATAATATCGCGTATGTCGATAGTAATTTAATATATTAATTAATAATATAATATATCTAGTCGATAAATACAATTACGTGGCTTCAATAATTGAAAGAAAAAATAATTGTACGATAAAGCATTTTCGTTTCTTTATATATTTCAATTATATAAATGATGAAGATAATACGTACTAATAGTCTTTAAATAAAAAATTAAACAGCATCGGCAAAAGTTGCAAATATGTATTTACACAGACGACCCTGGGTTTATGTTTCAAATTTTGATTTACTTATGGCAACCTTCGTGGGTTGTTGTCGTAATTTACAAGCCTCCACGAAGTAGAGAGAAGGGAAAGAGACTGCTGCAACCAAGAGAAGCAAACAAGTGAAAGAAAAAAAGAAAAGAAAGGAAGCAACGAACGAGGTAAATATAATGAGGGAGAAGTGAGACGAGCAAAAGAAGGAAAGAAGCATTTGGTTGAGTGCAAAGTGAGCAAAAGCAAAAGAAAACGATGCCCGCGGTTCAACCCAGGGAATATTTAACCGTCGTATATTATCATCAAAGTCGAATTGTGTGGTGCAGGCTTACGCACGATAAACGGATGCGTTTCAAACGCCTTTGAGCATTTATCTTGCGTTTTAAACTATAATAGTGATTAGTGAAATATGCGATTCGATATGAAGCAGCGTATGTATCGTATTAATTTGGCGATGATTAGCCACGTACGCCAAAAAATGTAGAAAAAAAAAGCTTTATAAATATTGTTCTTCTTCAGCTCTGGATGCTAAGATTAATGATGTTTAAAATTGCCGATACGTCATCTATTAAAGCGCTGATGAATTAACTTTACCGATGATTTAATGCACGATTTGTAATAAATGATGAAAAATGCTTTTGCATTTTTTATTTTGACTAAGCTAAGAAATTCATTTGTAAACTTGGAAGTTTAAGTTTTCAATTTATCAAATTTATTTATTTAATTTTTTATATTTTATAAACTGACATAATGCTATATATATATATAGATAATATTATTTGTAAATTTCATACGATGAAAAATATTGAAGCTTTTCTAGATTGTATTACAAATATTGTCTAATTAAATCTTTTAATAAACATTTATAATGTGCGTAATTAAATCAGTGCAAATCACTTACCGATATTTATAAATAAAGTATTAAACCAAGTATAATATTAACACAATAAAATTTATTTTGAAGATATATAATTATTATCATTCTGGTGAAGAATATTCTCCATGGCAATAGTCTTCTGTATATGTTGAGAGACACTTTTATCCCTGCCAGACTTTCTTAACATCATCAATCCAAGATAGAGAAATAATTGATGGGTCAAAAAACTTCATTCAAATATAAGTTTAAAACTCAAAAAGAATTTGTACCAAATTTAAATAAATTTTCATTATTAACTGATGATTACAAAATTAAGAACATTATAAAAATTGCAATATTTTTTTTTATTTAAATAATTTATTATATTTTTTAATTTTTTATCTTAAAAATCAAAATTTTAATGTATTTAATTTATTTATTATGTGACATTTGTTCGTAATTTTGCCATCATCATTGTATATCTTATTAACTCGAATGTATTAAAGCAGTTTTGTAGAAAAAACCTATGGATTAACATAAATAAAAAAAATAATTTATACGTTATTGCTAATTAATTAATTAATATTATATCTACTTGAAGTTCTTTAATACAACTTTGTATTTTGTCAAAACTGGTATTGTACAGTATTTAGAGAATAGAGAGTAGAAGACAATAGATACTCCATTCGAAGCATATAAACGCTTAATTCCACTAATTTAATTATCACATTGAACAAGAGTAATTTTTGAAGCCAAAAATATAAAATCAACATCGAAAAGCAAAAAGAAAAAAACTCTTCAAACCATCAAATTTCCAATAAAATAATAATTGACAATGCTTTAAAATTGATTTATAATTATAGCAATAAAAGCTACAACAGCACTAAATCTGTTATAGAGCGTTTAAATATTATATAAAGCTTCAAGAGTTCTTGTTGTCAAATCATACATGTATAGGATATTATTACCACCATTTAATTTTAGAATTAGAATAAATGAGGACACAGAAATAAAATAATAAAAGTAACACAATAGCATTGTGGCAGAAACGATTTAAAATGGACAAATCAAACAATAAATATATGATATATATTAAATTATATAATAATATAGTTTTATCAGTCCAATCGAATTTTAAAATAAATGTGCAAAATAGACACTGCCTAATTATTATTGATCATTATATCTTCATTGTTAATATATTAATTAAATGTCAACTGATAAATTCATGTATCATCAAATCCATGATTCTGTGACAAGTGTGCTATTTATATCTTCAGATTAACTATATAATAATAAATTATGATAAAAATAATTATTTAAATTGCTTACGACTGTTTTTTTACTATCGATTCACCAATTAATTTATATAAGAAAATTATTAAAATGTAATAATGTGTATTATGATGTAATAAATGTGATTAGATACATATTCAAGAGTAAATAAGTATATGGCGGTATATTAAATATATTTCATTTTAAATTTATAGTTGAAATATTAATTGATAATTAATAATTGCGTAGACAAAATTGATGATTTTTGTACAAGTTAAAATGTTTATTATAAACCAAAGCTTATACATTATCAGATCATTAAATAACAATTGTTTGCACCTGAGAGCCAGAATACCTTTCGTACTATACGATAATTTAATATCTAAATGGATTTTTTGAAACTTATACAATTTTTATTCTTACAATGTGCATTAGTATGATATACTATATAATCTTCTATTATACCACTTGATACATTGTAATGTAAAAATATTGAATACTGCTAAATAATAGCAATACAAAAATGCTATAATAATACTTAAAATTGTTTAGGAAGGTAAATTATACAAATATCGCCCATTTATAATTAATTTTATTATTACATTACTTAGAAAAAAAGTGTTTATCAATTCTCCATATTTATAACTTCATTACAAAATTAGTGAAATAATGAAAATTAAGGAAATCAATATGACAAAACAACCAAATTCATATTTTAATCAAAATATTTTTCAACTTGCTTGAAATGTATTTTATTTATTCAATAAAAAGTTTTATCAACCTGTTCTTAAGATACAAACACTAGGCCTTTAAGCTCTCAGGCACATACCTTACTGCAAATGCGTAAACATCAGGACATATTCAGAGCATACATTTCCGCAAAAATCAATTAATGAATAATTGAAAAAAAAATGATCACGGAAATATACGATCAACTTATTTCATGGAATTTTTCAAATCATTTTTAAATATTAGAAAGTTTACATATGGACGTCGTACGATTAATTTTGAATATTCAAAGATCATGCAATTTTCTATAATCAGTTGATCTTCCTTATTAACCAAAATAAATCATGGGTATTATTGTTGCCACTTACCGTTGATGTTCTTGATGATTCTATTGGTTCTCACAACAAATTGATTTATTTATAAAATCAAACATATTTCATACGGTCAATAATATCTAATTTACAATTCGTTAAAGTATCAAAAAAAATCTATAAATACAATACAATTGATACTCAAAACTTCTCAATAAATCAATAAATTGATATGATATACAATTATTTAATCTTTAATTTATTTACACTTTTCCAAGTGACTAAAAATAGTTGACAGTTCGTATAAAAGGAGTATAATATTAATAATTAAGTATAATTGAATAATTATCAGACTATACTGATATATTGCGAGAACCAATTAATTTATTATAAAACGTGTCAACACTATATACCATGCTTTATTTTTCTATAAAAAAAGTACGATTAATTATTTATCTTTGTTAAACTCAATGTCAATTATTTCAAATTGATCATGCGTTGAACTCTCCTTTTAAACCTATCTCCAATCTAGAATCATGTTGATTACATTATCGAACATATTTAAAACTGATAAATTTTGGACAACTGTCAATTTAATAAATGAATAAAAAGGTAGATAAATAAATCATTCATATCACACATGGGTTAACAGTGGTTTACACAAAAGTAATTATTAATAATCAGTAATCTCAAAAGAATTAAATTTACTTCATTGCTGTAGTTGACTAGTCCTACACCCACTTTTTTAAAGTAAATATTTTTTAATAAACATAATTTTAATGAAAAACTTGCCGAGTAATTAAGTATAAGGAAAAATAAATAGATAGTGAAGGTTTTTAGTAATTCATTAGAAATACTAGACAAAAGTAACAAATGATAGAACATTAGACTTATTTTGTTCTATCTTATTTAATTACTAGTTGTATATTTTTATCATTTCCTCTATGAAGAATCAATAAACTCATTTCGTACTAGTTGTTTAATTAAATTTCAGTAAAAAATAACTATTTCACAATAAATAGTAATTCAATAGGTTTTGGAGATCTAGTAAATTTCATCAGACATGATATGAAAATAGTACGAAGTGCAAATGATGTTTTTACAATAAGGATTTTGATTAAAATTACCAGTCGAAGGAGAGTTAATCAATTCGCCTCATAGTTCTTAAGAATTCTCAAACGAAATTTATAAAGCTGGTTGTTTTGTTAATATAAATATTAAAATTGCCTGTAGGAGCAATTCGCATCTATCGCGAGCCTCGTTGAAAGCAGTTCTGGAATGTATATGCATAAATGAACAATCCAGGTGAGTGTTAGACGTCAAAACAACGTTTTTATGAACAGGCAAAAACGCTGTTGGAGTCCTGTTGAGGCAATCACCTCTGTATCGCTCACTCTTTCGATGATGTATCACCATTTATTCATTATAAAATCATCTTGAAATCCCTGTGTGGTTCTATTGAGCGCGAACCGTGTGTTTTCGATCCTGCAACACAAATAATTCGCGACTTCTACCAAAATGCCTTTTCTTATTTTTATTTTGGAGAGCAAGAAAAACACTCTATTGCTTTAGAGTCATATCTTACTTTTCAGCAAGAAGAATAAATTCCATATGATTTTTTATTGATAATTCACTTATTAATTAATTCAATTGTGAAAAAGTATGATATGTCTAAAATAATCAATTAAGCCACTAAAATAACATTATTATAGCTTTTTCTAATAAGTTGTATACAAGAAGTATGAGCAAAAGAAAAATATGTTCAAACAACAAAAACATGACATTGTTAACAACAGTGCTTTCACTTTATTTACTGACATCTATCAACAATAAATAAAGCTATTACCAGGCAAAAAAAATGTTATTGTTCTATTAGCAATCACTTAATTAGTTTGTCTACACAAACAAAATGTCTACTGTGCATTATCAGGGGTAGAAAGTAATAATTTAAATGAAGTTTACTCCTACAGGTACGCACCTGCTGTTGCCTTTATTCGAATTTGCGATTGCCATCAGAGCCATTGTTCAGATGTTGTGTTGTGCTGCTGATTCTCCATACCTAAACCCCGGTTCGCGATATACAAAGCGAAAAAAAAAATAACAAAAAAAAATCGAGACAACGCAAGTATTCGGTAACGATGAAAGAATGAATTTGATTAAACATACATAATGCGTGCACAAAAAAACGAATTTATTCTTTATTTCTCGAGCTTTTTTGCCTAATTATCATCCAATAAAGTCTTATTCTTATTTATTATTATTATTATTATTATTATTTTTATTATTATGTTAATTGACAACTATGTATAATTATAATTCTTTATAAAATTATATTTAATTCAATATCAAGGCACCATCACTTTCTAATTTTCCTCAATTGCAACAAATTATTATTCATCGCGCATTCATAATTAACGTATCATTGCATAACAGATCTATAATAATAGTATTAAATTGTCATAATTATTTTCCTATCTAATAAGATATATAAAACTAAATCATTGAAATATAAATTTTATAGTAATTATAATAATCATTATGATAAAGATAAAGTTATAAAGTACCAAAAAAAAATATTTTTTAAATTGTTTAATTAATTGATGAATTGATTGTATGCAATTTTTTAGAACTTTTATATAACAATTAAGCCATCAATTAAATGCTAAGGTGAAAAGTGAGTAATTAATGAAAACATCTGCGTGTTGATGATTGTAATAAGCAGATTTAAACATTTAATTTAAAAAAAGATAATTATACCTGAGTCACACTATATTAAAATATTATACGCATATAGCTTTAAATTTGTCATTTAATATATTTCGAATTTTTTATTTTTAATTGCTCATTACTTTAAGAATTAATGCTACTTCATTAATCTTAACATATTTAAAGCGAATTTTTCACTAACATTATAATCAAAACATCCTTCATGAATGTATTATTATAAATCATTATAGTATTCACAATCTTTTTAATCTTGCATATTATCACCGTTTTAAGAAGTAAATATTTAATTAATAAGCACCTAAATCATGATAGATTGAAAACAGTAAATGTGTTGAATACATGCAGAAAAAAATTATATTCAGCACAATTACAATAACAGTCACGAAAGTGTACTTATCAGTCAGTAAATAAGATGTACAAAACAGTTCAAAGTAAGTATTTATCTACACAACTGCAAAAAATAGTTATTTATGATCACTAATGTATGAGTTAACTAAAAAAAAAAAATACTTCTTTGAATAAAACTACTGAATATAACTAAAGTAAAAATTAATTAGTTAGATAAAAATAAAATAATAATCCTACGTGGAAGAATGAATGCCGAAAACATGAAAGAATTTATTTTTAAAACCGGGCTTATTAGAGCTAGAGTCGTTGTTGCTGGATTGTCCATCATGAAGTGCCTTCTGAACCAGCGATATGGATGCCTGTGATCGTGTGTCGAATCGTCAGATTGGGCCGAGACAACGAAAAAAAGAACAAAAAGAAAGAAGAAAGGATAGTAGACGACTAATGGTGATACTACGACATGCGGTGCGACTATAATGTCTTTTGGAGTTAAGAAAATAATTTCTGTATAAATTTCCTCGGTAAACTCACCTCATCGTGCTGATCATGCTCGCTATTAGCAAGACTAGAACGTGAACCACGTCTGGTTGTGCCTTTTTCATCACCCAAAATTTGTGCAACTTTTGCTTGTTTAACAAGATCCAATGCCTAAACATGAAATAGAATAATTAATTATCTAAGGATTTATTATATAAAAAGAAAAAATTTTTAATTATCTGAATGAAAAAGCAATTATGATTTTATATGTAAATGTTGATGAAAGTTGCTCGCAAAAGCCTCGACTTACCTGCTGCAAATGCTGCGTGCAATGAAAAAATGGTGCATGGTTAAACTCTACTTATTTTTAGTAAATTTCCGTGATCAATAAGAATGAATTTATGCTCTAAATATTGAAAATTAAATTATAAGTAACTAACCTCTTTACGTGATCTCAACGCGCAGTCTTCAAGTGTCTCAGCAGCTTCATACTTTCCTTGTCTTCGATAAAGTGCTCCAAGATTTTTCAAGGTAGTAGTTACAGTTGGAGAATCTACTTTAGCAGCCTTGTGCCAGCCTCCATATTCTCCATATGGGGCATTCTCTTTATTTCTATGTTTGTTTTCTTCTCGCTCTTCAGCAACCTGTCGAGAAGATTCAAAAATATGATTATTATTTTCTTATTTAATTAAAACAATAAAAGTACACATATGAACCAAACAATACCTGCCAAATTGGCTTGTTATCACCATCTATCGCACCAAATTCTCTTTCATGTGCTCTCGTCAACACTTGTTTATAAAGTACTTCAGCATCCTTGTATTTTCCTTGTTTCAAATAACATGAAGCTAAATTATTTTTCGTCTTGGCGACATTAGGGTCATCTGGTCCTAGTTTGGCCTCGTAAATCTCCAAAGCTCGTTGATAATATCTCTGCACCTCTTCATATTTACCTTGGTTTTGACAGAGGAGGGCGAGATTATTCAACTGTTTCGCGACGTCTGGATGATCACGACCAAGAACCTTTTCACGAATTTCAAGAGCACGTTTACATAGTGGCTCAGCTTCCTTATATTTGCCACGTTTGCCATAAAGCACTGCTAAATTATTTAATGTTGCAGCAACAGCTGGATGATTTTCTCCAAGTGTCTTCTCACGAATTGCTAGAGCATCATTTAGAAGATTAGCAGCTTCTTTATATTTATTCTGATCTCGATAGACCAAAGCTAAAATGTTCAACATTGTAGCAACGTCCGGATGATCATGACCAGATGTTTTTTCAAGGTCTTCTAGAGCTTGTTTGCAGAGTGGAACTGCAACTTCATAGCGGCCTTGGCTCGCGTACTGAATAACTAAATTGTGGAGAGTGCGCAAACGAGCCGGAATCTCGTAGCCGGCATTAACTTGCTGTGCGAATTGTGATGGCGGTGTTGGAGACATTGCTGAAATATTAATAAAAAAAATTAGAATATAAAATTAAATCAACTTCACTAAGAAAAAAAAATACTTTTAAGTTTTCAACATCACATACATTTACTGTTCCTATCATCGCCTTCATCGTCTGGGAATAAATCTACTACAGGATCATCTTTTGGTCTGTCTTTAGCATTTTCATCATCAGCTGGCGGGTCAGGATCGTATTGTCGCATACTTTCCATAAAGTCACTATGTTTTTTATCTTCTTCTAACTGAGCCACCTGCATAAAATAATTTAATTAAAAATTTTTCACATTAATGTTAATTATAAAAATAATCACTAAATATTACTTACAGCTTGTTCACTAGCTTGCAATTTTTGTTGAGTACCAGCAAGTTCATCTCTGAGCCAAGCATTTTCTTGACAAAGCCTTTTAACTTGTGTCCTAAGTTTTTGTTTTTCAGCTTCAACCATTTGTAATTGACTGGCCAATGCCATCATCACTTGTGCTTCACCTAATCCAAGCTCAATCATTTCGATGTTTTTGCATAGTAAACTCACTTTGTCCCGTGCTTCAGGTGCGTCCTGTGATTGAAGACCCTGAAGGAGGCCAGTGTGCTCAACACGAAGGGCTTCCAGACCTTGAGCAACAGTCCGAGCCCCAGCCACTATCTCTTCCTGTGTCATAGCTGTCATTGTGCCGATATGCTCTATTTTTTTACTGTAATTCAAAACATATTTGTGAATAGTTAGTTTACAGATATTTATTAAGAATTACACTGACATTCAGAATAAAGATAAACACTTCTAGGTGATTGATTAATTAATTAAAGAAAGCAATAAATTGTAAAAGGAATATTATTTTGTATCAATTCACTCGATCAAAGAACCCTAAATCGTGGTAAGAATGAATTTACTGGAAATTTTATGGCTAATTACATTTAAGATCAGCCATTAACCAATGTTTCAAGACTGGTCGACCTTCTGACCGGGAAAAATTAACGAATAAAGAGAAAAGTAGAACCTATTCTGCAATCCGTAAGTCACAAGGATAATTTAATCGATAAATAACACGAAGATATAGAAAAAGGAATAGATTTCGATTGAAAATAAGTTCGAATAAGAACTTACCCCATGTCAAGGGCTGCGCAAAACCTGGCGAAATATCAATGGCTCAATAGTTCCGCGACTGCGCGATAAATTTATCTCTTCTCTTTTCTATGCGACAAAAAATGTTTCTGTAGATTTCGAGATGATTCGATAAAAAAAAATACGTTTTACTATTATATTTATCTTTGCGAAAAACTTGAACACCTTGATGCCTTTTAGTAATTATGTTTAACCTTAACCTTCTTGTACACTGTCATTCAACAATCAATTTATACAATGCTGTTGTCTGATAAAAAAAACACGTGGGGTAAATGTGCTGACATTTGTATATATCAACTAAACCATTCTTTTGTTCATATTAAAGGGAGGGAAGAGTATAGTTGAATTTATTCAAGGTAGTATACTGAAATAAAAACAATTCACAGCTGACATAAAAAATCTGCTCAAGGTCATGCAATCACTAAAGCATATTTACAACTGCAATTGTCAATCATTAACATGTGAAAAAATAGCAAATTTTATTGCAACTTCTTGATATAAAAAGTTGTTCTGAAAAATGTATTATTAAACAGCTGCATTATTGAAGTCATGTGGGTGACGATTATAATCAAAGCGATAAATTAAACAATTTATTGAAAATGATGTGATATTGATTTTCATGGGATTTTCAATGAATTATTAAATTTATTTTTAACTCACATTCTATAAGCATTCAGCGTTTTTGACATATCAGTTCTACCCATTGGAAATGTCACGTTCTGCCAGACCTACCTAATCCGTAAAAAAGATAAAACCCTTATATGATATCGATCTGTGCCATTCACGTCTTGCAACAAACACTGATGTTTACGTCTGGTGAATTTATATGTAAATTATCACTTGATGTTGAATTCAGTATTAAAAAACCTTTCACTAATTAATTCTAACAACATTGCAGTAAAAAAATATATCTAGACTATAAAATGTTATATGATAAACTACTGTGATATAATCACACCACTTTGGGGTTTTATTCCTCACTGAAGCTACTCGATGCTTCGTGCACCCCTCGTGAGTACCGCAGGGTGGGAGTAAAACGCATGCGCTTCCCATATGACCTCCATATTCTTGTGTATTTTGCAGATTTCACATAATGTAGATTGATGGATTCTTTTGAAAAGGGTTTCGCATTTTTCAGGAAGAACATAAAAAAGAAAGGTAATAAGAACACTACAAATTTTTGTCGCTCCAGTGCTCAAACAAACTTGTCCACATTTTTATTAATTAAAAATTTATGTTAAATTAAACAATTAATTTGAAGAAAAAAAAATTCTCTATTAAAATTCATAAATATGAGTTGAACTATTTTGATAAATAATAAAAAATAATTTATGGAATTCATTGAAACTTTCTGGAGTAAATAAATTTTATGTTTATAAGTACGACGTAATATGTCAATTTGGAATCAGATAAATTTGATAAGAAAATATTATTTTTCTTGGGTAGAAGTTGATTGATTGACTTGAGAAGTAATAAAAATAATGAAATAGTAATCAAAAATTCATTATGACAATAATCTTGACATCTTGAGGTAGGTGTCCTCAATAATTGGTATTCGCCCTAGTTAACATTTTGAATACCCATCAAGTCATAATGACTTGATCCATTATATATGGATTTATTTACATTATTCCAGATAAAATATATCGATAAGTCTTTACTGTTATTATTGTAGCAGAATTAGATAAGATTACGGGGAAGGTTTGCGTATGTACAATTATAAAAATATTAATGAAATAGACTCTACATTTAATTAGAAAGATTAAATTAAATAACTAAGGAACTTAACCCTGTCAATTACTGATAGTAAAGAGTCATAGAGAACAGTTTCAATTTAATTAAAGGGTCATGTAAATAAATACGGAAAGAGGATAAAAGATAAGATACTTTCACATTAATATTTATAAATTGTTTTTAAATGTTCTGGCACTAATCCTGCAGGTAACAGGATTTTAAATTGTGAAGAAAAAATAATTAATTAATAAGGATAATAAAAAGAAAACTTTTGTACATAATTTGATTTAGTTAGAAAGTTTGTGAAAGGTAGAAGCAATAAAAGTTAAAATCTTTGTATTGAAAAATCTAATTGATTAGCGAATAAAGAAATTAAAATGTTATCAACTGTTCAGATAAATGATTGTCATAAATTATTCAGACTAGATTGCAATGATAATGAACTTTCATGAAAACTTGTTCAATTTAAATTCAGTTTAGAGATCGTAGGATAGCGTAGGATCTATGCCGATTGCTTGAGAGTCTGATCAACCGATGATTCATGCTGTGACGACATGACTGAGAACTCCGCTACACTGATCAACTCAACCATGTCTGCGTGTTCAAGACTTTAAATAAAAACCAACACTTTTTATTGTTTTATTTAATATACGTGAGGATAATTATAGATTCTAATCGAATTAAGTGAACTTCTGTATCAATAAAAACGACATAATATTTATCTTTACATGAAAGTTAATTGGTTTGTGACATATTAATCCTAAGAGAAAATAATCAATAAGAAATTAGATGTGAGTACTTATTATTATTTTAATATTTAATATGATTAACATATCAAGAGAACAGTTATGCAGGAACATAAGTGATTGTTGATTCATTGAAAGTCAGCATATGAATTAAATATTTTAATTACGATTGTATTTTAACAGGTTAATGAAATGAAATTGCTTAATTATTGCTTTCTTTTTTACTGTTTTAGAAACAGTTTCTAAGAGTTATTCAATGAAAATAAAATTTCAAATAACAGGATAAGTATTACATCACTCAATTTTAGTACAACAATCATGAATCAGTGAGCATTTGTTACAAATTAGTAGCCACTTATTTACGTAAAAATAAAACTTGGTATTTTTGAAAACAACAAGAATTAAAAGATGGTCATGGGTGATGATTTTCTTTAACGGTTCTCACAATGGATCGCGAAAAACAATTAAAATTAATACTTCCGGTTGTACCTGGTTTTAAATAAAAGGTGTGGCAGGTGAACGAGCTTTCAAAGTCGAATGCATCTGTTATTTTTCCTTAAGGTATGTCTTTAATCGATAGAAAAATTTGAAAAATTGGAGAGAGTCATGCGAGAATCTACGACAAAGATAGAGACATGATAAAATAAGACACTCACAGCAGTTCCTGCTAATTATGGTCCAAGAAGGAATCTTCACTGAATTTTCAGATAACCATTACACTGCTGAAAATAAAATGAAATCATTATAATTGCTCAAAGTTGAAATAATTATTAGTTTTTAATTATTGAGTAAATTTGGAATAATTAAAAATCTCACAGCCTACAGATGTTAAAAAATAATCGTTTTGAATAATATTTAAAAAAAAATATTTTTAGAAGATTTAAATTATTGTAATATGATAAATATGAATTAAAAAATGAACTATTGTTTCATCTTAAGCTATTTCGTCGACTAGTTATAAAAAACAAGAAAATATTAGTCATACAAATATGACAGAATAAAATGGCGAAAGCGTTCTCGAATTGAAAGCAACAAACAAAAAATGCAGGATTTGAAGGAGTTATAAAAAAATAATCATGTTACTTACATTTTTCCCTTCTCCGTTTACTTGTCACAATTATTAATCAGCTATTTGTACACAATAAAAGTATTTTGAATTTATCAGATTTATGAAATTCGAGTGGTCGCAACGAGTGTCGTCTAATCGTAAAAACACGTATGCTTTGGTTCATGTTATAAGCAGCTAAAAGTATAGATGGCGCACAATGAAAATTTTTATTCTCGACAAATACCGTGTGATGGCGTTACTTTGTGATTCTTCTTTAAATGTGAAAAAAAAATTGATATTTTCTCTTATAATAAATGGGAAAAACTTAAGAATAAATGTGCTATTATGGTACTAAAATGATTAAACAAGTATCTAAAATTGCGACGATAAACCATATTTATTTATTCAATTATTTAATTGCATATTCAATAGATACAATAGAGAAAAGTTTTAGTAGATTAATAATCTAAGGAAAACCAATTGCAGATTTCCATTCATTAAACCTTTACTATAAACAGGATTGTGTGCAAGTATGAAAAAGGTATAACATTATAATTCAATAAAAGTATTTAATAAAAATTAATAACTATTAAAATTTTTGTTTAAAGAAAATTTCAACTTTATAGTAATAAAAATCATTAAAGAAAGGAATAACAAAAATGATCATAATGTTAAATCTTTTTAACAGCGTAACATATTTTTCAGCTGCCAATTGTAATTATTCTTAATTATTGAAACAGGAAAAATCGTGGGTCAGATTGACGATTATTAAAGTTTTATAAGTTTGTTTATCGCTTTAATATAACTTTTAAAAAATCCATCAATGTTGCTGATATAATAAATCTTTAAATGGCATCGATGTCAACTTCATCTTCAATATCATCTTCGGCAAGTTTTTTAGACGTTTGAATTGTCTGCTGCTGTTGTTGTTTAAGTGGTTGTTTAGCTCGGTCGTCATATTCAATCTAAAAGTATATTTATAGATCAATAATAATACACAATGAGTACGTACTTTAGTGATAAAAAGCCTTAAAAAACTCACCTCTAAATCATCATCATCGTCCTCACATTCAGATTCCTCTTCTTCAGCTTCTTTAAGCCAAGTAATAAATGGAGCAGCTTTATCATGAATCTCTTGAGACAAATCTTTCGAAACATATTTCTTGCTTACTTTGCTAGCCCAGTCAAACAAAGCTTTCTCTTCCAAGATATCATAGTCATAAAACAGCTGTAAATTATAAACATAATAAATATACACCTTCATTATATACGAGATAATAGATGTTAATAAATAATAAAAAAATTACCTTCAGTATGCCAGGAACCTTCGGCATGAGAGTGTCTTTATGTAAAGCAATGATTTGCTCGATACCACGAATCAAGTATTTTTGTGCCTTAATGTCTCCATGAGTAAAACGTAACAAGAGAACTCGGTATTTTTTAACTTGAGCAGCAATGCCCTGATCAAATAACAATTCAGCAAGGACTAATGGTGCCTTAGTCTTAATTTCAAGTCGTTCAGCTTCACTAACAAGTTCTTTGTGATTATCAAGTTGACCAGCGTCACGACGACATTTAACAAGCTTATAGAAAATATCCATGCGTTCTTTTTCAGATTTGTCCAAATCTTCACTAATAGTCATACCTTTAGCGCCGTCAGTGAGATCTTGAAGACGTGCTCTAACAGCTTCCTCAGAGACGTCAACAGCCCATTTAGCGTCATAATCATCATCTTCATCTTTAGCTATTATTTCTGGTGCTTCAACAACGATGTCAGTAGTATTAGTTTCATTTTCAGGTGAACCAGAACGATCACCATTTGCAGTATCTCCATTTGCCTTTTTAGAACGTTTACCACGTTTACCTTCAGTTAGAGAACTTCCTTGAGCAGCTGGATTCAAACTCGGAGGATTTTTCAGAATGTATGTATTGAGTTTATGATTACTCTCAAGTAGACCATGATGTCCACAAGCTTTACATCCTTGAGATATGGTTCCTTTCTTAGCGCTGACTATTAATTCAGTTTCAGGATTATCGCAAGCTGGACACAGTACATACTTACGAATAAATCCATCAAGCAAATCTTGAAGTTTATTTGCTTCATGAGACCCATTTACAATAAATCTTTCATTCTTAAAATCAAATTGAGTTTGCGCTCCAAGCTCACATCCAAAATACTTGGTAGGATAGGTAGCAGGTCGTCCAATAGCCTTAGCAACATCTACCATATTAACAATAACAGTTTTAATTCCATTACCTTTGCCTTCAACTTTAGCTTGAATGCGTGGCATTTTGTAGCGATAGAACGCATCGCTGACGTTCCGATTGACGTTGACACTGCCCATGATGATAATTTACTTTTAACTTGATCCAATAACAATGAAGTACTCTTTTAAACAATTTAATATTCTGTAACGACGTCGTTGCGAAAATTTGGCACAGGCCAAGGACCTTTGATCCTTGGTCTTTTCTCTTTCTTTATGACGCTTAATTTCCACTTATATTTCCCCTTAATAGGGCACTTGCTCAAGTTGGTAGAGTTTTAGTCCTCGTTTTTCCAACGTCTTTTCCTTTCGTATCGCTTCCAAGCGTCAGTTTGACCGCTATTAAACGATCGCACTCGGGTGTTGCTACCCGTTGGTAGCGTAATACGTGTCGAGACAGGGTGATTCTTGTTGTTTGCGGTTTCGTTGGCCGCACTACCCAATGATGACAGTCACGTTTCCCTAAAAGGTTGTAATTTTCGATGTCTATTACTGGAAAATTTTGAGGTCCTGTGCTTAGGCAGGACTAAATGATTTAAACGTTGGGTGGTATCTTGATTGGAGTTATGCCTCGTTCTTGTGGGCAGAGGGGGATAGTTTTCAATGATCATACACGCTGCTGGTCCGTATCTCTTGTCTTTAAGAATTTCCAAACACCACGTCGATAACCTCGACCCAAGAAACCCACGTGATGACCGATTACTCCAAGCGTGAGATATTATTGTGCTGTCAGCTCTACGATGTCTGGACAGTGTCTTACCACCACCGCCTTTGCTGCAAACAGATCCTTTCCCTCTGGATGATGATATCCTGAATGTTTCTGCAATAAAAATATTAATCATTATTATAAATATCTTTTTTTCAAAAGTAAATGCTTTCTCTTTAGCTGTCGATTAATATCTCTTTTAAAAATATTCACTTAAACTTTTAATGTGGCACGGACATTATGCCCGCCACAAAAAATTCGTATATCATTTAAATTTAGCTTTTTCTCAAGATCTAGTTCGAGGTACATGATAACGGGGATTTATTTTTTCTGGCGATTAAAGTGAGTTAATTTTACCTAACTGTCAACTCTTTTAAATGAATATAGGTATAAAAAATCAATTCATTTGTTTTATGTCAAGATATTATGTATGAGAAGAAAAGAGAGTACTTTAATCAATGTTTTCATGTCAATGAAAGGATACAACTCGATATAACTTACACATGCAGAGAAAGTTGTCACACATAACATTAAACATGCATTTTATTGGTTATACAATCCTTACAACGAGTCAAGTAATACTACTGGTAAATAAGATTAAGCTTTCAAATATACAATGAAAGACTATTTCAAACATTGGCATAAGTGCTAAAAAAAGCTAATAATTAAATGGAACTAAAAAGAAAATATTGTTTGATAGAACTGTACAGTAGCAGAATTTATGGCAGAATTTGATTAATAGTCATAGTTATTGATCATTATGTTGGTACATAGCTGCAGAAAAATCAATTATATGTTACTTTAATGACCAACATTCATTATAGTACGTCTTTTAAACAACAAGAATTTTAATATATACACAAGATCAATAGCTTTATCTGAATGTACCCTGTGCTAAATGATGCTTGTCTACCGTTAGCTATCTATTAAAATTCATACTTTTATGAATGTTGACTTAGTGGATCCTTGAATTATTTACATAAAAGTCATATGAAAAAAATCCATAATTCATATTTAAAGTTAAATTGGCATTGAATTTATGTTCCAAAGAATTTTTGATTAATCAAAGGAATTACAAATATTTGTTTGAAAGTTACATGCCTATAAACTTTAATAACAATCTACGGAACTATTTATAATGATTCCCTTTGAAGCTATCAAGTGAGTACTAATGTGTCGCAGAAGCGAAAATATAAGACACGGTTATGCGCAATTATCGGTGCTGACCAAGGGAGTATATAGAAATGTCGGTCATGTGTGCTGATGATTTTTGTTCGTTATTTCCCTTGACTATCGATCATAAGGGCGTTGACTATCTTTAGAACAATAAACAACAAAATACATCATTATAATATAAACATAACAACCTTGAACATTCACACAGATATAAATTATCATAAAATAATATTTTATTACCCTTGTCGAAAAACAATAAAATCATTTTCTTGATAAATACAAGTTTCTATTCCAACAATCTATTTCACTTAACACAAGTATATTCAAAGTATTGATAATTAAACCGTTAGAGAGTAATTAATAGAATTTTATCAGTAGTCAGGTTTACTTTACCTACTACACTACTTTAAATTTACCTGCTCGGCGTAGACGCATAAGTCGTGATTTGGTCTCCTAACTTTCGATGCTGTTGATGATTAATCTAAGGACCAGTTGGTCCTCACCTCTCTTCTGATCTTCCTCTGATTTTCAGCACCTTCTTGCTTTCTCAATCAATTCTTTAAATTCGTAAAGAAGCAACTGTTCTATCCTAAAGACAAACGTCCTCTCCTTCAAGGTGGATGCGCGATGGGACACGTAGAGGCAGGAGACAGAGAAAAAATCGAACGGTGTGAGAGAGATGTGAAGCGATACTAAGGTAAATAGGTAGACTGTGTATAGGCTCCAATCCCAGATTACGTTGGCGAGAAATCCACCAATGTTGCTGCTACTGACTCTCTTTTGCTTATACTCTTGCGCAGGCGTTAAGTGGCGCGCACAATCCACTGTGATAAAACAACTAGATCGTGGTTTCACCCCTTGATTATTGATCGTGAATGCGCAGTGCACCAACCCTTATCTACCAGACAGTGCTGATGAATTAAATGACTTGAGATATCCGATTACCAACAGTATTTTGCCTCTTGAGATCTATAGTAGGCCTCGTTCCGCAATTCCCTGATTTTATAAAGTGTCAAGATGACTCATCTCATCAACGAATGATCTAGGTTTATGATCATGATGTTGAAAGTTTAACTGCCAAATTACCCCTTCTAAGATTAACATCAAGAAATTCGCAACAATGTATTTCAGCGTTTATTGAACTATTCAAACTCGCATAATTGTAAATGATGATATATATTTAATGACTGAGTTGATAAATATTCAACTTTACCAAACTTTATTTTAGAAAATGATTAATTTCTATTATAATATGGTTGATTGAATGAAATAAAATAATAGAATGGAATTTATATCGGTTTATTTATAATAGTAAAAGCTATTTAGATCGTAAAACGTTGAGCTTTATTTTATTTTTCAGTAGATTCCAATGGGGTCACAGTTCTTCCGCATCCAGAAATATATATTTTATTTTGAATACAATTGGAAGTCTCTGAACTGGTTTAACTACTCTTGAAAGGCTTAATAATATATATTCATTGATATTTTATCAAATTAAATTGATAAATACAGTCGCATTAAGAGAATATAAAGTAATATTCACAATATATTAATTTAATACATACAGACCCAGAAAAATAAAATTATTGATATGCAATATTTTTTCATGCACTTCCTTTTTCAATGTTGACACTCGACATGCACATACTTAGATTAGATTAAATTCAATACAAAATAAAACAATGTTGTGATAACATTGATTAAATTTTTGAATATACAATATGTAAGTACGGAATGCTATTTTAAAATTCAATTAAAACGTTATCAATCGTTAAATCACATTGAATAGGCTAATAACTAACCGTTTGTTTTTACTGGTATTGGTAATTTACATAAAATAATAATAAATAATTTTGCAGAATGATGATGAAATGTGATAAAATGATGAAAGATAAGAAATTAATCGAATAGGAATTACAAGTAGATTGTACACGCGACGATCACCAAAATGGCTGGTAAGTTTGCTAAAATTATCCTAACAACAGGGAGGGCGTGAAATTAATCGAACAGCTGGTAAAGAGGAAACACTCGAATGTTGTGATAATCTAAATATCAGCTCACCTTGTCGTCGAAGAAAAGTCATATAAAATGGTAACGCCCTTCTGGACGGCCGCCTTCTAGCGTGAAAATTCAGAGATGACCCGTGTTGGGTAAAAATTGGGACAGATGGATGGCCCTCACGAGAGCACCCTGATCTTGTCTTGCGATTTCTCGCTGCTGGGTTACCTGAAATAATAACCCAAAGTATATACATGTAGAGATAAAGCTCGAAGCGACCCCATAACGCAATATTGAATGATTTTTTCAAATCCAAATTTACCTAATTATGTAAAATAAACACAAAACGTATTGCCAATATCACTTTTGCTGTATTATTCGCAATGTAAATGTGATTTTTACGATAATTCACTGTGAAATGTTCCGGCTTGTAACACGACTATCGCCTGAATGCAACTGCGAACAAGGATGAACAGTGATGGAGTGTTAAATGGAGGTTATTGCTCAATAACCCCACTGACGTTGTTTCGTTTATCAAAGATAAAAGTTACTATTTCACATACAACAGATCAAATATTGCTAAATTTTTTAAAATTTTTAAAAAATAAGCATTAAGATAAACTAATCACTTCTTTTTGATCTTTAAATGTATAAAGATATAGAAGAATGTGGTAGGAAAAATATTAGGGGGAAAGCGCAAAACGAAATACGGCCCTGTGAAAATCGAGTTGTACGAGATATATCGAACCGTTGCTGACCACATGGAGCTATTTTTTACTACTTCTGCGCACTCCTGTTCCGATATCAATTTAGTATAGTCGTCATCATAGTATTTTCTAGTTTTAATTAGTTTTAAATTTTATTATCATAATCCATAAATTGAGAGCAATAATCTATTTAGAGAGCTATTAGTTGAAGGTCAAATTAAATTACAATTGCTTTTTAAAACATTTTTTTGTATAATCTTGAAGATTGAACACGTGATCAAGAGTGTTGATTGGGATATCAGATCTATTGCACCATCACTGCTAACAGGTAAATTATAAAATATGTTTTACATACATGAATAATTTATTTACTAATTTATTTTAATTTTAGCAAAGAAATATAAAATGGAAACAGAAACGGAAACAACTGGAAATTTACTTTATACTTGCATTGCATGTAGAGTAGCTTTTAAAGACTCCGAAATTCAAAGGCAACATTATAAATCAGATTGGCATAGATATAATTTGAAAAGAAAGGTAGTTGAATTACCTCCAGTTACAGTAGAAGAGTTCCAAAAAAAATTGATAATCCAAAGGGAGCAACTTCCTGCACAAAAATACGGCCGAGCTAGTTTAAAATGTAAAGTATGTAAGAAAAGTTTTAGTAGTAGTGCTCAACATGATAATCATGTAATGTCTAAAAAACATAAGGAAAATTGTTTACGAAATAACGTCATCATTCCACAATTTTATGAGTCAGATACTAATTCTATATCAAGTGGTAGCCACTTATCAAAAAGTTCCAGAATTTCCAAGAAAAATTATAAATATTCTGCTGTTGATGTTGAGATCGAGTCTGAAACTATGTCAATAGAATCAGTAGATTCTGACGAATGGTTAGAAGATACTGACAATTTAGTAAAAAATAACATTTGTCTATTTTGCAATCATCAAAGTAGATCAATGGAAAAGAATTTAAAGCACATGACAGATGCTCATTCATTTTTCATACCTGATCCAGAATATTGTACAAATGTTAAAGGTTTATTAGAATACTTAGGAGAGAAGATATTTGCAGGTTATGTTTGTCTTTGGTGCAATGACAAAGGCAAAGCCTTTCAGAGTGTTGAAGCTACTAGAAATCACATGATTGATAAAGGCCATTGTAAAATGCTCCATGAAGGGGAAGCCTTATTAGAATATGCTGATTTTTATGATTACTCCTCAAGTTATCCAGACGCTGAAGAGCACGATGCCGATGAAGAGATAGATATCACTGAATTAGATGGGGATGATTATCAGTTAGTCTTACCTTCTGGTAATGTGATCGGCCACAGGTCGTTGATGAGATATTATAAACAGCACTTAAATCCTACTAGAGCAGTTGCCATTTCTAAAAATGACAAGATACGTCAAATTCTTTGCCAGTATCGAGCTCTTTTACCTCCTGAGATTCAAAAGGAGACGGTCTTAAAGAAAATCAAGGATATCAGATACATGCAAAGAATACAAGCTAAATATTCTGTTCAATTACAAATCAAAGCTAACAAACTGCAACACCATTTCCGTCGACAAGTTAACTTTTAAACTTATATTATGTATTTTTGTTTATTTACATACAGTAATAAATCAGAACTATTTAATAAACTCGACTATTTATTCTTTGAGTGTGGATATTTTACAAAATGAAACATTAATATCAATATTTGTAATTATATTGTCAGGTAACAACAAAAATACTGCGTATAGTATAACTTTAATATTTTGTGCTTTTTTGGACGTTACTGGACCCATCATAAGATTTGTACGATAAATTACAGTATCGTTGCCACCAATGGACGGTAGCTGTTAAATACTTTACTTTTGCATTCATAGCAATATGATTTCAGACCTACCAATAATGGCGGTTTAAATAATCTTTATTTCATTTTCACTTTTGCCTTCTCTTTTTAATATGCTCATTGTGTGTATCAGTTGAACTCAATGTATGAATAACTTACAGATTGTAACAGGGCAGTAATTTTAAATCATTATTAACATGATTTTGAAATGTGAAGATAATTTTGCAGCTCTTATTTTGTAAAATATATATATATTAATTTTCACTCTTACATTTATTTTTATATTAGAGAGCTGTTATTGTCAGACTTTCAAAAACAAAACTCATTTTTTTTTTACTACTGCATTCTCTTATATGCATATATGTGGGATTTAGATATATCCTTTTTTTATGAAATTTAATGCAAATCCAAGACCATCAGCTTTAACTCCTTGTGAGGTGGTTTAGGTCTGAGCTTTTCATCAATTTCAGAGTAAGGTATTCTGAATTCAGTCTGGAAACCATGTTTTTCGAATACCTTCTGCGAATATATACCTGTTGCATCAGCTTTAATTACCTGAAATTAAAATGATTAAACCAATTAACTGAATAATTACTTACTGTTAATTTTTTAACAATCATAAAATTATATAAATGTTAACGCTAATAATTAAATAATTAAGTAAACTAAAATGAATTTAACAAAAAATATACCTTGCGTTTAAAAACATTTACAGTGATGCATGCTTCAAACAAACGGTTCTTTGAAATAGGTAAGACAATTAATTTTCATTTTAATTTCAACATTTTTACACCGAACACAGTATTCATGCAGGTATCAACACCAACTCGTTGAGTACCTTGAAACCAGCTTTTTTAGCCACTTCTATAGTATCACTCAAAAGAGTGTTAGCAAGTCCTTGGCCACGAAATTTTTCATCTACGCTAAGAATTCGACATTCGAATAGTTCATCAGTACAATGCGTTGTAAACAGATTAACTGCCGAATTCAATGTATGTAACAATCCAAAAATTGTTTTAAATTTTTCATCATCAACTTTTTCAAGACGTCGAAAAGCTTCTTCACGTTCACCTTTCTTCAATATTCCATTTAACACCAAACCTCCTATCTAGAATTTACATTTTGTTTAAACGACCTTTCTAGATAAACTCATAAATATATATAGATTGAAAACCAATTGATAAAGTTAGTAGAACCGATAAGATGAAAATGAAATTTATCAATTTATTATAGTTATCAAATAGAAAATAAATTGATAATTACCGTTCCATCATCTGTGACAAGCATCCGTGAATATCCTTGTTTCAAAGTAGCCAAGCAGTGATTTTCTAATTCAAAATGCGACTCTCCTTTTCGACAAAGACCTACTGCACAATTTAAAGGTTCATCAGCAAAAAAATTAAATCTCAAATGTTCAATAACTTCTTTAAAACGAGTTTCTGGAATGGCAACGACATTGAATCCTGAGGAGCACATTTTCAGATATAACTCAGTTACTTGTTGTCGAACAAAGACTGTGACGGATTCTCCATGCGCACGATTTGTTTTCCTCACGAATAGGATCGCTGTTGAGTGCGCTTAGTGCTTTATATTGATTGACCTAGTTTAGGGAATTCATTTTATCATAATATGATTTATAATCTGAAGACATAATTAATAGAACTATAACATTTATTTTAACTTTATAGTATTTCATATAATACCTTATATTTTTAGTATAATACTATACATATACGCTCATGCAAGCTTCGGAGTGATATTCACAAAATGATACTTTTATATTTATGCCAAGAGTTCAATTCAACTTGACACTCTTGAATGTACATTTTTAATTAAATAAAAAATATAACATTTAATAAAATATTTTTCAATTATATTCATTAATTTAGACCATGTAAGGATTAGATCGATTAAATAAATGGAGTTTTTAAAATTCTACAAACAAGAAATTATTTCTTCAGCGTTATCATATGAAATTGACTGTACAAAATTGATATTATGAGTCTATAAAGGAGAAAGCTAAAGAGTCATTAGCTATATCGATTAAAGACTCAACAAATTTATAAAGATCTCTCGTTTTAACGCTGAAGTCTATTTCACGACAAATTTTCTTGTGTGCGTGAAAATTAAATTTACAAGTTTTTAAAATAGAAGATCTTCGTCTCCTTCATCCAACATATTGGCACCATCAACATCATGACCGGCAGCAATTAGTTCTTCAAGATCAGCTTCCACCTATGGAATGATTAAAAGTTAATTGTGCTGAACCCATTGATTTTTCTATAATAAATTATAAATACTTACCTGTTCTTTGATGGCCTTCTTCTTGTCTTGAATTTTTTTGAGACGGTAGAATTCTTCTCTCTCAAGTTCGTCTAATTCTGAAATAATGTATGCAAGAGTCCTCTCGATCCTTGGAATAATAACGTGCTCAATGGCATTAACACGACGGTTAGTGATTTTAATAACTTCATCAAGAGTGACAAAGCTAGTTTGAAGAGAAGCTAAGACAACAAGAAGCTTAACACCTTTCTGATAATTTTTCTTCAGCTTGGCAAGCTGCTGACCACCTCTAGCTAAACCAGCTAGCTCATATGTGTCAGTACCATCTTGGTATGATTCAAATACTGGCAAATTTACACCGGCAACATTATCCTTTTTGGATCTTATTTTTATTTGGGCTTTTGTAACGTTTTGGAGTACTACTTGGTTAAAGTCTCCAGTGGCAAATTTAGCTTCAGCCAGTGAAAAAGTTGCTTCTTTCATAACTTCTCCCATAAGTGTTTTTGTCTATAAGAATTTTTATAATTAAAAATGATCAGAAATTATTTATAAACAGGGCTCCAGTCTTGATCGACTCCAAAAATGTTTCTACGCATTAAGAACTTTTATTGATGGCTTTAAGCATATACTTTAAAATTATAGAGACATGTTTATCCATCTAAAAATGGATAAATGCATTTTATTCATAATTTTTTTTAAATATCTATACATAGTACGCATTCTTATGTAAAAAAAATGCTCGTTAATGCATAGAAAAATTTTTGGAGTGCATTAGGGTTGTGTCCCGCCTTATAAATAATTACCAAAATTCTATTTGACAGTTTATGTCATAAGTAAAAAATTTATTGACTCCAAATTCAATTATGAACATACCTCAATAATTTTTCCAAGTATCATTCTGAATCTCATTTGTAAAGCGTCTGCTTTTTTCTTCAGCAATCCATGGCCTTTAGTAGCACCTTGAAGTCTTGACTTCATCAACATTTGAGCTCTGAAACATTGAAATTGTTAGATGATATCAAAAGAAGAATCATTAAGTCTATTAATGTTTATGATTTGTCACTTGATCTAAAAAATTGAAAGGAAAAATAAAAGTGTACAAGAAAAACTATTATACTCAAATTTCTATTAATATTTAAAGATACAGAATTTATGTATTTATTTTCAAGTAAAAATAATGAATTGTTGTTTTTAACTGTGAAATCAAGGGTTACACCCATTCGTTTCAGATGAGTAAACATTGAAAAGTATGGTAGACGGTGTTGTTAAATAATATTGAAATTTTCTATTCAATCAAGACGTTATAATGATTTACTGGAAGAATGATAAAACATCTATACTTACCCCCGAGAGGGAAAAATTGGAAGTCTATCTTTCCCCGACATGTTTGCAAGAGGAGCCAAGTAGACAGGAATGAAAAAGATCAGCTGACTTGTGTAAACCGGAAGTTACAGAAAAGTCACATGAAGCGCGGCAATAAATCGGGCGCCATAAGATAATTCAAACATGATAAATATTTATACTTGTAGAATATCAAAAAATAAAGAAGTAGAAATAAAAATAAATATAACCAAACCTAATTTTTTTGTGAAAGATAATTTACTGATTTTCTTAAATGTGTTTTCTTTCTCAAGTTACATTTAATTTTGAGTCATTTTTACATTTAAATGTCTATTGATACTAGTTTAATACTATTTTATCAACATTGAGTAAAAAAATGTGAAATCTATAGTTGATAAATGGAAACTCTTTTTAAACAACTCATTCTTATCGGTTGAACAATATGTATATTTGTGCAGTCACACCGAATTTGGAAATGGTCGTAATACTTGAAAATCTTATTCTCCGGTAATCTGTTTAATTCTACTTGACAAGTTTTTTGTTGGCAAAATTAAATCATTATCTATAAACGTTGAGTATCTGTTAGTGAAAAATGACCAAGTTTCATAAAATTGAAATAAATAAAACAGAATGGGAGGTTCCTGAACGTTATCAGATGCTAACTCCGGTTGGATCTGGTGCTTATGGTCAAGTTTGGTATGTATAAAATCTGTATTTTTATCTTTTTCACATACAATTCAATTTCAAATGTTATTCTTAGCATAATATCTATTTCTACAATGGTTTAGTCAGTCGAATATTAATAATTTAGCTTCTAAGAACCTTGACATGTTCGTAACAATCCTCGAACTCACTTACAACAATTAACTAGTTGTCTATTCTTGGCATTTGATTAGTGAATTGTCACTAATTTATTTTAAGTAACTTTATTTCTTATCAATAAAATCTATGTTTGTAAAATGTATATTTCTTCCTGAAAAATATTATCTATCAATGTACTTAAATCTTATAATCTGTCTGATATCATTCAAGGCCTTGTTTTCTTTCAAATGTATAGAGAGTGTTATTAATGTCTTCAACCTTGACACTTTTTCATTATTTACCTTTCCCCTGATCTATTGAACAATCTATTGCTTATCAATGTACTACAATAACTATTTTAAATTTTCTTTCCAGTTCTGCTGTTGACACGCAAACCAATCGTAAAGTGGCTATCAAAAAATTGGCCAGGCCCTTTCAATCAGCTGTTCATGCTAAAAGAACATATCGAGAATTACGTATGCTCAAACATATGAATCATGAAAATGTAAATGAGTAAATCAATATCACTCAATCATGCCAATTAAAAAAGATTGAAGAAAATAAATGAATTATTTTTTTCTTAGGTCATTGGTTTGTTAGATGTTTTTCATCCATCAACTTCACTTGAAGACTTCCAACAATTGTTAGTATTTGGAGAAAGTTATTAAATAATTACTTGACATATTTATAATAATTTATTAAATTTTGAAGGTACCTAGTGACTCATTTAATGGGTGCAGATCTTAATAATATAGTTAGAACACAAAAACTCTCAGATGACCATGTGCAATTTCTCGTCTATCAAATACTTAGGGGCTTAAAATACATCCACTCGGCGGGAATTATTCACAGAGTGAGTATCTAAAAATTCACAAATTATTTATACAAGCCAATATTGATTATTTTTATACATAATTTATAGGACTTAAAGCCATCGAATATTGCTGTAAATGAAGATTGTGAGTTAAAAATTCTAGATTTTGGGCTTGCCCGGCCAACTGAAAATGAAATGACTGGATATGTAGCTACACGGTGGTATCGCGCACCTGAAATTATGCTTAATTGGATGCATTACAATCAAACAGGTTTATAAAAATAACGAAGCAATTATTTTGTCGATGATATCATCTTTAAACACAAGTTTGAATTAATTTTGTTTTCAGTTGATATTTGGTCGGTTGGATGCATTATGGCCGAATTGCTCACAGGAAGAACACTTTTTCCAGGCACTGATCGTATCCTTTTGTTATACTTTGCTAATTTTATTTAGATTAGCTTTTTTATAAATATATTCCTCAGTAATTAATACTTTTAATCACTTCCTAGCTATTTTATTTTTTTTTTGCTAAACATTTTTTATCACGAATAACATTATTTTCATTTAAATTGCTCTTTGCTAAGGGTCTACATTGCTCGAAAAATAATTTATTTTGCTTCTGAATATTAGTTGCAAAAAAAATAATAGCTTTTTATCGCTTTAATTTAATTAAATTAATAAGCTTTTAAAAAGCTTGTTAATTATTGCAAAAGCTTGATAAATATAAAATTCGCAAATTAATGAAAGGAATAGAGCATTAAAGCTTAAAAAATAGATAAGTAAAGCTGGATAGTATGACAAATGTCAAAATATTGTAGTGGAGCCTTAGCAACAGCAGATATTCACCAATTGAACCTCATAATGGAAATCTTGGGTACTCCACGAGACGAGTTTATGCAGAAAATATCATCTGAGTCGGTAAGTGTGCTTAACGTTTCCTCCCCTAACATCAGAAAATGCTTCTGACAAAACAAACACGCATGGTTAAACAATTAAACATCTTCATCGTTAGGAAAAGATGCTAATAATGATCGTACAGGCTGAAATAAATAAAACGCATGGGCTTTTTGATCAAATATTTTAGTTTTTAGTTTAATTTTTCAATAAGTAACAGTTTTTAATTAACTGCAAAAATAAATGTAACGCATTTTGTATCGGAATGAGTGAAACCTTAACCGTGTGCAGATGTTGATCATCTAACCCGAGTACTTGTACTTTGTGGCACTCCCTCAGAAGAGACTATAAGCAAAATAACCAGTCAAGAGGTAATTAATTATACAAAAGTGTTTTTGTTTCAATTATTAAATCGAAATTGAACCCATTCATTCAGTTTCATTAAAACACTCACCATTAATCAATAGTAAACACAGCGTTAAATTTTTGTTCTAATAAAATTGATAATTAACTGCTCATTAATCATTTTAGGCTAAAAATTATATTCAAAGTTTGCCACCACTTAAGAAGAAAAACTTTAGAGAAGTTTTTCGAGGAGCCAATCCGCTTGGTAAGTAACTTAATTTTTTATTAATTGAAAAATGAAATCTGTTTGAATTATTCATTTAAATTATAGCAATTGAATTATTGGAGTTGATGTTAGAGCTTGATGCTGAAAGGAGAATAACTGCTGAAAAAGCTTTAGCTCATCCATATCTTGCTCAATATGCTGATCCAACAGACGAACCACTATCTCTTCCATATGATCAGAGTTTCGAAGACATGGATTTACCCGTTGAAAAATGGAAAGAACTGATTTATCATGAAGTTGTCAATTTTATACCTCAACAACTGCCAACATCGTCCGCAGCGACCGATCCATCTGCATAATAATAATTTTAAGTGATATAGAAAGTAGTTAACACATCGAAAATAACAATCTTGTAAATATGATATATCATTTTAGGACACTGAAATTGAAAAATATTGTGAGCTTATTTTTCCAGAGTCGCATATATATTTTTTTTATAAGATAAATTATATGTTTTATTCATCTGCCAGAAACACAATGGTTGAATATATTTAAAAATATTTTTATTACACTACATTTTACATTAACAGTTCTAGTCGGAGGTAACTGAAATACCTTATTCTAATACAACATACATACTATATTATATACTCCACAGCAGCTTAAAAATAACAGACTAATTTATCAAAACTAATCAGCTAATTAAATCATCACATTTAGTGAATATATTTGCTTTTGTAGATGATACTGAAAAATTAAGTATTATAATTTTTTTGTTATCATTTTTTTTTCTAAATATTTTTTAGAAATATAGGGCTTAAATACGTGATAATAAACAATTCATCTATGATATAATGTGTTTGTATAATTTTCACTGGCCTATTAAATATAGCTTTATACAAAATAAATAGCAATGTATTCTTATTTTTTTCTATTACTCCAATACTAACATATTTAAAAACTAGTTGAGTAAATAATTATTATTACATTTTAATACAACCGTTATTTAATAATTATTATTACATTTTTATTACAAACGTTTAATCGCTTTAATAATAATAGATTTGAGTCTTTAAAGTCATTTATATTGATGACAATTGTAAAAATAAGATAATAACGCTTGTTTTGCAATTATTTTTAGCTAAAAACAGCGTAAGAATGGCATGTAAAAATTGGTTTTTTGCTCTCATGTCAGGATGGCCGAGCGGTCTAAGGCGCCAGACTCAAGGTATTCAACCTTCTCAGCTTGGCTGAGTTAAATATGAGCGTTCTGGTCCTCTCTGAGGGCGTGGGTTCGAATCCCACTTCTGACAATACTTTTTATTTTTCTATTTTACTGCTCTAGTTTCATATAATTAAATTAATATGAAGATTATATTGATTTCTATGCATTTTCTGAGTCGTTAAATGTGATTTAGCAATAGATTTTATGAAATATTTATCAGTTTAAAATGTAGGATGCCGCTTTTTTTTAAATTAGTTTGCGAATTAAACAATAGAGGACATCAATTACGTAAAATAAAAACGCATGCGCTGTAACAAGAATGTTTTAATAGATCGAATTGGCGGGATGCCGGTGTTGACAAACCAAAGAATATCATCAAATCTTAGAACTTGAATCGCAAAATATCGCAACAAAGCAAGCATTTAGTACATAAACCGACTATGTGTAGCGTTGCCGTCTATCGTAATTATAAATATCGAGCATTTTATATAAAATAACTGCTTTATTATTAAAACAAAATTTATTCGGAAGAGAATAAACAATATTTTGGAAAGACAAGATGATTTTACAAGGATCACATATTATCAATCAATTAAACAACATCTAACATCACACATAGCCGGTTTACATACTACGCAATCAGTGCATCATAAAGTTTCAAGAATAAGATTTCTATGATATACATTATTCTTTGTTCTAAAACATGTAATCAAATGCCTAAGATGTTGTAAATATTACGAAAATTTATGTGTGATACTTAATGAAAATTCATTTTAGTTACACATAAAGCTTTGGATACATTACCAAATTGATGTGAGTCTGTAAAAAATGACTGTTGTGTTATACTATCAGTATAAATGAGTTTATTATGTTACAGTAGTGTGTGTATAGTAATACTATTAGAACGAAAAACAATATTTGTTGTTGTTACGAAGAATGAAGAAATTATTGTTGTAAATTGATGAAGATATAATAACATGAGAGTAATTTTGAACAAAATTAGATCAACTGTTTCAAGGTAAGAAAAACACATGACTATACAAATGAAGAAAGATAAATGGTAGTTATCAATATGAACATGGATCTTTCTTTACATATTGATTCTTACAGTGTTCTATTTTGCATTATTCTATTAACTCAATTGAAGTTTATATTCAGAATTTAAAGTACTGATAGAAACTAATATTATAATTGAAATTATTTATTGCATGATGCAAAATAGTATATCAATATCACGAATTGTGTATTATTTTTGGAAATTACTTGGTTTATTTCCTTTTTATTTTGATAAAACAGAAACAATTAAAAGATCAAAGTTAGGAACAATTTATACATTAATGTTTTTAATGATGTATAAAGTAGAGTTAGGTCGAGTTCTTTATGCACGTTCTATATGGAAATCGTCCTACGAAACAACTATTATTTATTACTCAGATTTTCTTGGACTTATTTTAGAATATATTGTTAATTCAATAACTTGGGTTTGTGCTCTAGTTCGTCAAGATAATGTACGTAAGATTTTAAATTCATTTAGAAACATTATCGACACTGCAGTTGTACTCGGAATGCCAAAACTACCTAAAAAACTTTTTCGTAACCTTCATCTTATAGTTTTGATAATAAATTTAATGTTTTTATTTATTATCACTTTTGAAATCCTATGTATGTACTCGGATATTTGGAATTACGATTTCTCCATTTGGATACCTTTCAACTCAGTACGCTGTCTGAGTATGAATGTCATAATAATGTATGTTTGGTGTTTAAGTCTCATCAAACATGGATTTCAATTTATTAATCAAAGTTTAAGTATTCTACCAGAATTAAATGTAATCAAAAAGCCTTCTATAGGAGTAACAAGAATAAGGTATTTTTTCAAACTTCATCAAAGTGATCTTGATTTTTTTTCATTATTGTAAATTATAGATTAAATGCCAGTGAAGTTAATTCACGATTAAATGAACTCTTCCAACTTCATTTAAATCTTGAAAACGTTGCAAAAATGATAAATGAATTATTTTCATTACCAATGTTGATTGCGCTTTTGATGCAATTTTCGCAGTCGATTGCTAATGTGTATACAATTGCGATTTTTATAAATACAAAAATGTACCGATCTTGGAAAACTACCAGACGTATTTTTGGAATTACAGGCTGGCTTGGCTTACGTCTGATTTTGATATTTTATGTGGTGGATATTTGTAATGCTACTTGTAGGGAGGTTGTAAATAATTTTTACTAATTCATATTTTACAAACATTTCTTTTTAATAATTATTTTTTTGCTCTTTACCAAAAGGCTAATCGAAAAGCGATTATTTTACACGAATTATGGAGCACATTGAAATTAAAAGGAAATAGAGAGACGGTATTAATTACCAATATTGTTTTAAAATTTTCATGGATGTATAATCAAATTAAAAAAGATAATCTTTACAGTTGAAAAATATTTCGATTCGATTATTGCAAAAACCACTGGAAATAAATTTATATGATTCGTTAAATCTCAATCATCAAATATTTTATAAGGTAAATAAGAACTTGTTAGTTACATATTTAATTTAAAAGGAATAATTTATTTAGATGTGTGGACTATTGATAACTTATTTAATCATCATTATTCAAATCGATAAGGTCGAATTTGATACATCAATCTGAATAATTTTCTGAAGTATTTCAAAATATTATTGCATTGAAAAGACAGAAATTGATGGATAAAATGAATATATATGTACTGCACCGATAAATGTAACGAGAGAATTTCTACTCATGTACTATGAGTGATATTAATTTATTTTAAAATGATTTTTTTTTATTTAGCTGGAAAACTTTTGAACGTAAAATATTGCATGCAATCTGTAATATTGAATTTTTTTTTGCTTGATTGATATTAAAAAAAAAAAATGAACTTAACTTTGATAATAAAAAAGAAATAAATAATTTTTAGTGATGCATTTAAGTAATTGGCAATTTAGCATATGAGTTTTCTATGTTCATCCAATCGTTTCTTAAAATTGCTGTATTAATGCAATTGGAGTATTAAGCATTCCGTGTGAAAACAACAGTTCTTTATTCAGTTCGAATACCTAATCTATTATTAAAATTTAAGTACAACATGCAAAAGAATTTTCCGGTGTCAAAAATTTTATTCTATTTCTGGAAAATTTTTGGTTTATGTCCATTTAATATCCACAAGATTGAAATAATTAAAAGATCGGAAGTGGGAACATTATATGTCATATTTTTAATAATTACATTTACAATATGTACTGTTAGAGTTTTCATAACAAGGATTACTTCTAATAGACTTCCTTTAGAAACTGTAATAGTTTTCTGTATTGATTTTTGTGCTTTATTTTTAGAGCTTGTAATAAACATTATAATTTGGCTGTATGTTATCATTTATCAGAATCAATTACGTCTCATCTTGAGATCATTAAGGAATGTTATTGAAACTGCAATTTCTCTTGGAATGCGTGAAATGTATAAAACCATTTACTGGCAGATACATTTAATTGTTATAATAATTAATATTGGTTTTATTTCTGTGATTTGTTTGGATCTTCTGTACGATCATCTGGAATTTATTGATTATGATTTTTTCGTTTGGATCTCCTTTGATATTCCACGTTGCATCAGTTTAAATTTTATTATTATTTATAATTATACATTGTATGTTATTAAATTATTATTTATGTTCATTAATGATAGTTTAAAAATTTTACCTGAAGTTGAAATAGCTCACAGTGTTCGCAAAAAAGTAAAAACCATCAGGTAACTAATCTTATATTGTCTTAATATTGTAATTAATTATCTAATTCAATTAATTCATAATAAGTTATTGTTTATCATTTTCAGATTAAGTCCTCATGAAGTAGACATTCGATTAAATGAACTAAGCCAGTTACATTTTGATCTTAAACATCTGGTCAAAATGTTCAGTGAATTACTTTCACTACCTCTATTAATTGCTTTAACAATGCAGCTCTTTCATATAATTCTTAATACATACATGATATCAATATTTATTAACAACGGACGGCATCGATCTTGGAGAGGTATTCGAGGTCTCACAGCTCTTACAGCTTTTCTTTTATTACGTCTTATACAATTGTTCAGTATCGTTAATGTTTGTGATGCTACATGTCAAGAGGTTTTTTACAATCCTTCCTTTATAATGATGGAAAAAAGTATTGTGTCTATTTTTGGTAATTAATTTTTATAAATTTTCTAAAGGCAAATCGCAAGGCAATTATTCTTCATGAGTTCTGGGCTTCTAGAAGACCTGAAGGTTCTAAAGATAGGGTGAATAATGTAGTTACGTAGGAAAGTGACGGAGCAAAATTAATAATAGTGAATTATTTCAGCTGAAAAAAATTTCGATTCAGTTATTACAACAACCAATGGTAATAAAATTGTATGATTCGATATATTTGAATCATCAATTGATACACAAGGTAAATTAGTGTTTTGTAATTAGTGTTGAATTTTGATGAGAATTATTCATTAGGTGACTGGGATGATTATAACTTATTTGACAATAATGATGCAAATTGACAAGCAAAATCATTTAGTAGACGATATTGACTAGCCAAATAATTGATGATTTAATTATTAATTGGTCTGCTTGTTATGTCCGATGAAAATAATCAAAGTTATGGTATGGAAAATAATTTGGTGATGTCATAATAATTATATCAGTAATTATTATCAATTAATGGACTTTATAAACAAGATCTTGATTAGTAAACAATAAGACATTGTCAATGATTCTAATCAAGTTTTATAAGTGGTTTAAAAGTTGAACAAAACTTATCTAATATATTTTTGTTGAAAAATTTATCATTCAAGTCCTGAGAATCTTTCATTTATCATCACAACAAACGAATGCTTAAAACTATGAAACTTAACACAAAACCAAGAAAAGATTAATTCCGGTAATCCATTTGAGTAATTGATCATTCTGAATATTACTTTTTTTTTCTTTGTTCCTTTCCATTATGTTATTAATTCTATTCGAGTATAAAATATTCAAAGTAAAGATAACTCAAGTTGAAGTTAAACTTCATACTTAACTTCACACTTTTACAATCATGAAAAATAATTCTCGTATGCTTTTAATTATATTTTATTACTGGAAATTAATTGGTCTGTGTCCATTTTATCTTGACAAAACAATTATCATAAATAAGTCAAACATGGGAATATTTTATAATTCTTTCTTGATAGTGCTTTACACTATATGCTTCATTCGAATACTTATGTTGAGACTATCCTTAGATATATCTCAGGAAAGCACTGTGATAGTTTTTACAGATCTGTTTGGTTTGTGTCTAGAGTATGTTATCAACACGATAGTTTGGATCTATGCAGTTATTTATCAAAACAACTTACGTCAGCTGTGCAAATCATTAAGGAATACTCTAGATATTGCACTATCTCTAGGGATGCAAGAAATCAGTGAAAAATATCTCAAACAAATCGTTATCCTTGTAGTAACAAGCAATGCTTCTTATTTTTTTTTGATGTGGTTTGAACGCTCACGGGTTAACTGGGCTTTCAAAAATGTCGAATTTTCTACTTGGTTAATATTTAACACTTTTCGTTGCATTAATATTAATATTATCATAATTTATAGCTACATTTTAAAAACCCTTGGATCAATGTTCAAATCTATCAATGACAGCTTAAGAATTTTACCAGATGTTAACATGGTCAGATGTATTCACGAAGGATTAAACAAAACTAGGTAATAAATTGGAGTTTATATATAATTCAACTGATTTATTTCTCTTAACTACCTTACATTTTCAGACTAAGTCCCCGTGAGGTAGACATTCAATTAAAAGAACTTTGCCATTTTTATCTAGATCTTAAAGATCTTCTCAAGATGTTGAATGAATTATTTTCATTGGCAATATTGCTTGTGTTAATAATGCAGTTTTCGCAATTAACTGTTAATATGTATACTTTATTTATTAATATAAGCGGAAAATGGTTACGATTGTGGACATTACACTGTGACGTCTTGATTATACTTCCAGGCTGGCTTATTTTGCGTTTGATACAAATGTTTAGTGTAATAAATATTTGTGACTTTACATGTCGTGAGGTATTGAATTATTCTAATTAGTTAAATAAAAAAATGTTATATTTTATCTATCAGTTTTTATATTTTATTCTAAGGCAAATCGCAAGGCAATTGTTTTGCATGAGCTGTGGGCTTCGAAACGACCAGAAGGGTATAAAGATATGGTAATATTTTTATTAAATCAATTTACACTGGTCAACGATAAGAAATATTTTAAATACTTAATTGACTTTATTGAATATTTTTTAAAAATATTACTTTCATTGGAAGTAATGAGATTGGAGTTTAAATTAGTTGACCAGTGAAATCTAAACTTGTTAAAAAAGCAGTATTGTATTTAACTGAAAAAATATTGCAGCTAAAAAATCTTTCAATCCAATTGTTGCAACAACCAGTAGAAATTAATTTATGTAATTCAATACAATTGAATCATCAATTAATACAAAAGGTAAATAAATACTTGAAAGTTAATTTTTAAATTTAATCAAAATAATTTAATTAGATAAGTGGGATCATTGTAACTTATTTAACAATCATGATCCAAATTGATGATAAAAAAGTATTTATAAAGAACGGCGAAATAGTTGATCAAAATCTATACCACATATTTCAATTTAAAAAAAATTAATTAAACATGTTTCTATAAATGCCTTGATTAGTGATGTCTTTATAAAAAAAGATTCTTTAAAATTATGTACATGGAAATGGTAAATATGTAGGATACTGAAAAGAATGAGATATGAAATAAAACATTTATTTAACAAATTAACAGCGTAAAGATTACTCCAGCAGATGATCTAGTCTGGTATGTCTAAATTTTTATTGGTATTTATATTATCTACATTTGAAAACCAATCCATTTCAGTCGCAGACGACCGCTCGTACACAAGACGCCGTCAAGAATTTGTTACATTGTCTTACAATTCATGAAGATTTTATCATTTTTTTCTCAAATATTGTTTGAAAATTTATTTTCTCTATAAATACTATAAAGAAAAATATTTTTGGTTTCTTTTTCACCACTGGGTGGTACATTTATTAAATCTAAAATCAGCTAAAAATGAATTAATGCCACTCGATTGATAATTAAAATGATAGAGATAAACTAAACCACTATTGATTAAATTTCCTTGGAGTTACAATTTTTTCATGATATGGCCTTTGGCAACATTTCATTGAATTTTTTCTTTCACTTCTATTATTTATTTCTCATTCATTTATTTTAATAACTTATACAACCTTTGCCTAATCATTGTCAAGTAGTGATGAACTTGTTTCTTTTCAAACGAGTTTTGTACAAAAAGGCACCCATGTCAAAGCGGTTCACAGCGTCTCTGACTGACAACCTCTTCAGATAATGCAATAATTGCATTTTAATTAGACTAATTATATTACAAACCTCAATGCGATCATTTTTAAAAAGGACTTAATGTCCTAATTCGTACTTTATTTGGAACTTTGCTTTCCCAGCATTTATTTAAAAGCTCCCACGAGTCAACGTGAAAAATATGTATTTTTTTCAAACAGGAGCACTTGGTCGGCGAAATAAGGCCGACAAAACTGAACGTAGATCACTCTCACGCCGTGGACGTCCTTCAAGATAAGACGTCTCAATCCATGGTCAATCCTCCTCATAATCTTCTGAAGACTCTGTCGACGAAGAGATCAATGCTGTTGACAGACTCGGTGCATTCTGTACTGTGGTACTTGGAAAAGTCGTTTGTAAGCGTAACCTCTGAGAGTTCCAGTATTCTGGCAACGAATGCGAGCCATTGTTTGCTTTTTCATTGTGTATTGACTCAGCAGAACTCAGTTCCATCATCGATCCCCTTCGTTTGGCTTTATTTGATTTATCTGGAAGATTAGAGTTTTATTTCTGAAATTGGTCTTTCAAATACTTCAAAAGAATATGATGGTCATTTAGAAATGTAGGGAAAAAATTCAGTTAAAGAATACTGTGGCATTACTCTCAGAGAAAGAAATAATGAATTTTTGGCTCATAAAGATTTCAATGCTTGATAAAAGATATAAATGAAATCTGACTTGTGCTAAAAAAGTTTATTTGAGATATCTTTTATTATTTTAGTGAAAGATAATTACTTCATAATTATCTCGATTGGTATATCCATGAATAAATATTTTAATTCAAACAGTCGTTCTGATGGTAATTAAAGTCTAACCTGAATTCGTAGATGAAACTCCATTAGTGAACCTGATACCCGAAAATCGATCACTCTCATTAAGGTCAGGATATCCAGAATTATCCGAAGTGCTCGCACTGTCCTTACGAAAAAGGCCAATCACGGATTGTACTTTAGGCTGTTCAATACCACCTAAAAATGTTGCTGATGGTGAGCTATATGCTATGTATTCTTTATTAGAACACCACGCTGGGAATTCATTTTGCTTCACTGGTCTTGCTGAGTCATAATCGTCCTCACGCTTCCATGGAAGCATAGTTTCCGTCGCAGTTGGGGTTGTTACTCTATACGCATCGCCTAAAAAAGGAAAATTAATATTTTCCCATAACCAATAGTTTCTTATAAAACAAAGTAAAAATAAACTATGATTTTTTTTTATTCTTCTTTGACACAATTACCTTCAGACTCTCTATGTCTTCTCATCATCCCACTATCTGTGTGATCGTCATCATCACTGTCATCAGCACTGGGATAATTATCGTAATGAGAACCTTCACCATCCCGATGAGAATCTAAAAAAGTTCCATTGTGGTTATGTCAACGGTTTTTAGGACTTACATAAACGGATTTTATGACGTTATTTACCTGATCGAGCTGTAAAAGTAATTGCCGACTCCCAATCAGAATCCCGCGCTGGTTTACCGTCGTCATCATTATCAACTTCATATAAAACACCATCCATATAATCTGGAATAAATAAAAACTTTCTTAAGTATCATTAAAACAAAGTATATCACCAATTGTCTAGGTTAACTCGGTGGTGATTTTATGAACATGTTACAAACCTTGAGAAAATAATTTCGTAGACCCATTTTGTTGTTGAAGCTCAGGAAAACTGACATGGTTCTGTTTACTACCATCCTATACATAACGTAATCAGAAAAATTAAAACAATTGATGATTAAGAGCCACCATGTTAGTATCAACATGAAAAAACACTGCTGTTTGGGATGAAGAAAAATCTTTGGAACAAGCTTACCTTAAGAATTTTTTTACTGCGTTTGTGTCGATGTTTGTGCTCACCCATCATGCGACGAATATTCATGTGCATTTTATAATTGACTTGAGTAGATAAATCGCGATCGTTAACGGCATGGCGACTGTAGCTTAATCGGCGATGCTGAAACACGTAAGTCTAGCCGAATATGTTCAATAATAGAACGGGTATCATGACGTCAGGAAGAGAAATAAAAGGTTAGTACATTAGTAGTATGATATTGAGAGAAATCGAGTAGTAGATAGTAAATCAATCCCAATTATCAGCTTACCCTTTTGTACGGCTTGCAAAGCTCTTCGGCAAGTAAATGATGGATTCGCGCATCAGTTAAATCTTTCTTTGAGGGATAGTATTCAAGCTCTTGGAGATCAATGTTCCAACCAGCCTCCAGTTGACTACAACTTGGACTTGAATGAACAAAAGGAAAATTACTGGCACATGTACTTTCCTTAGCTAATGGAGTAACTCGATGCTGACTTATTTTCAGCCGTCTTTGTCCTGCCCACCTGGAATTAAATTGTCCTGTGTTGCTATAATTGCGAAATATCGCTGACATACTCTCAGTGCCACTGATGTTTCCAATGGTAGATGCATTTCTCCGAATATAATCCAAAGCATCTTTCATTGCCAGCTTTGAGTACGTCTCGAGAATTTTTGGCTCAGCACCGCAGTGATTTCTCACTAAGTATGGACGAATGAATTTGTTGTCGAATCGTTTGAATCTGGAATTCAATAGAAAGTTGATTAAATTTTTTTCTCTCGTTTCTGCTTCAAATAATTCATAAAAATTCTTCGTGTTGAAAACAATTATCGGTATTGATTTTCGTTATTAAAATATTTTCTACGATTAAAACTCCTGATTTTATCAAAAATATTAAAGTAGTTGATAAGTTGATTTTAGTGTAAACGTAGATATTATTTTGTTAAAACCCATAATTTACAAATGATATTCAAGTTAAGTAAAATGGTTTATTATGTAAATAAATAAACAGAATGATCATGTGATAACAATTTAGTAACAATCCAATTAATTCTTATATAATGATGTTTATTCAGAAAAAATTTGATTTACTAAAAAAATAATACGAACTTATCTCTGAGATGATAATTTCCATGTTTGCCTAAAATGTCTTCGACACCAGCCATTATGTGATCCATAATCTAAACATGTCACGAAAGATGAATATTTAATTTATTCCCAAACAACATATATCATTACAGCAAATGATTTAATAAATTTTCTACCCTTTCGTGTATCCTCTCATTCATCGTAGGTTTTCTCCTTTCAGCTCTCTTGACATTTAATATTTTGACAAGTGGCTTAATTGTTATTCCCTGGTGGAATGAATAATAAATTAGAACAAACATATCACATGAGAAATCAATGAAAGTACGCTGCTCAATGACAAATTAGCGTAATCCCTTAAATTACATACTTGGCATATTTACCTGAATAAAGACTGTGAAATAAATAACTGCTATAGTGGTTGTAACAAACATTGGTTGTAGAGGCACGTGGTGTGGGTCGATGAGGAGAACCAAGGCGAATGCCACGGCCCCACGCAAACCACCGTACGACATGACAAACTTTTCCACCTTGTCCAGCTTGTGCAAACGGAATCGATTAGCCACTGCAGTAAGTACCATTACGCCTATAAAAAATGTAGAGCAAAACATGCAATCAATGTTTGTAACATATAACTTCTATATTCTTTTTATTTGATCCTACATTATTAATAATAATCTGTGTCATTGCATGCTTTGTGTAGGACTAGAACAACTCACCCACGATCCGGTAGACCGAACACAGAACAATAGTCATTACAACGAACCAGGTATTCCAATCATGTCTATTGGTGACAGTTGCAACACCCAGGAACATAAAAATGATGGTCTCTGAACTGCTTGATAACATTTTCATGGTGTATTTTACAGTAGTATGAGATTTGTGGGAAATATTAGCCTCGACATAGTTCTTCATAGTAATGCCACAGAAAGTGATGCTGAAAATGAAAAAGGTAATGGTTGATAACAGTTGACCATTTATCGATTGTTCGTAGTCTTGTATCCTTGCTACGGATTAATGCAGATATCCACTACAATGAAAACTCACGCGAGGATTCCAGACATATGAAATATCTCGGCATTGAGGTAAGCCAAATAGGCCATAACAAATATAAAGATGGGCTCGATCACGCGGACTTGATAAGTGAATCGAGTGACGAAGCCTGTCGCAAAGCCCCACATGACACCGATTATCGTACCACCAATAGCTACCACTGCAAACGATGCAAAACCTGAGAGAATTTCCATGTAGGTTATTCTTGATGGACCCATTTCACTGTAGGTTTCAAACATATGGTAGAGCACCTGGAAATTATATTTGCATAATTAATTAATCTCAGGATCCAGCTGCTTTTTTTAATAATGTGAATTAATTAATAACCTTTTGCTTATTATTTTTAATATGATTATTTTTGTAGTGTCTTTTTTCAACTGTTGAGGGTCAAAAAACAAATACAAAGAGGATTGGTGATATTAACTTGGAGAGTTTTTTTTATAAGGTTTAATATTTAATGAAATGTTTGTTTCATGACAATGACAATAAAATATTTTTATTTATTTAAATCATTTTTGATGAATCAAATTTTTGAAATATGATTTTCTTGAAAGCTTTTCAAAGTAAATAGATGTTCCGAATCAGCGTTTTCGATAAAAGCTATTTTATCTGAGCAAAATAAATATTTGTTCGTGTAAAATTACGGCAATCTGTCTTTCAATTTGTTTGGAATATTATTTAATTCACAATTTTCTATCATTTATTTATTTATGTATTTATAGAATCTTTATGAATTTTATTTTTAATTTGTAAATTGCTAAAAGTACGTTACATAATTCACGTCCATTAAACATCCTGAAATACAAATAATAATAAAAGTTCTAAAGCTTTGAGAAGATTCATATAATTTCTCAATTTTTTCCAGGAATTTAATTTTCATGAACTTTAATAATATCTTAAGCATAAATTTTACGTAATAAAAAATTTTTTAGCACAAGTGTTGACGTGTACTATTCCTGAAAATAGACACAATCGTCTTCAATAAATTTTAACAAATGAAGGCTTGTCCATTTAACGATTGTTGTAAAAAATTAATGAGATGTAAAGTTTGCTAAGTATTCAAAGATAAAGTTGTCAATAGACGTCAATTGTCAATTGCCTTTCGAGTGTCACAAATATTCTGTAAATTGTAAGTAGCTTGTCTGAGGAACTAGGTCATGTTAATGAATCTCTCAAGGAAGAACGTATCATTCAGCGACATTTAGATTATACCTAGAAACTCGATATAAAATTGATAGGATTATATACTTACGACAGTAACAGCGTCGTTCAGCAAACTTTCTCCGAATACAACTATATAAAGAATTTCGTTGACATGAATCTCTTCAAATACTGCTAAAACTGCCACAGGATCGACTGCACTTATTAAAGCAGAAAAAAGAAACATGTCGAGTAGTGGCGTAGTGAATCCAAAGAGGCCACTTTTTCCCAAGACCCAAAGTGTGGCACCTAAGTTCAAAGAGATATGTTATATTAGAAATGAATTTTTTTTTAATTTTAAAATCATATATTCATCAATAAATTATTAAAAGGAGATAGAAATATTGTAAATAAGATTTTTAATGATGAAAAACTTTTCATTTATTTTTAAATAAAGTTTTTTAAAAAAGATGAAAGTAATTTAGAGTAAATAATAATTTTCTCTTCATATTACATTGACTAAGGATTAATAAAAATTTGAAAAAGTCTACTTTATTTTACAGTTTCTATGAGGATAAAAGAATTTATTAAAAAAAGCGAAATTAAATTACTTTCTCTTAGTATAAATAAAACAAAATTAAGCCAGGAAATGAAACCTAATAAACTTCAATTCTCCTAGAAAAAAAACAAAGGATTTAATATCATTCAGAAAACCAACACGTGGATGAAGATTGACAGCAAAGATTAAGGCTATAAGAAGTGGTGAAAATAAAAATAGATACGCAGTTCATGGTTATGATGATATCACAGCAAATTTAGAAAATACACAACTGCTATATCTATTTATGAATTTGTACCGATATATCTTCAGTTATGAAAGACTTTATAGTTACACTTTAGAAAATCATCGCTTTATCTAAAAGTTACCTCACTTCTAACCACAACAGTCTATGTTATTACGTACCTATTGACAGAGTATTAAATATAGTTCCAAGGACGGCGAACAGCAGGATGGTTCCAAGATGATCGAAAAATAGCCGATTTGGCATAAAATAACCAGCGTCAAGGATGATAGGGGGAAGCATGTAGAGGAAGAATGTGTCCGGTGTCAATGGAGACACATGAACGCTGCTAGCATGGAATAATAAAACTCCAACAACTACTCCAACGACAATGAGAAGACAGGATTCAGGAAATATCTTACTAAATTTTGGAGCCATGTGGAAACCTGTGAAAATCATTAAAATCATGATTAAGCACATTCTTGAAAGCCCTCGCAATTGTTAGCACGTTATTTCATGAATATGTATAGCTATTACGAATTAGAGCGCCAGCCAGTCAAGGCTAGAACTCGGTCTGTATATGACCTTTATGCGCGATCTCCAGGTGCGGTTAGTCCTGGCAAATAAGCTCAGCAAATATCTTATATAGCCCTTAAGAAAAATGTTTGAACTACTTTTGCTTGTATTTAGGAGATAGCAGCTATCACTTACTCATTATGAGATTATGAGATATGCTCATCATTTCTATCCATGTTTTTTTTCGGATAGTCAAACTGATATAAATGATAAAAAATGAGTAATGATGAATAATTATGATGACTTACCAATCTTAGCAATGCTAGCAAAAAAGATCCATATGCCAATGATAAATGGAGTCTCAACACGATGAAATTCAACAGAAAATACTTGGTATTGTTTTTTCTTTTCTGGATAGTTTTCAGGAACAGACTCTCTAACAGTACTATCTCCAATATCTCCGCCATTCTCAAGATTTCTCATTGAATTATCCAGAAAAGTTCGATCAATGGGTCCCATAGGTCCAAAGCTCTTTCCAGGGTAAGGTTTATTTAAATCCTGAGGTAATTCCTGGTTATCAACGCTAGGTCCATGCATGGGAAGGTCGTCCACGGCTGATGAACCATCATTAGACGGTGATAACTGTCTTGGTTCATAAGACCTTGCCATGCATTGTAAACACGTCGTATACAGGGAAAATAACAAAATAAATGTGTTTCCATGGGATGCCATTTTTTCACGTGGGATGTTTGGATATGCGCAACGTGCAGTCGCATAGAGAGGCAGTGAACACACAGTAAGTCTATTATTCTTGTTTTTTGATCATTTTTACACCACTACCACCTGAAGCTATTCCCTTGAAACACAATTTAAATAAAGAATTGGTTAAAAATAAATGCTCAAATGTTCAATATTATGCGTAATTTTCGCATTTTTTCAGACGCTGCTGCGTCCTCGTTCTCATCCTCAGTGGATGCCAATGTTGAACACCCAGTCTGTTGTATGAGACGACGAGACTGATGCTTGCTTGGCGCTCGTCTTCTCGGTCTCATCGTATTTCCAACACCAACCACATAAGATTTTTTCAACTGCTTAGTATTAACACTCCTCTTCACTTTGTACACTTTTTTTGTGCCAAAAGCCACCCAGTCGGCACCGACGTCGTTCGTCGAGGACTCATCAACGACGTAACGGGTAAATAGAAGAATCGGTGCCGACGGTTCGCGCGGCGCCACTGAGCTACTTTCCTATACCACTCCAGAGTCAGCTGATCATTGCTGAAGAACCCCGCGCAGGCGTCGAGGAAAAATATTCCAATATAATATTATTCTTGAACACCATCCCCTTACTTCCGAAAACCCGAGGGCGTCTTCCCTCGCACATCCGTTGCTCTATACAGCTGCTGGACTAGCGCATGTGCTCTCCTGCCAGCCGCCTGACGAATTTCCACACGGTCTCGAGCCAATACAGCTTGAGCTACACAGGGAAAGACACCCCAATCGATCTATTGACAATCGAAGGGTTTTAACATGAGCTTCAATTGTGTTGTCTGCTTTAATTTCGTTCCACTCCATCTGCACATGTGCTTATGATCCTTTTCTTGACCATTTTCACCGAGGGGGAAAATGATCAACTGTTTTGATGATAGAATTTTCAATCGCTTCCTACATGACATGCAGCTCAACATCATTCTGCTCTACAATTATTTTGGAATTTTAGAGTACTTTATTATAAACAAAACCTCTCGTCCGCGTATATGTTTTGTACCTGAATTATGTTTCATGTTTTCTATGCAGTCTATAATGGTATTATAAAATTATTAGACAACCTTGTTACACAATATATACATCTAAATGGATTATTCTTGCACTCAGCATACTATGTCCATACTTCCTGTTATGAGTGCAGTAGCCAATGTGATGGAGTTCACAAAATTCGATTAATATTCCATTAGTCGAAATGTCTTGGGATAATTTTTTCTTATTTCTTCGTTTAATCATTTCTCGTTTCTTATCACGCAAAAAAAATATTATAAGTATTAGTATATTACTGACGAGATTACAATTAACTTTTTTTTAGGTAAATAAACTGGTTCTCGTTCATCTTATTAATTCATGGATACTTATTTTCCAGTGAATTAATTTAATAAGTAGATAATGAAAATAGAAACAATTTTTCCCTCCAATTATTTTTATAACAAATAAATCTCCTAGGGGGAATTTTTTTTTTAGAGCAGAAACAATAAGTTTGCAAGATTGATAACAAATCTTATGCTGAATAACCCTTTCCTTTTCTGTGATTTATTTGAGGGAAACAAAAAATGTATATTAAGAAATTTCTATGGTCTTCGATTAGTCATCAATTTTTGTTCTCAATACATCATTTTTTTTTGTGGATTAAACAATCCGATTCATGATGCTTTAAAACCAACCATCAATTAAATAAACTTGACAAAGTCAGATGATATTTTTTTAACGACTTTTTTTTATTGTTTTGCCAGCTATTAATGCTCAAGAGTTAACAGAAAGCAGATTGTTTATAGGAAAAAAATGCCCATTTTTTATTTTGTTTTATATTTCTTTTACTTTGTTATTCAAATATTCTATACAAGATTTTTATTTAAACAGAAAAATGTTCCCTGCAGCTGGAAAAAAACTTCTGTCTCTGCCGTGCAAAAAATTAATTATCATAATAAATTTATTTATCTGAATATAATTAAGAGAATTATTGACTTGTTAATTGAATTAATTGTTAAAATTATAAAAAAATTTAATAAAATTATAGAATCAAGCATTTATAATTAAAATTTGATGAGCTCAATGGTCTTATACGTAATGAAAACTTTATTAATTTTAATATCATCAAGTTTATTAAAATATTTATACATAAATTGTCAAGATTAAATGCAGACCTATGTTATGAAGTTTATTGTTCTATTGATAAGACAAAATGAGTTTTTATCATAAAACGTTTTTGATATCTTATTAAGTTCATTATGTAATGAAAATAAGAAAAAATAATTTCCAATAATTTATCTACAAAAAATGATTATTGAATATTGTTGTTTTGTTTAGAATATAAAATGTATATAAAAGTGAACGCGTAAATTTGAAAATATAATTTCAGCAAATATCCATAAGTTTTCATATATGAATAAAAACATTATAAATAAAATTTATTTCGCTATGACTATCATGTTAGAGGATTGTTGTTTTATAAAAACGATACTTCTTCTAGAAAATGTTTATTTTCGAGTTAAAAGAAGAGTCCTTGAATAATGTATCGTTAAAGAAATGGTTACTATCAAAAAAGATAACATTTTATTTTTGTTGATAATATATTGTTTAAAAATAAATAAAAAAAAAATCTCAAGCTTTACTCGTTTTAATATAAAACTTGTAAAATATATAATTCTCTTTTTGTTTCACAGTTTCGGAAAATTATGTCAAGGATTTTGTGATAAAAGTTACCATCTCATAGCTTCTACTTGGAAATAATTAGAAGAAAAGTTTTGAAAATTTTTTATTAATTTATTTGAATAATATGTTGTAAAAACTCTCCTCATTTTTTCTCTTTATCCTCAATACTTATTTATTTATATATAATTTCTACAAAAAACATTTAAAACAAGAGCTAATTCTTCTTCAAAAGGGCATAATTAGTCTTTAAAAGTGCAGATAAATTAAAAAATAAATGAAGCCCTGATTATAAAAATGTATATCATATCACCGAAAAAAAAAACATCTTATCTCTGAAAATACCTTCATTTCCAGAAGAAAAATATTCATATAAATATAATAAAAACAAGGATTTTTTTTTACAATGATTATAAATTTTAAGTATTTAGAAATGAAAAACTTTCGTATTCAATTCATATCCTTTTTGTATCGAGAGAATAATCTAAAAGAAATTTTAATACAAAAGTTTATTTGTCAGTTATATACACATGAAAGAGTATAAAGTTGCAAAAAAAAAAGAAGAAAAAAAAACCAAGCCAAGAAAGAAGTTAGCAACAGTACAAGGAGGTTGATTTCTTAGTTCTACAATATTTTGTATAGAATTCGTAAAGCGATACGTGATTTCATGAAGAGTAGGGGTGGATAGTTTTGACGTTATTTTGACATCAAAGTATTGCATATCGTTGCGAGGATATTCGCACTGAATTAGCGCAAGCGCGAATACAAATTCTGACGGGGGAGGAATTGATTCTGCGCGAAAGTCGGAAAGGAATTGGATACATTGAACCGACAAACGTCGACGGCGAGTTGCCGTGATCGTCGTCGGTGTTACATAAAGGATGTTTCTCTGCGATGTCCCATAGACTGTTGTCGGTCCTTCGTGCATAAGGATCGTCATGCGATGCATACTAATTAAGATAACGAACAAAACACAGTAATATTAAAAACAATAGATAATTTTTGAGAAAGAAAAAAATTTATTTAAATTTCATAAATAATTTTAAATTATTAAACAGAAAAAAAAAACATTTTTGTTAGTCAATTTAACATCAATGGAACGAAAAATTATTGTTTTCTTCACCTTAATCGTTGGTGAGTATTTTCATTGTTTTCCACTCCATTTATTTATTGTGAATTCCATTAAAGTTTTGAATTTAATCGTTTCCCGCCCAATTGCTTGTAGAGTGTTGCGATAAAAATTTAAACGCTTTTAAATATGCCGTCGGGATTGATTGGTTTTTTTATTCCACATCAATCATTTAATTAATTGTCGAGACCACTCAACTCAATTGGAATGATTTTTAATTAATAATTTGATATAAATTGCCGAATAAATGTTAAGGTATCTGAAACATTGTCTCTACACGTGCCTTAGGCTTTCGTGACTTCCGATAAGTACACAAAGTTTGATTTACATTCCTTCTGGCAGTTTACGTATGTGCACCAGACCATAAACGACATATTGTTTATAATTAGTTGATGAAAATTATGAGCTTTTGTTGTATTAATAATTGAAAAATTTTAAAAATGTATCTGCATACACAATTAAGCTAAACAATCACAAAATGCTAAAATGAAATTCTTTTTTAATTTAAACAAAAATTTATTTTAATTGAATTTGTTACAAATGTTTTTCAAATGACTTTCAACATCTGTTTAAAGAAGAAGATTATTTCTCTGAAATTGTAGAAAAGTACTTGCTAATTAATGTTGACATAATGTCATTTATATCCTATACAATTATTTTCATATAATAAATAATTCTTTTATTTTTTAATTACGTTGGAAAATAGAAGTTGAAAATATTCAAATCACATCATTAATTGTAATGAACAAATATTTATTTTAATTTTGAAGTGACCAGTGTAAATAATGATGAGAAATATTTTTTTCATGTTTTATTCAATATTATGTTGATTCTTTTATTGTCAATTAAAAGTTACATGACGACAAAAAATTGACGCAGTGACAAGCAACAAAAATTAGCCGCGTTTTTATCTGTGTTGTCAGTTATTTCAACAAGTAATAAACACCAGGTATAATTAGCGTATTCCATTACGTCAAAAGTTCAGATGGGTGATAAACTATCAGTGTTGATTTTGTTAACAATATTAGCAATACGCATTTGGAATTATTAATATTATCGAATTATGCATTTCGTTATTGGATTAGAAATGATGATCGATTGAGCAAATTTGTGTCTATGCAAAATAACTATTCAATCTATAACAATTGATTGAATAAACTAATCTGATAATTAAGTATTACTTTAAATAGATAAGATTACGTTCAAATAAATATGAAAAGAACATTAAAACAGGAGAGAGAAAAAATTCAAAGTGTCACTCTAATGCTTTTGCGCTATTAGTTGTAAGTGAAAAAGAAGTAATCTGAGAACAAAAGCTTTTTTTTATTAGAAATAAAGATTATGTTGGAAAATTTAAAGAATATTTTATTACCAACAAAAAAAAATTAATAAATATGAAATAATAATAACAATAATAATAATAATAATAATATGCTTTTTGATAGAAAATTATTTTTCATGATATTTAATGGTGTTATTTTATTGAAAATATGATATCTTTAAAATAAAAAATATATATTTGAATTGTACTTCAAAAATGTCGTGTAATTTTGTACAAATTTATTTTCAAAATAACATCGAAATGCAATGAAAATGCTTGAAAATGAATTTTGTCTTATTACAAACAAAAATATATCGAAATTGAATTTTTTATATTTCAATGTAATACTAAACATTGAAGCATCTGAATTTTTAATGAAAGAATTTTTAATTATGAAATTTTAATAATATGCAAAAAGCGTGAAATTTTACTGAATATTTTTTTTGATAAGCATTTCCTTTTTACCAAACCATTTGAATTAATAAATGAAAGAGCAAAATTTAATAAACGATATTTCACGATTTTCTTTTTAAAATAAATTATATTTTGGAAAACTCATTTACCTGAACATAAGAATAATTGAAAAATAAAAAAACCATCATTTTGAATTATACTCCATTATGATAGAGTAACATAATTCAATGAAAGTAAAAAATACTGTTATACTTGAAAGCTCCTTTAATAATAGAATTCATTATAATATCAGTGATAGATAAAAAAAAAATCTTTAGTTTAAATATAAACGAACATATTATTTCGTTGTATTTTTATAATTTACAAATAAAATAAAAATTTTTAAATACATTGACAGAGACAGAGATTGAAACTCATAAATTTATAAAACTATTATTCAGTGAACAATCGAGTAGAAATGAAAAACATACCAGAACAGTCGACAATTCCTTTGATTCTCATTCGTATTAGATGATTAATGTAAGTGATAAAATATGTTATATGCTGATATTGAAATGTAAGGAATCTCAGTCTTCATGGGCTGACTGCAGACGAAAGATTCAATCTTGTAAAGTAAAGAAAAGAGAGTATAAAGTATAAAATGAATGGTTTTCATTTAACATAAACTAAACCACTCGTAATATGTTTTATACAAAAGGTTTGGTCCTTTTCAGAAATCTGCTCGGGACTTCGTAATGTACGAATGAAGACACCACTAGCTGTTGAGAGAGGAGATTCAGCAGTATTAAACTGTTGGTATGATCTAGAAGATGCTGATCTCTATGTGGTCAAGTGGTACAAGAATGGCAAAGAGTTCTATCGCTTTAGTCCTAAAGAATTACCATCTTCTAAAGTATTCCCTATTGGAAGCTTTCGAGTTAACGTGAGTAATTATGAATTATCATTTCTGCTGCTAACTTTATTCCTTTTAGAATTAAATATTCTGAGTTGAGTATACAAAGCAGCCTTTGATCTAAATTTTATACTATTTTTCAAGTAATTTAATTGTATAAAATAGATGATAAATATTTTGCCAAGCACCTGACATTAGAAAAAATCCATATGTTTCATGTTAAAATGAATGAATAAATAAAACCTTGTCAGTTTATTGTCGATAAAGTTTTAGAATTTTCATTGTATTCTTCCATTTCATTGATCTTTTGAATTTCCAAATGATTGTTTATTGTTAAACTATGATAATTATTTTAAACTTTATATTATTATTTATATGAATAATCCCATGTCAAATATTATAGTTATTTTATAATGAATAAAATGATAATAAAGTTATTTTAAAATCCATTATAATTAAAAATTCAATATTTTATTCAATATTGCATAATAATGCACATTTTTGAGCTTATATATTATTGTTATCTATTGAACAATTTATTTTACATTCTGCAGAGAATTTTTGAAATTCAGTCTTCCGAAAAATGTCTATTTCCATAAAATAATTTACAATAAATTCTATTCAAAAAATCTCATAAAAATTCCCACAGTTAACAATTGGCGCCGGTTTATTTTTCAAAAAATAATTGATTGAAAAAACAGTCCAATCATATGATCCATTCATATTGCGTATGTAATACTAATATTGAATAATTCAAGCTCAATGTAATACAAGATGTATGAGGAAAGCCATATCGCCAAATATAATATTGCAAACATAATTGTGCATTCATTCTGTTACCTATGTTCTCTAATTATTTTGTGTACCTTTACTTTTGTGTAAATAGAAAGCCAAAAGCAACGCAACGCAGGCTACTTTGGAAAATCTACAACTTGATGCAGCTGGAGAATACAGCTGTGAGGTATCTGCTGATGCTCCATCCTTCCATACTGCCGTTGTCTATGCAACAATTTATGTAGCCAGTAAGTGAGAACAAGGATCTTTAGAATTATTTTGCAAAAACAAAAAAACTCCGCTTCTAAAGGAAAAAAAAAATCCAGCAGTAGATCAGAGGTATTTCCTGCAATGGACTGAATTTCAGTTATATCTGCTTCATTTACAAAAATTTCGAATGAATGTTAAATTTAGAGATTAATTTTTACACTTGAAAAAATATTGATCATAAAATATTATGAAAGATGGTCAATTAACCAAAAAACCTAATTATATTAATAATATTTATAAATATAAAATGATTAATCATTAATTGTTATAAATTAAAAATCTATAAATAGAGCTTGAATTATCTTGAAATAAAAATGCGAAAAAATTAATTATCAATTGATTATTGTCTGCATATTCGATAGGACGCTTTTCAAGTTTTTCTCGTAAACTCAACAGTAATTAAGTCCATTGCAGGCCTCCGATCATTTCTAATAGAGTCTATTCATTATGCTCACTATATTATTTTTAGAGGGTTTCATGTGTAAATTTCATTAGAAATAATAAATATCTTTGAATAAGATGGTATAACAATACTGACTTCTGCACAAAGCGAAAAACGGATCTGATAGTGTCGCTAATTAATCTCAAATATACACCCATAGGCGGTACCTATAATTAATCAGCACGACATTTTTTTAAACTCGTAATTAATGAACGAGAAAATGTTATTGTGTGGAATTTCAAGATGAGTGGATGAGGGATATGTGGTAAGGTATAGATTGGCAATGCGGAGAAACGTAGATTGATGGAGTGATGCGGGCGGAGTGATTACACTATTCGTGGTGGGTTGACATTTCTCTCTTGTATCACATGAATAAAAAAAAACAACCTAAAGTTAAATCAAAATGGCTTCCGTTGTTACATATTATTGTTGTCCAAAAATATACATCAATCTCTACTAAGTGATTTGCATCAAGACACTTTGCATTTATTTTTTTCCATTTTCTCCCTTGTAAATAATTAATTCGTATCCGCTTGAGTTATTCATTCAGTTAAATTTTATTTTAATAAGAACTATCATAGCATTTAAGTTTTCGTTTATTACATATTAATATCTAAATAATTTTTTTAGAATGTTGTAGAGAAAGGATTAGATTTTAATAGTCTTATCATCGTGACCAATTTCGTAAAATTTATCATCTACAAACTCGAAAATTAAATATTTCATTTACATATTCACGGCACAATACATTTATGGCTTTTCTAAACTTCGCTTATTTTGTCACACATATAAAGGGTCAAGTAGGATTTAGTAGGTTATTATATTTAATTAATAATATCTGATTAAAAACATTTTTTATAATAATAGAGAATAAAATGAAGTTTAAAAAATTGTCTTATACTTAAATTTTGCGACTATTCAATTATAAATTATATATTAAACGATTAATTATTGGAAAATTCATTAATCTTAAAACTAAATTATTTCTTTAATAAATTTTATAATTTATTTCAAGTCCCACTTATTTTCATCTTATATTTAATATCATTTCTCAATTTAGATTATCAAAGTACAATCTATATTCACGTTAAACTAACTTTTCGATATGTAAAAATAAAAGCTCCTGTGATGTCGTAAGAGTTTGATTTTTAACTTAATTTATCAGGAATTCCAATTAAACCAATTTAAACCGTTTCAGATTAAATTATACCAAAAAATTAAATTAAAGAGAAATATTTCAACTTTTTTTTACCATTTTCATATAATTATTTTTTCATAAATTATTTACATTATACTCACATTCATTTCGCTTGATTAATTTTTGTGTATACATATCGAAAAATTGATTTGTATTTATACAAATATCCATACAAATGATGAATAAAAAATTAGAATGTTAAATAGAATATTGGCCAAATGCTAAAATTAAATGCTTAAAATAATTTCTCTTACTATTACGGTATGATATTAACGACTAGCTTTGGAATATATCAATATTCCATTCATTTTGTTTTTATATATTATATATCTGTTATTTAATAATGATTTCTATAAATTCATCATAATGCTAAGGTCTTTGTTATTCTTAAAATTGATTGATAAGTTATTTTGGTAGATATCAATGATTTAATATATCCTTTATTCAATTATTATATATGCATCTATATATTTCAGAACTTCCAACTCAAAGACCAGAAATATATGGATTTATTCGTAAATATAAAGTTGGAGATACTCTTCGTGTAAATTGTACATCGGGAAGAAGCAAACCTGCTGCTAATTTGACATGGTACGTCAATGATCGACAGGTGAGTGATGAAAAATAAAAATATTTTAATCTATTTGAGAAATTTTTTGAAAATATTATCTAACATCCTTTAAAAATAATTTTCGATAAATTTTGTATTTATATTGGACTTCAAAATTATTCTAGTTTGAATATGTGTTGATGAAATAATTTAATTACATTGTTATCAGAAGAAATTCAGAAATAAAAGGCGAAACTGTGCTAGAATTAAAACTATTATTATGATGAAATAAAAATAAAAAAAGTTTTCATAGATGATACGAAAACTTGAGATTTGTCGTTAATACAATTATGTTACAAAAATAATGTATTTATAAATTTTCAGCTCAATAAGAAATTAGATTTGTTCTAGAATTTACATATTCTTTCTCTTAAAAATAATTGAAATTTAAATTGCTGTAAATTTAGTAGAAATAGTCAACATTTTAATATTCACTGAGAGATACTTTTTCTCCTTTCAATTTTCATTGATATTCTGTTGAATTACAATATGTATAAAGACAAATAGAAAAAATATTACTTTACTATTTTTATTTATAATCTAAAGCTGTGGTTTTTGTATTATTTTCATTTAAATCTCTTTTTACAAAGTTCTTTACGATTTTTTTTTATATTTACTTTTTTAGTTGTAAGAGAAATATCGTACCACCGACATTTTTTATAGCACACCAGAAAAAAATCGTATGATTTGAATCAACAAATCTTTTCATTCATAGAAATTTCTCAAAAAATATTTGCAAAACTTCAGAAAATAGATTCAAAAGCGCGGAAGAAAATTATATTTCATTTAAAAGCATAAACTTAATAGTTTTTTTTCTTAATATCAGAATGGAACCAATGACAAATTATAAAAAAATTTCAAGAAATCTAGTTTTTATTGAAAAAAAAAAGTTTCAGTTTTCAATAATCATAGTCAAAAGGAATATCTCGATTTCAGTGAAGAGTACTCATAGATTCCAAATCATATAAAAAATTGTAAAAAAAGGAGGCTTTTACATTTTTTTATTTGGTTATTTTGCTGTCGGATATAAATGTAGATTAAAAACCAAAAAACTCTTTTTAAATGTGGTACCAGAGCTCTAAAAAACTTTTTAAAACATTTTTATTCTTTTTTCATCTACAAGAGTTATACATGCTTTAATTTAAAAATTGTTATCTAATTTCTCCGTTTCAAATTCTCCGATTGAATATGTATTACGTCATTATAAAGTAAATAAATCAACACCATTTTCAAAACAAAAATAAATAATCACAGCATAAAAAATTAATTTTTTTCTTAAAATGATTGAAAATATTACAAAATGATTTTCATTTTCAGCCCTCTCCTGCCCACGTACACACGTATAATGTATTGGATATAAATAATTCAGAGTGGCAAATTGCTCAAACGAGTCTTCAGTTTGTTGTAACGCATGAGCATTTCACGTACGGCAAGCTCAAGATTCGTTGTAGCGCTTCGATATATAATCTTTATTGGCAAAGCACTGAAGTGAGCACGGAAGAAGAGAGGCCAAAAGTCATTCGATTGGAACAAGAAGCTACGATTGTGGGCATCAATTACCTCCAACCACCTCCAAACTTTCAAACTGACCAGCGAAAACCCGATGGACACCTCGACGTAAGAGGTAAACGACCTGATAAATATCTCCACTATAGAGAAAATGTCATTTTTCATATTTAATTACAATAGTGGCACAGTTCTATTATCACCAACCACAATCAACCCACTTATAATTCAACTCTATTTCCATCTTAAAATTGAATATTATTGTTTCCATTATATCGTTATACTCTAGTTCTTCCTGTGGTTCAGTCCGTTCAGTCCGCGTGTAAATGGGTTGACTTACCGTCCGTGTAACTTAGTATGAAGGGAAATAGCTTATATTAGATAGAAGTAACCAAACTATCAAGAGAAACAAACCGAATCAAAATTGGCTCAGTGGTTTTCGAGTTATAATCGGGGCTTACACAAACAGACACCCGTTATACTTTCTAACGTGACGAGAGAAGACGAGGTTTAAATGACAGTTAGCAATGTATTTGCGACAAAAATGAACAGCAAACAAACAAAAGGAGTTTAACAAATAATTAATCATACTCAGGTATTTCATAAATAAAATAAAAAACTTAAAAACAACCATTCATTTTAAAATAACAGACAGTTTCTCTCTAACTCTATTTGTTTTACTGTTTACTGCTTGTTTATTGTTTATGTGTGCTCATATTTGAATTAGTTATAACTTTGATAAATTTATGGATATTTGTAATAAATGAGAGTATTTTAATTATTTACAGACATTGAATCTTCTTCGGAATTGAACCAAAGCTCTCTGCATCTTATCCTTGAACTCATATTTATACATCTAACTATTATGCTTCTTCAACTTGAAACTTTGTGAAATAAGTTTCGTTTATTATAAGCATGCTTTGGAACTCTATCTCTCTCTATACGTATATGTATACATATAAATGTATAAATTAACCGTGCTTGTATGGAACATTGTACAATTTCGCGTGTTAATTATTTGCAATCTCTGAAGATGTTTTTTAATAATAAACTTCAAGAGAGGTTTATGGAAGTTAACAAAGCATGATTCATCACTCATTTTCTCCACAAAGAGCTGATAAGTTCTCTTTGTATTATGCTACTGCCAAAAGTTGTTAGAGGATTGAAAAAATTTAAGAAAAAAAACCTTTAAGCTGATTTTTGGTGTGATGGTATCCGTCAACTGTAAATCAGTTCACATCATTTTCTTACCACTTCAGGAGCAAAATCCTCCGGGAATTTCCAGGAAAGAGTTCACAGATCGTCGAACATCAGTATGAATATATTAAACTTTCAAAATGCTGACAGAAAGTCGATAATCAACTTGGGGGAATGAAAATACACAAATATAAATTTTTTCTCCAATTTTTATTCACTTTTAAAACGTTAATCTGTCGGAATCTAAGATTTTTATGAGGACAAATCATCCGGAAAAAAAAGTCAAGGAGAGGAAAAGTCATTTGATGTAGGGTTTGAATGGTTTTAAGCAAGAAGTGAGGCAATTGATGTGATGGTGGATAAAGTACATGTATGTATTTCTACGTTCTTAAACTAGTGCGTAAGCAGTACATAAATTGAAAGATGAGCAAACTCCCAAAAGAAGAAGGGCGAAGTGAGTTGAAAAAAACTTAAGATTGATTGAAATAGGAAACAGGAGAATTTATGTATCAAGGGAGTTTTCCTTCAAAAACTGACGACTTTTCTGCAAAAGACCATTTGTTGAGAAAGTCAGCAAGTGGAAAGGAGTGAATCATCCTTTTTGTTTTCTTAGAAACTCTCTGCGACATTATGCATCAAGAAGAAAAATTATGAAAAAATCACCAAAGAATTTGTGAAAAGTATGAACATTTAGTTCAGTGATATTAAGATTTAATAAAAAAGTTTGAAATTTATTTATTAAAAGTCATTATAGTCAGTGTATATTTAAATAATCAGTTATAATTTATTTTTTACATAATTTATAAATAAGGGACTTGAACAATAAAATCTGCAAATAAGACTAACTTATATGTTTGATTAAAAAGCTCTTCAGGTAGTTATAAAAATAGATGAATTTATTGATAAAAAATTTTGCAGTGTCAATCAATTAAGTCTTTATGTCTGTCAGAATAAAAATGGAATTTATTGCAATAATAATTTCTATTAGATTTTTACACATTTCATATTTCACTTCAATTTAGATAAAAAAAATTCACTGATGTCATAAATTTAAATTAATTTCTAACATCACTACATTTTGTTTTCAAACTGTTTTTTGACATTTTTTTTTGGATGTTTCTATTTTTTATTTTTTTGGTAATTCAGTTAAGCTTTCGTAAATTTAGTGTTGTGATTTTTTTTTTTAATTTTTACATAGTGGTAAAATTTATTTAATACATTTATTAACTCATATTGTAATAAAAGAAAATGTTACACTATTGCAATATAATATTTCAAATTGAATAGCTGAAAAACTTTCAAGTGAATCACAATAATTCAACTAAAAACATTTCGGATGGAACTATTGCTTGCTCCAACGAGTGATTCATCTTATAGGCTATAAAATGATTCATCTAACTTTTGGGATAAACCTTACAATGGTTACATTATATCCTTAATAGATTCTCTAAACCCTCAGCAGAGTTTAACGGAAACAGTACGTGCAAGATTAAATCCCATTGCTTTAGTTCTAACTACGTATAATTTCATTTTCATTCGGAGAAAAATAAATTAATTTTTTTCAATAGGTTTTAATGAGAAATTGAAACAAATATTTAAGTAAATTTTAATGAACTTTATAAACTATGTACTTCTGTTAAAATTCTAAAAAAGCAACTGCTGAAACAATATAAATTACAGAATAAAGAGTAAATGATATAAATGTTGACGCCAAAGAAAGAAAAAAAGTAAAAGTCTAAAGTCAAGACAATGTTTTCTCTTTATTTCAATTCTTTTTCAAGCTTCTTGTACAAGGTAAATAAATTAATTTTAAAACATGAACTATTTTTAATTTTTTTGTATCATTAATTTATTCACTTCTTTCAGGTCCGGCAGTTGGAAATTTCATTCTTTCCAGTAGATGTACAATCCAGTTCATTGATCTAAATAAATTATCAACTGTAATTAAGGAGCCGTATAGAAACGATATGTCACGTTCTATTCAAAGTGTAAAACCTCATCAAATATCAGAAAATAAAATTCACCAACACTGTATTAGAGAGGAAACTGATTTATAAATGAAAAGAAATTGACATGTGAAGAAAATTGGATCAAGGGGCTCGAATGGATTTCATTATCAGGAGTAATTTGCTTAAATAATGACATGGTGTATTATTAGTGGAAAAGTAATAATTAAACCTTGATAATTTATGTGTACAAGGTTAAAAATTCAACAATACCACTTAAGATATGAGTTTAACATGATACTTTCAATCATTCTTTTATCTTGGCTATAAGCCACTGAGCACAAATTAATGATCAAGTAGGCGTAGAAGGTGGATATAACTACGTTGATATCAACTTAAAGTACTCATCTTCAAACGACGTAATACAAGTGACAAAAACTTCACTTAAATTATTACTCATTTTTTTATGTAAGTATTACAATCTTTTTGTATTTTATTTCTGCAATTAATCGTGAATGATAAAAAAACACAAAGAAGCTATGTAATGACATTTTGATAAAATTTTACTGTAATTAAGAGTAGTCATAATGAATTTTTGAACTCTTTGTGATGAAAATTGAATTTTCGTCGAGGGTATTTTATGTAGATAAACTGTGATCAGACAATTAGTCTTTAAATAGAAGATTCTTAATGAAGTGCTCTTTTCTACTAGATCTACTATCATTTAAGAGAGAAATTTTTCAACGTCATGATTGTTTAAATGGATTGATTAAAAACTTACTAATTTTTAATTAGATTCAATCTTTTTATTGAAGTTTGACATAAAAAAAATGTATTATTACTTCTAGCTATTATTTTTCAACGGGATAATTTTGAAATATTTTTAAACCTCATTTATCACAATTGAAGTTAATTATCCAAGATATGTCTTTTATTTTCTTACAGAATGACTACACGTGCTATGGGATGGCTAGTATAGTGTAGGTCATGTCTAGAAGAGGCACTCAGTGGGAAGCGTAAACGAGAGAATGGCAAGAGTGAGATTATCAAGGACGAAAAAAAGAAGTAGTGTAAGTGAGACGGAGTAAGCTTACAATCCTGTTTGGCATACGCTGAAAGCAGTGTTTGTGTTCTTCATGAGAACTCTACCAGACAAAACATTCTCCTCTTATAGGAACCAATGACGTCCTCGCAGTATGTGAGCAAAGAGTAGGTGTGGTAACGAGTGAACAGACTCGCATGCGAGTATTCCTCTATTCGTGGTTACTGTACAAGCACGACTATCGCGTGCTCACACATCAGAACGGTTGTTGGTTTATTCTGGCAGTCGACCGTCATGCTGAGAATAGTGAGGATCATTATCGAACAAAGTTAAATTGACGTTGATCCGTGACTTATCGAGTACTATCGTTAATCAATGAGTAATCAACAGCTTCTTCTGGCTAGTTGAACGGCGAAGATCAGTGCTAAAGTATTGCGAAACGAGAATTATTGAGTGTGCAAGTGTAAAAATTGCAATTGATAAAAAAAAAAAGCAAGACAAGTGAGTATATCATTTTTCCTGAATTATTATAATGATTAAAAAAGTGATTAATGTGTAGCTTGCGTTGAAGTTTAATTCTGCTTTTACTTGGAGTTCGGTGTACTTGGCAAAAATGCCAAGAATTTATTCACGAAGCAACAAATACACTGTGACAGTGCTTTGGCTATATTCCACGCCGTTCTCTTCGAAGTTTAGTTTAGTTTTTTTCTCGTGAGTTTTTTATTGGTAGATTTGATTACGCAATGAAAATACATTTGAATCTGCGTCAATGACAATATAAAAAGTGCACAGATTATTGTTATTTCAAAGGAAGGATATGACTGAGATAAGAGATAATCTAATCATTTTGAGTCAATTTTAAAAAGTTGGTGATTTCCTGAAGAGCAAATAACTTTTAGGTACTGATAAAATTTATCAGAAAAATCATAGTAAAAGTCATAACAAGAAGTAATTACTAGACACTTTGTCTAACTGAAAATATTTATTAACTTTAATGTATTAATAAAATTTTTATGTAAATATAATAAAAAAAAGTATAATCAAGTTCATTCAACAAAAAGAAGTCATTATTTCTTTGTATCGAAAAATGTATACTTTATTATTGTCATTGAAGTTGTTGACAGTCTTAATATTCAATTAAAAATATTAATGGCTAATAAACAGATAAGAAATGATATGTACTTTGAATAGTAGAAAAAACTCGTTTAAATAATGAAACATGAAGCATATGCTTTATTAAAATTTTTTACAATGGAACACTTTAAGGGAAGTTAAATTTAATTAAGGAAAAATTCTATGAAACGTCGTGTGTTATACGAAGTACATAAATTAAATACAAAATTTATAATGAGAATAAGTAATAGACTAAAATATAAAAGAAACCAAGCAAGTATGAACGTGCTATTCTTCGTCGTTTCTTCCGTCCTCTAAGTTTCATCGACCTCTCTTAGCAACTCCTTTGTTGAATACCATGTGCACACATCCATGATTTAAGATCGAGTCCAATGACCTTCTACCAAACACTTGTAGAATTCTATAAAGATTAAACTTGGGAAGTTACTAGATTAGCGTGAAAAAAGTCACTCTTCCATGGAATGGTGCAACAGTCTGTAATATTTAAATCTTGATGGCAGTTCTTTCGAAAGCACTTTGGAATTATGTATATAGAATAATCTCAACGCTTAACTTTAATCATAAACGTGATTGCAGTCATGGTCATCTCTATATAGTATTCGTTACTATTCTATACATTGTTATTTTATACCGGGACGATTCATTTTACAAAATGCAAGCTTATGATAATTTAATACGTGTGTGAACTATATGGTTTCATCAGCTTAAAAGAAATGAAACAATTCCTGATAACAAAATAACACCGAACATTGTAAAGAAAATTTATCAAAGTAGACTATTAAGAAGTTCAGTTAATTATATTATTTCCTATAAAAATATTAAGTATCAAAAATGAATATTTATTAGTTTTAATTATTATAGCTTTCAAGAAAATGAATTGACTTAGATATTAATTGTCAAAAATAGGAATCAAGTTATTTTATCAATCAAATATTTATTATTTTCTTTGAAAGAATTAAAAGCTTATAAGCTTATAAATAACTATAGTTATTTGCTAATAAAATAAATAATGATAAAAGTTATTTTAATAAAAACCAATTTAATATTTAATTCATAATCTTGCAGGATTACAAGTTTATTATAATCTGTAATATAATTTTAAGTATTAGATTAGTTAGACTACTTAAGTCTTCAGTTTAGATTTGATCTTTAGGAAACAATTGCATTGATTTTTGTATCTGTCTTATCCTCTTAAAAGTTTATCCCTCATTAAGTCATAATAAGTATTGATTTATAAATAGCTACTTCAACTGGTTCAACTTGAACTATAATAAACGTAGGAGATTTAAATGTCATTTTTTTATGATCATTTAGGTGAATTCTTTCGATGTGTAAATGATTAAATTTTGATGCATCAGGGGAAGCGTGTAAAGTGAACTGTGACTGAATCAACAGAAAAAAAATGTAAATAAAATAAAAGTACCACAACGATCCAAATCTAGTATGTATGTAGAAGCAAACAGAGTGCTTTCGAGAGTGGGGACAGGTTGACAGGATCTAAGGTGCCAGGTGTGCGATAAGTTGGTTCCCTTTGTAGGTAACACACAACCAAACTCAATTTTAGCCTTACCTGGCCTTTCGTCCTTAGTCCTTACCTAACCGTTGGCCACATCAAACGGAACTCTATGTTACAGACTAGTATAAAATATCATAACCGAAAAAGTTATTATTTTACTATTTAAAGTATTTATTTGTTGAATAACAAAGAAATATAGTAAAGTTCATTCAGTGTATTGTATTGTGTCTATCAAAATGGTTATTACACTTGGTGAGTCACAACAACATAAGATAAAGAATTATTATTCATTCAATTAACATCATTATCATTGTTATTATAATAAGATTCAATTGATTGTGACATCTAAGACGAAACTTATACATATTACAAGGGCATTTACCAATGTCTTGTTATATGTCTGGTATGAGACAAAAAAGCCGACAAGAATACGTGACTAAATTTATAAAAAGAGAGAAGACTTCAAGGCTTCATTCTTCATTCAGAAGGATATTATTCACTCGAAATCCCCCGTAACCATCGCATTATATTATTACATGCAAAGCATTGTAGCAAAACTGGCTTGTGGGATAACAAAGTGCAATTTTCTTTATGACGAAGAGTAGATTGATATTATCATTAATTCTTACGCATGTGAAACGCCCGCATAATGGTGAATATTTGCGGGTATTTAATGATGTTTCCACTCGGTATGGCGTGCTATAATCCATTACATCAACAACATTAGTACAAAAACGTTATGTAGAATGTAAGAAGACTACGCAATCCATCAGACCACGACAAAACATCCTGTTATGTTTTATTTTTTCTACCTTTTTTATCACCTTGTTCATACTCAGCTAAATTACCTTTTATTTTCTCTAGCCCTTTTTTTGTTAGTTTGAAGCAATAACTGACCCAGTTTTACAAACGTGAATTGCTATTTTATGCGAGCACACTTAAGAAATATATGTCATCGTGATCCTTGAAAATAGATTGAAATATTTTCCTGTGTTGGTGTATTGACTAACAAGTTCCTTCCTCATGACTTGGACATCATTTTTTACACCAGTCTCGCCAACTTTCTTGATGGTTTAGATCTGTCGTTGATACGATAGACCTACTTGAAACACCAACAAACAGTTGGTGAAAGTAGAATAGGACAAATACTATAAAACAAATCAGTAAAATAGAGCCCAGAGAAATACTGACCTCAATTATATTAATATTCGTTACGTAAAGTCTTTATTGCTAGGACGATTTATGTTATACATATAGTTTCGAAGTTAATGTAGTTTTAGAACTTACGGTGAACTGTTTATTTGAACAACGGCTGACTTGAACACCTTGTGGAACTTTAATGACTTGACTATCTGAGCATTTTGACTTCTGAATACAAAAGAATGTAATAGTCAGCAATTAGATCTTCAGTAATGAATCAAAACAAAAAAGAAAATTTGTATAAATATTATGATGAAGATGGAATATTCTATGCTCTTTAAGAGTAAAAATATAAAATTTTCTTTCAAATAGATATAAATAAAAAAACAAGTTTAAATGAATTGCAAATATTTTTAGGAATTTAAACGAATGTATTGCCAAAAATGTTGGGTTTAATGTGAATTGCTTTTCTTTTATCTTTGATGTTGTTTCACAAAGCATTGGTAACTAAAGAGATAAAATATTTATCAGAGAAAATTATGCTGATATTTACCATCATAAGTGGCAGGAAAAAAATTACATTGAGGGTCATTGACATTTTTTTAATCGTTTGGACAATCGATCAAAATTATAAACTTCTGTACATGGTGCACTACGTGAATGCACGCTACCAAATCGCGTGATGCATTCAATGAACTCTAGGAAAAATAGTAATGGCAACACGAGGATGAATTTTATCAGGATAAAAGCTATACCTTGTTTAATTCTCAGAAATCATACAATAAATTTCATGACATTGACATGACAATAAACTCAGGCTCGATAATTTAATATTTTTTTTCAAATATTGATGGTCACTGTCAAGATAAAAACCGTTCAGCAAGAATTTTTATGACTAAATTTTTGTAAAAATGAGAACAAATAACATAGACGACTGTGTAATCTTTCTATTGATATGTAGCTATAAATAATTCACGGAATACCCATCATGCTGATCTACCTTGATGATAACTCGAGTATAATATTAAGTGCGGGAAATGAAGTAAATATCAATATCATAATCCTAGCTTAATAAAACGATATTAAGATAAAAAAAAAGAGTTTTATAAAGATCAATATACACGACACCATTAGTAACTTTGTAAAATAATTCAATAGCAAACAACTTTGCCATGAAATTTGTTTTGTTACTTTAGAGATAAAGAGCATAATCACTGATAAAAAAAAATAAAATTCCCTGAATATCTAATTATCTTGTCATCACATTAGTGTAAATGAAGCTTTTCTAGGTATTGAAGTTCAACAAAATAAATTTGCTACTTCATTAATTAAACAATCTATTATTTCATAAATTTCACCATTATACTCTATACATTATAGAATAATTTATATTCAATTTTATTTTATTCATACTTGAAGTCAATTCAATCTATTAAGCTTCATAATAGTCATCGTGAATCTGTCAAGATAACTGATGATTGTAATTGTCACTTATTCCAATAGGTATTCTTCACATTTATAGAATAATCCATTCAATTCTTGCAAATGATTGTGCTAAAATTATAAATACATCTAAACTAATCAAGACGTAAATGGATTGTGGAGTTCTCCAGAGTATCAATTAAGTAATTAACTAAAACTTGGTAAATGATTGATAAACACGAAGGTATCTTTTCGAAAAGTAAATAAAACCGCGAAACAGTGCGTTGCTATGAAACTAAGTAAGTCATGCAGGTGCACAATCACGTGAGCATTGATACCTAATAGTTTGTTCGATGTAGCATTGATCGTAGCTTCCTTCTCTCTTATATTAAAAGGAACGGTCCACCTTCTCTTCAATGAATTCGCGCATACTCCAGTCTTTTGGCGTTCCTCTAGACAATCGTGAGTCGAATGAATTACATTCGAACTAAAAGTTGTAGATCAATCGAACTAAGTGTAACGATTGAGCTCTTTGGTTAATCAAGTTGTTCAAAGAAGAGATAATGACAGTAATATTGATAAAATAGATAAATTGAGTCACTACTTCCTTTGATAAAGATTTGATATGATATAGAACTTTGTTGGATTACAGAGCCAGAGGGTAAAGCTGGATGCGCATCTGCAGTGTGCAGTCAAATTCAGGTACCAGGTTCTATTGTGGTACCTAAGGTTGCTCGACTGATCCCGTGGAGAATGGGTTGCTGTGGTTGTGGAGATGATGCTTCAACAAAGGTAGATCCTCGGGTAAGAAAATCTGATAAATAAAATGAGAATTTCATCCATTCATCCGTTTATGCCATTCATCGGTATTGTATAGTTTCAAGCCACGTGTTCCATGACAAATGAATGCTTCATACAACATCTCATTCAGATTTTATTAAGTACATAGTTTGCATTAAAATTATGAACTAGACTTGCTAATTAATAATTAACGAGTTTTTATTTTGAATATACAAACACGAAAATGGAAGAGTCTCCAAACGTTAGTTGTTAATTATTGTTGATTAATATAATTACCAATAATTATTATTTATCTTTAGAACTATAAATAACCTAGAAGTGATATCTGTTTGAAAACAAACCTATTTTTGTTGAGATTAATATTCATTTTTTTCCAGACTGCTGAACAACATGACTCACCATTCAATGAAACTGAAGTTTTTGCCAGAAAAAGATCATGTACAGATCTTCCTGCACTACTAATTCTCATTCTTTTGCTCGGTGGATATGTAAATATGCATTCAGATATATCTTCGTTATCTGTAGATTTTGTTTATTCTCATCTATGTGTTATTTTATTTTTTAGAGTTTTTTTGTAAACAATGCTGTAAAAAAGGGTGATCCGTATCGAATAATAAATGGATATGATAACTGTGCTAATGTATGTGGCCGTAAAACGCTTAAAGAAACTAATCCAGAATTCAGTTGTAAAGGAGCTGATATGACATCTCGTCCGTTAGTAAATTGAAAAATAATCAATACTATGTATTTTTCATAAAAGGTTTTTTACATTGAAATCTTTATTTATCTTTTTTATCATAGATATTTGAATGGTAAACTTGAAGCTGATGGAACCTTTAGTCGAACATGTGTTACAAAATGTGAAAATACAACAAATGAGTAAGTACTTTTTACTTTAAAATTATTTCCCATTGGGAAATTAAAGATACTAATTTATTAATTAATTAAACTTATTTTCTAGAATACATTTTTTGAACCGATGTCTACCAAAAAAATTGACAGACAGTACAAGTTCCATATTGAGTCGCCTTGGCTTACAAAATTTCTTCAACGTACGTATTCATGCTCCAATATAATTATCGTAAATGATTAATAGTGTAATTAATAAACTAAATTATTTGAAACGTTGGTAATGTTTTAGGAGGCTGCAAGTGACTTAAATATTGCGTGGAGGGAACTTATTTACTTACTATTAATTGCTTTTGGTATGTACAATGAATTGCTCCAATACAGAAAACAGCATAAGTATTATCAGTAAAATTATTCATTCTTTCAATTATAGCCATTTCAATCTTTATTCTGGTTGCTTTTCGATACATTGTACAATATGTCATTTACATTGTACTCTGTGGTGCAGTTGTCGTTTCCATTGGAGGAACAATTTGTCTCTGGTATGTACAATATCTTTTCAATTTCATGGTTTACGCTCTAATAATATCCCATCTATTACTATGCTTATTGTCGTTGAACATTTTTCCAGGTTGTTGTGGTATGAAGAAAAGAATAGATCCATACCTCATGCAGAAGATGCACACACAACATCTTATTTTATTTACTCAATTCTCATGACGATCGTTGCTGTTATGACACTTCTGATTGTTTTGGTTATGAGAAAAAGAATTGCATTGGTCGCTCAACTTTTCCGAGAGGCTGGTAAAGCTGTCTATTCTATGCCCGCTTTATTACTCCAACCTATATATGTAACTATTGTGATAAATAACATAAAAACAATTCTTTTTACGACTTGATGACATTAAAATTTTATTATAGACATACATTTTTATTGGCCTCTCCTTTGTTGGTTGGGTTTACTGCATCTTGTGGATCGAAAGTGCTGGTGACCTTTATAAGAAACAAAAAAATGGTCATTTGCATTACAGTAAAGATGCAATTCTTCATGTAAATATATTATTGTCAATTTTTAAAATTCAATTAAAACAAAAGAGAATTATTGAAATAATTTTACAGGTTGCAAGATGGTATAATATGTTTATATTCTTTGTCATGGTAGAATTCTGCCTTGGATGTCAACACATGGTAGTAGCAGGAGCTGTCGCTCGTTGGTTCTTCACAAGGTATAGAATCAATTTAATTAAAAAATAATCATTTATCTAATCAATAAATACTATAAATAAAAAAATATAATTTTTTTTTTAACAGAGATAAAAAGCAACTTTCTTTACCAGTTACACGCAGCACGTATTCAGTAATACGTTATCATATAGGAACAATCGCATTTGGTGCGATGATTATAGGTGTAGTGCGATTACTTCGTTCTATGATCGCATTTGTTCAAAATCGACTGAAGCATTATGATAATTCTTGTGTGAAAGGTCTACTTTGGTGCTGTCAATGTTGCATGTGGTGTTTTGAGTCGATTTTAAAATTTTTAACGAGAAATGCATATATAGAAACTGGTGAGTTTTTAATATTTATTTTGTAAATATTAAATGCAATCAATAAAGTAAATTTGAATGAATTAGTAAATATATAAAATTTTATATTTATTCACAGCTATATATGGATGTAGTTTTTGTACTGGGGGGAAAAAAGCTTTTCGGGCATTATCAGATAATATTTTAAGAGTGGCAGCTATCAACAGTGTTGGAGATTTTGTTTTATTCCTTGGTAAAGTGCTGGTAGTTGCCCTTACCGTTGTTGCTGGAGTTTATTTAATACAGGTACTGTGATTAAATTTTTATAAAAAGCTCTTTTTTAACTTCGTTAATTGGATATTCAATTTTTGTTCCAGAAGAAGGAAGGATTACACTATCCTTGGATACCTATAACATTAGGTGGTTTATTTGCATTAATTATTTCACACTGTTTTATTTCGATTTATGAGGTAAAGTAAATTAATAATAAAACCATTTCCTTACAATTAATTCATCTTCTAATAATTGAAATATTCATGTAACTAATGTTGAATCTAGATGATAATTGATACAATCTTCATTTGCTTCTGTGAAGACTGTGTGAGAAATGATGGTATAAGTCGACCATATTACATGAGCAAAGGACTGATGGTAAGCTTAATAGAAACTTGAAATAATAGATTACCGTCTGACCTACTCTTCATTTGTAGGAATTCGTAGAAAACAGTAAAAAAGCCCTGAAGCAATTGGACGCTCAACCATCAAATGCACGATGAATGCGACTCATTGATTTTCAATCCAAATCACATAGAAACCAAGACTGAAGTGACTTTTGAAATTTGTACTTCGAGTGAATCAAATGCATGTTTTTGTATTCATATTTCCTTTCTGTTTAATGAAGTATTATCTATTGCCATGGTCTTCTCAATAATAATATTAAAAGAGATATTTTTACACATACACATGTACTTTATTAAGGATTAGAGTTTATGGTAAAAAAAATAAATAAAGAGGAAATTTGTTATAATAAATAAATGTTATTATTCTAGATAAACGTTGGCTCGGTACATACATGTAGGTTTTTTCATACATCCGACATTATTAGATACATATAAACATCCTTGGACCGTGCAAGGAATACGGGATTATGGATTTAAAATATATAAAAAAGAGTGAAAATGATGATATTAATAATTCGTGATTAAAAAGCAAGAAAAACATGAAATATTTAATTTAGAACTTTGTATCTATTATTGCATGAACATTGAACATATTTTTTATAAATCGAAAAAGTTATTTACAAAGTGATTAACTTAAAATAATTGACTCGATTACACCCGCAATAACAATACATATTGACCAAAATTTGTAAGATAAAGTGATATCTATTGAGGTGATATTTCATTTTTTGTAATTAATCGAGAAATCTTTAATAGGCAGTTAATTTATAAACAGACAAAATTATTAACACACATGCACACTTTGCAGTGTATGAATTATGAAATTTGCGGAATTGATGTAAAATTTATAATAAAAAAGATATTGATAAATTTTTTACTAATGCGATAAAATAAATATTTTTTGATGAAGATACGTAAAAATAATTTACTGAGAGATAAAAATTTATGAACGAGAAACATATAATTCAATAAAATCATAGGTTAATTTATTCTTAATAAAATAATTTGTTTCTTATAAATTAGTTCTTCTCTCAGCTTGAAGGAAGCACCAAGGGACGGAAAGAGAATTGATGGATAAAGGCAAGCAGCAATCTAACATTGCATTTGCGCATTTATACTGTATATCATACGCTTTATGTGACAATAATAATCAGTTATAATTTAATTAATATAATAATAATAGTAATAATAATGATAATCATAGTATTAATAGAATATAATATCATATCATGCATCTCAATGTAACATAATATTACAATGAATTCCGCAAATTCAATACAACATTGTTTACACGGACTAGATAACTTTTGCAACGTAATTGCGAAGTTCTTTTTTTTGTTCGTCAATTTTGCTGCTATTCATTGTTATTTATTTTGATTTTAGATTCCATTTAATTCGACAATGAGCTTTTTTATTCCCCTACATACTCAACACAGTTACATTAATCAGGACTTAATTTTTGCCATAAAATTGATACATCGAATTACAAAAAAAATGGGATTGCTAACTCCGAAAACTTGGATATTATTGCACAGTTTTTAGCAGAATATTTAACGAACGCTTTTCAGACCTAATAAATCATATCAACAAAGACTGCAACACTTAGATGGGTTACCAAGATGGATATGACATATAGCTGGTAAACCAACACAACCGTTTCCCATTACACTGTCCTGCACGAATTGAGCAAGACCAAGATTCTGATTTATATCACCGTCACTGCCGCGATGTTGCTCTTTTGCTTCACACCATTGTCGTTGCTCTCGCCATTTATCCTCTGTAGCAGCACAAAGTAATACAGATTTAGGGGAAGGTGGAGAGATTCGATCCCTCGAAATATTACCACAGGATCGAGCTTTATATAACTTTCCTTTACCTAAAAATCCAGGTAAAGGTACACATAATTTCTTATGAACTGCAAAATATCGAGTAAGAAGTCGAATTTTTCTATTTTTACAGTCATTTCTGTTCATCGATGCTCTTGTATTTTCTTTATCAAAAGAATTTACTGCTCCACCATTCTGCTCTTTTTTCTTATCGTCTTTTACAATTTCTACAAACTTTTCTTCAACTTTTATCACATTTTTAGATCCATTTGTACTTGATTTAGTATCAACTAATGACGCAGTAGTTCTCGAAGTGAGATTCCAGCTTTGTAAGAGTTTAGCTCCAAATCCTTTAGCTTTTTGAACTGTTGTAGGCTGACAGTTCATTTGGCTTGATGAATTAGACGTAGTTACTTGTGAAATTGCTGTAGAAGTTGAAGACGAGGTTGTTGTAACCGTTGTATTTCTATAGAGAGCATGACACGTGTTCGGAACTTCTGCTTCTTGTACTTCAGTAATTCGGTTGAGAGACTGGCTTTCTCGTAATCTTGTCTCACCAGTTCTTCGACGACCAGCTCTATGTCTCCTTCCGAAGGTCATCGTCTGATTTTCTGAACTTCTTTGTACTTTACCACCTGTTGTAGTCGTGGTGGTGGTTGTAGATGTATTATTTTCGTTACTATTATTAGTTCTTTTATTAGTAGTTGACGTGGGTCCCTGTACACTTTCACCATTCCCAAGACCTCTGCCAGCACCTCCACTTCCTCCAGGATCTTGAGAATCACTAGAATCATCATGACTATCTCTCCTAGATGGCAAAGGCTTGCCCGAAGATGTACCTAATTTATGAGCACGTTTTTTCCTACCTTCACTATCATCATCACTCGCGTCGGAACTAGAACAAGACGTTGTACGTGCTTTGTGAAATTTACTTCGCTTTTGTTCATAACCTGTCCTTCTCACAATTCTACTTTTTGATGAACTATCCCTGTCCACCGGCGATTCTATTGTGTCACCGTCCTCAAGTATCTCATTAAGAGTTAATTTGTCTGGTTGTGACTCACTTGCACTACTCGATGCAGGCATTGTTTTATACTTGGGTAAAAGATTACTATCAGAATTCCTAGGAGAACGAAGTGGAGATGGAGCTGTTGAAGATTCCGTAAGAATTGTAGTAGCAATTTCTCCCTGTCCAGTACTTAAATTTGTAATGTTTTTTGTGGGAGCACTAGAAGAATCATTAAATGGTAATCGATGTTGAGAACCCATTCTCCATTTATTATTTGGCACAGGTCCCGGATATTTTAAATGCTCAGCTACAGACTTTGGTTTCCCTTCAGAATTACCGTAAAACGGCCGCTTTGTCAGTGCACCTTCTGTCATCGTTAATCCAGTAGTTGGCAGTCTATTCTTTAGATTTTCTTCGACTATTTTAGTATTTGTACCAGATGTAAAAACGTCTTGTTGTACTTTAACAACAGTAAATGTATGACTTGGTGATGTAGACTCCTTAATTTTTGGTTCTTGCTTTTGAATACTACGAACTTGTGGCTTCAGAACAGTATGTTTCTCTGGAAGCTGTCCTAATCGTTCTTGTAAAATATGTGACAACTTTCCTTCTGATCTGGAACCACGACGATTGAATGAATTTAATGCGGAGTTACTGCCATGATCATCTCTTCCTGAACAAGACGACACATCATCTTCATCTTCTTCCTCTTGGACAATACTGCACTTGCGAGTTCGAACATTCTGCAAACGAATATAATAGTCTGTTTCTCGTCGATGATTTACGATGGAGGTAATGTGCAAAGTCGTGAAGATTAAAGATTCACGTCGAAGATTTTGTGATTTTACAAGTTATAGTGAATAATATTTATTGGGGATAATTAACAATAAATAGTTTTGAAATTATTACATTATATGATTTTGTTACAAAATAAAGCCTATATCATTTAAGTACATTATCATTGCTTGAGCAAATCTCATGAGCATATGATTGTTAATATCTTTTATATATTTCATTTAATACTTCATTTAACGAAAACCAAGGTAAAGACGCGTATCACTACGTACCTGAGGTACGTCTCCAGGCGTTCTTGGCACTGTTAGCAGTGATTGATTCATAGTTCCAAGTGAATTTGGGTCAGTTCGGAGATCATTAACGGATAAATCATTATGCCGCCTGAAAAATAAAAGTATAAAACATTGTTTTTATAAAATAATTTTTCTCAGAAAAAACCAGTAATTACGAGATCAAGTAATTATTATTTTTGAATATAAAATAAATAAAACAATTTGTTAGTCATAATCATTTTAATGTCGATATTTTTTTTTTATTGTTATCTACGATTCATTAAATAAAAATTCATAAAACAAAAATAAAATTTTCATTAAAAAAAAATTCTTACCTCGCCGCAACGTCTAGTAACTCCGGACGATTTTTTTGTACCTGTTCTTGTCTTTGAGCCCGCAATTTCCTCTCTGCCAGCAGGAAGTATGTGGCTGTGATATGGTTATATTCATTTTTTTCTAAAGCTCTGTCAAATGAAAGCATAAAAAATTCTATAACTCAATTATCCCTCAGTTTATTATTCATAAAACATAACACAAAACTCGATTACAATAAAAAAATTTTTTAAATATTCTTCACTTACTCTTGTATCTCTTCCTTGGTAGCAATGTTTCCATTGACCATTTTTGTGATGATTAAATTATGGTGATCATCGGAAACTTGTTCTCGAGATACTAGAGGCAAAGTTTCCACGGGGTCATCAGTCTCAATTCCTAACCAAGGATCATTGGCTATTTCTTCAAGTGTCGCGCGGCCTTCCGGAGCTCTCACCAACATCTTGGCAATTAGTCTTTTGCATTCATCACTCACATGCGACGGTATAGAATACTTGCAATCCATAATCATTGTAAGAGTTTCACTATCATTAGCTTCTTGAAAAGGTGCTTGGCCACATACAAGCATATACAGAATAACTCCTAGAGACCAGACATCTACAGCAGGTGCATCATAACTATCACCAAGAAGGATTTCAGGTGCTGAATAGGCCAGTGATCCACATGAAGTTTCTAGCTTTTGTCCAGGACAAAATCGATTACTAAAACCAAAGTCCGTAAGCTTGACTGTACCGAGTTTTTCGAAAAATACAACATTTTCTGGCTTTAAATCTCTATGAACGACATGAAGCCGATGACAATATGAAATGGCTCTTACTATCTGCCTGAAATACGTTCTTGCGATCTATAAAAGAAGATTAGAACAAGATGAATAAATAACTCTTTATCTAGGAGTTTTGATACTAACTTACCTCTTCACTCAACCCGCTATCATGCCGCATAATGTAGTCATAAAGATCTCCACCATCTCCAAGCTCTAAGATGAGATAAAGCTTTGTCTGGGTGTCTATTACTTCGTAAAGCCGTACTACATTTGGATGTTGCACTAGTTTCATACATCTTACCTATAAAAAGATAATAAAGAATATTAAAAAATATCTATAAACAGCTATTTTTATGTTATTACTAGCTTTTACTACGGTCTCGTGTTTTTAGTATCGACTAGGAAAGATATTATTCTGTAATATCATCACTAAGATCTTATAAACTAACACACGTACAGTTACAGCTGCTGGCATTAATAAATTGAATTAAATTTTCTTTTGTACTTTTTTAAAAATAATTTTCAATTTTTTCAGTTAATAAATAAAGAGTATCTTTTAGTAATTTGATATAAAAATTCAAAAACTTGGAAAAGAATGATTGGCAACTGATAAAAGAGGTAACACAGAATTGTTTATGTTGATTTCTTTGACTTAAATTTTTGAATTCACTCCGGAATTTAATTATATGAATATATTTTTTTAAAATTGAGTTTTTTTATTACCTCCTGGAAAAGATGTGCTCGTGAAACCTCGTCCAGCTTGCTTTTATCAATAACCTTGACCGCTACCTTCTCGCCAGTGAAGACATGACGAGCGAGTTTAACCACTGCAAAATGACCTCGCCCAAGGGTCTCTTCCAAGTCATATAATCCAGCGATCTTGCCATCATAGTTACTGTGACCCAGTCTCCGATGCATCACGTCACTAAAATATGAATCATCAAAGTTTATTAACCCTAGAATTGTTTTTCAACATGAACAAAACCTATGTTTATACTTTCAATTTTCATGTACCACTGCTGTACTAGTTATCACATACTTAATTTATAATCCAAGCGATTAAGTTTCTAATTAGCAATTGGAGCTCAGTATAAGTAAAAATAACATGTTTTGTTCACTTGGTAATTTTTTTTTTAAATTCATGAAAAGAGAGTAAAAGATGATTAAAAAAACTGTTTGATAATCGATTGACGTCAAGAATAGGTGTAATTAGAAAAAGAAATTGAAGTGGAAATGAGGGAATTTGACATTTGAAATTAAACGGGAATAGAGTTTTAATGTACCCGGTGTTCAATGATTGAAATCATGTACTCAAGAAATAAAAAATAAATCTCTCTGGTAATAAATTATACTCAGTTCTAAAAATAGAACAAAAATCTTGACATTTTCATAAAAAAACAGAAATAACTAAAATAAAAATAAACAATAAATTTTAAAAATAATGGAAAAGAAGATGAACAATTATCGGTTAAAATCAACATTCGAAAATGTAAATAACAGAACAAGATATAATATCTTATATTTTTTTCATCCACTTAAGGAAATAATTTTCTTTTATGTATATATATAGAAATATATATATAGAAGCATTATTGAAGGCACATGTCATTATTAATGTTGATTATTTAGCATCATGAGATATTATTAAATTAAATTTAACTCTATAAGTAATTGTTAATAATTTTGAGTAATCTTCTTATCCCCTACGACTTCCGGTATCGAATAAAGTGTAGTAAAAAACGAGTAGGTCAACTGCCGCTAGTATTGACCCGTCGCTTTGCTCTCTCTACTTTTTAAAAGCTATCTTCGTTTAATTTACGATTCGTAATTATCTCCAATACAATATTCATAAGACCAATTGACACAGGAATAATAACAGTTGCTCTAGGTCTTCAATCATGAATATAATTATTGTCCTTGTTCAATTTCCCATCTCACAGAATAGTGCACGTTCAGAGCACATGTCTAGATTTATTACTGAACAGTAAATAATTTGAACATAAAATTCTAATTATATATAAGAGAAAATTTTCGACATGCTTTCTACTTCACGATTCTTACGCTTACTTCTAGGAAGTATGAGGAGCCTATTGAAGTCGAGCACTAAAACCAAGAATATCGACGCGACGTTTTTCTATCTTCCCTTTAACATGTCTGTTCGTTTCGTCTCCCCATGTTTTATCTTTGTCGTTTCTTCCGGCCGACTCGGAAGTGCCCGGGAGGCAAATTTATGCCAAGACGCGGCAATGCTAAAGTGCAACTGGGGTCGACAAGGGTTCGGTCGAGGCCACTAACCCATCTACGAGTAACTATGATATTTAATTATTTGCTTTTGTATTTAAACTTTAATAAAAAACTTTTTTGTTCTAAGCGTATAAATAAACAACTTATAAGTTTAATGAGAATTTCGAAACATATGATAAATATATTCACTTGATAAACACTTTTCTAATATTCAATTCATGCATAAGATCGATACAGTAATTTCATATAGTTTCAATCAATATTTCATGAATGCTATCACATAGGAGTGTAGCATAAAAATCAAGTTACTTCATCAAAATTAATTAGTAAATATCAGAGCATTGTAAATGCTGTTGCTCTTTTTGTATGGAATTACGTAACAAGTTGAATTGTTTTTACCAATACTAAAATTTTATGTACATCACAGAGATGCTTTAAATCAAAATTAACGCTTTTTTGATCAGACCATTCTATTTAGTTATTTTCTAGTTGATTGATTGACAGACATGTTTAATATTTCAAGTAAATCCTCGAAATAATTTAAAAATATTTAAATTGTATCGAACATCATCTGCTATTATACAAATTGAATAGCAAGAAAATAAATAATAAAATGGATTAGCAGTTGCGTAGAATTTGCAACCATTTGACATGTTTTCATATTGAAGATTTCATGTCATTCAATTGATGTATACAGGGTTAATTTAGTGAATGTTAATACATTTTATTCAACCACGATGGTTGTTATTATAATTCCAATGCTTGAAGAGGAAAAAATTGCGTGGGTGATGACAAATAACACAATCTGTTGAAATAAAATAAATGAAATTAATAACAATAAATATAGATATACCTCTACGCTAGGTCAAACTTAGTGATTCCGGCTTCCTCTGACGTCTTAAGCTGTTTTTATTCCTCGTTGTCATTTGTGGTATCTAGACATTGCCTTTTTCTAACTCGAAAAGCTTGATGTCTTATGAATAGTCGATGTTTTTATCATCCAAACACTGCCCTCGTGTTAACAGAAGCCAATCAATTTATGCAGCTTCTTTCACACGTAAATGAGGTCACACACACTGACCTTAACGCACCGGGAATTCCGCTATGCACCGATGCTTACGGTGCATTCACGTAAAACTGTAACTGTCGTGGATCCAGCTCAAAGGAATACTTGGAAAATTATTTATGTGTATCAGTGATGATCTTCTGACTCAATGTTTTGAAGCAAATGCAATACGTCAACTAACTTTGATTGTTATATATGTTGTATTGCCAATTGATCAGATATGTACTACGCTTCAAATAGAAATAGTTAACTTGTTTTCATTCCGCATCACACATCAACAAGCTTCAGCTTCCGTCACTTCATGTACTCTCGATCTCGTGAGTACCGTTCATTTTCTTGCCCCACCCAGACACTTTGTAAGACTTCTTCGTTTTCTTCCTCACAATGTTGATGTTATTGATACTGGAATAAATATACCTTTAGTTACTTAATTCTATTACAAGTAACTTTGATTAATGATTTATTATTACATTAAATTATCGTCATTCACCGACACTTCTTCTCGTCTCTTCCTCTCACTCTCTCCGTCAACTTCACTTTTTTCCTTCTTGATAATATCTACGCGTAATCTTTGTTGATCATCCTCATGAATATCATGAAATTCTAAAACTGCAATTTGTACATTTGGTGTGTATTCACGCACGTCTGATTATTGTAGTAAATGATTTTTCTTCAAGATTAGATAAGAGCACTTTAGGAATTCAAGCAACACATAACCGACGGGAGTTCTCGTTAGAACAGTGACTCGAGAAGGCTGGAAAAAACACATTTCACTGAAGATGAGAATTCCATCAGATGTCTTCACTTTTTGGCCACCTGGTGGGTAGCCATTTTAATTTATTATCCAAATCTCAGTCGATAAAAAACTATTGACACTAGCGCCACCTGTAAACATTGAATGAGAGGGAATTTTAAACAGTGGCGCGGTGAATACTGCAATCAGTCTACTGTTCTGGAGAAACACAGCCAGCTGATGGTTTGTGACGTCACTTTATTAACCCATGCGCGCTCGATCTCTAGACTCTGCAGTCGTCGAGTGCCCGCGAGAGCTTTAGGATCGCTCTCTATCAGCAAAACGGAGTGGTAGGTTTGGTTCGATCGAATAATTGGTGACAATTCGACCGAAAGCACCAGGAGCAAAACCCCATCACCAATTCCACAACACTCAGCTTCAGGGACAATATCTCGATGCCGTTCATCTCAAAAGACTGGAGAAGTCCTGGTGAAGAATGGGTTAAAACTGTCGAAGGATGGGAAAAGAAAAAAATACTGGAATGTGCAAATAATAAAACTCTTTCATTGCTGATACGGTGAGTGCTTTACCTGAACTAATTACATTTTAAATGACTATAACTATAACTCATATTCTTTGTCTTGACAACTAAATAGACTTTATTGGCAAGACAGTGATAGTACACAGCTGTTGAATCGATCCAGTCGACATCTTTGTTTACTAGTTGATGTTTACATCTGCGTTTACGTGTCTATTTAAAATCTTATCAATTTTTTCTCCAATTTATAATGATTTTTTAATGATTATACGGGTGATTATGTTTGTGTTTACACTGCGTTACTCCGTTGCTAAAGTATAAAAGTCTTTGTCTCCTTTGTTCTAGTTGACGCAGTTGTATTCGTTCCAAAAACATCGAGAAATGTTAAATGTTAGTTTCTAAAAACTTTTTATTTGCTTTAACTTGCTATTTTATTTTTGTATATTCTTAAATTAAAAGGAAAATGGAAAGTGCGCAATAAATTATTCCATGCATAATAATTAGTTTTGTGGCGTAATTATATTTTTTTCACCTTCAGAATTAAACAATGAATACTATTCACAAGTAACCAGCTGTGAGATCAATTGATTATTTTTTTTTAATTTGTTATTTAACTTTTTTGAGTGGTTATCTTCATATCATTGTTCTTCATCGAAGAAAAATATAATGCATCAATCTTAACTTTTGACTTCGTCACGCTTTCACAACATTGAAATTATGTACTTATAACCTTCATGAGATTTTTAAATCTTTAAGACATTCACTTTAAATTTCAATAGTCAATAAACCTCTATAAAGTACATTAATATAATTTGTATATAATTTAAATTGCTAGTTAGATATAAAGAGAAGTAATCATAGCCATCAGTTACGGTCTAAACGACACGTGTACGCATGAATGCTAACGCAAATCGAGGATGCATATCAAATAAGATATAAATATATGAAAAATAGACAACTAAAAAAAGTTCAACCGTGACAATTGTCAATTGCTCTTGAATCATGGAACATGTAGTATTGGTTTGACCCGAAACCTAGAACTAGGTCATGACCTAGAATTGCAATATGCTTTGTGTGGCTTCCAGGATTCCTCCTTGGACTTTTTTCTCTTTGAACCCTATGCAAGGTTTTATAATTTAATTTACATTTTTCCACAGTACTTTATATTAACAGATTTTGTTATATTACATTTTTTCCTCTTCTACGGTATTCATTATATCAAAAAATTCTGTTTAATCGCCATAAGGCTGATATAAAATTTTCATGAAATCTGGAAGTATTTAAAAAATGTTTTAGAATTGCAAGTTTTTTTATTAAATATTTTTTTATTTAAATTATTGAAGAAGTATGTTTTGAATATCAATAAAGATAGTTCAGGAAATATTAACAATATATAACGTACAAACTATTTTAATTTTCTCTTCAAATGATATTACTTTTTCATAAGGATAACTGAACGTTAACTGTTTCATCAGAAATGCGTACTTAAACAGGTGCATCATGTATCTTTTCTTAGTATTATAGAAAAACCGCAAAATATCTCTATGAACACACGATTCCATCTAATTTTTTTTTTCTATTTTTTATCCGAGTTAGATTGAACGTCAGGATGGTTCTGCGACATCAAATCATTGAGTCGTAACGGATCACGTCAGCTCGTGTCAGTTATATAACACCAACGCACAAATTAGTGACAGTATGAACACTTATATTAATTTGCCAATGAGTAACTGTATAAGTGCATCAACGAAGGTCACTATTAAAACTGGTGACCTTTTCCTGAGCTTAATTTCCCAACCGAGAAACTCTAATATGATATTATCATAATTCTCAACTGATAGAATGGTTTTTTAATGAGTCAATATTGAATATAAATGAGAGAATTGGTAATAAAAAATAGCGAATAGATTAATATATTGATTTGTTGATCATGTTAGTGCGTGGGCAATCCAGTCAATGCCCCGATGAAAAGTGACGTCATCAAAGCAAACAAAAAGTCCTCATAACTTCCATGATACCTGTATGACACGTGCTATAAAATGTTATTTTGCTTTTAGGAGCGAGAAAGATGGAGACAAACCTCGGGAAAAGGAGAAGGAAAAGGAGAAGAAAAAAGGTGAGTCCTGATTGAAACGAATAGCTTTTATGAGAGCATGACGTATCTTTTTTTTATAAAAATTTTGTTTTTTATTTATAGAAAATGCCGTCCAACCTCACTGTCACATTACCCTGAAGTGTACACGTGAGGTGAGTGACTCTTCCGGCGTGAATTCTATATTTAAATTGCTCGCTTAAACTATCAGGATACCAGGATTAAAAATGTGCAACAAGAGGAAGCGAGATTTAAATAGATCCGAAAGTGAATATAGTTAATTTCCCATTTAAATGCACACGCGCAGGCATACCCTCGTATTTTCTCTTAGCCGGAAAAAGAAAAAGAAAACATCAAAGAGAAAAAAAGGGATGAAAATGCGCGAGCAAACCATCAGCTATTATTATTTGGATGTTTTTCATTTGTAGATTGCTGGATTCAATGGATTAAGTGATGCACTTAAGAGGCTTGATTTTTTGTCTGCGGTGCATGACTGTCGACGTTTCAACTATATCGTACGTTTGTTGGATCTACTGGTCAGCCACACAATGGGTGGTCTTAGTGGATGTGCTCAACGAGTGCTGTTCAACATGCTGGAAGAAGTTACTCTGGAGGTTTCTTGTTCTCAGCAACAAACTGGAAGACTTCGTAGACTGATTGAAAGAGTTAGAGCTTTTAGTGCAAGTTGCTGTTGGGGTGGACGACCTCTTGGTTCAGTTGTTCTTTGGGAAAAACACAAGGCAGCTTTAGATAGAATTTTACAAATTGCTTCATCTATTACTATAACTCAGGTAAAGTTGCTTTAGTGGGTAGATGCTGCATTGAGATTAACAAAATCAATGTCAGTTACGTGCTGCCTCAATGCCGCAACGCAGTTGATGTTTATAGGTCAATAAAGTAAAGAGAAAATATGGATATTTATTTACAGCCTGATGAAGAGCAGCGTCCACAGTGGGCAGATCTTCCTGCTGAATGTAGACGAGAAGTGCTTTTACGTCTGAGTGATCCAAGAGATATTGAAGCTTCTTCAGAAGCTTGTGAACATCTTGCTGTTCTTGCTCAAGAACAAAGAATCTGGAGAGAACTTGCACAGTATCATTTTACTCCTCAACAAATTGCTACAACAATGCAAAATAACCCCGGCAAAGACTGGAAAACATTATTTACTATTGCTCGAAGGTAAAAAAACAATAATTTACCATTATTTTAATGATTTATTGTTTTATTTTGATCTATTATAAATTGTTTTAAATTTATTTATAGAAACTTTGGACTGCGAGAAGAGTATGCTGAAATGATTCAACTATGCCGAAACTGTCGTTGTCTCTTTTGGCGATCTCTTGGCCATCCCTGCATTGCTGACCAAGACCCTGCGTTCCAAGAGAAGCTTGCTGATGTCGATCAATCTTCTCTTCATGTTCCAATCCCACCGCAAACTTTTCTCAAATTTTTCTCTCTGTGAGGAATGTAGTCCACAAGCTAAACTGCAATCGTCAATCCACAGGCAAATTCTTTGAGAAAACATAGAAGATAAAAAATGAAAATGTTCAGTCTTTAGAATATCTATTGTTGGCTGTTAAAAATTAACTTCACTTGTAATTTTCTCTTTGAAGTATTATAACTCTAAATTAATCGAGCAAGAAAAAAAAACAAAAAAAAAAATCGTAAATTTAAGTCGAAAAAAGATATATTATATTTATTTTGTGGCGAAAAAAGGGCAGAGAGAAAAATATAAAGGATATAATTTAAATATAGGTATATCGTCCATTAAAATGGTTAATTATTTATCACTGAATCAACGATCGAAATGAATTTATTCGTGATATGTTCGTATAATGACTGTCATTGAAACATATTGACCGAATAATTTAACGTCCAATTACGATCTCTTCCAGAAATTTTTTTATGCAAACTAAGTAAGGAATTGAACGATAATTTATCTTATAAAACTACCGATCTTCATTTATAATCATTTCGATGGTTACATATTGTTTTTAATGAATTGACAAAAATATCCTTTTTTATTTAAGATATAATCAATTCGTCACCGTACGCCGAATCAATTCCGCGTTCTATCCACCTTTCTTCCTTTGACAAAATTATTTTTAAACTAGAGAAAATCATATCTTAAAAATGTAAATATAATATCTCTATATTGAAAAATGTACGGGCCAATAAAATATTATTATTACATTTGAAAAACAAATACAAAAAAAAAAGAAAGTAAGGTGGATGTAACGAATTTAATTTTAAATATAGAAACAGACATTAAGGATTAAAATAATTTAAACGATGTTCATTGTCGGAATGTTATATGCATTGTTGTGTAGTTATCTATCAATCTCATATATATCATTATTAGGATATGTGATAAATTTTTAATGTGTCTAACTATCCTTACTGAATTTATATATATTGTATTACTACATTTAATGATTATAATATTAGTTTTAATTTTAATATAATTATCGATAAAGTCGATTTTAATAAGTTCAATCGGTATTTCTAATCTGAAATATAACAACCGTTTATTGCAGTGTGAAATTTAAAAAATACGAAAAAATTACTGCCAATGCAAATGCTATTGCATTTATGTGAATTGATAATAATTACATATTTTGAATGTCAAATGTTCAATGGTTTGACCCTCATTTTTTCATATGTTTTTTAATATGATTTATGTATAAATTACTGCACGGAAATATATTTCATTAGACTAGTCATTATGTAGCTCGACCAAGACTACAAAACATTTGATCTAAATAAAGAATGGAAAAGATCAGTTATAAATCATGGTGGTGGATACTGAAATAACTTTGACTTATTAGACCAATGTTTAGTGCGATATTGTGCGAAATGCTTTTAAATAAAATATATTTAAGTATATTTTTCTTGACTTATTCATTTCCAATTAGTTAATACTTCATAATTATTTCATAAAAGTAATTGAAAAAAAAATTTCAAAGGTTCTCATGATATTTTAGAATTTTTAAATTTAAAAATTATACAATAACTCCCTCTTTTCTTCCATTTTTTGGAGTATGAGTTTGATTTGTCAAAATAAAAGTAACAATGCTAAAAATTTCTTAATTGATTTAAAAAAGGGTTATAACAATCATAATTACAAGTGAGGTGTCATAAAATTAGAGGAATTATTATCAAGCTTGAAATACAGACCTGATAAAAGCAGCTAAAAAATAGAAGCTGAAAAAATAGAGAACAATTTTATCTGTAACTCTTTGCGAACAGAAGTCGCCATGATCTACTGATAAAATCATTGGGAACTGTTTGTTCGACGGAAACTTCATTTTGTAAAAAAAAGTTGTTATTACTTTTAGTTTACATTTTATTTCACTCACAAATGATGTACATTTTTCTAAAAGTGAATAAGTCGTGGAAAAATATTAATACATTAGTATAAGAAGGGTTTTTTTTACTTCAGCAGTATCGTACATAATAGTGCATACTGAATATTAACATGATATAATAACAGATTTACTTCGTTCTCAATAATGAACTTAAGTGTAAAGTTGTTGACATCTTTATGGATTTTCATTTTTTTTCCACCCAATTCTAAATCACGTTCTTTTTCTTAAGTATGGATTCATAAACTTAATAGGATTGTTAATGATTATTTTAATCCAGCATTCTTGTGAAAATATTGTATTTGTGTTTATGATTAATTGAAGTCAGGTAATAAATTATTGGTATATTATTTTGAATATAATTTTCCTATGTTTATTATTTTCTTTGTTTCTAGATATGATGGCACAATCCACAACAAGTGGTACATCATCTCGCAAACATATAAGAGACCATGACATTGGTACAAACACTCGTCTACCACATTATGGAGACAGTGAATGGGAAACAAAAGAGGTAATATATTGAATATTTATGAAAAACTATGTGATTTTATATTTTTCAATTATAAATGATGTTTCACACAGGCTCTCAGACAAAGAGAATTGGAGGAAGCAAGAGCTCGAGCAGCACAAATGGAAAAAACTATGAAATGGTGGTCTGATTGTACAGCTAATTGGAGAGAAAAATGGAGTAAGGTAAGAAATGAAAGGAATAAAGCTAGAGAGGAAGCTAAATTATTGAGGACTAAGTTAGAAATAGCTGTAAAAGATGCCAACAGTTATAAACATGAGTCACAGGAGCTTGAAATTCAAAATGAACAATTAAGAAAGGAAATGGAAAAAATTCATGTGGTCTTATTGAAACATGTTGGTCAATTTGATAGGCAGATTGTTAATATTCTTGAATCAGATTCGCAACTAAGGAATTCTCTCGGTATTGATGATCTTTTAGAACTCTATAATAATGTTGAGAGATGTGATAGAAAGTCTGATAGTGTAAATTACAATTCAGGATGTCGTAAAAGTCCACGAGATGAAGTATTATTACCAGAAGCACCTGAAAGAGATATTGAAGAGTACGTTCTTCAAGGAGCTTTGCCAAAACATGCTGTTGAGCTGTATAAAGAAGGATCTATGAGTAGTTTAGAAAGAGACATCGCTCAATTAATTGAAGAAAATGGTAAAATTCATGATAAAATAGACAGGAAACCTTCTACAGTTGATAGTGAAATTGAAGATCCAATGAAACTTCGAATGGCTATGCTAAACTTAGGTATTGAAGAAGCTACTAAAGCTCTGTCTGCAGAGAAAGATAACGAACCATTTCTCAATGAAACTGAAAAACTTCAATTAGAAATTAATCAACTGAAAATTCGCTGTAATGAATTACAAGAAAGTCGATCTGAACTATTGAAACAACTAGCCGAATCAAAAGAACAATACCAAACAGAATTAATGGCTGCTCAAGCTGATCTTTTAGATGAAATAGCGAATCGAGAAGGTATGGAACAACGAATGAATGAGTTAAGAGCAGAATTAGAGAGACTTCAGCTCGAAAATGCATCCGAGTGGGGAAAACGGGAACGGTTAGAAACTGACAAAATTTCTCTCGAACGTGAAAATAGACAATTGAAAAATGAACTACGGGAATTGCAAGAAAGAATAGAACTCAGAAGATCTCGATCCAGTTCTACAATCGATACTGATACCAAACAATTACATCAAGATTTATTAGATATGAAACACGTCAATTCGAAATTAAAGAAAGTTCTTGCTGAAAAAACAACTGAGTTAACGCATGCATTACGTAGATCAGAACAATATGAGACTGAAGTAAAAAGAGTTAGAGGTAGAGTTGATGAGTTGAAAAAAGAATTAGCTCTAGCTCAAGATGAAGTTGATGCTGCTATTACAAATGCTAGACGACTTCAACGAACAAATGAGGACCTTGTCGAGCAATTACAGTCAGCCAATGTTCGAATAGAACAGTTAAAAAATCGTTCAGAACCATGTGCTCCAGATGTAGTTGCGGCGATTTTAGAAGATAAATCTAGAGATGATGAAAATGTTGATAGTTCTATTGCAGATTATGAAAAAAGAGTTTGAGTATAAATTTTTTTATTAATTGACCATTCCTCTAGATTTGAGTGACAAAGGCTGTGTTAAGGTGGATGAATTCATGACACTTCTTTTTTACTTTTTTTATTTTGACTGAATTTTAAAATAAAAAAATAATATAAAACTTGTATATTAACAAAATTATGATTGAGAATAAATAATATTCTATCATGTTCCCAAATGTCTAGAATTTAAAAGAATAAAAATATAAATTATATGAGATTCTTAGAAATACTCCGAATTAAAGAAATCGTTGTTGGTTCAACTAAGCAATAATGTTAATCTCAATGAAAAACTAAAACTATATTCTATGTAAACAAAATTAGAATAAATATTATTGTCATTATATGAATTATGATTAACGTCCCTATTGCTTTACTTGAAATTTTTAAATGACAAGGTATACAACTCTAAAATACAATTAGTATGTATTTTCAATTTACATATGAAGTAAAAAAATAGAAAATTATTAATCAAAAAAGATGATTTATTTTTCAATTGTTTTTATAAACAAAATATAAATGCTTAATTAGGTTTTAATTTTTTGAGTATTGTAATCAAAGTAAAGTGCAATAAAGCATTGAGTGTCGACTACAGAAAAATAAATAAAATAAAATTTCTCTAGTAAAGATATAAAAAACACTAGCATTTCATTGGTGTACCATCAGGATATGTAGGCATTTTTGGTTTACAAATCTTTGTTCTTCCATTCGAACCATGAACAATGTCACAGGAGAATGTAAAATATCCGCAAGTTGAACTCTTCGTATAATATCGATGTTCATATTTTTTGCGTGCATCTCCCAATTTTCCAGCTACACTATTTGTTACTGTATAATAATTTGTTTTAACAGGTGCGACAGTCATAGATTTAAATTTACCATTTGTACCTACAAAATTAAAATATTTTTCTATAATTTATTCTTTATATAATTCACATTCAAACACTCACCTGTAAATTTCGTCGAGTATCTATTATTATCCCATTCACTACTGTGACTTCCAATTCTATCATGTTCATTATTCAAAGATCTCATCTCAGGTATTTTACTATGCTGTACTCGGTCGTGATTAAATATTGGCGATACTGTATGTTTTTGAGATTTTTCATTTTCTTGATCTCTTCGATCTGAAATTGATGTAACTTTTCCTCTAAAACCTTGAGGAATTGTAAAACCAGGTAAAGAAGTACCAGCTTCTAAAATACTTCCTTCTTTCAACTTTGATGAAGAAATTTGTTCTACATGCGTATCAAGTCTTCTGCTATTTCCAGGATGCATTGAAGTTATATGTTTACTTCCAGAAGTTTTCATTTCTAATTCTCCATTTGCTGGAGGCATGAGATCGTCTTCTTCTGCATACTCTTCTTCATCATTTTCATCGTCTTCATCTTCATCAGCATATTCTACATTCCTTGATTCGAAGTCTAGACTTTCCCTTGATTTATCATCTACTCTTGATGATATCTTAGAAATTATTTTTTTTCTACTAGAACTAGAACTTGATTTAAGAGGATTAATTTTTTCTGTCACTGGATCTTCTAGTTCTGGAGGAAAAGTACTTCCTTCTTCATTTTCACTAATTTTACTTGGTCCAAATTTTTCAAAACTTTTGAATAAATTGGAATCAGAATTTGTAAAATTGAAAGGCTTCCTCGATGCTGCTGCACCAGATCCTGAACCTGCTTGAGCAGCTCCTGTATAAGTTATTCCATATTGAAATGATCCTTCAAGTTGTGATTGAGACTGACCTCGATAAGCTCCACTTTGTGCTGAAGCTGTTCCTCCACCTCTAAATGGTTTGGATCGAACTTTTTCTTTTTCATTCGATTCCATGTATGGCTGAAAACCAATTTGAGCTTGGCTAGATGTACTACCTTCGCCATTGGCTTGTGCATCAGCCATTCCACCTTTTACACTAGCCTGGACTTGAGAACTAGTTCCATGGTTCCAACCACTACTTTGTGCTTCTGTTTTTGTTGCACCACTATCAGAATTCAATTCAACTTGTGCCTGGCTTTTTCCTTTACCGCCCATACCTTGAGCACTGCTCATAGCACCTTCTTTTCCACCAGCTACTTGAGTTTGAGCACCTTTATTAGAATCACTAATACCTGCTTGAGCAGCAAAAGAACCAGATCCAGTATAAACTCCCCTAACTTGAGATTGAGCTACTCCAGAGCCAAATTTTCCATCAGCTGATGCACTTGCGTGAGTACCTGAATCAGTTTGCTTTACCGAACTCATTGCATGAGAATCGGCGTCATCGTCTGTTGAAATCGCACCCGGATGGCCGGGAACGGAAGTTCCCGGAGTAAGTACTGGATATGTTCCAGGAACATTAGAGGTAGAATAACCAGGATATGATGTGATATAAGTGCCTGGTACTAATTGTTGCCCACCGGGAGGAATAACGCCACCAGGATATGTCCCCGGTGTGGTTGTTTGTCCACCAGACGGAACAATTCTACCCGGATATGCTCCAGAAGTAATTTGGGGTCCACTAGTAGGCATTGATCCGCCAGGATATGTCCCTGGCATGCCTACTTGTCCTCCAGGAATAACTGTACCTCCTGGATAAGTTCCTGGCATAGAAGTTTGGCCTCCAGTAGACACTGAACCACCAGGGTACGTGCCGGGAATAGATGTTTGTCCACCAGGCGAAACAACTCCACCAGGATATATTCCTGGCATAGAAGTTTGGTCTCCAGTAGCCACTGACCCAACAGGATACGTGCCGGGAATAGATGTTTGTCCACCAGACGGAACAACACCACCAGGATACGTTCCGGGAATAGTTGTTTGTCCTCCAGTAGGCACTGACCCACCAGGATACGTGCCTGGAATAGTTGTTTGTCCACCAGGCGAAACAACTCCACCAGGATACGTGCCTGGAATAGTTGTTTGTCCTCCAGTAGGCAACGACCCACCAGGATACGTGCCTGGAATAGTTGTTTGTCCTCCAGGCGAAACAACTCCACCAGGATACGTTCCTGGAATAGTTGTTTGTCCACCAGGCGAAACAACTCCACCAGGATACGTTCCGGGAATAGATGTTTGTCCTCCAGGCGCAACAACTCCACCAGGATATGCTCCGGGAATGGTTGCTTGTCCTCCAGGCGGAATAACTCCACCAGGATACGTTCCAGGAATAGTTGTTTGACCTCTAGAAGTAACTGTACCTCCTGGATACGTACCTGTCATACCTACTTGTCCGCCAGTTGGAATTGTACTCCCTGGATACGTTCCTGGTAGAGAAGTTTGGCCACCAGTAGGCATTAATCCTCCAGGATATGTGCCTGGCATATAAGTTTGACCCCCCGTAGGAATTGTTCCACCAGATGGAATCGATCCACCAGGATACGTCCCTGGTATGGAAGTTTGACCTCCAGTAGGCCCTGTTCTATCAGGATACATTCCTGGAATTGTTTGACCCCCAGGCACAATAGATCCACCCGGATATGTTCCGGGCATAGCCATTTGTCCGCCAGGTGATACAACGCCACCAGGATAAGTTCCTGTGGTTCCTGGTATCATTTGTTGTCCACCGGAAGGTACAGTGCCACTCGAATATGTTCCTGGAATGGTTGTTTGTCCACCCGGAGGTATAATACCACTAGGATAAGTTATTTGTCCTCCGGAAGGTATTGTTCCTCCAGGATATGATGTTCCAGGTATCATTTGTTGCCCACCAGATGGAATTTGTCTACCAGGATATACATCTGATGTGCCTATTTGTCCTCCAGAAGTGACTGTACCTCCCGGATATGTTCCTGGTATTGAAGTTTGGCCTCCGGTGAAAATTGTTTGTCCTGGATATGTAATGGATTTTCCTGGTGTAGTATCTGGATGATAAACTCCGCCAGTATGTGTTCCAGGACTCTGTATGTTCAACTGGTCTGGTTGAGGATATTGGCTTGTAGAATAAGTTGATCTACCTGGAGCATTTATTCCGTATGTTTGATATCCTGGGCAGTCTTCACATCCAGAACCACCTGACGACATACTTTGAGCTTGTCCAATTCCATTCCTGCCACCTAAAAAAATTTATTTATCTTCACTTCTGCTACGATCAGTTTTAATAACAATCTACGACTCTATTTTTATAATTTTGATTATTATTTTCATTGAATTGAATGATCGGTACAAATGTAATGGGAATAAATACTTCTTTTATTTAGTACCAAATGAATTTACAAAATTTTTAAAGAGTAAGTTTGTTATAAATTTTGTATAAAAAATCTTCTAATTTTACAAGATTAATTTTATAGTTTCATAAAATCTTGAAGATTCACTTTAGTCACTCACTCACAGCTGCCCGAGAAGATTGGTTTGTTGCTTCAGCTTCTGCTTTTCCTTCTTTTTCTCCTTCTCCACCAAAATTTAAATATTGAGATTGAGTCTGACCACGAAACTTGCCAGACAGATAAGTTTGTCTTCTGAATCGCTGGTTCATTTGCTCAGAATTTTCCAATACATTTTCGCGTTTAACACGTTCCTGTACGTGTTTTCTAAACACATTGCTACCATCAGATGGAATCTTGTTAAAATACGAGTCTTGAGTATTCGATGGTATTTGACGAATTTCTTGGAGAAGTTTAATAATATAATCACCACAAAAATTCATTATTCGAGGTCCAGCTAATTTCAATGCCTACAATTTTTCATAAATAAGAATATTTATCCATCATGGATAAGTTTTTATTTAAATATTTTTATTTACCTCAGCTCTTGTCATATCCAAGCTTGATGGATAAAGAATAGTTGGATAATTTTTTCCACTTATAAATGATTTCCATTGGTTTTCTCTTATTTTCTCCAAGTAGCATGTATTTTCATTAACATCTTTATGAGCAATGTAGCGCTGAAATTTGCTTTATTTGATCATTTATTCTAATAAGAGTCAAATAATTAAATTTAATTACCGTCGAATAATCAACATATCTGATAGGCTCAAGATATTGAAGATCCAAAACTTGTGAGATATCTCTGGATTCCAACGAACGATCGAATCTCGTTTTTTCCTAGTCGATATAAAAAAATGTGGTCAAATTAGTGTAAATTAGTATGAATGGCTACTAATTATTAATTGGGATAGGAAAGATGAATTTAAGCTTATTATCTCGTGAACTCTGATCTTCTTAAATCTTATTCTAGTCAACGCGACAATAATATTCTGCTTTTGTGCATTTTAAAATATACGAATTCTTAATTTTCATACTGAATAAAAATAGCTGAATAAAGTCATATATGTGATTCAGGAAAAAAATTGCTTGCATCCACACATTCTGAATAAAAAAAAATTAATTCAAACATTTTGTAGCTAATTTTAAACAAATACTATAATTGATTATAATATTTATTTTAACTTACATGATATCGACCAAAAGTAATCTGTAGGATACAGAAGATAAACGTTATGACAAGCCACATGATGATCGTTGTCTTGACGGGCTTCAACTGCGGTTCGTCGTATTGTGACTTGTCGTTTAGAGGTGTTACTCCCTTCCTACAAGTTGCCCTCTCTCATATAGCACTTGAGATTCAAGAGATCGAAAGGATTGTGAAACTGAGACGAAGATGTAAGCAGAAAACTTGAAGAAGTAAAAAGAGAATACTGATATGAATATTCTGGGAAGCATGGAGGCTCTGGAAGATTCAGCTCATTGCATATATCTTCTACTCTCTCCCTACTTCAATTAGATTACATTTCAATCATTCTAACTTTCATATTAGTATCTTTGTCTTAAGATTTTTTATTCAACCCTGACGTCACCATGAACTCAATCAAAATATATCAAAGTCAATGAATGTTTAATTGGTCTTCATTAATATTTCAGGGTAGTTATTCGAAAATAATTTTAAAAAATAAACAAATATATTAAAATTTCTGCTAAAAAAAATATAAATATTGTTGAATTAGAATATTTAAAAAACGTTAAATTTTGATTGGATGACGTTTGAAAAATCAAAACATGAAAATTCTAAATTCATTTTATGATTATTAATAATAATTATACTATTATATACCAATACTATTATATTTTTTAAGCAATATTTACTAGATATTGAAATATGAAGTAATTTGAGTTCTTCTTTTAAATGGCCTAATTATTTATTTCAATTCATTAGCTGAAGACAGCAGATCTGTTGTTTGTCGATAACCACTTACTGATGAAATCCTCAACTTCGTTCAGTGGGAGATTGAATTTCAATTTAAAAATGAAATTGCATTACGACCTTATACTCAATTATGTCAGTATGATACTTATTATCTATTGAGAGAATATTAATTAATAGTTGAAAATTATATTTGTCTACATTTGTTGTTTGCCAATTCAACAACATATCAATAAGGTGTGATTTATAAATAAATTAAAGGTAATTTTTTTTTTTTTCATTTTATTATCTAAATGACAAGATTGCTAATGACTCGTAAAAAATTCGTATAATTAGTTTTTCATATTATATAGCTTAGGCACTCTGTATAAACGTCTAAAAGCTTTAAATAATCTATAATAAATTGATTGATACAATATTTACATAAGCTGTATTTATACTTAATGTACTCATAAACTAATTTTATTTAAAAACGCTATTTACAGTGTGTCTATTTTTATAAATTCTTCTATTAATGCACTGACTAGGATAGACACAGACGACTTTATAAAATAATGAAAAATATTCCCATTTATACTTATTAAAAATTACATTTGAATTTCATTTTCCAAATCGTCAATTTTTTCATAAATTCATTGTAATTAAGCATAAATTTTTTAAATTATTAATAATTTCTACTCGATTTGCGTTATGTTGATCAATCTTCCATCTATGTGGTAAATGATCTAAACTCTCAGTCGATAAAATCGTCACTGTATGTTTGACAAATATTTTATATCAAGAAGAAATGATCATTTAATTACTGCAAATCGATTTCGACTAGTTTTCACTCAGCCAGTTTGATTGAATCGAAACTGACAATCTTAACAATTTGAAAAAAAAAAGAAATAATAATTGATGATTGTTCATCCAAAACATAATCATATCTTTTTCCTTTTTGCCTCATATTCACACCTTGTCTAAAAAGCGAATAATAAAAATTATAGTAATTAAAAAATTATCTAACAACAAACATGAATTCATTCTCTTAGGTAAATGAATAACAATGCATATTAAATGACGAAATTCCTATTATCATCGAAATTCGAATGATTTTGTAACTATTATATAACTATTATCTGGTCCCTAATTAGGAAGATGCTTAAAATCAGCAAAATAAAGGGAAAAATATGTTTGATACAATAAACAAAAATTTCCACACTTTTGGAATTTCTGAATATTAAATTAAATATGTTAATTAAATTTTTGTCTATGCTATCGCAAGGTTCAAAGTTATTCCAGTTGGTCTTGAGAATGCTGATGGTCTCGAAGGATCAGAAAAATCAAAAAGCCCATTCTTTCCAGTTAAATGACGACCGGGAATATGTTCTGGATTTGGTGAGATAACTGATGTTCTTATAACCATTCTTGATAAATATTCACTTCCCTCACTGCTGCATTCTATTTTTCTAGATTTTTCAATATCATCTGCGTAGTGATGATTTTGAATTGGTACCGGAGAAGAAAGCGTTTGACTTGACTTTGTGTGTCGAATAATGGTTGAAAGTGCAACAGGAGATGATGATAGAGTTTCGCGAGCGAAGCCTGGTCGTGGAACAATAACACTTGTGGGTGACGACGTAACTCCGGCTGGAAAAATCCGTTCTGAATTTCCTGAAGATGGTGGTGATGCAGTGGTTGAAGTAGTGTTAATTGCAATATCTGTGTTTTCTTTTTTTTCTGGAGTTACCCGATTATGAGCTCTCATGCAAGATGATTCTTCATGTTTGTAAAGATATGATTTAAGAGCAAAAGCTTTCCCACATCTTCCACAGATGTGTGGTTTCGTATTCGAATGAGTCTGCACGTGGGCTCGAAGATTGGATTTATCAGCGAAGGCTTTGTTACAGATGGTACATTTAAATGGCTTCTCACCTAAAGAAAAAGAAATTTGATAAATAAAAAATTGGTTTAATTGCTCTAATAAATCATTAATGAAATTGCAAGCATTTATAAGATACAATACCTGTATGAGTTCTAATATGTCCTTGGAGAAGCCATGGTCTTGAAAAACATTTACCGCAATAATGACATTTACATCCTTGATTATGAGTTCTAACATGCATGCTAAATGCTGGCATGCTGACATAAACTTTGTCGCAGTGAGGACAGCGTCGAGCTTTTTTGTCTCCCAAAGAACGATGCGTTTGTTTATGTCTAGCTAAATTTGAAGAAGTTGAATATTTTTTTCCACAATCAGGGCACTCATGATCTTCATTATCATCTGTTTTGGAAGAATCTGAATGACCTGAGGAGTTTCTTCTTGCAGGAGTTATTGGTTGGTTGATTGCGAATAATTTCCTACTATCTTGTTCAAGGTGAGTTGATGATAAACGACTTTTATCTTCAAGAATTTCTTTTTCTGCCTCAATTCTTTCAAAAAATAATCTTGTTCTTTCTTTCAAGCTTAATTCTGTTTCTTCAACTGGCCGATGAGTAATTTGAGTTTCCGCTGAGATCGAACGATATTTATGAAGATCTTCGACAGCTGGGGTCCATTTCGGAGACATTGGTCGGTGATAGATGACATTACTAGGATGAATAAGTGTTCCTGCAGCAGCAGCTAAGCTTACTTCAGCAAGTTTAGTTAAATTATAAAGTTCTTCTGGACATTCCGAAGATGTTTCGCTTCCACAGTCACTAACTCCATCAGAAGTTGGTTGGTTTGAATTGTATTCCGGTATTCGTATTCGTCTTTCGATACCAAAACCTAAAAAAAATTCCACATTAATATATCATTTATTTTTGCGTTTACAGTCTAGTAAAAAAACTATTGGAAAGATTGGCGTCAAAGAAATAAGCTCTTTCTTCGCACTACACCGGCTGCTCCGTTTTCGGGAAGAACGGAAATAGCACAGCGCGTGCTAAGAGACCCTGAAGAAGGAGGGGTTGACGCATACCATTGGTTTGCGTCGTTAATCGTCATATGACGCATAAGTTTATCATTTAAGACATAAAATAAAAGCCGAAAATAAGTGAACAAAGAGGCGCAAAAATGGATAAAAGTAAATAAACTTACTCCGACCAGTGTCTTCAAAGTCTTCGCTACCATTATACCGGCGATGAGTGATAAGGAAAGCTCTTGGCATTGTTCTTACAGTTTTTTCTCAATATTAAAAAACACTTTACCACTTCACTTGACTCAATTCATCACTCTCCGTAAAAGTAACTGTGATAGAAAATGGTTATAAAAAATTTTCCAAGTAATTCACTAATGGTTCCAAAATTATTGAAGTGTTTGTAAATGTTAAAGAGACTCTAAGAAGCACATGTAGATGAGGGATAACATCGACTTGCGAGTTTAGGACGTAATAGTTGGTCCGGCTGGGATTCGGGGCTACATATAGGGAGCCAGAGACCTCCCTCGTGCCTCTCCCCACTTTTTCAGCTGCTACCACGCGTCCGGAGTACAGAAGCATGTGCCACAGTCCCCCTTGCAACTCCCTTTCTTACTCTCAATATTCTTTTATCTGTATACATGGCACATTCGTGTTGGAACTTGGCTGCTTGGCGCTACCACCACCCGGTCCATCGCCTTCTTCTTCTCTTCGCGGTGGCTGAGGTTTCTTCTCCCACTGGGGCATGTGCCGGCCACCCTCGCAAATGCGGCTCACCAGACAAAAGACAGCTGAAAAGCTCAAGCCCTTCTGCATATGAATTTATTTTTAAGTTTTTTATTAAATTTATTTTTAATTTAATTATACATCAACTTCAATTGATAAAAAAAAATGTACTGATATACAAAGATTTTATGATGATAAGAAAAATCTGAATGAAAATTCGTTCGACAGATTGAGTTCGACGTTGATCTTTCTACATCAATTATTCCAGTAAGCGATTGGTAGCTATTTTTACTACCCTAGTGCAGTTCCTTCCTCGCCCTTTACGTCGCCGAAAGATTGTCAGCACAAGCATGATCGTAAACTATAAGTTTTTTTTTTACCGCGCAGCAAAGATTATCTGGTTTATAAAAAAATTTTTAATTGACGTAAAAATTGCTTCAAAGCTCGTGGGTGGAGCCAAAGTGATTCTTAGTAATTTCGTCAAGAAAAATGGTAAAGATAAAAGCTAAAGTGAAAAGCTTGTCGAAGGACAAGTATAAGTTGAAGAGTCGAAGAGAGCGATTGAATGAATGCCACGCAAGTTAGTCAGCATCCGCGATTCTAAATTCGGCAGTCTGTTGGCTCTAAGCCAGCAGAACCACCCAGCGCACCAACCTGTGCTTCTTGCGTCCTATGAGCAACTTTACAAACTCAACCAACGCATCTCGCAAGTTTGAACGCTTCACAATCAATTTCTTCATCTGTATTTGATGTTCACTGTTGCTAATCAGGAACATTTACTATCATCAAAGTGTCAACTCTTTTCCTTTATCATCTTGTTTCTTAAAAATAGTAGTTGATATGTCGACTTGTATTTCTAATCAAGGCGGAAGTTGAAAATAAATTGAAAATAAGAACAGGTGTCTTACCACTGTCGCATCGTCACCGTATCCAGAAATAAAATTGTGCGTCGGTATATCAATTCATTTGACGCACGTTTAAAACCAGCCAAACTAATGGAAATTTTTATTTCTCTATGAAGATTAAGAAAACAGATGAATGATAAATTTTTTCAACTTCCTGTCGACCTCAACTGCACTTCAGATTTAAATTTATCCATATGCAAAGCTAATTATTCTTTGATGAATCTTTAGGACAAGTTTTTCAATCTCCAGGATATCTACTGATTCATTATTCATACATTTAGGGTAATTTTTAGGTATTTCTACTTGCACTTTCAACCTATTTATTACATTCATAATGTTTTCTTCTATTGTTAAAATCTGGTCCTTGTATAGTAGTTGTGGTTTTACACACATGTTGGAAAACATAAATTAGTGAAGGAAAAGTCAGAAGGGTTGATTGAGTAGGTATCCTGTAACATGAAAAATATTTAGAAATGCTTGGTTCCTGTTCCTGTCCCTTTTTTCACGCTAATGTTATGACTGTTACCGGAATCTGTACAGTTTGAGGAAATCCATCGGTATCTTCAAAGGGCCAATATGTAGTAGATAGAGAAATGAAGATGGAGAAATGGAGGCGTGGAATTTTTCAGTGCGACACATCGGACTAAATTGTCGACTCGGCATGGGGTTGCCGTTGCTGGGGCTATTTTGAGTACCGGTGGCTGATGCAGCTGTCGCATACTCTCGGCAAACCACCTCCCGTATACTTCATGGTCATTCGACTCAAGAAGACACCGAGAGAACGACGACCTCACGTAACTTCAACTTCTTCAGGGTCGTCTTTATAATCGTTTTAATGTCGATTAATAAATTCTGTAATGAAAAATGTTTATTGATAAATAGACTTGAAAATATTAAATTTAACAGCAAGGAAACAGACAGAAATTAGAAAAAAAAAATTACCCGTAGTGGTTTTTTTGGATGAACAACAGTCTTGGAATTCACTGGAGAGTGATAGACTGGTCTGAGTAAAGCCATTTTGGCCCATTGCCATCTAGACGTTTTCAGACGTTTGAGTGTTTAACCCATAGGTTCCTAACATGCCATCGTCATAGTCACTTATTTAAGTTAGAGCTTATTTGTTCCATTTTCTTATTCAATTAAAATCTTAATAAGACATCAATGACCCTTATAAATTTTCCGTAAACTTCATAACAGAAAAAGTTTATAAAAAAATTTTTTCAGTGACAGACTATTGATTTAAATTTACAAGTGGTGAGGTGACAAAAATTCCACTGCTTTATCTATGAAAGTAAACAGTCATGACACGTGTCGTTGACACTTGCTGATAGACAATTAACTAATAAATTTATTAACTTCGTTGTTGATTATTTTTTAGCTACAATAATTAATGAAGTTATAAAAAGATAATTATTATTCTTATTTGTTTAAATAAAAAATGTAAAAAATTGACTCAAATAATTATCAAAAATATTAAATAAAATTCAGTTGGCTAGGTCAGTGGTTCAGGAGCTGGAGCAAAGTAGTTGGAAAGAAAGAAGAATAAGAAAAGGAAAAAAAAACGCTCACTTTCAACAATGGATAACCACTTATGTAGTGAAGATGGTGATGGTGGTGCACTAAAACGAGTTTCTTCGCAGGTGGTGAATGCGGCTTGCTAAGGGGTTACAAAGACATGCCGATCAGCTGGCCATGTACTCTCCCTTAGAGATAAAATAGGGAACCTCAACATCCTGTGCCTGTTGAGCCAGCTAGCATCTGAACCAGCTATTCAATGGCTAAGTCAGTTCCTCACTCTAATGCTTTGTTTTGTTTATTCTGTTCATCAAATTCGCTTTTTCCGTTGCTTAATTTATAACACATCTGACATCTAAATAAAATTATACAGATATTTATTTTTAGAAAATTGATTTCAAGTTTCCAGTTCTTACCTCTTTCCTTGACAACTGGAAAAAAATAAATCATGATAGATTTTTTATCACTTTCCCTTTCGAACAGGATGAAAAAGCAAAAAAAGCTAGACTCTAAAAGAAAGTAGACTGGAAGTTGAATTAAGAAAGGAATTTAGGGTTGCAGACATCAAGTCACCAGTATTAACTGGCACGCGACTGCCACGCGCTCTTATTCCGTCTTCTTTCTTTTTAATCCTCCGCTTCCTTTTCTTATATTCTTCCTCTCTACATATTCACTTCTTCTTTCTTGTATTATATCGACGGATGTAAAACCACATGTATTAGGGCATGTGTCGAATTGGAAAAGAAATCAAAACTAAAAAAAACTTCCAATACTCAAGAGACTTTATCAACATTTTCAGGAAGTTCATGAACAAGTGTGTAGTCTGGATTTCTTATCTTTCTTTCCAATTCACCGTTTAACAAAGTGGTTCAAAGTCTTAGAAATTTTCAAGTAACATATAAAGTTTTTGCATCAACAATATCAATTAAAAGGATATTAAATAAATTCCGTAAAAAAATATTTACTTACATAATGAAAGGTGTACGTACTTAAATCAATTAGTTAATGAAAATTACGTCAAGAGTTACTGTAAAAATAGTTATTAGAGCAACCTGTGGCATTCAAGCTATCATTACATCAACGTGATTGGCGCAACAAAGTAGCCAGAATTAAAGGAGACTCGCCTTCAACTGTCCCTAATCATCAACTCACGTACTCATGAGAAGCAAATTAGTCCGTTGTTAATGTTGGCATCAAGACAGTGAAATAATCCGATGCTTGATTATTTTTTCCAACTTTGCTCTTAGCTTCATGTAAATCATATGAATTGCTTCCAGTCTCGATGGCTTTTAAAATATTGGTCATATTTACTCAGGAAGGAAATCTAATTATAGAAGAAGTTGTCAGAAGGTGGAAGTAAAGAAGACGAGAAAAGGTAGGGTGCGAGTAATACGAATAAGAATTGGTTGCATTGGACGTCGTAAAATGCAGCCTGCATCCGCTCTGCGCAGATGTACGTGAATGTTTGTCTTCCAGTTAGAGAAAGAAGCAGACAATTTTGACTGTTGGTCCATGACCAAGTCGTACTAAGCACAAACAGTCTACCTGGGACGATGAACTCACTAGAGCTTCCAAGAAAACTTCAACGAAGGTCATTGACTCGGAAAAGCTGCTTCTCCTCCTTCAGAGTCACAGAGAATCTTGAACCTTCTAATTGTCACATCAAATGTAGATTTTCTTTGAGCTCTTTTTTGCCATTTATCAATTTCAATTCTGGAATAAAAACGTTTTTAGTTGACTCATTAACTTTTCCAGCTGATGAAACTCACTTGAATCTCTCGAAAAGCATTGCTGAGAGAGTTTCGCTAATTTTAGATCAACTTAAGGGTCTCTGGATAGGCAGCTGGTGTGATTCGAGTCGCACGTGGTCTCCCGTATGACGTGTGTCCAGACGTATGACCGGACATCTCCCTTCTGTTCACTTTTTGATACCAAAAATGGACCTTTGAAATCTTATTCACCTTTTTAAATACATTTTCTTTTCTGAAAAAATTCAAACTCTATTTTTGACATCAACCTGGTCTTATACAATACTTATGTATGTGAACAATTCGATATATCTCGTTTATATTAAAGTTTATATTTGAATGATTGTGTTAAAAATAAACAGGTGGTAATGAGGAAAAGATTAGCCGGATGTTTGAAACTTACTGGAGTTAATCTCCAAACTGTCCAAAAGTTTGAATATATATTTAAAGGCTCCCTTTAACGGATGTGATGTTTGGGACAAGACAAAAAAATATGCGTGCAATCTCGTATAAATAGACAACAGTGACTGTCTTGCTAACTAATACTCTCTGGCAGATGACTGACTTCCTCATTTTCTTCAGGGTCAATTCCACCTTAAAAATGTTTTATCTACGAAAAAAGAGAAAATAAATTCTACATGTTTTTAGCTTTCTTTATGTCAACGACCTGAAAAATGACACGCTCTAGGATTTTTTTAAGCTTTACACTTGTTACTTCGATGTCTAGCAACCTGCTTGGAAAACATCGATCCCACACGCAAAAAGTGAAAACACGTGATACAAAGAAGACCAGTAGCCCTTTTCAGACCACATGCTTGAGCTTTAGAGGGGTCTTGGGCCCTTTCTGAACTATAGTATATGATATAGTTGAATTAAAAAACATGTGACAATCCATGGAGTAAAAAAAACTTGGGAAAAAAGTCAAGACCAACGCAGATTACACCTCCTCGATGTGTATAATAATTATAACGTTTTAAATAGCACTGGACTTTGGTAATTTCTTCGTAGGAGATGTTGAAAACTCAAAAGAAATAGTGATCAAGTTTACTTTTGATGATATCACACATTATTGATGGCATAACATCATGTATATAATTTAATCTCTGCTTACGAAACCTGAAAAAGCAAACGTTATAAGCTTCCCAGTTTAGGAAAGTTATTGTGATGAATTTGAAATTCAAAATTTTGAACTCATTTTCATGTTCTTAAAAAATAATAAAATAATTGGAAAAAATTAATTTTTGTTTAAGTTCCTTTAATATCATATCTTTTTTTTTTGAAATTATTTTTTGAGTTGAAGCTTTATTTCGACAGAAAGATGATGACTATCACCTGCTTCCATTGTTTAACAATGATTTTCGCTGGTGCTGTCGAAGAAATCTGACACTTACTTTTATGATTGCTCAAACTCATAACCTAAAGTAACGGATAAAGAGTAAATAAATTAAAGAAGTAATAAAAAAAACATTATAAAAAAAAGATAAAAAAAGAAAACGGGTAAAAGAATAAGAAATAAAAAAGTTAGCGACCAAAAGGGCACGTGCCTTGTTGTAGCTTTTATACGGCGGAACATACGTAGTAAAAGAAGAAGTAGGGTGCCAAGCTAAATTCACCGAGTTTATGGTTACGCTTTAAAAAAGACAGATGTTAAGATTTTATTTTTTGTTTTAAGTTTATTTTCCAAAGGTACGGAACTAATTTTTGCAATACAAAAAAAAATCATTTCTAAATATCAATTTATTTAATTTCAGATGCTTTATTTTGTTTCTAATAAATAATTCATCATATTTATATTTTTTTCAATTTCATTCTTTTGTTGCTCATTCACAATATTTAATTCAATAATTGACTTTGACATTTATATTTTTATGACATATATTAATAAAACAGTTTACTCTTCTTTGATTCTTCACTTTCTTATTTCATTAAAACTAATCAGTCCATAAAATCCTGATTACTTACTAATTTGTTTTTATGCCATGGTTAAATATTTCAAAAAATAGTCTAGAGAGAAAAAGAGAAAAATTAAGATAACAATGCCCTTAAACGGGTGTGTCACTCGACAAATAATAATAATACGGTGAGGTGTGCATCTCACAAGAATAATTAAATAGAACTAATATCTTAACTAATTATATAAAGAATAGACAAAAACATTTATAACATATTGGGTCTAACAGTCGATTTTTGAATGCTGAGAGTTTTGTTGAATCCGAACTGCTTTTACTGCAGATTCCAATCCAGTCACTGCAGATAAAACACGGAAAAGACTCTCCATCAGTCTGTCAAAAATTTCTGTCATTTCACTATCATTTTTTGTAACAACGAAAAGATCTGCTCTTTCCTGTCCTAAATATTTGCAATACATATTGACAGCTGTTGTTACGTCGTCATCATCGAAGAAAGGATCACTAGGCCATTGGGCCCGGTATAATCTCACAGCCTCAAGAGCCGCCGACCAGCGCGCGGATCTCAAAAATTCTGCAACTCGTGAGATATCTTCAAGAGAGCCACTAGGCAATGGACTTGGGCTCGGAGTAGGAGTCGGTGTTCCACGTTCACTTTCTGTACTTTCTTCTAGAGCTCGACAGAGTGCTGTTTTCATTAGTAATATCTCTGCTGACATATCATGAAGTGGAATTGTTACACTTCTGGAGGCTTTGGTTAAAGCTAATAGCATCTTATTTGATGCCTCTATTAACAGTAGTAATTGAAAATGAAGTTTATAAAATGATCGACCAAGTCCTAGAAGCATTTCTTCAGAATTAAAATCGCTTCCATGAGATTCTCCAAAAGCTTGAAGTTTATTTGTTGCCTTAACTGCTTCTAAACATTCTGTTGCATGATCTTTTTTATCAAGAAATGTTTCTAAATGTTCTTGAACCTCTAACATTCCGAATCTTAAAGTTTCATGAAGTCTTTGATTTGCAAAAACTGATACGGAGAACCAAACTAATGGAGGTTCAGCTTTTGAACTCAATAAATCAGCGTGACTCGATAAATGGGAAGCTAATTGAGCGGATGCTGTGCTTCCATTTGTCAACAAAGCCACTGCTTCTCGAGATAACCCAACAGATTTGCTGCACACATCTCGTAAAATTCTGCTAAGTAAATGGAAAAATTCTAAAATATTATATGGTGGCTGTGAAATTAAATTTTGAATTTGTTGTCGTCCCATTTCTTCAACATCATCACGTACTACTTGACGGAATGGTATCAATGCTGATAAATTCGGTGAAGCATTGCAAGGTGTTACATCTCCTAAATCGCCAGCACTAGAACCTGAAGTGTCTGACCTTGAATCATGACGAGTTCTATTTTGTATTAATGATAATGAAGATGGTGGAAACATTCCAGGAATACTACTAGCTTCTTGACCGGCTCCTGAACCTGATGGAACTTCATCAAGTGGTGATTCTGATCCCACTTCATCGTCAGATGATTCTTCAGCTACTCCACCACGCTGAAAATTTTTTTTTATTAGAAATTCGATAAATCTAATTTCTAAATATTATTTCCAAGTGATAAAAATTTTTGTAACTCACCCGAGAGGCGTGTTTACTAGAAGAAATAGTTTTCTCACTAAAACTCTCTTCATATTGTCGTAGACTTGACTCTCTTTCTTCTCCTTCACTAAGTGGACGTCTTCGAACTCCCCAATTAAAGTTATCAGTGCTTTCTCCTTCCACACTTTCACTCTCATATTCCAAAAAGTCGAAATCTTTGAAGACTCCAAACTGTTCATCGTCACGTCGAGAACCACCACTTAAATCATTGTTAGCACCAGAAACTTCTTCAGTAGACGATGCCATTGATGATTGCCGTTCCATTAAATCGGAACTTTGGCTAAATATCACCTGAATTATCATACAAATAAATATTATTAATAAATGATAAATTGCATTCGAATCTATGTAAAAAGTGATAGAATCTATACGACAAAGCTTATTATACTTCTTCTGACACTTTAGCGTGATAATTGAAGGCTTGTGCTTTCATAAACAATAAAGCATATACGGATATACTGATTACTTTTACTTAAACAGTACATGTGATTTAGTTCTACTTGCATAATATTACAGAGTATTGAAAAACTCTAATTGAGTTGTTTAATTAATAAATTGTGAATGTAATTAGTGTACTCGAAGCTCGAGTGAATAAAATGAACGCGAACGATTTCTAAAAAAATGTAAGCCTCGTCTATTTTTGTGTGCCATATTTATTTCTTTCTTACAGTTAACCCTCGTTACCTTGCTATATAGTGTCAATGAGCTAATATGTTCATCCTAAAAAAAAATAGGATCGTAACGGTTGTAAAGTTAGGGAAAATATTGAAATTGAAAATACTTACAGATGGACTCTTGGGAAGGCCTACTGGTTGTCCAAAAGGTCTTAAGAGATTCACTAAGCATTCTCTTACTCTTCCCTGTAAATAAAAATAATAATAATTATTATTATTAATCATGATTGCTATTTTTTTTTTTTATCAGTTTATAAGTTACCTGTGACATCCATGGACGTTTCCAACTAGAAACAATATTGGTATCAGCAGGGGATAATGATAAAGAACGTCGAGGGGATCCAGAAGTTTTTACATCATCAACTGGACGTTTTAGCCATCTTTTTCCAATCACAGGAGTTTTAGTTACATCGAATGTGAAGTCCATAGTTCTTCCTATTAATTATTCAAAAAATAAATGAAACAAAAATTCATTAAAATTCATCTTGAACTAGTAAAAAAATAATAATGAAGTGTTAGAGTGTACTAATAAAATTAAAATATAGAGAAATTTATATAAAAATATTCGTATTTTATTCCAAATAAACTTTTTACAACCACACACAGTCATTGTTATTCTTATCGCAACCTGACAGGCGTTGAGTGAGATGTGCAGTCCATGCAAGTGGTAAAGAAAAAATAAAAAATAAGTTATTTAATAAGAGTATAGTTATTATAAATTATAATAATTATTAATAACAGTTAATAAAAACATGCAATTTAAAATTATTAAACTTTTAGTATTTTTTTATCTTACCAGGTAATTCTTTCTTTGAAAATATTTCTGTATCTGTAAAACTAGGATGTGGAGAAGTCAAAGATGATTCCCATGAAGAAGCATGAACTGAAGTTGGCGGAGCAACTAAAGTTGAAGATCTTGTTACAACCAACTTTAATATTTTCAAAGCTTCTTTCCAATTTGGACCCTTTGATATTAAAACAAAATAATTACTATTCGTTTTTTTCTTATTGAGATAAATTTTTTATCAAGTTACTACTTTTATAAAACTTACTTCAACGTATTTGGAAATTACTCTCAGCAATTCTGTATTGATCGGTTGAGCTGCTTCAGATGCCAGATCAACATAATGCAAGAGACAGTGAATAATACTCAACACCGGTAATGCAATGCTAGCAGGCCCTTTTTCAAGGACTTCAACAAGAAAGGCTAACATATTAAAACTGAGATGAGCATAAGTATCATATAAATATTTAACGACACACTTAGTCCACTGAAAACTTTCCTTGCTAAATGTACGTCGAGAATATAACGTCATTACAGTACCCAAGTGATCTAATTTCTTCCCTTTCTCTGCGCTTACTTGAGCAATATTTTCTGCACTTCTTATACAAAGCTCATTTGCATCTTCAAAATTTAACAACATGTATGGTAATAATGAAATAACATTCATCGGAAATGCGAGACTTTGCGTGGGATCGACGAATGGTAAATCTAAAAGTGGTGTAAATTGTGAAAGAAGTGTAACAACTGGTTCATATGTGTTTGGACTTGTACACCCTTTCAGAAGTAATGCATGGACACCAGGGAATGAATTCCATCCTAACTGTTGTTGAAGTTTCTCCACTTTATCTCGTGCATCCGGACGATCTAGCGGAAGACGATGAAGAACTCTTCCAAGTAATCTTAGAGCCAATAAAAATTCATGCTCATAATCTGACTCAAGTAAAGATACTGACAGCCAAAAAAGCTGAGCCAGGATAGTCATTTTATCATCTTGAGAAGCAGAATCTCCAAGAAGTTTCAAAGACTGTGCTGACCGTGATCTTGCTAAATTTGAATTAGGATATTTAATACCACCACTGCGGCAATCAAGCTCTTTGGGCTCACTAGATGTTGTTGATCCAGCAGCTGACTTTCTCATGCAATAGCTAACAGAATAACTAGTACTTCGAGCATGTCCACCTTGATTTAAATGAGCTAAAACATGAGCTCCTGGAAAACCGCCAATTCCCATGTTTTTCTTCCCAGCCATAATTGAAGCAGCGTCTTTATTATTCAAATTTGGAGTTGATTTAAATATTTCTTTCATAAAGTCCAATGGTCTAAAGTCCGATTCAAGAGAATCCACTGCAGCTTCTAATGTTAATAAAAGTTCTGTCACATATCCTTGCATATCTTCTCCTTGCTCAGCAACAGTTTCTACAAGTCGTGATAGAATATCTGATAACATACGAGAGGTTATTGGTACTCGAAGAGCTCGAAATACTTGAAGAGATCGTCCAGCATAGTGTCTCGATGAACAAGATAATCCTAATTGTAATGCAGTTTCTGCCCATCGTTGACTAACATGAGCATGAGGTAAAGAATCTCTAAAAACTCTTAATACATGCCTCAGCAAAATTGTCAATTGTTCAGCGCTTCTAACCCACCAAACTTTAGCGGTCATGTCTTCATAATTCCAAAGTGGTTGATTTATCTTAGATGCAAGGAAATGGATTAAAGATTTTATAACATCTTGAATAGGCATATTAGGACCTGGTTGTGGTCCAGTCCAGTTGGCAACATCTTCAGGTGTAACAATCACTGGAGGAGGTCCATTAGATCCTGAAGACGGTGGCCAGGCACGTAAAGGCGTCTCAAATTCTTTTGATATATCTTTAATTTGTCCTTGAGTTACAATTGGTGGTGTTAAAGAGTTAGAAGGAATAGGAGAGTGAGAAGGAGAGGCATCAGAAGATCCAGAAACCGACGGTGAAGAAGGGAGAGGTGGCGGAGGTGGAATTGCTGGTAAAGATCCCGATGAAGTAGCAGATTCTTTAATCTGATCTCTAATTTGATTATGCGTCGCAGAGTTAGGCGGTGTTACAGACGTAGGCAAAGTAGGAGAATGAGAGGGAGAAGCATCTGAGGATGATACAAAAGACGTTGCAGTATCAGGTAAAGGTGGTGCGGGGGGAGGAGAATATACTGGAGGTGGTGTATGCGACCTCGGTGGTGTAGTCGTAGGTGGAGCTGTGGGAGGACCATATAAATAAGCATCAAATTCTGGATCTACGTCAGTAAAGTTATGCTCTAAAATAGGTAATGATGGAGTGCTAAGTCCTAATCCTAATTGTTCTGTTTTTGATGCTAAAAGTAACCGCGCCACACCCAAATGATCACGATGATCACCGAGTACTACTAAAAGATTTAAAAGAAGAAGACGACAATGGTCTCGAACGAGAGGCCTGGAGTGATCTAAACCAAGAAAGATAATGTGAAGCATTAAAGGAACATGAATCGACCAGTCTAGCTGCACTCCATCAACGACAATATCCGTCAAGAGCATTATAGCTATGTTACATCGATGAAAACCACTTATTGGCTGTGAGCTGTCGGGTAGATACTCGGTGAGAGGAGCAAAGTACCCTCCATACTCTGGCATAGGTAAAGGATGTGGTTGAGGAATGTCAAACTTTTCTTGATTAACTTTGTTAGAAACTGTAGAGTTTCCTCCTCGAGGGCCATACATTTTTTCATCCGTTGTCAGCTCAACTTCTGTTGTAGGAGTTGATAAATCATCAGGTAAAATAGGAGGTCCACTTGTAGTTCTAGTTTTTTCTGTCCGTGGAGTTTGAAAGCCAGCTAATGCTCTTAAAGCAGTATCAGATTTAGATCCTGTTTTTACGGGATCTTCTCCTGAGTGTCTCTTAGTATGAATAGTTCCTTTTTCAACAGCTAAATCCCGAGGTGGGTTTCCAGGATCTGCTGCTGGAGCATCACTATGCGATGATGCTTTTCTCATGCTAGTTAATCTGTAGAATGGTGGAGTTTCTGTTCGTTCTATCAAGCAATTCAATGTTTCAACAGTCTGAAGCTCTGTCATCATTTCATCTACTAATCGATCCGATTTTGCTCTTGCTAAGAACAAGACTACCCTTTTAGCATAAGGCAACAATTCTTGAGGTGCCATTCCTGAGACTATTATCAAGTACCGAATAATAACTTTAAGATTGTTTGGCCAACATCCGCATAAAGTTGCCCAAAGTTCTTCCACTTCCTTTGGATGCTCATCAGAAAACTGTAATGATGAAAAAACTTATTTAATAATACTAATAACGAAAAAAATTTTATTATTTTTTATTTTAGCAAAACTTTAATAATTTCATTATGTAAAATGTATTAAAAATCTCGTTATAATTGCATAAAACTAATAACCGTAAGATTACTTCAATAAACACAATTTCATGTATGTAGATGATTACTCAAACAATATCTATTATTTGAATACGTTCATTATATTTGCAATTACATTTTACTTTCCGTTCTAATAAAAAATATTCAAATAATCATTACAGTAGATTGGTAATATTTTACATTAGGATCATAAATGGATAGAAGTATATAAGCAGAGTCATAAAAATATTTAGAAAATCATTTTTTTACTTTTAAATGAAGCAAAAAAAATATACATGAAAAATAGTTTTTTGCAATCTCTATAGAAAATGTTTTTTTAAGAAAAAAAATCTGACAGCAAAATAACGTCAACACTTACTGGTGATTTTCATTATAAAAGCTACAAAAAAGTATTCCGAGATTCATTTATGTATGACTCTCTATGTCTAAACTATTAAGTTTTAAATAAAGCTTTCACCAATTTTTTTATCAAAAGCTGATGCTATTGAAAAAAAGTCCTGTGAAATGTCTTTCTGTCCAGTTATCCATTTAAAATAATTAAAAAAGATCAAAAAGAATTTTTTTCGCTCTAGAGATCTACTGATACAAACTTCTATCATGGCCTAAAAACCCTATTTCCGTCCAAAAATCTCGCCTATTTCATTTTAATTTATGTTGTACAGTTTTGTAAATTAAAATTTTCTTCAAGTTATGAATTTTGTCCTACAGAAGAATAATTTTTAATTAAATTTTATATCATTTTGTAATGCATTCATAAAAAAATTAAAAGGATTTAAATGAAATATTCGTCATAACTTGAAGCATTTTTAAAATATACTAAAGATGGAAATTTGATTTGATGAAATGTCGCAACATAATAAAATTATAATGTAAGTTACTTTACGCAGTCCACTTAAGTAATTAGAAAATTCTTCTTATGCTTTCCAAATGGACAAAGGACTTCATATAATGTGCTATTATGTCATTGATTGTCACTTAGCATGGTTAATGCTTTGATGTCGGAATAATTAGATCGATAAACTATTGTAACGGATTTAAGAATTTATTGTGAAGTGGAATCGTGGGTTGAGCTATTAATATTGTTAGACAATAGAGTGATAAAGTGGCTTAGTATTAGATTAATTATTTTGATTAGATTTTTCCAATTTATGTACACCTTTGAAACTTGACTACGACGTAAAAGAGTGGAAAAAGGGAAATAAAGAATAATTTTATCATTAACTTATCAATTGTTGCAACCGTACCTGCATACGGGTCAACTTCAAGAACATGGGGTGAATATACCATTTATAATATTGAAGATCCTATCCGTCTACTACAAAGTGAAATATAATTAGGCAAGAATCATAATCGAAGATAATGAATTTTTCAATGTACCATCCACCACATGCTATTAAACAATAATAGGTTATATGAGCTTCATTCATTTTTTTTAATTAATTCAGAGCAATTATTTTTATGCAATAACTTTTTAGGTCATTAATAGTAATTGGAGGTTTGATCAAATTTTATTTAGCTCAATTGTTTTTCCTTCATCAATTGTTCAATATTTTATTACCTATCCACTAAAAAAATTATTTGCTTTTATAATAAAAAATCTCATCATTTTTTTTCGATTATTTTACCACAATAAATGGATAAAAATATTGTTCAGTTGAAAAAAAAAAAAAAATTCTCTATAGAGATAAACTAATTTCAGAGGTGTCATGAGTCCCGTTAGTTTTTAAAAGTGAGTAAATGTTTTCACAGAACAGTGAAGCACAAATAGATAATATTTTTTATTATTTTGAAAAAGATATTTATTGTTAAATTTTTCTATCCGTTTAACTCGATAAGATGAAAAAAAAATATTCGAACGATTTACTTTTGCATATTCAAGGTATTTACTGTCTTGAAAACTGGTTCTTTTTAAACAAAACAAAGGATTTTAAAAAAGAAGAATGTGATATTTTTTTTTCTTTTTCAAAATAGCTCCAGTAAATTCAATAAAAGAATAAATAATTATTAAACAGATTTTACGGTTTCTAAACTACTAAAGAATTTGTTCATTACATGACATTTTATTTTCTTTATGAAAAACAGATTCAAAGTATATACGCTATGCTTTGTAAAATTAAAATTTATATTATGCTGTAAAAGGGGTTTGCAAATTAAAAGATATTGTAGATATGCATAAGTTTATGTTCAAAATATTTATGAGTCAAATTATTTATCAAAATTGCCAATGTTCCCTACATACAATAAAGTTCTTGTAAAATTTTTTATCACTAAATTTGTGCTTCCCAGTAAAAGACTTCATATGTTTTTACTCTATCTATCATTTTTTTTTTGCTATGTAAGCAATGATGTGTTCAAAGTAGAACTTTTTTATTATCTCAACTGTAATAAACGTTCAATTTTACTTTTTTATATAAAGAGAACTCTTCCAAAGAATCATTAATACTTGCACAAAAAAAAAAACATTTTAATTTAGTAGTTATGAATTTCACTGATTGTAGAAATAGTAATTTATTTCTTTAACTTCTTTTAAAGTAATAAAATTAAAAAAATATTTCAAATATAAACTTTGAATGTAATCTTCAATAATTCATTATATCTCATATAAAAGATGAAAAAAAAAATATTAAACGTTTCATTACCTTGACTGTGATATAAAATAAATTATTTAGAACCATCTCTGTAGCTTCAGCAGATCCCCAACCTTCTCTTCTAGCACCTCCTCGCGTGATATCAGTCATATAATACTGGAAAAAAATTTTGATACACTTTAAGCTCATATTGCAAAGCAAAATATAATCATGATAAAAATAAAAAAGATAAAAGCAAACCAGACAATTTTCTTTTAGAATGTTATACATGTATGAGAGGTCCATTAGACACTAATACTCATAAAGAAGTACCCTTAATGATAGTAAAACACGAAATATCAATAATAAATAAACGATAAAATAATTTTATAGAGCATAAAAAATAGTTTAAACAATTAACTCAAGTGTGTAATTAATATCAATTGGTGCTATAAAATCTATTTTTAAATAAACATAGAATTCATGTATGTAATGTATGAAAAGAAATCGGAATAGAAATAAGGTTTAGAACACCCATAGAAAATTGTATTACAGTCACTTTAAGCTTGCTGATTTAATCTATAATCTACTTCTATGGCTCATCCAGATGCTTGAAATCTTAAGATAATATCGATACTTCATGTCCATACGATGGAAACGGTGGTAATTGCATTGAGGTAATTCTAGAGTGCAGTGGAAGATGATTTTCTTTCGAGGGAATTCTCAGTTAATAGCATTCGCTTGTAACAACCATGTCTTCTACAGTCGTACAATAAAGGAGTGTCATTTCCATCTCATATTATCCTTTCTGCATCAAAGAATAAGGATTATTATAAAGTTATATATTCTGAATATCTCTTGGAGCTTTATTCAACATTATCTGCCGAATATAACTGTAGGATAATCTGGTTGATGCCAGATTTATATTTTATCGAAGTATTCAAGTAAAATTTCAATATGAAGCAATTAATCCAAGGGATGTCAACTGTCGAATATAGTTTATTGTGACTCACAGTTGTTTTTTAATGTTTGTCTCTTCAGTTCTGTATGATAGGTATTAATGCTTGCTTTTGAAAAGCTCCTCTCAAACTTGTCCAGTGTTTTATTATTCAGACTTTAATGTATAACTTGACAGAAGTGTTGATCAACTGGATGCTGATCGATTATATCGATTGTTATATTTATATTGTTCGAAAAATGGTATTAACGTTCTTTTTGAAACTTACTCGTCAACTTATTCCATTTGATAGCTTTTAATTGACTTTCATATATCTGTTGTTTATCTGATAATGGAAACTTCACTTAGTTTATAAAAATAGATCATTCTATTTGAACTTTAACTATCATTTGTTCTATTATATGTCATTTTATTTTATTTGCTAATTGCAAATAACATTTCATAAATTCTAACTTGGCATAAAATATTCATGAAGTTGAAAGTTTCTTCAGGATTGTGTATTATTAATTTATAAATTCTTAAAACTTTTAATGTTTTATTTAATTCGAAAAACTAAATACTATATATGATTATCAATGTTTGATATCACGAGAGCTTCAACTTGCCGTTGATTTCAATTATTATTTTCGTAAAATAAAAAAAAAAAACAATGAAAAGAAATATAAGTAATATAAAAGCATTAAAAAACTTGTTTTATAGAAGGATTAAAAACAAAGTTAAATTCAATATTTTAATCTAAAATACCACAATTGTGGAAGATATAGTTAAAAAACATATTAGATAGCATGATAAACTTTAAACTAAATGATATTGCCATTTTAAAATCACAAGTACTCCAAGTGAAAAATATTCCTTCGCTCAGGTATACTCTCACCCGGAATGACCTTTTATAAAAACGGGCTTTCACAAAAACCCATTATTTTCGTTTATTTGCCAAGTTCACAAAGACACAAACTATGTTTTGACATTTTCTACAATTAAATTTTTTTCTCTTGAGATTTTTTACATCACCAACTAATTAAGTTTACCATCATAAAAGTCTTGTATATATGATGATATCTTAATGAATTTCATAATGTTGCAAATTAATAAGTATTTTAATTATTTATATAATTACAATTTTTTGCTTGCATGATCTATTAGTTGTTAACTAAAAAAAATTATTTATTTATTCATATTTATTAAAAGTATTGTTATCCAGCTTTCGTTATGATAAGTACCAACAATATTAATAAATGACTACATTTTAGAAAATATTAACCACATGATGCTATAATTATTGGAATATCTTGGAATGAACTTCAGTGATTTCAATTAGAATATCTATAGCTCAGCTTCAAATCAATTCTGTAATCATTCACTTATTTCTATTTATTCTTCGCATACATTAACTATAGTGCTGATTTAAAGTTTCATTTAACTAGAACTCATTTTGTAAACTTTTATCATTGAGTACTATAAAAATATTTACGTAATAATGAACAAAAAAACTTATCTTTTAAAAATTACCTGGATTAATACTCAATGTTTCTGAATTGACATTGAGTTTGATTTTTCAAGTGATTTTGACTAAAGAAAAAATTCAAAACAACTACGAGATAATTTCTTTGATCAAAGAAAACTTATCTCATTTGATAGATCACTCGCTCAGTATGCAAAAGATATCGAAATCGATATTCATCACTTCGAAAAAGTTTATTTTTATCGCAGTGACTGTTAATAATCAGTATTTCAATGGAGTTACTGATCATTGTTTTAATTTATGATTGAATACTAATTACCTGATAATAACTTGAAGGATTAGCTGGCGGGGGAACATTTGGGTCGACTAATTCCATATTGTGGAGCCACGGTAGTAGATATTGAAGCAACAGTTGTCGAACTTCACGTCTGGCAGTTTGGAATCTATGAGTTATCTCTGTAACAACCAAATGTTAGTTGATAGATGATGGCAGATTAGTGGGGATTGAAGTAAATGGTTACACAAGGGGTAAATAAAGATGAAAAGAGATGAAGAAAGATAGAAAATGACCAAGATATAGGTAGGTCGGAGCTTTTAAGTTCGTTGGACTTGATTGAAGCAGTCAGCAAGCATTGATGGAGTATGAATAACCAAAGAGGTGTTTTGCCAATAAACTTTGATGCTTGACAGATGTTCTACGTGCAATTACGATTATTCTATCAACCACGAATGGATAACAAGATAAAAAAACTAACAAGATAGAACATGAGATAAAAACTAGCATGATTAAGTGGCTGGTGGAAAGTAGTAAAGTGCAAAAGAAGAAAGTTTCATCATGTTACTGAGGCTTGTTTAGATTCTAAAAGTAGAATTCGCTCATCCATTTGATTTTAGAATGAAATTCAGAACTTCTGGGTGAGAGACAGGACGGATATTTGCCTGCGAGTTATAAATGGAGTGATAATTTCTGTTACATGGAATGTTGTCACTATCAATGAGCTTTGGACTACGCTCTAAGTCCTACTTTTCATCCTAACACTAGTCTATACATGCTGAGTTTATTGTGAGAGCTCCAACACCCTCTCTTATCTTATTTAGGCAAGTTAATCCGGCTATTTTCATGTTCAAACCCCTGAAAAGCTTCAATAGACTCACTCTAGTGTGTTAACAACTGTTATTCTAACTACTTATCAGAAAATTTTTATATCAAAAGCTAAAATAAGTTATCAATTAGTAACTAATTAGAAATTAAATCAAATTTCTTACCGCTGAACATTGGCATCGTCAACTCTGGATGAAGTTGAGCTAATTGCGTCGATAAATACATTTGATTTCGACAGTAGGATGTAGTAAGTAATGCATTAAGAGTTCCAGCTTTAACTGTTGTATATGTTCCTCCTGTTGATCCTGTAACTACTTCAGATGTTATTCCAGGTCCCAAACTATTAGCTCCAACTTCTTCTTGGTCTAGAATAAAAATGTTTTTTATTTTTCACACTTTTGTTTATTTATTAGTAGATCTAAAAATGTTCTAGCATAAAAAAGTGGATGTAATGATAGAAACATATAATAATTATCTCTTATAAATAGAAGAAGAGGGGAAAGAGACGAAATTCATGATGTGACGGCTGAGCGTAAGAAAGTCCTGATGCGCGCAGAAGCCGGAAACTTCGCGGGCTTTATCAAGCTTCCATCGGACTAGAGAGCTCGCAGAAATAGGTAGAACGTCGATCCAATGAGGGAAATATTCTCGCGTATTTTTCAATGTTCTATCATATTTTATGATCTTTTCTGACATCCGAATATCTTCCTACAATCGATTGTATTTAAGAGTTATTATTCGTTCATTGAACTTTGTGTCTTTAATCAATTTTAACACAATTGAAATTTCATCAGTGTCTAAGAAAAGTGCACCATGTTAACAATGTTACGAGTTAAATTAAATTATCTTGAACCTTGAAAAGAAACTAAGAAGAAATATTTTGGCACATATGCCAAGTCATTATTCAATGAAGACAAATAAACTTCCTCATAACCCACGTGGATAAATTATATGGATTGAACTATAAAGCAGATGTACTCTTAGTGTTTTTAAGCATTGTAACTATCATTAAAACGTTATGGAATCAAGAAAAGAAGCAAATAAAACATTAATACAATCTCCGGATTGGGTAGAAACAATAATATTTGGTGTCCAAATGTATTATACTCCAGTTTTAGTGTCATTAGGAACATTGGGCAACTGTTTATCAGTTTACATTTTCTGTAAAACCAAGATGAGAAGTGTTTCATCAAGCTGGTACTTATCAGCACTAGCTATTAGTGATACTGGTTTCCTCATATCGTTGTTAATAGCTTGGCTTAATATGGTTGGTGTTGGCTTATTTAATCGCCCCGGTTATTGTCAATTCTTCGTGTATTTACCAACGCTCTGTAGCTTCTTAAGCGTATGGTTCGTTGTCTCATTTACGGTTGAACGATTCATTGTCGTTCTTTACCCACTTCGCCGTCAATCAATGTGTACAGTTGCCCGAGCAAAAACAATCCTAATTGGGCTGACAATAATTGGTTCAATTTTGTGTAGTCCAGTTCTTTGGTTCTCTAGTTCTAGACCGTCGAATCAAAAGTTTAATTCAACTGTTTGCGGACTTGCTGATGAATGGGAACATTTGGCGTGGATTTTTAATGTTGCTGATACAATTCTTACGTTTGTTCTACCATTTACTGTGATTGTTATTCTCAATGGACTAATAATCAAGACTGTCTGGCGGCTTGCTAGAGTCCGAATAAATTTGACAAGTTCGATAAAAAATAAAAGAAATACAAAGGGTAAATCTTTAGAGCTATCTCAAACAAAGGTCACTAAAATGCTTTTAGTTGTTTCAACTTTTTTTCTGTGCTTTAATCTACCCGCTTACGTCATGAGAGTTCGTGCATTCCTTGAGGTGAGTCAAAAGCATTGTTGATTTTTATTAACGATATTAATTTTAATATTATTAATATTTTAATCATTAATATTAATATGAAATTTCTTAATCAATATTATCAAATAATTCACGTTTTTGATTAAATTTGATCAACATCTCAAAAATTAATCGTTTAATTACAATTTATGAGTGATAATTTTTTAATTTGTTAAAAAAGTTATTTTCTACAATATTAAACTAAGGAAAAAGTATATAATAAAGCAGAAAACTTTTCTAATTGATAACTTATGTTCTCTGTTTATCATTGTCTACCTTTAATGTTTCTTTAGGAAGGAGAACCACCACGTGCAGTAATAATAACTCAACATATCTGTAACCTGTTGTTCGATACCAACTTCGGAATTAATTTCGTTTTATACTGCGCAAGTGGACAGAACTTCCGTAATGCTGTAATCGCAATCATCTTCAAACGACCAAGGCGATGGAATTCTGGTACACCAATGTCGAATCATGGTAATAAAACTTTTCCAAGTTAAACAGATTGTGCAAGAGTTTTAGTATAAATAAATCTCTTGAAACCTTCAATCTGTTGACTGATAACATGAGATTTATAGCTTTAATAGCATTCATTTTAGTGAATTTAATTAGCAAACAATTTAATCCAAACATTCTATTTCCAAATATTCAAACAATCCATTTCATCAAGTTTCATTTAATAAAAATCTACACAAATCTGAAATGCAATTTGACAAGACAAACAATTATTGAAAAATGTAATTTACAGAAGCCTCAATGTATCTATCGAGAAATTTCAATAATGCTATCATTTATTCAAAATTATATGCTTGAACTAATTGGATCAGTTTCCAGTATTAAATATCATGGAAAAATTTTTTGTTTATTCAAAGTTAAATTAATAATCCTAATATAACTCTTTTTTGACTTTGTAACAGCTTCGGATTATCGAAAATCATACAACAATTCAATGCGACGTCAAAAAACAATAGTCTTCGAAGTTCCTTGGACCGAAGAGTGTGAATTACAACAATTTTCTCAAAATTCAAGAAGAAGTTTTTTGTTAAGACAAAATTCGAGTTTAGCCAGTGATAATTAAAAAGTAACAATCACAACAGCTATATAAGCGATAGAAAAAACTTACTGGTCTCAGGGTCAGCAGTTGGAAGAGGTCGCACGTTACCAAAAAATCTCTGGTCTAATAGTTGAAGGAGTTGAAGAGCCGCATCTTGAACGGGTGCGCGAGGACATCCAGTATTCATCAGACTGACATTTATCACGCTTGTATAATGATCGCAAGGGTATTCCCTAGATAGTAAATAAATAAATTGTTTTTAATTTAAAATAAAAAATTGTAAATATAAGCAAAATTGAAAAAAAGTTTTGTAGAATAATACCTGGCACTAAAAATTGTTGCTAAACCAAGAAAACAGCCATCAGCTACTTGAGGAATTCCCGTATAACATCGATCAATCACCCAATCCAGAAGAGTTCCAATATCTGGATTACCTTCTAGTAGTAATACAACAGTTTCTCGAGCCAAAGCGTAAATCTTTAAAATTAGAGGATTAAATTGAGTTTTATTATTTTTATTCTCTAAAATTGTGATTTTTATTTTCAATATTCACAACAAACCTTTTCATCTTTACTAGCAAGTAACAGATCTAACCACTGATATAAAATTGCACCTTCTTCAGACAAAGATTGGGGATTAAAACAAGATCCACAACACAAGAGACTACTCATGGCTTGTAAAGCTGATAGTTGCAATTCTGAGCACGATCTTTCTTCGTCCAAAGATGTTATAGAATTTGTCAGCGGTTTACCATAAGGACCAGCCCATGTTGCGAATAAGGTGAATAAATTTCTTCTTAAATCTCGTTTTACCAATGAATGACATGCTTCCACTAGAGAAAACCAAAAGTCATAAATTATTTTTACTTTTGTACTATTTAAAATAATTTTGAATTATCTTCAAACTTACACGAAAAACTCTTAATCATTTTTCTAATAAAATTACAAAAATGTAATTTAATATCCCGAACAGCGGGAGCTTCTTTATCTGTTTCATTTTCAAGATAAACTCTCACTCCATCGATGTATTCAATGAAAGTTGGATGAAGGGACTGAGTTTCTCTGTCAAGTACTGCTGGGCTAAAATTAATATTTCAATAAAATGAAACATTTAATTATAAAATAATTAAATTATATGGATAGTAACAGATATTTCTGTACAAAATAGTTTTCATAATAATAACTCTTCTCTTACCAAACTCCAAAAATTCCATACTCTGCTATAAACTCTAACACTCTAACTAGTTGAAGTCTTAAAGCATCCCGCCTCCGTCGTCTTCTCATGTTTTCCTGCTTTCTATCCACTGCTTCACGGATGTAAGGAACAAGTTCTTCCATCAAGTCTCTGTAAAGTAATGAAATTCAATTAGTTAATTTTCCACTTTATAAATTATTACAATCAACCTTCATGGTATTTAATTTTGATGTTTATAAAAAAATAAAATTTTCACTTACTTTAAAGCATCAGCGTTTACTTTTCCCATTGCTTGAACCACAGCGTCTCTTACATCAACAGTCTCACATCTTAATAATGGCACTGTAAGTTTATATAATGCTGCTGGGCTTGCATTTGTTCCTGGAGATTTATTATCACCACGTTCCGCCGATAAACTGTCAGGTGATGAACTGCAGAAATTAATTTTCAATTACCAAAACTATTATGATAATCCATAAAATCATCAACCGTGTATTGAAAAATGAATGATGTGTTTTTAAGTGCACAAACACCAATCATAATGATCTCTAATCTATTTAAATGTACTAATCGTGAATCTACAATAGTCTAATCTAAGTTAAAAGTGTTGATAAAAATCTAGTGATATCTATTTAACTATAAGATAGTTCAACTTCTAAATTTTAATCTATTGAGTAATTAGTTGAAAAATAGTTGTGCACAATCAAACGATCTTCCTGTGTGAAGTATGTGATATAATTTATAAAAATTATCTTTTTTACGATGAAATAAATTCTTATTCATCTCTTTTGCGAAGTTTTTTGTCACTTAGGCTCACCTGGTCCGCTTATGCCTGGTGTAGATTCCAGATATTGATGGTACGGAGAATCGGCCCGGCAGGGTCTGTGCCCCGCCGAGGTTCTCCAGGCTCTGACTCAACTCCTTACTCATGCACAACACACCAAAGTCCACCGTATGCTGACCACTAGAGTATGCAATACAGTGTACCACCAATGCTTATTTTATCAGACGTATTTTTTACTGGTTTTAGCGCAAAGGAGTAAATTACAGACAGAAATACAAGGAGATAGAATTTTAGTAAGAACGGTTAAAAAGAAGGAAAGTTAGAGAGTTACATCGAATTATTAGTTAATAGACAATAATCATGCATTATATTTTAATTCAATAGCGGTAAAATGCAAATTAGAGTAAAAAATGGTGCTGTGTTGTACATTTATCACGAACAATTTATATTATTTTCTATAAATATAAAATGAATTAGAATTAAAAAAAATTTTATCAATAAATTTTCTAAGAATTTGTAAACGTGTGTTGTCTAAGTAAAAATAAAATAAAAAATTGGAGTATAGTGATTGGCTAGAGTCAACACTACAGACATAAGCAGACAAGACCCAACACCAATAAATATTAAATTAATTATGTTAATAAAATATGTTTATACTATTTATAAACTAGTGTAAAAGATTTTTTAAATATTTAATCATTTTTAAATATAATTAATTATTTAGTAGCAATTATGCATCATTAATTTTTTAATTATATATTATTTTGCAAAAAAATTTCAACTGTAATTTACCTGAGACTTAAATCTGGACTAGCACATCGAATAATTGGGCTCGGAATAGGTGGGACGACTCGATAACCAAAAGTTAAATAATTTTTCCAAATATGCAAGTAAACATCTCGCTCGTTTATAGGTTTTCTTACTGTAGCTGAACTTCTCAATAATGAAGCTCTATTGTCATTTACTGGCCTGAAATAAATTAATTTTTAAACTTCATCTATTTTTAATTATTTAGTTGGCCTTTTTTTTAAATTTTCAATAGAAATAATTATTCAACAATGTCAACCTTGAAGAAAATCTATATAAGTATACTTACGTTGGATCAATGACAGTGAAGAGGGAATTGATTCTCGTAAATACAATGGGCCATGAATGGGCAATAGCATTAGGACACAATGAAAGTACTCGATCTCTTTCTAAAAAAGCAAATAAACAAGTACTCCAAGGATCTGCTCCATTAAGGTTGAGTAGGGATGAACTTTTGATACTATTTTCATCATGAAATCCTGCAGTCCATATACAGCTACTTCTATCAGCGATCCATTGTAAATCTATATTAGATGTAGCTGCAGCTGCGGCTTTCTCTGCTGGTGGTAAAAGGTGATAACACTTTTCTATAACTGATGGACAACATGCATCAATCACATCAATTACTGGTTGATCAGTTTCTGGACCACCTACAGCTTTTAAAATCATCTTGACTTCACGAAGAATATGAACTGCTAATCGTCTTGGATAAAGTCGACAATTACAAAGCATCACTAAAGCAAATCCTTCAACTAAGTGGAATACACTTGAAGCTTGTTCAATCCTTTGACTTGAGGAATCAATTTTCTTTACAATAGGATCAATTCTTGGATTAATTCTGTTATTTTCAATCGTTTGTTCCTTAGATCTCGGACTTGGATTGGATAAAGCATTTTTCCAAGATGTTAATAGTTGTAAAAGCATTCTCAATCCATTATCAACAAGTTGAGGAAAAGTGTCTTGAACATCTCGCGCAAGAAATTGTGTGAATCCAAGAACAACATCTTGTCGCCAGTCTGGAAAATCTAGGACTAGTGTTTGTAAGCTTTGATAAGCAAGACCGCGAAGTTCTTCATCCATATGAACAGTAATTCGAGCTAAAAGATCAACCAATTCTGCTCCAGTCATTCCGTCAGGGATTAATCGTGGAACCGCAGCCACACAAGTTCTGAACAAATCGATTCTTGGTTTTCTATCTCCCGTTATCATTTCATCTGGTTCTTTATTCATATTTTGAGTGCTCGTCATCATTAAAGGTCGGCCATAATGAACATCTAAAGCTCTGAGAATATCAACAAAGACTCTACGAACATGAGGGAAGTAAGATGACATCCCTATACTTTTAGCTGTGTCTTCAGTTAACATTTTATTGAGAAAAGTCTTCTTTACTCTCATTGTATTACCGCTAGGTAATACACCCATAGTTCTTGGCATTGGAGGTTCTCCTTCTTTTTGCTGAAGACTATCAGCAACAACTAAAAATGCTCTCAAACCAATACTCATTCTTTCAGGTGTTAGAATGACTTTTACTGGCCTTCCAACTGACAATAAATCAAACACTATTTCTCTCATTGCAAAGTCAAGTCTTTCTTGAGCTATAAACTGAATGATTTTAACAAAAATATTTAGAGGAGTATCTCGAGGTATTACTGCTTTAGATCCTTTGGGAAAAAGTGAGTTAACAATGCTCTGAAGTCGACTCTGGGTTGCTGAATTACTTTCACATTTTATTCTAATCATGTAAACCCATAACAATCGATAAAGAGCTTCGAGAGCGACTCTACTCATCTTAGCATCACGACTTTTTAAATTAGAAAGACACATTGCTAGAAAATAGTGCCAATTTTGTAAGAAAAATTGTTTTTGACTCACACATAAAAGGCATGTGACTAGAGGAAATAGAGCTAAACGATGTTTAGATTTAGTGCACATATCCAAAGTTGTTGAATAAAGCATGTCAACGAAATTTTTCAAACAAGGAACATTAACTTCATTTTTTACAGCCGCTGCAACAGGAACTAAAATTTCTACAAAAAGTCCTGCCAATGCGTGTTTAACGTCTTTATCTTTAACATCCAAAAAATACTGAGCACACTCTTGCATAAATTGAAATGATGCTTCAAATTCCTCAATCGGTACCATTTTCACTCTAAAAAATTTCATACCCATCAGTAGTGAAATGATGCTTTGAGTTGTATGAGGGCCGGGTTCTCTAGCTCGTAACTCCTTTAATTCAATCATAAATTGTTTTCTCACAGCCTTGAAACGAGATTGAGCAAGAACTCCAATGACCTCAGCAAATAAATCAGCAATGATGTGAATATTTGCAGCATTTGGTTCATTCTGAATGCCTTCCCTATACTTGAAATGCCTGAATGCAATATTCTCAATTTCTGTAACCAAATCCTCGTGACCTGGATGAAATGGTAACTGGCGTAAAACTTCAATCAACATGAGACAAAAAATAAATTCAACTGCAAGATCTCGGCGTTCTTGGAGAAGATCAGCTTCACTTTTTTCAACAGTTTCAACTTTTTCAGAACCAGACACTATTGTATACATAATACTTTTACCTTTTTGATCTTCTTTTCCAGGTGCAGGTTTTTTTTGATCATTTCCTTGATCTGCTAATTGTCGTTCATACCATTTGAATAATGCCCGAAGGATTGATGGAAGACAATGTTCAGCAACCGAACCAAAAGCTGATAATAACTGATCAAATTGAGTATCTTCTCCTCTCTGTAATACTTTAGAGAGTGGCTTCTCAGTTTCTGCCATTACTGCTTCAATTTTTCTCTCAGCTTGAGCGGCAAAATCAGCAAATAGAATTCGCATTACATATTCACCAGGTCTAAGTTCCATATCTTCTATTTGTTGGGGCTTAACAGTTTCTTTTTGAGCTCCCCAAGGTAGAACAACAGTAATTGCACTCACTCTACTGGAACTTGTCTCTGAAGAAAAAAAAAGTTATATCCAATATTCTATTACATATTTTGATTTTAAAAAATTTTATTATATTTACCATAGCCAGAAACAGAAGCATTGGCTGTATAAATGCTAGAAGCATCACTCCCTTCTCCTTGAGATCCATGTGAAGTCAAGGAATCTTGACAAGGATTGGATGACGTTTCGACTCCGCTTTCTTGTGATCCTTCTCCATGAGTATTTCTTGATTCATTTGTTTCTAAAAGAATTTATTATAACATAAATGTATATTTTGAATCGAGATAAGAGAAAAAAACCGGTATATTGATAATACGAATTGAACTCTACTGGGAATCGAAGCCTTGTGATATTGTACATAACAGATACCCACACAATTCTTCTAACTTGATTAAGAACTACTTAACAATAGTTCATACTAAAGTAATAGTTTTTATATATAAGTGATTGAGTGACATTGAAAGTTAATTCTTACCAGAGTGTGTCTCGTCTCCACTTGGTTGATTTTCCATTTCTGTAAATAGAAAATTACATTGACTTTTTCCTATCCATAACAGTTTCAACATTATTAGATAATATTCTACCTTCAGTAATATTTGCTACACTTGTTTCACCATTGGGAGGCATTTTTGTTTAAAATTTGTTTTTAGTCCTGCAAAATTAATCTCAATTATAATTCGGTAATATTTTCAACGATAATTTCTATATATTTTAATATATTCCAAATATATATATATATATATATTTATATTAATTGAGTATTTATGTTACTTTATAAATAACTACTGATAAAAATCGAATTCAATAAAAATTTTACATAATAACAAGATGATAATAATTGATTTGAGTTTATAAACAAACGATTATCTCATTGTATTTAGATACAAGTAGATAAAAAAAGTATCCGTTTACAATAACTCACAAACTCCATTAAAAAAATATTAGCGACTAAAATTTTTATTCAAACTCAATTAAATTCATACTTCATAAAAATTCTTAATCATATTGTTCAATCAGTGCATAGAAAAGTTAAAAAAAATAAAATATGTATCTATAGATTCATTTGCAAACGATAACCTCAAATATCAAACTAATATTCACTCATATTATTAGATTAATTATTGTAAATACTTTTGTCTGTTTTTACCTTCATTACTAATTTACATTTTCATTAAAATAATGCACTCTTATTAAAAATTATCTAAATATTTGGAAAGCTTGATACTAAAATGTTTGACGCTTCTAACAATGGATTTGTTCGTAAATTTTTTTTTCTACTGTGTACATAATAAATCGGAATTTTTATCCCAAGTGGATGTAACAGGTGTAAAAAATTATTTCAATAAAACTGATACAGGAAAATATAAAAAGAAAAATGTAATTTTTACAAACTTAGCAAAAACATTAATAATAAAAATGGCTTAATTTTCACTAAATTTTTCGCCATTGATGACCATTGCGACACCTACAACTGTCAAAATTCGGAAACTGTATAATCAGAACAACATAAGCAGCGCCCTTGTAATTTTTGCTAAATGCTCATTTCCGGTATTTAAATAATATTGAAACTCAAGATAATAAAACCAATAACAATTATTTTTGAAAATTTTTAGATCAGCAGATGAAATCTTAACTAATAAAAAAAAAATAATTTTAAGCACACTAAGTAATTTTATAACTTAAGAGAAAATCACATAAGTTAAACGAATTGTCCATCGTTTGAAGCAAAGGTTCTTATGTACGCTTGCTTTCCAGGAAGTGCTGTGCTCTAGTGCACATGAATATAACCAATTTTACTCGTTATTATTTTACCCTAATTTTACACAAATCTTTATATATTACTCAAAAAATTTTTTTATAGATATTATAAAATACACAATGGTGAAAATCTTTTTTACTGTTATGTTTCTATTGTTAAGACATATTAATACTTTTTTAACACATAAATATATTTAAATACATTTATATAAAATAATTATATAAAATAATCTTAATTAAAATTATTTCATATAATTATATAATTACTTAAATAATGCTTATAGTATTATAAATAATATTATGATATAATGAATGATAAAAAAAAACAAATTAATTTATTAACCAATATTCCAGGAAATCTCGAAGATGAATTATAAGTAATGAACTTATTATTTGATTTGCATAATTAAATTCAAAGTCAATGAATTCATTTTCATTCACTATTTTTAATTCTAAAAAAAGTTGATAGTAGACATGTATGTATGTTTTACGTTATCACGTATGAAAAATTCAGTCACGCGCAAAATTCTCTACGTCAGCATAAGTTAGAGTACACAAGACAAATTTAGCAATAATCTATTCTCTGCAAGGTCCATGGATTCGGACATTGTTAAAGAAAAAGTCCTATAAATAAATTTTGCCAGTGATATAGACATTAGACCACACGACTGCTCCATTGAACTTTGGGACTTTTGCGATGTCAGAATCCTGGCGAACAGCCAGGTTACGCAAGTCTTATGTCCCGTTAACCTCTTTACTCCACGTACATTTGACCTTGTGTTTTCTTTCCAGGACTGCATCAAATAAAACTTACCCTAAACAAATAAAAAAATGTCAGATTTTTTTTACATCACTCTTATCTTTTATTATGTCAAAATTTATCTTGTCTAAAAAAAAAAAAAAAATTATCAATTTACTTATCAGTTGGTATGTCACTTGACACCCTGGAGTTTATCGATTTCTTGGAAATCATATTTCCCGCGGAATTTACTAAAAATGCGCCATCAGCAGTGCGCACATACTTTTACCACCGACTTTTAGTTATTCAACACAAATCCATAATTTTGAGTTAAAAGATTTTGTTATTTTTTAAGAAGTATTTGTTTATCAATTATTATAAGAAATTTATTATTATATTATAACTAAATAAAATAATTAAACTGTATGTAGTTCTTGTTTTGATCTCTGCCGAGTAGTGATGAAACGCGGAAAAATGGGTGGAATTCAAACTGTCGATTATAGATATAATATTAAGAACAAATTTAGAATAAAAATATATATAAAAACCCTTAATCGGATTCGGAAAAGTAATCTTGAAAGCTTGAATAACATTCAAACACCTTGAATGTCAGTGTAATTATCCCAAGTGTCAGGGTTTCGAGGTTGGCTTAACAGTGTATAACCTCGTGTTCGTTTGGTCACAGTGCGCAGAATCGGCCACGTGATCTGTACCTCTATTCTTAGCGGAGGTCGTTTCAACGAGAAAAGCTCTAACTCGCTCACTCGTCGTCCGGCGTGCGTCCAATTCACATCATAGTGAGGAGATATAATACTCTCCTTTTTTCTTCCTTTTTGCAAGTACCCACACATTAAAAAACTAACACAAAATGTCTGGTCTCGCGGATCCCGTGGCGTTCGCCAAAGATTTTATTGCTGGTGGTGTTGCTGCCGCGATATCCAAAACCGCCGTAGCCCCGATTGAACGTGTCAAGCTGCTTCTTCAGGTACAGCACATCTCGAAACAAATCGCTGAGGACCAGCGTTACAAGGGTGAGTGTTAAATTACCTATTATTCTATAACTTATTTGTTATTACTTAGTATAAAAAAAAAGAATAAATGTAAACTTAGAAAGAAAAAAAACGCGATATCGAACTGCATGTCAAAACTTAGACCAAAAAAATCATTAGAATTTATCTCATCTTTCACATGTGACAGTGATTTGTGTCAATGTCACTGATATGGGCCACATGTCGAGGTCGTTCCAACAATTTTTGTGGAAGCATTTGCAGGGATTTCCCGTTACATAACTCCTTACAGGTCGTTGATTATTCCAGGACTGTAACAAGATTCGATCAGTTTCTGTAACTAATGCTTGTGATTTTCGACATTTATGTAATCTTCATAAATTCTTAGCCAAATTCTTACATAACTTTAAAAAGCACGCTATAGATGATCTAGTGAAGTAGACAGACATTATTGCGGGTGGATCAATAAGAAACAGCGGCCAGATGGCGTCCTATGGATTTGCTTCCTTTTCGTGCGTTTCTCAAGCATCAATCGATGACGATGCGGTACAACATGGCTGTCTTTTTTGTCACCGCCATTAGGACTAAATTTATTTTTCAAAATTTACGTCAAACTTAAAAATAACATTCGCTACGTTACATATCAATTCTAAATGGAGAGAGACATTATTTTCTAAACTTTTTTAGAAAATTTTACTCATTTAATTCATGAACTCCATTATTGATTATTTTTTTAAATCCCCTTTTTTTTTTAGATATTATTCATTATATTATGTCAATTAATCACGTGCTTCGTTATCAATAACTAAACGACAAATATTTTTTCGAAATTTCTATTCAGAATTTAACGTTTAAAGCCCTTCAATCATTCAAAAATGCACAGAGAATGACAATGACGCTGAACCTACTGTTCGACCTCGATTCCACATTAAGCAAATTAAAAGGCTAGTTATGGCCGGTTTATAATTCTCGAATGGAATAGATACCATAATTGTTAAAAAGTTTTTCCTCGGTAAACTACCGAAATCGATGCATTATATAAATCACTATTTCTAATCAGTCATTTTTTCATGTAAATTAATTTATAAATCATTGAATAAAAATGTTGACGTGGCCCAAATTCTATAATCGAATTATTTAAATTGCTTTTCAGGTATGGTCGATTGCTTCATCCGAATTCCAAAAGAGCAAGGATTCCTCAGTTACTGGCGTGGTAACTTTGCTAACGTCATCCGTTACTTCCCAACTCAAGCGTTGAACTTCGCCTTCAAAGATAAATACAAGCAAATTTTCTTGGGTGGTGTTGACAAAAATACTCAATTCGGCCGATATTTCGTTGGTAATCTTGCATCTGGTGGTGCTGCTGGAGCCACGTCACTCTGCTTTGTCTACCCACTTGACTTTGCCAGAACTAGGTAATGCATTGCTGCCACATATTTTTACTGTAATACTAAAAATGATTCATAAAAAAATTAATCCACGCCTTTTAATGCTAATAGATTGGCTGCTGATGTTGGTAAAGCTGGTGGTGAACGTGAATTTTCCGGTCTTGGAAATTGTTTGAGCAAAATCTTCAAATCTGATGGTCTCATTGGTTTATACCGTGGATTCGGTGTATCCGTCCAGGGTATCATTATCTACCGTGCCTCATACTTCGGTTTCTATGATACCGCTCGTGGTATGTTGCCTGACCCCAAGAAAACACCATTCCTCGTCTCATGGGGTATTGCTCAGGTATTTATACAATCTTGTTAACTAATCTGATTTATTTTACAACTAAGAAACATGTTTAATTGGATGTTTATTTTTCAGACTGTCACTACTGTTGCTGGTATCATTTCTTATCCCTTCGACACAGTTCGTAGGCGTATGATGATGCAGTCTGGACGTGCTAAATCAGACATGTTATACAAGAACACTTTACATTGCTGGGCCACCATTGCTAAGACTGAAGGAAGTGGTGCATTCTTCAAAGGAGCATTCTCTAACGTTCTTCGTGGTACTGGTGGTGCTCTCGTATTAGTACTCTACGATGAGATCAAAAATCTTCTTTAAACAATTTTCCGTTCCCCCTTTATTTTATCAGCAAACCCTTCACCATCATCAATACACAATCACGATATCAATACAATCTGAAAGTTGACACAAGTTATTTTTAATTTCTGTATTAAAAACACACAGTTGTCACGCCCTAATTATAAATGCGATCATAAACGTGTAAAGACACTATCCAAATGTCAACAATTTCATAAATGAATTCTCAATATTACGAAGATCAGATAGTGACTCACGAAGTGCATAAAATCTTGGTATAAAATAATTGAAGTGGGTAAAATATCTTTAGATAATTTTTTTCTTTTTATTTTATTTTATGTTTGTGTATTTATTGCCGGATTCAGTATTTTTAACAGTGGTTCCCGGCGCGCCATCGACAATTTAAATAAAGAGAAAAATATTCATAATTGTAGTGGTTTATCTGAGTTTTCATGATGCTTATCGCGCAACACCTCGCTTGCGTATACGATCGCGGGCGTGGACATTTGTGAAATTGTTTGGCACGTCCTCCAACTGACGACTGCCTATTAAATATATATTCAAACAAAAAACATTAGATATATTACGAATTTAAATTGATTAAAACACATCCAAAAGTGAGTATCTATACTCAAATACGAATTGTGCGCGTCAAGAAGTATCATCAAGACCATTGGATAAAGAATCATTTATCATCAATTGAAGACTCTTCAACATAGAAATTCAATGAAGATTAACTGATAAAAATAAATTAAACAATACAATCGAGATATTTACAAAGGACAGCGACGCACGTCAAAATGACGGCGATGGCGGGGAGTGTAGACGTGGGCTGCCCCCGCCCTTATTTCGGCCCATTGTAGATAATTAATAATTCATAAGGATAATTGATCAACAATTAACTTGAATCAATCATCTTTAAAAACTATCCGTAAACAGTACACCAAGTTTAGGGGGATATATTAAAAAAAAAACTACTTCGCAATTCGGACAACGTGTAAAATAATGCGAAATTATTCTCAATGTATACATCTAATCTGTTCATGTTAAGATGTATGCAAATTAAATGAAATCAATAAAAAATAAAGCCGAAGTAAATTTCAATTTCAATTTTTATTTATTTAATCATGTATAATTCATCAATATTATTACCCTAAGTATCCTCTCTTATATTTGATAAACATATTATAAGATTAGTAATCATTCAATCGTCTTCAGTATGACCCACATTTATTATCATTATCTAAAGGTCAGGGATCGAGGTCAATTGTTTAGTGTATCTAAGTAAAAGTAAATATGTCATTTATTTTATTTTTAATGTTTTCCTTATTACATTATGTTCATTTCTTATCTTTCGGATTTTAATCGTACAAAATAATATCGATGTAATCGCTAAGGTAGAGACAACAAAATTTTCTTTTTTATCGAATGATAGTTTTACAGAGGAATCATCATAGTTATACAATTTCCTATTCGGTAGGTATTTAAATTAATTATCTTCATGACATGATATGACAAAAAAAAATGCATAATTGGCAATCAGGTGATCTGGAATCAAGTCAAATATCCTGAAGCATAAAAAAGAATTAAATTATTATTTGTGTATGATTCTTTCTCACATTTTATTTATAATTTTTATTTTTACTGTTATTTTTTTCTAATTTAATTGGTTACAAAAAATTAATCAATATCTAACTTAAGTTGATTTTACACCGATAAAATGATTTAAACTGATGGATATCACATTTACTACACATTTGTATCATCACTGATGGAGAATATCCACTGTGTTTTAAAATATTTTACATTCAAAAAATTTATTTTAATGTATTTATCATTATGGAATGGAAAATATAGATATAGATGATTGGTAATGATGGATTTGATATTTACAGTGTTTGAACTTAAAGTATTGATAATATATTAAATTAAAATTAAGGAGTTTAATGAGGTCATACAGTCGTTCGTTTGGAGTCTCCTGCGAGCATGTCCATTATTCTACTGATTCCTGGCATGTTTAAAAATGTTCCTAAAATTGGCACTCGTCGCAGAAAATTTATAGCAACTGGTAAGAAGCCACTGAAGTTCAAAAAATAAGAATTATTTTTTTTTATTCATTTGTGGAAGAAACATCACATAAGTAGAAATATATATTGATTAAATACCTGAAAAGTAGTACAAAGCCATATGTTTCTAGAATCATACCAATAAGTGGCCATCCCATAAGAACAATAATTATTCCTCCTAGAAAAGCTACACTAGCTCTCAATTTATGCCTTTGAAAAAAGAAACTGAATGTTCTTTGTGGCCCAATGACACATCCTAATCCTGCTATGAAAAGAATCTGGAAAAATTTCATTTGGATTATTTAATTTACTCATAGGTATATATAGTGAAATGATAAAAAATGTAAAACTCACGTTGCCTATGGCGAGTAGTCCTTTATCAAACAAAAGTAGAACTCCCAGGAAGAGAAAAAATATTCCAAATCCTGCAAGACCTACGCCAATTTCTGAAATATAAAGGCATTTATTAATACTTTTTTAAAAAAATAAAAAAACTACTGTAGTGCATAGCTGTGGAAGTATTGTTTTGTGAAAAAAATGCAATAGCCATATCAATGGTATAAATTTGAGGTTATTTTATTTAAGTTAATAAAAATTACTTACTCTGGGTATCTGTGATTTCAAACATATTTAAATAAAATTGGTAACAGTAAAATTTGTTAACAATTTACAGTAAATCTGTGGCAGTAAACTCGCTACCACGGGATTCTAACCTAACTCCACGTCATTCGAAATGATCGTGGCACAATTTACGTTTCACAAACCATCTATAACGTTTAGTTAAATTATTTTACTATATTTTTAATTAATATTTTTCTTTTATGAGTTCATAAACTAAAGTTTTGAGCTTTTAAATAAATTTTTTAAATATGAAAATGGCTTAATTTTTTTAGAGTAAGGAAGTCAAGGATGTAAACAAACCTGAAGGTTCACAAGTGTATACAAAATAGAGATAACTTTATTATCTAATTTTATCAGTACATTATTTATATAATACAATTTTATTACTTTAAGTTAAAAAATAAGTGTTTATAAAAAATAGTATTTTTTACAAAGATTAATTTTTTTTATAAAAGATCATAAAAAATGAAGAAAGTAGAATTCTCAGTTAATCGATTATGGCCCATGAGAATAATTTCTTCATAATGTATTATTTACAAGAAACTGCGTTACGCTTTTTTTAATTTTGCTATTTCAGCACATTAGAGATGATCGCAACCACTGAAATAAAATTATAAAAAGTTTTACATACAGTATTTAATTTAAATATGTAGTTGCCTGATATTGATTACTTAATTTTATTTATTCAACTGTATTTTTAGAAACATTCAATATTTTTACCTCTGAAAGAGTAAGTTTTATACTTCCATTCTGTAAAGGATCTTTTCCTTCAAAAATTGCTGAAAATAATAGAAAGTATAGTCAGTATCGTTTTTTTTTTTTAATAAAATAAAATTACATTTTATTAGTAATATTACCAAATGCATCACTTAAATGGAGAATAGCTGAAACAAAATCTCCAAATCTCAAAGTACCATCTTTTCTCATATACCGAAGAATCAGAACAGCCAAAACTTCAGTATTCAATTGAAATCCTACAAAAAAAGAAAATTGTTATTTCAATACATGTAACAAATAGAAAAACGATTAGTAACAGTACTCTGTAGAAAGTGATAATAAATTTCTATTTTCCTACCAACTTCCAAAAGTGCGTCACGTAGTCTTTCAGCCTTGAGAATACCTGTTCTTTCTTTTGTGTGATTTTTAAAAGCAGCTTGCCAGTATTTGAGACTACACATCAAATCCTTGAAGTCGTTAAATTCAAGCCTGCCGCTACCAGAGCTCTAAAAATATGTGCTTAAGGAATATATCTAATATTTCTTGTACTTCTAAGAATAACAAAGAGTCTATATAATTTTTTCATAAATACATTTAAAACAAAATTTAGTTTTCAATCTAAAAATATTATTTTATAATGCAAGGATACATCCATTGTTAGAACTACTTGACGACAAACTTCCATAGATGCACAGCTTTTAATATAATCTAAAAATCAAAAAATTAATATTTATTAATCATAAAAATTTCTCTAATTTCATTATCATCCGCATTACCAATATTACCATTTGGAAGACAAGCTTCCAATAATTCTTGTAATTCAAAGGCATTTACAGTCTTGTGTTCATCAGCTAATTGTAGAAAAACAGCTTCATATTGTGAAAATCCTTTACCTTCAAGAGCAGGAGCTTTAACTATGGCTGATTTGATTAAAGTTGGAACAGTATCTAAAAGCCTGAAATATAAATTAATATTAGAATTAAGTTCTATATCTTTCTACAGTGTGACAAAAATTAATATTAATATATAAATAACTTCATACTTACTTAAGTTTTAAAGGCTTACTGCTATAAACTCTGAATGTAAAATTAGTCTCTTGTCCCGGCTCAAAAGTCGTAGGTATAAGTAAATATCCACCTTGCTCAAGAAGACACCGATGACTCACTTGTCGACTATTTGTATATTGCGAATTGATGAGAGATTTATTCTTTTTAAAAAATTGTCTATTTATTGACTCTGTACTATTTTTTGACAAAGTGTATGCTGTAAAACCAATTACCTGAAGAATATAAAAACAAAATATTCCATTAAATATTACATCATATGTAAATAAAGTTTTTATTTTGTTAGTCATTAAATTAATAAATACCTTTGGTTCCATTATTGAATGTTGATTCAACGACACAATTACTTCTTCCATTTCGCTTAAAATTAGGTGAAGTTGTGGGTTTATATGAAAGGTCTCTATAAAAAAAATTACATATTTTAGTGATGAAATTCAACAAAAAAAAATATAATTATTTGATAATTAATAGCTTCTGAGAGAAAGAGACAAAAAAAATAAACCTTGATTATTCCGACATCCTCCGGCAGTAACTCCTCTCCTCCAACTACCTTGATATAACTTCATTTGCCATGTATGTTTACTATGTAAAGAAGGTTCATCTCTTGACGTTTCTGCATCCAAATGAACAACTTCTAAATGTGTAAAAGTTTTGACAAAATCTGAATAAGAAATCCAAAACTCTCCTTCTGCCATATTCCTTACAGACAATCGATCTCTTTCAACAATTGGGACATCATCCCATTCAAGACTACCTCGAGCCCACGCTCCAATATATTCTCCACCTGGACCAAGGGGATTTCGTAATTTTACTAATTGAACTGCTTCACCTCCAAACGTTTCTACCTATTCATTAAATTCATAATAACAACAATTAGTATTCTTTAAAGCAAATTGGAAAAGTTTAAACTATAATTATATTAATTAAAATGAAATTTTACAATTACTTTTAACAAAAATATGATTTTTTCTTTTCATATGTATAAATTTCACAGTAGTAAACACTTTTAACGTAAAATAATTTTAAATTATAATTTATTTACCCTTTCCACAGCATAAAGCCTGTAATTAATGCCCATTTGAATTCCATTAGCAAGCTTTTCTGTGCTTGTACGAATTTGCTGTTGTTGATTATTGTTATTATTATTGACGGTGCAAGTAATTAAAGAAGTCATGTCAAGAAGTTTAGCGAGTGCTCTTCCACATCCAGTTGGATCTTGACGTATGGCAATACTTTCAGTTATGCCGCCAGTGAGATCAGAAAGTCCATCCAAGAGAGTACCATACTTGAGTGCTTCATACGAACCGTGCAGTCTGAAATTACAAAGAAAAGAATTAAAATTCTTCTTAAGAAAATACATATAGATATAAATACAAAGTAATTCACTGCTTCATCAACTAAAATCTCGATAAATTAACTTTCTATTTAAATGCTTTAACACTCGAGGGAAAATCAATTCATTAAAACCTGATTATATGGTATTAGGTAATAATTTTGTTGGAAAATTATCTCTCGAAGAGAAAAATCTTATATTTATTATCTCACTTTAATTTGACTTTTTTTTAAAAATAAATTGTTTACAAAATGAGCGTTAAATGTGACACCTAAACCAGCATACGTGCGTTAGATCATGATTCTTAGAGCTTGTAACCATTCTCACGTGTGAGTCCATGAATTCCGTGAGTACGTTCTCAAGGAAGAGAAGGACATAGTTAACACGCAATCAAGTAAACTCGTTCAAACATTTCATTTCCTCTTTTACAACTGTTTCTTCTTCAATTGCATCCACTCCTTCGATCATGTCTATTAATCTTTGATAAAAGTTGCCAAGAGGATGAATATTTTTTGATTCTTAGATACTGTAACTATTATTTTTATTCATCTTATATACCGCCTATCCAGTTTATATCCGGGATCTTATTTCACCATTCATTTTATTGTCCTAAACATTTTCCTTGATTTAAATATTGAAAATTTTATATAGATCTTGTTCAAGTAATGCTATAAACTGTAGTGAATGTTTTATCTTTCTGCTATATGAATGATATAAAAAAATATAATTTAGGATAATAATTTTTTATTATTCATGTTTAAATAAATTTATACAATCCTGAATGAAAAATAGAAATCGGCGAAGCGCATGGACACAAGTCGGTGCACTGACCTCCGATCCATCGACTTGTGAGCAACGAACCGACTCTGGGCTTGTTCAATGAAAGTATCGGCAATGTGTACAATCGAAATTGATTTTACATACATAAATCAAGGCCATAAAATGTCCATTAAATACATCAATTTATTTCTATCATATAAATTATACATTTGTTGTAAGTTTAAATTTTTAAATAATCATGGTGTGTTTGAATAGACAATTATAGGAAACCAGAAATCCATTTCCGATATCTTTGAATCATCTATGACCCCAATTGCTTCATTTAATGCTCAACGGGTTTTCAAATTGCTGGCCCATAATGTGTGGTAAGAAATAAGCCATGAAAGAAGACAACAAGACAACAAGAGAGGGAGAGAAACAAATGAGAGTAGAGAAAGCAGTGCTTTATTAGAACAGAGGTTTTTTTTAAAAGATGATACTTAGTGTGGACGAAGAAAAACGTGATGAGAAGAAAGAAGCGTCTGTAAATGTGACGCTTGAAGAAATAAATTGAACAGTATGTGTGTATTTTCTAATGGAAATCGCGCTGAGTACAACACGTTGGACACTACATGAAAGCTTTCTATACTATTATAATTCTACATGTAGTTTCCTCATTCGGATATGCCGGAGGTTCAGTTCTAGGTTCAACTATTGGAACTGTGAGCCATCGAGAATAAGGATTGTATGACATGAATGTCATTCATTACCATCAGATGAGTATAAATATACATCGATTATCTCGACTATCATCATCTACAAGTCATGATCTTTTCTTTTATGTGTCAAAGCGGAAGAATGAGTAAACGTGATGAGAAATTAATTATCTTCGAAATGTGATGATAAAAAATTGCATTTTACACTTATGGATCAGCTACTGGTATGTTTTGCTGAATTGGAAAATTTATTATAATATAATTCTGATGTCGGCTATGAGTAATTGATTAATATTAATGGTTGTATTCTTACTAATCGTTTAATTGACTGGAAGTCTTGAAGTGAAGAAATATTATTCATCAAAATGACCTATTTCAAGTCAATGTGTTTGATATATATAATGAAGCTACTGAAAGAACCATTAATTATTAATATAAAATGTTAGTTTATCTTTTTGATTCGATTAAAAAAAATGTTTTCTCCTTAACGAGCATAATGATACACAGAACATTTAAAAAAATAAAATTATCTTGTATCTATAATTAATATGCATCATCCGCAGGCTTTTGGCCTATAATAATATGAGGAATATGCCTAGAAGTTGTTTCGATCTCCAGGAATTTCTAGATTGAGGTAGAAAAGAAAAAAGTAAATGCTGAGAGAGGATCATTGGACTCTTACAGGCCAGTCAAGACGGAAGACAAGATCAAGAAAATACCGATGAAGAATAAAATGATAATAAGAGTAAGGGAATTCATGATTAAATTGAATTGAATTATACTAAAAGGAAGTAGATTATCGCTTAAACAAAATAAACCAAGTACTTATTACATTTTATAGTTCTGGGTAGTATTTACTATATTTTTCTTGCTAATTATTAAACTATTCAAACGTAAAATTACGATAGTAATTCTAGAATATTCTTATAGTAGACACACCTGTTGACCAGATGACTTTCATCTTAAAGAAACGTCAGTGATTGTTTTAAATTGTGACAACTTTAAGTCAATGAACTTTATCATTAAGTTTGAATGGTTAAATATTTTTTACACTACAATTATTTATCAATGACTTGTCATTTGTGTAGCATCTATTTATAAATGCAGAAAACAAGACTTGACTGGCTTTATTATTCATGAAAATTTTATGTTTCGCATCTCTTGATTTAATGTTAGTAAAATATTTGTAATAAATAAATCAAAAGCCTTCCATGTTTCAGTGATAATTTTTTTGTAAAGAATCCTTTTAATCATTCTTTTTTTACCATGACGGTGTTTAATATATGCAAAAATAATGGCAGACATTGTATGGAAGCGTTCTGTTGGAAGGAAGAAGATTTGTGAGTGACTTTAGAGTCTTAGGAGTCATGATTGCTAGCAAAAGCCATTACTCGGACCTCATGGAGGCTTGAGCAGAGCGCGAAGGTGAATTTTACTGTACAGAGTTACTCGATGCCTTCGAAGGCTGACTCAAGTATCTTTCATTTTCTCTCGTGTACGTTTTCTCCTCACTATACTCTCATCTTAGTTTGCTTCTTTCCTGACCTTTATTACTCTTTTTCGTTAAAGTTAACTACCTTGATTTCATAGCTTTCAGAAGCAAAATCTTAGATTTATAGGTGTACTTTTTAAAAAAATACTATCAAATTGTTTATCATTTTTAATTATCAAAATAATTGATGTCAATTTAAGTCTCTTGACAAACTGGTAATTCATTAGTTCTTAATCTTAATGGATATCTTATTGATTTCTTACTTTGCATATGCTTTTTCCAACAAGGCAGGCCAAAACTGGTCGCTGTGACGGCTTTGAATAAAAGCAAGCCGACCATGAACTGCTGGAAGTCGATCATCAACCAGCACTTCAACCCAAGTGCCACACCACCATAACCGGAAACGAAAAACTCCAGCATACTCTGACGTGGGTGATCCAGATGCTTCTCCCAAATTACCAAAACCTTGATCGGCTGGTACAACTCGATAAAATAAGCCTTTACTCAAATGAAGAACTCCCAAACATGAAACAAGCCATTTGTCACCTGAAAAATTGTTTTAAAAAATAAACTTCTGTTCATAATGTCTTTAATTTATACAATCTATTAGAACATGCTATTTCTAAAAATATTTTTTAAAAAGGTCTAACGATTTTCTACACCACGATCACGTTTGAAACAAAGATAAGAACAAGTTTACAAAAGTCAGTCAACTGTAGAGTAGATTAGACCTTCGAAAACGAAAGTTCTTAAGTCTTACTGGCTTGAGTCAATCTACCCACAACTTTTTTTTCTTTCTTTGATTATGATTTAATTAGATAAGTAATAATTGATAAACTGTTATTAGGTCAGTGTTTTTATGACAATAATGTAAGCAGTTAAAATTGAACTCACGAGTCTTAAAGTAAACCTCAATCTGCTCTGGGATTCTACTTTCACTGTCTCGCCTCGAGAATTATAGACGAGTTAAGCAAGAAGAATCAAGACACTCGACAGTCAATTGTATTAGTGAGAAAATTCTTATTTACCTATAAAATTACTTATTAACTATTTAATTAAAAATGCTTCAATTAAATTGTATTTTTTATAGATTGCTGGTTGAAATACTTTCGATTGTAAAAAATACTAAGAATAAAAGAAAACTATATGGTAATTGTCATTTAATGCACGAGTTTCCTTTCCAACGAACCGAAACGTATCAGTTTTGGCTGTAAACTATTTACCCGTATTTCCTGTCGTGTAAATGATACTAGAACTCACTTTCACTGCATTTCAATAATTATAATATGATCTTATTTTTATTTCTATTACTACATGGAATAGAAGACTTTGCTGTCGCAACAGTTTAAAGGTCTATTCCAGCAACAATCTCCATTTTAGATAGGTCAACATTCAATTTGACCTGCAAAAATAATGAGGTAATCAGTTGCTCTGGAACTACCTCAGACCGGAAGGTAGACTTTAGGATGAGGAAAACAAAAATTAAGATTATTACAGGAGCTAACTTTAATCTGTTGCAGCAATAGAATATTTGTTACCTTGTAGTTACTATTATTATTATGAACTTATCTTTCAAACTTGATCTGTACATTCAACTTTGTATTTAGTTCGTAATGATTTAGAATCTAACCTCAATAGAAAGTTAGAAGATTTTTTTTATCAATACAAATTTATCATTCATGTTATGAAAATTTATCATATAATCATATTGTGTCTCATTGGACTAATTAAAAATAAATCTACCCGTCGTGAATTGCAACTTTCACTTTGGTTATTTACTGACAGTTTGGTTTGTTTATTTTGTTGTTGTGTTGCACAAAAAAAAAATATGATATGAATCATATCATTTTATATAAAAGAGAATATTTTGTAATATCATAAACATTTAATTTAATGTAATAAAAGTTGATAATGTGCTGAATTATTTTACCATACGTGTTATAATTTCTACATTTTTTTATATCAAATGCCAGACACCCATATTGAATAATGGTAAGAAAATATAACCTTATTCAATAAAATAGTACCAACATTTTTTTAATAATATTTAGAAATTTTTTTTTTTAATGAGCATTATGCTTCTAGGTAATTATAAAGTTATGTCATGAATCATGAGATAATTTTAAGGTAACGTGATTCAAGAAGAAAACATTAAGAAATACGGAAGCAGTTGAATAAGATGCGGGTGCAAGGTTGATTTGATTTATTGGCATTTGATCGTGGAGAATGGCCTCTGGAGGTATGCGAAGAAGCGCAAACGCCGTGTAATGCAACAATCTCAATAATTATTCTCAATACCTTGTAAAGGACGTAAATACGTGTTAATGTCTCTCAGTAACTATCATTAATCCCTTCTTTATAAATTTCATACTTATATAGTCAATAATAATCATTAAAAGAAAACATAAAATTCAATTTACAGTCATATAATAATAACCAAATAACTCAATCAATTTGTAATAATAAAGACATTACACAATAATATAATCTATGCTCAATACAATAGACTCAGTTTTACTTCACACTTTACTGTCTAGAAATAGAATAAGAACGTCTTACTAATGTTAATGATGTGGTTTTGATTCATTGCACTATTCATATTGCTTATGCGTAAGAGTTACATTTTTCAAGCTCCATTCTTGGGCAAACTATATCATTACGCGTTATCGAAAAGCATTCCTTCAGGCACATTACCCAGGATATAAAAAGGACTAAACCGGAACGACTCGTTCTACGTCTTACCCTCTCTACTTTGCTTTCTTCTTCTTTTTCATCTTCTTCACATGAAGACTCAAGTTTTCCTCCCACTTATTTATATATCGTCTTTATACATCTATCCTCCCTTTCAATACACATTTTTATCCTAGCTTTAATAATGTGTTTCTAATTTTTATTTCAATAAGAACTGATAATATCTTTACCCATTTTTCCAGGAATGACATCGAACTGTGTTGGAGAATCGCTTACAAAAATTGGACGATTGCACAGCTCCTGAAAATAAAATAATAAAATTAGAAATACATTCAAAAGGAAGCTTTTAACCTTAGATAAGTATATCTAAGTAAAATCAATGAAAAATATTTATGTGCTTTCTATAAGAAAAATTTCTCAATGGATACATCAAAAGTCCATTATTATTTAACAGTATTTGAAAGAAAATTTGTGTAGGATGATTATTGCGATAGATTCGAATTTTGTTTAAAAAATATTCATGTTAGTTAAAGTGAACAAGGCTGTCGTACTTTCTACATTGAGGTCGTGTAACACAATTATTCGTACTGCTGAAGAAATATAATTAGTTAAATGTAATTTTAACTCATGTTTAATTATGATACAAAATGAGAAATAAATCCTTGATTTTTAGAGCATCAACTCTGACTAATTTTAAAAATTGTCATTCACGCAATGACTCTTATTCGTGAAAAATATGCTTTTGATAGTATATTATTTTTCAGTTACATAATCGGTGTAAATGCACATGAAACTAATATCTTAATTTCAGACTGAAATAATATTAATTTAGTGATGATGACAAATGTATTGTAATGATGTTACATTTTAATTAAAAGCCGTTAACTGTCGGTCACCGCAAGTGACTTGAAGTATGACGAGGACATGAAGAACATTACGACGACCACTGCTTGGTTTCCGTCCTCTATACTGTACTACACTTCCGGTATTTCCTCAGCTCTCTAGTAGTAACTATAATAATAACATTTGTACTCATTCATTTTGCTTTTTTCTACATTTTTCATCAAATAGCCATGTGCTAATAGTTTAATAATTGTTTAATCTCCTAAAATTCTAGGTTGAAGAAGACTTGACATAAAACAAGTGGATTCATCAGCATGAAAGTCGAACTCAACGATGCAGCAAAGCGACCTTGCTATTAAACGCTTGTGTTACCATGAATATTACGTAGTTCAGTTGTACACAAAACCAACCAAGAGAGAATGGAATAAGAGGATTCAATTACTGCATCATTTTAACACCATTGTCTTCAATTCTTTTTATCAGTCTACCTTTCATTTAACTATTGTACCATTTGCATCATCATCTTTAACTTAATATCCTCGAAATCTGAATTACACTTGTAAATTATTACCCACTTTTTTTGTTTAATCAGTTACAAATGTAATTCAATTACATTTTGTATTGCTGAACATAAAAAAAAATTCATACCTTCGGCCTCTTCCATTGAAACTGAAATGGTGGTGTTTGATGGTAGAAAACTGACGCCTGAGTCGCCGGAAATACTGGATCCTCCCACAGTTCACTGCGTTTCAAGCATGTCCGCTTGATCCGCTCGTATTCGCTCATCACGTCCTAAAAAAAAAAAATAAAACTTACTCAGTGAACATTCTTAATTATAACACTTGCTAATTAATAACAGTACTCCATAAATAGAAAAATATTAATATTAATACAACGTCATAATTTTCGTCATCAATCATCATACCATAGAATGTTAAATTATTTTCCTTGATAATTATTATGCTTCATCAGTGACTAATTAAAATTAACAAGTGGACACATTGTTTTAAAAAATCAAAATAAGAGGCCACGTGAAATATTGTGTAATGTTTGATGTTGCACATAGATGTAACACGCATACCCCACGCACCAAGTTCCTGTGGTTGACCTCGATAAACGATCACGCGGTTCTTAAAGACTCTATTAAGGTCAGCACCCTTCTGCTGCTACTTCTACCTACTACATTTCTTCCTTCCTGCTTTTATGCATTTTTCCATACATATTGCATTCTAATCGCTAGCACAATGTCTTAAAAAATTCTCAGAGAATCTTAAAACAGGTCCATTGAAAATAGAATTAACCCACGTTGCCAAGACAAATAAGTAACTGAGTTAATGATTAATTTCATAAATTACTTATTAAAATACATTGCAACGATTCACAGTATGAGAATGTTTAATTATTTAGCATTCCAGACTAAGGTGTGGTAAAAAAAAATTTCATTGTTACATTACTTATTAATCCAAACATTGCTATCATTCTTTTTTACATTTGTTGCATCAGAGCTATCATCGGAAGCTTATATCAAGAGAAAGTTGTAAGTTTTTTAAAGTCAATCATGGTTCTACTAGAATGATAAAGAAAATGAAAATGTTTTTCTTGTTATCATTTAAATGTTCAGATAAATTATTTCTTCGCGCCATTTCTTCTAGCGATTGAAGAGATGCTTTCTCGATGCTTCTTCAACAATTTAAACACGTCAACCTCAATTTCCTCAACCGTAAAACACTTTAAGTCATTGAAAAAATAATAATCCACTTAAATCATCAATTCTTCTTTCATTTTATTACACTTTCTTCTACCACAGACTAATTTTCTGCTATTTTTAATATTCATTCTGACAATAAGATATACAAGTTATTAAATCTGTGATTAATTAATATCATTAAATTTTTCATTGTTTTCTTTTTTTGATTTGTGTAAGATACTTTCAAAGTTTTACTTCAATATAAATTTTTTAAGATATAATTTTTTTAAAGTTGATGATTCATTTACTCTGATCTTGAAGAATTGGGTTAGTTAATAAATGAAACAATTATCATTTTATAAATACAAGGACATCCGTTATAAAGAGTTACCATTTGACGTAACGGGAAAATAGTAGGATTCCCCTCTTAGCAATGCTCTTGTACACTCTGACCTATCTTAATTAAAATTAAATTCACTTCACTGTGCACATTATTGTTATTACTACTTATTCTTCAGAATCAAGTAACGGAAAAAATTGTATTGAAAGCTTAAGATCCACAGAAGAAATAAATTTCTTAGTATGGTGAATTAAACATGCTCTTGATGTTACTAATTAATTTATCACCACGAGTTGTCAATTTCACAATAATTGGTAAAAGTTTTTGAAATGTTCACTTCACAACAATCATTTAGATTTTAAATTGTTTCACAGTTATCATTACTTTAAATATCTCTTTAGTATTGTGATGATTTATCAAGAGATTCAAGACAAAATTTTCTTTTCTAGAAACTTTCATAGAGAAGTCATTTTAGATGAAAATCTGTAAATTTTCTCCGAATAATTTACGAGTTCTCATACCAATAAAATTCCACTTTCACCTGCAAAACCATTAAATTAGTTAGATACTAAATAAACATATTTTTCTTATAATCAACATTTACTGGAGATTAATAGCAGTTTCGGTATCTCATAATAAGTTGAGTATAATTGATATCTTACAGGATTAAATTATTCATGCTCTAGACATCCTAAGAGAAGATGGAGACGTGAAGAAATGTGCATGAGCTCATGGCTTCAAGTGTACCTACTCGTTCCGCGAGTTCTCGTATATATGAAGAAGGATCTTGAACCCTCAAGCGTTTTCATGTAGCTTTTCTCCGCACAAACTGAGATCTAAATAAGATAATTTAATTTTTTTTTATCAAAGTACCTTCTACATGTTCATATTCGCTCATTACCAATAGATAAAAGGATTAAACAACAAACAACATTGTTTCCATTTAATTCAAGTTGATGCAAGGATGAAGATATCCTTTGTCTACTTCTTTGTTTTGCTTTTGTTCTTCGCTGACGTGAGTCAAGGTGACCTTGAATGTACGTGGTCGTGGTTCATCGTATCTTTATCCTATCCCTTTTACCCTTTTATTTAGTTTATCCTTCTAAATTTTTTTATCCTTCTTCCTTTACTTACACTTCTCTGACTTCACTGCCGCTCCTTAAGGAAGGCAGCCCATGGCTCCTTTTAACGATCCTTTTTATTTCAAAGAATTTCTAAAGATTAAAGTTATTTATTCAAGCTTGACATCAATGATGATTAGAACTTATTTTCTGCTGTTTCGTTATTACACTTTCGCTTTCTATTATGTTATTTTAATCCTTTCAATTATAGTTCATATTTTGCACGATTTAAGATAAGTAATAATTATGTCTACATAGTTTTTCTTCAAATAAATTTTTTTCATTTAATTTATTAACAATTTGTATTTATTACTATTATTACTGATTCAGTTTTTATTCTCTAAATTATATTTTTTGCTTATTATTTTTAATACTTTTACGTTGACTTGCAACAATAATAATAATAATAACGTGGAAGAATAAAAAAAAATACAACGTTCACTCGTAATTCAAAATTGAAGACAATTTTATTTTAAAATTGTTCTTGTTCTTTTTGAATAACTTCACAAGAACTTTGGCTGTTTATAACAACCTGCTTCCACTTCAGAAACCATAATTCATGGGGTATAGTAATATCTTCAGAATTGATATTGAAATGGACTTTTTATTCTTTCCTCTTGTAATCTTTGTCTTTTACAATGGAGGTATTGCACTTTTTTTCATTCGTTATTTCGTAAAATGATTTTTTCTCATTCCATTTGATTTAATTAAACTTCTTTACATCAATCTTTTTTTTTATCAAAAACATTAAAAGATTTGCCCAAATTCGATGTTGCATTTCTGTTTCACTGAAAATAATTGAATGGAAATAAAATTCTTCGACCAATTGATTCGTGTTCTTAAATCGAAATCGACTTTCTACTGATCGTTAATTTTGCGTGTATGTACGGGTGAAAGAACTCTGTAAAAGTATTATACCTGTTTCTGTCTTGAGTTGGACACCTGATGCGGGGCAACACTCGTGTGTGTAAGAATTCTGAGTCGGCATTTTGTGTGTTTTGAGGTCGAGAGAAGACAAACCTGGTTTTGTCAAGTTTCAGAATTGGTCTCTGAATCAGTATCAAGTAATTTAACGATAAAAAAAGGTTTCTTCCATCTAGCTAATGTGTCATAAAAAAAACATTTTTATTGTTGTTATTGCTATTGTTAATGTTAAGTAATCGAAAAAAAATTGATTACATTTGTAAATATATTTCATAATATCTTAGCAATTGCGTGGGTGAATAATTGAAAGTAAAAAAATCACGTGTCATGTCTACATAATCTTCTTGTATATTATATGAAGACTAGGGTGACTACCATGTAAATAAAAGTCTTCATATACTGAAAACGCCTACACTTGTTGAAATATAATTGCAAGACGCCTTCGCAAATCGTTTACAGTCAAGTATTGGCTATTGATCAGTTGAAGAATCGCAAATATCCTTTTTCCTGTGCTATGAGACTACTCTTCTTCATTATACTCCTACGACTATCTTCATTTCCACTTGTCTTTGCTATCTCCAAATTTAGGCAAAGATACAAGTTACTGCAAATGATGTGATTCTTTGCTACTTGGAGACACTAGAAAAATTGGTAAAACTCATAAATATCTTAATTGGGAGTAAATTAAAAAGCGGAAACGTAAATTAATAAAAATGACCAACTAGAGGAGAAATTGCGATCGAATGTTGAATCGTGTGCGTGGCAATACGAGGAAGCTAGAAAAAATGCGGGCTTCGTCAGAGCGTAACACGAAAGTTTCGACCTCACTCTCTAGGTGAAAATGTTACTCCTGCACCAATTTTTGTTCTATTTTGGCCCATGCGATCAAAAAAATTGTATGACATTTTGTGAACTCAATAATTGAAAAGTTATTCTTTTAATATTTGAAATAATAAAACAACTAATCAAAATTAATACTCACATTAACCATTCGGAAAGTTTATTTCGATATCGTTTAATAAAAATTTTAAATTTTTCCAGTCTCTTGTAGGGTCCCGCAGGACCCACAATCTTTTAATTAATCACAAAATTCAGCTATAAAAGTACTTTCAATTCGTGAAAATGATTTTTCACAATTTTGACACTTAATCACTTAATTTTAAGCTTTCACTTGAAAATTACGTGAAAATTCACACTATTCATACACAATAATATTCATAAGAAAGTGAAAATAGATAAATCAAACAATTCTAATTAACACTTTTGGCTGCAAAGTTAATATTTGTTGTGACTTGGAGCTTTTCCGTACAGAAATAACACGACGAGTACATGAGTACTCGATCGTGATCGCCGAGTTCACGAGCGAGGACTGCACGATCTGGTCACGATTGTCAGTTCTACACCTCCACCTCTAGAGGTTTATCTTGTGTCTCATACTAGCTTCTACGTTGATTCAATACTTTCCTCTTCTTTTCCAGAAGTCCCTACTCTTCAACTATTATCATCCTTTCTCTTTTCCCCCGCCATAACTGTACGATTTTTATTCACTTATGTCAATTTTAGTTGAATTCAAATCTAAATTTACAACGACTGTATTTTCTTGTATTATGTAGATCAACTTAATGCAGAAAACCCTATTATGTTCAACGATAATGTTTAATTATGTAAATAAATAATCCAAGGATTTATGAAATTAAAAAAATTTATTACATGAAAATTAACTTTAACATGAGAAAATATTTTTATGACATTGCATTTTGGAAAAAGTAATATAATTGATAAATTTTAATATGTTCATCATCAATTAGAGTTTCATTTTTATTCATCAATTCAAAAAGAAAAAATTGGCTAGATCGTAGTGCTTTCCAGCAAAGCAGTCTCCCAAACTTTTTGGTGATCAAACGAACTATCATAATTCAAAGTATCACAAACTTTCTGAAAATCCAGAACCTTATCGACGATTGGCCTTCGGAAAGAGTATCCTTTGGATTGATAGTAAGACAATGTAACATCAAGTGCGGGACTTAAAAAAAATGTTACATTATAATTTAGAAACATTGAATAAGTTTTGTCAACTTCAATTTCTTGAGGTTTTAAAAAACCAACAAAAGATAAACAATCATATACAGTAGGAAGATCTTGGAAAACTTCATTTCCATAATAGCAACCTTTTACACTCATTTGTGATTCCCATTTATAATGTCCTGAATTGTATTGTTGATTAGTCTCATGAATCAAATTAATCATAATATTTTTTCCAGCGACACTCCATTTATTATATTTATGAATAATATTTGCAACAATTGTAGCTATTGATGCGTTACTTAAATGTTTAAAGGATTTAGTGTTTCGTATACAATCAAATGTTACATTGACTGAAATATCATATATATATCCAGTGGTATTTCCAATGATTTTTAACTCTTCACGGGGTGTTGCTGATTTTTCCATTTTCACTGATGCTATATTTGCAGTATATTTATATTTATTTTACATTTAACAAAAGAATCGGCCACTTTTGTTGCATAAATTTTAAAAATATTTTTACGCAGAACAATTTCATACAGTTTAATTAATGATTTACTGCGTTTTTTTTAGAATTATTAACTTCGAACATTAATTTATGAACAATGCTATTTTTTTCATAAAAATATTATTATAATGATCGTGTAATTATACTTTAATAGTTGCTATTATTGAAATAAGTCGAACAGGTTATGTTTATGATTTCAAATGCGTATTGACTAGTTGATATTATCGATGTATGATGCGTTACCATCTGAGTTTTCGATGGTAATCCATCGCCATCTTTCGTAGTGTGTTCGTACTAGGTTGTTTTTTGATCAATATTAGGCGGGCAATTTGAAGTAATTTATCCTTTGTTCGACATTTGATTTAAACGTGAATAAACATATAAAAAAATTATAGATTTAATCAAGTATGTACTAAATATCATATTCTAGGATGAATTTTGATGTAGAATAGCAAAAATAAATCGTCCCTGGGTGGGCTCGAACCACCAACCTTTCGGTTAACAGCCGAACGCGCTAGCCGATTGCGCCACAGAGACTGTTGATGGAATGATCCTCCACTTTACTTCAAATTCCAAAAAAAATATTACTTGGACAATACACTCAATTTTTGGTAACAATAGACTTCATTCTTAAGACTAATAAACTGTTACTACTTTTAACATTATCCTGTAATATCAGGATAAATATTAATTCATAGTTTTTAGAATAATTAATAAAAAATTTATTTAGAAGGTTATTTTTATTGTAACAATAATTGAATTATTGAAAACTGTTAATCATAATTCATTCTTTTTTACTTCGATAACGAAAATGTGTTTTTACGAGAGTGGCAAAAAAAATGCATTTCTAAGTAATGATATTGATAATGGATTAGCCATGAAGGTGAATTCACTAGTATTGAGCGCAAAAAGATAACTAAAAGCTCAGTAATATCTAACGCTAGATCACATAAACTAGCCATTGTTTTGCTCTATTTGAAAAAATATTCTCAAAATTGTTGAATACATAAATAATAATTATTCAACATTTTTTTATAACAATGTCAGACAAATTATCAACAAGTGACATAAAATATATTCCAGTAAGTAAGCTTATCAAGTTATGACAACAATTTCAAATAAAATAAATTTGTGATACTATTTTTCAGGGTGATTATGTGTGGATTAAAAACATTACGAACAAACAATTTGATGTCCCTTATGGAGGTAAAATTATTTCAATTGACAAGAAGAATGTTCAAGTTCAGACAGATGATGAAAAGGTAATGATTAAATGCTTATCTTAAAACTAGAAAACTTTTTTATGATGATCTGGAAATTAATCTTATCAGAATAATGATCAGCAACTCTTCGTCAATATTTATTTATAAACTTATGCACAAATAGAATAATAAATTGATTAACCCCTATTTTTTTTCCAAAATAGGTTCAAACAATCAGTCGTGATTCTATTCTTAAGTCCATGCATCCTACTTCTATAAATGGAGTAGAAGATATGATAAAACTTGGAGATTTACAGGAATATGCTATTTTAAAAAATCTTCATATTCGATATAATAAAAATTTAATTTATGTATGGAACTCTGTTAAAAAAATTATTTTTCTGTCAGTAATGATGGATGTATTTTAAAATATGCTTTATTTTTTTATTATAGACGTATACAGGAAATATGTTGGTAGCTATTAATCCTTACCAAATATTAAATATTTATACACAAAAAGAAGTTACTACCTATCGACAAAAAAATATAGGAGCGAAACCACCGCATATTTTTGCCATTGGTGATAACTGCTTTATGGAAATGATACGATCAGAAGCTAATCAATGCATTGTTATCAGGTATGGTCAAATTTTTTTCACTAAGATATTTTTGGAATAATGTGTTTATTATCTAGCGGAGAAAGTGGTGCTGGAAAAACAGAAAGCACAAAATTGATTTTACAGTATCTTGCTGCAATCAGTGGCGAACATTCGTGGATAGAGCAACAAATTCTTGAAGCTAATCCAATTTTAGAAGGTGAAAATAATTGTCAATAAAAATCAAATGATCAAAAATGATGAAAATAAAATACAATTTTTCCAGCATTTGGTAACGCCAAAACAATTAGGAATGATAATTCATCACGATTTGGAAAGTATGTTGATGTAAAATTTAATAAAAATGGTGTCATTGAGGGTGCGAAAATTGAGCAATATCTGTTGGAAAAGAGTCGTTTAGTTTATCAAGCTGAAGGAGAACGAAATTACCATATTTTTTATTCTATTCTTGTTGGATTGTCAAAAGAAGAAAAGAACAAGTTGAATTTAGAATCATCAGGAAACTATAAATATTTAAAAAGTTCCACTGAATGTAAAACTCGTAACGATGCTAAAGAATTTGCAGATTGTCGAGCAGCTATGAAAGTATTGAACTTTAATGACGAAGAAAGTTGGAATATTATTAAACTCCTTGCAGCAATTTTACATATTGGAAATATGAATTACAAATCTATAACGATATCTAATATGGATGCGACTGAAATACTTGAGGATTTGTCAATGAAATCAGCAACAGAAATATTAGGTGTTCATAATCGAGCTTTTAAAGAAGCTTTGACCAGAAAAACAATATTTGTACAAGGAGAACAAGTAATTAGTAATTTATCTAAAGCTCAAGCAATCGATATAAGAGACTCTTTTGTTAAAGCAGTTTATAGCCGTCTATTTAATACGATTGTTGATAAAATCAATAATACAATATTTAAACCAAAAACAAATTCTAAAAATTCTATTGGAATTCTTGATATTTTTGGATTTGAAAATTTTATTCATAACAACTTTGAACAACTATGTATCAACTATACCAATGAAAATCTTCAACAATTTTTTGTAAGACATATTTTTAAAATGGAGCAGCAATATTATACTGAAGAAGGAATCTCTTGGAAACATATTGAATTTATTGATAATCAAAATATTCTTGATATGATTGGAATGAAAGCCACTAATATCATGGCTCTAATTGATGAAGAAAGCAAATTTCCCAAGGTAATATTTTAGAACCTGTACAAAATTACAAGAAGTCTTGAAAGTACTGAATTTTCTAGGGAACTGACGTGACATTATTGGATAAACTTCATCAAGTCCATTCCGGCAATAAAAATTACATAAAACCCAAATCTGATTCTATTAAAGCTTTTGGGATAAAACATTTTGCTGGAGAAGTTCAATATGAAGTTAATGGATTTTTAGAGAAGAATCGAGATACTTTTTCTGCAGATTTAAAACAACTCATTTCAATATCATCAAATGAATTTTTAAAGAATATTTTTCATCGGGAATTCATGTCCGACAGGTCAAATGAAAAAAAGCGACCTCCAACCTTACTGATAGAATTCCGAAATTCTTTAGATGTATTAATGAAAACTTTGGAAAATTGTAATCCATTTTTCATTCGGTGTATCAAACCAAATGAAGATCAAAAGCCATCTGTGAGTATTTATCCTAATAAATTACTAAATATTTTTTAAATGGCATTAAACTTTTTTATAGCTTTTTGATAGATCTCTCTGCTGTCGTCAATTGAGGTATTCTGGAATGATGGAAACTGCAAAAATTCGTCGTGCAGGATATCCAATTCGTCATGATTATGAAGAATTCATTAACCGATTTCGTTGTTTAGCAAAAGGCGCTGATTCAAAAGAATACAGAACATTAGCAGAAAAAATTTGCGAAAATGTTGTAGGAAAGGATAATGGTGATTATCAGCTTGGAAAGACTAAGATATTTCTTAAAGAAAACCATGATTTTATTTTGGAGCAACAAAGGAATCAAGTATTAGCTAATAGTATTATTATCATTCAAAAGAATGTAAGAACATGGATATGGAGAAAAAGGTAATAATTTTTCAATATTTTTATCAGTATTAGCAATAATAAAATAAACTAAAAAAATTTTTTTCTAGATATCTAAAAAAGAAATTAGCAGCTTTAATGATTCAACGAGTTTGGAGAGGATATGGACCAAGGAAAAATTATTTAATAATAAAAAAAGGATATCAACGACTACAATCTTGTATTCGATCTCGTGCGCTTACCTATCAATTCCAGCAGAAAAGGAAGATCATTATAAAGCTTCAGGTTATCAAATATTAATATTCAAACGTAGACCATTAAGAATAAATTCTATATAATTTTAATTTTATTAAAGATAATATAATTATACTATTTGCTAAAAAACTTGTTTTTTTTTAAATTACAGGCACTTATACGTGGTTATCTTGTCCGGAGTATTTTTAAGAAAAAATCTGAGGTGAAGTATTTTATCAATACTTGGAGTATATGTCTAAAAGCATTATTATGTACCAACTGATTTTTTATTGAATTATTTTTTTATTCTATTTTAATCAAGATAACTTATTTATATTATTAATTTTATTAACTCATTAATGTATATACAGTGGTATCAGCAGAAACTATTAGAAATTAAAGAGCTTCAAAGTAAAGATGAAAAAAATATGAAAACAACTGGTAATAAATTGTGGAAAGAAGAAGCTTTAAAAACATTCAAACAAAGAATGAAAGAGTTACGTGAATCATTAGTGAAGTTTGATAATCACAATGTGAATACTCCCGTTAAAGATTCTGAATGTAATATTGATCCATTCTTTGAATTCTTGGAGACTGAGCCAAAAGTTCAACCAATAAAAGACTTACCTTCTAATATCTATGCGGTATGCTTCATTAGCAGAAGTAAAAATACGATATAAAATTTAATCAATTTTTTTTTTGTACAGGATTTACCTGCAACAAGTTCTGAAACTACTAGACGACGGAAAAGTGTTTTGCAAATTCCTCAAGAAGATCCTTCTAAGCTAGAAATATCCAGCTATCATTTTTTTAAATTTGCAGCAACATATTTCATATCGAATGCAACACCACATTATTCTCAGAGAGTTTTGAAACAACCATTACTCGATCTTTCTACTCCAGCAGATCAATTAGTGAATATAAATATTTATTAATACTGATTTTTGTAAGCACAATGTTATTTTAATATCCAATTTTTTCTGTAGGCATCTCAAGCTTTATGGATAACAATTTTAAGATTTATGGGAGATCTTCCAGAACCGAGAAATCCAGTAGAAGTCTCTCCAAATAAAACAGTAATGTCAACAATTACTGAGACATTATCGAAAAGTTTTGCAAGATCGAACGATTTGGAAAAATTAATTAATAAGGATAAAAATAAAAAACATATTGTTAGAATGACGTTAAAAAGACAAAATAAACTACATGGTGATATTAAGAAAGGTATGAATTTTGAAAATTATTTTTTTGTTATTAAAAAAAACTTAAAATTCAATTATTATATTTCTACAATTATTAGGAATTATTGAAGATGAATATGTCAATGAATCTTATCAAAATTGGATACAAACTCGAAGTAGCAATTTAGAAAAATTACATTTTGTTATTGGTCATGGAATTCTTCGGCCAGAATTAAGAGATGAAATTTATTGTCAAATAGTAAAACAGTTAAATAAAAATCCAAGTAATGTTTCTCATGCTCGTGGATGGGTACTCTTATCTCTTTGTTTGGGGTGTTTCCCTCCGAGTGAACATTTTGTTAATTATTTAAGAGCATTTATCCACTCTGGACCACCAGGATATGCTCCATATTGTGACCATAGACTCACTAGAACATATAAAAATGGAGCTAGAACTCAACCACCGAGTTGGTTGGAACTTCAAGCTACAAAGAGTAAAAAACCTATTCATTTAGAAGTCACATTTATGGATGGTACTTCTAAGATTATTGAAGCTGATTCAGCAAGTACATCACAAGAAATTGTTAAGAGACTTGCTGAAAATATTTCTTTAAAAGATACCTTTGGTTTCTCTCTTTTTATTACTCTGTACGATAAAGTTTTATCCATTGGAGCTGGAAGGTAATTAAATATTTTTATTTATTGTAGTCCTTACCTAATATATTTATGAACATATAATTTTCAGAAATCACATAATGGATGCTATTTGTCAATGTGAACAATATGCAAGAGAACAAGGACAATCTGAACGTACAGCACCATGGAGACTATTTTTAAGGAAAGAAATATTTGCTCCATGGCACGATCCAACTTTTGATCAAAGAGCAACTGATTTAATTTATCATCAGATAGTGCGAGGATTAAAGCATGGAGAATATAGATGTAATAATGAAAATGATATAGCAATGTTGATAGTTCAGCAGCTTTATATCGACAATAATACCAAACTAGCACATGATAAACTAAAATCCACCCTACATTTATATATTCCTAATCATTTACTCCAAGGAACTACACAAGAGACTTTCAAAAAGTGGGAAAAATTGATTATTGAAGTTTATGAACAAAATATAAATATTATGGAATCAGAATCAATAATAAAAGCAAAAGAAAATGTGGTTCTTTTTGCTAAAATCACGTGGCCATTGTTATTTTCACGATTTTATGAAACGGTGAAAATTGCTGGACCAGAGTTACCTGTCAATATCATAATTGCAGTAAACTGGACTGGAATATACTTTGTAAATGATGAAGAACAAGTATTGATGGAAATTTCCTTCCCGGAAATTGCGGAAATAATGGTACAAAAATTTAATAATAGTTTAAATAATAATTTAGTATTAACAACAATCCAAAGAGAAGAATTTATCTTTCAAAGTATTGAAGCAGATGATTTGGTATCTCTAGTTAATTTCTTAATTGATGGTTTGAAAGAGAAGTCTCTGTATGTAGTAGCCACCCAAGATTATTTAAGCAATGTAGATCCATTGAAAGAAAAACAATCTACTCTTTCATTCAGAAAAGGAGATATCATAAAGCTGATGGGATCTTGCACAGGATATACATTGATGTATTCATTAATTGGATACGGTGAATTAAATGGAAATATAGGAGAATTTCCTTCAGAATGTGTTTTAATTCTCCCAACAATGTCAAAACCATCTTCAGAAATAGTAGAAATCTTGAAAACTGATTATAGCACCAAAAATATTTCAACAAGACGGAAAAGTCAACAAGTAAATAAGGAACAAGCATATACTTTGAAAAAATTTGCTCAAGATAATTTTCGATCAAGTTATAATGTAACCCTTTCGAAAGGGTCTACTATTTCTTCAGTAAAAAAATCAATTCCTGAGAATTTATGGAAACACACACGTGCTCCAATGAAAGCTCCACTGCTTGCAAAAGTTGGTAAAAATCAAGATTTAGCCCAAGTTGGTGTGGATATATTTTCGAATATTTTGAGATATATGGGTGATTTACCGGGTAATTGTCAAAGATTAGGAACAGAATATACTGATTTTATTTTTAAATCAGCACTAGAGCATCCTGATTTAAAAGATGAAGTTTACTGTCAAATAATTCGTCAGTTAACTGAAAATAAAATCCGTTTGAGTGAAGAAAGAGGATGGGAATTAATGTGGCTAGCGACTGGAATTATGTCTTGTTCAGTGACACTTCAAAAAGAAGTAATTGCATTTTTATCTATGTCCAAATCTCCTATAGCTATGGATTGTTTAACAAGATTCAATAATATTTTAAAAATTGGTGATCGAAAACATCCTCCTTATATTTTAGAAGTTGAAGCTATTAGATTTAAAAGCATGCAAATTTTCCATAAAATTTATTTCCCGAATGATACTAATGAAGCATTTGAAATACATTCTTTATCACGAGCTTCAGATCTTTGTGAAGAAATTACTGAAAGAATGCAATTAAAAAGTAATAAAGGTTTTAGTCTATTTGTTAGGATTGCTGATAAGGTAGTTTCTATTCCGAATGATTTCTTTTTCTTTGATTTCATTCATGAACTTATTGCATGGACACAAAAAACAAATTTAATAACCAAATCAACAAACATTCAAGTTCAATATCAAATATTATTCATGAAAAAATTATGGATAAATGTTTATCCAGGCCATGATCCAAATGCTGATGAAATATTTTATTTCCATCAAGAAGTACCAAAATTTCTTCGTGGTTATCATAACTGCAACAAACAAACAGCTGCAAAATTAGCTGCATTAATATATCGAAGCAAATTTGGTAATAATAAAGAACAGCTTTCAGAAATACCAAAAAATATTCAAGAATATGTTCCTGCTGATCTCATTCGAGTTTATTCTATTAACGATTGGAAAAAACACATAACTACTGCGTATAAAGAAAATTTAGGAGTTGATGAGAATGGTGCAAAATTATTATTTTTACAACAAATTTATCAATGGCCTACATTTGGATCTGCATTCTTTGAAGTAAAACAATCAACAGATATTACTTTACCAGAGTTCCTTATACTAGCAATAAATAAAAATGGTATTAGTGCTATTCATCCACAAACAAAAGAAATTATATTAACATGGGGTTTCACAGAAATTTCAAATTGGTCTTCTGGAAATACATATTTTCATATGACGATTGGTAACTTTATAAAAGGTCAAAAAATTCTTTGTGAAACTGCTCAAGGATATAAAATGGATGAATTAATATCTTCATATATTTTTTATTTCAAAATGATGCTTGAAGACGATGAAATCGATGAAGAAATCACTTCATTATGATAGAAAAAAATTTAATTATGTATTTACCTCGATTTAATCATTCCATATGTAACAAAATTTCTTATGAAAAATATCAATTTCAAAAAACTATTTGCTAAACTCTTTCGTATAGAAACCTCCTTTATCAACATTACTATACTTATGTGGATGATTTTTCAATTCGTAACTATAGCTTTTTTCGAGCATAAAAAAAGCAACAAGAGAGACATCTGGTGAAACAATGGTTAGAAAAATTTCGAGTTGAAAGTCGTTTACATTCGATATTTCTCAACGTCACTTGACTTCGCGCTACCCACGAATGGACAGATTCAAGAAAATGAGATGCAGCAAGGAGAAGGACGATTGAGTTTGTCAAACGTATCAAGTGTACTTTGAGGACGTCATTTATTATCAGTCCTTCGTGCCATTATGTTTCCTTATTGGTTTGAATTAATTGTCTGGCATTTAATTACGATAAATCTACGATAATGTTACAACCAAATTCGTCAAAGGAAAAATTTCCCAGACTTTATACTTGATTTGTTGTTTCTACCAAATAAGTCGTGTGTTCAACGGAATCTTTGCACTTACAGAATGGCTACGTCTACGAAAAAATCCTGGAAACTCCGTAAGTAAACTTATCTAACCTTAAATTAGACTCCATAATTAGTTATTTGTGTTATTTATTTATTATCTATATTTAAATATTATCATATAAACAAAGAATTGTTAAAGGCTTTCTGATGACTAAAAATTATTTTACAGAGGATTTCACTGCCCATTCTTCCAATGTTAATTGCTTGGCTTTAGGACATAAGTCAGGAAGAGTTTTAGTTACTGGTGGTGATGATAAAAAGGTTAACTTATGGGCAGTTGGAAAACAAAATTGTATAATGAGCTTAAGTGGCCACACAACTCCAATTGAATGTGTACGATTTGGACAAACTGAGGACCTCGTTTGTGCTGGTTCCCAAACTGGAGCTTTAAAAATATGGGATTTAGAGCAAGCTAAATTAGCACGTACGCTTACAGGTCACAAAGCAGGAATTAAATGTATGGATTTTCATCCTTATGGCGAATTATTGACTTCAGGAAGTTTAGATACTGGAATCAAATTATGGGATATTCGACGAAAAGGTTGTATCTTTACTTATAAAGGACATAATGAAACAGTTAACAGTCTCAAATTTAGTCCTGATGGTCAATGGATTGCTAGTGCTGGTGAAGAAGGAATGGTAAAGCTTTGGGACCTGAGAGCTGGAAGACAATTAAGAGAATTTTCTGAACATCGAAGAGCTGCAACAACTGTTGAATTTCATCCTCATGAGTTCCTCCTTGCTAGTGGAAGCATGGATAGAACTGTTCATTTTTGGGATTTAGAATCTTTTCAACTGGTTTCTTCAACTGATGCTAATTTATCTGCTATTAGATGTCTTCATTTTAGTCAAGGTGGAGAATGTTTATTTGCTGGAAGTCAAGATCTCTTAAAAGTTTTTTGTTGGGAACCCGCGAGAACATTGGATACTGTTCCAACAGGTTGGGGTAAAATTCAAGACATTGCGATTGCTCAAAGCCAGTTGATTGGCGCAAGTGCTAACGGTTCTAATGTGGTTGTTTTTGTTTGTGATTTGAAAAAAATTGCACCTTTTGCTAATATATCTCAACTTTCATCACCTTTTGCTCATGGAAATCCTTCTAGAAGAAGTTTTACAAGAGAAAATCCTAGAAAACACTCGTAAGTTCTGATTTTTAGAGTATAGTCATAAATATTGTAGATAAATAATATTTTTTAATTTCTTTGCAGTGTGAATGTAAAAACAACTATTGAAGAAGGAGATAAATCAGGATCTGATCCGGAAGATGAAGAATCAAATGTAGAAATTCAAAATTTAACTACATGTGAAGATATATTTCAACCTCATCGCTCATGTAAGTTAAAGATATTGATGAAAAATATTGTTGTCATTTATTTGTAAATTTGAATGATTGATAGAGTTAATTCTACAATTATTTAATGACGTGGTATAATTTTGATATCCCAGCAAAAATATTAATATTTTTACTAATGATTTAGTCTAGTGTGTTTTTATAATAGTTTGTGAATGAGCATGCAATGCACGCTATGTTTCAGTGTCTCGTACGCCGCCACCAGAACCTGAGGCTTTTCCCGAGCCTCAAGAAATAGGTAAGAATAGTTCTAAATGGTCAATAGAGATGGTTATTAACTCTAATATTAATAACTCAAATCGATCAACCTTTCTGTTTACTGATAGTAACGAGTGACTGATTTACCTTTATGTCTGTGTAATAAGTTTTTCTAACTCTTTCATTAAGCAAAAATTTTTTTTGACCGTTAATTATTAACTTAATACTTTTTTTGTAGATCCAACACAGCCTCAAATAATTCAAAACTTTACTACCTCATTGACAAACCTTTCAACTGGAGGAAGTCAAGATGTCGAAGAAGATTTATCACCATCATCATCGATACCTCCTCCGTCACTGTTTACAAAACCTGTATCAGTTCGAAATAATCCAATTAAATCATCGCCACCAGTTCAGAGGCACTTAATAAACTCAAGTATTCAAGTGAAATTAAATGTACAGACTGTAAATAATACTAGTGCGGGGAAAAATGTAAAAAATTTCGCCCAAATTCCACCATTAAGACAAAGCATTACGCCTCTTGTTGGAAAAAAGACTTTAACTAATAATTCAAGTATTACTCAGCCTTTAGGACCTCAAAGGTCGAACTCTACATTAACTTCAAGAGTTGCACCGATGGCTGCAGTATCTCCCTCGGTAATGGGAGGTGATGGAAAATCTAAAAGTCGAGCACCAAGTCCGGATTCTCCCAAACATTTCTTCAAACGTCAGAGTAGTTGCAAAGATGGAGAACATGGCTATGAAAGTGATTTCCCAGTGCAAATTAATACAAATATTAAACATAGTCCTTCAGATCCTGCGCTAAATAGGCCTAATACAGGACAAACAAGGTCCAATTCAATGGCTAGAAATTTCATCAACTCTGGACCACTTTCTGCTAGAAATTTAGCACCAGCAAAGAAAAATAATCGTGCTCAAATAGCTCCAAATCCTAAAGTTGACATCAGAGTACCCCAGTTGAAACAGGAAGCAGTTGAAAAAGATGACTTTGTGCCAATGATTCCTGATAAACCAATTGGTCTTGATGTTGACGACTTCCTACCTAGTACATTTTCAGGTCTTGCGAGACTTGGATGTAATCAGGTACTTAGTGAAACATCTGAAGTTGAAATTATGAATAGTTTAATGCGTGGACAACATGACTCTATGATGGCTGTTTTAACTAATCGTCAAAGATCTCTTCAAATAATTTATTCTCTTTGGCATAACAAGGATGTCAAGTCAGCTATTGATTCGGCTGTTGCTATGAATGATTTGTCAGTCATTGTTGATCTTCTTGGAGTTCTAAATTTAAAGGCGTAAGTTTAATTTAATTAACCGTATAGTCGTACCCATGAGTCATTCGAATTTTCTTTATTTCATTGTCTGATTTAAGACGTGATTTTCGTACCAAAATACTTGGTATAAAAAATCTTAAAAAATCATTGCTTTGTTTGAAACGGTACTTATCTTGTGTTGAATTATACAAATTTCCATTCCATTAATACTCTATAAAGTCAAAGTTTTATTGTCAGTTTAAAAATGAATGAAACATTATGAATCAAATATTAAGAATCACTAGATGAAAACTTTTTCAATGTCATAGAAAGTTTTATTTTGATTACCTAATGATTTTTTAATATTTCAAGGCTTTCAAGATGTTACTGCATTTGTCAGACCTAAAAAAGATCGGTCATAAACGATGAAATGCCCTTGTGAACCCACTCTCAGTAATTTCCATTTTATTCAAGAATTTCCTTGTATTAATATTCATACTTTAATGATCACAGAGTTTCTATTTTGTTTACGTCGTTCATATAACTTGCCACATAGAAGTTTTCATAGTAAAATCAACATTAAAAAAGCTAATTAAAAATGAATTATTTTTTGATGTAAATCATTCGTAGGCGTCGACTCAAGGTCTTTAAGTTAACGATGCTATTTGAAAATAACCTCAGACGTATATAAAAAAAATTTATATTTGCAATGTGATTTGTTTTTTTCAGAACAATATGGAATTTGGATATATGCAATTCATTACTCAGGCCTATTGCAGAGCTACTACAAAGTAAATATGAAATGTATGTATAAAATTTATTTAAGTAGAAAAATTTAGATTGAAGTTTATTTTAATATTTACATGCTTCGATACGAATGACTTGAAAGTTATGAGACCGCGAAGCTTGAGTGCATCTTCTAGCGGTATTGTGGTCATGTCCTAGCCGCAAACTCATCATTTTTTTGTTCTAAAAACGCTGAAAGAAAGAGAAAGTAATATTGTCAAATTTATGCCTTGTATTTTATTCTTAGATTTGTTATTATGATAGAACACCTTCATATTATGAAGGAGACTAACTTTCCTTTTTCGGTGATATCAACATTCCATCTTCTTACGCAATAACGACATCATCTACATAACTGTTGCAATGATCAACATTTACATTTTCGTTGCTATTATAATCCACATGAGTGACGTGGAGCATCCAAAAGGATTCTTATTCTCTTTTCAGCTGACATATCAATCTGACTGTAAATAAAGTCTCACGTCCATTTCGCATTGAAATAAAATCTCTTTCCAAACTGTTACCAATGGGAACAGCTAATTTTGTTCTTAGGATCCAATATTTGAAACACGTATGTCTGACAAAGGGTCGCTAGAAAATTAGCTTAGACAATGAGGTACGATAGCAGATGCAAATTCATTCGCTGAAATCTTCCTGACGTGGTGCATTGTTCAATTATGCATTGAAGTTTTAAAGGACACACGACATGTCTCACATATGTCAATATACTTTTTTTTTTCATTTTTAAAACGGTTGTCAGAATTCTACTCTTGCAAACAAAATGCAAGAATATTTATTTACAGTAATTTGAGTAAGCTCAATACACCATTCTTAATTCTCACGGCCAACTTTCAACTGCTCTTGTTTAGAGTTACTTTTAAATAATATAAATTATTTTTTTATTTCTATCAATTAAAAACAGAGCAATGAGCGGGACAAACTTGTGCACTGACACGCAGGGCCTCGAAATAGGCCAATTATTCGGTGCTCAGTCACAAGCTGTTGCCACTGCCGTTGACCTGTCGTGATGAAACTGACATTTCCTCTCTTTCACGCCAATGTTTGCTCTTTTTTTCTAACAATTATTCTTACAGTTTATTTATATCTTTTTTATTAAACCTTTTACAAATTAATCTACAATAAGTGGAATTATTCTATAAGTAAAGATTGCTTGATATGTTATTTCAATGATCCTTAATTAGCAATTATCTATCAGAACAACAGTAAAATAATATCCGGAGTAGTTTGAAATCAACGATGCTGAAAATTAGCCTTCGGTCATTCGCATAAACGTCAATCAAACCAACTTATTAGCTAATTGTGTTCATGGTATAGATAAAATACCATAAAAGTGAATTACACTAATTGCCAACTGTTTAACAGATGTTATAAAATCATGTTGGCTTCGTTTTAGTATTTGTCATTGAATATCAGTTAGTTAAAAATTTTACCTAATTATCATTTTTATTCAAAATTTTCAGTAAAATCTTTTGTAATTGTCATAAAATTGTATTGACGTAGACACTGAATTGAATTATCATGTTAATATATTGCTACAATAATTATATGTATTTTAGTTTTTGTAGCTACTCAGTCATTTTCACGGTTTGTTCGTTACACTTACCCTCAAATCGTGAGAAAAAACTAGGATGAGAACAACTTGCGAATCTTTTGATATTGAATTTATTGGTTTTTTTGAAAGACAATTTTTTCTTAATTTATGATACTTATATGAATGTTTAAATGATGGTGAAATAATTTAATAGCTTCCATAGTCAAAAATAATATACTCTATGAAAGGTTTAGTAAAACATGAAATAGTTCAAAATGTGCATTCCTTGTCCAGAAAATGTGCATCAAACATAAATTCATTGCTGCCATTAAAATTCGTTACACTTATTCAGGAGTTGATCCCTCAGCCAACCCTTTATCGTTTAACAAAATTCAAGCGGACCAAATTTGAACGTTCGCGTGCCCACGTTATTTATTAGCTCAATAAATAACATAATATTATATGTTATATATGTGTCGTTATCAAATAATAAAGGGTTTTTAAACTACAAGGCGTAACTTAGTCGGTGGTTACTGAATATACGAAGCATTACATTATTACATGCCTGTTATTTTCAGAAAAATCACATATTTGTATTTTGTATTCATATATAAATATATAAGAGAGCACTTTCCCAGCCGTAAATTATATTTTACTTTTCTTGACATGTAGAATTGATGCCGAAACTTGTTTTCGCAGGTACGTGACGGTTGGCTGCACGGCGTTGAAGTTGATCCTACGGAACTTTGCCCCAGTGATCAAGTCGAATGTTGAAGCGCCTCTGCATTCCATTGGCGTAGATGTTTCTAGAGAAGAAAGGTAATTACGTCTTTTTAAAATTTTCTTTACATAATTAAATTACAATAAATGATGAAAATCGTATAATAACAATAATATTCTAAATGGAAGTAAAGCTTTATGAAAGAGGTATATGATAAGAATTTTTAAATTTATGAAGTTTATGTAAAAAATTATTAACTTCATTTTTTAAACTTATAACAAATGATTAAATGATAAATTTTTTATAGATATCACAAGTGTTTATCTTGCTACGAGAAGTTAGAAGCAATAAGGCCGTTAATTCTGCGAAAACAATCTAGTTCTGGTCAAATTGGATCAACATTTCGTGAGATTAATGTTCTTATGAATACCCTAGTGTGACCGTGGCTTCTACAAGATTATTGTTATATCCCGGTGCTACAAAAAAACTTCCAAAAAGTGTAAAAAAGTAGAAATTGCCAATTTTACGACTTGAGACTGAATTAAGAGGCTTCTCGAGTATTCTGTACATTCATTAGCCTCAAACTTGCCGGCTAGTCCTCCTAAAACAGAAACAAACCGACAAATGGAGAGAACATTTTTTAGATAATCTTATAAAATTGTCATTTATTGAAAATCCATGCCATAAATTTTGATGACAATGAAAGGAGAGAATAAGTTGAAGAAAAAAAATATAGAGATTAATTTCCACGTTTTTACTTCCGAATAATCACAATATAATTATGAAAAGTTAATCAGTGATTTAATGTTAGGGCATCGTGATACGTCTTTCGCTCAAAAAAAAGAGAAAGATGAGTGATTTTGAATGCATAAGTGATAGAACAAAATAGTAGAAACGAAAAAAGACATGGATAGAAATTTATACTTAATATTAAAATGGAGAGAATGAGTTTTAAATATTTCAATTTACCAACAAACAGAGTTAGCATTCTATGCAAATAAATTTGTATCATATTATAATACACACATTATTATAAAGCAAATCATAGTTTCCTAAAAAGAAAACGATCAATAACGAAAATTAGTCAGATAATGTTTAGTTCTCTAAAAGAATGTATTTTTCCATAAATAATTCCTATTCCGATCCTAAAAAATAATAAATAAGAAAAATAAATCATAGACGGATATTTACAACAAAAAAAAAAATATTTTAATGCACTCACATACAAATATTATTTTTAAACTGAAGAAAAATAGCAAAAAATATTTCGAAAATTTATAAAAAAAAAAAAAAACTTTTCTGCTGTAAAATATTTTTTCTTCATTTGCGAATAATTTGTTCATAGACATAAAATACTTGAGAATGTGAATATTTATATAAATGATAAGAAACTTGTATAATAGACAATCACGAACGGAAATAGCTAAATTTAAATTACTTTGTATGTATTTAAATTTTTTATTCAAACTTAATCATGATTTTTTTATTTCTAAAAATTTTAAAAATATTATATTGACATGTCATAGTTTTAATCATATATGTTTCAGTTGTTTTATTTAAGAACAAAGCAGTAAAATAGAAGCTCCTCTTTTAAGATATTTTATTAATGCTTTTAAATAAAGAATACCAGTAATTTTATGCTCCGTAGGCTCATTCAATTTACCAGTCATACTCAAATGTTTTTATGAATAGTTCAAAATTTTTAAGAATTTAATATATTTGTCATAATAATATTAATAATAATAATAACACAAGATCTTTTGGAGTTTACCCATTATGATAAATATGTTAAAACCAGTAACCAAATAGAATATTCAATGAAAGGTCCTGAAAGGACATTAATGATTAAATGTTCACATTATTCGTGACTTATTATCACATCTCGAGTACAAGTAATTAATAATCTATAAAAAGAGTATAAAGAACTAACTCATAAAATCCGTCCAGAATGTTAAATATTTGAATAAAATAAGAGGAATGTGAGATTGTATGTAATTAAGAAAGTCTGGATATTATTAATGTAATTTATAATAATTATCTGTGTTTATTTTCGGGTTTTACAACAGTTAGATAGATAGAATGGAATTTTCGATAATTTTTTGTAATTATCAAAATAATTTACACTCCATTCATTTGTCTTTGAGACTGTAAACTGTATGTCTTCTTTACATGTATCAAATCAAATTGCGTTTACTCGAAACGAATGCATTATGCGAATGCGAGTTTATCATTAATATATTAAATATTAGCTAGGATTATAATATTAGACTATTAGCAGGTTTTCTGAATTTTAATGTACCTATAAGTATGTGTAAATAATTATTACAATAATTCAACGAGCTTTTGGCCTTTATCTTAATAACGATCTCCTGCAATATTTTTGATTTGTTTTAATATTGTTTATCAACCAATTATATATGTAATTTTCACACGAGCTTGTTAAATAATTATACCGATAGATTAACAATGTTTATTATAAAATCATTTTAATATATATATAATATAATTCTAATTTAATTAAACAACCGTTAAGTTTTAATTAAAAACAAAAACGATTATGTAAAAAATAATATAGCTGAATATTAACGAAGAAAAATATGATTAATAAATTAATTTTCATATGAAATATGAATAATAATTACTCTCTTATTTATTTAAAACTTATTGATAATCTTATCTTAATAATAATAATCTTTATGTTAATATTGATTGAATTTATATTCAATTTTTGTAAGTAGAAATTTTTCCTCAAAGTAATCTCGTAAAATTGTCAACAAAAATCTGTATAATTTAAATGTTTTATTTTTGAAGTGTAACTAAGGTATTAAAAAAGCAGAAGGGCGATCATGTAAAAAATGCAATCGATCTCGATCGTGTCTTGCGATAGAGCGTGAAAATAAGACTGCATAGCTGTCTGTAATCCGTGAAATATCGCGAACATAACATAAAACATCAGTAAACGCGTGCCGACTGTTTACCCACGCGATTTCGTATTCATATGCGTAGGATTATGTCGTTGCCGTGTCATGAAGAGGAAAGGGGGCAACCCTTCGTTTACTTGCCACGGTATCTCGAGCACAACGGTTTTCATCTCCACATCGAAAGAGTTATGATATTATGTACAGTATTTTCATTTTAATACCTGAAACTTACATTAAATGTTTATACCGTTCAGGTATATTAGCTTTAATAACTGATATTATGCATCATTATATCATGATCAATCATTTAAACAAGACTTCCGTGCATGTAGTAATTTCGTACGCATGTAAATGGAGATGATGTTAAATCTTCAATTGCAATTTGGTACATTTACTTAATCATACCTGTATTTATCTCAACACGTGTTGAATTTATTATTAAAGTTTTTATTTTGAATTCAATCAACATGAGATGTATAAATAAACGTATAAACATGTAATACAATCATAATATGATGCTGTCATTTATTGTCGGCATCTCAATGACAATCATCAACATTTTTGGATCTTTCTATTGTGACAAAGATAAGTTAAGTCTCTTCTTGTCGCCACCTCGAGCGACGAAAATACTGTTTTCTCACAAAACGTCGAACAATACCACCAACAAGCACTCTGGAATTTGATGACAGTAGAGCTGGAGGCATAAATTCTCTTGGAGGCCAATAAAGAGATCGAAAAGAAGACTACCTTATAAGCGGATTATCCTTAGGTACTAAGAAACCGATATAGGATACATCCACGACTCTTCTTCAGCATCTTTGTGATCATCAGCCTTTACAAAAAAATTATTTTCTATTCTAAATTCAGTGTATTTTATGCTATTTCCATCTCCTCTTCTTCATCTTCATGCTTTTTTTACTTCTATCTTTTCCTTTTATTGCATTTTTTTCGTATTCAGAACTACATTTTACTCATCATCTCCAACTATTATCGACTTATCTTTACATAGAAAATTTTTTTACAGATTTTCAGGATAATTTTCTATACCTAATTTTTGCTCAGCCTCACAATGTAAAAAAATTGAATTTACTATTAATGAATGAATTCTTTTTCTACATGTGCCCATGATTGGTAGCAGAGAGTATCTACATAAATTCAATAAACTCCCCCTGAATCTGATTGGCTAATTATGTACATGTCGAAGGGGAGGAAATGTGACGTCATAGGGTGGATAACTAGGAACGTGATTGGCTGAAGCAGGGGTTGAGCAGCCCTTCTGGCTACGCGTTAACGCGCAGGGTGGGTTTGCACTCGTATTCACCCCTCGTTTCCGACCGTTTCACTTCAACATTTTGCTTGAGATATATCGTGTTACAGGAGATATTTTAGAAGGGATTTTCAAGGGCGGCGACGCGAAAAATAAAGGAATAGGGGGTTTGAACATTCTAAAAAGGAAAATGTCGCATAATAATAATAATAAATCGTTGCAAAAAAAATTACTGAAAAAATTATGGTATTTTAGTGGATAAATTTAAAAAATCACTTTAAAGACCAAGACGAAATCCTTGACTTTTGATGAGGATAAGACTAATTTAAGGAGATCACGCACGCGCCAGATGGATGCCGAAGACTCTAGAAAATTATCTCTAAAAGTGACTGAATAGGAAGCTCTTAAAAATAATTATGCAGCTGGTGAATATTTTGGAGTATTAATAATAATCAGGAATTATTGTTGAATTTTATTTTGTGTTTAAATATTTGTTAAATTCATTTTACAGGAAGATGACCAAGTGACTTAAGATATATATATAATAGTAATAAGACCTTGCGTGTGTCCTGTAGTTGGTCTTAAGTTACCGATATCAAATTATACGGCGTCTTGAATCGATACCTCGAAGAAAAAATTCGTTGTGGTTTTAGGAGTAAAGAAAAGAGGCAAGGATAGGAAGTTAAAAAGTAAAATAAAAAAAAATATCTATATATTCTTTCGAGTAACGCCCGAGTAATTCGTTCGCCAGAAGAATCACTCGAGAACACACAGGATAGTAGAGAAAAAATAAAGAAAGAAAAAAGTGAAAAAATACTAAAATAAAAAGCAACAGAGTCCGTTGCATCTGTAAGCGAGCGATATCCTTTGTGCGGTTTCGCTCAGACGTTGGGATGATTGCTATGAGGATGCTGTGTCTCTAAAACAGCAACTGAGAGACTCCATTACAGAATAAATTTGAAGAAGCTTCAAAAAGTCTATCTAAAGGTCTTCATTGATGACGCTAAAGTAACCGTGTAATCGTAAGTAGAAAATTTGAATGGTCTGTGACGAATGATCCTCAAGAATTGTATGATTTGGTTCTACAAAAACTTATGTATTTTCAAAAGGTAAACAAACTCAAGTTGCGAAGCTAATGATTGGAAATATTTTGTTGACCTGAATGACTGGAAAGGGCCATAGAGTTTAGCATGAAAATAAACATCTGTATTAGTTAGTTACACTTGGAAATAGAGTATTTTACGAAGTGTTTTCCAAAAGAAAAAAACTGAAACAAAAAACAAAAGAATGCCGTGCTATTTAAGTCTTCATCTATTAAGGAAGCCTTTGTGAAGGCTGATTATAAAGCGAATAAAACAGATTTGCGTAGGTGAAATGTCACTGCAGAAAAGGGATGTCGCGGATAATGGATAATACTGCTTGACGGTTGAACATTAGACATGAACAAAGCGTTGATTAAAACGAGAATTGGGGAATTATGCATTTGGCCTTATGTTCTTAACTTCACACCCTTTTATACTCCATTTCCACCCTTTTAGTATATACATCTACATGTATGCCACCCAAAATAAACTCTTGTCTTTCACCATGAAATCGTTGGAAGATGTACCGGGTGCATTTTATGATCCTTTTTTAATCTTCCTCACAACTTTTCAGTCCATCATGTCCTGTTATATATATAAATTAATCTTTGCTACAAATAATTTACTTGAAAGTTCAAGGGAGTAAATGTAATATTTCATGATCGTTGACACTTGTTAATATAACAAGACAAGGTTTTAAGTTACAATATGATGTGAGCGTGCATTTATTCAATTTATGATTAGAGAGAAGGAAAAAATATTGACAAGGATAAGCTAACCCTACACTCACACCCTAGAATAAAATGGACAAGTTTTCTTTTTGATGATAAATAGTCGGACCAGGTGATACTCCCTTGATATAGTTTTCTGACTCTTTCAAACTACCGTTTGATGAGTTGTTTTTCTTTTCACTTTTTCTGATACTCTTTCGTCCTTTCACGGCTATGAAAAAAGTCTTCAAGACTCTTTAAATACCAATGATGAGTCAGTAATAAACAGTTAGATCACTATAAAAAGATTTAATCCTTGTTTAATCGTTCAAACGATTCACAATGAAAAAGTTCTCTGGTAATTTTTATCAAGCGAAGAATAATTCATTTACTGTTATCAGCTTCTACGAAATTCACTCTAAAAAGTTATCTTAGTTTTAAAAAATATTCACACACTCAGATTTTTTGTTTTCCTTCGGATTCCCATGTTTTCAATACAAAAAAGAGGAAGTTCATACACAGTAGAAATGATTTTATTGAAAAACTCATAATAGAGGTGGTTTGTGAAATAATATCACGCAAGCAATTTGAATAATATAATAATATACATTGAAACAACTAAAACAGCAAGAGTGTAACACTCTGAAGGCTTTGAAAAAATTTAGCACCTAGAAGACAGTTATGGAGATCATCGAGAAAATGTAGAATATAACAGACAAAGCAACCGCTAATTTCACAGTCATTTAAAGGACGATAATTCATCATGATTTATGTATCTGCATGGCGCACATCCTCTTGACATCATATTCTATTAGAATCGTTCACAAAGATGCGCCGAAAAATCGTGTAGAAGCTTTACGATCAGAGTCTTGAGTACCATAACATTAATGTGACTTGAAATTTATTTATTTATTTTATTCCTCGGAATAAGACTTTAAAAGAGAATTTCCGCGTGACTTGGAACTCATTTTAACCCCTTAAAGACTCGAGGAGTCGCGAGTTAAAACACGAATAACGACAGGAGGTCGAATAAGGGTTGATGAAGGCGGGAAAAAGCAAATCGCTATTGCAACACTCACTCAAATGGACGAGCATCTATCGAAAGTTTTCAACACGACTTTAGCGATTCTCAGCGTGATGTCAAAATAACCAAATGTCAACATTGTTAGGCGTCAAGGGGTTTATGATCGAATTATAGGGGTGCAAGATCTCCTGGTGAGACAGTTCTTTCCTTCAATTATCAGACAATGCTACATGATGCAGCTGCGTCTTTCTACCTACGATGTCCTCCTGAGTAACACCGTCACCATGTTCTCATGTGATATTGCATGTTTAGAAGCACTTTTTCAATGTCCGTTTCAAAAATTTCGACAAACTGACCGCCTCCAGGCCGGACACACAGCCAATTCTTTAATCTTGGCAATTTTCATGGGCGGATCATCAGTTGGGTCAATTGTCCATTGAACTGGACCCTCTCCATGGTCATTTTATTCAAATCTTCAGTCATTTTTGTCTGCCAATCATTTAAAATTGGTAATGTAGAAGAGAATGTTAATTATGATGTACATTCAAGAAAAAATATCAAAAATCGTCCTTCAAATACTAAAAGAATTTTTTCATTCAGTTGTTTAAATTATATATTAATATTTAAATAAAATGACTTCAAATAAATTTAGTTCTGTTAAACTTTCTGCGAAATGTTTCATTCATAAAACAATGAAAAAAAAAACAGTCATGGAATCCTCACAGACGACTTATATAAACTTGTGAATGTTTTAATTCTTGGGATACAAGGCGAATGTCTTGGAAAAAGATTCCCGTTTCTTCGCAAATGATTACACACTTTCGTTCTATATCGCCACGATGATGACGTCTATGTCATATACCAGACATCAGAGGACTAACTGCTGCTTCCTGATTTATTCAAACAAACACGTGTGCCCATACGGCATGTTTTACTGTCGAAGAACTGTTTTATTACAAGATGTTTGCATTTGGCTGAATCCATAGCTGTCTTTTTGCTATGACAGGACAGATGATTACTAGCATCGTCGCGGAACCTTTGACAAGAAGACCATCAAGCCGATTGAGGCTTTAATGATTTTTCCGTTTCCTTTTTTTTTCTTTGCGGATGCCGTTTTTATATCTTAATCTTCTTTAGGCTATGATATATATCTCCTTCTGAAAAATATATAAAACTTTAGATTTTCTAGCTCTATTAATTTCAAAATTGGTAGTTTGATAATAACATTTTTCAAAGAAAATTAACATCATTGAAAGAATATTTTTTTAATCACTAAATATTAAACATATTCAAAAGCTAAAAAAAATTTTTAACATCAGAATTTAATTTCTTTAAAACCGGAAACGAAACTGTGAATGTAGAGTAGTTTGATGGTTTCTTTTTTGGCCAAAAAAATGTGGTAAAAAAGGGAAATAAATCTAGATAATAAGCATTCATGATGGATCTACATATTGTAGATATTTTGATGTCTGGTGATTTCCAACAATCAACACACGAAGTAAAAAAGTATGATAGATAAGATATCAAAGACATGATGGATTGGTCATTTTGAACGTGGGAAATATAAGAAATGTCTGTTGGGATACAAAGAAATAAATCTATATAAAAAGGAGCAAGCACTGTTAACTTCTGTATAGATCGACAATGCGTCAATGTTACGTTTCAATCGAACTACTGAAACGTGGACAGCAGGTAGTGCTCTCCTTTTAACACCATTTACACCTTCAAGATAGACGTGCACATCTTGCCTAAGCCATTGTCGACTTCTTCTATTATATTGACCAAGCGACTTCCCGTCACGCCACTTTTTCTCCTTCACCATCTTCTCATGCCAGGAGAAAAAATCATGAAAAAAAAAACCCGAATGTTAGAAAAAATTTTTCATAAATACATAAACAAAAAAAGTCAATGCAATTTAGAAAATTTTTTATCGATTTCTATTCTAGAAAAATTAGATAAATGTCAAGCTTTCTGATCAATTTTAATTCATGTTGAAAAGCAAAAAAAAAAATAATCGAAGCAAGAAGAGCATATGACAGAACAATTTCAATGATTTCCACTCTACTTTGCATTTAGACAGGTATAAGTATTTTCTTTGGGTGAAAAAAATGCACACGCGGTTGTCAGAATAAGGGAAAGCCGAGTGCTCACTCGACAGTCGAACAATGTGATTTCAGTGAGATCCTCTTATGTACGCGAATTACACGGATCAGCTTCTCTCAATAGCTATCAATCACTTCCGTCCAGACACTGATCGTCCAAACTAGCAGCTTGTAAGTAAGTCATATCATCAAATATAGAAAAAACTTATTCAGTTGTTTACACATTATTTTCAATATTTTGTCATCTAAAAATTCCAACACGGTCTTTTTTTAAACAAATAAAAGCAATTATATTTTTTTTCCTATTTACTATAATCGAAAAAAATTTTTTACCAAAAAAATTAATAACACTACAATTAATCATAATAATAATAATCAAAATGTAGAGTTCGCCGTCCATCACCATTTACATCTGTAATATACTATAACGGAAGATGATAAAAAAAATGTTGAGTCTGCGGTTTTCCCTCCGGGACGTTACATCCCGTTTTCATCACATATTTTAATACATATAACATTCATCTCGCTCTAATCCTCTTAACTTTTCGACTCTCTTTATTCCTCTGGTGTGTGAAGATGAGAAAGCAGCACATAAGAGTAAAATCAGCGTGAAATGAGGGAAGGCGTGTGCAGTTACCATTTTCACCCTTTTTCCTGATGTTTTCAGACATCAGCTCAGACGCGTCAGTAGCATTCGAATATACAAACAACTTAATCGGATCAATGACTATTATTTGTCCCTTATTTTTGATATTTACCGAAAGATATACAATGGAATGGGCTTGTATAGATCATGAAATGGCTTCAATTCGTGTATAATATGGGAAAATAAATAAATCATTCCCAATAAATAAATAAACATTACGTCCAAATTTGCCTCACAATTTTTACTATAATTAATTTCGGCAAATGCAAAAAATATACTTTTATTGATCATCATTTAAATAAAGATGGAATTTTCAAAACATTGTTCTTTACCTTTTGTTGACTTTTCCTTACGTGACTCATGTTCCAGCACGCGAGAAAGCGTTGGTCCTGCAATAATATCTAACATTATATTTTTCGAGAGATCAACGTTAGACACGACGAAATCGATACGCTTCGCTAGTCTCTTCCTTTCATTATTTTCTTCCGACGGCTTCGAAATAATTTCAATCGATTCACGGGTGACACGAAGAAAGGAAAGTATCCGTTTCGCTCGACAGGCGATAAAATCAGGTGATCTTGATCCTTGATACGCAACCTGGTCGGCTCCTTTGATATTCTTGATGTAATATCTTCTATGAAAGACATCTTCTTAAACGCTATTTCAAGATATTTTAACTCCATTGTAGTTTTCTTAAATTGCTGATAAAAAAAATTCGGTAGATTACTGAAAAACCTGGAAAAAAAAAAGAAATAAAGTTCATTAGAATTTTTGAATAAAGGCTTGATTTGTTTACATCATAACAAAGCTTTATGTGCAAAAGGGACTAAGTGTTGTTGCTTAAAAGGTCGTATTTCGTATAAATAAGCTTAGAAATAGTCTATTGGCGTAGTATTACTGCTATTACTTGAAGTAAACACAGATTTACCTTAGAATAAAACTCTCTCAGTATCATAATAACAGGGAGCAACAAGAAACTCTTCTTTTTTCTCATCTAAATCTTCCTCTTCTTGCGTTCAAAGACGACCAATCTCAGCTTCTGCTTTCTCTGAATTTTTTTCACCTCGTGTCACTATTCATGGTGAAGAGAAGGCGGATAGGGTGGCCCGTCATTGAAGCATTCAGAACAGCTAATCCGCTGATTCCGCTAGCGGCGCATGACGCGATGGCTCCCTTCTTTTACTGAATTTAATTCAAAACTTTTTTCTTTCTTTCTCTGTGAGATATTGATATATATCTCTCACTCCTTACCAACGATTCAATTCAAATCCAAGGGAATTTGTAACGATATCCTGCTGCAATTGATCCTGAGCTTTCGTGGAGATCCCATGTCAATGTACCCTGACTACAGCAATAAATAGCTTCATTGCAAACTGTTATACAGATGATGATTTTTTTTCTGTACTATAAGCGTAAAAAAGTCACTTGTCCATGACGCAATAACTTAAATGTTCATTTTAACTGATAAAGATGATAATTTAACAGCAACCCCTTTGACTTTGCTGTTCTCATTGCATTTTTTTTCTTTACATTTTTTTCTGAATGAATAGACGCAACACATGTCATCTGATGGGGTTAGAAAATCGCTGATTTTTACCCCAAATCGGTATTTTATGTTACAAGATCGTAAATCAAGGGTGTGAAATCAATTACCACTCATCACACGTGTTAGGTTAGGAATGGAAGATTGAAAAAGTTGTTGATAACATGATGCCTATAAAAAAAAAACAAGTGAAAAAAAGAATAAATTGATTGGTGAATTAATTTATTTATTATCATAGAGTTAAAAATAATTTATGACAATAAAACGTGCTTGAAAAAAAATTACATACATATCAAAACCTTTTGAAGTAGAATACATTCTCAGAACGCAGGTAACTCTTCCAATCCGACTTTAAAATGTGTTCATTTCTTTCTTATTTCCCCTTGTCTGATTTTTCTGGGCCAGCACCCGTTCACTCCCTAGATCCTCGTCAGCTTTTATTTTGATTTACACGACGTTAACGTGCTTTGACGTTCAGTCGGTCGTGTCCTAGTCGTACGTGCCGGTGAATTAAACCAAATCGAATGTGATCATGGTCAACGACAAAAAAGAAAACATTTACTTTTCACATATTTATATTCATCCTTATTCTCATTAAAAAAACAACAGTATAATTTCAATTTAACAACAATAAATACAAGTGTCTAAACACTCGGGAAAGAATTAAAAATAAAGAAACATAAATAATTGAGATTGCATTAATTGGCTGAGAAGTAAAAAATATAATTAATGCACAGACGCAGGCGCTAGATGGCCCGTCGACGGCCATCGTTCTCGTCGTCATGGATACACTTCTCTATATCAGAGAGGAGGAGAGATAAAGAGGAGACACTACGAAATGTATCGATCGTCTCTTGCAGCCTGACTGCTCTCTAAAATCCTTAGAGGGGATACTGGAGACTAGGATAAAACATGCATGGAGGATTGGAGCAAATAAAAATACTCATCTGCACAATAATCATCTTCAATGGATCAGTATATATCATTTTAAAACGGAGGAATTTAACGTGATTGAGATGTATACTTATGTTGAGGATTCTGTTGTCGAAGAGAGATGTTCTAACAGTTACATAAAAGAGCATTCGACATGATCATGTTTTTTTTTTCTTTATAATCCGGGTCTAGCTCATAGATGTTAAAGGGTTTAACCCTACCCTTCTACTCTTTTTTCTTTTACTCTTACTTCCTCTTCGTTGCATTGTATACGTTTTGTAATTTACTGTCTGCAAATAGTCAGGGTGTTGATGTACAACGTGCGCAAACACATTGAGCTACCGGATTACAGAACAAGAAAAGCGAAAGATGCAAAAACTCGTGAGAATTGGAGCAATCAATGATTTATTAAACAAATTATTTATATTCAGAGAAAGATTTCAATTGATATTTGACTTATCATATGAAAGAGAGATTTTAATTCACATAAAAAAAGGTGAAAAAGTATTCTGAAAACTCCTAGTGACAAAAAGATAGAAATGTCAATGTCCTGCCGTTCACGTACGTGACGTGTAATTAAACGTGGAGTTGTAAATTCGCACGAGAAGAAAAAAGAAAGAAGAGTCGCGTGGCCCCCTGGTCGTGATCGTTGTCGTGATCCCCCGTGATGCTGGCAATTACCCAAGGCTTAATGCAAACGGTTGTGCACGTTGACAGAGGGTCTCTTTTCATCATGAATACCTACTTCTCAGACACGTGTCACGCCTTCTCAATATTCATATAAATTCTTCATTTTCCACTTCCTACAGTATTTTCTTCTTCGCGTGATGAAAACAAAATTCACGAACCAGAAAAAGAGAACGAAAAATTGGATAATAAATGTGTTTACTTGAATTTTATCATCACCTTCTCGACTTCAATTATTTATATTGAAAAAGATAAATTGGGAATTATATGAATTACTGAAGGAATATGTGTATTCAATATTCAGACATCATTTATCAAGACTCAATAAGGTAAATGTTATAATTTGTGTTATAAAATATTCTCGAATACATTTTTTTAATAGTTAAAAGTAGCATATATGACTATGCAATTTTAGTTCGCTTTTTTGATTGGGAAAAAAGTAATGTTATACATGAGCGAATAATTATTACCATTAGGAAAACAGTAAAAATAATAAAGCTAATGAAGAAAATATACACATCGATAAGAGCTACTTGCCACCAAGGCATATCTACTGCAGGTGATCTCAAAGCATTGGGTCCAAATTTAATTACATATTCGATCCAAAAAATAGTTGTATCCATGGCACTCATTGGGCGACCAAGAAATTTAGCTGACTCATATTGTGCTGCATTCCTATAAGACACAATAATTAACAATAATAAAATAACTCTAAATATAATTATACGTACTGATAAATTGGGTTATTGAGAATTTTATCAACAGCATTATATATTTCAACTTCTCTAAGCAGTTTAAAATTCAACTTCAGAGCCATATTCTTTTTAACAAACAAATCAATGTTAGAGAATTGATCAGCAAACAGTGGTATACCAATCATAGGAACTCCAAACGTGAGAGCTTCTTGAACACTCATCAAACCTCCATGAGTTATAAAAACTTTCGTATTATTATGTGCTAGAGAATCATAGAAGTATTAATATTTTTACAAATTGTTTCCAAGAGTTAATAGGTTTTACCTAAAATTGCTACTTGCGGGATCCACGATGACGTTCTAACGTTCTCAGGTAATCCCGGAAGTAATTTCTCTTTATTTGCTACTTTCATCAACACTCGTACTGGAGATATTTTTCTGAAAACTGAATAGAAAGCTCGCAAAACATCATCAGGAAATGTCTCAATGTTAACCATTGACCCGAGAGTAAAATATACTACTCCAGCAGTGCTCTCATTCATCCACTTTTCTAGATCGTGAGGTATTTTTTCATAATGTTCATAAACATGGAGTCCTCCCACTTCTATGAGATTAGGAACTAATGGCCTAACCCCATGCAAACTGTGATATGAATTGACTAGAGCTAGAGCAACACTCTTTTCAAGTTCTCGCAATGGTGGAATATTGGGATCAATATATTTCTTCATCAAATCATTTTGCACATCATCAGTGTATCGTCTGAAGCGAACAAGATTATAATAACTGATAAATGTATTATAAACACGTTCAAAAAATGTCATAGGATAAGAATTGGTTCCAAAGCATGCTCCGAAGTATGCCGTCGTATCCGTGGGTTGACCTAATGATCGATCTAACCATGGTGAATCCACCAAAGAAGTTGCTACAATGACTGGAACTTTCAACACATGTCCTAATCCAATGAAACAATTAAACCCTAGAGACTGAAATATGATAGTTAACTTTTCCCCACAACTTGTTTTAATATCACAGCTAATATTTATTAAAGTAAAATTTTATTACCTCGATAATAACGAGATCATACGGAGGATTCTTTGGTGGATTTTTAATTATTTTCTGCACTTCCGGTAATCGTAAATATTCGCATATGTTATTCCCACATTCAGATACTATGAATGGAATGATATCATCTGTCACTTCAAATGCAGCTTTGTAATCCCACTGATTCACAAAACTTTTATTTTCTGTCTCCAAATTTACTATTACATTATAATTAGGGATAGGTTTTTTTATTGGAAAAGAAGTTATTATATCAATCTGATGACCTTTTCTAGCTAAACCTTTAGCAATTGCATCATACATCAGCTGATGACTTCTTGAATGAAACGGAAAGACTGCCAAAATTCGATAACCTTTTGTTTTAGTAATTAAAATAGTTAATAATGAAATGAGTAAGAAATTCACTAGCACTTTCATTTTTAATTGTAACGCTACACGATTTTCTACTTTAAGAAATATTTTAGTAAAGTAATTATTTTATTTCACTTATCATATATTAAATTTTCATGCAATTCATCAGTAACTTAGAACAAGATCTTTCTTCTTTAATACTTCATAAGATAATAACGGATAATATAGTCTTTCATATGCTATAAGAGAACGTAGTTTCATAAATACATGAAGTGTATCATTGCTAATGATAACATAAATACAAATGATATTAATTTGTAATTGTCGAGTCATTACTGATATACATAAGTAGATTATGATGACCTATTCATTCAGCAACTTACTAGCAAAATTTCAAATTTTCAGTTTATAATAACTGCATTGGTGAATTTAAAAGATGTCAATATGACTAATCAATAGTTTTGGTTTATAATATATGTTGAAGAATTCCACAAATCACTCTGGTAGCATATTTAAAAAGCAGGAAATTAGAAGAAGAAAACTTGAATATAATTTTAATATTTTATCAATTTGTTCTACATTTGTTCAATCATTCAGAATAACTCTTATCAAGTTTCGTTGATTTTTTTTTAAACACAAAAAAGTAAAATCTCTTATAGGCTTTGAATGAAATATAAATTATTAATAGAGCACAAAAAAGTAAAAATATATAAACATCGATAAGTGCTACTTTCCACCAAGACATGTCTACAGTGGGTGACTTGAGAGCTCCTGCTCCATGTCTTATTACATACTTTATCCAAAAAAGTGAAGTATTCAAGGCGCTTAATGGGCGATCAAGGAAACGGGTTGCCTCGTATTTAGCAGATTGTCTATAGACAAATAATATAAAAACCTTCTAGTAAAAAAAAAAATTCAAGTCTAGGCAGCATCACTTACTGATATTTTGGATTGTTCAAAATTTCGTCGAAAGCATCATATATTTCATCTTCGATAAGCTTTTTGTAGTTCAACATGACAGCAATATTTTTTTTAACAAGTATATCGATGTTAGAGAATTGATCAGCAAACAGTGGTATACCAATCATAGAAACTCCAAACGTGAGAGCTTCTTGAACACTCATCAAACCTCCATGAGTTATAAAAACTTTCGTATTATTATGTGCTAGAGAATCATAGAAGTATTAATATTTTTACAAATTGTTTCTGAGAGTTAATAGGTTTTACCTAAAATTGCTACTTGCGGGATCCACGATGACGTTCTAACGTTCTCAGGTAATCCCGGAAGTAATTTCTCTTTATTTGCTACTTTCATCAACACTCGTACTGGAGATATTTTTCTGAAAACTGAATAGAAAGCTCGCAAAACATCATCAGGAAAGGTCTCAATGTTAACCATTGACCCAAGAGTAAAATATACTACTCCAGCAGTGCTCTCATTCATCCACTTTTCTAGATCGTGAGGTATTTTTTCATAATGTTCATAAACATGGAGTCCTCCTACTTCTATGAGATTAGGAACTAATGGCCTTACCCCATGCAAACTGTGATATGAATTGACTAGAGCTAGAGCAACACTCTTTTCAAGTTCTCGCAGTGGTGGAATATTGGGATCAATATATTTCTTCATCAAATCATTTTGCACATCATCAGTGTATCGTCTGAAGCGAACAAGATTATAATAACTGATAAATGTATTATAAACACGTTCAAAAAATGTCATAGGATAAGAATTGGTTCCAAAGTATGCTCCAATGTACGCTGTTGTATCCATGGGCTGGCCTATCGACTGGTCTAGCCAGGGTGCCTCGATCGACGTTGCAACCAACACAACTGGAATTTTTAATGCATATCCCAATCCAATAAAACAATGAGCAGCATGAGACTGCAATATTAATATTTTTTAATACACAAAATTCTCCTCATAAATCAAAATCTAAAAATATTAGTCACTTACTTCAGCTATTAATAAATCATAAGGAGGATCCTTCGGTGGACTTTTAATGATATCCTGTATTTCAGGTAAAGCCAAATAGTGACATAAATCATTTCCCAGAGATAGTGCTATAAGTGAAATACTATCTCCTGTCAATTTCGATGCATATTTAAAATTCCATTGATTTTCAAGACTTTTTCGATGTTTTGACAAATCAACAATTAATGTATAGTTTGCAAATTTTTCCTTTAAAGGATACACCGTCACAACATCAACTCGATGTCTATCTGTTAATAATCCTTTGATGATTGCATCAAATATCATTTGATGACTTCTTGAATGTAGTGGAAATACTCCTAATATTCGATATGCCCTAATTGTACATGTCGAGATAATGAACAAGATAGTGACTAAAGTTAAGGCCACTTTCATTCTTAAATCATTCATTGAAATACACACGAGAGGATTTTATTTTTTTAATTCAACACCTTAGCAAAATTTCTTAAGTAGTTACAGATTATACAGTACATGTAAAACTAAAGACAAATGATATTTGAAATATCTAAAACCTATTATTCATTTCATCATAAATATAAATAGAATTTTCATTATCTAGTTTCTACCATGCATAAAGTAACTGTTTCCATTTTTCCATGGTAGAATTGCAAATATTAACAATTTACATAAGTTTTAATAATTGTCTCTATATATAATCAATGACCTACTATGCCTGTTTAAATGTGTTGGAATACTTACAAATAATTACTCATTCAGTGTGGAGTTTAAGTATTTTTCTTGATATTATAAAAAGCAAAGTCTTTAAGAATTTATTGAGGAGTAGAAAAATTAATAAAATGGAAAACAATATCATTATAAAGAGAAATGAAAAAACGTCAATTAATGATAATTTCCACCAAGGCATATCCACTGCAGGTGATTTTAAAGCACCAGGACCATGTCTTATTGCATATTCGATCCAATAAATTGTTGTATCCATTGCACTCATTGGACGATCAAGGAAACGAGCTGCTTCATATTTTGCAGAAGTCCTTTTATACAATGTTTTTTAATACAATTATTTTTTTTTTCTCAATAATTTAATATTAAATTATTATTTCTACTTACTGATACAATGGATCGTTAAGAATTTTATAAAGAGCTTCATAAATTGAATCTTCTGTTAAATTATTATAATCTAGTTTCACAGCCATTTTTTTTTTAATATAAAATTCGATATTTGAAAACTGATCAGCGAATAATGGTATTCCTATCATAGGAACTCCAAAAGTCAGAGATTCTTGTGTACTCATTAAACCCCCATGAGTCATGAAAACTTTGGTATTATTGTGAGCTATAAAATTATTATATGATATGATATTTCTTTTTTTTAGGAACCAATATTATTTAGTTTCTTTATTTACCTAAAACTGGAACTTGTGGAATCCAAGATTCAGTTCTAACATTTTCAGGCAAACCTGGTAGCAATTTGCTTGGATCAGCAACTTTCATCAATACTCTAACTGGTGCTAATTTAGTAAAAACTGAATAAAAAGCCTTCATTACGTCTTTTGAAAATGTTTCAATATTCACCATTGACCCAAGAGTGAAGTAAACAACTCCAGCAGTGCTTTCATCCATCCATTTTCCAAGATCCTAAAGTTAATATTCACATGAGAAAAGTTAATCAATAATATTGATTCAAGTAAAATAATGTTCTCTATTCTTACATGAGGAAGCTCTTCTAGACGTTCTAGAACATGTAATCCAGCTACTTCAATGAGATTTGGAACAAGAGGTCTTATTCCATGAAGGCTGTGATAAGAATTAACCAGAGCTAAAGTAACATTTTTTTCTAATTCACGTAATGGAGGAATATTAGGGTCAATATATTTTTTCATTAAATCATTCTGAACATCATCAGTAAAACGTCTGTAGCGAAACAAAGTTACATGATGCATCACTGTATTACAAAAGCGCTCAAAGAACGTCATAGGATGAGTATAGCTTGTAAAATAAGCCGGAAAGTAGGCAGTTGTAAATGTTGGTTGACCTAAAATATCACTTAGCCAAGAAGAATCGACTGTAGTACTAGCTAAAACTACAGGGATATTTAATGCGTAGCCTAGGCCAAGAAAACAATGCGATCCAAAAGACTGAAAAAATTATCAATTAATTTATAATCCAAAGGCTGATAAAATAATTGTTGTAACTTACTTCTAAGATTATGAGATCATAGGGTGGATCTTTAGGAGGATTTTTGATGATTTCTTGCACTTCAGGCAATCCTAAATATTCACATAATCCATTGCCAAAAAGTAACGCAATGATGGGGATAGTATCTTGGCCCAGTTCAGAAGCGAATTTTACATCCCACTGATTGACAAGATTTTTTTGTTGGCTTTCTAAATTAACAACTACTTTGTAATTAGGAATTGGCTTTTCGAGTGGATAAACTGTCATAACATCAATCTGATGACCTTTTCTAGCTAGTCCTTTAACTATCGCATCGAACATCATTTGATGACTCCTTGATTGAAAAGGAAAAATTGCAAGTATTCGATATGCTTCAATTGAATAAATTGAAACGAATAATGAAATAAATAATAAAGTCACTTTCACTGGCATGTTGAATTGTTTTCACTTGAAATATTAGTCGTCCAACTGTCAACTAAACTATACAATGAACTGGGCAGTGGATTAATTTATTCTTTCGAAATCCTCGTAAAAATAATGCAACTCATCATTAGCAATCACAGTTATTACGGATCCGCAACTGCATGATAAGTGCTTAATTACATCTGTCTACAGATGATATGTCGTTAATGATGTAACTGGAGGAAAACAGAATTGAAAAATATTTATATGGATTAATTCAGATGTTGATAATTTTTTTTATACATATATATGAGCTTTTAATGAATTTCATAATTCATCATTTCATCATATTTTTAAAATTTTACTTTAAATAATAATTTTACTTAGTAGATTATTCTGTGTGTATTTTACGTGATTTGTTAAATAATTTATAATATAATATTGTTAACAATTTTTTAAACAATAAAAACCATAAGTATAAGATAAAAATAAAGACAACAGCAAAAAATAGGTAAACATCGAGAAGAGCTGCTTGCCACCATGGTAAATCAGCACCTGGAGATCTCAGAACGCCTGGACCGTGTCTTATTGCATACTCTATCCAGAAAATTGCAGTATCCATTGCACTCAATGGACGATCTCGAAAACGAGCTGCTTCATATTTTGCAGTTTTGCTAAAATAATAATTATTATTATAAATAGATAATAAATAAATTGCTATAAACAATACTTACTAATACTTTGGATTATATAAAATTTCATGAAGAGCTTCATAAATTGAATCTTTGGTAAGATTTCTATGATTAAGTTTTATGGTAATATTTTTTCTGACAAAACATTGAACATTATTATGCTGATCTGAAAAAAGTGGTATTCCTACCATAGGAACCCCAAGAGCGAGTCCTTCTTGAGAGCCCATCAAACCACCATGAGTTATAAAGGCTCGAGTATTATTGTGGGCTAAAATAAAACCTCTTATAATTTCATATAAAACAAAATGAAGTATAAAATCTACCTAAAACTGCAACTTGTGGAATCCAAGATTCAGTTCTGACATTTTCAGGTAGTCCTGGTAATAATTCAGTTTTACTAATGATTTTAATAAGCACTCTAACAGGAGCTAACTTGGCAAAGGCAGCATAGAAAGCACGAATTATATCATCAGGAAAAGTTTCAATTCTGGTCATGGATCCAAATGAAAAATAGATTACTCCTGCAGTGCTTTCATTCATCCATTGACCAAGCTCCTAGAGATATTTTATTCGATAAAAAATATCAAGAACATGTAAAATAATTTTTTTAATGTTCTTACATGAGACAATTCTTCATGATGCTCTGAAACATGGAGTCCAGATACTTCGATTAAATTAGGAACCACAGGTCTGACTCCTTCAAGACTGTGATAAGAATTAACCAAAGCCAAAACAATTTTTCTCTCCAACTCATACAGTGGTGGTATATTTGGATCAATGTACTTTTTAATCAAAGCATTTTGAATACTGTAAGTGTTGGATCTGACAAGAAAAGTGTTCAAATGAGTTTGGAAGGTATTATGCACCCGTTGAAAGAATGTCATAGGATGATGATAATCCAGAAAAACATCAGCGAAAAAAGCAGTATTTGCTGGCTGTCCTAAAACCCAATCTATCCATGATAAGTCACGAGAAGAACACACTAAAATTGCTGGAACTTTTAATGCATGAGCCAAGCCTATGAAACAATTTGCTGCTAAACCCTAAAAAAATCAAAATGTTAAAAATCTTATAATTAAGTCATAGAATATAAAAACCTACCTCAGTCATCACAAGATCGTACGGTGGATCATTCGGAGGATTTTTAATTAATTCTTGTATTTCAGGTAATCCTAAATATTCACATAATTTATTTCCAGTCAATACAAAATCAATTCTTCCTTTAGTATCAAACTCAGTAGCAAATTTATAATCCCACTCATTGAGAATAGGATTGTCTTCCTGATGTTTTAATTTCACCAACACTTTGTAGTTAGGAATCGATTCTTTTAAGGGAAAATGAGTTATCACATCTACTTGGTGACCTTTTCTTGCCAATCCTTTAGTAACAGCATCAAACATTATCTGATGGCTTTTCCACCTGAATGGAAATACTCCCAGTATTCGATATGCATCAGTTGAAAATGTCACCACAGTTAGGAATAAAAATACTACACCATTGATTTTAATACTCGAATGTTGAGAAGTTAAATCATTTTTATGAATGAGAGATACCATTTTTAAAAATTATTTGAAGTATTCTTAGCATTACTCCTATTTAATATTATTTTAACTTCAAATTATATGCTACTATTATCAAACATTAATTAGCATAGATAGATTTCTCTTTACCACAAGTATCTAAGCTATTGATTCTGTAATGAAATAAAGATAATTTATTTTAATATTTTTATAAATATTTATTGATATTCTAATTTATCATGATGTATTTGCCTAAATAGATACGATGACTTAATAAAACTCTTTTAATGTTTTAATGCAGAGTCATGACATCAGTTGTAACTTAATCTCTGTATGTCATCATCATAATTATTCTTGAATTAATTTTTTGCTGCCTAACAGGTGTCCAAAAAGACACTAATGACTATCAGGTTACGAACAGAAACACGAACTTAATCTACTGCTTGATGTAAAAACTAATCGATTTTTCAATAGTTGGCTGTAATTCAGATATCTCAATGACTTTATATAATACTGGAGTATATAATCGTACAACTAATCATAAAAATACGTAGAGTATGTAATACGTATTCAATCCAAATTGAATACCTCCTTGCTATGTCAAATAATTCCATGTGTACCTTACGTTCAATTCTAATGACGGCCTGTCAATGCGAGAAATGTTCCCAGTAAAGTGAAGGGAGAGTTGTGGGGTAGGTATATGTGCAGTGTATTTTGTTTCATTCTCTTTTCCCTTGAATTCACCCCCGCAAAAGAAGGGTCAATATTGTTCCAGCGATTGAACTTGGACGTTTTGTTATTTACTACTCGACAGGTTTGAGTAATTAGTAACAATTAGATGTTTATTTATTCAAATAATTCTTCACAACAATAACTAGTATTTTTAATTCATATATGACTTATGTAAGTAATAATCAAAAATTTATTGAAGCTAAAATTTATGCAAAAACGTATGTTGTTTCACACCGACTGAACTTGACTTTCACTGACTATTCTATCAAGGATTTTAATCATTGATCTGTGAACCGATAACACTATCCATTACATTTAATCCACTTTACACCTCGACATTATGCTGATCTCTTTGACAGAGATATGCAAATCATCTTTGACTGCAGTGTATTCATATCCCTTACAACAGCTACAATCCATATAGCTTCAAAGTGACGTTTTCATTTTCTCCCTTGAACGGTTGTTCAATATACCTACGTCAATTTTTAACTTCCAATATTTGAAAAAGAATATAGATTTTTTATTCAATCATTGGTGCAGAGGTATTGACAGAGTTTTTTCTTTGAAGAGACGAGCGAAACTGATTGTAAACCTAGATCAGTTGAATTCGTGCCCTTATGAACGTACTTTTTGTCCTCGTGACATTGATTTGACGTAATTGGCACCAGGAAGAGGAAGGAATAAGATGATAGCTGAGTGAGCGAGGCAGAAATGATTGGGATAAGCTCGAAATAATCTGGGGATAAGCCGGTGTATGGATCACGAGCTATGAGAGAAGGGTGCCTTTATTTTTTTGTCATTCATATTAAAATCTATAGAAGTAAGTAAAAATGTTTTCTCATTGCTTTCTTTTTAATTTAACACCTGATTTACTCCAATAATTAATTTTTATAATTTTAAGTTTATATTTTTATCCAACAATTATTAACAATCAAAGTTATTTATAATTTTATTATTATTTTCAATCATTTAAGACTCTTCAATTAATTATTTTTAATCTGTTTCAGACTGACAGAGCTAGAGATTGAAGAAAGTGCACTCTTTGATAATACGATTGTCAAACACTTATAGAAATCCTGGACTAATCTGCATGGAAACTTCAACATCTGAACACATTTCAAGTTCAATCCAGTAAATAGCATTTTGTTGTTAATTAAATGAAACAGATTTTATGAACAATTTATAAAAAAAATTAATTAATATATTTATATTAGACTTGATAAAATGAAAATAAATGTTTTGTTTAAGTCAATAGTAAATGATTAGTGCAAATAGATTGAGGTTTCTCGGGCTCTTATTGATGATACAAAAAAGACCCTGATTTTACGGATCTTAGTATTCGAAACAGCGAACTGAATAGCATCTGCAAAGGGGGTAAAAGCGTTAAATTTAAATAAATGTCCGCGGTGGAACAAGCTTGGGCCGGATACGCTACGTTAGGTAACATGCTAATCTATGTCTGCCCTAGTCTAACGATGAATCATTTGATTCGTGATCGTCACCTTCACGTGACAATTCATTATTCAAATTATCTCACAAGTGATTCTACCGCTATTGAATATCTATTTTAACTATTTTTTAGTTAAAGATCATCTGTTATAAAAATTTCACATCAAGGATATCAATAAAATTCCTTTTGAAATAATTAATTCGAATGTTTTTGTAAATTTATTGTCATTCGACAAATTTTTATAGTCACGCCCAGGCAGTGTAATCAACTGGAAGGAAACTCATAGATTACTTAGCAGTATCTTTTAGTGTCACCTGGTGTATTAGAGTCTGTTGCATTGTCCCTAAAAATTTAAGAGAGTCACCAATTCAAACTAAAAAAGGGTTGAAATGCTTTTTTTACAATTCCCAATTCGTTCCTCATCTTTCCACCCATTTGCTTGTATCAAAAAAATTATCTGGGAAAGAAGTTGGACATGACAATTGTTCATATTATAGATGATTTATGAAATACGTTAATACTTCAGTAATTTGCTAAATAAAAAATTCTTAATCAACATAATAATATTTTTAATAAAGAAAACTATTGATAAGAATAATTTTTTGCAATTATTCGTTGAATTTAACTAAATCAAAAATCAACGGTTGGAAAAAAGCGTATAGAAAACCATGAATCATGATAAATATGCACGTGTTGCCACTTGTATAGGCTAAAGGCTAAACGAAAACTATTAACACTTGCTTTAGCACATACACATGAAGAAAAACTTGTGAATATATTACAATACAGAGATTAATGGATGAATTAGAATAAAAAAAAGTTCATCAATAAACAAATTTACCATGTTGTGAAAAAAGTAAGTAGAACTTAACACACAGGCTTTGCATCATGAAGATACCTCTCAGTCAAGATATTCACAATCCTTTTTAATATTGTGGATATGATTATTTTCCCATTCTTCAGAGCTATCTATAGCCTATTTGATCTGCCCTAAACCCTCTAAAAATGATTCTATTCTTTGGAAATATTTACCAATAAACTGAAACATGGGCTGGGTTAGCTATCTCCAAAGTACAATGTAGAAATATTTAAAGAATCCATCACAAAATACTTGAAATTGATATTTAAAATTGGAATGCAATAATGAATGAGAACGCGAGCAATTTTAGTCTATTAACCCTTATCATAAAATGAAAGAAATGCCCCTCGATAAAGAATGGCAGTGGAAGAAGGGGCACATCTGTGCGACGTAAAGAGAGTTCAACATACAGGGATCGTTTTATTAATTCACTCCCTCAAATGTATATCGGAGCAGAAAGGGATGGGTGGTCCCATTTATTACCTAATTGCTGCCAGTCTTGTGTTCTTATGTATGATTCTTTCCTCTCGACAGGTGTAGGGATCTATAAAAAAATGTTTCCATAATTACCGAATTAATTTGTCATTAAATGAGTTTCATTAAATAATCATATTATATTCAATTAATCATATAACCCATGAGTTTTATTAAGCATAATAATGAAGTTATTATTCTAACGCGATGAGAGAACATGTGTTGAATCATAGAGAACATGAAAAGACTAGTCACCCGCATTTATATCATCATCTCGACTCAAAAATCAAGAACTTGGAGACACATTTGATATGACTCTCACCGACATATCACACACGTGCGTTTATAAACTTGACGGTATATTTCCAACAGAGTTTGAAGGGAGAATCAGAGTGTGTACAGAGAGCGAGAATAGGATCTAGAGTTGCCCCGTCGCGTTGTGTATGCCAACAGGCTAAATGTGTTTCACAGATGACCGCCTTCGTTCAATGCAATTGCTTTTGCTCGATGATGGTTCATCAATGCACTTCAAGACATTAACATTTTGTTCCTTTGCTAATTTTTAAGACTAACTTTATACTCATTTAAATTTTATTCTTTACACAATAATTCATTTGCTGACTATCATCAGAGTAATTGACTTTAAAAAATAATTTTATTAAAATTATTTCAAAGTGATAAAACATAAAATATTTGGACACTTTTGATGGTTCTGAGTTTTTCAATGCTAAATGTTGATTTAAATGTTATATGGAAAGTGATGTAATAGGATTTTGGGGACATTCTTGAGAGTATGGAAGTAACTGCAGTAAAGTCATCAATTACAGTTGAAAATAAATCGAAAGCAGATGCGACGAGTGCCTACAGGGCACGACGGGTGACCGGACGCCCGAAAAACTTTTTCACCCCTCTTATAATGGACAATAATGCTGTTTCAACAAATACAAAACGATACACGCGAGTGTATACCTCTCTGGCATACATAAATTCATCTCCAGATATTCCCCCTTTTCAGTGCCACTCATGCCTCTAAGTAGTATAAACTATTTGGACATCTAGATACATTCATCCTCAAATTGAGTGTTAGAAAATTGCCAGCATCAATGATTTATCAATAAATCTCTCATCGAATCAACAGTTTGCAGACTAAAGTATGAAATAAGCTTTCCAAATTCACTTCTGAATGTCATAAACTTTTTTGGGTTACTAATTGACACAGGACTTGATAATTAAATCATACAGGAAATGATTGATAAGAATATAAAAAAAGAACTTGATAACTTCGTTGTCTACAGCCGTTATACCGATCTTGTTTCAAGGTCCAACTTATCTCACATGGGAAGAGAATATTTTTTTTCTTCAAAGGAGTCGCAATAATAAGGCTTCTTATAAGAATTCCCTAAGGTAAAAGCTATCATTTTACTCAAGAAACCGCCTGGAGTTAAATTTCTAAATTTGTTCTGCAGTACTGACCAAAGACAATTATTTAACAATATTATAACGTGATATTTAATTGAAAATAAATAAATATTACTTTTAAAAAGAAGATTTAAGGATTTAAAGAATTTTTAGATTAAAGTGCACAACCTGAAATATATCCTGTAAATCTCAGAGCAAAGGGCTCCGTGATCCTTTCTAATTGATTCGCCGACATCCCTTGAAACAATAAAGGGACTACAGTCGAATATACGCGAAGGGGAACACATGCTAATACCAGATTTCTACGCTCCAACACCCTGTCGCATTTGCCAATAAAAACAACCCTTAGGCTATGAGTAAACATAAGCACACGTTACTCAATCACTTGGAATTTATTTAGATTCTTGTATTTAAATATTTCCAATCAATTCTTATCCATGATATCTTATTTTTCCAAGTATTGAAAATTTCAAAATGGGTGTAACCGAAAAAAGTACATGTCATACAACATTTAAGTCATTTTAACGACTTAATCTATTATTTTCTTTATTAAATTGCACATTATTGATGTATGAAAAGATTTCTTATATTTTTCTAAAGAATCCATGAGCTTTTAACTCAACTCCCGCCTCGACGGGACACGTGGGACTTGATGGTTCAACGAGAACGTAAAAAGGATCTTCCTGTGATTAATGGTTTGACTCTATTCAATAATACTCGATTTTCATCGTGACAAAATAATTTCATTCTTTTATAACTGCAGTATACACAAGTATTTTCTTTCATATACACAGTAACAAACAGTAAAATTTCTTTTCGCATTCGTAACTTTTAAAGACTTTACATGAGACTGAACAAAAGTGACAAAGATCATTTTAAAAGCAAGAACTCTTTCTGTTACTAAAAGTTTGGAAGAATATAAATTTCTCAGCTCAGAATTTCTTGTTAAGATAACATCTTTATTACAACAGCATAAAGAAATTACAGAAATTTTTGGCAGTTGATCATTAACATATAGATTCTATAATCAAAATAAATAAAAATAGCTATTTTGGAAACAATTTTTCTAATAAATTTTGATAATATTTATTGATTTTCAATTGTTCGCATTATCAAAAATCAGCTACTAAGTGATGATTATAATTAAATTTTCACGATTGTGTTCATTAAAATGTATCTTACCCTAATAAAATAAAAAAAGGTTAATGTGATTTTCAGGTAAATACAAAGATATAAAAATTTACAATGATATTGATGCTTGTATACAGAAATTGTATTTAATCATAAACTCTTGACAAATATTTACAATACATAACGAAATTCTTGGAGATGGTTAACAGAAGAGAATGTAAATGAGAGGAAAATATATGTATTATAAACAAAGATGGAAAAATATAGAGAAAATAAGAAAGATTGAGTCATGAGTCATGTTGATGCTTGGAATTGCCTGATTCATACATGGTTGATCGAGCGTAGCGTCGCTTGTCTCAACAAAAATTTCTACTGCTTATGCAATCCTACTGTCGTATTCCTCGAACTTGTATCTCATTTAATGTCTATTACAGTTAATTTATGTATGAAAGAGCATAAAAACCCATCGTGTTACATATTTTTCTTATAATTCAATTTCTACATCTAGAAAATCTAACATAAACAAATTTGACTATTTAGTAAGATTGAAAGGATAACAAACCTAAATCATCATTAAAACTAATAGTTCATAAACAAATGTCACCAATAAATAAAACAATTTTATTAAAATTAATTTGACAATTGTAAGATACTAATGTACAATACTGATGTAATGTAAATGATTCAATCCTTGAGTCGAAATATTTGATTTTACTGAAAAAAACGCAATGAAACTAAAATATAGGTATTGCTCATCCCAAGACAATATCATTTTCGTTTTAACTTAAAACGGTAATTGCAACTCAACATTTTTAATTCAAGAAAATATTCCTTAAGTCAAGAATAGTTCGTAATCAATGTATCCTTATCAAATTGAAGTAAAATAACTCACTTTCATTGCTGAATGTGGTATATTGTATAATATTGGACACTTTTAGGCAAATATTTCGACTCAGGTCTACTTTGAAGTTTAATAAAACTTGTCTGTAGGTGCTGTTACTCCACTAGTTCCAGTAACATGATGACCAAGATGATGATGAGAAAGATGATGTGGTTGTTGTGCAGCTGCACTTCTATATGCTCGTTGTTTTTCGTCAAATTGTCGTCGACGTTCATTATAACGGTTTAATTCATTGCGTAATTGTTCATCTTCTCGAGCTGCTGCTTCTTCGTCAAACTCAAGACAACCAACACCATCCAGACGTTCGAGATCGATCCATCCTCGCCACCTTACACATACACCGTTCATTATCAGGTGGGATCGCAAATGAACCTATAAACCGTTTAAAGAATGATTAATTTAAAAATATATTAAACTGGTTCACTGTTCAGTTTCATTAATAATTAATTAAATAATGTGTAACCTTAATGTATAGTTAGTAATTGCAAGGATATACTTAATGGAATGTTATTTTAAGGATATACTTATTCGTTTTAAAAAATTAAAAAAATGAAAAAATTAATAATAATAAAATAAAGAATAAAAATATACAGAAAAAAATACTTTGAAGTCGACCGTGCAATTTTCTTGCGGCCGCAGGTATATTATACCTTGCAATCTGCGTAATCGCTCCAAGAAATGAGCAGAGTTTGGCCAGTATACAACCAAACTTAAATGGAAGAAGTCGCATTGTGTAAGATTGAAACATAATTCACTGAATGAACTATTAGATATTTTTTAATTTAATTTTAATAATTGATTTTGAAAATTTTTTTCAATTTTTGAATTTACAGAAAAGATAGCAGTAATATGCTAAATGATTCCAAAAAATATAGAATGCTAATTTAATAATAAATAATAAATGGACAAAAAAAAAACAAATTCAATGGATTCGAAGAAGAATAACCCAAAATTATGTCTTTTAAGCCAAAACCATTCATTTTCTGTCGACTTTGAACGTCATCAGTCGTGTAAGAAATAAAGTATTCTATTTTTTGTTGTTATTAGATATCAAACAGGCTCAAAGTCGTAATAGAAAAGAAATTGAAGAGAAAAAAAATATAAAAATAATGTCAAATTGCCAGGGGATTTATTATTATTTCAATTTTCATTATTTCATTGCTTTAGTTACATTTTTGCTCAGCCAGCTGTGCACATTCTTTGAACATTGTCACGGCAAGAGACCTCAACGGGACGTTTATTCGAATTATAATTGAACTACGGGGTGGCCGTGTTAGATATTCCCGTATTTTACTTTATGGGGACTTGCATGTTTGACATTCAGGTGAACATCAAGCTAAAAATCGACAAATGCTGATTGATATAAACATGCAACGCACGATTATAGAGGTGGAAAAACCACGAAGATGTTGATTCATACTTGAACGGTGTGTAATTCTGACTTTAATATTAATGAAAGCGTGATTGTGATTACTTTATGGCATATCAATGGTTATGTTTAATGAAAACATTTTTTTGATCCATATAAAGAATTTTGTTTATCAGTAATGATAAAAAATATCTATTATTGTTTAAAAACTATAAAAATAAAGAAAAAAAAATGTTGAGACATAAAAAATGGTGTAAATGAGTGTTGTTACAGCATCATCCTTAACTGAGCATACAAAATTTGTTCAATTTCTTCACGCCTCATTCACCAGTCGTTACTTTTTATTTATTTTTTTTGCATTTAACAATTAGTCAAAGTATTCACGCTTAGTTTGCGTGACAATTAATAACTTGCACAGCCCAACCCTTTGACTCTGCACGTTCTCACGCAATGAAAAATGAGGGAATAAATAAATAAGTAAGAGTGAAAGGAATGGAATAAGAAAAAGAGGGCATATTAGCGAAACTTTAGCCAGCTAAAGCATGAAGTACATAAAAAGAAAAGAGAAAAAGTATACTTTCAACGTGTTTGGGCGTGACCCATTAACTCTGTATAATGTTCAGTGATATTTAAACTGTAACTCGTTTCACTCAACCCTTTGACGGGCTCATTTGCATCGCAGGGTCGAAACAAAAAGTAAAAAAGTTAAAAAATAAAAAATGAAATGTATCAAAGGGGTGAATACTAGGACATATTAAACCTCATATAGACTTATTATCGTCAAAGACAAATGCTACATATTAACATGCTTTCATTCTATTTCTCAATGTTTCAGTGATGACACTAGACCCAAGCACGACCATTCTTTTATGTGATTTTATATTTTTTTTTAACAAGACGGACAGAAGCCAGACGGTATTGTTTTAGTAGGCGTAACCCGGCGCCTTTTTTCGCCAAGTCCGGTCTTGACAAAAGCCAGGACATTCGTCATCAAGCTCCGAGGACCATACGGTCAGCGAGAAGGGTTATATGTTCGTTTCTTCCCTCTATTCTAACGTTTATTTTTAATTGATACTATTTTTCAACGAGAGATGAGATTATTGTTTAAGTTTCGCTTTAATCAAAAATAAATAAATAATCAAATAATACTCCGGAAATGAGGAGATTAAATAAGAAAACAATTTTCAATAAATCATTGTCGAGAAGATGATTTCAAGTTATTTCTTGTTAATTAAGATGTCAAATTATGGAGGAGTTAAATGCAATATTATAGTATGAATTGATATGATCAGAGTAAAAAAAAGGGTTCCACCTTTTTATCTGTGATCTTGCGTAATTATTACTATTCGCCACGGGGCATCACAACAATCAGGCCACGTGCCGTTTCGCTCTTTATCTACTCTGTGTTAAAACAATGCAATGGACAGGAAACGTGGGGGGTTATGCGTGTCTCGTGCCGTGAATTCGATTGAGATTTCAATTGTCGTTGGCTTTTATTTCAATTTGGAGCAACGAAACGAATTTAAATATATTTTGGAGTATAATTCTATCAATCTTTATCAATTACAAATCATTTAATTTTTTTCATGTTTTATAAAAATAAAATTGATTTTATTTTGAAGATGAAGATTTGCAAATTCTGGAGGATTCTATGCAAAATGGCGGTCCAGCAATGTTATATTGATCACGATGGCGTCTCGAAAGCGTCTGCGCTAGAACAACGCCTTGGTAGATACAGAAAATTTGTCATGAAGGAAAAAAAAAACCTGCATAGTATTGAGTTGTAAACTTTCAAAATAAAATCATAAATTTCAAAAAAATTTTTCCAACAATTCTAATACTTTTATTCATATTTTTTCAGTGCACTTTATGCAACGTTTAAATATTTTTTCTAAATCTTTGGACAACTTTATTTATTACCCCGGATCTTTCAAGTAAAAGTTGAGGGAAGGACAAAACAGGAAGTGGTTCTAAGAAGTTCTCGACACTTCTCCCGATATCCTGAAATGGTCATCTTGTACAAATTTTGTCAAACAGAAATTGGAATTATTATGGTACAAGGTACCCATTTTCGGACATAAACTGTAACCTAGTGTCGTAAAAGAAGCCATCGACCTCCTACCGCGAGGGTATTGCGGGGGTGTAAAAGTAAACTGTGTAGGAAAGAACCTGATTTGAACTGAAAATCGAGGGTCGACGGAAGTCACGAATGATCCCAACGACACGGACAATTCATTGTTAAATAAAACCATTCAAGAATATCTATATTTTACTGTTCATTTCGCGCCGTCGGCTTTTACGTTAAATGATACAGTCAATAACGAAGACTAACAAGGATTGGTCAATGTTAAATGTTGCTAGGACCCTGCTATGCTAGTATATCTTACACAATATCAAGCGATTTGATCTTTCTTTATCCCTGCCAAATTCGTTCTAATTGACACGTTTCGTCTAAATATAACTAGGACATAAATTTTTCGTGTCATTTAATTTATCTATTTATTTTCTCCGTATTTATTCAGGTGTTGATAGGATATTATTAATTAGATGAAGGTAATTAAGATCAAAAGAAATTAGAATAAGAGGTAAACAAATGAGAGGGCTTGCCTATTTACATGTATTGATAGAATTGGAGAACACTTACCTTGCCATGTTCTTTATCGAAATCACATTGACTAGGCTCATTAGAATAATTTCCGGCAGCAGGTCCGAAGGTCAGTTGAAGATTTGTACCCATTGCAGCGAATGCAATTTCCGTATGACCCTCTCGACAGCCATTTTGGAAGCGACCCTGACGTTCTTCTAATGGTCTATCTCTAAACCCAGTGTATCGAATCTACAAGCATAAATAAAAGTAAGACATCAGCAAGAAAAAATAAATGGTAAGACTACTAGAAAACAAGTAACAATGCAAAGGAAGTCTCGAACATTCCAGTTAAATAAGTAAACCTGTGGAGTCAGATAAATTTCTCGCCTAACTTTCTAATTTTGCCTGAATTTTAGGAATAGGATTCAATATTTTTCCTTAGATGGCTCATATAGATGGTATTCTTGAAAATTTTTGTCACAAAATAGTTGGTGTTTAAAGTCAGTGAATGATAATTTGGTAAATAAATGTCATCAATCTGTTGATTTCAATTACCTCACATTCTCGACTCAATCGTCTGAAGAGCTCATCAGTCTCAAACTTGGCCTTCTGGTTTGGCACAACTTTTGGCATTTTTAAAACAAATCTAGGTCTAGATTGCTCATAAAAACCGACTCCATCGAAGGGAAGAGCACCAATTCCCAAGCCACCCACACCTCCTGCGTGCTCACTCATTGCGTGCATCATCATTGAAAATTTTGTGATCTTTTCTGTTGATTAAGCTATTCAACTGTCACTCTTCAATGAACACAGATTAAGTTTATTAACAAAACCTATTGAAAGTTTGTCAATAAATTTTTTTTTAATTTAATCAGTCACTTAAAACTTTTATATAAATTAACACATTAATTTGAAATGAATTAACGGAATCTTGAAGCCATTATAAATTTTGTGTAAACAAATAGTCAATACACTTGGAGTAAAATATTTTAAGATACGAGCAAGAAAAATTGTTTTAAAATTTCGATTATAGCCGCACTGACAACTTCACTATCCGATTCAACGTCCCAGTGGAGACTGGTAGAGTTCAGCTTGGTGATCGTTTCACTTTGAGGTAATATTCTATTTGCCACGCCTCTTAGCACCGCCTCCAAAATCCTCTCCACCAAGGGGAGAAAATAAGGGAAAGGGGAACAATTCGATTTTGTGCTGCCCACGTCGATGGAGAGATGCAGTTTTATTTAATTCCTACTGCATTTTAATATCTAGATGGTAAAAAAATTTTTAGAGTAATTAGATATCCTCAACTAAAAATATATTAAAAAATTTAATCATCAAATGACAAATAAGACATATTGAGAAGAAAAATGATGTATCAATCAGTTTCACATGACTCAAACGGAAATTTCCACTTAACTTCATTACTTCAATTCTGTTCAGTCAAAAAAAGCAGCTATTGCATGTGAGAATTTCAAATTTTTTAAAAATAAAATAAACAAATTTTATTTCGATGATAAATGATACTTACGTGTAAATCATAAGGGGTAGTTGAATTTTAAATTATTGTCTACATGTTTTCAGGGATTGGTTGAGATCATTCTCTTGAAAAATACGTATTTAGGGTTGTGCAGAGTATCCTCCCCACACTCAAGTGTACATCCACACATAAAGCTGAATGCTGATGTGATATCCTGTGAACTCTACAATTCAGAGAATAAATCAGAAAAAAGAGGGATGTTGGAAATGTTTTATACACATGAAATACAGATAGAAGTATCAATGAAACAGTATGTAACCCCCTCAGGAAAAACATTTCAAGACCTTTACATACTTTTTTAGCCTTACCTTTCTTTTGCTTCAAATAAAAACTGCAAGGACTCTTCTTGCTCCAATATGGATTTATATGGCACATACATTCATGACGGTTCACCATCCAGTTAACTCAAGCTTGAGCTGCTAGCATTTTATGCCAGCTCTTGAGTAGCTTAGCTCATCTATTCAAGAATATCATTGTCAAATCTCTTGGTGATTAAGATCAACAAGACCCTTCACAACTTGTGCTAAGTAGGCATATCTATTTCTCTTCACTTATGCTGTCGTTTCATTTTTCTGCTTCACTATTACTTTCAATGGCAACTGTTTTATTTTGTTAGATTATTCTTCTCATCTAGGATCTATTATACTGATCTAAAAAAATCATTAAATTATTCTAAAATTTTCAAATTTTTAATTTTTTTATTAGACAGCTGAAAAAATCTAAAGATTTTTACCTTGATCAGCATACTTTTTCAATATAAAGAATAAAAAAATATTCTTCACAATATGTGGAACAATGAAGTAAAATGACATAAATGCTAGAGGGTAGAAACTTGTTGAAAGATTTTTCCCCGCCTTGGCAGCATTGTCATTGGTAGAAAACATCCACCAATAGTCTTCTGTGAATAACGTTGATAGCTCATGAGTTTACTGACTCATACGAGGTTCCTGTCATGCATGTGACATGCATACAGGCGCGTGCCTCAAGTATCACATTCTATTCTAGTTTTATGCCTACTCAGCAATATAAAAAATAGATTTCGTATCTGCCTGACAATTCATGTTATATTACAACGATCGTAGTAGTAATAGTTTATTTTTTTTAAAAGCATTCAAACATATCCTAAATAACTCACAATTTATATTTGCATTTTACGATCAACAACAGTCGTAAACAACCATTGTTCTAGAAGCTGCTCTTCCAAACGATCAATACTGCTATGAACACATGAGTTTGAACACAGCAACAACGTTGCTATCAGAGTTGTTATATATCGAGTAAACAGTAACTATGCTTCAAACTAACAAGCATTAGAATACCCATGAGTTCAACAGTAACGTTTGACTTTGAAGTTTAATATTTGACTAAAGAAGTTTTTGTGTTATAAACTTTAATTAAAATACATTAAACAGGATATTGTCATTTTTGATAAACGAGACTGATATTGAAGCAACTGGTCAGGGATACTTTGCAATTATTTTCAGTTTTTTTACTCCTGTTAACTGAATATTAGATATCAAATTTTCCTGTTGACGTGCGTGAAAGGATCTTGATCAAATTTCTTGTGGTCTTAGTTAATCATCTATTTTTCTATTTGATAACATTTGATACTTGTCTGTGGATAAAATGGTAACTGGAAGGATTCCCAGTGCATGTGATTCGTTTTCTTGGCAAAAGAGAACATATGAAAAGCATAGAAAACGGGTAAATACTAATCTAAATTAGTATTCGAGAAATAAATTATTACAATTTTAATTAAGAATAAAATTAATAAATTTACCATTGATGCTAAGATTTCTTGTTTTATTGCAGGTTAAATCGGCAACTCCAACAGTAGACATGACTCCTCCGCAATCGAGACCTCACGTTCTTTATGATGCTAAACGGTTACAATTACAGCAAGAAAGACAAGCCCAAATTATAAGAGACAATTTTATATTATTGAGAAATCTTCAAAATATAATGCATGGAAAAAACAAGAAGAAAAATTACAGACTCGATGAGAAACGATCGGAATGTATTAGAATTTTTTAATCTAATTAATAAACTTAGTAGTTTTTGTAATTTACTATATCAATGAATTATCAAAAAAAAATTTCTTACATACATGAATAGAATAAAATATTAATAATAAAAAGCATTACTTGTTTAGTTTTAACTTTTATAATTCTTACCAGTTACACGCAACAATGAATATTTTGTAACGTATTTTTCAAACGTTTATGTTATTTATCTATCGATAAAGTCGAGTAAAATATGTCGATAAAACAAATTATTTTAACAATAAAATTCACACAAACCTTGATAGATGTCACTTCATTCCGTTTTTTATGCGCGATATTTAAAACTATTTATAAGAGTAGTTTTATTCATTTACTTTTTTAAATGAATAATGTTAGATATTAATATAAATTTATAGATTACTTTGTCATTGTTGAAAGTATCAATTGTTTTATTATTCTATAAAAAATATTTTTACAAGAGGATGTTATAATTTTTCATATTGAAAATGTGAACAAATGTATGTATGTATATCTATTGACCTCAGTATCTGAAGATAATTCAGTTTATAAGCGTAATCCGGCTTAGGCAGTGAACTTCATAATTGTCTTAGCTTTTTATGTGAATAATACTTGTTTAAACAATAATTTTCTAAAATGCCGGGTAAACCAGATTATAAAGTGGGTAAGTAATCAAATTTCTTCGGTATAGCACATCTATTCATTGAAAATTAACATAAATAAACTAATAAATACTGTGATCTCTTCTTTTTTTTCTAACACGTGGTTCTCTACACCACAGATTAATATGGATAGATTAAAATAAAAATATTATTTCAGCGGATATTTCCTTGGCAGAATGGGGTAGGAAGGAAATAACTATGGCAGAAAATGAAATGCCAGGATTAATGTCTTTACGTAAGAAATATGGTCCACAGAAAATATTAAAAGGAGCTAGAATTGCTGGTTGTCTTCATATGACTGTACAAACCGCAGTTCTTATTGAAACACTTGTGGAGTTGGGGGCAGAGGTGAGTTAAAATTATCAGTTCTATTCAACTGCATGATAAGAATCCTCTCTTTTTTATTCAGATTACTGTTATTTGCCTTGATCACAAATATTCAAGTTCAAAATAACTAAATATTTTTGAATCATTAGTTACTCCATTCTTTTTGACTGACAATGTGAATTAATTTTTTAAGTTCTTTAATTATTTTAATTCAGGAAAACAATAGAAGCACGTTTCAATTATTGTTTGCACTCAAATTAGGTACAATGGTCTTCTTGTAACATCTTCAGTACTCAAGATCATGCAGCTGCGGCAATAGCAAAAGCTGGAATTCCAGTTTTTGCATGGAAAGGAGAAACAGAAGATGAATACACATGGTGTATTGAACAAACCCTTCTTTTCAAAGGTGGAAAACCTCTAAATTTAATTCTTGATGATGGCGGAGATCTCACTAATCTTGTTCATGAAAAACATCCTGAATATCTCAAAGAATGTCGAGGAATTTCTGAAGAAACTACGACTGGAGTCCACAATTTATACAAAATGTTTAAAAATGGAACTCTTAAAGTTCCAGCTATTAACGTGAATGATTCAGTTACAAAGGTTTGAAATTTTTTTCAATAATTTGTATTATTAATTATACTGATAGAATTTTGTAAAAATAATTTGAAATTTTTCTAGAGCAAATTTGATAACCTGTATGGTTGTAGAGAATCTCTAATTGATGGTATAAAACGTGCAACAGATGTTATGATTGCTGGTAAAGTCTGTGTTGTTGCTGGTTATGGTGATGTCGGTAAAGGATGTGCACAAAGTCTTCGAGCTTTAGGAGGAAGAGTAATTATCACAGAAATAGATCCTATCAATGCTCTACAAGCTGCTATGGAAGGCTACGAAGTTACAACCCTAGAAGAAGCCGCTCCAAAAGGTCAAATTTTTGTTACAACTACTGGATGTAAAGATATCATTACAGGCTCTCACTTTGAAGCTATGCCTAATGATGCCATAGTTTGTAATATCGGACACTTTGACTGTGAAATTCAAGTGTCATGGTTGAATAAACATGCGGTTGAAAAAGATAATATCAAACCTCAAGTTGACCGATACAAATTAAGTAATGGAAGACACATTATTCTACTAGCCGAAGGTCGACTTGTTAACTTAGGTTGTGCTACTGGTCACTCGAGCTTTGTCATGAGCAATTCTTTCACAAATCAAGTTTTAGCTCAAATTGAACTTTGGACAAAATCCGATCAGTATCCTGTTGGTGTTCACATGTTGCCTAAAAAGGTATGATAATTCATTAAAGAAATGATTATTCATTAACTGATCGATTGTTTTACATTTTTATAGCTTGATGAAGAAGTTGCTGCCTTACACTTGGAACATCTCGGTGTTAAATTAACCAAATTAACGCCTGATCAAGCTAAATATTTGGATATACCAATGGAAGGGCCATTCAAACCCGATCACTACAGATATTAACAAAAAAAAAATAAGTAAATGAATACAACGATAAATCTACGCATCAAAATCTACGAAAAAAATTGTTACCTCCAAAAAAGTTATAAAGTAACTCAAAAACATAATTTGATATAATGTATTTAAAATAATTGTATCAACATTTATTCTTTGTAATACAATAACAACAATGTGTATAATATATATTTATATACACATTTGTCAACAGTCTTATAATTTTTATAGCTTTAAAAAACTAGTACTCTCCTGAAGACAATAACAGCCACAGCCTGTTGGACAAACTTTTTTATTCATAAACCAAGAAGCTAAATGCTGAGTATGTCCTCCATGACCACAAACTATACAAAAAGTGCTATGACCTAAAAGTAATATAATTGTTCAGCTCTTTTAACTCTATAACTTTAAATCTAAAAATGAAAATTACCTCTAACAGAAATATGACAAATAACACATTGAAAAGCCAGTCTTTTGCAACTCGTACACTGTGGACCTCGATTAACTTTCATACAAATATGACATTCACTTTGGAATTCAACATCTTTTTGAATATCGAGATGTGTCACACTGACGTGTTTTAAAATTTGTGCTCTTGCATCAAGAAGCTTCCATCTATGTAATACTTCAGCATATGCTTTTTTGTAATTATCGTAGAGTAGAGTATTATTTTCATCTAATAATTTCATATTTTTTCCGGTATCACCTACATTATCTTGAATAATTTTCAAATCATCTAGAGATTCAGACCAAGAATTTGATCGATTCTGTTTTAAATTTTGAAGATTCCAGCCTTCTAAATGAGTATCCGTTGGATGAATCGTATGGTATGGAGATCCACCAGGCTGAAATCAATAAGTTATTCAATTATTTTCATAAATGCCAATATTTACAATAAATACTGATACTTCATTCGCACAATGTGTATATGTGTGTTAATAAAAGATGACTTCGATAAGTAAATTTCGACAAAGAACCCAGAGAACCAATCTTACCTTTAACCACCACTTCCCAGTGAATTGTCTCTATAACAAAGATAATAAATAAAATAATATAAATATAATAATAGTTTGAATAATGTTGATACATCGTGCCGTCGACGGAGAATTGGTGCCCGTGGTTACCAAAACAATTGCAAAATTAAGGTTCTCGGGGTACTCAGTCGGCGAACAATGTACTGACCATGTCATTAAAAATTGTACCTCAAAGAACTTTCATCAAAGAAAATCAATTTATTTGAATTCGCACAAATATAATCAATTATGTATGTCATGCAATCATCATGCTCATTTTTATTCAGTATGAATTAAATATATGAAACTTACGCTAACGTTTACTGATTTGCTGTATCCCTGATTTCCATCATGATTTTCTGAACGATTATTAAACACACAACTTAGCATGCCAGCCATTTGAATATCTGATTGATTGACGTAATGCTGAATTCTGTCAAAAATATTCCAATAAATTATGTTTGAAAAAAATTATATTAATCAAGAAAAATAAAATGTCATACATAGAATGTATAAGTTTCTGTCCGAATGGATGAAGTGGCCAAGGAGAAATAATATCTTGAGTCTGACAATAATTTTGTGATGCATTAGATGAAGGTGACGATACGACAAGAGCAGCTAGACACCAAGCTTGAACCAGATCTGGACGATTGAGTGATGCGGCAACATTTGCATTGAATTGACACATTGCTGGAATATCATCAATATTGATCCTATAAAAAAATTAATTAATCATTTTTTAAATAATTAAATATAAATAATATCTATTAACAATAACCAAAATACCTACACGTATTTTTCAGCAAGCTCTTTATTTACAAAAAATAATGATGATGCATCATAGACGGTGACTATTGAATAATATTCTTTATTGAAACAATTTTGAGTTTGATTTTGAGTTCGACTTGAACTGTGTATATTTCTTCTCGATGATTTCTGCTGTTAATAGGATTAAAATCAATTTAATTCTATTGTGAGAAAAAATTAAAAAATAAAAGCTAAAAAATTTACCCGATCAGGAAAATAGAATGAGCTGATAGATATCGTATCTCCAGATTGACTATATGGACTGGAGTAAATACTCATAAATGGCCCACCATTTCCAATACCATTACCTAAGGCAGAAAGAGCTCTCGGTGTCGTCCCATCAGATTTAATCACTGATGATCGTCTGTTGAAAGTTGATCTGCCGAAACAAACGAGTATTCCTACACTACAAAATTTAGCTCCTGATGTTCGCGGGAATGGAATGTATGTATCTTGATAATTATGACAAATGTTGGTAGAATTTAAAAAATCTGCATTTGACTGAATATGATAATCTAAATGATTTGGTTCACTTTCATCAGCAACACATGTTTGTTCTAGAGTTATTATTAACTGTCTTAAACAAGGTTCTAAACATGATCGATTTTTTCGTACTCTTTGTTGTGCTGTTTGTTTCAAGACTCTTAATAATTTTGCCATTGTTGTATTATCTACTGTAGTTCCGGAACAAAATTGAAAAGTAGGTAGAGCACTATATGGATAATTTCCTGGAAAATTGACTTTTAATATGACATTGTAATTTTTGTTACGAGCTGTAACAGTGCAACTTCTTTCAGCAGCATCCATCGAGTTTACTTCTATGTTTGGAATATTCATATTGATTAATGAAAATTCTTGCTGAAGAGTCTTTGGTTGTGTTGGCGATGGAACTTCTTTTTCAATTTCAGAATTTGTAGATATTTCATTAGGAATAACTGGAACATCTAATGTAGATACCGAGTAATTTATTTCATTATCATTATGGGAATCATTTAACTGAATGTCTTGAGCTGATTGTAGTGCTCCTATAAATCATAAGTAATGATGAATTAATAATTACTTTTATAATTATTATAATTATAATTGACGAAGACTTACGCAAAGTGGTATCTTCAGAATACTGTGTGTAGACGGAGGTAGCATCATCCATATCATGGCCGCATAATTTTTTTAAAAAAGGATCAATTTTAAATATTCTTAGGCATTGATCTTTTGACCAAGTTATTAGCTCATAATCATTACTATCTAACTTTGGATGTCTCCACTGAAAATCTAAAACAACATCTGTATGACCTACAAAAGTGTAGATTGGTGAACTAAGATTAGCAATATTCCATAAAAGAAGGCTGTTTTCTCCTCGACGAAGTTGTGGAACAACTATCGTTACTAAACCTTCTCCAAAAGGCTAAAAAATTAAATAACTACTATTAAAATACAAATCAATTAGAATAATTAACGGAATTTTATTTTATCAAAAATACCGTATATCTAGCTCTCCAAACAGGTGAGTTGGTTGTTAAAATACTTTCGGCTTTTCTTGGATTACCAATATCAAAAACTTTAACTGTACAATCTTGACTAGAGGTAGCTAATTGATTTTGTTGAAATGGGCACCAGTCTAGGCCATAAATTTTCGTTAAATGAGCAGCTATATATTGAACAGGACTATTCCCTTTTCTTTGATCCCATATTTTGACATCACCATCATGTGCTGTTGCTAGTATATGAGGAGATAATGGATTCCATCTGACTTGAGACGATCCAGCTTCAAAACATAGTGAAAAATTGTTTTTCATAAATTTGTTAAAATTATTACATTAAGATGATCTTATAGATCTTACCAACTGCTGACAATGATAATGAAGGTCTACGGGCATCTCGGAGATCCCAAATATGAATGAAAGTATCGATACTACAAGAAGCTATAATATCAGACTCTTTAGGATGCCAATTTAAATCGCTAACAACTCTGGTGTGTGCTTTTAAACTGTGAATCATTTGTAATTCCTGATTACTTCCTCCAACGAAACTTAAAATTTCTATCCTTGTGTTGCTCTATGAAAACGATAAATGATATTTTATTTTTTTTCATAAATGATTATTTAGAGTAATGTTTATTTTCTTACTGATATTGCACAGCAATGATAGTTAGAAAGCGTAGGATTCCATTCGGCCGATCCAACTTCATACTTGCTTTGTCTAGGAAATTTTCTTAGCACATCACATTCTTCATCTAACTGTTTAATAGCTAAATATCTTCGTCTGAAACATAGTACACATTAATAGAACAAAATAATGAGAGCATAAAATTGAGCTTAAAATATTGACTAATTCTTATAATTTTTTATTCGTACAAGAATTATGTAATGTACATACCCAGCTAACAAAACATAAGTACCAGTAGCATCTAGAGCCATTGTATTAGCCTAAAAAAACAATTTATGTATATGAACAATTAAAGATAAAGTTATTATTACAATAGCATAATCTTACAATAATATAAATGAAAATCTAAATTTTATTAAGATTCAATTTTTTAAGGAGTTGAATGAAATTACTAAATAAATAATAATTAAAATGATTGTTTACCTGTAAATCTCGATGTTCAGTGACAACATAGTCACTTCCCCAACGTTTCGACATTTTTGGCATTTTAACCAAATTTCAATACTCTTTTTCATTCTTTGGAATTAATAACACGCAATTTTCATGTTGATTTAATCAAATATTTCATTCGATTTAATTATAATTACTAAGAAATGTACACTCATGTGTAAATAATGACACAAAATGCTACTATAGAGTATGGATATTTTTCACGCATTGAAAACAATTATCAATGGTCACGTGTCTAAGCTTTATCGCTAGTGGTTGAAAAAAAACATATAATATGATTCCTGCTGATTAATGATTATTTAAATAATTCTTTAATTTACATAAAATTTCTCAACTGAATAATTGAAAAAAAATCGAATGACAGAAACATAAGAATTTTTTTCCACTTGTCAATTAATTAAACGTTTTAAATTTTGTAATTTCATCAACATTTACTCACTTATCTGTCATTTCATAATTATTCACGGTCACGTGATTCACTTGCGAATAATGAGCAATGTATGAAAATAAAAAGCAAACTTTACTCCATAGCTTCCTGACACCAAATACAAAGTGCCCCTACCTCAAGATTCTACGCCAATGTATCTGCGCAGTGACCGTCAGACTTTAAGCTTTACTGCGCAAGAAGAAGGCAAAATACATAATAAAAGTGAAATAACAGATGCAATATTGTGGATGATAGAAAGGGATAAACAAATAAAGAAAAAGTGGCGTAAAAAGAGTCCGAGGATAAGACGCTTTGGGTTATTTCTGTCGCGTAGATTGTATTAACGGAGTATATTTACTTGAATAATTCTATCTATTAATTTAACACACCCCGAGGCACTAATCAACTGATTAAATCTATTATTTCAACGAATAATATATCAAACTTCGTTATTTACTCCACTTGCGGGTGCAAAGTGTCAAATTAATTTTGTGATTGTGATTGTTATTGAAATTAGTTCAAACTATAACAATGATCGTGATTATGGATTGTTTTCTGCAATAGCGGATGTGTTGGATCACTTTTGTCTTCATAATACATTAGAATCTTCAATTTTTGTTTAAAAAATATATTATATATTATATTATTCCAAGACTTCGTGTTTATTTTGGAGTGAGAATCCCTGCTAAGCGTCTTGTTTTGAACGCTTGAACGTCACTTTAGTGACAAAGATAAAAAAAACTGAAGTTATTTTGGCGCTCATTTAACCAATTCACTTATCTAGTTCATTTTCTAATCTTTTGTGTACTCAATTTGTGTATTGACAATTGAAACTTAAATTTATATTATTTAAGGCATTTTAACTAGTGATTCTGTAATGTACCGAAAGTGTAACACAGAAGAATACTCAGTCACATCAACAATTAAACTCGTACACTCGAAACGAAAAGGAATCTTCATAAAAAAAATGCTAAAAAATCCTAAAAGTCTCAGAAGTAGAATAAGTTTTAAACTTCGCTGGGACTGAATTACTTGAAAATATAAATAAATTAAAAATTTCAACAAATTTACGTGAGTTTCATTCTTGAAATCTTAAAAGAGCTGATACCTCTTTTTGAGACAATTAAAATGTTGAAGTCATATTAAGTTTATCTTGAAGATATATTAAAAGATCGTAATCAACATTTTGCTGCTGACGATTCTGTTAATTTATTTATTTAGCCAAAGTTCATAATATCAAGATGAAGTTGTTAGAAAGTACAAGATTCGAAGCCATAAACAATGCACTTTGTATTAAAACTGGAGATAGTAAAATCATTGGAAGGTATTTTTCATTTCTATATGTAAATAAATTATATTTAAACTGTTTATTTATAATCCAATGTTTACATAAAGAATTGTATCATTTTATTTATTGTTATTAATCTCTTTTTGATGATAATGATTAATTTAATGTTTATTTTTATTTAGAATTGAAAGTTACTCTTGCAAAATGGCTGGGAATGATAAACAATTGTATAAAAGATTTAATGCAGAGCAAGGAGTTACTCCACACGACCTTCAAGCTTTATCACCACCACAAACATCTCTTGGCACTTCACCAGCTCAATCTTACTTTAGGTATTTTAAATTTGTTTATTAGTTATGTAAATGAAAAATAATAAATTACTTTAAATTAAAAAAAAAATAATTTGTTCTATAGTAAAAGTATATCTGGGGATGAAGAAGGACCATTATGTGATACAATCAGTCGCAAAACATTATTTTACTTAATCGCAACATTGAATTCAGCATTTCATCCAGATTATGATTTTTCTGATGCTAAAAGTCACGAATTTAGCAAAGAACCTAGTTTACAATGGGTGATGAATGCAGTTGACAGTAATTTAAGTGCGACAGCAGGAGACCATTATCGTACTTTAAGATCAGCATTGTGGGCTGCTGTAGAGGATGAAATATCAATGAGCGAATGTGATATTTATAGGTAAATAATCGTAGTAAAAAAACCTAAATAAAAAAAAATTCGATGAAGTGAATCAAAAGTTACCGGCCTTCCAAATGATTTTGTGACGTTAACATCTTTTGCGCACACAACTTTCTAATTACGCAAGTGATGTTAAAACTTGGATATTTACAGTTACAATCCAGACTTGGCTTCAGATCCATTCGGAGAAGATGGATGTTTATGGTCATTCAATTATTTTTTTTATAATAAAAAATTAAAACGAATTGTTTTCTTCACTTGTAGAGCAATCAAGTAGGTATTTATTCAACCCTCTAACTCATTTTTGTCATATATTCTGATTAAAGAATAATTTACGTTTTAGCCCTCTTTACGTACTAGATTCTGGAGTCGGAAGTGATTTTGCTATGGACGAAGATGATGATGATGATCATTATTAGATCAAAAATAATACTTTGATTGAAACTAATTAATTAACTTTACATATAGTTGAACAATATAAAAAATAGCTGCAGATAAATAGTTTGTTCTTCAGCATCAATAATTACAACATAAATAAGTAATATTTAATAACATTTTATCCGAAATTTGTGAAACCCAATCAATGTTTAGTTCTTATTGTCAATCAATAATTTATATTAATGAATTTACTATTAAATATCTGCTTAAAAGTTTCAATTAAATGCCCTTCTAGAACAGTTATTTTTATGGAAAAAATTACAATTTTGGAGTTATCTTTTTAAGAATTCAAGTATTCTATACTAGATATGGATATAGTCCTTCATATCAATATGATATAAAAATCTATCGATTACAGTTTCTAGCTTATTAAAATTAGGATCTCATGTGTAGTTTTTGTAAGTGATAAACCTGGGCGATTATTATTGTTATGGTTTAAACAATCAAGTACTAATCAAATCATACTAGTATTAAGACTTTTTCGTGTTTAACTTTAAGAATTATTTATAAAATTGCTACAAGAGAAATAAAAAATGTACTACAGATGCTATTAAACTATATTGTATAACAATTCTTAAGTATTATATATTATTCATACTTTTCAGCTTACACTACAAGGTAATTGCAATTAGATTTTTCTTAATGCACAGTAATCAAATGATTAAGAAGTGCTCAAAATATTATAAAATATATATTAAAAAAATCTAGTTTATCTATTTTAAATGTTTAAAGGTTCTCATAATAGATTGTAGTGACCTCATTGCCAATAAACGATAGCCCATTTATTTTAAATGTCAACTTATAAATTAAAAAATAAATTTTAAGCGAATTTTTCAACAGAAATTGTCAGTAGAAATTTTATTTCAATGAATTTTATGTGATAAAATAAATGATACAATTTTTAACAATGTAAACATAAAAAATAAAAGAATGTGAGATAAATCATCTATTGAGAGTATTGTATGAATGAATTAATAGATAAAATGCAAATGATAAACTGATAAAAAGTATTTTTGCAAACAAAAACGTTTATATAAAATGATTAATACTGATTATCGATATGCATGAATCGAAAAAAAGGTAAAAAGATTATTCATTAGATATAATTTCTAATCAATTTAAATTAGACCAATATAAGATAGTTAATATCATTTTAATGAATATAAATATATTCATTACACTTACAAGTTTGAAGTGTAATTCAAAGTTATAAATAAAATATTATAATAAATCAATTAAGCATTCACTAGAACAAAAACATTACAACAAAAATATATAAATAGTTTCGTTCTCTTAAACATACATGATTACTGTTTCATTATTTAATGTAAATAATTTATAATTAATTGTATTTTTTTTTCAAAGGTTGAAAAAGCAAAGTTATATATCTAGCTTACCTAATAAATTTATCCATGTCATTACTTATACATCATTACGTCCGGTGATTGATACATGCACATGTAAGCGTCGCAGAGAAGCCTTTTTGCGTGTTCAGGTAGTTGTCGGTCATCTGTCAATTCTGACAAATAATTTGCTCCTTCTTCACTCAGCCAGTAGGGGAAATTTGGGCAAGGGACCATTTCTGGTATATTATATCCGTTTTGTTCTCCTAAAATGAATGAATGATTTTAGAATAATTGTTAATATATCTTTTTGACCTTGGTATATAAAAAGTAGACAGATAAAGCATATATTTACCTTTTCGGTCTGCCATTGAATCAAAGAAGCACCAAGGTGCTTCAGAACCTGACCCACATTTCACGAAAGACACATAGTGAGATGTTTCGATGCAGACAACTGCAGATAATTCTAAATAAAGTCTTGGAACTGAACAATGCTCTTGTATAGCAATAAATTCAGCTGGTACAATTAATTTCCTCGGTTCATGATTTGTCCTTCTTTCATGTCGATGGGCCTAAAAAATAATAAATAAAGTATAAACTTTGTGATACATTGAGAATTAGTGAACGTTCTAGATTTACGGATTGGTGCATAAACGCATTAATTACAGACCTTTTCAAGGCAAGGAGCGCAAAAAGCAATACTTTCTAGACCAACTCCGCACTGGCCGTAACATTCTTTACATTCATATTCAGCTAATTTTCCACAAACAGTGCATTGCCTTGGAGCTGAAAAAAATACAAGTATTACTTTCCTTGTTGAAATCTTGTTTTCTGAGTTTCTAATTTTTTTATTTTTCATTGAAATATAAACTAAAAACAAGTTCCATACAGTCTTCGATAATATCTGTGACGTCCAACAAAAGTGTAGGTTGAATCTTTGAATACATCTTAAAAGACTTTCCAAAACGTGGCATTTGAATAATAAAACAGGACGGAACTTCTTTCAATCTAATGTTACTTGTAAGAAAACTTTGCTCAAGTAATTGTTGAACAGTCGGCAGGCTTAAATGATCATCTTTCTCAACAAAAAGTTGATAATGGTATGCATCCTGACCAGAACTTAATTTTAAAAAAGGTTCTGCATTCAAAATTTGAGCAACTAGAGATGTTAAGAATTCCTCAGGATCTTTTTCTTCACTTGTTAAGCCAGATACTGAAGACAGTTTTTCTAAAAGTGTTCGAAGCTTCATCACGCTATTGGCATTGACAAATATATTTTTACGAAGCGGATTTACTATTTCTTCTCGTAAAACTCTTTGAACTTCTTCATATTGGCTGCAGTCTTTTTCATTTTGCGGTCTAAAAATTAATTAATAAATGGTATCAGTACCAAATTTTATTATTATTCTCTCTAATTATATCAATTAATAATTTAAAAATACGTGATCAAATTACCTAAATAAAAGGTTATCAAAAACACTTGTAAAAGCGAACATACTAAAAAGCGTAGCATCCAAATAACAAGAGTTATGATGTCCTTGAATGCCTCGATATTTGCCACAAATTTTTTCTAATCCATCTTCTACACATATTGGTCTTACCATTCCTGGTATCACTAAATTTTCAGTCTTACTCAAATCTTCACCATTAACCTTTACTAACGGATCATTTGACTGCAAAAAAATAATTATTAATTAATAAATTAAATGTTTAAAAACTTTTTATCTTGAACAATTCTTACAGGCATCACATCAAACTGTTGACAATGTCTAATATCAGTAAATATTGCTCTGTTTTGTTTACAATGAAAGTATCTAATGTCGTTGTATGTTCCATCAGTGCCTTGTGGATGTTGTCCATCTTTCTGTGATCAAAAATATCTCATGAATGCATGCAGTACAAATATTCATGCAATCTAATACATATTTTTTTCTAGGAAGTAATTTATTTAAGTTAAATAACTTGCCAATTCGATAGCTGCCATTATTCTACCAGGGCTAAGATCTGGCAAATTGCCGACCCAACGAATTATTCCATGTCTTGCTTCAGAACCGACAAGTACTTCAACTTCAGTTCCTAAATGAAGAGGCTTCCCATTGTCTTTTCGAACCATTTGATTACTATCATATTTTTCTAGCAAGTCATCTAAAAATATTAATAATTAATAACGTTAAAATCTTATTATTAATCAAAGTACTCAAATATTAACGGAGTACAGATAATTTTAACACTAAGAATATTAATTAGGAATAATTCAATGAATAAAAAATTAACAAACAATTCACAACGCTTACGTCGATTAAATAAGTTTACACAGTTGTCTTTTGAATCCAATTCACTATACACATTTGAATCTATATCACCACTCCATTTATGTTCGAGTACAAAAAGAGGAATGTTTGGTAAAATAGTGGCCATAATTGAATAATTTTTATTATAAATTTTTTGTTTTTATTATTATTGTTGTTCTAGAACTTTAGTAAATTTGAAAGTTTCTACGATGTAATAGAATAGTCTGAGACACACTGGCTTCTGTCTATTTTCAGGCTCTTGCGTATATTATTAACTCTCGCCACAACTCAGTCAGGCGGAAGTCAGGTAATACTACGCTACTTGTTGAATTTTTACAATTCAAATATTTGAGTTAGTTAAATGAAATAATTAAATAATTACCTATTGGCAGGAAGTCATAATTGCTCATACTTTTCTGTAAATTTGTTCCATCTTGGCTTGATAATATTTTAGATTTAGTTGATTGATGCACAATTTTTGGAATTAATGCATCGTTCAATCTTGAGCTAGCAGATTCTCTATCCGCTCTAGAATTGTTATTGTTACTATTATTATTACTATCTTCAGGAATCGGAGTTTGTTTTTTATTAATTGGAAGAGAAAAATCTTGTGTTTTCTTTCCATTTATCGACTGATTGTTTATTGTACTATTTACAAAGCCATCAAGTTGTTTAGACCATGAAGCTTCAATGTCTTTTTGAGGATGTTTACCTTTAAAATAAAATAAGTAGTATAATTTGTTTAAATTCTTTCAATTAAATATAATTGTTGTATCAGTTGACTTAAAAAAATTAATCACACAATACTCACTAGCATTTCCGATAATTTCGGAGCTTTCAGTTTTAAGAATTTGAATATTATTCAATGTTGTAAGAATACTGCTATTAGATGAGCCTGCAACGAGTTTTTTCGCTACAAGTGATGTACGAATACCCTCAGGTCTATCCTATGAAGAAGATAATAAATAAATTAATAAATAAAATTGACTGCTAGTATTTTAATTTACTTACTATCAAATCAAGACCAAAATAAAATCCCGGACCCATTTCTGGAACTGATCCAATATATTTAATCACAGCTTTATACTTTTGAGTACTTCCATCAGGACAATACCAAACTTTCCTATTAACTTTTAAATTGTTTACATCTTCACAAAAATGTGTATCATTAGCCAGTGAAACACGATCACGTGCAGTTGGAATAGCAGCTAAAAAATGCCATACAAGTTCTGGAACTGAGATTAAGTCAAGTCTTGCACATTTCCATTCAGTTTTACGCCAGAAATCAGGATTATTTGGATCACAAACTTTAATTCGGAGTCTTCCATCCGGTTGAATTTCTTTAGCTTCTACCAAAGCACCAGGTTGTAGTTTACGAATATTTGAATCACATTCACCAGAGATTCTGCTTAAAAGTGTATTCCTCTCAGCTATGTAGTAACAAGAAAGAGCTTGAGAGTTCATTTTATCAGCTATTTGTAATTTATCCATGATAATAAATTATCAATTGTTATTGTTATTATTAAAACTTATTTCATGACTTATTTTTTGACAACTTGATAGTTTATGCCGCGTTGACATTCTTCAATAGCCTTCACATGTTGTCATTACAAAGATAAAATCTGATGTTGTCACGTTTCATTACTGATTAATTTGATATTTATTAGCGAAATCATTGGTATTATTTGACAGAATCAATAGAATATTAATATCACAGTAATAAAATAATTTTCAACAATTTTTAACTCTTTTTGACATTTCTTACACAATGTAACCTTCCATTTAGTACACTTTACTACCTGAGAAAAAACTCACCGTTGATTACATGCTATAGTCGAACTGAGACCAAGGTCGGTATTCTTTGATTCGACTTTAGAAAAAATATACAGATATATTATTTATATGGACTAACCAGACATTGATGAAACCGAGTTTCTAAAGTCTATTTTGAATAGAAAATATACTCTATCAAAGCACTGTCATCTGATATAAAACAAGAGTGGAGAACTATATAAACTTGGAGATTTTTATCGACAGAGCATATTCGGCGCGAATTGTTGTTGACGGTTTAAGTAATTATTTTGGTTTATTAGTGGCCGTTGTTTGTAGTTTAGCAAAACATGATTAGTGAACGAAAACAAAAATTATTGAATGATAAATGGAGTAGATATGCTGTCGATAGTAGTTTATGGAATGATGAAAATGCTCCAGTCGTAAAGGTAAAAACTCTACACCTAGAAAACCTGACTGATTCTGAACTTCAAGGGATTCTATCCGATCGGATGATTGAAACATATTCAACATTCCTATCAACAACGCCTGATACTGATCGTTATACCTTAACGAAATGTGAATTAAGAAATTTGGTAAGTATTATCTGATTTAATAATATTACTTCCTAATTGTTAGACGTAATTTTTTAGAATTTAGTTGACATTTCTATTCTGGAAAATTATCACTATTGCCAATATTTGGATTTAGCACATAATAATGTAAAAGACTTATCAATATTAAATAAAACTCCATACCTTTTATATCTGAATGCATCTCATAATAAAATAACGAATGTTTCAAAATTTAATCCACCCTGGTATTTAACATATCTTAATTTATCACACAATAATATCAAATCATTGAGAGATTTTCAAGAATTTTGGAGCATTGTACGATTGGATCTTTCTCATAATTCCATCGAAAAAATTTGTGGATTACAAAATCTCAAGTATAGTGATCCCAAAGCTAAAAATTTCTATTATAAAATGATGATTTTTTTTTAGGCATTTGAGATATCTAAATTTATCTTACAATGTCATTGAAATAGTTGAAAACTTGGATGATTTAAATATTCAAGAACTAAATTTGGAATACAACTATATTAAAAAATTTACATCAATGGGTTTAAACGATGATACAAAAATTTTTAAAAATCTACGAACATTATTAATTAGTCATAATAGAATATCATCTTTAAAGTTTTTTCACAACATTCATAGTTTACGTCTGGTTGATTTAAAGCATAATAAAATATCTGATTTAATGGAATTATCTCATTTAAGTGGTTCAGTTTATCAAGTTGATTTAAGAGGTAATGGATGTACCAAATGGCCAAATTATAAAGAAGTGGTTTTATTTTGCATGCCAAATGTTTTATTTGTTGATGGAGCAGAAATAACTGCAGCAGAAAGAGTATGTGTTTTCGTCATTAATATTACTATTATTACATTAAATAAACTAAATCTGAAATTATCAGGTATCTGCAGCTACTACTTTCGATCCACCAATAAATCTCCTTGCATCTCGTGGTCTTACTAAATTAATATTATTAGAACAATTAAATGCACCCAGGATTGATAACAGTATCATTCCATACGATGAAGTTAGCCCACCACTAATAATACTTAGTGGACCATCAGCTGTTAAAAAATTGACCCTGGCTCTCCATATTGCTGAAAAAATTTCCAAAAAAGTACAATATTGTAAAAGTCACACGACGAGAGAATTTTCTTCAAGCAATGAAGATAGTAAAGGCTATCATTTTGTGGAAAGAGAAGAATTCAATGAGATGGCTAGAAATGGTGAATTTTTAACTGTTGAAGAATTTGTTGGTGATAGTTATGGATTTCGTGAGTTTATAAATACCAATTGTATTTAAATAAAAATACATTGAATTTATAATTAATGATAGAACATTTTGAATAACGTAGATAGTAATGAAATAGCTGGATTGAGAAGAGAGTGGAAAATCGGCATTACTCAACTGGACTTATTAGCTTCAATTCAAATGAAAACTCGATATCCTAATTCTAAAATTATTCTTGTTTTAACAAAAGATGAAACAATTCATCAGCAATGGATAGAAGAAAAATTTCGAATTTTTACCTGGATCAAGGATAGTGTAGAGAATTTGTGGGCGTTGACAATTGGAAATCGTCAAAGTGAAAATCATCTCAAAATAATGTCGAGTAAATTGAATCTCATTACAGGAATAATTGATGATATTATTAATAATATCAATGTTGATAATAATGATATGGGAGTTACAACAAATATAAGTCTCCCAAGTCATATCATGTCACCAAAGATATTAAAAAAACGCCGAGAACTGGCAGAAGAGAAACGTCACATAAAATTTGTTGAAGATGAAGCATATAATGATATACCTAGAAATTCATCAGTTAATATTTCAGAAACATCCTCTGATTTAAAAGTATTTAACGAATAGTTTAGTTGAATTTAAATGTTGTGATAATGCTTACAATTATGTTTATGATATTAAGACTTTCGCAGGTAATTTTAGATGAACAAATGAACGTTATGGTTGATGATGAAATTATGAAACGTAAAAGAAAACGTGCCAAAATGTTGAAACGTCGAGCTGCTCAAAAATTGAACAGCCTTAATATTGTTGAAGATGAAGAATCAACATCTAGTGAAGACTCCTTACACGAATCATTCCAGCGACATGCAATGATGGACGATCCCAAATCATTAATGAATAATTATGTGAAAAGTATTTTAAAATCAAGACAAGTGTATATTGATCAACATTTAAATAATCCAGGATTTTATTCACTCGTGGTAAAGACTGAGAATTTAGTAGAAAATATTGTAATCTTCTTCTATAATTTAAAAATTTTTTAGTTATATACAGATGATTTTGGAAATGCTTCGAAACCATTAATTAAATATATTCGTGACCTGTACATTAATTTTTCTGCACATAAACCTCGTTATGTTCCTGAAGTTGATTATTTGAATAATGTGGTTATTCCTAATAAAATAGAAGAAATTGTGAATGAAATGAAAATTCAAAAAATAAATCTTTAAATACAAACACATATGGAATCTATTTAGACATATTAAATAAACCAGTTATTTATAAAATTATTAAAATTTATTTTTAAGATAACAAAAGCAAGTTTATTTAATAAAAATATTAAAAATTATATCAAAAATGTGTATATATACTATTTGAATAAGTACAAGTTTGTAAAAATTCATAGAAATATCTTTGAAAAACATCTGATTTCTTAATAAAATTATTAATAAATAATTGAATATTTACAATAGCTAACGTGAAAAATTTTTATCGCATTTTTTTTCAATTTTATCTTATCGATTCAATGATACTGTTTTTCAATACTCACAATTTATTTCCTCAATATCATTTAAATGATTCTTCCGATTTAGTTTTAAATTATTGTATTAAATTCTTTATAAATATTTGATGATCCAGTCTTTATATCTTCCTGAACTGACGGCATTTTATCATAAGAATAACATTGCCATTCTGCATCATTTTTAGTAAAATTTGATTTTACATTTCCAGATTGTAATTGTTCAGGTAACCAGTTTGAATTACTTTCAGCTTGAGTTTGTACTTTGTGCTGTTGTTCTATATGTTCATCTAAGAGTACTTGTTTTATGAACAATTGATTGCAATATTTACATCTATAATTGACATGATCAAATTATGTGTTGCAATAGTTTTTTTAATAAAGCAAACGTTTGTTATGACCTACTTGTACTGTATATTTTTGTCAGCTTTAATTCCATTTGCAGAAGTATGAATTTTTTGATGAGAAAGCAAATTATATCTTTCTGCAAATTTTTTACCACATGATGTACAGGTATATGGTTTTTCACCAGTATGTACTCGCATGTGTCTCTTTAAATGAGACGATGATAAAAGTGATAAATCACAAATCTGAAAATGCGGAAAAGACTAGTTATTTTATTGAATAGTCACTTCTTTCAATTACTAAATTGTGTTGTTTTACTTACAGAACATTGGTGAGGTTTTTTACCCGTATGAGAGAGAATGTGCATATTGTACGAAGAATGATGAGCAAATCTTTTACCACATAAATCACATTGATAAGGTTTTTCACCTGTATGTAACGGTAAGTGTCTGATAAGAGCTCCTTTTTGAGTAAAACTTTTGCTACAAAAACAACATTGAAATGGATTTATTCCATTATGCATGCCGACATGAATTTCGAGTGCATGTTTATGTTTATAGGCCTGTCCACATTTCTCACACATAAAAGGTCGAACATTCGAATGAGTTTTAATATGAGCTTTTAAATCTGATAAAGTTTTCCATTTTTTATCACAAGTCATGCATGTATACTTTAGAGACTTTTCATGATTTATTTTTAATTTTTTCCCTGGCTTTTTAAATGATTTTTCACAATTTTTTTTTTCATAAGCACTTTCTTTCAGACATTCTGTGCTTAGTGTATTATCTACAAGTACAATTTATAATTAGCAATTAATATGGTATAATAATAACGAACTGGTAATTTTTAAATACTTACTAAATGCATCTAATTTATTTTGATGAACTTCAATATTCAGGACTCTTGGTATCTTTTCAAGAGTTGTTTCTTTTGAGGCTACATTTTCATCTATCATTGTTAGAATATCTTTAGAATGAATATTGTTTTCATTGGGAGAACTTATTGTTTGATTAGTAATGTTATGAATTTCATTATCAATCATGGTTGTACCTTCAGTCCCAATTGTTGTATCTTGATCAATTTGAAGTACATATAAATTTTCTGGAATATGTATATTTGTAGTAGATGAACTTGAAATTTTTTTAGAATTATTCAGTGATTCGGTTTTTTTTGGATCAGCATTATTCAGCTCTCCGAAAGTTTCTATCTGATTCAAATCGTTGAAATGAGAAGGGATAGTTAATTTCTTGGTGAAATCTAAACGGGATGTAATTTTTTCATTTTCTTCATCATCGCTACTTAAAACTATTTCATTTTTAATTGGCATTTTTTTCCCATGTTTTGACGATTGGTAAATTTTTATAATTTCATTTTGAATATTTTTTACTGTAGATTGTGCCTGCTCTAACATCACAAAGAGATTGTAACATTGTAAACAGATGTAAGAGCTCGTTAAATTTGTAACAGGATTTAAAACACCAAATATAAAATTTGCTAGCATTTCTCCATTACCAGACAAAAAAGTATCAAATATGTTAAAACTTGATGATATATCCAAATTTAAATTACATACTAAACATAATGCTTCTGAGACATTACAATTAGCTGGCATATTAATATTTTTATTAAGTGCTAACATTTCGCAAAATAGGCATACAACAATTTTTAAAATTGATATTCCACTTTCATAATTCAATAAAAAACATTTACTCCAAAAAGAATAAAAACACCATCAATAATATTAACTTTTCTCTCAAACACATATCATCTTACTTTTTTTTAAATAACTTAGTTATTTATCAACATTTCATTTCCACAGGAACAATCAGTTCTTTGTTATTTTTTTTTTGTATACATTCAATCAAATTTCAGTTCATTATCTCATAATACTAACGGACATTTAACCAGACATCAATACATAAAAATTTATTTTTGCATACAATAAGATTAGAATGGAATTTATAACATTATATTCTTTGTTTAAACAAATTTGTTACTTAATAAAATTAATAAACTCTACATTCTATGTTATTTTTGATTTACCAAATAATTCTTAAAATTCTAACCTAACAGACTGCACTACCGACTGAATGAAATTGTCTGACATTTCTGCTTTCTATGCGACGCTTGTGTACATCAGAAGTATTCCCAGGAACTTCATGTGGCATGGCTGCAAAGTTAGCTCTAAGAAATTGTCAAAAATATAATCTTTACATAATCACGTTAATTTAATGGTTGAATATGTACACAAGTTACACGGATCAATAAGATAAGATATGTGGACTTTAAGAACTATGTGCGGATTACTTTCAATATCTTTAGATCCATATGATATGAGTTGTGACAAAGTCAAATTCTAGTGAAAAGTTGTGAACAACTCCCACATATGTGCAAATGTTAAATATCCCAGTAAATAGAAATTCATAATTGCAAATTATAACCTTTCCTTCAATGAGGTATGTTTCTTTTTCATTATTGATTTGATTTATTCAACTTACAATGTTAAAAAAAGAAAAGTTTGAACTACTTATCCTTTATTCAATTGCGCCATTAATCAAAACAATCATCATAATTTAAAAGGCCAACCTCTATATAGCGTTACCATAGTAACTGTATCTAAATAATTTGCGATATTTTAAATAATGGATTATCATATTCAATTACTCATAATAAAATAAAATGCAATAAAATCAAAATAATGTTTTAAAATTTATCTATCAATACAGATGTCAATGTCGAACATCTTTTCAATTACAATTAAAAATTTGGCATTTGATGTAAAAATGTGATTTTTATTGTTTTCAAATCTCATTATGTCTCAATGTTATAAAGAAAATTTTTTTAATATGGATATATAAATAAATTGTCATTATTCTTTATATCACTTTTTTCCATTCTAATAATCGTTTTAAAAGTGACACGTACAAGTTGAGTCATTAGTTGTTTATTCTTTTACAATTGATTATTTGAAGTTTGGCATGATTAGACATACAAAATGAGTTCATTTATAATATTTTTTATTAAAAGATTAAAAGATTTTTATTTACTCGCATGTTTGAATTAATCTATTATTAAAGTGTCTTAATAACTCATATGGATTTTCCAGATTTATCATAAATATATTTATCAATGTTTATTTCATTTGAACAAGAGTAATAAAAAAATGTATATCATAGTGTGATTTTATTATCTACGTCAAAGACAATTTCCTATTATTATATACGTGTAATTGATATAATTTTTAATTTCTTGATGCCTACTGTTATAGCTCCTTATTTAATGTGATTTGTGACATTGAATTTACCTTATCACAGAATATACCTATTAAAATGAATTTGTTCGGCATACATTTCAGTTCTTTACCTTTTTTCGTTGTGTTACAAAACATATAATAGTGTTGTTTTCCAATACACGCGATATTAATCTTACAATGCATTATTTTCGCAGAATTCCTACTGCTAGCTATTAATGGAAGAAAAATTACATTACAATTGAAAAATCAAGACGATTATTATTTTAAAATGGCTGGGAAAGTGAAAATTTTGATGCTACTACTAATGAAAAATTTTCTAGTCAGGAAAAAACACTGGTTCCAATCTTTATTCATTCAAGTGTTAGTTCCAATTGGATTATTTTTAATCGGACAATCTATTAGAATGATGACTGATAGTACTCCTGAACGTATTCTTCATAATACAACTCATGAAGCTGAGCCTATCGAAAAATTGATACACGATTTTTTTCGACGAGATGTGATCATCAGGTATACACCAAATAATGAACATACTCAAAAGCTCATGGAAAGTGTAAGGATGTGTGTAAAACTCACCTATAATCGTACGTATAACAATGTATTTTGGAAGTTATATTATAATTAAATTCAATGGGAGTAATTAAAAATGTATTTAAAATTATTTCAGAGGTTAATGGGTCAGCAACAGAGGATACAATGATTGCTGAACTTCAGCGAGATCAATCCATTTCAAAATCAGATTCTATTGGGATTGTATTTTACAGAGTCAATGAATCACTTCCAAAATCATTTAAATACAAGATTCGAGTATTCGAATCAATACCAAATGAATTATATGATTCTGAAGAAAACGGAAATGGTGCCATTCATTTGCGTATGGATCCTTTTTTGCCTATTCAGGCATGTATTGATCGATCCTACATAAATTTAATTAACCCGGTTCCACCATATAAAACTCAGGTGAACTATATTTGGCTAAAAAAGTATCTTTTTTGTTTTAGTAGTATTGTAATTAATAATTATTGTTTAAGGTTTCAATCCAACAAATGCCGTATCCGCCTTACATTCAAGTAAATCAAATGGCTGTTATGAGTGTAGATATGTTTGCAGAATTAGCTAGGATAACATTCCTCTTAATTTTATGTATAGAAATTTCATTTCCAGCTAATGAAAAAGCTATCGGAATCAATGTAAGTGACACTTAGTAGTTTTAAAACTAATTATAATATTTAGAAATAACTATGACAAGGAAAAATAATATTCTTATCTTATATTTATATGTTTCTAAATCTATTCAAAACTAACATCAAAAGATAATCAATTGTGAATGTAATTATTTTACTGTCCTAATATAGATTCTCATGTCAGTAAATGGAGTGAAGAATCAATTTAATTTATTTAGCTGGCTAGTGAGTGCATTATTGTATAGTACAGCTTATTTACTTCCAATAATAGTAATGTTGAAACATTCTTTACTACTATCAGTCACTCCATATTTACTGCATGGAAATGCATTTCTGGTATGGATGACATTATTTATTCATCTTTGTCAAGTTGTTTGTTTTGGATACCATATTTCATCATATTTTCAGAAACGTGAGTTTAATTATAAAATTTATATTAGAATAAAATAAAATGAATATTTATTTCTTGATTTATATTTTTTTTTTAGCTATTCATGCATTGATCGTAACTTTCATGGCTATGACGTTAATGCACATAATTGCCAGTTTTGTAACAGGATATGCAGCAGAAAGATTTCTACTATATTTGGGAATTATTTTTCCAAACTTTATTTTAAAAAGAATATTCAAAGAAATTTCCTCATATGAAACAAAATGTATGTAAGATCAATAGATATCGGAAATAATCAGTTTTTATAAAAAAAATTATCATTAAATTTCTAATTTTAGTAATTGGTGTCAAATGGTCAAATTTATTTACTTCTGGAATCACTGGAGCACCTCCTGAATCCAGTGTGGGTGTGATGATTGTCTTCTCACTTTTAGGTGCCTTATTCCACTTTTTAATGACAATATACATATATAATGTTCGACCAGGAAAATATGGAATTCGTAAAAATCCATTTTACTGTTTTCAGGTTTGTTTGAAGTTTTGTTTTACTTTTATTTTGTAATTACAACATCACTTTACTATAGATTTTTAATATCTATTTTAGATGAAAAAATGGAATAAAGTGAATGGTGATATAGATGTAAATTTTGAAAGCCATCAATCTGATAGAAAAGAATTTGAAACTATATTATCAGGCAGTCTTCAATCGGGTATTCGAATAAGAAATCTTAAGAAAGTTTATACTACCGATTTACTTGGAAAATCCACAGTTTATGCTTTACGAGGTGTTTCTATAGAATTTTACAAAAGTCAAATAACTGCATTATTAGGCCACAATGGAGCAGGAAAAACTACCATGATGTCAATTTTATCTGGACTAACAGATGCTTCTGAAGGTTTGGTAGTTATTAATGGAAAAAATATTCAAACCAATCCAGAGGCAATTAGAAAAAATATTGGTTTATGTCCTCAAGAAAATATCGTTTTCCCTGATTTAACTGTCTATCAGCAGCTAATTTTCTTCGGAACATTGAAAGGAAATAATAAAACTAAGAAACAGCTTGAACAAGAAGTGAATGTTCTATTATCAAAAGTTAATTTGTCTGATAAAAAGTATTCTTATCCTCAGGAGCTTTCTGGAGGTCAAAAAAGAAGATTATGCTTGGCAATAGCTGTGATTGGTGATGCCAATGTATTAATTCTTGACGAACCAACATCTGGAATGGATGCAGAAAGTAAAAGGGAAGTATGGGATATTGTTCTTAAATTACGAGGAGAAAAGACCATTATTATAAGCACTCATGACATGGAAGAAGCCGATATTTTAGGCGATCGAATAGCCATTATGCATACTGGTAAATTAAAATGTTGCGGAAGCTCGATGTTTTTGAAAAAATTGTACGGCAATGGACAAGTTGAGGTAACTTTATCAATAGAACCTTGGTGTGATATATCCCAAGTTTCAAGAGAAATGGGGATTTCAGTCGAAACTCTGAGCAAAGATGAAGGAAAAGTAGTTCTTGCTGTTCCACGTGTTGAGTCCTTACCTAAAGCTCTAGACAAGCTGGAATATGCCAAGAAACAATTAGGTGTAACTGGCATTAGTGTATCGATGATTACATTAGAACAAGTCTTCTTGAAGGTAACAAGAGATGAAGGAGATGAAGTGGATTCAAGAGAATCAACGATGATATATAAAAAAGTCAAAGGTTTACGATATTACATACAAACATTTATAGCATTCTTTATCAAGAAAGGTATTTTTATGCGTAAAAATCCTTGGACTTCTTTAATTAGTCTGGCCGTACCCTGCTTATCGTTTATAATATTGGTGTTAGAGTATGGAATATCATCTGGACAATCTCAACCAGTTCCTTTAACTTTGAAAGCATATTCGTATCCAGAAGCATTAATATATTCTGAAATTCCAGAATTCGGTATACAGTACAAAAAGTCTGTCGAACGATTTGGAGGGAGTGGAAAAATAATTTCACTGAATACATCTCTTACTGATGCTTTACTTACGTATGCCATGAAGAATCTTGGAAATTATCGAAATAAAATGATAGTCTCCGTTGAATTTAATCGCACTGGAGATGAAGTATATGCAAATGGTTTGTATTCAGGAACTGCGTTGCTTAGCATTCCAATAACCATCAATTGTATTTCCAATGCAATAATAAAAACACTCGCCGATGATACATATTCAATCGAAGCCTCTATTCAGTCACTTCCTGATGTTGACAATATGAAAAGAAATCCGATGGCTGGGTACGACATAACGCTATCAATGTTAATATTTTTAGTACCTGCTGTGGCAATGTATGTTACTCAACCTTTAGTAGAAATTATGAGTGGAGTTAAACAGCTACAATTCATGACAGGAGCACCAAAATTGATGTATTGGGCAGCAACATTTTGTTTTGATTTTCTTCAATATATTATATCTGTAATAATGCTCTTAATTATGTTTGTGATAGTCGATGCAATTTTAGGAACTTATCTTTATTATTTCTATGAAACATGTAAGTTGAAAAGTAATAATTTAATGTATAGCGTTAATAATATTAATAGAAGAATTAATTAATCTTTTTATTCTGTTTTTTTAGCACTTTTTACTGCTCTTCTTGCATTGTTCGGCATCAGCGTTTTACCTTTTGTCTATCTTATGAGTTTCATGAAGAAAAAGTTAAGCACAACAATTAATATTTTAACTATTACTCCGATACTATTGAGTAAGTAAACATACATATTTTAAAGAAAATTAATAGAGTATAAAGTTCACAAACTTTAATCAATAAAATTTACAGGTGTTGTGGAGGTAATTTTATTTGCAGTTTCTATGCAAATAGAAAATTCAATATTTGAAACGTTTCGCAAAATTCAAAGTAAAGTGTTTTTATTCATACCCCATGTAAGTTTTTTGTACGGTCATATTGCCTTTTACGGGGTGTTGTATGAGAATGCTCGCTGTCGTCGCATGCCAAACCGACTCCAAGATGCACTTTGTATTAGTAATGATATATGCTGTGCATTAGATTGTTCTGATGGAGTATGCAAAAATCCTCTATCATATTTTATCTCAAATGGTTATGCTCCAGGTCTCAAAGATAGTATGATCTATTTGACGGCATCATCGATTATTTTCTTTATAATTATTTTTATACTAGAAGAAAGAATATTTACAAAAATATTATTAACAATTAAAGGAAAAAACACACCAATTGATACCACAGGAATGGATGAATTAGTATTAAAAGAAAAAAAAATTGTAGATGAAGAAATTTTAAGACTAGCGAAAAACCACAATAATTTAAAACTTGAAAGTGAAAATATACTTCTTGTTCAAGGACTTAAAAAGAGTTATGGAAGCTTCGAGGCTGTACGAGGCATTACTTTCAGAGTAAAAGAAGGGGAATGCTTTGGTCTATTAGGGGTGAATGGAGCAGGAAAAAGTACGTCATTTAAGATGTTGACAGGTGCTTCATTGCCTAACAGTGGAACCATGTATTTGAAACAATTTAATATCGAAAAAGATCGCGTCAAGTACCTTACAGAAATGGGATACTGCCCGCAACAGGACGCAATCATCGATACGCTAAACTCGTGGGATCATTTACATTTATTTGCAAGACTGCGTGGAATTCCTGAGGCCCAAGTATATACTACCGTCAAAAGGTGGATCACAAAACTCAATCTCACGGTCTGTGCGGCTCAGCCCAGTGGCACATATAGCGGTGGCAATAAACGACGATTAAACATTGCGTTAGCACTAATAGGAAATCCCTCGCTTGTTTTAATGGACGAGCCAACCACAGGCGTGGATCCAGCAGCTCGAAGATCATTATGGAATACGTTGAAAACGTGTCAGGACGCCGGGCAATCGATTATACTGACATCGCACAGCATGGAAGAGTGCGAAGTCCTTTGTAACCGATTAGTAATTATGGTGAGAGGTCAGCTAGTGTGTGTTGGTGCAAGCCAAGAATTGAAGCAACGCTTCGGTACTGGTTACAATATTCACATCAAGTTGAAGCAAGACCATCGCAATTCAGATATTTCTCAGATTAAAATCCGAATTGAATCCGCATTGACTTGTAAGTTAATCGATGAAAACAGTGGGTTCATTGGATACCACATAACTGATGCTAAAACAACGTGGACCAAGATGTATTCAATTATGGATGAATTGAAGAATAATTACGATTGCATTGAAGATTTCGCTGTATTATCATCCACACTAGAACAATTATTCATTCAATTTGCTCGAGCGCCCAGTGAGGATGAGCCGGATGTTGTAAAAAAGAAGTGCTGCTGGTAAGTATAATAATGTAAATTTAATAATTATACGCTTGAAAAGTCAATTATGCTAAAATTTATAATATTGGATATTGATACATTAATATTTAATATTCATTTTTTACCATTGTGTACGACTTCAGGTACCTCTTATGTACATACATTGAATTGTAATTAATTTGTTAAAATTTTTTTTATAAATTTATTCAAGTATTTTATGCATTAATTATAATCTAACATTAGATTATAGTTTCGTATGATTATTACATGTACGTATGCAAACATTTTCTTGATGGGTTCATTATCGGACTCAATGTTTATATTAAACTACCCGTCCTAAAATTATATATGTATTACAGCAAATAGAATTTTTTCAATTGTTACTAAAAGCAACAATAAAAAAGCAATTTGTTTTAACTTGTATTATTTAAATCGAGCTAAAAGTTATAAGTGAGAATCATTTATGAACTAATATCTAAAAAGATTTGTCTAAATTAGAAATTGTTTTATAATCTTAAACAGATAGTCAAACTTAATATTTCAATGCCAAAAAAAAGTGATATTTTCATGCTTGTATTTGGAATTATATAAAAAAAGCATCATAATTAAAAAATTGTATTGTTAAATATTTAACTTTTTATTAAAGATTGAATTTAAAGATACAAGTTAAGAAAAATATACTAATAATTTTTTTTTGTAAGTATTTAATAAACCAATAAATAAATGTATTTACTAAATACCGACAAATATAATTGCACGTATATTTTATCTATTTTTGAACTATTGAATTAAAAGAGTATTATATTACCACTTTTATTACCATATATATTGAATATATATTTATATTTGTAAATTGTTGAGTAATATTGAACAATTAAATTTAATTGATAAAAAAATGTCTTTGTCTTCACATTTATTTATTCATTTATCTCGAAAACCAAAAATTTTCACATACAAAATCATGTCAACTATTCAAAATATTAGTAACTGCCAAGTTTCAACATAAAATAAGTATTTTTTAATGATCCAATTATATTTTGATTAATATGATTTTAAGAACAATTTTTAAACTTGGTAGACTACGATTTTATTTTACTACGAACATAGTTCGTTCATTTAAGACTTTCTTCTGAAAAAATTTTTAAACATTTCACTATACGTTTTTAACACATGCGTATAGGAGTTCATGGCATTGATTATTAGATTCTAATGTTATTTAAATTTTGCAGCAAATATACTGATCCGCATCGGATATTAGTTAAAAAATAAAATCAGTCCTATTAGAAGAGATTATGACGAGCATTGATAAATTATCAATTTTATGATTGTATGCAAGACTCGATGGTATTTCAAAGACCTAAGTATATTCTGCCGTCAAAAGGTGGATCACAAAACTCAATCTCACGGTCTGTGCGGCTCAGCCCAGTGGCACATATAGCGGTGGCAATAAACGACGATTAAACATTGCGTTAGCATTAATAGGAAATCCCTCGCTTGTTTTAATGGACGAGCCAACCACAGGCGTGGATCCAGCAGCTCGAAGATCATTATGGAATACGTTGAAAACGTGTCAGGACGCCGGGCAATCGATTATACTGACATCGCACAGCATGGAAGAGTGCGAAGTCCTTTGTAACCGATTAGTAATTATGGTGAGAGGTCAGCTGGTGTGCGTTGGTGCAAGCCAAGAATTGAAGCAACGCTTCGGTACTGGTTACAATATTCACATCAAGTTGAAGCAAGACCATCGCAATTCAGATATTTCTCAGATTAAAATCCGAATTGAATCCGCATTGACTTGTAAGTTAATCGATGAAAACAGTGGGTTCATTGGATACCACATAACTGATGCTAAAACAACGTGGACCAAGATGTATTCAATTATGGATGAATTGAAGAATAATTACGATTGCATTGAAGATTTCGCTGCATTATCATCCACACTAGAACAATTATTTCTCCAACTAGCTTGAGCTTTTTTACTTGAGTATTACATATGTTATGAAATCACTTTCAGAAATATTTTTATATCAATACCTCTTAACATAGATTAAAAATCTACTTAAACGAATTTATTGCATATGATGTATATTAATGATTATCAAAGACCAAATATTTTTATAATTGTTTCCAATTATACAGATTTTCTATGATACTATTCATATTTCTTATCCGATAATGTGCAATAAATCTAATCGTTTTATGATGAAATGAAGTAATATATTTTTGTCACTGACGATGATGTAAATGAACTATAATAAATGATGTCTAACCAGTGAAAGGATTAGTTTTACGATGAAATATAATAGTTAAAGAGATTCTCAACAATGTATCATTGTTAATTAGTAATTCATATTTCATGAATTTTTTAAAATACCTTGAATAATCAAGTTTTATTTAAAGAATAAGTTATTATTTCGTAACATAAATGAACGAATATCACGTAATATTTTATCTAAAATACACATATTTTATTAATTAAAAAATAATACATACAATAGGTGAAATAAAATTCTTATTTTATCATCATTAACAACACTTTCTTAATAATGGAATAAAATGACGAGTAAGAATGTTACATACACACCTAGTTGTGATTAATAAGACATCACTTTTGTCTTAAGAAAAAGACATAAAAAGGGTAAAAAAAAATTACGTAATCATTATTGTTATGTACATAAGTCGGGTTTCTTTTGAGTTATTTTGAAATAATGAAAACGATCGAGTTTGTATGATGTCAATGACTGAGTATACATATTTCCAAGATTTTTCTAGTATTGATATCCACCATTTGAGCTTGTTTGATAAGAGTTTGGACCTTGATAAGAAGTACCACCACCGCTACTGCCACTTCCAGATCCACCTGCAAAAAGTAATTATTTGATATTTATATGAATAAATGCAACTCCTTTCATAAATTGATGACTTACCTCCATAGTTATAACCACCCCCTTGCCCTGCACCACCTTTTGCGCCTCCTTGACCTCCTCCAAAACCACCTAGAACGTAAAATATTATTAACAAATTAACTAATATAAGCAAAAAAAGAATATTAGGAACAAATTTATTTATGACATACAATTTTTTTTTAAATATAAATATTATTAATACCTCCTTGTCCAAAACCACTACCAGAACCACCACCAGCGCCACCACCAGCTCCAAATCCACTTCCTACACATTGGAAAAAAAGTTACTGTAATTATCAAAAATAATTAATCGAGTGCACAATCGAAATTTTTTATCACCTCCTTGTCCAAATCCACCTCCAGCACCACCACCAGCTCCTCCACTTCCTCCTTGTCCACCACTGTAACTACCACCTAAATGTAGAAAATATTATTTTTCATAGAGTCTGTAAATTAAGTAAAGATATTTTTCTTGTTTATCCCCAAACGGTCTGGGTTACCTCCTTGACCACCACCACCACTACCACCACCACTAGATCCCCCATCTTGATTTTCTCCTCGAGCTTCAGCTGCTAATGAAAGCTCAATGCCTTTCTGAATTTCTGGTGGTATCGGAGGAGGCGTTGGAAGATGATCTCCTTGTGGATGAAAACCTTCAGCATCAGCAGTGTACGTAATAGTATACTGAACGCCATCAGGGCCTGTGTAAGAGTAAGATCCGCTCACAGTCTCAGTATCACCTGAAACGAAAAATATTTTTATTGCTCAATTCAATTGAATCGAGTATTTGCATTAGGCTATTGAGATGTCTATACTTAAGATGAGGAAATGCGTGAGTAATTACCGTGATACATATACACGTTTACTTGCCTTGTGACTGGCCTGTTTCTTGAGCGGTGATTCCATTTCCGGTTTCATAGCTGAATGCATAGTTGCCATCACCATTGTTTTCATTTGTAAAAGAAACAATGGGAATTTCTTGACCACCACTACCACCACCAGGCTGTCCAACAGGTCCAGAACCACCACCTACTGGACGACCGCCACCACTTCCAGCTCCAGCGCCTAAAAATTTCATATAATGACTGCTTTAATCTTGCTTAATTTCTATTATGAATAAATTTTTTAAAAATAAATTACTAAGAAATAATTGTTGTTGAAAATATTTCTATAATAATTATCAACAAAATATAAAATGTCCTACCTCCACCAAATCCTGAGGGACCTCCGGGACCAGCACCAGCGCCTCCACCGAATCCGCTACCTCCAGATCCACCTCCAGATCCAAAGCCACCAGGACTTCCACCAGGTCCGAAACCTCCAGGACTTCCACCGGGTCCAAAGCCACCAGGACTTCCACCGGGTCCAAAGCCACCAGGACTTCCACCGGGTCCAAAGCCACCAGGGCTTCCACCGGGTCCGAAACCTCCGGGGCTTCCACTAGGTCCAAAACCACCAGGACTTCCTCTTGTAGGTCCACTTGGCCCACCTCCAGAAGGCCCTCTTTTAGGTCCTGAAATTAATCCAGCTCCACCAGCACTTCCGGCACTTCCGGGTGGAAGATATGTATTATCAAGTCTTGCTGCCAAGCTCGTTCCTAACACAACTAACAGCGCTGACACACAGCACTTCTGTTCCGAAAAAAAAAAATTTTATTTCAGTAACATGATGTTTTGGAAAAGCTCAAAAATAATCAAAAATCTTTCCATTACATATAATTAAATAAAAATGTTTGTTAAAATTACCGGCTTCATTATGACACTGAAAGCTTTCTTATGCTTATATAAGTTGATTACTAATCCACCCTTAGTGCCTTCTCTTCAAGTAGATAGAAATTGTGGATCCTCAGACATCAAGCAGTATCTTATATACTAAGTCGTGAGGTCCAGATCGTCTTCCTCCCACCAAAGTATCATCCAAGTTGTGCGGGCGCGTGGTTAAGTGCGAGGAAGAGAAAACGAGGAGTTGGAGCAAAAGATAGAGCATAACAACTGCACTCCTTCTTCGGATGAGTCGTCATCATTGCTAAAAGTTAAAAAGGAGAAAGAGAAAGAAGAGAAGATGCGCCAGTGAGACCACGATAATACTCTCGATGCATTGCATCATCAGACTGCACTAAGAATGATACAGATCGTTGGGCATTCGTAGGCTGAAGGTCGATCAATCGGGTCATATGAAAGTGTACCATCTAGAGTTGGTGAATCTTCAGAACTGCTGCTAAATGAGCTACCGCTGACTTCTTAAGGACATTAGATTGACGTTTGACTAATTATTTTAATCGAACACATCTGAAAGTACACTGATATTTTACGATAAACATTCACCATCGATCAATATGCCTGATAATGGCATCAATAAAACATTAAAATTGATTAAAGAACATTGTACATTGATAAATTTGACATTTTCTTTCAACTTCTAGTGTTTTTTATGTTTAATTTTTTGTTAACTGAAAGAATAGATGATGGTGATTGTAATTGAAACAATTACAATAAATATTTTTTCAAATACAAAATAATAGTAATTTACATCTAAAAAAAACGTATTTTTTATTATTCATCAAAATATTTTTAATGAATAAATACAAATTCCAATATAATCTTTATTTTAATTTTTTTACACTGAAAAGTGATTGTGAAAGGGTGAATAGAATAGAGTTTACTCTCAGCTTTAATCGTAATTTAATGTGATTTATTAAATATTTATAATATAAAAACTCATCTCAATTGATGAAATAATCATTGCAAATAATGTTAACTAATAAACTTCAATTTATTTACTATTTTCTCATCTTTACAAATAACTTTATAGATCTCATTAAATTTTTTTTAGTACCGTTAAAATGTTAATAGTCACTTAATAAGATTCAATAAGTTCCTTGATAGACTTCTCTTAGCACTAAAATTCTATTGAGCAACAGATCACCTTAACGAGAATGCAACGAGGCAGTTGGCAGTCTACAAGAACGAGGTCACTGCTTTTCGGCAAGATGATGATACTGATGATGGTAGGGGTGATGATGATGATGATGATGATGATGATGATGAAGTGGTAAAAAATCGAGCATCGTGATGTGAGTGCTGATGATAATGAATGCAACTACTGCATATAGGACAATGGAATTCTGCTTTCTAAACAATATCAAGAGTATTTGCCTAGAAGGATAGAAAAACAAGCAAAAGGAGTAAAGAATAAGAATCTGACAGTATTACTTTGAGAAAAGCCAGCCCTTTGTGTATTATCTGAGCATTCATCTCTTGTTGCTCGTGTTATGCCAGAGGTGAATCAGAATAGAATGGAGTTGATGCCAAGGCGAGGTTCACTTGTAAAATCTAATAAGAAACTGCCAGAAATATCGAAAAAATGATAAATGAATAAATATTAAAATAAATAAAATGTGTAAGCTTATGATGTAAAAGTAATTCTGAGTGAGATCTGGCAGTAGAATTGGCGATGGAAACTAGTCTGATGATGGTGCAAGTCTTCATTGCTTATAATCTGTTGAACGGGACTTGATGTATCCACGATAAGATGATACTAGTAACTATAATATAACGATCGTTAGATTACATAACGTTTTTACGCTTATTGGATCCTTTCGAAAGTCGCATATGTACGATGAGATAAGTACGTGTCTATGAGATAGAACTGTATGTAAAATAATATAACCCGTCGAGATGTACAAAATATTCTTCAAGACGAAGATAAAATAATTTTATTATGATCATGCCGACGAGGAAAAATTTGTCATTTTTCTCCTTTCTTCAGTGATATGTTGAATAGTCGTGGGAACGCGAAAATTATTAAACTGAAAGATAAAAATGAAATGGCTATTACTAAGTGTACATTAGTGGTGAGTAAAAAAATCATGTGAAATAATAATTTTCATTGTTTGATAATTATTATATCGCACAGGTCAATTGTGTAGTTAGATTAGCGCAACGCAATATTGCGGAAGCATTTCACCGGTCGTTAAGACATTGCTTATGTCTATCTATCTATCTGATGTATAGAATAGATCCTCAAGAGGGAAGAGAAGAATTTATTGATTACACTCTCCCTATGCTGTCTCATCTTCGATACCTTCGGCCTCGCGCGTCTCTCACTCTCTTTCGAAACGGACTACGTTGCCGATGGCCATAAGACAAAAAATTCTACGGCAAAGAGTGTCCAGCATGCGTTCTCATGTATTCTAGCGATTCTTGATGCAACCGAGGTCAGCAGATCGTTCATGACAGTAGTCGATTGGGTGTTGGTGATGCAATTCATTGAATCTTCAACAAAACTTATTGGTAGCTTATAGGATTCCTTTCCAGTTCATCCGGGAGGTTCCAGATTCCGGACATTTTTACAACGTGCCTGACGACAGAATTTATTCTTCATTAGCTATCAACTATATACAAATTTATACCAACCACTTTCTACTTGCTAAATAAATATTCAAACTTGTTTTACACGAATAACAATTTGTATGAAATAATTAGGCATAGATAATCTTCACATAATTTTGATATGTGGCTTGAAAAAATACTAAATACTTAAAATATATTATTAATGAGAATTAAGTTATTTGTTGCATTATATTTAGATAATTATTATAAATAAATGGTGTAACATTTACAAAAATGACTCAAATAAATTTTTCATTATTAGCTATAAATAATGTTTCATTACGCCATATAATAACGATTAATTAGATACAAAGATTTTACAACTGCAAATATATACTTGGTTAAATGAAGTAGTTTAGCTGCACGCCAATGATACTCCAAGCTTGCATAAAGCTTGCTGCTATGTAGCATAATGTTGAAGTAAACGACCTAGCCGTTTTATTCTGTCAAATCTTCTGAGCGAACGTCAAGAAAGATGAGCAAGTATTTACACTTTCAGTCTCTTTAGTAAATAGCACTCTGTTGCATAACAAGACTGAGGTGCCTCAACTCGAGCATCGTGGAATGAGAGCGTCCTCCGTTCTGCTGACCTTTACGCGAAATGGTACGTTAGACTTATGTTCACATTACGGTAGGGAGATGCCGACTAATATGTATCATTCCCGAGGAGCGGTAAAAAAGATATCTGATCCAATTTCACGCGTGTCGTTTTCTTTCATGCGAGGCAGTTCACCTTGGATTCCGACTAATATAAGGGAACATCTTCGTCTAATACAACTGGGGGGTAACCGAGTACGTGAAGGAATTCTTCTAGTATTCAATAATAAATCAAATTATTTCACCTTTAATATCAGTATTTTTTGAAAAAAAATGAAAATTTATTAAATAATACCATTATATTCTACTACTTCTTACTCCATCTCATCATCATTCAACATTTTTTCGATGTCAGTAACTTCAACTTTAATGCTTCTTCTCGCTGTAGGAGTTCTACTTGGTGTTCTATTGGGTGTTCTCACTGCAGAATATCGTTCAGATTTGATTTCAGATTTATGTTTTGGCGTTCCACTAGCGACATATGATTCATTCGTATCCGCTAAATAATAAAAAATTTCAAAAATTAAGATAATGCATAATTTCTTTGATTGTAACAGCAATATATTACCTGAAGAAACACCCGTTATTTTAGCTATTATATTTTGACTATCTGAAAAGTAAGCATTAGGATGCATCACTGGATTTTCTGGTGGTGTTTTGTGAGTTACTTCAAAGTATTTGGCACACGCTAATTGATAATGATGTTCCTTTGCGAGACCAGCAATTTCATTAACGTCTGTAATTAAATTTTTTTATTAATTTTCTTAAATCAATATCTTAAGATAAAATTTAGAAAGTAATTAATTTACCTGTAGCTTGTATTCCATAACTTGTTAATTTCTTCTTGAGGGTATCATTATCCATAAGTCTATATGGACAGCCATGATATTCACCTGCACCAGCGATGCTATTAATGATCTTCGTGCACCCCATTGGTGTATAATTTCTTTGGCTTCCTGTTTTTCCGTAGAGAAATCTAATAGTATAAGCATATTGCTTCTCGAATTTTTCACCATCTATTTTTTTCGTGAATTCTGCTCTCCAGAAATGTAGTGAATCTTCTAGTTTTACACCAATTCCTTTTAAAAATAAAGCATACTGAACACGACCAGAATTTTTTAAGTGATGATTAATTCGCAAGGCTTCATGTAAGGTTCTCATACATAGTGGATAAGAAGTCCTTGATAACTGTGGGAAAACATGAAAATGGTAAATATAAATTGTTAACCAGGAATAATATTATGTTTACAAACTGTTTTAATCAATTACATCATCTAAACCGTCAATTGAAGTCTCTGTAGTCGACCAAATAGTTCGATCTGCTTCAGGGAAGTAGCTCGGTAAATTTTTAAGGTATTCAAAGATTCTTTCATCACCTTGCAGATCATAAAAGCATGACGTAACAACCTGAGTGTAGAGGAACATATTAAAAACTATAAATTAAATATGATTGCCTGCTATTATTGTATTAGCATTAAATAAGAAATTAAAATATTTACCTCTATAGCTTTCGTGAGATGTCGTTTGTATTGTGATATGAAGAGGGTAGAAAGTTCAGATTGTGGGGTATAGGCCATGCCCTTTTTAAGATACACTTTTCTAGCTCTAACTAGGTCAAGGACTTTAGTGAAAGGCACTTTATAAAAATCTGTATTGTCTATAAGGGACATCTTTGCTGTTGAAGCATTGAGCTCTTCTCTTAATTCATCTTTCTCTTCCTGTGAAATCTGTAATAAAATGCTGAATGTAATTCTCCAACTGCTTTATGCTTAACTGCTCAATAAAAGACGATATAAGCGTGTAGGCGTATAATTGAAATATATAATGATCCTTACTGGATGGTAAGTAAAGTTATTAATAGCCAATAATTTTGCCATTCCTTCATTATTTAAAGATGTAATTCTTAGTTTCATGTATTCAACTTCCATAACAATGAACCATTTCTTATAATCCGGGCTCTGAGAATATGCAAGTCTCAATATAAAGTGTGATAAAACGTCTCTTTTTCTTGCTTCTAATTCCATATCGGTATGAGATGTACAACCTGCACCGGTTAATAATTTAGCTGCATAATTATAACCATCTCTTCTGAGAGCACTTTTTAGGGCCAATTTTCTCTCTTCTACAGTCTTCAAATCGGATCTATTTAAAACTAGTTCAACTAATTTTAAAACTAAAATAAAATAAATTGTTATTCAATTACAATATTAAAGACATTGTTAACATGAATTTCTGTCATCTTAAAATAAATCATGATCTAATTAAAAATAAATATAGTTACTTTGTCTCCTTTCCAATCCTAATTCAAAAAAATGATGAAGCTGGACAGTATGTTTTGGATATTCAGTATACATTGATATGTCATGAGGATAAAGTTCTTGATAATTATTATTTTCTTTTTCAACGACATAGTGACCACGTCTTCGACGTTTTATATTACATTCCATAATTTTTTATCAAGTAAACAAACACTGATGATCAAATAAATTTTCCCTTACTTTTAAGAATATATGAAAAAAGTTATAAATTTATTATAATTATAAATGATCCGTTTATTTAATTATTATGACTAATATTTCACTGTGTTATAAACTCTAAAGAAATAATAATAATTGTTTAATTTATTTTACATTAATACTTCAACTCAAAAAACTGAAATCAAGAATAAACATTTGTATACATATAAAATAGGTTAAGTAATAAATTCTCCCGCCAATTTCGAAGCAACTGAAGTAGTTTCTAATATCGTTGTTAGATGGCATTAAAATAGCCTTAAACGGTGCCGCCACCAATTTGATTTTCATGTACTAAAAACATTTGATACAAATGGTCTGTAACGTAATTAACGATAAATCATTTTTTACGACTTTGATTTCTTCTATCGTGTCATGAAAAATGCTTTAGTAATTAAAGTACAAGAATTAGCAGAATAATTCTCAAATTCTAATTAATTTTTATCTCTTGAAAAAACTTTCTACTGTTATGTTTATCAAGAAAGCTTGGGCATGTCTTTGGAATTCATTTGACTCATAAAAATAATGTAGAAAGGTATCTTATTCAAAAGAACAATAATATTTATAACAATAAAGCTGAATATAGTATCAAATAATCATAATTTAAGTTTGTGTACTTAGTAAATGACAATTTAATAACAAGATAACATTTTTAATTTGATGTTTACTTTCGATGATTTCATAATTTTTTTATTTAGAAAAGCACGTGATTCATGTTTTTTTCTGAAATATGTTATATATTGACAATTAATGAATTCAAAATTCAAAAGATAATGATGAAGGTGTCAATAAAATAAAGCAAATAGAACGTAATAACATGTTGCAGCGCAGTAAAAAAACATCTGTTACAACACAAAAAGTGTCTTTCAAGTCTTAGAATCTAAGGTATTTATATTTATAGCATCCAACATTTATAACTCGTATATAATCTACATTTACAATATATAGAATAGCAACAATGTCATACTTTTATTTAAAAAAAAAAACAAGTGTGTGCACAATCGTAGCATAAGAAAGCTCATTGAAATATTCGTAGCTAATAATTGCTGATACACTCTTTATTAAACATATAAACAATGTAAATATATATTCATATTTTAAAACTAGGTTTTACATTGTTCCATACAATATAAATTTATATAATATGTATTATAGTACATCCATAGATTTTTTTCGGTTGAATATCTGATAAATAAATATTTAAATGGAAACAAGAATTTAATTCATTGCAAACTCTAATATTTATCATATTTTCAATTGTGACAACTTCTGATATAAAAAAGTCGTCAGTTTTATTGAATTTCAAATATTGCTATAGTTGGTTATACTTAATGGATTAAATATTATTTTTACTATCAATTTAATCCTGTTCACAGTGATGGAATAAGAAATAAACTATTAGGAATAGATGCTAATAATTTATCATCAGTAAGTTTCTACAATGTATTAACTGCCTTAAAAGTAACAATTTTTATGTAGAAAATAGACGAAAAGTGTTTTACATTCTAATCGTATTTTTATACCACTTTTTATGTTTAAAAGTCACTGATATGAGTATAACTATCGGTAGACATTCTTTTAGCATTATTCCGAACACTTGTTCATTCGAAAATCGAGGACATATGTAGATAGGACTTAACAATAAAACTTGGGTTCTATTTCAGGTGTTTTACAAATTACGAGCCATCAAAAAAAAATATATACATTTAACAGTATAAACTATTGTAATAAATATTAATACATTTTTTCAATACTTATTGTTATCTAAGTTCGAGTATAAAAATTGGTGTCTTCTCCTTCCTTAAATTTTACTTTATTACCTTTTTTATTAGTTATGATAGTTTTAATAAGGTGAAGAAGGTGTGAACATTTAATTTGATCTTATCTAAGTAATTAAACGGGGCTTATACCACAGTGTTATATTTTATTTATGACATCACCTATTTTCTTCATCTTTACTTTACAACATCCTATCACATCGTATATTTGTCGTCTGGTGCCAAGTTGACGGTAAAAACCCATTTATATTATTCATGTATAAATTACTACTTCTGAAGGAAGAAAAAATGTATATCTTAATTATTTATCCAGGTGAAAAATTAAATCAACTGTGATTGGAAATGAAAGATGATATAGGAAATCATGGAATAACAATTAAACATTCTTATGAACAAGTTACTATTCAAAGAGTTTACATGTTGGACTTTATGGTGTTTGAAGTTCATGGTATATCACATTTGCCTCTGCTCTGCAAACTGAACGATATTATACGAGGTACGTACCATTCAAGTCTTGCGCCTTTAATCAAAGAAAAGGTCATTCAACCCTCTGACTCTTGATCGTGAGCACTAAGTTTTTTAACTCACGGGCAAGGGTGTTTTAATCACGCTATTTGAAATAGCCAATTTAAAACTGAGTTAATATCAAAATATTCAAAGATTAAAAATTTCGTAGATTAATAATTAGATTATAATTACTAAATTTCATTAATTATATTATTTTTATCAATTTTGACAGCGACAGTTTATAATTTAATCAAAATATGTTTACTATTCGTAAATCTTTGAAAGCGAATATTGGAGTTTAATGGAATGATTATTAGATATAGAATATTGGAGTAAAAGTGAGAAAGCTTTCTTCTTAAATGAATGTTAAAATGCAGCCAGCTGTAACGTTGACAAAAGAAAAACGTTGAATTAGGCGGCATCAACAAAGAGAGCAATTCCATGACAGTGTTACTATTACCATACTGTCGATGGATAGCTCTCTTTATAGCGCTCGCCTTAAGTTTATTATTTCTTCCTCAACATAGACAATCATAAAACTCCTTTAAAGTAATGAAAAAAATTATTTTAAACATCCTATTATATTAAAATTATTTTTTCATTTTTAATATTAGAAATATGTGGTTATGCACAAATAAACTGGAAATTACAAAAGACATACCTTATAAATGAAGTGCAAAACCAGAGCGAGTACCTTGGCGAACTTTGCTTGTTATCGAAGTGGTGCGAGCTAACTCTTTCATTTAGCGCTCATCTGATTGCGCGGTAAACATCAGCAAAATCCACTTTTATTTGTTCAAGATTATTTGCTAGTTGATTGAGCTTTCAGATTGAATATCTTACATTAATTAACTCCACTTAAGAATACTAAAATTGTGCAAACAAAATTTAACAAATTTTTCTTTTATAAAAATTGTTCTCATTTCAATTGATTAAACTTTATGCAAATAATTTAATTTAAGTGTTAAAAAAAAAAGAAAAAAACCAAATTAACAAGACGCTTTTTTTCAGAATTATGGAACCTGAATATTGTTTCTTCCCTCAAGGTTGAAGGACAACTCAAGAAATGATGTCTGAAGAAGACCACGAGGCAGACTAAACTCTGTTCAGACACACAGGGTAGGGACACTTATTTCTTTACGTAAGATCAAGAACTCGTTAAATTCATTTCATCAGCGTCCGATTATCGTAGTGTTCCTAATGTTTGAACAAACGAATAGGCCGTCTAGTTTCTGGCTTTTGCCCGCCTTCTTTCCGTCTTTTGTCAACTGGGAGTGTAATATTAGTCTTCAGGCGTTTTTTATTTAATCATATAATATTTCATTTGTACCCAACAACTGTTTAAATAGTTCGATTAATATCAAATACTCTGGTGCATTCAGTCTGAAATATTTTTTCACTTTTAAATGCATGTGATCAAAGAAACATTTTCAACAAAAAAAAAAACCTTTAAATGCTTTAAGATAACTCTATGCTAATTTCTTCCGTAGAATGGAAAATTATTCAAATGAGATTTCACAGGAGTGATAGAATATATATATATTTTTTTTTGAATTTCAACGAAAGTAATCAATTTTCTTTTAATAAATTGCTATAATTTAAAAAAAATAATCGTTCTTAATATTGAAGAATTTTTACAGCTATAAATGTAACTATTAAAAAATAAGTAAAAGAAAGATTTAAAACATTAATTTGGAATTTTGAAATAATTTTTTTAAAAACTATGTTCTTAATTTTAATCTGAAACACCAACTGCTCAAATAACGACTTTCATAGAGATGTTGAAACATTGGTAATTTTTTTTTTTTTTTTTAGGCTTTGCGATGTTTCCAAATTGGTGACACAGGTGATAAGATTTCAAACCTACATTAAATACCACAAAAAAGTACTAATATATCTGTGAGTAAATAAATTAACAACCGAATGAGAACACAAGGACGATCACGTGAAAATAATTAAGTATAATAGTAAAATAAATATACGAGGTATGATATCAAATTGATAAACGAGAAGTTTATACGAATTAGTTTGTATTTTAGAGCTCTTTGGAAATTCTTTTGTACTTTAGTTCTTACTCAGGGAAACATTTCGTTATCAGTTCACTGTTGAGATATGATAAGGTACTGCGATAAAATGAATACAACAGGTACACCACCGAAAATCCGCAGTGTATTTGCTGAAGGGGAAAACGTCAAGATATCATTTAATTTTTAAAGATATCAAAAGATAAAAAAGTGAAACTTGGAATAAGTATAACTTTCGAAATTATGTTACTAATAAGCCTTTTCAAAGAGAAACATTAGTAAGCATTTATTGAGAAATACTAATTCTAAAATATTTGAATTTGTTTAGCAAAGGAAATAAATGAAAAGTGCAAATTATCAATTCACATTGCAACTTATAACTTCTTTGACGATGTAAACATTACGTAATTTCTTATATAGGAAGAGAATTGAAAAAAAGAGCAATGTACCCGGTACTTTATAACAGTATCTTTTAAATTTACACATGAAAAGCCTGACGGAGTAAGAATTTTGATGGATATAAAATAATGCGCATCATGTCGTCATACCGTTTATCACGTGTTTTCACGCCCAAATGACTTAAACGACAATTGTCCTTCATTAATGACCCACATTAGAGTAAAAACCCAATCGTTGGTGAAACTCAATTTGATATTAGTCATCAATATCTTGAAATATTTATAATTATGCTAATTTACTTACCTCTAAAAAAAACTTTTGGCAATATAAAATCCTTTTATTATAAATATAAAAACTATAAGATTTTGAAATTGCGACTGGGTTGGATTTGATGAAAACGCTTCAAAGAACTGAACGACGATTTGGAGTAGTGCTCAAGAACAAGTGACTTGGACATGGTGTCTCAGCCTTGCTCATATACCTGTGCTTATTGACGTCACGGCCACGTTTTCTTATCAGCTAACATGAACTGAGGCTTGGGTAGAAGCCGCGAACATTTCTGCGACACATACGCGAACCTCATACATAACTATATGTTCTTCACCCCCGTTAGTTTCTCGCAAGTCTCCTTTAGTTTAGCTTCAACATAAGGTGGGGAAATGGTTCGTAAAAGTCTCATAAATGTTTGGCAACACTCACCTTCCTATGTAGTACCCTCTGTGTCGACTTATTGTTGATAATGTCTTATTTCATTTTTACCATTGTAATACTCGCTTTCCCGTCTGACGACGACGCTTTGTTAGACAAGAAAGCGGTTGATTGTGATATGTTGATAAAGGACCATTTTTAAGACACTATTTTTTATTCCTCATTCAATGTACTAAAAAGTTAGTTATATGGTAATTAACTCTTATTATTAAGGGTGAGAGTTATTGAAATTAAAACGTTATCGTTATCATGTTTTATGCTAGATGTATACATAAGATAATATCATTTTTCTATATTATTCTCTAATAGTAGAAAATATTTATTCTCTTACAAAATTCTTTAGCTTTCTTCAATCCTTCAAGAACTAGATGAATTTATAACACTAAGAAACGGAGCTCGAGATATCACTCAATGCAAACGTAGAAGTGCAAATAAGCTACATAAAAAAATGATTACACTGAGCACCAGTAGTGGTTTACACCAATTTTACTGGTTACTATATGAATCATAAATCTATATAACATAAAAAAACATTTCAAGATATTTTATTTATTTTTGGATAACCATTTTTGTTCTTATATTCTTTTATTATCATATTTGATAAATTTATTTTAACAAAGAATACCGCATTTATATTGTGATTGCAGTTGAATATCTTTCACTTGTTGTATTATCCCTACACCAAATAATAGTTTAGGTTTCATCGCTGATAAATATGGTGATACATTTTCTTTTACACTAATAGCATACCTGTAGGCATTTTGAAAAATTTTCTTAGATTGCTCAAGCATTTGTTTGTATAGCATAAAATCTTGATGTTTTTCCTGATTAAGTGTAGTTAATCGAGTTTTGAGTGTAAGACATTCTTCTTCTAGAAATTCTAATCTAGTAATTGTGAGGAAACCATGATAAATATTGAATATTCATAAAATATAAAACTTGAAATGATAATAATTTGTACTTGTATTGCATTTGTTCTATATTTATTTGTTGATCTGTTGGTGAAAACTGAAGCATTGATTGAGGATTTTTTTTTCTATAACCAGTATTAATTTTTTGTACTTGTGCCATCTCTAGCTGGTGTACTCTGGTTTCCAACTTGGAGTTTTTCTGTTTTTCATGACGATAGAGTTGCTGAAATTGAGAGTCCAGGTTATCTTTAATAAATTTTACTGTTAATAAATGAGAATTATCATTGTAAAGCAATTTCTATGAGCAAGGTTATCTTACTGATAGATGATCTGTATCACTCCTTTCTTTATCTAAACGCTGATTTAATATTGCAATCAAATCTAGGAGACTCTTTCGTTCTGTTTCAGCAGCTATCATCAAATTAATATATTCGTTTGATTCTTGAACACTTTTTACTTCTTTTATATTACAATTCTTCGCTAATGTTTGATTCATGTTTAATTGAAGTTTAAAACTATGCTCTAGTTTATTTTCAGTATCTTCTAATCTATGAAGATACATAAATAATGATAAAATGTTTTCAAAAATTAAATTAAAAAATCATTTGTTTAAATATGTACACTATCTAAACTAATCTACACTAATAATACTTTAATGTTTCTATTTCTGTTTCTCGTTCTTTAAGTTTTATTTGTAATTGTTCAACTTGATCTTTCATAACATTTAATTCATTTTTTAATTTCACGTTTTCTTGTTGAGTTTTGTCTTTTACATTTTTCATATCTATTTTTTTATCATCATATCTATTTTCAACTCCATGTACTTGATTCTGTAAGAGTGTTTGAAATAAGTTAAAAATATTTGATTATTAGAGCATTACTTTTCTATTGAAATACGAAAAACTAAAAAAATATTTTGCATTAAATATAATTAAATAATTACAGTATAACAAACAATATAATGAATAAGAATAATACTTTTGTAGTTAGAGCGTCAGCAAATTGATCATTTTGAGCTTTCGCTTTATTTAAATAAAGTAAATCTCTTCTTGTAGTTTTTAAAGCTGAAAAAAATTTATTAATTTTATTTTGTGATTTTAAATTGAATAAAATTTCAAATATTTACTTGATGATGGTCTAGAAGTTTTCTCGTACTCATTTATTCTATTTTGAAGTTGAATTACTTTATGTTGTAGTTGCAATATCTGTTGACTTCTTCCTTTCCATTTACTTTGATGATTCGAAAGATTAGCAATCGTTACGTGCTCTCCAATTTCTTCTGATATGATCTTTAAAATTAAATGAATATAATAACTGGTTTTTTAGCACTAATAACTTTTGTTTAATAGTATAAAGTATTTATGAAGTACTTTTTGTGCTTTATTTATTTGCTGACGTAATGACAAGCAGGTGTTTTTGCATTCAAATAGTCTGTTATTTGTTTGAAAAAGTTTTTCTTGAAGTATTTTTATTTGATCTTTCTGACTATCGAATTCTCCAATTGATCTTGATGATTGCTCTTGGAGTTTATTCTCACTTGATAAATTTATTTGATCATTATAAATGTTTTTTACAACGTTCTTTAAACGACCGCTAGCAGAAAAATTTTGTATTGGTAGATCCTGTGGGATGACTCTATTTTTTAATTATATATCCAGCTGTTTTAGTACTTTAGATTAGTAGGTATGCAATTAATTAATATATACATCGATTAAAGTAAACAACTTACATGTTTCATTTTTGGATAATGACCAATTAATTCATCACTAAAATTACCAAGAGAAATATTGTCATCCTCACTAAGTTCAGAATCAATTTCTTGACTATTTTTTGCAAGTTTAACAATATTATCCATAATACTAATATTTTATTACAAACTATTTAATTTATTGACACTCATATGTCAATAACTCCAAAACAAAAATTAAATGAAATATTGAAAAAACATTTGAAAAGTGCATAAGAATTTTTAAAATTAATAAAGTATTTATCTTCAAAATATTGCTTAAAAAAATGATTGAAGATGTTTATTTATAGTATATAAAGTAATACATTAGTAATAATTATTTCTAGTAGGAACTTTATGGATGAAATTTCTTAAAGCCCCTGTGGCCTAATGGATAAGGCATCGGTCTCCTAAACCGGGGATTGTGGGTTCGAGTCCCACCAGGGGTAAATGTTATACTCTTTTGCAGTTTATAAATGAATCCTTAATTTTTATGTACTAGAAATATACTCAAATTCTTTACTTTTGATGTAGATTTATCGGACAACTCGTTTAGATTTAAATTTAGAGTTTTGTATCTCAAATCAATAAACATTATTCTTAAAAATACATTATAAAAGAGAGGGAGGTCTAATGCAGGGTCAACAAAAAAGAAAAATTTCAGTAAAGTTTCATATAACAGCACAGGATTTCAGAATACGAGCATTACTCATATTCATCCATTTTTTATTTGTTATAATATTAAAAATTATAATAAAAAAAATCTGAATAATACAATGTAATTACATTTACATTCAATTCATATGGAGAAGACATTGCATTAAGCATCTTTATTTTTTTGCTTATTTCTTCTAACACTACGTTTTTGGTTCTGTTTTACACTTCCAGCAAGTTTTCCTTGTTTTCGAAGTGCATGAAGCTTTTTGTTTTTCGCAACTACATTTGGCCTATTACTAACCGTCTTAGAACCACTTTGACTATACAAAACGTTGATCCTTCGACCACTTATTTGAGAATGGTGTAAAGATAATCCTTTCTGTAATTCAGAGAAATATGAAAATAAATGTTAATTATATTTATGACATTTAAATAATAGAATTATAGCCAGAACAATAAGTAATTACCTCGTAATCTATATGATTATTGAATTCTACATAAGCTATTCCTCGGGGCTTTTTAGTTTTTTGATCTAATGGAATTCTCACACTAGTTACATCACTCACTTTAGTAAGAAAATGTTTCTTAATATCATCAGTTGTCGTTCTAAAATAATAAAATTATTATTAAATAAATTTATTTACTTCAATTCTTTTTTTTTTTTTTGAAGAATTGAAATACTTACGTATAAGGAAGATTTCCGACAAACAAAACAAATCGTGTTTTTTTCTGACCATTTTTTGTATCAGAAGATTTTGGTGGATTTGTTTTATTTTTTCTGCTTTCTTTTTTAATTGACTTTTATGTGGAACTTTTTCTTCGTCCTCATCGTCATTTTCTATATCATTTGCGTCACTTTCTTCATTGTCCTCATCACTTTCTTCTTCATCTTGGTCACTTTCTTCATTATTCTCATCGACTTCTTCATCATCTTGACCACTTTCTTCATTTTTCTCGTCGACTTCTTCATTATCTTGGTCACTTTCTTCATTCTTGACAATTTCTTCAATTTCAATATTTTCTTCAGGCTCGATTTTTATTTTTTCAGTTTTTAATTTCTTTTTTGGATTCTGAGCATTTCCTTTTTTTTTATCGAACCTCTCATCACTAACAGATTCATTAGATTTAACTTTCAAGCCTTTCACAGTTTTAGCCGCACGTATTGCCTTTTCTGTTACATCATTTCCATCATCTTCATTTTTCAACATACTCAACACCCTCTTTTGAAGTTCTTTTTTTCTTAAATTTCGCTTTGCAGTTTTAGTGAGACCAGAAGGAGTAGGTGGAGGACGTTTCACATAAGTACCTTGCAAAATTTGTAATTTTTTTTTAAAAACAGCTAGCTTTCTTCGTGCTGTTTTACTCAAATTTTGTCTGTTACTGATGTTTTCAATTCTTTCTTTCAATTGTTCTTCGTTCAAGTTAATTTGCTCTGGTTTATACTGCCCAGATTCTCTTCTTCTTTCAGCTCTATTTGTTGGTAACTTTTCCTCAGTTTCCATATCTGCTGTATTTTGTTCAATAACTTCAGACTTTACAGTAACAACATCTTTTTCTTTCTTCTTATTCATACCTGACTGTTTTAATTTTTTCTTCATCTTTTTATTTGATTGACTCATAGTCGATCCATTTTGTAACTGATCATCATGCTCAATTATTTTCTTCTCTTTTTGAGTTTTGTTCTTTTTGGCTGGAGGTTTACCATTTTCATGTAGTTTTCCATTTACTTCTAATTTCCCAGCTTTTCTTTTTTTACCTTTTACTTCCATTGCTTCTAATCTACAATTTAAAAGAATTTTTATTTCTGATACGGGTAGAGTCTTTTTTAATTAAAAAAAAAATTGGCTAGAACAGAGTAGGTAAACAAAGTAATGCAGTAACCTTTCAATACAATATTAAATGTTTATCAAGAATTTAAAAAATTGTGCAACACTTTTCATTTGAAAATAATTATTTTTTAATTATAATAAATATATATTTTTCTAATTTATTAAAATATTTACCAGATATTTTGATGAAAGTCTTTTTCAACCACGTGCAATCGATCGGAATGATTAAATTACTAGAGACGTCTATATGTCAATTTTTAAATTAGAAACACGAAATGTCGATACTTGTATTAACAACTTTATTTATTGTCGGCATAGCAGTGATCACTGCAGGAATTTTTTCCTTATTAGTTCATCGCCAGGTGTCGCATTTTTGGAAACATGACGCCTACTCATTGGGTTTTACACTCTTAGTCGTGTGTAGAATAATTATTATAAGTTTTACATAAGTTTTATTATTATTTTATTGAACAAATAAGACAACAGTCTTTTGTGTACTTAATAAATAACGCAATTTTAAGACTGATTATCTAAAATGAATTTTAATCTTAACGACAAAGTGATACATTTCCGATAAGTATTTGACATCTTCCTGGATACATTAGTTTCGATGTTGTGATAATTAACGGTCTTGACAACCGTTCTGACAATGTTTGTGCCTATCTTTTTATTATTTAAGCAATTTCGTATCAGTTGAGCCTATAAAATGTTACGATTTTTATCGCGGCGGCGAGTCCGCGGTGTCAACGGACAAACTGCATCACCACAGATAAAAAATCAGCGATTATTGAGCAATAAAAATATCATTCAATGTCGAGTCATATTGTTGGATGGTACTGACTTGCCTATAGAATTATCTGTAAGTCTATTATTTATTATTATTCAACTATGTACTTTCACCGAAAACATTCATCACAAAGAAGTATAAAAATTTATTAATCAATGGTTCAGTATAAGATTCAATGAATTAACAATAACAGAATAGGTGTTTATAACATCAAACGCCTATATAAAAAATTTTTTATCTATGACGATTAGTTCCATAGTGACATAAATTTCATAATTATATCTATATTTTTTTTTTCTTAATTACAGAAAAAAGCCTTGGCTAGTGATTTATATGAACAAGTATTTTATAGTTTAGATTTGATAGAAAAGGATTACTTCGGATTGCAATACACTGATAGTAATAATGTTCAACATTGGCTGGATCCTACAAAACCGATAAAAAAGCAGATTAAAAGTAATTAATTATCACTTATAAATAATATTTTTGAATTTAATTTACCAACAAATATTAATTAAATTTTGTTTACAGTTGGGCCACCATACACTCTTCGATTGAAGGTAAAATTTTATTCATCGGAGCCTAATACTCTTCGGGAAGAGTTAACAAGATATCAATTTTTCTTGCAACTGAAACAAGACATTTTAGAAGGAAAACTTCACTGCCCTCATAATGTTGCTGTTCAGCTTGCAGCCCTTGCTCTTCAATGTAAGTTTTTTAAAATTATGTCTTATTAATATAAATTCATTTCGTTAATTATTAAAATTAATTATTTATGTTGATAAATCAAATTCACAAATTGTTTTTAACAGCTGAGCTCGGTGATTATGATTCTACAATGCATACAGCAGCAACAGTATCAGAATTTCGTTTTGTTCCTGGTCAAACAGAAGAAATGGAACTTGAAATTCTTGAAGAGTATAAAAATTGTTCAGGATTGAGTCCAGCTCAAGCAGAATCTTCCTATTTGAGCAAAGCAAAATGGTTGGATATGTATGGCGTTGATATGCATACAGTACTTGGAAAAGATGCTTGTGAATATTCTCTAGGTCTTACACCAACAGGCATTTTGGTTTTCGAAGGAACACAAAAGATTGGATTATTCTTTTGGCCCAAAATCGGTCGACTTGATTTTAAAAAGAAAAAATTGACATTAGTAGTAGTTGAGGAAGATGATGAAGGCAGAGGTGAACAAGAACATACATTCGTATTTCGATTAACTAATGAAAAAGCTTGTAAACATCTTTGGAAATGTGCTGTTGAGCATCATGCATTTTTCCGACTTCGAGCTCCAGTGAAAGGTGCCAGTGGGCGACAAAACTTTTTCCGTATGGGATCTAGATTCAGATACAGCGGAAAAACAGAGTTTCAGACAACTCAATTAAACAGAGCTCGTCGAACGGTTCAATTTGAGCGACGACCAAGTCAAAGATATGCTAGAAGACAAAGCCATGTCTTGAGAGAACGTCAACGTCATCAACCAGAACCTCAAGCACCTCCAGCACTAAGTACTGAATGTGAAATTCCTCTTCAACGTCAATCTAGCAACTCTGGCTCCGAATCTTCTGCAGTAAGCCTTCTTCAACCAACTACATCAACATCTTCACCACTTGTTGATTCACTGTTGAAATCATTAGCAAAAGATCCTCAGCCTCTGGAGTTGAAAAATCAAACTGCCAGTGTTACTACTCCGGAAAAAGAATCTGAGCAGATGAAAACTAATTTGATTGTTGAAAGCTCGCATTCTCCGCCTCCATCATTGCCAAATAATCAACTTGGTGGAACTTTATTACTTTCTGCACGTTCTCCAATACCACCAGAATCCTTGAAGTGCAATATTCTCAAAGCGAAGTCATTGGAAACTGAAAAAAATTCCAATTTAGTTTCTATCACTTCTACTGATAGTGGAGCCATTTGCGCAGTGAAAAATCATACTGATGCTGCAACTATAGTATCTGTGGTATGTTTTACTTAATTAACTATATTCTAATTCATTTAATGTGTCATCGTTAAGCTAGATATATTGTTAAGTTCTTAAAAATATTTAAGCGTAATGTGATTGTTTTGCTAGCTTTTTGATCATTCGCTTTTTTGCTTTTTTACACCCAGGGAGGAGACAAATTGACTCTAAATGTAACTGGTGCAACAACAATTAGTCCACCAACCGATGATACCGTTACTGTAACACATTTTTCATTGGATAGTTGGGGTCAAATTGCTCAGAAGACGACACCTTTCACTCCAAAACTTACAAATCAATCACAAAATCCATTCAATCCATTCACTAGTGATAATTGCACTGAAAGTCTCATGCCTATTGAAGAGATTAAGGATAACAAGTCTGATGAAAACAACGAAACTAAAAATACTAATCCATTTATTGACTCTAATCCATTTTTGGGTCTTTTAAATCCATTTAAAGAAGTGCAACCGATTTTAGAAAAAATTGTTGAAAATGAAGAAGAGACCAATGAATCTCTTACTATGGAAGAACCCATTGAAGAAGTGCCTTTATCACCTGTTCCAACATTTACTCGTGCGGTTAGTTTTTTTTTTTGTCAACGCTTGCATGCATTTTTTTTTTTTTTGAACTCTAGTATCATGAACAAGTTTATCAATATGAACAGCAATATATTTGTTTTCACGAATTATTGTAAAACGAGTCATAATCGCAATATCTATGCATTGATAAAATAATTGATATTTTAATTTTGGTAATAAATTAAATTTATTCTTTAGGAAACTTGTACTACTGCATCAGATATTAGTCCATGGTTGGTAGCTGATCCAGCGCAAACTGCCAGTAAAACATCGAAGCCGAATATCACAATGAAGACTGTAATAACTACGCAACTTTAATTGTTATTTTATTCTTATACCAGATGAGAATTTAAAACATATATGGTATTGGTTAATGACTTGAAGAATTTTAATAGTTTTACAGTTGACTTAACTTAATAGCAGATTAGTTATTGAGTTGATCAATTTTTTTATTCATTCCTTATTAAGTAGTACTGATTAATAGAAAAAGAGAAATTATTTTGCATTTAATGAAAATTTTTTATAAGTTATTGGGACCAATGGCAGCTTCATTTTCCCAGAAGCATTAAATATGTATTATTATTCATTGATGCAGTTGTAAAAGACATAAATTATACTTTTTTATTTTGTAATATTTTACAAAAAAAATTATATATATAAAAAATACAAATATATATTATTATATAATGAATAAATAAAAGTAAATTTTCAATTGAATTTATGGCAAAAATAATATTTATACTGAGTAAAAAAAAATATTTCATAAATTTTAATTATTTTTTTATTTAGAATAAAAATTAGATAAGTATGTATTATATTATAACATTAATAGTAATGACAAAATTTTACAGTAAAATTTTTTCTTAGCAACATCTAAATCCACACCAAGTACGGAAAATATTAGATTTTTGGTGTCATACATGTACAATCATTTTATTTTTTTAATTGAGTTGTAAAATTTTTTTTAGTTATTTCTTTTATAACCACTAGGCGTCATTTTTTGTTTCGTAAGACGATAATTGTTCACATAAGACACAAAGGATGACATGTAAGGAGAAATTGCATATTGCATGGACATAAATAGATAGCTTCAGGAAGAGTCTTATTATATCGTGACACGTAAGGTACTTTTCTTACAAGATATAGTATATGATAAATAATTATCTTACAGCACGCGTGCCATCATTATTAAACAAATAAAAGATTATGTAATCATGTTTAATAATAATTGAAATTTTCTTATTCTTAAATCATTTCATTTATTATTAAAATACACTTAATTTGCATTGTATTATCATCATCTCTAATATTATTTTCATTGGTTTAATAAATTATTAATGATAAATTCCTCATCTATAATTATTTAAAACAAGAATATAGTAATAAAAAAACTTGTCATGGCAAATTTATATTCCAAAAAAACAAATTGATGCCTAACAAACAGAGACAATAATTTTTATATTTACCGAAAGTACGTTTGATGTAATACAAAGATTAGAAAAACATTATGGAATGTGCATTTAATGCTGTAATACTAGTTAAATATTGTTAATAATGAAGAATAAAATATAAAGTAAATAAGTGACTCATAAAAATTGGGAAAAAATTAATTAACATAAGTATTTTTTTTTAATGACTTTGAAGCAAAAACATTAGTCATGAATTATAATATAATAGGCGATTTTGACTATTAATTAGTAATTAAAGCTAAATGATTTGTAAACAATCAATTGCTATTTACACCTTCATTACTGTATTTTTCATCATTATAGCTTCCTTCACTTTTATTATTACAGACTTCTTTTCATAAATGTTCAAGGATTGTATATCTTAAATGGCTGATTTACCTAGATTTATCAAATAAGATTGTTTCTAGGGTTTATGAAATGAGTTTCCATAGTCTTATCATGAACTCTATAATTCACTGTTCTAGTCTTTAATTATACACATGATGCAATAATATGCTATGCAATGCTTTCATTAACCAGCATTAATACTTACTAGGTTATTTAAACTGACAGAAAAAAATAATTAAGAAAATTGTATTTATAACCAATTCTTTAATCAAAAATATTTGATCGTATACTGTTTTAATTGTTTTTCTTTAAAAAGTTCGTGTTAAAATCAATTATTATAATATTATATTATCTAAATTAGATTATAAATGACGAGTACTAAGTAAAAAATTATTTATACTTTTATAAATTAAGCAATATTTTTTATGCTTTTGTACGAGAAAAGAAGTTCTGGGATAGTTTTGGAATTATTTTATACATTTATTTAATATTAATTAATAAATACCATTTATTTGCATCTTAATGAATTTTTTAGGTCGTAACTTTTTGGTTTTTCTTGTATTTCTATTTAAAAAACTATTTCACTTATTAAATTTATAAAAAAGCTGAAGCAGTTAATAAGATAATTTCAATTATATAATATCTTAAATTGAAACGTTTTCTAAAAAAAATTCTTATCAATAAATTTAATAGAAATTGTATTTAATTTTTTGTTCATTTTTTTCTTAATTCTAATATTGAATCAATGTTATGAATTTATTATAATTATTGGAGGAAAAATTTTATATAGCAATTTGTGACTGCCTACCTATAGTTTAAAATCCTCTTAATGTTATTGACATTGAGTAATATCTTAATAGCATGTCGTAAACATCAATTAATGCTGCATATCACTTGCACTCTTAGAGTGGTTACTTGCTGAGTTGTTTGCTTGGACATTATTTGAAGTTTCATCTGATATTTCTTCACTGCTGTCACTTCGAATATCGCCTTCCATCTAATAAACAAAATAATTATGTCGTGAGTCATCAATCGCCGTGTCATTGACCGATTAATAGAACATCGAATTGTTCAAAAAAAGCATACCTGGCCTGCATAAAATGCGTTATAAGCAATTTTTAAAATTAAACGTGTCCATATTACATGTAATATGAACAATAAAATTAATAATGAGTTGAAAATATAATATGCTGGAAACATTGGTACAATTTTAGGAGCAGCTATCGAAGTGCTGGAAAATTAAATAAATAATTAAATTTATACACTAACTTAGATATACTACATTATAAAATCTTAACATACTATGGAAATAATTACCTATGTATAATCCATAAAGGATAAATTCCCATACGTGTTATCAACCACAACACAGTAAATATTCCAAAGATAGCATCGCAAGTTTTTTGATAGCTTGCATACTTGGCCATTTTTGCAGCCTAAAGAATAACAAAAAATTACTTCTTACATAAATTTTTTTAATGACTTTATACTATACAAGCTATTAATAATCTTAAGAAGGTTATTCTAACAAATAATAATACCTTTATTAATACTACTGATTGGAAAAAGATATTCAGTACATTTTCAAGGCTCCATTGTATTAAAAAAAACTTACCTCTAAGAAAATATCTGCGCAATCATGCACAACTAGTACAAGAGATCCAATTCTCGTAAGATTTCCAACCCACGAGAAACACATGAGAATAATAGTAGCTTTGTGATGAATGAACATTTGCCAAAAGTCTTTTCTTTTTACATCGAAGAATTGAGATATACTCAAAGACCAATAAAAAGCCATAGAGATCATGTAATACCACCAGATATCATCTGTCACTGCATGGTACGGATAACCATAATAACAATGCTTGATATCCCACAGCCACGGTTTGTCCCATAAGATGACAAGACCGTAAATGAAAATTAGAACGTAATATAAACATCTCCAGCTATTTGTAAACAATAAAAAGCATTGTTAAAAAAAAACAATCGTAAATTTGTACAATAATTAGTCATTACTAGCTATAAAAGTAACGACCTTCAATGACTCAGAAATGCAACCAACCTGTTCTCACAAAATTTCGTCAGAGTTGAAGGTTTATCTTGAGATCTTCGTAATCTTAACCATCTTTCAACTTGCCTCTCTGACCAATCTAATTGCTTAGCTAATGCAGTTATTTGTTTATGTTTTATTTTTTTAGAATAAGCTTTCTCTAATAATGGATTCGGAACAGCTTTTTTAGTTCTCGTTGGTTTTATGCCAATAGATAATCCAAAAGGAGAAAAACAAAATCTGAAAAAATAATCAAAAAAAAAATTAGAATATAAAATAAAACTTGAACAAATCACGTAAAATTGGAGTTAATATTAAGTCAATTATCGTTCATTTGATTCAATGTTGAATATTATCTGAAATTGCAGAGTAAACTATGAGAAGTTTTATGTATAAAATTATTGATTGAACAGCATAAGTCTTTTAAAAAGATTAAAACTAAATTATTTACAAAAATTTTAAAGTGAAAAAATATGAATAAATTTTGTTATAAATTAACCGGGATTAAACTGATTATAACCTAAAAACTGATTGGGATTCAAGGTTATACTGAGATAACCTATCTGACCGGCAACGAGTCTGCCGGGATTTATGATTAACAATGCCTGTTATAAAATAATATCAATGCAATAATACTTACTTTTCTAAGGCATATCTCACTACTAGAAGTCCGAGAGCCATTGGAATGGGATATGCAAGGTGACGATAATCTGCATACTTATTTTCCGAATTAGGAGCGATATCATTCCAGGTTATATTTGGTGGTAACCAAACATCAGGCGACCAAAATGCTGATGATATATTTTTCAGGATCTCCATAATTAGGGATCCTGACACACGTGTAAAATTGATGTAATTTATTAATGTTTAATTCAAATGTTAGAAGTTAACACTTTTTTTTTCTGTTTCTTATTTTAATTTAGTAATCGTCTCAAGAAGATAAAACGACTCCACCCTGTTAGTAATATTCCAAGGCTTAAATGAACACTCGCCGTTATCGCCGTTTAATTATTAGCCAAGACCTATAGTACGTTTAAAACAGACTACAGTCAAGGAATACCACTCGAATAAAAAGATCCGAATCACGAGTCGTGAGCCGACTATGTCAGCGCATGATGTATCCCCATCCATTTATGAGTAATATGCAAAAATGATTTTAGAGAAGGAATAATTAGAAAATTAATACTATGATTCTGAAAGAAGAAATGTTCTTCAAAGGTCACATAACAGTATTACATCATTATTCACAATTTTATACATAATATTTAAGAATGCAACTGACGTTGACAGTACAACCCATGTTATTTGATTGAATATTAATACTGACTTCCGGGATTTAAATGATTAAAGTTTGAATCAATACAAAAAATAAAAAGTATTTCGAAACTTTTCTTTAAATTAACAAATAATTGAATAAAATTGGGATTTTATTAACAGGCAACGTTCCTATAAGTTTTAGACAATTCATTTACATTTTAACAGTTTTATAAAAAAATTGTTGTGACCTGGGTTCAAACCAGGATTTCTAATTATCTGTACATCGTCGCAATCTTTGGCGTAGTTAATCCGTTTCTTCGGATCAGTTTCTTTTGCGAGACGACAAGTAGTTGTTTAATGCCTGAATAGTAGATGTATCATGAGTACCGTCAAAGTACGGAAGAATTTCTTCCAAATTATGTTTCACGCAAAGTTGCTGTCAGAAGGTTTGGGTATGAAAGTTGTTATCTAGGATTTGCATCCTAAAAAACATGACACTTTATCACTTACGCCAACACAACATTTTTTTCAACAGTATTATATTTTATTCATGTTTTTTATTATAATTACAGAATTATTTACACAGATATTAATTAAAAAAATATTTTGCTTTAGATTATTTGTAATATTATTGACAAGTTTATTGAAGAATCATCTTGTTTCCTCATTATTAATATCTTTTTATCATACAGCACTTGAAAGAAATGTTTACAAAAATATATAAAATTTAATTATGATGGTTTCAATTATAATAAAATCATTTACAAATTCAACTGAACAATTTTTCACCATTGATGAATTTTTTTAAAAATTTTTGTAAAATATATTGAGTGACTGATTCAATAATATCCGCTGATAATTTATTACATACATATTTTTTTAATTATTGATATTGCTTTAATTTATTTAATATGACTACATCTTTTTTGTTACTAACGTTTAAAGCATGGTTGGAATGAAAGAGTAAATATCCTATATTAAGTATCTATCGTTAATTTCAAAGCAAAACATCAACAAAGTTTTTTCAATAAATTTATATCGTATGAAAACTAGAGTGCGTGAAAATATTTCGGAGTAGCATTGTATTGAGAAAAGAATTTTCTTATAACAAACAGCTCTGTTCTTTAAATTTAGATAAATAAATTTTACTTGATAGAATAAATTTACAACAATAATTAATAGTAAAATAGTTGCATCTTAAAAAAAATTAACATTCGTAAAAATTTGTATAAAAAAATCCTCTTTTCAATGTGGAAGCACATTGTTAAATTAATTTTTTTCATTAATAATCTACCATCCTCACGATAAAAATCTTTTAATCTAGTTTTTAATAGTGAGTGACATAAAAAGGCACTCGATGGCAACGAGTTTAGTCTTGAAGTAAGAAATATTTTACAAATGCCATAAGTACATTTCCTAAATTCTGAATAAAATTATGATAAAAATATCTTTTTTCTATAGTTTTAAAATTAAATAAATCTCTACAAAATTTACACTGTGTCTCACATTTCTTCCAATTTTATATAACATTTTTTAGTATTGTTTCAGCTATTGTTTGAAATGTCAATGTCAACTGTTTCTTCTTTAAGTAGTGCACGTTTATCTTCTTTAGCAGTGCTTTGTTTTTTTCCACCAGTTTTACGTTTACCTCGATTGATTACACCATTTTCATCATCCATCATGCGTAAAATTTGCATTTGGTCTGAACTTTCTATCGGAGCAATTGAAATGTCACGTACGGCACGGAATTTACCACAATTATTCAGATGTTCGTTTTCCAATCGAAAGAAATTCCATATAAATCTCCTGTTAAATAGTATAATTAGATGATTTTTTATTTTACAATAATTAAAATAAATTTACCTGAATACTTCAAGTGGAGCAACTATTGATGTCATCAAATCAGTCGAGACATATTGATATTCTATTAAAATATAACTTGCAATCCATATAAATCTCAAAATAAAATCTTCAATTATAGCAAAATAATAAAATCCCTACAAAAAATAGCAATGAATTATTCAACTCTAACTTTACTTCTTGTTTTAACTTACTGCAGCAGAATAAACAACTTCTTCACGTAAAAATCTATTTTCTCCAGCATTACTATCTAATAATCCCCAATCCATTTTTATGTCCCAAGTATATGAGTAAATTGAATTAATTAGACAGCTTATCAGCCAAAACCATAACCAAGGACTTTCCCATCTATTGAGATATTTTTCTATAAAAAAAAATAATTAAATGTTTCAAATATACATAAAAACTTATTTTACTCCAAATGCAATTTACCTCCATGATATTGTCTTAAAGTAGCAGCAATAACAACTAAAAATGTCGTAGCATATTTCCCAGCATTTACAAGATGGGGAAAAGCTTCTTTAGAATCTCGATATCGCCGTAAGCATTGAGCAAATCGAAACCATGCTGGGAGGCAATTAACTATTGGTCGAACTATGAATGATTTCGACATGCATTGAGTTGTATCTCCGGCCTGAAGCCAATTTCCATTAGTAATATAAAAACAAATTAAAAACTGGAAATCTAATAAAGGTGTCACGAGACTGTTCAATTGATCCGCAAGCCAGAAATCAGCAAAATTGACAAATGCGAATGGAGCAATTATCATTCGCCACTAAAAAAAGAAGAATGGTTAAATTGTTTGTTGTTAATAATTTATCAATTATAAAATATTCTATAATGCTTACTATGATTCGTAATAACCAAAATCTTGCTTCGTGTCTAAATATTTTAAAAGGATTAAATAAAAATCCAAGCATAATACAAACAAGTACAAGTGGATTTACAAATGGAGGAATACTGAGACTTGCACTATATAGAAAACTGAGTAAACTTAAAGTCCAAACGACTCCCAAAACGGCAGCTAATTCCATAAGATGTTGCTCTGACAAATGATTTCTTGGATCCAGTTCAAATATTAAAACATGATTGACACCAGATGATCTCCAACCGTAAACATTGACTCCCATTAAGAATAAAAATTGGACGATAAGTAATGGACCCCGATACAGACGAAATGCTATCTTCAAATTCTCTCTGCCATCGTGAAAAACAGCTGTATAATAATAAAAAATAAATAATATAATAAAGTGATTTTTATAAAGTAATAAACAAACGATGGATAGTTACCAGAAAGTACTACAGCAACAAATAGAACAATAAAACTTCCAGAAAAAAGACCAACTTTGAAAGTAGTCCAAGGACTTTGATGTTCTCCAAGTGGAGGTACCCTTAATCTTTTCATGGCACGTTGTCTGTCTCCTCCTTCCAATTCATTTGTAACAGCCGCTTCCGTTTCTTGAATTAATTTATCAATATCCTTTGAGGTATAAAAATGAGATGTTTCTACACACTCCACCCTCCATTTTGATCCCGAATCCACTGACAAAAGCTGAAGGACATTTGGTCATTATTAGCTCTGTCAACTACTGCTATTTTTAATAATTATATAACATATATTACTCATTACTTGGTTTAAATTTTGGACAAGAAATGTACTGCAGGACGATTATGGAATTTTGGGTGATTTATACAATTTATTCAAAAAAAATCATGCAAAGCTATAATAAAATTAGCACAAACACGAAAACATAAAAAGGTTCAGGTAAAAATATGTGAATTAAATAAATACCTTATCGTGTTTTTTAAGTATTTTTCGAAAACCTGTATAGTTTAAATTCTGATAATTTTGGAGTAAAATTAATGATAAATAATATTCTGAAAAAGCAAGCTTCAACTCTCGAATTTTTCTAGTAGAAAGTTGTGCTTTCGTGCTTGACATTTTTCCTTTATTTTTTCCACTTCCTCGTTGAAGGTCCAATGCTCTTCTGAGTTCACTTTGAAGAGCAGCATATTTTCTTGTTGCTTCTGCTAACTTTTCTATAAAAAAATTAATGAATGTATTAATAAAGGAGTTTTTTATTGATAATGTAAACAAGAAGTTTTCTGACATACTTACCAGAATAAAATGTATTGATTTTTTTTAATTCACGATCACAGAAAGTGAAAAATACTTCGTCAAACGATGCAAAGTGTCTTGTAATTACTTCTGGTTCGACACTTTCAGAGGAAGGAGCTTCTTCGACAGCTGCATAAAGCATTGCTTTCATTTCCTGTTAAGTAGAAAATAAGATTAAAAGTAACAATATTATCAAATATCGAAGATAACAAATAAATTACCTCATAGCTAATATATTGTTTTCTCCATTCTGGAGTAATATGGGCAGACAAATGTTCAGCAAATTTCATTTTGCTGGTGAACTTTTCAACTAGTTAGTTAACTAGAAATAATTTTTATATATATATGACATATTCATACACTAGAAATTTTTTTAATAACAATGAACTCTAGAACTTACTTTCAATTATAAGAATTCTAACTGAGAAATAATCTGCATTTATAATCTTAGAAAAGCGTTTGTCGGTGTCATAATTACAATCATTAAGTTAACAATAAATATTGATAAAACTCTTCAAACAAAAGGTATTCATTATTGTTTTATGTATGTTAATATATAAAAATAGAGTATTAATAATTTAAAAAATAAGATGAAAAGCAAAATTAAAATACTTGAATTATTTTATGACTATTATCAATTATTAGAAGTGATATGTTGGTTATCATTCACGTGATGTCTCATCGAAGAGAATACCACTCCACTAACGATATTTAACTTGAACACACTAGATTCATTTTGATTAATAAAATAAACTTGGTTTAACCTCAGACAAATCTTTGTTTGAGATCTATATTATACCGATTATCTTTGTTTTGCAAGAAGCCTGAGATTTCGCTCTGATCAGCAGTTATCACGACTTTTTATTGTGTCAAATTTTTTCTAAATTTGCTTTTACTTCTTTACTAAGATGTAAAGATGTCGCTTTTATAACATTCTTGAAATTTCACGATGTGTTATTATTATGGCAACAATGACAATTTGCTGCAATAAATTCAAAAACATTTTTTTAAATAATTAACTTTTTTTTAACTACAACAAATAGTGTATGGGTAAACTTTAAAGTACTGGTAAACATTGCTGATTTTTTCAATACACACTACAATATATAATATACGATATATTGATATATTTTTTGAAAGTTATTCAATTTTATTTAATAACAAAAGAAGACAGAAATTATACAATAATTGTTTTGATAAATAATTTTCTTATTACAATTCGATTCTGTTGAATGAGTGTTCACATCACTCTACACTGAGATGATGCACAGCATTTTCAGTTAAACAATACATAATGTTTAAAATAATTTAGCAGCAAGAAATACATGTATTTTTACAATGTTGATCCAATTTTTTAGAGAATTGTATTTATACTAGAATCGAGTACTAATCAATTTTATTTAATATTTTAAATTATTTGCTGGGCAATCTTGTAATGCACTCAGGTGGTGGTGGTGGGAGTTTCTCAACTGCATTCCACCAACTGCAAAAATTAATACAATAAAAAATTTAATTTAATTAATCCTATAAGAATAAAATTCTAATGTATTAATATTTAAATAATCAAAATTAAATAAAATAGAATAAGAAATATAAGAAAAATCATTATGAATGATTACAATGGTTGATGTTCATGCTTGAATCTTAAAGCTATTACAAAAATTCCAGCTGCTAGGTACACTGGAATAAATGGAGTTCCAATGAGTGCCATTTTTTCGAATTAAAAAACTGAGAAGTTAATAAATAGAGGACAAAATTGTCTTTCTGTTAGAAAATTATGCACTATCGGTGAACATAATAGTACTGAAGTATGTCTGATCATTAAAAAAAGTGGTACCAACTGTATAAAATAATTTGACAGGCAAGACAACTGTATACACAATGAAGTGATCAATTTTTCCAACAAGAAGCACTGAAGAGCAACATAACCTCAGCATACACATGCTGGCACGTGTGAATTGATAATTTTCAAACATATGAGTTTTGTATAAAATAATTCATGAATTTGTTTAGTATATTGTAAGTAAATATTACAATAAAATACAATGGCTTTATACAACTTTAAAAAAATTACCGTCGTTCCCACGGCAAAGGTAAATATATCTTTTCAAATATTCTATTTGTATTTAAGGTTATCATAGCATTACACTATTTAATTTTTTCTTACTAATATATATTATTTGCTAATTTAATCATTAAATTTATAGGATTTCATCGATATAATTTTATCGAAAACTCAAAGGAAAACTCCAACAGTAGTTCATAAACATTATAAAATTTCTCGAATTCGAGCCTTCTATACTCGTAAAGTTCGATTTACTCAACAAAATTTCCATGATCGTCTTTCTCGAATTATTCAAGAATTTCCAAAGCTTGATGATGTTCATCCATTTTACGCGGATCTAATGAACGTTTTATATGATAAAGATCATTATAAATTGGCATTAGGGCAAATTAATACTGCCAGACATTTAATCGACAAGTAAGTAACTTCAGTTGTCTTTTTTTTTTCAAAAATTTAAACGATTTTTTTTCTCTTGAAGTGTTGCAAAGGATTATGTTCGTTTGTTGAAATATGGAGATTCTTTATATCGATGTAAACAATTGAAGAAAGCTGCTCTGGGTCGTATGGCTACAATAATGAAAAGACAAGCAGCAAATTTAACATATTTAGAACAAGTTCGTCAACATTTAGCTCGTTTGCCGACTATTGATCCTTACACACGTACAATTATTATTTGTGGTTTTCCAAACGTTGGAAAAAGTAGTTTTATCAACAAAGTAAGTTGAAACATTGTATAACAACTATTAATTTTATTTTTGTTGTTATTAAATTCGATTTTTGATTGATAGATTACACGAGCAGATGTTGAAGTCCAGCCTTATGCATTTACAACAAAGTCTCTTTATGTAGGCCATACAGATTACAAGTATTTACGTTGGCAAGTAGTAGATACTCCAGGAATCCTAGATCATGCATTAGAAGACCGTAATGTTATTGAAATGCAAGCAGTAACTGCATTGGCACATTTACGAGCAGCAGTTTTGTATTTCTGTGATATTTCGGAGCAATGTGGTCACTCTTTAGACGAACAAGTTAAACTTTTTGAATCAATTAAACCTCTTTTTGCAAATAAACCATTGATTGTTGTTGTCAACAAAGTAGATGTCTTACGTCTTGACGAATTATCACAAGAAAAACGTGATGCTCTAAAAAAACTCGAAGAAAAAGATGTTGTTTTAATGGAAATGAGTACAATAACAGATTTTGGTGTTATGGAAGTTAAACAAGAAGCTTGTGAACGATTATTATCTTTCCGAGTAGATCAAAAAGTCAAAACAAAAAAAGTAGAAGGGTTATTAAATCGATTACATGTTGCTGTCCCTACTCCAAGAGATTCTAAAGTTCGTGCACCTTTTATTCCACCGAATGTGGCATTAAAGAAACAAGCTGCTGCAGAAAAAGCTGAAAAGAAACGTAAATTAGAACGAGATATCGAAGAAGAAATGGGAGATGATTATGTTTTAGACTTGAAGAAAAATTATGACATAGAAGGAGATCAAAAGTATGATATTATTCCTGAAATGTGGGAAGGTCATAACATTGCTGATTATATTGATCCTGAGATCTTCGAAAAACTTAATCAATTAGAAAAAGAAGAAGATATGCGGATTGCTGCTGGTATGTATGATTACAAAGTTCCAGAGCTAACGGAAACTATGAGAGATATTCAAGAGCTGGCCAAACAAATTCGGGAACAGAAAATGATTATGAAAGAAGAGGCTCGTATCAATAAACAGTCTACTAAACCTGTAATGCCACGAACAGCAGCTGCAAAAACACGAGGTAGATCTGTCACAAGATTGAGAGAGGAAATGGAAAAACTTGGTGTCGATATGAATGATACTGAAAATGCGCATTTCACTAAAACACGTAGTAGATCGAGATCTGCATCTGGTCCAGCAAGGAAACGGCAAAAATTAGAATCTTCATCTCAGTCAAGAGCTCGCAGTGTTTCTCGACCTCCACGAGACGATATGGGTGTCAAGGACGTTGTAGTAAGTTCAAAATATTTTTGTCTAGATGACTTAATTAATAATATCAAATTATTTCGGTGTTTTATTCATCTTTTTTCATTTTAGATGAAGCACAAATTGAAAAATATTGCTCATAAAGCAATAAAGAAGAAGGTTGCCAAGAAGGGTCTAAAAGGAGAAGCTGACAGATTTATTGGAAATAAAATGCCAAAACATTTATTCTCTGGCAAAAGAGGAGTTGGAAAAACTGATAGAAGATAATCCAATTTATTCAAAAGTTATAATAATTATTTTCATTAATCAATTAAATATATCTGAATAAGCTTAAAAATTTTTTATTCGGTACAGTCTTTATATTTGTAATTTTTATATTCCAGATGTTTTCAAAATTATCATTGCATAAGAAAATGTTCATACCTAAAAATTCATTCATTCAATTTTTATTGAAATATACTTCTATGCAAAAGGCTGCTTTATATTTACTAATAAACGATTTTTTTCATTCAAGTTGAAAAAAAAGCTGTAATAATTGTATTTCCAGATGAAATGGTTAATAAGTATATTTCTAATTAAAATTATTCATTAATCACTAAGGAAGAAAATAATTTTCTCTGTATGCAATGGTAATATTAATATTTTAGATTCTTTAAAGTCAGTAGACGTGGAAGTGGAGTGAAGATAAGAAAATTAGTTTGATAGAGAAGGAACATAAAGATAACAAAAGGAAATGTTAGAAAAAAGAGAAAATTTATCGATAAAACATAAATAATGAATACGGAATTTTTATATTAATTATTGAAACAAAATGATCAGTTTTAAAGGAATAAAGTAAAAGTCAATATTTTAGGATATCTTGAGGGTTGGCCTCTTCTTCAGGGTGTCCATTGCCAAATAAGGTGTTTCTCTAGGGTTTCCGGTTTTCCGCTTGCATTTACGCCACCACTCGGTGTTTCTCCAAAGTATTCACCACGTTATTAGAGCTCTAGAGAGAGCTTTGTAAGTCAACGAATGCGTGCGTTTAAAATTATAAATCGGCCGTGCGTTGCGACTTTTAGTTACCAAAAATACGAGATGCATGAAACACGTAGAATAACGATTGGAAGTAATTGAAGTTTTGATTAAATTAAATCTTTAATTACACCCATGAATGGATTATTTTTTTAAATATATTTTTAAATAAATTGTGATTGAGTAATTTAAAAACAAAGCTCCTTCAAAAGGAAATATACTTGGTAGACCTTCGAGTTGTTTTTGTTTGGCTATCGGTAAGTTTCCTATGACTTTATCTAACGTGAAGTTTCTTAATTGGCGTTGAATCATACATAAAAGAATATGTTAATTGTCAAAATAATTGAATTTAATAAATTTGATGCTTTTAATATAATTCAATAATAACGTACATAAATAAGATCGAATTAGATTTTATCAGTAATAAATCAATGCAATTCATTAATTTCCTACTCTGGTATCCAATTTCATGCGTGAGAAGAATAAATGTAATTTTACCGTGTTAGTACAAGCCTCCAAAAGATTGTCCTACTTATTAGGCAATAAAAAAATTTTTTGAGGTTAATTTCATAATTTTTAAAGAATTATTGATATTTAAATAGAAAATGATAATTAAATAAATGAATTATAAAAAATTATAATATTAAAAAAATTTATATATCATATTAAAATTATCATGCATGTTTAGAGAAAAATTAACTTAGTCACTTTGTAGGTTATTTTTAAAACTTGGAGTATTTTTTTAATCAAATTTCATCATGAAATCAAATTAAAAATGATTGATTGATTTCAGAAAAATAAATCAAAAGATAAAATTTAGTATAATAGTTTGTATTGGACGTGAAAACGGAGTAGAAACATTTTATAACTATTACTCGCGGTTTTGGAGTTTTTTTTATTTTTTAATTTAACTTTAATAATTAAAAACGAATAATAATAATTAGCATAAAAATATCAAAGGGCTTGTGATCTTAACGATAAAGGAACATAGACAATTGGCAACATCGGTGTGATATATACGACATTCATGTTAACTCTCTCTGGCGCTATTACGGGTTGCATTGGAATCTTGGTTGATTCGAAAATATTCAGATTTTAGTCGTGTTCGTTTGGCATCCGAAGGGTGGGGAATCTATTTATAAAAAGTTTCGGGGGATGATCTACGCGACGCCCACGCCCGAAGTGGCTACGTAACGATTATTTATTGTAACAATAATGATTGTAGTTTAGTAGCCGGCGTAAATATTTGGATATTCCTGCGGGACGTGAGTGAAATTTTGAGGTTAAATCCATCGCTTCCCATATTCATCGTGTATAAATGCACGACTCCTTCGATTCTTAGTTTTTTCATCATATTTTTCATTTTATTATTTTCAATTTTTTATCTTTTTATCATTAATTGTTGATACTCCAGGTACAGGTATGTCTTTTCGTGTGGTGCGCAGCAGTAAGTTCCGCCACGTTTACGGAACATCACTTAAACGAGAGCAATGCTACGACAACATCAGAGTTTCCAAGTCTTCCTGGGACTCCACCTTTTGCGCTGTCAATCCAAAGTTCCTTGCGATCATCGTTGAATCCGCAGGAGGTGGTGCTTTCATCGTTTTACCTCATAATAAGGTAATTTCCTTATAAATTTTTATTATTACAAAATTAAATTTATGATTTGATGTATGCTAATTTAGTACTCTAACCGTTCAATCACTGTGACAAAAAGTGTTATTATTCATTTATTGATAATTAAATTCTATATTGTCTTTTCATGATTTTTTATTAATAATACTCAACTCAGTAAAATTAATTGTAACTATTCAATTATGATATATTTTCATGTGAAATTGGTGTAATTAAATAATTTATTATTCTCATTAAATAAAATAATTTTAGATTTTGATCTCTATTCAAAAAGACTATTCAATGAGTTGTTCATGAAGTTCACATAATGAAGTAGATGTATCAGTGATGAATCATGCCGAAATAATAAGTATTAATAATTGAAGTCCAGTCTTTGTCAGCCTTTCTAACATCTTAATAATGTTTATTATGATCTTTCAATATAAACTCTTGAAATATATAAAATTCATATTTTAAATGAAACAATAATTATTTAAAATAAATTAATACGGAATATACTTGAAAAATTTTCAGTTCTATTAATTCTAGCAGGATGAGTTTTTTTTTATTTATTCTAAATATGCTAAATTTTATATTCAATAAGTAATAATTATTTTATTATTATTATCAGTGTTAATTCGAAATTTCTATAATTATTTATACTATTAAAAAATATTCTTTACAATTTAAATATCTTTCTTTATCAGGTAGGCAGGATATCCGCCGACCATCCATTGGTTGGTGGCCACAAAGGTCCTGTCTTAGATATTGCATGGTGCCCACATAATGACAATGTCATTGCCTCAGGTTCTGAGGATTGTGTCGTTAAAGTATGGCAAATTCCTGACGGAGGAATATCACGCACGCTTACGGAACCTGTTGTGGATCTTCAATTACATCAAAGAAGAGTTGGTCTAGTATTATGGCATCCAACAGCTCTCAATGTTCTACTTACTGCTGGTTCCGATAATCTCGTTGTCATCTGGAATGTTGGAACTGGAGAAGCACTAGTGAAAATGAACTGTCATCCAGATGTTGTTTATTCTGCATGTTGGAATTGGGATGGTTCCAAGCTTGTTACAACCTGTAAAGATAAAAAAATCCGTATTTTAGATCCTAGAACTGGGGATATATTAGAAGAAGCAATTGCCCACGAAGGAAGTAAAGCAACACGGGCTATTTTCCTCAGGTAAATATTTAATTTACTTTTTTATAAAAATAAATTAATGGATTATTTAACTTTGCTAAATAATTAAATTTATTTGATATAGAGGTGGCCTTATTTTCACAACGGGCTTCAGTAAAACATCAGATCGGCAGTATTCATTAAGGGCCCCCGATATGCTTGGAGAGCCAATCGTTATGGTGGAATTAGATTCAAGTAATGGAGTAATGTTTCCTTTATATGATCCAGATACAAGTCTTGTATATCTTTGTGGTAAAGGAGACTCAGTGATACGGTACTTCGAGATAACGCCTGAACCACCCTTTGTTCACTACATCAATACCTTCCAAACACCTGACCCTCAAAGAGGAATTGGAATGATGCCAAAACGTGGCTGTGACGTTAACAGTTGTGAAATTGCACGGTTTTATCGTTTAAATAATTCTGGTTTCTGTCAAGTCATATCTATGACAGTTCCTCGAAAGGTTTGTTTCTACATTTTTTTAAAAATTAATTTTCTTGTTACTAAAATTGATCAATAGCGTATGACAAACTGTGATAACGATAACTTATCGTTAATAATTATTTTTAGTCTGAACTCTTCCAAGAAGACTTATATCCTGATACACCAGGAGATACTGCGGCTATATCAGCTGAAGAGTGGGCTGCTGGTACTGATGCTGAACCGATTTCTATATCTTTGAGAGATGGTTATCAACCTTCCACATCGAAAAATGAATTAAAAGTCACCAAAAAAGCTAATGTTCTTGGCAAAAGTACCAAAGTTGGAGCTAATGCAGCTCAAAATTCATCACAAAATAGCGGAGTTTCTGTAAGTAACAACTAAGATAAAAAAATGTATGAATAAAGGAATTGAAGTTAATAAATTTTCTCATTTATAGGAGGATGTCATTAAAGAGTTGAGAGATGAAATTAGAAAACTAAAAGCACTAATTATTAAACATGAAACGAGAATTCGAGTATTGGAATCAGCAGTGAGACTTCAAATGAAGGAAGAAGAGGAAAGAAATGAAAATAATGCTCCATCTGTAGATAGGGATTATCTAGCGGCGGATGAAGTGTGATTTCCTTGAAGAATTTTTTATAAAAATTTTAGCATGAAAAAAATTTTGTGATGTTTTTCTTTTAATGAAGAAAAGAAAAATATACACGAGAAGAATAAGAAGATCGTACTATATTTTGATAATACGAAAAATTCGTGTAAATATTAGATAGTTAGCCGAGTTGCCTTATATTCCGATCACTTTTGCTACGATCTTTGTTATTTATTATATTGTACATCTTAAATCATTGTGCCTAATTCTTACTTGTTTTTACTATCTTGACATTACTATATTCACTCATTTTTTAACAGCTCAACAAAGCATCTCGTTACCTGCTAATAATATCATTAACATAATCATGTTATTATATATGTAACGTTATTTTTTGAATTTTTAAAACCGTATATACCACTTAATTAATTTTAAGTGATTTGAGCACAACGAGTGACTCAATTTGTATAAAAATAATTTTTTCTTGTAAAATAATGTCAATAAGAGATAAATTGAAAAGTTTATTTGTTTAAATCAAAGTGCGATCTATTTTAAACATTAGTGCCAATGTTGAAAATATTTTTCGGATATTTTGTAAAAATACTTTTTATCTACATAATTTGAAATATCATTGACATCTTTATAAAAAATATTTAACTAGACTATTGAATGTTATCTAATAAATAAAAATTTTGTCGTATGATAAAAAAGTATTGTTTACCTTAATCATCAAATAATTTGTTCTTATTTAAAAAATTTTTTAATATTCCGTTTTCATTATTACTATCACTACGAGTGTCCTATAAATATTACTTACATTAGAAATAATTGAGAATATATTAAAATAAACTTTTATCATCACTAATGTCTCTTTATATATATATATATATGTCGTTCTCAAAATGTATAAAGTAATGTTAATATATTTAATTCTATTAATGAATTAAAAAAAGTACACATCAGTGAGCTACAAAAAAGACGGAATGGTGGAACGGAGCTTGCAGCTGTCTCCCTTCTTCTCGCACGGACGATTGTTCGACGTACGTTTAAACTTACGTACATGACCCCCCACTGCTAACAATCTTGAATGATCATCTCCAAGCTTCGGGGAGTTCTAGTCAGTACAAGTGTTCTACTAAAACGTAGCATAGCACGCATTATAACGAAAGCAACACGCGAGTGAGAAATAAAGTGAAAATCGTCAATACGATACTTGCTTGAATATCAAGGATTAAAGGTTGGTCGAAACTTCATACGTCGCAAATAAGTTTATGATTACAACACATAGAAAAATTTTCTAAAGTACTTCAAAACTGACATATTTATCGATTTTACTTGACTACTAATAACAAAATATTTTATAGAGTTTAAACAATATATTAAAACTATTAAAATTAGTGGAAATTAAAGTAAAAAAGACAAAAAATTTGCATAACGTCTAGACTTTGGCTAGACTGATTAATTAACTCACCACATTTTATCATCCTTCTTCGAACAATTTTTTTTTATTATTATTCTTTTAACTGAGTACTAAACTTGTCACGTTTTTCGATACATATGGAATTGTCAATGACAAAAGCGCGTTTTTAAGACCTGTTGCCATGATTGGGATATCAATGACTGCGTTTTAAAATTAGAATATAAAATATCAGGGCTGTATTCAACTGTTGAAGCTATTAACTAGACTTTGAAAGCTAAATTCTTTTGGCTAAATAATAATGGAGTTGAGAACCACTTAAAACTATTCAAAATAATTTCGAATTCGATGACCTTCAAAAATAATTTCAATAACTGTACAATGAATTTTCATTCTAACGCTAATTATGATTACTACACATGTTATTGTTTACGTCAAAATTAATTGAAAGAGTAATTTTCAAGAATATGATTGTCATTTACGTCAGTAATATATGATGTTGTAATTATTTCTAAAGTAAAAAAAAAGATCCTAAGAAAGTTTAAATCAGAAATAAAATTTTTTATACATGAGAATTATTCGCTAAATCTTATCAATTGATTCAAGATATCATGAGTATGTGGGAAGTAAAATTCAGAACGCAATAATACTCTTTTTGTATGAATAAAAAATATTGTAAATTCTCTCAATATCTTTTTTTAAAATTTTTCAAAAGATATATCAGCTTTTGCTGCTTCATAAAAAGTTATCATTGATGACTACAAGTTCAGATTTATTTTTCGCTAAATATAAAAAACTACAGTTATTATATCCTGTCGTTGCTGTAACTTGTGTCGCATGCATAGCATGTTATAAAAATCGATCGCTTGGTAAATTCCTTTCAATATTTTTTTTTCTGTTATCGAGTTTTATACATACTGTACACATACAGTATAATAGAATTATTTTCTCATGTTAATTTCATACTGATTTACATATGCTAAAAACTAGAGAACCATTTTTTACTATGTAACCTTTATATAAATTATTGTTGTTTGAGTTGACATTTTGGAGTTCTTTTTTTTTTACTTATTACTCATTTCTCTGATAAATACGTCAATTTTTTGTCATGAACCTTAAAGTAATGATATCATCAAAAAGTAAAGATAAAAATTTCGTAGAAATGACAAATAGTATCACAAAGGCAAATAAATATCGGTCATAGCAAAAAGTATTCATTTCACAGTACTTAATACTTATCTCAATTGTTATCAGCTCATTCTATAAGCGTACAAATTGATTTTTTAACATAACGAGATGTTTTTTTTCCTCCATAAAATTAATCCAAACAACCATAAAATACATAACCAATTGACAAGGTCGAATTTTTTAAATGTCTAATAAGTTTATATTTTGAAATTATCGTCAATGATTACAGCCATTATGATGGACATTATTTAATGTTTAATATTTTGAATGATGAGTCATTGTAATCTTTGTTTATTATCGTGATAAATTCACAAAAAATTTCTTGACGTACATGTTCTACTTCCGAAGATTGACTTTTTCATTAGTGTATATGATAACATAACTATTGTCATAATAAAAAATATATTTTATATCATATCTTTTATCTTTTAAAAGTATAAAAAAATCTTTAACAATTCATTGATAATTATCATGAACTCAATAACTAGATAATAAGTTTTACTTATTCCTGACCATCAGCTTGTATACTAAAGTATTATTTAAAAAAAAAAAAAATTAGTTACAATGGTTTATAGAAGATTGTGGTTTTTTTTTTTAACTTCAATATTATTAATAATCAATTTAAAAAAATGATTATACTGGTATGAAAAAAATTTTTAACTATCATTTATAAATTTTTATACATTGTACTCATTTTTATTTTAATTATAGAGGTAGTCTGTTTGATGCAAGTGTGAAGATAAAGTTTGTGTTTGTAATATATGTATCCATGTTGTAAATTTTTATAAAGATAAGCAAACTGAAACTTACTTTCGTATATTCTGTAACATTCTTCATTAATTTATTTATTGTTGACATACCTAAGAAGTATTACTAGAATTACAGAATTCGATAAAATTAATTTGAATACACTACGTATTCTCTGGACTTGCTCCGATTAATAGCGATGAAACCGATGAATAATATTGTCAAGGCCATATTATTCTTGGATTGATATGCTTGCTTATATATCAGCGATACTTGAGTCATAATGATAAAATGTCAGTACATCTGAGTAATGATAAGTCAGACTCTTAAAATATATTCTGTTAACAGTGCAAATTTTTTGCAATTAGAGTATAATTACTTTAAAATTTAATTGACTGATGTACTTGATGATTTTCTACCATTGAAAATAAAATATTCATCAAGATTCTTTTTTACTTTGTAAATTTCATTTCTAACTTATTTGCTTTTCAAAAGAATATAAACTTCTGTTTATTTAGAAATTTTTCAGCTATTTGATAACTATATGTACAATAAGAAGAATCATAAAAAACTATTGACAATATCTTATTTGTTGAATATATTTTAAGCCTGTAAATATCTTTTCTAAAGAAGATTTTGATAATATTGTTAGATAATAAAAGTTGTTATTATGTTACAGGTTGTGTAATTAAACTTTGAAATCATGGATCCTAAAGGGCCTGCTTATCAACAACCACCACCACCAGGATTTGCTCCTCCTCCTCCTTATTCACCCGGACCACCACCTCCTGGAATGCCTCCAGCACCAGGTAATGTTTAATAACATGATGATGGTGTATTTATTTGATAATTTTTTTTCTGTAATATTTTCAATCAATTTTTAATATTGAATAAATGATTCCAGGTGTTGTATTTGTTCAACAAACAGCAAGTACTTTCGGACCAGATCCAATGCGAATGACATGTCCTCACTGCCAAGCTAGCATTTCTACGAGGGTTGATACTGAACCTAATACAAAAACTCATCTTTTTGCTCTTTTACTCTGCATTCTTGGGTAAGAACAAATATCGCTTTAAAACTTATTTGCCATTTTTACTAGAAAAAAAAAAATACTTTCAACTCCAATTAAGTTGAAACTAAATATTATCAACAGCAATTAAAATCAAGGATTATTACCTTGTTCAGTATTAACCAGGAAACATTATGTATTACATCAGAATGTGCAATGAGTATTAACACGACCTCTAACGTAATTCATAGTTGGTATTCATACACGTCCGATTCTAGGAAAGAAAATCTCTGACGTGTCTGGATATCATTTGTGTGAACGACCGTTCATTTACCAAGAATCTATATAAATATATCAATAAATAATAAAGCTATGAATCTAGCTATAATAGAAAAATTGTTAAGGTGGCCCATTTGTTTTTATTATTTTGAAAATTAATTTTCTTCAGATAAATAAATAATGACAGTATAATATGATACTGATGTTAATTTTGAGTGGTAATTAACACAAATTATTCTCAATTGAAAAACAAAAATTAGAATAAAATGATCATAGAAAGGTTCATTTATTTTAAATGTGGCTATTAAATTTGAAAAAAAGCACCTTTCAAAAGCCTTTTTTATTATATAGAACAATTGTAACTACTGGTCTTATATTTTTATATCTGTAAAAGATAATTAATATATCCTAGAGTATTTTGAATACTAAAAATTTCCTGTTCATAAATTAGCTAATATTTTGATACCATTTTTTATTGTAGATGCTGGCCATGTGCTCCGTGCCCTTATTGTATGGATACTTGTTTGGCAAAGAAACATTATTGTCCAGCTTGTAAACAGTACCTGGGACAGTATGAACCTTAATGATGCCATCCACAAACTTACACATTTCATTATTGTTTTGCAATTCAAATTCTTTTGCAAGCGTATATTATGACGTCTCACGGAGAAAGTTGTTGCATATATTATTATTTTATGAATATAAATTTTCCATCATTATAAACTATACTGTAATTTATATACCAAAATATTTTATAAAACACCATTTTTACTGCACTGCAAGCAATTCTAATTGAATAATATGAAAGTAATCACGAAAAAATAATGGCAATAGCTTTAATGTTTATGAAATACAAGCAGATCGAAAAAAGTCTGTAAATGACTATTAAATGAATATTTTTTTAACTCCAAAGAAACTAGTATTTTACTAGTTAACGAATGAACTAATATTTTTAATATAATATATAAAAATAAAGAGAATTATATTAAAAGTTTGCAACAAAAATTCAGGGGATATTATACATATAGATTTTGTAATTTTTTAAACGTAGCTTTTTTAAATGTTTCAAAAATATTTTCTTGTATTTATTTTAGGTATTTGCGTTTATTAAAATTATGCATAGCTTTAATATATATTACTATGTAATAAAATATGATTAATTTTTAATAAAATTGTATAACTCGTAATTTCATATTAGAATAAATAAATTACAGCCCACTATTTTCATTTTTATGTTTCATTAATATCAAAATAAACCAATAATTATTTAAATGCTTATTATAAGACAAAAAATTTTTACATTCAATAAACAAAATTTAGTGTTATAATTTTTTTTTTAGTTATTCCTGTAAAAATTGTCAACATGTAATAAATTGGAGCATTCGTTGTCATCATAAAAATATACACTTGAATTCGTTGATGCCTGGTTTATGCACATAAACATTTACCGACCGCAAAAATATTTATTTTACATCTTGAGTTCCTAATCTATAATTTGTTTTATCATGGCAAATTTTTCGTTGTCTCTTGCATAATCAATATGGCGGAAAATCCTACGCCATTGGTGCAAAATTGACCAATCAAACACTACGATTAAAAACACATGTAACAGGTACAGTATGATACTACCGGGCAAATTAATTAATGATAAATTTCACAAAAAAATTGAATAATTTAAGTAATTGATTATCAGTGAAAAAATGAGATTCATTAGAAACTTAAAAAATCATTCACTATTTTCGGAGTGAATAGTTTTTAACTTCAAGTTATCAGAACATAAAATAGAGCATTTTTAATGAAACCAACCTCTTATTTGATTATAATAATAAACTTTGCTTGAAAGTAAAACTTTGTAGATTATAAATATTAGTGAATAATAAGTTGAAATTATAATCATAATGTTAATAATATTTGAGAAAACATTACTCCGAAAAGTGTCGTTATTCAAACGCTTTTATTCGAAACTTGTTGAAAACCCTCCTCTAATTTTACAATTTGACAATGCTTTAAAACAACAAATATACAATGACAAGTCAAACTTACAACAAACAGATGAAAATGGTTTTAAAACATTAAAAATTGCAATTTTTGGTCTGCCAAATGTTGGAAAAAGTACTCTGATTAATCGGCTTGTTCGTCGACCTGTAAGTATAATAATTTATTTTTTATCAACTTAAACAAATTCTTACATTTATAGTTTCGTTCATTTTCTAAAGGTATGTGCAACATCTTCAAAGGTTCAAACTACCGAACAAAAGTCTTCTGCTATATTAACAGAGAATAACATTCAGCTAATCTTTGTTGATACTCCAGGAATAGTAACCATGAAAGACGTAAAAAAATATGAACTACAACCCACTTTTATTTCGGATGTTAAAAAATCTGTAAAACACATTGATTGTGCTGCCTTGGTTCAAGATGCATCAAATTCTCATGCTGCACAAATTAACGAACGGGTTCAACTAACATTAGAACAATTGGAACCAACAATGAAAACAATATTGATATTAAACAAAGTTGATAAATTGAAGAAGAAAAAAGAATTACTGAATATAATTACAAGTATTAAAAATACAAAAAAAACTTTTCCAGATTTCTCAGACTATTTTATGATATCAGCATTAAAAGATGATGGAATTGATGACTTAAGAGTAAGATTTTTTTAATTTTTTTACAATCAGGATTATCTACAATTTCTTTTTTAACTCGTAAAATTTGTAAAAATGAGAATAATTGGTCTTTGAATGACCCACTCATGAAATCAATCATAATGAACAAAAACTAAAATTCGATTTGTTTCAGGAGTATTTTTTTAATCTGGCTATTCCAAGAAAGAAATGGAGTTATCAAGAAAACGAAATTTGTAGTGATCCACCACAAGTTTTGATACGACGTGCAGTTCGGGCGAAATTAATGGATGAATTACCCAATGAAATACCTTATGATTTAAAAATAGAAATAGAGCATTTTTCAAATCTTCCCGATGACAGCATTCTGGGTGTGATTGCTATTAAACCTCCTTCAGATCGAATAGGAAGATTAGTAATGGGCTTAAAAGGTAAAAGAATAAAAAAAGTTGTAATGGATGCAGAACAAGAATTATCTGTTACCTTTAGAAAAGCTGTAAGGATAAAAATTATTATTAAATTTTCAAATAATGATAGAGAGAAAATACAAAAAGACCTAGAGAAAAATTTGAAGAACGTATTAAATTAAAACCGTGTAAATACCAATGTTAAATAAACAAACTTTTTTCTAAAATAATTTGTTATAAAGCTATGTATATACGAAACATTACATGTAATATATGTGTATTGATAAATTAACTAATTGTACTTTACAATTGTTTTAAAATAACAATTAATTTTTAATTATCTGATAAGTGTTGTTATTATTAACACAAGGAAAAATGAGATCAGTATTTTTTAGATTCTCATTGATCCAAGCATCCGCTTTGGCCTCGAGTTTTAAAGTGAAAGTGTCACTCCAAACACCACTTTGTCCATTTCTCACAAAACTTCCTGCTGTTATGATATGACAATCTCGTAATTCCGATGAATTTACCATTGGATTATTTCGAAAATTTTTTATATCAAGGTATTCCATTAAATTTTGTATATCTTTTTTTTTGTATGATTTTCCTAAAAATTTTGAAACTTTCTGAATCGCTTCAAAAAAATTCTAAAAACAGAACAGAGATTTAAATCAATAATCAATTTTTATTAATAAAAAATTAATAAATACCTGTTGCATTTCTTCGTAAAACATAAATAAAAAATTTGGATGATTTCTTTGTGCCCAAGCTTCTTTTAGATGTTCCCAATAAGGACTCCAAGGAGCTAATTATTAATATCAATTTGTAAAGCTGATTTTATTTCTTATAAGATAATATATTATTTATTTTTTAATAATCCTTACTTAAATCATTTTGAAAATAATTCCAAAATTCTTCAAATGTTCCTTGATATCCTTGAGTCTTGATAGCTTTATTTAAGTGATACCATGAAACCGCAACATCCTTTGGATTTCTTGCAACATAAACAATTTTACATCCAACATCTAAGATTCCAGGTAATAAACTTAAAGGAAAATGAGATTTTATAAATCTTGGAGATGGTAAATCACTTAAAACTTCGTATCCTGATTGTGCTATTTTTTTACAAAGATTCTGCTTTTCTAGATCACCTTCATTCAGTTTTAAAAACTCTTCGGTTACTGCTGGGTGATTAAACATGCTGAATCTTTAAAGCAAAATTTAACAACATATAATAAATCAAGGAATTCGAAACCGTAAAAATAATTAGAATTTCTATGCGTATTATAAAAAATCTCACTCAAGAAAGGGAAATCGATCAGCAAGATATTTAGTTCGAGCAGTTTCAAAGTCAAGGTTGTTACTCAAAAGCCACACAAGTTCTTGAGTCCACGTGGTTCCTCAAAAAAAATTATTTGTTTATTTATAATGTTTACAATTCAAAGCTCATACATTTAAATTTAAGAACAGTTTTTTGTTTTGTTGATTGATTGATTTAATAATATCTTACCAGATCGAGGATATGATAGCACCCATGTATCACTAGGTCTAGCTTTAAAATTGTAAAACCCTTCACCTTGTTCAATGTATCGATAAGGGAAGAAATAGTTTCTCTCTCCAACTAACACCCATCCCGTTCTTTCCCCTTTAAATTTCTTTAACATTTCTTTGGTCTTTTGATCATCCAACATCTTATATTTTGGCAACTTTCTACTTTGGTCACTCATATTGATAATCACAAATGATTTTCGTTTTACGAATTCTTTTTCTTAAGAAAGTTGATGCTAAACTGATGCGGATTCCAGAAAATAAATCCAATGTAGTTAGAATATATACTACGTAGATATTTATGTTCAATAATGATTTGGTGATGAGAGAAAGTTAACTATGGCCCACATTCACTTCATTGGCCGAAGAAATTCTCATTTTCCACTACCTTCTTTTTCAACGTATATGAATTTTAATGAATAGTTATTCAATTATTCTAAAATTATTAATAGTAAAATAAAATAGTCATTTTTATTTTTAAAAAATTATGAAATATTTTATTAGTTATTTTTATGATTTAAGTTACAGTCTTTGATTGAAACTCTTAAATAAAAATGTATAAAATGTATCAGTCTTGGAACGATTATACAATAATCATTGGTAAAAAATACTATGGTGAACTATGGGCACTTTCGGAAGAATACACTAGAGTTATTTTATGTAAAATATTTTAAAAAATCTCTAAATGTTAAAAATTAGTAACATTCTAGTCCAATAACACTTTCAGTAACGGTAACTTTGTTATGTGTAGAAATATTTACTGGTGTTTGGACGTTTGATATAGGAACAATGTCAACTTCACCAATTCGGAAGCTACCTTTTTGGATTTTGTCATGAAAATCTTCAGTCTTATTTGACTTATTGTTAAAACTATTATTAGAATTATCAATATCCTCAGGATCACCTTCATTAGAACTCGTAGATTTTGAATTTCGTCGTTGAGATAACAAACTTTTCAATTCTGGATTAGTCAAAAAACTTTCACACCGTTTCGTATGCATTTTCATGTTATCGTGGCGATTAAATCCTCGCTGACATCCAGGACAAAAGTATCTATAAAAAATGTTTTTATTTTAATGACATTGTTTATAAGTTTTACCTCACAAAACATCACGAATTATTCGCAGTTCTTAGTTTAAAACTATACCTTTTTTCACTGTGAACTGCTTTATGCGCAGCTAAATGCGATTGTTGAGCAAAATCTTTATTACATACATCACATTTGTACTTCCTAATACCTTCATGTTTCAATAAATGCTCTTTTAAAATATGACTGCTTTTATATACGTTGGGACAAATAGGACATTTGTACTTAGCTTCGGAATGAACCTATCGAAAATGAATTTCAATTAGAATAACGAATGTCATATAAATAAATCATAATAATGGTCAGTGACTGAAAATATATTATCTTACATTATAATGATTGTGCAAAGCTTTTCTGGATTTCGTGCGTTTTCCACAAGTTTCGCATACATAGTCTTTTGAATGAATCTTATCGCAATGTCGTTGAAGAGCCTCACTACTTGTAAAATGATGTGAACAATATTTACACATCAAAGCTTTATCTTTGTTATGTGTTATCATGTGTGATCGCATGCGTGTTTTGGAATAGAATTTCTTCTGACAAATATCACATGTAATATCCTGGAAAAAAATAAACAAATAAAAAAAACCATCTAAAAATAATTGGCATGACTACTGAAGTACAATTTAGCATCAAATTGAAGTTAATTTCAAAAAAATTAACATTGAATTAGATATTAATTAATATGCTATATGTTAACTAATTTAATTAAAAACTTGACATGATAATAATGATCTTACCTTAACAGTTTTATGTGTGGTAATATGGTAAGTCAAAACCTGTCGGCTAGCACTAGAAAAACTACAATCTTTGCATTGGTAAGGTCTAGCACCTGTATGAGTATTCATATGCTCTTCTAGCAATACTGCAGTAACAAAGCGTTTATTACAGAGATTACATTCAAAAGGTTTTATTTTTAAATGACTCTTTCTGATATGGCATCTAATGTTTGTCACTGTAACTGTGGCAAAATCACAAGCAGTACAGCGATAAGGTTTCATTTCTAAATGCCCCCAAATGTGAACGTGACACTTATCTACTCGTGGATAAGTAGCATTACAGACTTTACAAATAATTTGTTTCTTTTCGTTGATATAGTAGTTCTTCTTAACAGTGTCTTCGTTAACCACTGACATATCCAGTATGTAATATTTTTCAATGGCTTCTTTTTGTTCTTGACTTATCAAATCTGATATTTTTCCATAACTCGAACTCTTACGACGTTTCGCATTCGACTTAGAATTATTATCGTTATTAAGTTCATCTTTAACTAAACAATTCGGTGATTTGTCCACACTTTTACGAGCTTCATCTTTGGAAGGTACAGGAACTGAAGGTGATAACGAAGAGATAGATAGATGGAGTGTGAAGCTTTCTTCACCTTCATCTCCTTCAGTAGTTAATGGGGTTGAATTTTTATTAGATTTAGTTAAACCTTCTTGGCTCTCTATTAATTCATTCGTTTCTTCTCTACATGAAAATTCTGTTAATTCTTTTTCAGGTTTTGTAGTAGCAGGTACTTCTAGTTTTTTAGCGATATCTTCATTTTCCCTCTTATCTTCAATTGTATTGTTTTTTTCATTTTTTACGTTTTGTGCTTTGAAAATGTCTGTTAGTTTTTTTTGCTCAATTTTTCGAATTTTTCTCATTCCAGGTGGACTTTTTCGAGTTCTTTTAAACCCTTTAGTAGTAGCAGGAGTAGAAGTAGTGGCAGTAGAAAAAAGTCCTCGGGATATTGGGGTCTTATGACGTTCACGATGTTGATCCGTAATATCAACAAGAACATTTTCATGAGATCGTCGAGGTGCTGATTCTGAAACCTGATTCTCTGATGGATTATCATTCTCATCGACAGCAAGTTTGGGAGAAGAAGTTAAAATATTCAAAGGATCTGAGTGATCTAAAGATGATCGTGAATTATCAACTGCTTCATTTGATGGAATTACATTTTCTTTGTTTGAATCATCATCTTTATTAGGATTTTCTTCTGTAAAATTTGAACTTTCATCTGCAGTTGGACTTGATTTCTGAAGTTCTTCATTCTAAAATATTCAAATGACATTTATTTATTAATTATATCAAAAAAAAAATTTCGATAAAAAGTTACCTTTTCTTTCAACACTTCTTGAGTATGATGACATTGTTCATAAAAATCACATAAAAATTCCAGAGTTCCACAGCAACGCATACAAATGATATGAGATAAGTCATCATCTTCTTGAATCTACAATAAATTTTTATGCCAAATCATTTATAATTCACATATCTTCATTCTCAAAATCTGAATAATTTTATTAAACTATAAAACAATACGATTGATAATTCACTGATTTGTATCAGTAATATGAAAATATTTAAAAGTAGAAAGAAAGAGTTATTTAAAAACTGAGATAGAAAAGAAGAAAGTAAAAAACAACAATAAGAGGTAGAAAAAAAATACACACAAATGCTCGAAAAATATGGTAGTTTTTATTCATGTAAATAATGGAATTGGTAAATGAGCATATTTATTTACTTTTTATACGATAGAAAACTAATGCTAAATATTCTTCAATGTTTCATAGCATAAATTATTCCCAAATGGAATACTTTATTATCTATTATACTTATTTAATGTCTACTTACATTGTACAATGGTACAAGCTTATCATTATAATTATCAGAAATTCAATACACAAGTGTAAAATTATTGCTTTACTTATAAGATGTCGTCAGTCTTAAGACTATGGACAGTAAAAATACAGATTTTTAAAAAAAATTTTATTTATGATTGTCTGTCCGATCGACATTAATAGAAAGGCACTCTTGTTCCAATAGTATCACTTTATCGCACAAAGCTTTGTGAATAGAAAATATACATTTGTATTTTTTAATGAACTTTTTTTCAATATTATATAAATACAAATGGATTGACCATTTTCGTACTTTCAGTACAAACTAACGATAATTTATTAGATATTTGTCGTTTTCATATCATAAAAATATAAAACTATATAATTTTCACAAATTATTTAACATGAATAGTAATTTTAATGATTTAATTTTTATATCGAAATATTTTCATGATATATAGATTTGTATAAAGATATATAAAATATTTAATTTTGCCAAAAATAATTCATTATTTTGGAAGCCCTGACACTACGCTTTCAATTTTGAGCTTAATTCCATGATAACAACTCATAATATCAAGAGGTAAATTTTAACCAAAAAACTTTTTTCATAAAAAAAAGGAAGAATTATGATTACATGATTATTAGTAATTTTAACAGAAATATAAAAGTGAACTATAATTGAAATTAAAAAAAAATATAAACTGATATAATAATCAAATTTAATAGTTTATTTTTAACTCATAAAAATCTTAAGTTGTCTTTTTTTTTTTAAGAAATAAGAAATTAAAAACAAATTTAGTTCTGTTAAAATCAGTAATAATGATTGAATAATTTATTTTTCATTCGAATCTGTAGTGTCTGGAGATGCCGGAACGGAGCTATCAGGTGCTCCTGGTTGAGTTTTGTCAGTCGTTACAATTCTCCCCGATTCAGCAAAGTGTCTCTTCCTATGAACTTTCATATTATCACGTCTATTAAATTTTCTCCCACACTCCGGACACGCATGAGTCTTTTCACCATGAACATGACGATGAGCAGCTAAATGACTTGCTTGAGCGAAACTTGCTCCACATTTTTGGCACACATGTTTTCTCAATCCCTCATGTTTAAGCAAATGTTCATTGAGGAAAGCTTTAGATGCATATCTATTATTACAAATATTACAAACAAATGGTTTAGGATTTGAATGTTGAAGAACATGAGCTTTGTATTTAGACGCTACTTTGAATGTTTTAGAACAAATCTCGCAAGTATATGTAGTTGCATGTCTTGTTTTTATGTGTTCATTTAATACAGATAAACTTGAATAAAGATTATAGCAAAAACGACAACGAAAATTTCGTCGATTTTTCAAATGAACACTTCCAATGTGACTGAGCAATCGTGTTCGAAAAGGGAATACTTTACCACAGTATTCACAAGCAAGATTTTGAGGTGGTAAATGTGATTTTACGTGCATCTGCAATGAGACTTTATGGTGATAGCTTTGTCCACAATCAGAACATTGATAAGGTTTTACTCCTTTATGAACATTATCGTGTTCCGTTAAATCAAATTTGGATCTAAATCTTTTTGGACACTTTGGACACTGCATTGGCCTTGGATTAGTATGCGAGCATCTGATATGTTTCATAACATCAGACTTACATACAAATTTAGCGCTACAAAGTGTACAAGCATATTGTTTGATACCAAGATGAGTTTTAACATGAACAGTACATTTGTCTCGTCGTTCATAAAATTTACGACACAATTTACACGCATATCCACTCTGGCCACCAACAGTAGCACATTCTACATTATCATCAACACGAATTTCTTCTCCATCAATTCTAAAAAGTTCTTCAGGATTTCTTGAAGCCACTCCATCGAGATCTCCGCCTCCACTGTCACTAATGCTTGATAATTTTTTTTCTAATTCTTCTAACTCTACAGTCCTCATTGCTTCACTGTCTTTATCTTTTGTACCTTTTCCTTTCGCAATTGAAGTGATTAATTTATTAAGCTCGGAATTATTATCGTCTTCTAACAAATCAATAATCTCCGACCCAACTAAACACGAGCCTTGATCAGGAAATACTTTAGCCAGTACGGTAACAACTGATTCAGATTCTTGTTTCTTTCTCAATTCTAGAGTAAAACTTATATCTTCAATATCACCATTCCGGTTTTTTGATTCTTTAACTGATACTTCAACATCTGGTGAACTTGATACTGCAGTTAAAACTTTATTTAAAGCTGATGTTGGAATTTGGATCATACGTTTCTTTTCTTCATCTTTATCCTGCACAGAGTCACTATTTTTGTCTACTTCTGAATTCACCACCGTCCTACTCTGATTTTGATTTTGACTACGGAGTCTAGTGACAATAGAAACTTCATTAGCCTTTGGTGAAGACGTAGACGTAATCTTATTAGTAACAAGAGTAGAATTTTTAGACTTTGGTGTTTTTTCAACTTTCGAACGCGATTCAGTAGTATTACGACTTCTTAACCATCTTCTATTGGGAGTTTCTTGAACTTCATGTTCATTGATAACATCTTTGTCACTATTTTTAGCTCGATTCTGTGGAGAAATTCTTGTAGATCTCTTAGGCTTTGTATTTTCTGGATTTTCAATGATATCTTTAATATTCTCATCCTGAGATGGATCCACATTTTCAATATCCGCAGTTGAATTACGATTCTTATCAGTACTAGTGTTATTGTTATTGGTTGATGTACTAGGTGGTGGAGCAAGTAGTGATGACTCTTCATCTTTCAAAATTTCTCGGGAATTTTCTTCATCCTACGATAAATCGAATTAGATGTACCAGTAATCTATAAAACCTTATTTAAGTCAATTTTTTAAATATTCTCTTAATTTTTAAATAAGAAATTTATTTATAATATAAAAAATTAAGAGAAATTCTTAGAAATATTGACTTTATTTATGTCAAATCTTAAAAGAGCGGTAGAGTATTTAAACGAATAAAAAAATGAACTTACGACGTCTGGCAAAGGCGGTAGATCATATTGATCACGCAACAGTCGTTGAGTTCGAAGACACTCCTCTTGGAAGTCACAAACAAACTCGAGTTTTCCCAGACATTGAACGCAGATCGTCTTGGGTAGAGGATCCGTCTCATCTATCTACGATTTAAACACAATAACTTGATAATCAGAATTTTAATTATGTAGTGAGCTATCGTCAACATTAAGGGACTGTAAACATTACTTTCTCCCACTGTTTTATTTAAAAACCCTACCGCTCCATTACAGATACACCAATCGTTATTGCAAGGTTTTATAGGCTTAAGCAAGTTTTTAACTGGTTCACCTTTTCGATTATCATATTTTTTGTTAAATAAAGCAATCTTGAATAGGATATTCGAGTTATTTATGAATTTTTAAAAGTACTCTAATTAATTTTGTTATTTTGTTTTTATATAAACTCATTATTTACATGAAAACGTTGATTAATTAAAGTATATGAAAGTTAAGAAAAGGAGAACAAGTAGAGGAAAAGAAAGCAAGCAAACACAAAGAAAAACAAGTAAAAAGAATAAAACAAGATAATAGCAATAATAGCCTTAAACTAAATTATTGATAGCAAGCAAAGAAAATAGAAAAAAGCATAACAATAGCTATTAAAAATGGTGCAGCGTCGATGCTAAATTTTTCGACGCGTCTTCATCGGCATCGCCATCTTTCTAACCCTCTTTCCCTTTGTTTGAGTACCATCATTACAAATTAACATCAGTTAAATGAAAATTTACTAACATAAACTTACCAAAATGTTGATTTTATGATGTATCTTTAATCCAAGTAATCTTTTAGTGCCTTCTTCTCCAAAAATATCGATGTAAATACTCTCAAATTGTCCGCAAAGTCTGCAAACTTGATGATGCACTTGTTCAGGTAACTTCAACTCCATTTTTGCGTCCTATTCGATGATTTTTCAATAGACAGGATTTATCTCTTCAATATATTTTTTATATATCATTCCCAATTTGGCACAGATATTTTCATTTTTGACATTTATTTTAAACTTTTCTTCATTATTATCTTTGCAAACTCAAAAATGAATTTGCAAAAAATAAAGAATAAAAATCCAATGTGGTTATGGACTTCTGCATGTAGTTCAACTTTTATCCGTTATTTCATTTATAATATTTTTTTGCAATATTTTATTTTATGATCAGCTTAATAAGTAATAATTAATATTAATGTAAATATTAGATTATAAAAATAATTGATGAGGCACACTTGTCACTAAAAATTATTTGTCTCTAAATTTTAGCGTTCCTTTTCATTCCACACACCAGCTGCAGAGACGCAACAGAGTCGCTGTTGAACAAGTATCAAATTAGGATGAATGAAGTAACGCCAGCTATTGATTATTAGCGAGAACTATGCTCTCTAGACTTGACAAACAACGCCCTCTCAAATATGCCGCGTAAATTGAATTAGTTTAGAGATAAAGAAATTTTTAAGATGGTTGAAGGATAATTTGTTTATAAAGTTTCTAGTAAATATCCATAATTTAGTAAATGAATATAATTTTTAAATAACGAGGAGAACAAACTTGATGTTTTCAATATTTGATGTATAAAAATGCACTATTTAAATTCTATTTATCAGCTAGTAATACTGTAAATATTTATAGTTCATATACGAAAAAGACAATGGCTCCAAAAAAACAGTTAACAGGTAAAATACTTTGTGAGAGAAGAGAATTAGATCTACGAATAACTTTAAAAAGTGGCCAAAGCTTTAGGTTAGTAAAATATTTAGTAAATTATTTAATTGGATGTAAAAAGAATATCCCTGATTTTTAACCTCAAAATATTTTATGAACATTTTTTAGATGGACTGAAATTGAAAACGAAAAAAAATATCGAGGAGTTTTTGCTGGAGAAGTCTGGACTCTACATCAAGATGATCAGTTTATATATTTTACTGCTCACAGTTCAAAATTGAAGAACATAGCTACTTGCAAAAATGAACTTATAAAGTACTTCAATCTCCAACTATCTTTGAAGGAAAATCTCGAAAATTGGTCAAACTGTGATAGTAATTTTAAAAAATTTACTAATATTGTAAATGGAGTAAGAATTTTAAATCAAGATGTTGTAGAAAATACATTCTCATTCATTTGCAGTGCAAATAACAATATATCTAGGATCACAAGTATGGTAGAAAAGATGTGTCGCCACTTTGGTGAAAAAATTTGTTTAGTAGATGATCAATGGTACTACGACTTTCCTAATATTGAGAGTCTTGCTGTTGATAAAGTTCGAGATATTTTAACGACAGAAGGTTTTGGCTATCGTGCGCCTTACATCCATAATACTGCAAAAAAACTGATCGAATTAGGTGGAAGAAAATGGTTGGAAAGTCTTCATAAAGATCAAGGATCAGAATACGAAAAAGCAAAACAAGCGATTCAAATTTTACCTGGTGTTGGACCCAAAGTTTCTGATTGCATCTGTTTAATGTCTTTGGGGCATCTAGAAGCTATTCCTGTTGATACACATATTTATCAAGTAGCACGAGAGACTTATTTACCGGATTTAAAAAAAGTTTCTTCAGTTACTCCAGCCATTTATCAACTTGTAAATAATCATCTCAGAACTACTTGGGGACCTCTAGCAGGCTGGGCTCAAACAGTTGTATTTTGTACAAGAATAAATGGCAATGCAAGACGGAAAAAAGGAAGTAGTGCAGAAGAAAAGCCGAAGAAAAAAATTAAAAAGTGATAATTATTGACATTTTTTAAAAACTGTTTAAATACAATATTCCAAAATAGTGTACTGCACCATGTGAATTAATTTTTATGAAAAATGTTTTAACAGGTCGTTAACTGAAGTCTGAAAATATTGTTCAATTATTGAAAATATAATGTTTAAAATGTTTCTACTTTACAATATAGTAACAAATTATAATAAATGAAAATATTTTATTTTTCAATAATTATTTGTGATTCTTCATATTATTTTTCAGTACTGAGCAAATTAAAAACATATTTGCATGAGTCTTTCAATCCATTTCTTCAGTAAGATAAATACTAAAGAAAAAAACATGCTCATTTCTAAACTTTTTTGCACGAGATAACTATTAAGAATGCAAATGTTTACATTAATTTAAAATTATTACAATTTCGTAGATTGGTTTGTCGCTTAAATATGAAGTTCTGTTATTATTATCATTTGTGTGGCATTACTTATACTAACATACGCTGTTACCAACTGTATAATTTATTAGAAAGAATGAAAATAAACACAAACAATCAACTAGAAAGATTTTTAAAATCAAAACAAGGGATTAAGGAGTAAGAAAGAAATTAATTAGTTAGATCAAAAGTAGCAATGCATAAGTCTAAGAGGAAAACTCTCTTAATGTGCTGAATTTTTGTAAATAAATTTTCTTTTGTTCTGTTAAACAGACTAATTTCCGTATCACCAGCAATAAATAATAGTAAGAATATTTTTTTTAAATTGAAATAACACAAATTTAACTATTTTATCAATTAAAAATTAATTATTATCAGAAAAATTGGTTAACTTCATAAGAATACTATAATATATATTCAATTTTTGAATTTTTTTTTTATTTTAGACAACAATGAGCAGTGATGAAAGCTTTCGAGGTTTTGATACTATTTCAAGTACTCCTCACCCAAAGAAAATAATAAAAGAGCCTATTCAGAATTTTGCATCTCCATTAAAATTATCAGTTAATGACAAAATAAAAAGAAAAAAACGGCTTATTTCAGCTTCAAAGTATAATTTATTTACGAAAATTTTTTGTAAAATTATATTTATAATTTTTATCTATAATGATATGATTATTTTATAATGAATTTATTTAAATTATAGGCCAAAAAAAAGAAAAACTGAAAGTTTCAGTAGTACTGATAATGTTTATTCAAGTACTTTTCTCAGAAAAACAACTAGTAGTTCTCAAAGTTCTAAAAGTTCATTTAGACCAAATAAACAAAAAAAAATCAGTTTTTCGCCAATTCAAAAATTTTACACTATACCATCAAGACTTGAAGTAGATCATCTGCCATCTTCATCTGAAAAAGAGGAAAGTTTGAAAAATACAATACCTGAAATAATAATTGATGAATGCATGCAGGATAATAAACTGATAGGTGGTAACAAAAAAATAACTATTATTTTAGTAAAAGATGAGAATTTATTTTCAATCATTAATTTCTAAATTAGATTTATTATTCTCTATAAATCTCATGTTTTTTTAGATTATGAAGATATTAGCAACAAAATAGATAGCAAAAACGATACAGTTCTTGAATCTCCTGCAACAGACGACGATGACAATTTAGTTGAGTCTTTTAGTTGTCTCAGTACAGCATCAGAAGAAGAACGAAATGATATTAAAGATTTCGTTACGAAGAGACCAGAACACTCAGTTAAAAAGAAGGGTATTGAAATTAAAATAATTTTAAACATATTCTATTGAATGTAACTGAATTCATTTCTCATTATTTCAGAAATAAAACATATTCGGAAAGAAATTAATAATGCGAGAAGTACGTAAGAATATTATTAAATATTTTTTTTCTATTTTCTATAACTATAAAAATATAATTAGCTGAATATCAATGCAGAGTCTCGACAAATTTTGTAAAATATGAAAAAAGTAGACATTTATTTGAAGGTGCTAAAGAATGACATTGCATCGATTTTAGAATCAACAGATGAATCAACTAGTTTCAGGCACAAAAAACAATTTTTTCCAAGGTACTACCCACTTGGATGGATGGCCGTTTATAGTAGGAGTAGTTGTTAAATTACTGTAGAAAAATTATTATGTAGTTATTATGTATACTTTGACATTTAATAGAAACTCATCATTTTAGATGTGGGGAGTGACATATTGAAAAGATTTTTAACCTCCCAGCAGAAGCTAGTTTCTCTAAAAAGAAAAAGTTTTCAAACGTATGGGGAATGGAAAAAGATGCGCAAGGAAGGATTGTTATTGGACTCTCCAACTCCACACATTAAAGAGGAAGAATATACATTGCCAATTGAAGCAACAGGTACAACTATCGAATTGACTTCTATAGTTTCTGAAAGGTTTTTTGAAAACTAATTCAAGATTTCATATTTAATGATTGTAGTAAAAAATAGAAAAATATCGAAGAAAAAAAACAAAAAACGATCGTTGAAAATGGAGAAAAATGAGTACTATAAAAATAGTATTAAAAAAGGTATTGTACAGAAATTGACTTTAAAATATTATTCAATTTTTATGTTGAATTTGTAGAAAAATTTGATCTCTCTTTTAATCGATTATCAAATTTAATATGAGTTTTTTTTATTGTAGAATCAAAATCAGAAGTATTATCAATAGAAGATATCAAACAAGATGAAAAGGAAATTCGTGAAAACTCTTCCATACCAAATGAAACATCTGGGCCACAAAATTTATCTGATGATTTTGCACATGTTATCAATAACCCCAACACAACTATGAGACGACATGAAACTAATTCAATTATTTCGGAAAGGAAGGGTAATTTTTATTTTTATGATGAACAAATTAGTTATAATAAACAAAATATTCAGAAGATACTATTATTTTTATTATTTCATGTAACTGAAAACAATTTTTTATTTACAGAAACGTCTGAAACGTCAAATACGTTGAAGAATAAGATAAAAATTATCTCAGATATAGAGTTTGAAGATTCAACAAAAATTCGTATTCCATATGAAATATGGAGTAAAATTCCAAATTTATTCGACCGATAGGATATTGAAATGTTATAATATATTTAAGTTTTGCATTGCTTCATTTATTATTTCTGAATATTTTCCGCTTGTAAATAAGCGCTACAGTTTTCTATTGCTTTTTCATAGTATTAATATTCTTATATATAATATTAATGTATTATTAAAAATCAAATGTTTCTTATATATAATAATTGATTTTTACACTTATTAGTAGTAACATTAGTAACTTCAATTGTTATAAAAAAATTGAATTTAGGCGGTTCATTGAAGAGGGCGTAGTTTGTTATGTCCTTTATCCACGCGCTAGTTGTTAAGATAATGTTGTCAGAAACTGACGCTTGAATGTGTTGCAGATATTTTTATTAAATTGTGATTCAATAATCAAAAATATTCATAAAAAATTATATAAATAGACGTTATAAATTACCTAAAAAATTTTTAATTCACAGTTGAAGTTGATAAACAGTCGGTTTATAACTTGTTGTGATTCAAAAATAGTCCGTAAACTCCATTGCAAATGATGCATGTGAACAACAGTTTATTGCTATTTTATTGAAAACATTATTCGTTCGTATAAGTAAAATTTTATTTCAAAGGCATTAGTAAATATTCAAGTTAATTTAATCTGAACTTTAAAGAAAATTTTGAATTGCGAATAACCAAAAGTTGGAAAATAAATAGGATTGCAACAACACAATCTTTTCGAAGAGTATTCATCATCAAATAGTTGCTTTGGTAACGTAGACAATTTGTTTATTATCTTAAATTATTTTTAATTTTTAATGATACACAAATAAATACCACATACAATTAAATGTGGTACATATAAAGTTAATTATATATTAAACGTATTCCTCAACTTTTCGTTTAATCCCTATTATTAGTATTATTATTCAATGTCATAATAAATAGATTTTTGAGATTTTATTACAAGAAATTGATTTTAAATCTAGTCATTTTATTTTCTATATCAGCAGGAATGCAAATAATTTGTTTACTATTTCTTATTTATACATATATTTATACTCTCAATATTCTTCTCTCTTTATAGCTTGATAAAAAATATGTTACATTCTATTTACTTAATATATCTAACTTGAGTATTATGACAATATTTTATTTCTATGTTTCGTTTAATCGTTAGTCTATTTGATTCATCTTTATTGTTCATTCGTTAGTATAACAATAATTATTTTACAAATATGTGTAAAAATCAGCAAAGCTTTGTTCAGTTAAATAATTATATCATTATAATTATTTAAATTAATCGACAAAATTATTTCATAACTAATCATTTGAAGCTTTACTGCATGAAAGATGCAAAAAATGACTGAATTTATTTTCGTTTCTTATTTACATTTTCTAAAAGACTGCTTTGCTTCATCATGACTTGCTACAAAATATTCTCTATTCTATTTATATTGACTTCTTTTAATTATATCTTAATCCTATTATAAGATTTGTTAAAAAAAAAACGATATGTCTATGAAGAACATTATAATTGTTCTTATACAGCTCAGTTTTAAGAATACCAAATATTTATGAATAATTAATTTAATGAGTATTATAGATTGGTATTGTATTGTCATTCAATATTGAATTGCGAATTGCTCTTTCATTTGTGCGACAAAGATGTACAACATCCCTGAGTCCTTTCTACTAGTATATATTAATCTTCCAAATAACGTGAGCAATTTGATACAGTGAAAAAATCAATTTTTTCATTTTAAAAATCTTTGTTAAAAAAATATTTATGTTTATTTAAATAAATATATTAGATGATCTTATGATAATAGTAATGATAAAAAAAATTCTTGACGTAAACACAAATATAAATTGTCAGTTTTTAAGACAATTAAAACTCGAAAAAGTATTCACGATAAATATGTCTACAAGTTTACTTGAAACAAGGTATAAATTAGTTGCCATTTTCGTTCGATTTAAATATGTTAGAAATGCAAACTAGTGGGCATTTGAAAGTATCGTACATTCTGTTTATTTTTAGGAATAACCAATTTCATCTGATAGTTTGTTCCCATTTTGCAGTTATTCAAAGTAAAGTTTCTCTATGATTAGAGATAAATAACTGCAATCATTACATTATCTTGTAAGTAAACTTGACCATTTTTTCATTAAAATTACTTTTAAAAATCTCAGAATTGACTTTTTAAATTCTTTTTTTATTGGAATTCTCTGAACGAAAGTAATACCATGTCTTTCATTAATTATTATTGAAACTTGTTGATAAATATTTCACAATCAAATTATATATAATTAATAAGCAATATTGTTTCGAAGATGAGCCTGTTTTTTATACTCATGTTTCTCACATTTCCCCCACCATGTAGACTTGGTGCAAACTTTTTGGGGCTTCAAGACAAAACATTTTGTTTGAACGACATTAAAAAAAATCCTTCCGATAAAATTTGCAGCTGATGTACCTGCCATTTTTAAACAGGTTCTAAAGCTGTAAACAATAACAAAAAACAACAATTATTATTTTTCACTCCAATAAAAGATGATATTAATTAAATAATTTAAAATAAATAAATAAATAACACGTATGTTTTCTATATTTTCTAATCTAATGATAAATAAAAAACTATAATCTATCTATTCATGCCTGCTATTTTTTATACAAGTGCACAATACGATCAAACATCTAAGACAAATTCTATTTACAATGCTACAAAGTCCAGGCCACGTTGCATTGTTCAGGTTTCTCATCCCTAATGACATAATCCATAAGACGTTTGTTGCAAGAATACGTAATCATGCGTCGTCGTTTGCGTCCAGCTTACCGCTCGTCGCAAGTGCAATGCATGAGCGTGGATATGCCCCAATTGAAGAGGCCATAACGGGTCTCAAAAGCAGGAATATAAAAAGGACACGCGGTGTCATGTCTTCGACAGCAGGCATCAGCTTTACCGAAGCCACCAAGATTAGTATATTTTGTGGCACGATTTCCTCTACCACACCATTGAGTTCCAGGTATAAGCAAAAGTTCTCGTCTAGTACGTCTTCTACGTCTTCCTCTTCGTTTGCTCTTTAAAGTATTCGTCACGTTCTCATACAGCCTGTTAATTATCGTACTTGTTTCTCAAATTAATGTCAATGGGGATAATGTGTTAGAAAATTAAAAACAAAAGACAAAGAAGTTTTATTGTTTGAAATTACCTTTGATCACATCCACAATGACTAAGAGTGAAAGGCATGTAATTCCAGAAGTTGTATCGTTCAGAAAAAGGTGGAATTGATCGGCAGCAATGATCATGTCTTCGACAGCATCTATCAAGACTGTCCAAAGCTCCAAGCTGTTTGTAGGATGATGCTATTTGATGTGGACCACACCACTTGGTTCCTGGGGCAATGAACATATTTTGGAGACCTCGTTCTACTCGTCTAAGTATTAAAAAAAATGTATTTAATAAATAATGATTAATAGAGTTATGGAAAAAATGAAAATAAGCTTCATTGTAATTACGATCATTGGTAATATGATCTTCATCATTCACAATGATGATAGCTTTTTTACATGTTGTAATAATAATTTATTGGAAAGTGAAGAAATCATGAACAATATAATTATCTATAATTTTTTATCCTTATAAGTATTTTATTATTTCAATTATAATATTTTTTATTGTAATTTTTAGTCATAAAATTGATCATCATTGAAATGATTGTTTTGTTCAATCTACTTAATAACTAAGTAATTTATTGTGCTTGAATAATTAATTGGAAATCATGGCAATTTTTGAAAAATTCAATTACTTTAGAGCTATAATTTTTCCAAATTTTTATTACAGTGTTATTGAAAAATGAAAAATAATAAATAACTGTATAAAAGCTATCAACTGTCTCCAAAAGTAATGATGAAAGAAAAAAGATAAAAAATACATTTTAATTAAAGCACTAATTATCATACCTGTGTGCTAGACGTTGTCTCAAAACTTGATTTCTTGTTTGAGACTTGACACGATGACATTTCCTACCAAGTTCTCCAGTTGATTGAAGCCACCAGATTTCCGATGGTAGAGTAGTTACATCATGATCATCAAAAACTTGAAACTTCTCCTTAATATCAATGGACCAGATTTGATCATGATAACGACAAATGTCTTGGTCGATCGATCTTTCATCTACGCAGTCTGTTAAACTATCTCCCTCGTAAATCAACTGCAGCTTCTTACCGCGTATTTCGACCTCTCTCAATGCCACACTCGTGTCTCTGAAAATAACGAAGAGAAAATAATAAGGATATCATTGATTTCCCCTCTATATTGTCAGTCGCAGAAAAGACATTATCAGCAGCACAACCGAGCGAACTTTTCTTTTTGCTTTCTCCTTTTTTTATTTTTCTCTCTTTAGCAAACCCCCTCCACTCGGAATATGCCTCTGATGGAGGGTCAAAGTTACGAGATAATAATTTACACTAGATTTAATGTGACTCGGTTAATTTGTGATTGATGGCGTCTCTGCACAGATGTGCAAGTCTCTAGAGATATTTTCATCAAAAGAAGACGAAGAAGAAGAAGACGAAAAAGAATCAAAGGAACAATACGTTGATAACGAAAAAATAGTAGATTTTTGGGATTCTAAAGTTTAGATCAGAATTGTTGAATTCTCGTGGTCACAGGATTTCTCTGCATCCCCGTGAGAGTTCAACAGATGAATAAGGGTTGTGAAAACACTAACGGATTTCTAATCCTTGCTTACTTAACTTGCCACTTTGAAGGATTAATCCTCAACTAGTGGTCATTCATTCAAAAAATATTTATCTCATTGTTTTATTTGCATACATTTCCATTCATTCAACTTTAATTTGCTTTTACAATATAAAAACAAAGGGGTAACTATTTGAAAAAATTACTCTAATTATGTAATAATGATGATAATTAACCAAAGATAATGAAAGCCTTTAAAGTATGAACGATGTCATTGTTACAAAAAAGGATGCGCTAAAAAGATGAGGGAAAAAAAATAATTTGCATACCCCCAGTCAACTATTGTTTCCTTAGCACAAATTCCCCGCCACCTGATAATCCTTTGTATCTCGCCGTCTGGTAAAATTCGAGTCACCATAAAGTTGCCGTAGGACTCAGTGGAATTGACAATTAAGCCAATAGTGCCTTGACAAAAAGCTCCAAGGTGGAGCAACAGTAGCGATAATATTGCCAGGGGCATTAGACACTGATTGTTATGATTGTAATGTTTGGTTGATTGTTTTGTTTGGCTTCTAAATAACACCGTACGATTAGTATTTTTCAACGTCCACAACATTTTACAAATAAGTATGATGATGATTGATATTCCGACACATGATTTTGTTGTGGCTTTCAATTAATCACTTGATGTTAAAATGATCACTTGGATAGAATGAAGTCCATTGATAAATATCTTAAGGGGATATGTTATGATTAGGATCATCAATCCAGCACTAATTCACAAACTTGTTGAATTTATAAAGGAATCAATCAACTGAAGAAGCAACAAGAAGAGAAATCATGTCATACATATTTGTGCCAATTAAAGTGTCGACTTTCTTATCGACTTGCTTGTGGTGATGATCATTTATCGAGTGATTTATTTCACATTCGAGTACTATTAGAGGAGACACGTGGACGACCGAGTTGAAGTAGTACGATGTAACACAACGATTAAGTTGCTCGCGGCACGACTAAAGTGAGAAGTAAACTGACGGGCGACAGCGTAGAGCTTCCCTTAAATACTCGACGTCCTGGTAGCTGTCCAGTTCACCTACCACCACCCTCCTGGACCCCGAGGAACATTCGTCGGCCCGTTCTCCCCACTTCAATGGATCTCTCACCAGCCACGTCTGCCAAATCCAATTCTCCATTCTCACCCCGGATCTAATTCCCCTTCTTTTCTCTTTCTCGCGTCATTCCTCTTCCTTTTCCCGAACATCTCCTGATTTTTATCCATGTACATCAATGCGAATGTCACTCTAGCTTGGCAATTTTGAGATAAATATTTTTTACAGTGAATAGAATTCTTTTACTCGGTTTGATTAAATTTTAACTCATAATTTTTTTAATTGTTACTTTTAAAATTTTACAAAATATTGATAAAAATTTATACATTGCAATAATAAATGTTTGTAATATTGACATAATTCTTTTTATAATAAATTTTTATGTAACATACAAACAATAATAATGCATTGAATAAATGCAAGTCTTGAAAATTAACGATAGAAAAACGATTAAAATAACCAAATGTCAAAAAAAAATGAAGCAGTTGCTAAAAATCAGTTTTTATCTTTAGGCTAACGTAGGAAATATTTTTTATTCGATTACCTATTACTGTTTTTCATCATTCGTATATAAAAAATCTTACCATCATCACAAAATGATAAGTATCAGAATTTTTTCGTTTTCCATCCAACATTCTTATTTCTGTCTTAAGGCAATAGTGTCCTTGTGACCTCCTACATGACATTTTAACAAATTTCAGAAACTTGACGTTTTCATTCTAACGTTTGTTTATATTTTTATTTTCCCTGGTCACAGTAGATCATACGTCACAGTCGTCTATGATCTGTCACTTGAAATCTCAAGAGATTCTGCTGAGATTTATTGCTAGAAAAGACCAATCGTTCTATATAGGGTCCAACGAGTTCTCTACGCTTTCTCTTTCTATTTTCTCCCCTACGACGATGTGAAATATCACATGTGTGATGTATACACAATCAGATAACGTCAGATATTCAACATTTTGCGTAGGTAGAAATTATTCCCTTCAGCTACTACATGTAACTCATCAAAAATTACTAAATGACCATATGTAGAATCTGCTATGGAACCAACCATTAGCATTATCAACCTCTAAAACTGTATGGTATATATTAGCACTACGAGTCAATGAATGTTGTAAATAAAAGTATTAATATAACTTGTGATTGATAATTTTATCAAATTATTTGCATTTACAAATTGGATAATATGCTATTGAATTACAGTGATAATCAAATTTACTGTCACTTGTTTATTGTAGCTCTACGTCACTTAAGGTTGATAATTCTTTTTTGTCTTTATTTTTTATTATCAGTTGCTTTCAGTGAATTTTAAAAATAGTTGACTGTAAGGTCAATTAATATTGATAAGATGCTAGAAATAATTTTTTTTTTTCTTTCTGCAATTATTACATTCGTTGGAAATGGATAAAATTTTGAATGAAATGTATTTCCGGTATTTTAACTTGGATTAAATTTTTCAATTGTATTAAATCATTTTTTTGTATTATTTAAAGAAAAAATTTAGTTGTGTTTTCACTTTTTGCTATTCGTATGAATAAGACAATGGGAAAAAATGAGAAAATATTGCTAGTCAATATATCCTAATTGATCTGATAATTAATTTCAATAAAAAATAATAGAAAAAAGTATAGTATATATTTATAATTATTATTATACGATTTATCTGAATTTAATGATGATTAAATTGAGCCTGTCAGTTATGAGAGTTTCTTACGGTATTGTCAAACGTACCAAATTTACATATATTGATTCTGATTAGATAAATATATCTATTAAATATAATCCTGACGTTATTTACTCGATACTTTTTTTGGCAATTAATGATATCAAATGCTAATAAATTAAATATACTGAGATAGATTACTTTCAGCTAAGTGAATCATTGATTCGGAAGTTCTTATTTCACACAACTGTGCCTTCATTCATCTCAATGTGGGATGAGTTATCGTTTCTAATTCATTCGTTTGTGTGTTAGAGATATCAGTTTCATGAAAATGTATCATCAATATTTTTTCCTAATAAAATATTTCTTTTGTATTAAATCATAGAGTTGATGAAGAAATTATTGCTTTTTTGCAAATAATTCTTTAGAAGAATCAAAATTAATTAACAAAATGACAATAATTTTGATTATTCTTATAATTAATGAAAGAAAAAATAATTATAATCAAGAAAAAAATGATGAATCATTGATTGATTTTATTCCAGATAAAGAAAAATGTTTAATATTTTGGTTATTTATAATATTTTTATTATAAATAAAATATCTATTGTATAGTGAAAAGTACATTTTGGTATAGAACATATTAGGTTCAACAAAAATATTAACCATTTTAATGATGATCACGAGTGAAGTTTAAAACTCAAGTAGAATATGTTAATTTTTTGCTAATTAAAAATTATCAATCCAATTAAAAACTTTTCATAATGATAATAATCTTTAAGTGCTCAACGAAAATGTCGAATAAATATAACTTTCGACTAAAAATAAAATAAATCTTTTTCTCTCATTTTCTGTGTAGTACAGTTCATGAGTTAAAGATGTTAGAATAGAGTTGGTAGTGTCTGAAGATTGTGGAGAACAAGAGTGAATATAAGAATAGACTAAGAGAGTACTTGGTTAACTATGCTCCCCGACTTGTTCATGAATTCATTCGTTCCCTCCTGGGTTCACCACTTGCTTCATCGTCACGAGAATTACGCAATTATGTTGCAGTGCACCGACAATTATCGCGCAAAGTGCTGAATGACAAGAGAAATTATGAAAAAAAAAAGGAAAAATTAAAAGTAACTTCAATTCTCTTGCAACGATTTTGTCTTTATGAAAGATTTAAAAGCAAGTGAGCAAATGAACGAAATAAATAAAATGGAATATCTTGAACAAAGAATGAATGATTAATTGTTTAGATTAATGAGTCGAATAATATTAAAAAGGAGATGACAACAGTAATTCCTGAAAAACGTAATGATTTAATAAATATGAGTGAGACTACTGAGTTAATCGGTGCAATTGGCGTGTTTCGAGTACCGCGAAATTTGTGGGGTCGCGACTGAGGTTATCCCTCGGCAAATTCCAAAGGCCATCAGTGCCCGAAATATATCGGTCTAGCTTCGTGTCCACAATTTTCAACTGCACCACAGCTTTAGAGAAGTAGGATCAAGGCAGCTGACAAACACTTTTTTTTTAATTCTAGTTATAAGTTTGTTTTATTAACCCAATGAATATTATTAATACAAAATAATTATTAAGAAAATATCAAATTTTTTGGAAAATTAATTAATTAATAATGAATCTTCAAGCATATTCCTAATTATTTAATCAAAGAATCGATTATTAATTTAAGATATGTTTTCAGAATTTCTAGTAATTAAAATTATTCATTAATTGATTAATTATTGAATTATGCATTCAAGATAATAAAACATCATGACATGCTCCTTCATTTTATATATTTTTTTTTCTCTTCCTATATTCTTTCCCTAAAATAATATTTTTATTGAATATCATTTACACTTAATATAAAATCAACAAATGTTTATTTATTGAACAAAAAAAAAAGAAAAAAATTATAAATATTCTAAAAAAATGAACTGACTCAGCATAATGCGACGATGTTAGTTACTTTACCTAAATTTCTAGACCTTTGAAAAAAGGAAATCAATCAAAATAAGAGAATACTTTGATGACAGGGGCTGGAAAGCGTTAAACGTTGGAAAAAAATCTAAAAGACTAAACCCTGCGCGCCTAATTAATTTTTATAGCTCGTTTCAAGCCGGTCTCCAGAGTCTCAGACGCATGATACATTCCATGAGTGAATCCTGTGAGACCACCGAGTCCCTTTTACCTTGTAACATACAGAAAGATTCCGGTGCGATTGTCGCATGAGTCAGAACATCCAAGTTTTTTTTCTTGAATGCAAAGTTCATCTCCAACCACCGGAGACGTTTAAAGAAGCGATAAAAAATAAAATAAAAGAGCTTAAATTTTTTTCTATCAGTCAAAGCAAAGTTTCTGGGTCACCATCTGTTTCCTATATACATTCGTGAATATATATGGATACGTACGTATGTACGCTACTTAAATATTTTCAAATGACATAGATGTCGACGAAGGCCTAGAAACTTCGACGTTTACAGATGAGGTTGTCCGGGACATCAGCCAATAATAAGTTCAATGTTCAACGACCTAAAGAAGAATAAAATGAATTACATCTAATACAAAGATTTAAAATAATTAAAAAATTATATTTATTGATTAATTTAGTGTCAGTTATTTATTTTCATCTTTGTCTTTTTATTTATTTGATGTTGATAATTATTTTTATGAATTATGTCAATTACATTCATTATTTATTCAATTAGAGTTGAATTTTCTTTTATGTTTGGAGTTATTGATCAATGAACTTTAATTATTTCTATTTTCTAATTTTTTTAACTAAAAAATATTTATAGCTGAAAAATTATTGATTGGCCATTTTTAGGAATAATTGAAAAAGTATGAGAAATTAGTTCTGCGAAGCTGCTGTTATAACATGATCCATGATCAATCAATTCTTCATGCTCTTCAAACTAAAATAAGGAAAATTTATCTCCATTCTTATTGATACTTTTTAACGGATATTACATCACAGTTTTAGTAGAATCTAGGATAAATAAAAATCATGGTTTGCTTAAAAAGCAAACGAAAAATTTCTCATCAAACAAAAGAAACCAAAAAGATATAATTTGTCCAGCTTCTCAAGACCTCTTGAAGGGCTGTAGTGGTGCCCCATTGATTGCAATACATAATTTCTATTGACAGAAAGAGGGAATGAAAATATTTTATGGTCAAATAAATTTGGGTATATAACGGGAAAGCATAGAAATGTAAACAATAGAATAGAATTTTTCTAATCATCATCACCACTGTCATCATCACGTATAGATTTGTAGGAATGTGTATGTATATGGAACAGATGAAATAGACGACTTAGTCAGAGGATAGCACATAAATTTGAAGAGGGTGTCATAGTAAAGTTGGCCCCATCTGGAAGAGATCTCTTGAGGGGTGAACAATTGAGTACCTCTCTGGAGAACTTGAGTTTTTTTCTTACTCACTTATGACTTTATATTTCCATCCCTCTTAAACTTACACTCTTTCCATGTAACTCCAGAGTCATATAACTGGAGAATACAATAGACCGCACGCCATTTTCACCACATCTATTCTTCCTACCTAACTATTAATTTTTGCGACTCACAAATTCTTCGGCAAAAGTATGGATGAAAGGAATAGCACTGGCAAAAGTTGGTTGAATTTCTTTTTTTTTCTTCCGTTTTTGCTTTATGTCTTTAGTGTCTTTTTCCATTCCTCGCTTATACATCTTTCATTGGAGCTTTGACTATTACTGGAGCAACGCCGGAGAACCGTGAAAAGACGAGGTAAAAATTCAAGAGTCGAGTGAAGCTCATGGGAAGTAATCAATTACACTCAGGGAATGAGAGAAAAGCGAGTATGAGGTTTGGCTTTTATACTGTGATGCACGGACCAAGTATAAAAGTTTATCTCTAGTTTTAGCGGCTTTTACTAAGCGCGAAAACCGACCTTGGAACTTTGCCAATCGGCCCACGATCTTTTCTATGCCAGAAACAGTCTAAGTCAATGAACACGAGGCACATTCTAGAGTTGCATAATTTTTATCATCGTGATTTAGCTAACTGATTTATAACCATTTTCACTTGGTTATTTTGATTTTCATAACATCTTAATAAAATAATCATTCAAGATTTTCAAATCATAATAAACATGTTCACAAAATATTATAAACGAAAATGAAGTTAATTCATTAGAAATAATCAGTTAGAGAAAAATTAGCTCTTCCATGTCACTATTTTCCTATATTCTGGATGAAATAGAAATGAATTTTTGATAAAAGTATATTTAATCTTTATCATGATTCAATAAAACAAGCAAAATAATGATCAGAAGAATACTAATAATAAGTACAAAAAGAAATAATTGAACTGAAGAAATTCGTTACACATTCATGGTTATTTAATTAAATACAAAGTTCTCTTGAATTTTGGGAATTTTATACGCTTCTCAATAGAACGAAAATTACCCAATTGTGTCATGTTTGATTTTGGTCCCTTGAATGTGCTCTCCAAACACAGTCGTTAAGCTTAAAAATGTCCTGCAATTCGATCCTAATTTTGGTTGAGGATTTTATTGACCATGAAGATTGTAACATGCTTGCATTTCGGATATGAACATCACATTGAAAGATGCGACGAGCCATGCATGACACCCCTCTTCTATTGGTCCTGATGTTCAGGGATGCTTTTATACTCATGTTGTACCAGTTATAATCGATAAAAAAAAAGAAAGAATAAAAGAGTAGGACATGAAAAATCAAAATGCGTTTTATTTTGCGATTTTTATTGTGTTTCGAGGGACCCAGGAAAAACTTTGAAGCATGAATTATTCGATAAGCATCTCATAAATTCCCTAAAGCAACGTCAAACAAGAGTCGAATTTACATCAAAGCAAAGGTACATTTTTAATGAATCTCGGGAGAATTGGCTCTCTGACACATTTGTCGATAATAGAACGCCTAATTTTAATGAAGAATTGTTTAATTATTGATAAAGTAGTAGCTTTTAAAATTTAGAAATCTAAAAAGCAAAACATAGTGTTAGGGAAAAGAGTATAAAAAAAAATAAGAAAAAAAAGAAGGATATTATAGGACTCAAGAATAAAGCGATGAAGAACAGGTGGTTTAGCTGACGTATTCAATGTTATCTCTCGCTGTTCGTTATTACAATGGATTGACTCGTAGCTCTGCAACTTTTCTGAATAGTTTGCTTTGCATTCACTACATTTCTACATTTAAAAATTCAGACAATATTAATGTTCAGTATAAAAGATATTTAATAGTAATGATGCATTCAAATTTTGTTTACTTGTCTATTGTACTATTAAATAATTTGATTCTCAGGCTTTTAATTTAGTTATTTTTATAATTTCAAATTTATATATGTATAATTGTACATTTAAATAATAAAAGATAATTTTATCTAATAAGTTTTAATCTTCAGCCGAAAATCTAAATAAGTATTGATGAGTATCTTCACCTCTTTTTTATTTTTCTAAAAACTTTCTCATCTTGAATGAAAACAAAATAGGAGAAGAATATTTTATGACTTAAGATCACCATCATAATCTTATTGAAAGACGCTGTTTGAGTCTTTTATTATCTAATCTGATGTATATCAGTATATTAAAATCTTTAAAATGATTGTGAATAATTTTTAATCTTATTCACATGTATATATATCACTCATCAGATATACGAAATAAGTGATTACTAGTGTACTTTATACATTTTCTTTATATTCATCAGCAATAATTTTAGTCCCGCTTCTCCTACGGTACTCAGTCCAATCTCCAGCGATTCTTATACACATATTCTATATCATCCTTACCTCCTGCTGATTTTTATTACTCCACCTGAAACCCAGTATAATAAATAACAAATATTTATCGAAAAAAACAAAAAAATATTTAACCACTGAATCGAAATTAATTTACTAGTACCTATATAAGAACAACAATGGTCAAATTCTTGTTCTAAAGAATAATTTAAAATCTCATAAAGTATCAAGACAAGTTAGAATCGAGACTTGTACAATATGCAGATGAGTTTTGATATACTTTTCTATCCCGCAGCGTAATTGATACATACAAATCATCCCAACGGAATTAAAAAAGAGTGTGAGTGCAAGGACCATCATAGTATAGGAGGGTAGATTGGAGACTGTTTGATGTCCATGACGCTCCGGTATCGCCTTTACAGTTCGCTGCACAGGTTTTTCTCTCCCTCTGGGTCCACTGCAGTCTAGTCTAGTAAAGAAAAAAAAAGTTATCATTGTTTCAACCGACTGAAAGTAAAAAGCGTTAAAACTTTTCTGAATAAATAACTAGATAACGGGAAATACATTAGTATATTTCTTCTTCCATTGAATCATCATCATTTATTTTTATAGTTCATCAGATGTGAAACATTCCGAGGTTCTAATTCCATTGACAATTCTTAGGTTAGTTGTCAAAGTGAGAAATTAATACCAAATTTAAAAAGTAACTGTGAAGTTTTGAATGATAAAATTCACTTATGCATATTTTGCGTTTTTTTTGTAAATACAAATTTTATTTAATTTATCTTTGCCTGCATTAATCGATTTAATACATTTAAATAACAATCGATTATAAGTCGCTCCCTTTTTAACCGATCGAGGTTATGTTTAGTTCTATATATAATTGTAGAGGTCCCCATTACTTTTGTGCAAATTTTGATGTTCCGATGATAAAAAATAAAATAAATTTATAAAAAATCAATTAATTAATTTTTATGGAAGGAAATTATAAAGAAACATAAGTATTTGTGTTATGAAAAAAATTATATCGTAATGGAATTATTGGAAATGTCATCGCTCTTGTGAAATTTTTTGGTTATAAAGTAAATAAAAAAGTAATGTAATTATTCGTGCGGGTTTTTATTTACAATGAGGTTATGAAAAAATTAAAGGAAACAAAGAAAAAATGAGAGAGCATGTAAAAAAATTCAAATTTAGCGGGATTAATAAAAAGATGGCGTTAAAGGAATATAAAAGAGAAAAAGAGAATAAAAGAGAGAGAAAGAGAAAGGAAAGTGAGGCAGTGGTGCCACCGCGAAAGTATTGGATGACGTACTGCACGCCAGATTGCTCCCTCCAAAAAGATATCCAAATTGGCAGCATTGTTTTTTGGTAGTTTACAAATAAAATGGCCGATATATGAGGGTATTTTATATGGAGATATAAAATATGCAATTTACGTAAAATTAATGACCATCGGTAGAACGTGGAGTAGTGCTCGCGACAAGTATTGGTCGCGTAAAGTGTCCTGATATAGTGCATAGTATCAGTGATAGTGCGGGAGTGCCGTGAGAAGAAGGTGGAGGTTGTCTTTTTCCGTCGGTTGCCGTCGTGAGACGCCGCGGGGCCCTCGCAATACCGAAACGGAGAATCACTCACACGGTCGTGGTGTCTCCAATACACGCAAGAAAAATATAACGTGGGTAAACGAAGAATATATATCCTTTTTTTGTGTACCATTGGCGCGCATGGTGGCGCGGCAAATATACAAATAAGACTGCATTTATATTCTTTGGCAGGTGAATAAAAGGTTTTACCTTCGCAACATCACGGAGACGAGATCTTGAGGTGGACACGAGTGCAAGTTTATAGTGGCCGTCTGGCGGGCAACGCGAATCGACGTGAGACATAGTGCTCACCTTCAGGGCTTGCCCTGAACCACCACGCGCCTTGTCACGAGTAGAAGGATAGCAGCGTCCCGTGTAGGGACGCAGATATGATACCCACGAACGAATATCACAGCCGAGATACTGGAGTGTGACGGGTACATCTACCTGGAGCCGCTCAAGATATTTCCCGCCGACCAATTCGTCGTTGTGGAACGAGTCGGCGCGGACGATGCGTTGACAGAGAGCGAGGTGCGAACAAGTAGCACGGTGGCCAGTGAAAGTGATCCTGATCACGCTACCCTAGCCAATATGTGCACAACCCCTGGCAATGCCGGCACAGGTTTTGGGTATGCGTGGTCATTTGGTCCTGGTACAGAAACCAGGGATAATGCACAAGGGGAATTGACAGCAAACATTAACTACGCTGTCAACAATAATCAAGATCAGGGTACCAGTCAAAAGATTCAGATTGATGTTAAACCAGCTAAAATCATCAATAGCACAGGAAGAAGAGCGGTGTTTACAATGAATGAGAGCTGTCAGCAAACACCAACATCTCATAGCCATACTGGAGCTCATAATCAAACGCATGTCACTCATGCACGAGTGAAAAAACATTCTGACGTTTTCACGCTTACCTGCGATAAGGGTGGATGCAACTGTGATGCAGCACACTCGACACCGGCTTCTACAACTCTCTTTCCTAATGCTTTAGTTTTTACTACTACGGGTGATAAACATGCCATGAGCAAACCTTTTATGACACCAATCGGGCCGCTTCAACTTACTGCTGAAGAGTGCAATGAAATATTGATGAAAAGAGCTGCGGCTGCTTCGAATCAAGCTAGCGCTAACAATGTATCTACGAGTCAGACTGATACAACAGCACACTTTGGCCACGTGCTCACTCACGTCAACACCACACAGATAGATACTAAGATTAAACAACAGCAGGACATGGGAAGTCAAGCACGCGTGCCAAAGGAGAGGCCTTATTCATGCTCTGAGTGTGGTAAATCTTTTCTCCTTAAACACCATCTTACTACTCATGCGAGGGTTCATACAGGAGAAAGACCTCACATCTGTGTCCATTGTGGCAAAAGTTTTGCGCACAAACATTGTCTACATACTCACCTCTTGCTCCATAGCGCCGAGAGACCATACCAGTGTCGGGAATGTAAAAAATCTTTTACTCTGAAACATCATCTGGTTACGCACACACGTGTACACACGAGAGAACGGCCGTTTGTTTGTCAAGAGTGTGGTAGAGCTTTCCCGCTAAAACGTCATCTAGTTACACATAGCAAGTTTCATTCAGGAGAACGACCATTTGTTTGTTCTGAATGTGGTGAATCTTTTTCTCAAAAAGACCACCTTACTATGCATTCGCGCTTCCATGGCAGTCTCCATCCTTTTGTGTGCTCTGATTGTGGGGCAACCTTCCAGAGAAAATTCGAGCTTGTCAATCACGGTCGTCTTCATGGTCGAGTTCCACACTCTTGTACTGTATGTGGAAAAGAGTTCCTGCAAAAAAGAACGTTGCTGGCTCACATGCGTCTTCATACTGGAGAAACTCCATTTGCCTGTACTGTATGTGGTGATGCTTTTGCTAGGAAGGTAGATCTGGTGACTCATTCCAAGATGCACAACACTATCATTGATGACAAGACCATTACGTGCAGGTATTTATTTTATTATTTTATTCTTTTTTAATTCCGCCAAAATAACACTGGCGGAAGATAAAAAACACCGTCCCTCTCTTTCTTCCCTCAGGGAATGTGGCTTGGACTTTTCTAATCAGGAAGCACTTACTTTACATTTGAGGTTACATGGTGGTGACAGGACTCTTGTGACGGATTTGTGTGGATTGGCAGCAGCTTTTCAACAAACACCAGGTCATTTTCTATCACAAAATACCACTGGAACTCAACACGTATGTATTTATATTATTTTATACAATATCATGAAAATTGAAAAAAATAACTTTAAATATTTTTTTCAGATAAATGGACCAACAATCAATAATCCTGGAGTGAGTCACATGCAATGTGCAACTCAAACATCACCCCCAGCTGGACCGAAACCCAAACCTCACTTGTGTCCTGATTGTGGTCGTGGATTCGCTCAGAAACACGGGCTATCTCAACATCAACGGCGTCATACTGATGGCAGTTGTCATATAAGATCGCATGTCTGTGATAAATGCGGCAAAGCTTTCTTCCAAAAGAACCATTTATTGTTACATCAACGTCAGCATATGGATCCACCTCCAAGTATACTAAGACAACAACAAAGATTAGCTGCTCAAGCTGCTGCTCAAGCTCAGCAACAAAATCAACAACAAAATCAAGTTCAACAACAATCACAACAGCCTCAACAACAATCGCAACAGCAACAAAACCAACAACAAGCCCAGCAAGTGCAGCAACAAGTGCAACAGGCACAGCAAGTTCAACAATCACAACAAAATCAACAACAAGTGCAAACAACTCAACAACAACAAGTGCAACAGCAGCAGGCCCAACAGCAAGTTCAACAACAAAATCAGCAGCAGGCCCAACAACAAGTGCAACAACAATCTCAACAATCACAACAAACGTGTAATGTTGATACTAAAACTATTCAGTTGCAAGCAATACAACAACAAGTTCAACAGCAGGTTCAACATCAACAGCAGCAGCAGCAGCAGCAACAGCAACAACAGCAGCAACAGCAACAGCAGCAGCAGCAACAACAACAGCAGCAAGCGCAACAACAGGTGTGCTCAGTGGACGCAAAAGCAATACAATTGAATGTCACTATGTGAAATAACTATAAAAATAGTGAATGGAATGAAGGCTATGACGACTGTGACTTTGACGAAGACGATGACTTTGAATCTAAAAATCGTGATAATCATGATGGTGATGACAATGAAGATGCACCCCTCAATGCGCACTTGGCTGCAACCCACTGCACGCACTTTTCTTGTACTAACATTACACCCTAGTTATATATTTATTAAATATATTTAGAAAGAAAGAAACAAAAAAATCAAGAAAGAATCAGGCATAAAGTAATCGATTTTATTACAAGAGTATATATATATATATAAACAAATTATACATATATTATTCTAATTATGTATAAGGCTTGTAACAAGAAAAAAATAAAATAACCATATATTAGTGTTTTACATATACTTTTAATCTATCATTTGATTTTTTAGAATATATGTAAAATGGAAAATAAGTACTAAAAACAAAGATATGCGTTGATAAAAAAAGTGAATGAATAATAATAAACAAAAATTAGTTGCCTTATCAAAATGATATAAAACTTTTAAAGATATATTATTAACTATTTGATTTTTGATGCAAACGATAACAAAAGAAACGCGCAAAAATGCATCATGTTATTTTTCATTCTTAATTTTTATTTGTAGAATACAAATTTATAAAGAAAAATGAAAACAAAATATACACATTGAATAAATAACTACAATTATACGTGAACATTTTATCCTAATCCTCATCTAGGATAAGCAGACCAATCAGTTTTCTGGATTATATTAAGTAAATATACAAATCAAAAGAATTGGAGCGGAGTTGAAATTGAAATGATATCTTTTTTTTTAGATAAATATTTTCAAACAGATCTTTTTTTTCTTTCATCGCAGAATGATGTTTGATGCATGTATCTGTTTTGGAGGAATTCAGATGCTTTTCGTTGGTCTATTTGTCCTACCTCAAACTATTTTGAATTCACTTTCTTTGAACGACTTGGAGATTTATATAGATAATTTCCTACCAATTCTCAGGTAGTTCTGAAATTGTTGTATATATATATATACACGACATTTATATGTGTAAATATATACAGATATACATATACATTCTATAGAGAAAGGATTCTCGGTTAGAGATGGAGTAACAGGAACGACTCAAATAGAAACAGAGAGTGAGAGATCGACAGCAAGAAAGGAAGAAAGGAACAGGTCATCCCGTACTTGCCGCGCGAGTTTCGATGTAGGCTATGTCAAGTAACCCCTACATAAAGGAATCTATCGCGCGGCTTTTGCGTCATTCGTTCTAACACGAATCGTCAATGACAGCAACAAAGTTGATGCATGGCTATTTGAGAGCTTAAAGAACAAAGGGCTTTAAATTTTCCCAAACTTAAATCTACTCCAAAACATATAGAACATTAAAAATTATTGGTTATACATTTTTTTCAAAATAATATGATTTCAATTATAATAATAACTCATAATGGAGTATTTAAACAGGAGTTGATGTCATTTAAATAATAAACAAAAAGTTAAATGAACAAGTTGATAATTAAATTAAAAATTGGTGTAACTTGGAGTGATAGTATAATTGAAATGTTTTATTTTTATAAAAATAAATGAGGAAGTTATTTATTGACATTTGAATTTATAAAAAATGAGTAATCATCGAAGTTTCGTGATTTTCTTTGTTCTATAGAAAAAAATTGCTCGAGGCTTACCAAGTTGTGTGTAACCTCGCTGTGATTAACGCCACCTTATGACAATGTCCGGAAGCTTCCGGAGCGCAGCACGCTTGCGCAGTAGAGAGTTCGTCCCGCCTGCGAACCGAAATAAATCGAAGTATTCATATTGGCCGCAAGCGTGCAAGAGAGATCGCAAGACGTGGGAAAATAGAAGAGAGAAGGAAAACACGAGCGCGGCCTCATCGGTTGGCACTCTGTCGCTGGCCAGAGTGCTGTCGTTGAACGTGAAGGCAAGTAGAGAGACTGCGCTACTGCAGCTTGTAGTGATGATCAAAACGAGTTGTTGTTTTTCGTGTCCAATGCGAGCAAGAAGCTGTGATTCGCGTTGAAGACAACGGATTATTCAACAGTGATTATCAACGCTGCTAACTGCTACTACTACGGATGCATATGGAGGTGCGTAAATACATTAATTTGATCGAGAAAATACACGCGTCTTTGTTTAGTTTTGACACAACACGCCGCGTCATATACAGTTCATCACATACCATACCTTGACAAATCAGGCCATTTTGCTGATTCCTAAGACTTCTGATCCATTAGATAACATTTCTTGAAGGTATCTAAACCATTTTTAGACTCACTCAATAAAAAATACCCCCAAGACTGTTGTTCAATTTCCCACCAAGTCGAAACGCAAAAAGAAATGTCTTGCTTGCGTCTTACTCGCTTACTACGCAATTCAATCATTTTTTAGAGCTTCTTACTTGATATTAGCTTGACAAATAGTATAAATATCATTAGTTTACTTCTAAATGTATCCAATTATTTATCGAATAATGCATGACTCTTTGTCTCACTTTAACAAATCGATGTGGGAGATCTTGTCGTCATATTCCGACCTCGTCTTTCTCTCCGGCCATAGTTGTGCTGTCTCTTTCACTCCCTCGCTACGGATTTGTATACACTCTCAGCTGATAGGGACCTGTGTCAGCTGCCCCGGAGTTAAGAGAATGAGTGAGTGAGAAAGAAAACATTAGTAAGAGAGAGACCATGAGTTCCTTACTCTGGAAGCTATACTTTTTTTCTTTTCCTTCCCTTTTTCCTCCCCCCCTTTTTTGTCCCTTTTTTCATTTTATCACTATTTCTCTCACATAAATTATCCCCAGTCATGGGTTTGATTGTTATTCTTTACCTGCAGTTCTCCATTTCATCTATTCCAACTGTCACGTCTGCTGCTACTTCTGCTTTTCCATACGCTTTCATACTCCGTTTGTCAATTGACATTAATGCTTGTCCTCTCAGCAACTGAGTCCTACTCTAGATTCGCGACCTAGATCCACCGAAATTCATTCACTCAATTCCCCACGTCCTCTTTTTTTACGCTTATTCTATTGTCTGATATCAATGTAAACCAACATGAGAAATGATAACATTCATTTGCAAGATAGTTGTGATAATAATAATCCTTTGTTTTGTATACAAAAGCACAGCTGATTTCAAGACATGGCGCTTGTATCGCGACCTACGACCTTATCAGTATATAAAACCAAGATCAAATCTTGTACGATCAATACAGCTTATATGAATTACTCTGTGATAATCGACATGCGCGATTTACCACTTCTTCGTATATACATCATGGATGTTGCTAGGTTGTATCAAATTGTTACCTTCTTCTACTCTTCTCTGTCGTCATTCATTCAAATTAGACATTCAGGTGGTCAATTAATTTCCTACTGTTATTCACTTCACTGATGTTGTTACGAAACTTCATTACTAAGACATTAAAAACCTGAAAAAAAAAACATTATCATTAAATATCATCAATGAGATTTTTAATTTTACTCTTTAACTCATTTATAGTTCGTCCACCTCTTTATTAAATTATTTTATTAACTTTAACTCTTGAAAAATATAATGTCATTGGCCTCCTTACTTATTTCCTTTGTTTCTAACTACAGAACGTAGTATATAGTAATACTTCTCGCTGGGAAAATGATGCTCAGAAAAAACTTCAGATTGTAAGATATAGAAATCGATAAGTTACTTTGATTAATCTTTACCTTTTATATCAGTGTTTATATTGTTGTTTTTCTTTATTTGATTCTGTTATATAAATAATTATTTATTTTTGAGATAAGTAATAAACAATCATTGATTATTATTGATTTTATTTTTATTTCAGCCTTATTTTTGCTAATAAACGTGTTCAATAAATTAGAATGAGTAACATCTTATTGTTCGCAGATAATTGTTATTGTAAAGTTATATAATGATGAAAAAAATAACAAAAGAATATTGAAAGTAAATATTGTGAATCGATAAAACTGTTGGATAAACTCCAGATCGAATTTAATGCAAAAAAAAAAAGAAACAAAATTAGAATACATTTTCTTTTTTTACTTTTTCATGTCTTCGTGGAGGTTAGTTGTTGGCTAATATTCCAAGTGCAATCATTGGAACAATAAGAAAAAACAATTTTGAAACAGAACAACAAACATATATTGTGAAGCATAAATGTTTCATATACTATTGGATAATTGATTCACCACGAGGTACCCTTGGCTCATTTTTATTTTCACATTTGTCAGAAATCGATGGGGTACAATGGGTGGCCTTGAGCCATCACTCAACGTAAAAAGATAAGTGGAAAAGGTGAAAAAGGTTATTTTTATCGATAAGCAAAACTATTTCGTTTTATGTTATATTGAAATAGAATATATATATATAGGAAAGTATAAACTCAACGTCTTCATATTTTTTCCTAGAGCTCTTCATTCTTTCATCATCATTACTTGTTCAACTTTCATTGTATAAAATGTCGAAAAATTTTGTATCATCAACTCACAAAGAAGCATTAACTTGAAGTGAGTAAAATCAAAGATATCTTTGAAAATTCATCAAATATATTTGCATTGTTTAAAATTTGCACGTTATCATTAAATGTGACAATGAAAAATTTTTGAATTTCAATTACATATCCATATTCATTCATTTTATTCATTAAATTTAATTGTGCCTAATTTATCAACTGATTTGGATTAATTGAGAAAGTAAATACATTTCATTAATACTTTTTTTTATTCTTATTAGCAATAATAAACATTTCATTACTGAATCAACATAAAGTATTAGTAAACGAAAGAATGAAAACATTCGAAATAAAAACTTGAAAAAATTGTATTTGATCATTAGATCTTTATTTCTACTGCATTAAAAATTTATTTTCTTTGTTTAAGACGATGTTTTTTTTTGTTTGAACAGGTGTTTGAATGTGATAATTTAAATGTTAAATAAACAAAACATTAATGATTCAATACTGCGCACTTTTATCTTTGTCGTACGATAGTAATCTTGAAATAATTTATCCAATGATAAAATGTATCACGTACTTTTTATTTTTGCTTTATCTTTCTTTAATTAAATCATTTGTCTATCGAACTTGAACTTATCAGCCTTGAAGAATAATATACAGCTTTTAAAACAAAAAATTTTATTGCTAAATTAGAGAAAAAAGTCTTGATTTATGTTTAAATATTTTCCTATTCCTCTTGTGATTATGATAATTTATTCAGAGTTGTATTTTCATTCCATTTCATTTGAATAAAAAAAAACCAACTTTCAAACTTGAATACCATACATAATCTTCTATTGGTTCGTTATCAAAGATATTTATATGAAATATCTTAGTGTTAATTGTTTAGAATTATTATTGGGTATAAGCTAGCTCCGTTATTTTTTAACGTCTTCGATTATCGAAAATATTGATATTCATCAATTGTACATAAATGTTTATGGATCGACATTTACTGGATATAAGCATTTATTATTTCTAGTAAAATTTACAAATAGGTAATTACTTCTAATCAGGGTATTTGATTAGTTATGTTTATTGATTTAATGTGACATTATATTAATGATTAAATAATAGCTGTTTATTATAGACCTCTTGTCGTTAATTGTCTTCGTAATTATTATTCAACAGAATATATTGTATAATCTAATCTAATATTGAGTACATTAAATACTATTAGTAATAATGATTTTGTATCCTAATTAGAGATAAAAATATTAATTATGTACAAATTATTAATTTTGAAAACATAAATATTTTCTATTTCTTTGAAAGATTATCCATTATTTTATGATATGTACAAAAATAAAATGACTAAGATAAAAAAAACATTATATCTCTTATCAAAGAATGAATTCTAAAAACCAATTAAAATTTTTGTTATAGGTGTCCCCGAACCGGCGCTGCCTGAACCAGCTTAACAGCTGATCGGAGTACGAGGCGGCGGTGAACGGGGCCACAATTGCACCACCACCCCGCGTTGGAAAAACTTGAAAAATTCGTTGACCACAATATTGATCGATGGTGGATCAATAGGAAATTGGAAGGAATTAATCAATTAAAATAAATACATTTTAATATAAATACAAATAATAAAATTCGCGAATTTAATATCTTCAATCGAGAGAGCACTCAGAGACAACAGTTAACTTGATTACAATTTGATTAAACATGGTCAAAACTTTTCAAGCTTATCTGCCCTCCTGCCATCGCACTTACTCGTGCATACACTGCCGTGCTCATCTCGCAAATCATGACGAACTCATTTCTAAGGTAATTGATTAAATATTTAATTAAAGACAATGCTAATCACATATAGCCTTCAGCTATTTTAGCTAATATGCGAATTTCCGCCTTCTCTTTCTGTTTCAGTCCTTCCAAGGCAGCCAAGGTCGTGCCTACCTCTTCAATTCCGTGTAAGATATCTATACATCAACAGTAGATTTAGCTATTGCACACGCAAACAAATGTATTATTAAATTATTATTTTTTTATTAGGGTTAACGTAGGGTGCGGGCCGGCCGAAGAGCGAGTTCTGTTAACTGGCCTTCATGCCGTTGCTGATATTTATTGCGAATGCTGTAAAACGACTCTTGGTTGGAAATATGTAAGTAAATTATAGGATTAAAATGAAATGAATGGATAAGGCAGCATAATTCAAATATTTTTTTTAGTAGATTAAAAAAAATCGTTAAAAATTTTTAAGTGTTACAAAAAAATTTAGAGAACGGCTTAAAATTAATATTTAAAAAAAAATGAATTATAAATACAATTTTTTATAAATTCTTTTACATATAAAAGTATTCTAAGTATTTAACATAATTGAACAAATAACTTAAAACTCACTTTTAGATAAAGAACATAATTTATTATATATAAAAGAAATGAAGTAAAAAAATTAATGGATATTTTCGATTTTTTCAGGAGCATGCGTTTGAGTCAAGTCAAAAATATAAGGAAGGTAAATTTATAATTGAATTAGCCCACATGATTAAAGAAAATGGATGGGAATGAACCTTGGGACAGGGGGGTAATGACATACCGCCCCTGGTTACTAAAGTCCCATCAACAAAAACTTCAAATAAGGAAAAAAATTTAAAACAAACATAACAATGCCTACAATGTTGTTCTAATATTCAAATGTGCGGCGTCCTATTTTCAAACAACAGCCCTCCTTTGACAAACCACCAACGAAAGTCTGTGATTTCATTTGTGATTTGTAATCTTAGTAATGTTTTTCCGTTCTGGACAATTCATTACCGTTTTTTATTTCTCCAAACGTGAGCTTAATGGACTTATACTTTGGGAGAGTAAAAAACCGGAAATAAAGGATTTCAAAGAATGGAAGGACACTGAAAAATAACTTATGTGACTAATTGACACATAATGATGAGTATTGTAAAGAAATTATTTTTGAGAAGAATAAATCGCGAAGAAATAAAAAAAAGAAACAAATAGAGTAGAAAAAATAATTTTCGCGAAATGATTGAAATAGAGAAACGATTAAACATGTCGGCGATGTTGCTATGGTAAAGATGACGTGCAGAGAAGAGTTAAAATTGAGTAATGGAGTGCCCCTTCTCTTTTTTTTCTCTCGTTCTCTCTCTTTCTATCTTAATCTTGATAAATATTAACAGCCAAGTCGTGACAACGACGTCTTTGGCATACAAATGGATTGTGCGGGGCACTCATGAGTAGTTTATTCAATACAAAATGACAAGGGAAGAAAAATTATCAAATATTGGATGATGTTAATCTGGAAATAAACAAAAAATCCTCTTATCCGCCGGAAGCAGCGCGAATATTCCAAACTGCTGGACTGACTGCCCTGCCTGCCGCATCTATCGTTGGAATTTCACTGCCGATATTCCTAAATAATAATTAAAAAAAAAAAAACAAAAATGAAAATAATACTGTAGCCATCGTTACGGCACAGTTGTAGCCCCAGCGTAGCCTACACTAATTAATGTATTAAAGCCTATATTACAACATTATAGAACTTACAATATAGTTAATAATTATTATAAGAGTACGACTGTGAAAATGTGAATAATTAATTATGTATATTACATAAATATACATAATGATATAAACATGAATTAAAAAACGGGAGACAAAGGAATATAAAAGGTCTGGCAAAGGATTGTAATTGAAAAACGAAAATGTGATCGAGTGTGCTCGCTTGATTCTTATGTTTTCTTACGCCTGCCAAACTATCTGTTTGTCTGCCAGAAAATGCTACTTGGAATACAGTAGTAGAGTTAAATCAAATATGTTATATTATTGATATAATTGTTGTTGATTCTGCAGGATATAGAGTAATTATCAAAGATTAATTTTTCTCATAAATTTTACACTTTATCAAAACAAATTATTTTTCTTTGATTCAAGCGTGTAATAATGTTGGAACTGCGCCTTATTCCCGCGCCATCAAATCAATGAACTTTAAATTGAAAAACAAATCTATCACTGAGGTAATTGCTCATTATTCTTAATATCGATCTCATTTGTAATTAATTAATAAATTAATTAAACTTATTAAATTGAAGTGAGAAGGAATAAGCGGGTCGGCAAAGAGTGTTTTTTCAATTAAATGTTTTTTAAGAATAAATTTTTAATCGAATAGATAAAATTATTCATAATCAAATGGTAAAAGCGTCAATTACTGGGTGTTTATGTCATTGCAATTAATTATAAAATTTTTTATTTCAATTACTGAAATTATTATTAGAATAAATTTTAATGTTAATTGAAATTAGTTGATATATATAATATTAATTATTGTCGTTATTACATTTTAGTAAACATTAAATAATGTATCCAGCCGTTGATACTTTTGTTCAATTAGGGAATTATAATTACGAAATGACAGTGTAATTGAAATATGTTTTATTGATAGTAGAATTTAGTGGTATATTCATTATTATCATTATCGTAGTAACTATTACTACTATTACTACTATGATTATTCTATGATTGAATGTTATTAGAATTGTAATTTACGTATTTGTTGTTTAGTAGAAAGAATTGTGGAGGGCACGTAAGCCGACCCGTAATGTCTTAATATCTTTTTAGATGAAAGAATTTGAAAAGTGCGTGTTACGATAGCTATTCTGTATACATCTATGCTCGCATATCCATGTGATGAAAAATAGATAAATAAAATCGTGTCACTCGATATTGTGCCAATGGCATGAGGACATTAGGATTGGTCAATCATCTATTGGTTAAACAACTCTTATCTGAGCTAAGATGATTATTCAATCATCATGTGTAATAATAAAAGTAAAATTTCGAGTGAAAAATTACGCATATATATGAAAGTGCAACATGTTCTGATTGTGCAGGTCATTTACGAGAGATTGTGAGAGTGCTTGTGGTGGCCTAATCCTCGCTATGTCTCTCGAGAATACTTTTGATATTAATGTGCTGAAAAATGAAACATAAAAAAAAAAATAATAACTTTTCCCTTCCCCTATAATTATTTTTCTGTATTTCGTCTTGATAAAACAAATTGAGTCCACTGACCACGAGTCTATCTTTTTGAAAATTATTCTTTTAGTCATCACTGATGTTTCTATCCACAAAATTCACAGAATTTGCTTTGTAAAACGTATTCGTAATAAAAATATTTCAAAATATTTGTGTTAATTTGATATTTTGTTGATAAGAAAAATAATTATTTTTAATAGGTTTTATTGTTGCAATATCATAATAATAACAAAGAAGAAACAAAACAAAAAAATTTGAAATTATTTTTTATTTAAATAATGTAATCAAGAATATAAAGAAGTTTAATGTTTATAATCTTTGGAATCGTATAATAATAAGAAAATTAAATAATTTCTGAATATTTTTCTTTTGATTCAATCGGTGAATCAATTGCGATTTGGAAGAGAGCACACGCATTTAAGCTAAAAGTTACTGACATAATATTTTTTCACAACAACCAATTAAATATATTCCAAATAATAAATATATTAAAAAATGAAACTTTTTTTATTCTATCAATATATAATAATTATCAATTTTATGTTAAAAATTATTGTTAAATAACGTATATAATACAATATACATATATGATCATTTATTTGTCCAGTAAAACTTTACAATAAAAACAAAACTTTTAAAAATAAAACTAAAAATAAAAAATCAATTTAATTATGCTGCATATGATGATTTAATGATTTTTATATATACATTAAAACATTAATTTCTTTCAATAAATTATTATCTGATATTTATTACCATTATTTTCTTCAAAATATCACTTTTATGTATATCATTATAAATTTTGGCTTCAAATTGATTACATATCTCATAGAGATAAAAAATCCTGAAAAAATTAAGCATGAGATGAGATTGCTCAAAGCATGGCTTGATAGTGGTATTACATATTTAGGCTATTAATTCGCTAATTGTTTACTTTTACTTCTTTTTATATGATCTGAGTCTGGAGTATGTCAATCAGTAAAAAATAACACATACTTTCCCTTTTTCATTTTATTTGATTTCACATATGCAACATTCCCTCTCTTTTCCCATCTCTTACAACTTTACTCTCGTCCTATCTTAGTCTCTGACTTATGTATATGTATTACCATACTGCTTGGTCCACTGGTCTCCAGTCTCAGGCTCAAGTCTGACCTTATTCTTCTCCATCTTCTTCTTCATTGTAGGTTTATGCTCAATCAGTTGCTGCAGCACAAAGGAACATTCAAGTAGTGTAGTGCGCTTCGAATATAGCTGGTAGTTTCTGAATAGATAAATTTAGATCCTTCATCGCTTCATAAATTTTGCATAATATTGAACTTAAGTTCACTTAATATCGATAAAAAACCGTGAAAAAATAAAACTGTGAAAGTTGTGAGACATTTATTATTAAAATTACTATAATGAAGCGTTCAAAACATTGGTGGATTCTTTTATTGTTATTTGTTGTAAACATTGATACCAGTTTTGGAGTCTCTGAAAGTAACTTAAATGAAAATAACTATCATGGATGTCCGCAAAAATGCTGGTGCTATTATACTAGTGTTAGATGTATGTTTCAAGGTCTAACGAAAATACCAAAAATACCTGCAAATACCACAATATTGTGAGTTACTTTTTCATGATTTTTTTTCAATTATTTATACAACTATTTTTTTATATTTATTCCTCACTAGAGTGAATTATCATTTTAATGTAATTATTAAACATCTCATGATCTCACAAGAGATAATTTGTAAAACTGATAAATTGTTAAGTTATACCGTCATTTATTATTTTTGTACTCACTTCTATGAACTATTGTAATTCTTTGATAATTTTATGATCTCTCAGATCTTTTTATGGGATTTCTAACAAGAGAAAACCTTGAACAAATTCTATTGAACTATTCACAAAGAAATTTTGATTTTTAACAAAAATATATTATTTCATCAATTAGAAAATTATCTCAACAGAATTTAATTTAAAAAATATGATTTATTTTAATTGAAAGAATCTAAAATTTATTTTTAAGTGAAAAAGCCAAAAAAAAAACAAACAATAAAATTATAGCACGTTTTCTCAGAATAGATAAAAGTTTATTTTAATTCCACACTGTTTTAGAACAGGAAACTACTGCTTTTCGTGATGATTTATAGTTTAGACGATAATTTTTAGAGCTGAGATAATATGTTTATAAAATTTTCATAATAAAAATAATTTTTCTTCTTAAATTCTTTGCTTCGTAAAAACTATTTTGCTCTAAAGTGTACATAAGTATCAGCAATGTTATTCTTCTTTCAGTTTACATAAACATTTATTCTCATCATTAACGATTTCTAATAACTGTTTACAGAGAAAACATTTATTAATTTCAAGAATAATTTCATCTGTAAAAATTATCATTTTTATTTTCCTTTGACAATGGTCGATTTATACAAACATTTATTGATGAAAAAATGAATTTTTTTTATACCACATGAAGATATAAAGATAATGTTTGTTATAAAACTATTATGATAATTTTACATTTTAATAATTATAATAAAGATAATAATAATAACACTGCCAATAAAAATAATCAATTTTGCATTGATAGATCTTATTCACTGAAGCTGAGAGATTGAATGCCTAGCAGAAAATCAATCAGATTTGATTGCAATGACTCATTAAAAATACATGACATTTGCAATTAATTGAAATGATCTTTTAATCAGTGATAATAGAAAATAATTAAGAACGATTATGTTAATGGTTGACTAACAGTTGTATGAAAGAAAAAATAATTAATAAGTGGAAAGCTGGAGCATTTAACTTTCAAAAAAATATCATCAACTAATCAATAAATATTTAAAACAAAAAAAAAATTCTTTAACTTTATTAAAACTAATCGGACTATACTTTCATCCAAGTCTTAATAAAATTACAACTAGTTTAAGTATAACAGTAATAATGGAAAAAATAATAATTATAATAAAGTGAGAACAAATTCTTTTTCCAGAGACTTACGGTTTAATGAGATAGATGATCTCCCTGTGGGCGTATTTCATGGTCTAAAACACTTGGATACTATTCTCCTAAATGACAATAAAATAAAACACTTAAAAAAGCATACATTTAGTGGATTACGAAACTTGAAGATACTTAATTTACACAACAATCATATCACTTTGATAGCTCCTGGTACATTTGCTCATCTACCAAATCTCAGGCAGCTTCATCTACATTCAAATAAATTGACAGAAATTCTAGCTGGAACATTTAATGACTTACCAAAATTGGAAAGATTATTCTTGCAAAATAATCAAATTCGTAGACTACCAGCTAATGCTTTTGAAAATATAGGATTTATGACAAGATTGAGACTTGATTTTAATCCATTAGAATGTGATTGTGATCTCTTGTGGTTAGTAACAAGATTCCAAGAAAATCCAACTGTTGAAATGACTGCAGTTTGTCATTCACCTGCTGAAGTAAAGGGGAGATCTTTGACGAGTCTTTTTATTGATGACTTTCATTGTCGTAAGTAAAGAAAAATGAATTATTTTCTTATTGACAAGTTTTTACCCTAAATTATTTGAAAAGATTTATTAACAGAGTAAAATTGTGTTTTATCGTTCAATTATTTGGCACTTTATCAAATTTGAGTTGGTTTTATTCACCAAAGCAAAAATGAAATAAATTGTTGATTTGATGAAATTGTATTAAATTTAAGAAAGATTCATTTGAATAGCTTAAAAATATATTTTTGTTTTATAGATATGCCAAAAATTATGAAAGACCCAGAAGACATAAAGGTAAATGTGGGGGATACAGCATATTTTACTTGTCAAGCAAGTGGAGATCCAAAGCCAAGAATAAAGTGGATGAGAAATTCTGATACAGTAAATGTAGATGGCAAGAGGTATCTCTTGAAGGATGATGGAACTTTAGTTATTTTCCAAGTGAATGAAAATGATATTGGTGAATATGAATGTATAGCTGAAAGTAAAATGGGATATACTATTTCACGAAAAGCTCGAGCTATTGTGACTGCAGCACTTCCTGCGATTCGTTTTATTGAAGTAAGAACTACTGAAAAAAACACTCAATGCCTGTTTGAAAACTTAACAAAAGAATCATTGTATGAACTGTTACATATTCTAAAAACTCAAATAAATTTAATCGTTTTTATGAATTTTTAGGTACCGCAATCTCAAACAGTAAAAGTTGGAGATACTATAATTTTAACATGCCGAGCAGATAGCAAACTGTCCGTCCAATTAGAATGGTGGAGAAATGGTCAACGAATTCATCAAGATTCTCGTCGAGTGTTTTTAGAAAACGAAGGAAGCAAATTAAAGATCCATTCAGCCCAGCATCAAGATTCAGCTCGTTATATCTGTCAAGCACGAAACATTAATGGTTTTGCGGAAGTTAGTGCGGACATAAAAGTCCTCGTAAAAGATTCATCAACTCCAATACTGACATATAAACCTTCAAGTGATCTAGAAGTCGAGTTAGGAGCAACAGTGGAGCTTCCGTGCAGAGCCAAAGGGGAACCTAAACCTCAGATCCACTGGAAGAAAGATGGAAGTGCTGTAGAAATATCTCCGAGGTTCAAAATATCACGTGGAGGTTCTTTATATATTTATAATATAACAAATAGCGATACTGGACGTTACGAGTGCAATGCTGTAAATGATCATGGGCGTGTAACAGCTCAATGTCTTGTGCGGGTCCGTGATAAAATATTTGGATCATTAAACAACGATATTATTCAACGGGCATTTAATGACGCAACAATAAAAATTGATAGAGCCATTAATCAAACACTCGTGTCTCTTTTTGGGCAATCAGACGTTAATGATAAGGCTAAAAATAACAATCAACATAGAACTTCACCTTCAGGACACGTAGATCTCTTTAGACTAGCCAGATTTCCTAACTTTCAGGCTAGAGCTGCTGCCAAACCGGCTGAAATATTTGAACGAACTCTTTATAATATCCGACAGTATATTAATCAAGGACATTCAATGAATGTTTCTGGTCCTTTTAAATATGAAGATATTCTGAGTAAAGAGCAGATTGAAGAAATAGAGAAACTTTCTGAATGTACAGGTCATAGAAAAAAATTACGCTCCTGTAGTCACAACACCTGTTTTAACAAAAGGTATCGAAGTATTGATGGAAATTGTAATAATCTGGATAATCCTATGTGGGGTGCGTCATATACAGGCTTCAGAAGAATTCTCCAACCAATTTATGAAAATGGTATTTCTCAGCCAGTTGGATGGGATAAGAAACGGCTTTACTATGGATTTCCTAAGCCACCAGCGAGATTAGTGTCCACGAAAATAATTTCTACTCACAAAATTACTCCAGATACCAAAATCACCCATATGGTGATGCAATGGGGTCAATTTTTAGATCATGACCTAGATCATGCCCTTCCTGCAATATCTTCTGAATCATGGGATGGAATTGATTGTAAAAAGTCCTGTGAGCATGCTGCTCCATGTTTTCCTATGGAAGTTCCTAGAGGTGATCCAAGAATCACTAATAGAAGATGTATAGATTTTATTAGGACAAGTGCTGTGTGCGGTTCTGGAGCAACAAGTATACTTTGGGGTCGTGGAGTAATGCCCAGAGAACAGATGAATCAATTAACCAGTTACTTAGACGCTTCTCAAGTTTATGGGTATAATGATGAATTAGCACTTGACTTGAGAGATCGAGTAAATGGACGTGATAGAGGATTACTTAGAGAAGGTGTTACTTTTCCTGATAAAAAACCACTTTTACCATATGCTTCTGGCCAATTTGTTGACTGTCGAAGAGATGTTTTAGAGTCGTCAATAAATTGTTTTGTCGCTGGAGACATTAGAGCAAATGAACAGGTTGGACTCTTAGCTATGCATACAATTTGGCTGAGAGAACACAATAGACTAGCTCGAGAATTGGCAAACATAAATCCTCATTGGAATGGAGAGAAGATTTATCAAGAAGCAAGAAAAATAGTTGGCGCTGAAATGCAACACATTACTTATCATTATTGGTTACCCACTATTTTTGGTCAAACCATTGATGAACTTATTGGACCTTATTTAGGATATAACCACAATTTAGATGCAAGTATTTCTAATGTATTTGCAACAGCAGCACTCCGGTTTGGTCATTCATTGATCCAACCGCGTTTAGAACGACTTGATGAACAATTTAGAAGCATTCCCCAAGGACCTTTGAATCTACGTGATGCTTTCTTCGCTCCTTGGAGACTTGTTGATGAAGGTGGAGTCGATCCTTTGATACGTGGAATGTTTGCAACTGCTGCAAAACTCAAACTACCTGAGGAAAATTTGAATACTGAGCTGACAGAACAACTCTTCAGAACAGCGCATGCGGTAGCATTAGATCTAGCATCAATGAATATTCAAAGAGGTCGAGATCATGGCATTCCTGGCTATTTGGAGTGGAGAAAATTTTGTAATATGAGTGTAGTAGATAATTTTGATGATCTTGTACATGAAATTAGTAGCGAAAAGGTAAGGAGGAAACTTAGAGAGCTCTATGGTCATCCTGGAAATATGGATGTTTGGGTTGGTGGTATTTTAGAAGATCAATTACCTGGTTCTAAGGTTGGGCCATTATTTAAATGTTTACTTGTTGAACAGTTTAAAAGAACTAGAGATGGTGATAGATTTTGGTACGAAAATCCAACGACTTTTAAGCCTGAACAACTTCAGCAAATTAAAAAAATTACTCTTTCAAGAATTCTGTGTGATAATGGAGATAATATTACAGAGATTCAACCAAATGTATTTTATCTTTTTAATAATCCGGAAAATAGTTTGACATCTTGTGATAATATTCCGGAAATGAATTTGCAATTTTGGTCTGACTGTTGTGATAATTGTGATGATGATACAAGTAATACTATTCCACGATTTAGAAGAGCAATAAATAGTAATAAATATACTAAAGCTTTTAATAATTACAGTGTAATTGAAGAAACTTTTGAAAAAGATTCGTTTGATAGTATGGAGATTCTTGACAAGAATAAAGAGTCATTAGTACAAATGATTGATTTTGTTGAAGATGAAACAAAAAAACTTAATAAAATTATACGTCACATAAATAAACGTGTTAAAAAACTTAAAGAAATAACATTAGGTATTAAAGAAAATAAAAATATGAAAAAGAAATCAGAATATAAGCATAAGAATATAATAGCAGATAAGCTAAACAATGCTGATGAGTAACAAGAAAATTGCTAGTCTTAGAAATAATTCAATTGAACTAAACTGTGCAGCATTATTTTATCTATTAATTTAAAAAATATATTTATTGTTTTTCAGAGCAATTATTAATACAATGCATTTTAACTAAGTAAAGTATCATAAGTATAATATATATTATAAGATGCTTTTTTTACTTTTACTAAAGTACTCAGTGAAATTATCTTGCCATGTAAACTATTTTGCAGCTTACACTTTGTATCATAAAATTACTAAACGTTTGATATCCTTAACTTATTTATAAGTCTTTTACCTCTTTCAATAATAATTTTACTTTTAATTTTGATAACAACTACATTACGTTTGTATCATTTGTAATATTTTTCATACACTGAATAAATTGTAATAATATTTTATCAATAAGTGTAATATTTTATAACTACAATTACTCTTTGTTGTAATTATTTTAAAATTTTGATAATTCAATAAATAATACAGAAAAAATGGCACGAGTCAATTTTATGGCTCGTATATTCTCTGTAATTAGGTTATTTAATTACCAATTATGCCAATTTGAAAATACTTATTGAATATTTTCTAATGGTGGCGACAGTGGTTGCACTGTTTAGTCGGCGTCATTTAGGTTAGGATTTGTTACGAGTTTGATTTTTTTGTTGTTATTCAGTAAATTGAAAACATAATTTACTAATAAATTCATTAAAATGGCACAAGGAAAGTTAAAAGCAAAAACAAAGCTTCCAGCGAAAAAAAATGCACCACAAATGAAAAATAAAAAAAAAGGACCACAAATACAACGACGTGGAAGTAAGTTTAATTTTAGATACTTATGTTGTGATATTTCATTGTTAATAAAAATATTTATTTGTTTATTTCAGATGCTCCAATAAAACCAAAAAAAGTGAAAACAGTTGAATCTCAAAAATTGAAACAAATAGTTACAAAATCATTAAATAAAGCAATGGAAGATGAACTTAGAGACAGAGCACTTGAGGGAAAAAAATCACTCACTAAAAAACAAGCTGCCCTTCCACAGCAAAAATAGTGAATTATTTAAAGTAAGATTTATTGTTTATAAGTTGATAAAAATATGTAATAAATATTTTTATACATTCAATATTTATTTCTAATAAATGCTGTTGATAGATATTCGATCATAAAGTTATGTTATATTTAATATAACTTTGTACAATATTATTGTTACTGTTAATATTATATTTAACATTTTTATAAAATCAAACATGAACATATTCATGGCACAACAGTTATAAAATTAGATATAATTTATACATTAGTAGTTATTCATGTTAACAGATTATAATTTAACAGTTTATTGGAAGAATATCGGTGTCAACAATATACAGTGTATTTTATTTTCCACATGTTCAATTATTTAAAGCCATTAGCGTCTATTAAATATATTATTGCTAATTTTTGTTTGTTACATAACGTTTTCCTTTTTTAAAATCACATTAAATGAGGCAGTTTTAACAGTTTATATCATAAAAATTGTAGTTTTTATTACTTTAAGGCGTAGCAACCTAAAAGACGATGAAAGTTTATCTCAGATAAAAAATAAGCATACAATCATTTCAAAGAATATAATCTAAACTTTCATTGTTTATTTACCACTAAAAGATGGCCACTTTGTCTATTTTTACTGATTGCTGGAGTACTTCCTCTCCTGAACTCTATCGTGCCTTCTTTTCCACTGACTAGTTTATGTGAGACCCTAAAATAAGTATAAAAATACAATCTTAGGTTAAATAGACTAAGTTTAAAGTATAAATGAATAATTATATAAAATAATTGGTATTTTACGTTTCTTTGTTGACAATATTTAAAATTTTCGGATTATTAGTGATACTAATAGCTTTGGTGAGGGCCTCTATGATGTGTGGTACTTCGAGGATTAAATCGCCCTAAAACAATAGTTAACGTAATTATTAAGCTTCTTTATAAATTAAATATTTTTAATAAACATTTAAATACTTTTACCTTATCTTTTTTTAGTTCTGGAGGAATTCGAACGATTAACAGATTATCAGATTCCGCAGTGACAACGAGTTCTTGAATAGATTCATAAGGAAGACGATGTTTAAGTTTAAAAGGCTTGATAGTATCCAAGATGTAAACAGCTTTTTCAGTTAATATCAAAGCTCTTTCTCTCGGTTTATATCCATGACGGTCATATTTAACTACAGGTGTGCAATATTTACAGTTTTCACCAGCAGGAAGAACATTAGCAATGAAGGTTTGTTTCAAAGCATTATATTCATTTCCTAATCTATCTTCTTCAAATCTTGGACCAATACTCTTTGGATACGAATTCTTCTTTCTTTTAAATAGTTGTTCTGCCAAAACTTTCAATTCAAATTGTTTTTTCTCAGCTTCTGACAATGAAAGTCTATATTTTCTCACTTTCCATTTTTTGTACATAACTCTTAAATGTTCAGAAGCTTCTCTACATGCGTAAGGACAAGGAGGCCAATAATTATTTAAAACTCCTGGTGGTAATGTTTTTGAAAGTCTTATTAGCCATTGGAATTTTGCTAATTCAATGAAAGATTGATTGATATCAGTTGGAGGACCATTGCGTGTAATAAATCCTTCAATGAATCTTCTTATTTTCTGTACAGCTCGACGTCTTCTATCAGCTTTTCTCTTAGCAATCCATCTTCTCACATACTTCTCTAAAATAATCGCAGCTTGGCGCATTTTTAAGTATCTTCTTCTCTGCAATATTCCTTTCCATTTACTCTGAATAATTGCTGCTATTTCATTCTTTTTCCTTTGAAAAGCATCTTCTGTATCAAAAAGAGTTTTTGGAAATCTAATAAACAGTTTAGTATTTCCCATTTGATATTCATTATCAGCATAATTAAGATAAGAGACTAAAATTTGAACTCCTTCTTTTGCTGGACCTTGATACGAAGGCCAAGTATTAGGGCATAACGATTTATATCGCTGAAGAAACTGTTCATAAGGTCTTCTATAAGCAAAGCCTGCTCGCCTTACTCTCAAATTCTCCATTAATCCAAGGTACTTGACTTGGTGAACAACAATCTTATCATTAAATTGACTGGAAAGCTTAAAATCGTTTGGTTTAATGCAACGAATATAAGATGGTTCTTTTCCCATTAAAATATCTACAAGATTATTTAAACTATTTTTGAATTGAGTTATTGCAGTATCTGGACGTTTTTTACTTGTCAAATCTTCAACATTAAAAAGCTTCTTTGTGATTGAATTTGTTGTATGTGACATTACTTCTCTTAGATCTCTAAATAATAGATCATTATTTTTTTCCAGGAATCCTCGAACATTGTACGTGACATCTCCAGCATAATGAATTAATCTAAATTCATCTCGACCCATAATTTTCTGAGTTTGGATATCCGCCTTCATGTGAGAAATATAATGAGGATGACTGTTAAGATTGACATTAAGTTTCTCTAGAAAACTTAAATCTGTCGGTTCTCCAGGACGAAGACACTCTTCATCCATCAGTGAAATAATACCTTTATGTTTTTCTTCAATTAAATCACAAATTACTTTATTATTAAAATAATCAATATGCTCCCAAGTAATTCCTTCACGAAGATATTCTTCTTGTTCACTTCGTAAAGTAAGCTGTATAAATAACTGTTGAAGTTTTTCATTACAAAAATTGATACAAAATTGTTCAAAACTATTTTTTTGAAAGATTTCAAAGCCATAAATGTCTAAAATTCCTATGACATTATTTTTCAAATGTTGATCATCAAATTGAAGTGATTTATTAAGACGAGCAACTAGCCAAGTAAATAAACGATCGTAAACTGCTTTTGCTAAAGCATCTCTTGCATAAATAGCAAGTTCTCGATTCAAGGGAGATATCACAACATCTCCATGTGCATTAATACTACGATGAGTAAAAGCCTTTCCTAGTTGTTTTACATCGCATCCTAGAAGAGCAGCAACAGCTTTAACAGATTCAGGTTTAAGAATCTTTGCCTTTCCTTCTTCTTCAGTGAAACCGACGTTGCCCATGTGTAAAACTGAAGCAACGATAGAAAACAAATCATCTTGTTCTTGCTGATTCAATTCTACAGTTTTCATTGCATCAATTACACAATTGTACTGGCTCACGTCGTCGATAGTATCTATTGTTCCTTTTGATCCATTACTAAGATAATAATAAGTGTCTAGATTACGCTTAAGGAATAATTTACGAAGTGTTTCATCACTTGCTCCAGCAAGAAGCTGATAAAATATGTGGAAATTCCTTTCTCCTGTTGATTGATGAATCACCCGAGATTTTTCCAATAGATAATTTAGGATGTTTCCTCCTATTGGATCGCCCTAAAAAATGAAAAACAATAAGGTATGCATGATTTTGTTTTTTTACAATCCAAAATTAACTCTTTTAAATTTTTCAAACAAGAATAACTTTATCATGCATTTTTTATTGATTATCTATTTAAAGTTATTTCATTGATGATAAAAAAAATTCTCTTACTTGAAAGTCAAATTGAATATCCATATATTTTCCGAATCTCGAAGAATTATCATTTCTATTAGTCTTGGCATTCCCGAAAGCTTCAAGAACTGGATTACTGCCTATTAATTTATCATTAACAGCTTCAACTTTTTTTTTATGGCCAGTTGCAGCAGCAATAAACTGTAAAATTTTCTTGGATGCTTCTGTTTTACCAGAACCGGATTCACCGGAGATTAAAATACATTGATCTCGATTTTCTTTAGTCAGCGAGCGATATGCCGTGTCAGCTAAAGCAAATCTGAAAAAATAAAATAGTCATTGAATAGAAGAAGAAGAAGTAGAGGCCGATGTAAAAGTAATTTTCTCTCTACCTCGAGCATTTTACTTACATGTGCGGTGGTGCTTCAAAGAAATTTCTCCTTTCATAATATTCAATAGTTGCAGCATCATAAATAGGCAACGATTTGTATGGATTTACTGACACTAAAACTTGACCTATGTAAGTCTAGATTTAAAAAAAAATTTATTATTGAAAATTATCATTAATTCCAACTAATATTCTTTGTTTATAACTATCAACAATAATTTAAATAAATATTTATAATGAGATACTAATGATTTTTTATTTAAATATTTTATATTATTTAAATTACTTAAGAAAGTGTTTTTCAAATCAATATTATTATTAGCAATAATGATAATAATAAAATTGAATTGCTAATAGAAGTAGTAGAAAGCTAATGTATAATAATTTATTGATTTGTTCTTACATAGATAAGATTCTCTTTGAACCGTTTGCGAAGATTGTCAACAAAAGCTCTCTCACTTTGGAAATCTTCGAGAAGGACAAAGTCCTGTACTCCAACGCGGTCTCTTTCATGAAGATCTCGCTCCATACTGCTAGAGTAAATCGATGAAGCAGAAGGTATTGTAGAACTTTTATTTGTCGTTTCTCTAAAATATACCAATATTCGAAAACATATAAAAATTTATCAGTAAACAAATATAAAAAATCAAATAATCCTTCACATGTCAATTCAAACAGTTTGAGGTTTGTAGTTTGAAGTCATGTCTTGGATGGTAGAGATAATCTCTACTAGATTAAATATCAGTGTCTCCTTAGTAGTTCTAAGATATCTATATGTAACTGACAATGTGTATTCGTGTCAAATCGATAAAGTCTACAATAAAATATTCGTTAGAAATAATCTTTAATATCAGTTATATGAGTTAACAGTAAACTTTAATGCAATGTTAACGATTATTTTATTAGTATATTGATAATGTCCAGTACTTTTATAAAAACTTAAGCATTATTATTATTGGCTTTGACACATAAAACTTACCCCATGATGATATTTTTATCAGGAAAAAAGAAAATAAAAATAACAATCGATATGATTGTTTACCAGAGGTGTAATAAATTATTAGCAAAATATCAATGAAGAAAAAATTGTATGAACAGATGGATTTTGTACTTAACTGAACAATATTTCAACTTCAAATGAATCGAATCTGGTAAGACGACAGAGATAAGATTAAATTATCTTAATTGTTATTATAAGTTTTTATGATGTTCTTTAAATTATGGTCGATATACATGAACGTTTACATGCTGTTCTATCACGCTATTGAAATTAATTTCATCATATCATGCTTTTAGGAACCAGAACGTGTCAAATGGTGCCGAGAATTGGAGATAATTTTTTTGAAACGTACGTAATAATTAACTTATCACTGTATTGTGATTTGGACTATAAAGACGTCATTTAATACATTTAAAAGGCGGAGAAGTTAACGGAAAGCACGCGCTGCATAGTATTGTTCATTGTGCAAAGTATTTCCGGCTTTCAAGAGACCGTCTCTGGAAAGGCGGAATTTAACCATCAGCTTGAGAAATTTATTCTATGAGATTATTCGTGTACTTTAGTTGATTAACTTTCTCATCTATCTGTTCTGAGGTTTATTTTTCTTCAGTACTTGACTACTGCTTTTCTCATGGATTTTTTTATGTCGCTTCCTCTTCAACTCCTCTTAGAAGCAAACTGTGTGGTGTTTAATAATAGAATAATATATTTCAGGGTAAGGGACACAAGCACATCGAACTCTTGCCTGCTCTGTTTATATATACTTTTTATTTCAATTTAATGTAACCGTGGGGTATAAGAAAATTACGTTAATTATGAGTATGAAATACCTTCTGGGCGTTAAATAACATTAATTTGTGAAATGATAACAACAAAAATATGTTAATAGACAGTAAAAAATAGAATACTGGGAATCATATCGATAATAAATAATTAAAAATAATTTTTTTTAAAAGCAATTGCTTTAAAAGTAATAAATTAGTAACAGCATTTAGCTCACAGAATGAAAAACAAAAAATATTTATCTATCGTTTAATGCAAATATTGAGTCATTTTGAATACATATAAATGAGTTATATGTTTTAAGTCGATCAATAAAAATATTCATGAGTCAGAAATATTAAAGTTACTTGAAAAAGATCGATTTTCAATGACATTGATTTGGAGAATATTTTCAAGTTTTATAGTGTTATTTTTTTGGACTCTCTACTCCAAAAGAGACCTAGATGAACCTTAACATGAACCTGGATGGATATTTGCGGCATTACTTAGAAGGTATCAAGGTCATCCAGCCACAAAATTTAAGCCCAGCCAACCGGTTTTTTTCGTTGACTAGACCGCTAGACATTCGCTCAATTTTTTCGTCACGTTTATTTTATGATGCTTTTTAAACAGGTAAATTGTTCGTTTACATTATTATTGAATTCTATCTAAATTTCAATACCGTTATTTCCAATGATTTAAATAATATAATTTCTAAATCTTTTACTGAAATGTTTTTTGTTCAATTTATTCCAGGAAGTTGCTGTTGTTTTATGACCCAACAACTATTGAAAAGATAACAACAGTGATGTGAGTAGAATTCTAAGAGAAAACGTCAAGAATACCAAATAAAACAACCCTTTACAAAATAGTAACTCAAAAACCTTCGGCATAGTTGTAAATTTTATAATTTGACCAATTTACCACTTTTTCTTCGATTATTATGTGTATACTTAAAGTATCGGTTTCAGTACAAGAAAATTGCACATCTTTTCTTTATATTATCCTTCCGTTCTCAACGAAGTTAAAAAATGAAAAATTCGTACGAATAATATGTCGAATAAAAGAAAGAAAAAAAAAGAACAAAAGAAATAAAAGAACCGTAAGACCGTCTAGTGAGTCACCGGCCAGGTTGTCACAATCGACTTTTTTGCATCGAGTACCCATAAAATTCGATTGAAGATAAGGTGTTATCATTCCATTAGCAATAACGTAACTTGCTATCTTTCAAGGTAACAGTAATACAAATGGCCGTTGACTGTTTTTATTTGAATCCTGTATTACGATACTTATTTTTACTTTTTAACAAGTTGAGAGTAAACGAAATAAAAGCAAAAGTATGACCGTGATCGAGATGAAGAAAAGTTAGCCAACTGTGACTCACTCTCCAGATGTATCCGATGCATCAATTAAAGTTCTTGATCTACACTCAATGCTCATACATGTAAAAAAATGCCACTCATCTCAACTTTCTACTTACATTAATCTTACACTGTTCCTCTAGTTTGATTCTTTGGTAATAATGAATTTTTATGACCGTTCCAGTCATCTGATGCGAATAAATTAACTTGCAATTAAAATGCAAGGGCAAGACCAGCTGCGAAAGGTGACTGCTCTGGTAAACGCAGCCGGTCAAAGCTTACTAAGAGAAAGGAAACCACTTTGACGCCAAAGAAATGCAACAAAAATAAATAAAAGGAACGTACACAAGATCTAACGTGCGCACACGTTGTGTGCCACAACGTAACTAACACTGGGAGATTGAGACGAGCGACCATGAAGGAACCAATGCCCCACTCGTTTTCTTTCTTTACCATGAGTAGGACTCTCATGGATATGGAGAAGGAGAAGCCTTCCCTCAATAAAATACTTATGGGTATGCCATTTAAAGCTACCAGGTATGACTTTATGCCCTCATTAACTCCCTTATTTCACTTTCATTAATTAGAAACTTCTGCAGGTTAATCATCACGTGTTGCAGTTTGGCATTTCATCACGCTTGGCCTCCTCATCTAGAAGCTATTACGAATGGTGTTATTATTATTGTCTATTTTGTCTACATAAAGTCTAGAAGAGAGGGTAAGCACGAGGGTCAAGTCCAGCGAACCGATACAACCCTCTGCTATGTCCGGTAGTGACAGTCTGATGTGCGCGTCCGTTCGATTCATACGAGTTTTTCCGCACCCTCTAGTTACAACTTTATTTCCACGCGATTGTAGCATATCAAATAGAATATTCTATTTTTTACTTTCATAGTACGTATCTCTGGAAAGTTTATTAATTAATTATTTATTAATTTCTTATTTTAATCTGTTGAAATTTAATTGATTGAAAATGTTAATTTTTTGTTTGTTTGATTATTCATCAAGGAAAATAATCAGGGTGACGGATGGTGCTGCTGAAAACTCCGTCACCGCAACGCGGCGACAGCCAAAGATCTAAAAATCAGCCCCCAAAACTAGCAGATTCAACTCGTCGATCGCGTGGTAATAGTCCAAGTGAAAGATCAAACGTATCTCGTGGCAACAGTCCTTCCAAAGCTACTTCTTCTGGATCTAAGAATAAGTCATCGAACTCTTGGACGTCAAAAAGATCAGAGTTAGTAAAGTATTTTAAATAATAAACATAGAAATGTCGAGTGTGTGAACAATAAAACAGCTTGCGGAAGTAGTTAGAAATGACAGAAGAACATGTAGTGAAGAATATGCAAACGCGTTCGTTATGTAGATCTGGGACAAAGATGAGACATGTCAACGTCATGTGACAAGTCCCGCGAGTTTGCGTTTATTTCTTTTCAGAATTTTATTTTACCTGCTAATAAATGAATTGCTTTTAGGTTTATTTCATTGAGATTTTGATAATCGTTATGGATAACAAGTTGTCTATGGATAAAAATGTCGCGGTGGTTGAATGATAAGTGCATATTAAATGTCAAATATCGATCTGAAGACCTTGTCCGTTTGTGTGGTTTTACTACGATCGATATTAAAATATACTAACCCTCAGACCACGTACAGAAGTTCATCGAAAAAGTATTAGCTGCTTTTCGCAGTCTGTATACTATGTAATGACGCAAACAATTACCGTATCTCCTAGAGCAATATCATTCTTCATGAACTTTTAGAAAATTTAATCAATGACTATACGTTCATTTAAAGTAATCAAACAATTATTCACTTTAATCGTTTGTATTGATTAACATATTAAAATATTAAATAAATAAAAAATTTATAAATTATGTTCTTGTTAGGATCAAAACTTGTTAACTATTCGATTATGTAGAAATGATGATTTGTTTATGATAAGGATCGAAAGCATGACTAGTTTTGATAAAATCGCACGTGTTGAGCAATTTTCCTGACTATTCGTTTTAACTACAATGTGACGTAAGAAAAATTCATACGGGTTATCCTCATGATTTCCTATCTTTATTGTTTTTCGTGGTAAAATTATAGTTTACATAAATATATGTAGAAATAGCCCACATAAATCGAAAAACAAGTGGCCTTTTGCAAATGATAACTTGTTTTATATTAATCCAAGTTACTTTACCATAACATATCCGATCTTATAATTTTTATTCATTTCTTCTTAGCTATAATAATGTAACATTGGTATATAATTTCTTAATAGCCACGTGCACGAATAGATCGCATATCAGTTGAACAATTCAAAGTCAGTTTGTACCAATATTTGAATAAGTACTTCACCATAGGCAATGCGTCACACCTGTCATGTTTCAATGTGGTGGGAGTGTTTCACTTTGACACAATATTTTCCCTCATGTACATTAGCTTTTAAAAATCTCTCATGAGTGAAACATACAAAAATTATCGATTTTTAATTAAAACTGATTAAAATCTTAAAAAACTAATTGAAAAACGCACCAGAGCGTGTAATGTCATTAAATATTTCGAAAACGAACTATGAATATTGATTCCATTTTTATAATATTAAATGTTTAAAGTTCTTTCGGTAGATTTTAATAATTTAATATAACAAGTATATTATAATATTTTTCATCCAATTTTTATTGCATGAATTTAACTATAAGAACACTGTAGTAAAATTTATATATTTATTTAAAGTTTAAATATATATAAACAATAGAAAGTTTATTATAACATACATTTCAAAAAATGATAAATGAGGATGATTATGTACTTACCGTAATGTGCAACGTAATAATTATTAATTTATCAGTAACGAGAAACTACTTTTAATTGTATTTAATTTAAAAAAATTGCAATTTTTTTTAAACAGCATTTAACTTCTTTTATAATCGACGTAAGAGTGAAAATTGTAGTTCATGACGATATAAATGCAAACAATAGTTTAAAAAGCAGTTATTAAATCAAAATATAATATCAACATTTCTTTGATTATAACCACAGAAGATACGAAAACCACTACCTCTACATTCTTTTGGATAATATAAAAATAGTAACAGCTTTCTATTTTATTTATTTCTTTTATCTATATGAATTCAAATGTTACCAAATATCAAAGTGATTTAGCAGTACTGCTATGAAAATAATTTCCATTATTTTTATCATTTCGTTTAATAATGTTTTTTTATTATAAAGGTCATAGATGATACATATCATTACAATGTATAACTTACATTATATAGTGAATATTTATTTACGTAACTTGATATTTAAATTTCTATTAACATTTAAAATATTATTTAGTTTGAATTATTCAAATAGTTGATGTGGTCAAATGTTATAATTTTCTCATGGAATTTATATTTTTATAAATTATTCTTAAAAAATATGACTTATATGTGTTGAGTTGATAAATTGAAGTGATAATTAGTCAACATCAAGCAATTTTTAATCCCAAAAGTTGAAAGTGTTGCAATTACTTGTACTGGTAACCAACACCTTTCCCTTACTTTAAATAAATGAATATAACAAAAATAGAAATTTACCCAATCTGATAAAGTAGCTTGAAACCCTAGAAAAATCATTACTCTTTTATGTAAAAATCGAAAATTGAATTATTGAAACCTTGGTACTTTCTTGAATCAATGATTGAGTATGAAATAATTGATAAAGAATTTCAAAGATGAAATCATCGATGATTGTAAATAACTAATAAAGTATTAGAGGATGCTAACAGAACTATTAGAAAAGTCCGATCGCCTGATTACTGAATAAAATAAGTATCACGCGATGCCTTCGTTCTTTCTCATGCCAATATTCGATAGGTGTTTAAATATTTAACAATACACAACAAGAAATTTAGATGCAAGAAAGTATAAAATAGGAAAATCCTTGGAATACCATGCGAGATTGATAGACTGCATTTTTCCATGTCAATCGACTTGTATTCAATAACAATTATCAGTCTTGAAACTTGTTTAGTTGTAATAAGAAAGTATAGTCGAGTAACACAGAAGGCGAAGTTGTTTGAATGTTCTCGAGCCAAAAGTAACTTTTCTTTGCACTTAAAATAACTTAATTCTTTTTCTTTATATACATTTGCTTCTTTTTCTCATCTTCTTCTATGCCATGGCTATGAATATGTATATAGAACGGACTCTGCATATTAACGACATAAAACAAATTTCATGAAAATACATTTTTATATAAAGAAAATTTACATACAAACGAAGAAGCAACTAAAACTACTCTAAATAATAATGTAATACTTTTTATGATTATGATAATCATGATACTAAATTATGTGGTGTTACAATCAGTAAATTTCTACAAGCTTTAAAATCGATTATTTATTAGGATAAAAGTATATTAGTATTTCTGGCAATTTGAAGAAGCCTTCAAAAATAAAAAATGAACATAAAGCCAAGGCCTCTTGCTATCGATTTGAATGCTCTAGAGAGTCAGATATTACTTGATATTGTCGGTCAATGGCTCAACAACCTTCAACTGACGTGATGAGAACTCTTTATGCTAACATTTCATTTATTCTTTTTGTATACGATTGTTACTATATGTTACTGCTACAAAGTAATTCTAATTTTAACTTGCAGATCAGGAAGCATCGAACGACTGAGCGATGGAGACAGAAAGATAGTAGCTTCGAAACACCTTCTCCCTGAAGACAACATCAATGTCGTTGTTAGAGTCAGGCCATTAAATGAGAAAGAAATAAAAGCTGGTGATAAATTTGCTGTTCAGTTTCCTGGTGATGGACAGATACAATGCGATACATTACCTAATAGCAATGAAAAAACTAAACTTTTTTCTTATAATGTCGTTTTTGAACCTATTGCAAGCCAAGAAGATGTTCTTCAGTATTCTGGAATTAAAAAACTCATTGACATGGGTGTGGAGGGATTTAGCTGCACAGTTTTTTGTTATGGACAAACTGGAAGTGGAAAAACTCATACACTGACGGGCCCACCAGGCTTGGTAATTGATTTTATAATAAAATCGTAATAATTCGCCATACTAACTATAACGAGATCCTTTCTTCATTTTAAGAACTTTAAGTGATGCATAAAATACTTTCGATTCATGGTTATATTTATGAAGTAGTAGAAAGCTAATGAATATATACATACATTTATTTCTATTTTCTAGAAGTAAAATAAATATAAATGTAAACAAGGATATTTATTTTATAATAATAAATATGCTTCAATATTTTTCATATTTTGAAAATAGATGAGATACTAAATATACTCTTGTAATTAATTTTTCATGCTATTGCATAATTTTTTATTTGTATAAAGATATTAAATGTTTTTTTTTTATTAAAATAATTCAAGAATGTAATTATTACTTAATGTTTTCAGTTTGATCATGTGGATCACTACTCTGAAGACCATGGATTAGTCTTTCGTTCATTTGTTTATCTTTTTAAAATCCTGCAAGAACGACAAGGATGCAACTTTGTCCTCAAGGCTTCCTTTCTTGAAATTTATAATGAAAAAATTATGGATTTACTTAATCTAGGGTCATCAAAAAAATCTCTGCCAGTTCGGTGGAGCAAAAAAACTCGTGGATTTTTTGTAGAAAATCTTTTCACTGTTGAATGTGAAGAGCTGGATGATTTATTAAGTGTTTTAGAAGAAGGTATCTATTTATTTACTTATAAAGAACTTATAGATCAATTAATAAATAAACAAATTGAAGAATAGATAACTTTTCTTTTTTTTTATTTCTACTTTGATTAGATAAATTTAATTGCAAGATAAAAAATAACTGCGACTAATTGATAATGTAATATTCTAATGTTTATTCTGTTTATAGGCATGAAAAATCGAGCAGTTGGTGCACATAATATGAATGAACATTCAAGTAGAAGTCACACGGTTCTTACAGTGCATATCAGGTCTGAGCAACAAATGGAGAACGGCGTGTTCATTTCCAAGCAAGGAAAAATTAATTTCGTTGATTTAGCTGGTAGCGAAATGACTAAAAAAACAAATAGCGAGGGAAAAACACTTGAAGAGGCCAATAATATCAACAAAAGTCTCATGGTTTTAGGTAAACCTTTGTTTAATTCCATTGAATGATCAACATTTCCGCTTTACATAAAAATATCATTATCAAATAATTGTTTTCCATAATTGCCAGGATATTGTATTGCTTCTTTGAGCGATAGCAAACGAAAGAATGGACACATTCCTTATCGAGACAGTAAATTAACTAAACTACTAGCTGATAGCTTGGCGGGAAATGGAGTTACGTTAATGGTAATTTACAAAAATACATGTGTAATTAATTTTTTTTCTATTGTATAGCTCGAAATTATTATCCGCCGTTAAAAGGTTTGTATGCGGTGAATTCATTTGATCTTTTATGGTTATTTTAGATTGCCTGTGTATCTCCAGCGCGTTCGAATTTAAGTGAAACTTTGAATACCCTGAGATATGCAGCTCGAGCAAAGAGAATTCGCACAAAACCAATTGTAGTGATGGATCCCAGGGAAGCATTAATTCTTAGTCTAAAAAGAGAAGTTGATGCTTTACAAATGGAGAATGATCATTTGAAATCAACTCTACATATTGGAAATAAAACTTACATCCGGAAAAATGCTGAATCTAAAGAAGATAAACGAGTCGCTGCCACACCACCTCAAGTTGATCTTGACAAGTTAGCTGAATTGGACAACCCGGAATTAAGTCAGTTAGTTCAGGCTTATCTCATCGAGAATGAAGCATTACGACGAGAAAATGCTGAGCTTTATGCAACGCGTGATCAAATCATTAGAGACCAGGAACTTGTTTGTCGTGAGAATGAAAGGCTACTGAAAAAGTTGGAAGATGTTAATTCGTAAGACCATTTTTCACATAATTCATTATTGAATATGATTATTATTTTTATTTTAGAAACTCATTAGATAAGCATTTATTTTTTTATAATAGTTAAAATATTGGATAAATAATTTCCTGGCAAGTTTTTGTTAAGAAATTTAATGATTAATTATTTTACAGAGTTTGCTGTCGTTCACCGATAATTCCAGCTCGACCAACATACTCAGCAGAAATGTTAAGTAATTTATCAAACGATGATCTTCCTGGAGCAACTAATGTATGGACGAATCCGAATTCAGAGACGGAATTGATTCGTCCTACTGTAAAAAAAGTAGCTGGTACGGTAATGCCTCAGAAAGTTTTAAAAGAACTTGATAAAAGAATTGTTGGAAGTTTTAATAATATTGCGGAAACATACAAAGACAAGAGTCATCATCGTCGATATAACTCCTGGGATAATGGAAATAATTCAGTTGAAAGTCCTGATCAAAATGGATCTCTTATTGATATCAGTCAGTAAGTTGATCTTTATCTCAACCATTTTACGTAAAATAAGAAAACAACTTAAATTTCCTGCTCACTTGACTGCAAATCATTGATTTCATTTAAATTTTAGTTCAAAGAAATCAGCATTTAGAAGAACGTCAACAGTACCTGAAGAAATGACATCGAAATCTGGAGAAATGTTAAGCTCTCACATACCAACATCTCATTCATTGGATGGTACTCCAGATTCGCTTTTAAGTGGACCATTGATGGAAGGTCCCATTTCTGCTCCAAATACAGGGGATTCAGTGGCACCGACAACACCATTCCCACCTATATCTCGTTCGACTTCGCCTGTAATTATAAAAAAAGAAGATCGAGTTGTACACAAAGTTTTTGGTAGTCCAGTTCCTATAGATAGAGATGATTTTTAATCTGCAATGAATTAATCATTAATGTCTGTGGCTACTTATGGCCTACGTTAGGCTAGATAATTATGAATAATGATTTAATTATTTTTTAATCAATTATTTGATTATTTAATTATATATTTATTTGTAAATTGTGAATATTTTGAAATAGGCTTTATGTAAAAAATTTAGAAAACAATTTTTTTTATTAAAATATTAATAACTTATAGTGAAAATATTTTGTGATTGATGATCTGTCATTTTTTATTCCTAACTGATATATAGTTTTTTTTAATTATTTATCTTTCTAAAATTTATTCTAGGTTATTTCAAAAGTCATGCGTCATTGTGCTAAAATTCATTCGTAAAAATTTGATGAGTATCTGTAGGCATAAACAAGATAAGAATAAAAAAAAAATCACTTGTCTTTTATTTTTCTTTCATGGTTCAAAGTCAATTTAATAAATTGAACAAAATTCTGAGTAGTCATCGCTTCAAATTCCTAAATGTTCAAAAAGTTATATATGTAATAAAAATGATAACTTCATTAAATTTATACAAAATTGAATTAAATTGCAAACAAAAAACCCCGGTCGACGTTGATTCGCTAACGCGAATTGTCGTCATCATTACAAATATGGAGTTTTAGCATGGAAAAAGGTCCTGAGATTGGATAAAACATTATTACCATTGGAGTTGATGACTTATTTTTGGAGTAAGTAAGAACGTAAAAATTTTCGTAGTGCTGAATCAGTAATCAACAAGATAAGGTTATCCTCATAATATATTAAAAAAAGGTTGTTATTAAACTATCATGAAGTATAATTAACGTTTAGTTACATATTTAATGATTATATTTATGGGTGTGTAATAGTAGGAGCTAGTGTAAGCGCTGCTGCTGCCGGTGGACAAAAGAAGCGACACGAGGTAGGCAACGAGAGAGTGACGAAGCGGGACAAAACGCGAATAAAGCGAGTTTTGTTACGTGTTCTCGAGCTACGTGCTGGAGTAGTGAGGCTAAGTAGTTGAAAAAAAGTTGATAATTGGTTATAAGAATTATTTAAGAGTTGCAGAAAGGATAAAAATCTAGAAGGGATCAAAACAACGGCACTCTTGTGGTCCGATGTCTAGTGTTGAGGTGGTGGAGAGTTCCGTTGACCCTCCAGCCAAAAAGCGACGCGTTGCTGCTACAACGGGAGGTGCCGACGAGCCCGCGATTATGGCAGACATGGCGAAAAATGGATCTACCTCCAAAGCACCTGGTGACATCGATGAAGGGCTTTATTCAAGACAACTTTATGTGCTTGGTCATGATGCTATGCGACGTATGGCGTCTTCTGATGTCCTTATTTCTGGTCTCGGTGGCCTTGGTGTCGAAATAGCAAAAAATGTAATTCTCGGTGGTGTTAAATCAGTGACACTTCATGACAATGTAAAGTGCCAAATTTCTGATCTTGGCTCCCAATTTTATCTTACTCAAGCTGATATTGGAAAAAATCGTGCTGTCGCTTGTTATCAACAACTTTCTGAACTCAATAACTACGTTCCAACTAAATATTATGAAGGATCACTCGATGAAGATTTTATCACCAAGTTCAAGGTTGTTGTGCTTACAGAAACTCCATTGGAAGAACAACTACGTATTTCTCAAATAACCAGAAATAAAGATATTGCATTAATTATAGCTGATACTCGTGGACTTTTTTCACAAGTTTTCTGTGATTTTGGTTCTGCTTTTCATGTTGTAGACACAACTGGAGAACCTCCAGTTAGTGCTATGGTAGCTGGTGTTTCTCGTGATAGTGAAGGAGTTGTCACGTGTCTGGATGATACTCGTCATGGAATGGAAGATGGAGATTACGTCACCTTCTCTGAAATTCAAGGCATGATAGAACTAAATGGATGTGAACCTAAAAAAATCAAAGTTCTTGGTCCATACACTTTTGCTATTGGAGATACATCATCGTATTCAGAATATGAACGAGGTGGTATTGTTACTCAGGTAAAAATGCCAAAAACTTTAACATTTAAACCTTTAGATGAATCTTTGAAAGCACCAGAATATCTTATTACTGATTTTGGAAAATTTGATCATCCAGAACAACTCCATTTAGCTTTTCTGACTCTTCATGAATTTGTCAAAACTAAAAATCAACTTCCACGTCCATGGAATCAAGAAGATGCTGATGAATTTCTTCAACTTACTGAGACAGTCAAAGAAAAATATGGACTTTCAACTGAAGTGAAAAAAGAGCTCCTAGAAACTTTTGCAAAAGTATCTGCAGGAGATTTAAATCCTATGAATGCTATAATCGGTGGAGTTGTAGCTCAAGAAGTGATGAAAGCTTGTTCAGGGAAATTTCATCCAATTTATCAATGGTTATATTTTGATGCTATTGAATGTTTACCAGAAGATCTTTCAGAAATAACAGAGAAAGACTGTACCCCTATCGACAGCCGCTACGATTCTCAAATAGCAGTATTTGGACGTGAGTTTCAATCGAAAATTGGCAGCCTCAGGTATTTCGTTGTTGGAGCTGGAGCTATTGGTTGTGAATTGCTTAAAAATTTCGCTATGCTTGGTGTTGGTGCTGACAACGGTTCGGTAATAGTTACTGACATGGACCTTATTGAAAAGTCAAACTTGAATCGTCAATTTTTGTTCAGACCATCAGATGTTCAAAAATCTAAATCATCAACAGCTGCCAAGGTGATTAAATCCATGAATCCATTCATGAATATTGTTGCTCATGAGAATAGAGTTGGTCCAGATACTGAGAAAGTTTATGATGATGACTTTTTCGAGCTACTCGATGGAGTTGCTAATGCATTGGATAATGTTGATGCTCGAATCTACATGGATCGACGATGTGTTTACTACAGAAAACCTCTGCTTGAATCCGGTACCCTAGGAACTAAAGGAAATACTCAAGTAGTTGTTCCTTTCTTGACAGAATCTTATAGTTCATCCCAAGATCCTCCAGAAAAAAGCATACCAATTTGTACTCTAAAGAACTTTCCGAATGCCATTGAACATACTCTACAATGGGCTCGAGATAATTTTGAAGGATTATTTAGACAGTCTGCTGAAAATGCTGCTCAATACATCAGTGATCCTCAATTTGTCGATAGAACTCTAAAACTACCTGGAGTTCAACCTTTGGAAGTTTTAGAATCAGTTAAAACAGCATTGGTGGATGAACGGCCTAAGAATTTTGCTGATTGCATTGCTTGGGCTCGCTGTCACTGGCAAGATCAATACAACAATCAAATTCGTCAGCTGCTCTTCAATTTTCCACCTGACCAAGTTACATCCAGTGGACAACCGTTCTGGTCAGGACCCAAGCGTTGTCCAGTTCCTCTTGAATTCGATGTCAATGATCCTCTTCATCTTGACTATGTTGTTGCCGCTGCAAATCTGAAGGCTGCAGTCTATGGACTTTCGCCAAATCGCAACAGAGATGAAATAGCCAAGATAGTAAATACCGTAGAAGTTCCACCTTTTACACCAAAGTCTGGAGTAAAAATAGCTGAAACTGATTCTCAAGTTCAGGTCTCAAATGGAAGTGGAAGTGTAGATCATGAAAGATTAAATCAGTTGGTAGCTGAGTTACCTAATCAATCTGCACTCCGAGGTCTTACTATACATCCTCAAGAATTTGAAAAAGACGATGATACTAATTTCCATATAGACTTTATCGTGGCTGCTTCAAATCTTCGTGCTATTAACTACAAGATTCCACCAGCAGATAGACATAAGAGTAAATTGATAGCTGGAAAGATCATTCCAGCGATAGCAACAACGACTTCAGTAGTGGCCGGTCTTGTTTGTCTTGAGTTAATCAAATTAACTCGAAAAAGTAAAAACTTATCAATTTATAAAAATGGATTTGTTAACCTCGCTCTACCTTTCTTTGGATTCTCTGAACCAATTGCAGCTCCAGTGCTTAAGTACTACGACACAGAATGGACTCTTTGGGATAGATTTGAAATAAAAGGAGAATTAACACTTAAAGAATTTTTAGATTATTTCAAAGACCATTACAATCTTGAAGTAACAATGTTGTCTCAAGGTGTTTGCATGTTGTACTCATTCTTCATGCCCAAGCCAAAGTGTCAGGAGCGTATGGGATTGCGAATGTCAGAAATAGTTAAAAAAGTATCCAAGAAGAAACTTGAGCCTCATGTTAGAGCATTAGTTTTTGAACTTTGCTGTAATGATACTGATGGAAATGATGTCGAAGTACCATACGTTCGTTACACCTTGCCTTGACTTAACTAAAAAATAATCCACATTAATAAATCCCCTTAACTGAATAGTCCATAATGATTTCTACAATTAATATTTTGAAAATGTAATTGTAACTGGAGGACTAAAAATAACAGTGTATTTATAATTATTATATTGAAAAAAAAAAGAATAATTGCTTATTATAAAATTTTTCAACAGGATTTTTTCTATACGAGTATCAAATTAACCGTACTAGATCACGTGTGATTTTACCCTTCAATTGCTAATCTAAAAAATAAAAAGTTCATTTATATGTTTATATTAATTCAAAAAAATATATTTAAAAATTTAATTCAAGTTCTTTTTTGTAATTTTTTATTCGTTTTCACTTGATGTTTGGACTTTTCATAGAGAGAATTGAGAGTGGAATAACTCAGCAGTTAGATGTATAGATTAAAGTGTAAATTAATGTGCTATAACTGCTGCAATAATAATTAGGCATTGGTAGAAACACGTTTGTTATGGCAACGAATAAGCATTACAAAAAGGAACTAAAAATAAAAAATAGTATCGAATTGTAAAAGAAAAAAAAATTATCTTGCCTGAGTTTTTTTTCTAAAATTTTCACTTTTGAATGCATTAATTAACTATGTATTGCAATAGGTATTGAAACTGCAATTTTAATTGTATCAAAAATTTTTTCAGATAGATAATTTTATTTTTTTCTTACGTGGATTTTTTTCAACTATAAAACAATATTGCATAAGGAATAATAGTTATTATATAAGTGTAATAATGATTGATAACAAATAATAATTCATAAAATAAGTAAATATAAAAAAAGTGATACAGAATTTTCTCAAGAAACATCACTATTTGGCTAATCATTTGGTTATTATAAAAAATGTGCATTTAATTTTGTAAAGATGATATTTTGAGATCGCTTTTCGGAAAAAAATTACATTAAATGGTATAAAAATAGAAAATTGAAAATATTTTGATTATTCTAGAATAATACAAATATTTATTGCATTCACTTAAATGATAGAAGTAATTAAATGTGTTTGGATTGTAATAAAAATAAAAAAATATAAATATAAATGTATTTATTTATTGATTAACAAATTCCTATAATATTCATACATTATTTTTATATTATAAACAAAATATATAATTGAATAATTTCCATTTTCATTCGAATCTTCGCGCTAAAAATTATTAGTTTCAGTATTTGCCTGTTGATGGCTATAATAAAAATTAAAAGAATTATTTAGTGAAAAATATTTCATATAATGTTTTTATATTTTTAATATTTTTATACTTGCAACATTTTTTGATAACTTTATTACAAATAATAATGTTTAATTTATTCAGCTTGTAATTACTATGCAGTTGACATTTGATAAAATGACACACCTGTTATTATTTTCCCCGCCAAAAGTTTAGATGCTACAAGTTTAAGGTTACGAAGAAATGGCGCAACGTTCTATAACGTATGTTTTTTTAAAATAAATAACAAATTTGTGAACTTTATAATTATTAAAATGATTATTATATAATATGATAGCAATTTATCACAAGTGCTTTATTATTTAAACAATAAATTATATTTTCTAGGTCATTTTTTAAGAAAGCTTCTGTTTCGGAGCAGTCCAATGGTGATGTCAGGTATGTTTATAAAATAAAGTAAAAGCATATTACTTAAAGCAATGATACAATTACGATATATGATAAGATGCTCATCAGCGTTGTATTTCAAACGACATACGTCTATCATGTTTGTAAACAATTCTATTGTTACTTGTTTTATTAATCGTCTTCATGTTAACATCAGCAACCATGAAAAGAAAGGAGCAGCGAGTTCTTTGGCTGATACTAAAAGGAAACGGATGAATGAGAGTGCCAGTGACAGTGCAGAGTAAGATTATTCATTTCATTCAATATCATTATAATAATTGATAATTAAAATTAAACTTTAATAATATTTGTGGTTATGATAGATCACCGCCTTTGAAGAAAAGTATTTCATTTAAGAAAGAGAAAAGTCAGTCGAAAATGCCAAAAATTTCTCCACGAGGATCTGGTAATTATTTTTTTTTATAAATCATAGTTAAAAAGATTTTATACATATTTTAAAACATTCTTTGTCTTTGTAGGCACAAAGAAAAATAAAGATGAAGTTAATCAAAATAAATTATCATTTGTAAAACAATCATCAAGTCTTAGTAGCTCACCAGAAAAATCATCTCCAGAGACTAATGGAGTTATAGAAAAAAAGAAGAAGAAGAAACGTGCACGGATTGTCTGTGAAGATTCAAGTGATGATGACGGGCATCTACCATTGCCTGACAGTCCACAAAAATCAACTGAATCTCTAAAATCTCAAAATTCGCAAAAAGAATCAGAAAAATCAAATGAAAACAAGTCAGATGAAGAGACTAAAAAGTCGCCTGCTACACCTAAAAAGCTTGTGAAAAACGTATCTCCAGAATTGAAAAAATCAAAATCAAGATTGTCTGATGAAGATTCAGAAAATGAAGAAACAGATATAGCGAATGACCAAACTCCTACAAAAAATATTCATTCATTTTTTGCATCGAAGTCTTCGAAAAGTTCTGATAATTCAAAAAAAGAAAAAAATGTAAAAGATGTAGACCCTAAGAAAAAATCTATGGATTCTTATAATCCAGATGATGAAAAATATCATCCAATACTCGATGCATGCTGGAAAAAAGGTCAGAAGACTCCATATATTGCATTAACCAGAACTTTAGAAATAATTGAACAAACTAGCTCCAGGTTAAAAATAATAGAAATTCTATCAAATTATCTTCGATCAGTAATTATCTTAACACCAGAGGATCTTTTAGCTAGCATTTATTTATGTCTGAATCAATTAGCACCAGCATATGAAGGAATTGAGTTAGGAATAGCAGATACAACATTAATAAAAGCTATAGCTCAGTGTACCGGAAGAACACCATCACAAATAAAAGCTGATGCTCAAGAAGTTGGTGATCTTGGAATCGTAGCAGAAAATAGTCGATCGAATCAACGAGTAATGTTTCAACCAGCTCCATTAACTGTAGGGAATGTTTACACAAAATTAAAAGAAATTGCATTGATGACGGGACAATCATCGATGATGAAAAAGGTTGATAGAATTCAATCTTTATTTGTAGCATGTAGATACACAGAAGCAAGATATTTAATTAGATCTCTTGCTGGAAAACTTAGAATTGGTCTTGCAGAACAATCAGTGCTGCAAGCACTTGCTCTGGCTTGTACTATGACGCCTCCAAATCAAGAATATCCTCCAGAAATTGTAAATGCTAGCAAAAACAAATCCAGCGATAAATTTAAGACAGAATACGATGAAATTGCTTTAATTATTAAAACGACCTACTGCGAGTGTCCAAACTACGGTATGATAATTCCAGTAATTTTAAAATATGGAGTTCGTGCTCTTCCAGAAAAATGCAAGCTCACTCCAGGCATTCCATTGAAACCTATGCTTGCTCATCCAACTAAAGGAGTTCAAGAAGTATTAAAACGATTCGAAGGATTGAAATTTACATGTGAATGGAAGTACGATGGTGAAAGAGCTCAAATACATGTTAGTGATGACGGAAAAGCTCACATATACAGCAGAAATCAAGAAAATAATACCAGTAAATATCCTGATATTATTGGAAGATTAAAAAATACTTTAGGGGAAACTGTTAAAAGCTGTATACTCGATTGTGAAGCTGTTGCTTGGGATCGGGAAAACAAACAAATTCTTCCATTCCAAATTTTAAGTACTCGAAAACGTAAAGATGCTTCTGAAGCTGATATCAAAGTACAAGTTTGTGTATTTATGTTTGATTTGTTGTATTATAATGGAGAACCTTTAGTAAAGAAACCATTTATTGAAAGAAGAAAATTGTTAAGAGAAAATTTTAAAGAAGTCGAAGGAGAATGGCTTTATGCCACTAGTCTTGATACTACAACCATGGAAGAAGTTGAAGAATTCTTGGATGTATCTGTCAAAGGTAATTGTGAAGGATTAATGGTAAAAACTCTGGAGGAAGATGCAACATACGAAATTGCTAAACGATCTCGCAACTGGTTAAAATTGAAAAAAGATTATCTTGAAGGAATTGGAGACACTTTAGATATTGTTGTAATTGGTGGTTATATAGGAAAAGGAAAGAGAACTGGAACTTACGGAGGATTTCTTTTGGCTTGTTATGATCCTGATAATGAAGAATATCAAAGTGTTTGTAAGGTAGTTATTCATTATTTCAATGATTGAAATGTTTTTTACAGCTGATAAAAATTCTTGATTTATCTGTAGCTCGGAACTGGATTCAGTGAAGAAGATCTTCAAAAGCATACAAATTTCTTCAAAGATCATTTGATACCTAAACCAAAGTCGTATTATCGATACGACACTTCGCATGAACCTGATCATTGGTTTGATGCAGTTCAAGTGTGGGAAGTCAAGTGTGCTGATTTATCCTTATCTCCAGCTCATAGAGCTGCTGCAGGAATAGTAAGTGAAAATATTTATCATCTTAAACTCTTAATTATCATTACGTTTATCAGTTTACTTATAAATGTTGTTTAATGAATCCAGGTTGATCCAATCAAAGGAATTTCATTAAGATTTCCGCGTTTTATTAAAATTCGTGAGGATAAAAAAGCCGAAGACGCAACATCGGCACAACAAATTGCAAATATGTACAACAGCCAAGAACAGATTTTAAATCAAAAATCATGCAATACATTAACAGAGGAAGATTTTTATTAATTTTACAAGTGTAGAATGCATTAGGATAAACATATTTTTTTAAATTGAATGAACATTGCCTAGCGGTGAGTTATAAAATTAAATTATTGAACTTGAACGCCACCTTGAAATGTTATTTGAAAATATAATTTTGTGTGAATTGTCAGTGATGATTACATACACATATAAATACCGTTTTTTACCTGACGTGTATTTTTGAAGTGTCCATACAAATACAATTGAATATTTATTAGTATAAGTTACACCTATGAGTAGTTATTTCAACATACTAAAAATACCAAGATCCTTATCCCTCACTTCGGTCTGTGGTTCGTTGAAACTAGTGGTGTGACTCTGAATTCTGCTATGTAGACTAAGATTTTAACTTACCATGAAAAAAGTTGCATTATGAGTAATATTTTAAAAAATTAATTGTTTATTTATGTAAAATAAATTTTTAAATTTAAATAAGTTTGATAATAACCAAGTAATACATATTTGTGTAAATAATAAAATCTGTAAAAAATGGATAATACAATAATTGCATCCAATTTATCTAGACAGCATTTAGTTGTTAATGAACAAGTGGATCTTGTAAATAGTGAGATCGAAAGGACACGACCTAATGAAGATTCAAGACCTATTACAATGAGAGAGTGGGTTACTGTTATAATTTTATGTTTTGTTAACCTCATAAATTATATGGACCGTACAACCATAGCTGGTAAAACTTTTTGTTTATTACTCCATTTCTACATAATTTATCGAATTTTAGTTATTTCAAAAATAATTGTAACGATAATCTTCTTATATTTGATCTAGGTGTTTTACCAAATATTCAATCACAGTTTCGTAAGGAGAATGGAGCCTTAGGTTTACTTCAAACAGCTTTTATCATAAGTTATATGTTATTTGCTCCATTATTTGGATATTTAGGCGATAGATACAATAGAAAAGTAATTATGAGTTCTGGAGTATTCATCTGGAGCTTAACAACTTTCATTGGTTCATATATGGAGGTAACATAGATCAACTTTAATAAAAATTATTTATAGAATTAAATTTATTTATTTTACAGTTTGTATATAAAGTCATTGTTTGAAATATTTTTTTTTCTAGACTTATGGAACATTTATTGTATTCAGAATGTGTGTAGGGATCGGAGAAGCAAGTTATTCAACGATAGCACCAACGATAATAAGTGATCTTTTTGTAAAAGACACAAGATCGAAAATGTTAGCTCTATTTTATTTTGCAATACCCGTGGGAAGTGGACTAGGGTATATAATTAGTGGAAAAATAGCTCAAGCTACTGGAAAATGGCAATGGGGATTAAGAGTTACTCCAGTATTTGGAATAATAGCAATTGTTTTAATTCTTTGCTTGGTTAAAGATCCTATTAGAGGAGAAAAAGAAGGAGGTAGTCATATATCTAGTACTTCTTGGATCGTTGATATAAAAACATTATTATCAAAGTTAGTATACACTTTATCTTATATTTACGCATAATAAAATACTGAAATACACAAAAAAGAAATACAATATGCCTCATTAAAATTACATTATCTAATTATCATGATCGATATTAATTTACGATAAATTAAAATGGGCAGCATAAAAAGTAATATGTGATATATTCTGACATTTGACTCTTTGTTTTTTTTTCTTTTTAATAATGGACTGAGTACAAGTTTTTTGTTTAATTATATATTGGTTTCAAGGAGTAACGATAATTGAAATCACTCGACCTAGAGCAGTATTTTTTAAGATTAATTATTATTTAAGTTTACTGATTGGAAAATTATTTTTCTATTTTTAGTCCAAGTTTTATGCTATCAACAGCAGGATTTACGTGTGTAGCATTTGTAACTGGTGCATTAGCATTATGGGCTCCGAAATTTTTACAAATGGGTTTAGCTCTACAAGAAACGAAAACTGTTGTTATAGACGAGTGAGTGTCTTAACTAGTTATAATTATAATATTATCTAAATGATTTTACCCTATTAACTTATAATTTCAATTAAGATAAGAGTAATTAAATTATATTATGATGATTATTTTCAGTGTATCTTTTGTGTTTGGAATCATAGCAATGTTAGCCGGATTAATAGGAGTACCGTTGGGTTCATTTATGGCGCAAAAACTTCGTCTTATTTGGCATCAAGCAGATCCTCTTATCTGTGCTGTTGGTTTACTCGTTAGCACACCTTTAATATTTTTCGCTGTTTTAACGGCTAACAGTCATTCGATCATATGTTTTTTCCTTATCTTCTTTGGACAACTGGCACTTAATCTCACCTGGTCTATTGTCGCTGATATTTTATTGGTAATAAATTAAATACAATAGATTAAATTTGCATAAAAAATGAGTCAAAAAGATTATTTATTTTTTGAATAGACAAAAAATTTATTATCCATATATATTGTCCGAAGAGAAATTTTTGTTTTGTTAGATACCGAAAACCTGATGTTTTTTTAATATTTATTGGATTAAAATTCTTTTTAGTATGTCGTAATTCCTACGAGAAGATCGACGGCTGAAGCTTTCCAAATTCTTGTTGCTCATGCTCTCGGAGATGCTGGAAGTCCTTACCTCATCGGCTTAGTATGTATTTTATTAGTCAATATTTTTATTAATAAAATATAGAAATTTTTTTAAGTAAGTAAATATATTTTTTAATATTTTCTTTTTTAGATGTCCGAAGGAATTCGACCTCTTTTAACTCCAACATCGCCTTTTAGTGACCACGAAGATATGCTGGCACAATTTCGTAGTTTGCAATATTCATTATTTTTAACTGTTTTCGTAGAAGTGATCGGAGGTTTATTTTTCTTCCTCACAGCACTTTACATAGAAAAAGATAAATCGATGGTTGATCTTTCGATAGCTGGTAAGCAAAAAAAATCTGTTAAGGAAAACTAAAGTATTAAATCATAATATAATTATAAGCAATAACGTAATATATAGATAGGATTGGAAATGGATATGAATGCTTTGTAGATAGCGAGAAGACAAATAGTGCTTGGTAGTTTAATAAAATTTAATTTATAAGGGTAAGCTATGTAGGAAGCATTAGTTACAGGCAACGGGATTGGGTGTATATATATATAGTTAAATACATAATTAATTTAAAATTGTTATAAATGTTTTTGCACAGTGCATGAATTGATATCAAGTATGGAGTTAGAGCCACAGGTTTTGGGAGTCAACGAGTAATAATGTGCGTTCCTGATGATTAACAAGTTAAGCGCCAGGAATAGATAGAAATCTGTTGGTAAAAAATTATTGTTAATATTAACATTTTCACTATAATTCATTTTCTATTCAGCAGCAAGCAGTATTGTGTGGTTATACAATTTCATTCTTATAATTGTAATTTGTTTTAATCGGTTATAATCACGGATGTGGGATAATTGGTAAAAATCAACGTAAAGAGTTAAAAGCATCTTTTGAGTTTCGTGCATGTGACCAAAAGAAATAACCGAAATAATGGCGCTTAACGTGTTATATTTTCATTCTGCAGCATAAACTCTGATTTTTTTTATTTTGTGAAGTTTATTATTGCTTTTTATTATTTGTTATATTGGCACCAAAATCAAGGCTTTTTACCGTTCAATTATATTTTATTTTATGATTAAATATCACTACTCATATATTTTGACGCATGTAATATTACGAAATTTTAAACTGAAAGAAAATTTTGATTGAAAGTGGAATGAATTTGTAATGAATTAATTACGAGATAAAAATTTATTTCACAAATGAAATAATTATCAACAAAATCTTTATTCATGAATTGATCCAAATTTTTTTTAAATTTATAAATTCATTTTTTTATTATTCACTGTTTATGATCGGCACTTGCATGGAAAAAATTTATCAACTTAAAAACATGTTTCTTGCAGCTGAATGTTTAGAATCTAAGAATAAAGGGCAAGCAGAATCAACGCATTTGTAGAATCACCAATGGGCCTCACCTGATAGTATGCTGTATATCTGGTACATCATTTACATTTTTTGCCCTTATTTCATTACATTTTTGAGAGAAAATACAGAAATCATAAGGTTTTGTTAAATAATATTCATTTTTAATGTTATAATAACAAAATAACTATTTAAAATCATGATTAAACCATTAACTTTAATCATTAAAAAATTCACAGTATTGCTTTTAAAAAAACCAATTACTAAATCAATAATTTTATAGAAGATTTAATTTAATACACCTAAGCTTGTAAATAATTTTGATAATTAATGTTTCTAATTTAAATTCAGTACTTCAGATTTAGTCATCGAAAAAAGCTGATGAAGCTTGCCTACCAGCCGAAATTTTTTTAATTATTTTGAATTCGCTTGTGATGTGTTTATATGCATGCGAAAATAGTTTTTATTACTTGTTAGAGTTTGATATTTGATTTATGATATTGAAAATAAATATTAGAAATAATTAGTCATCATTTTTTGGTAATTAAGAGGACACAGTTTTAGAAACTTTCCGATTTTGTCTACAAGTATTTCACAAGAGAGAGTTTTTAATGAGTAAATTAATTATTGAGGAATTTAATAGCTATTATTGATTGTTTCAGATACTACTGAGGTGGAGTGTCCACTAGTAGACAATGAAGAATCAGAGAGATAATTTTTTTTTAAAAAAAAGCTTAATTTAAAATTTGACTGACTCATTAATTAATCAATCAATTTATTAATAAAAAAACATTATTTTTCATCATGTATTAATAACTTGCTCATTACTAGTTGTTTAAAATTTTTTTGTAATTAGTTGGATTTTGGCTAGAAATTCAATTATGCAGATCAAAAAGATGATATTATGAAATAACAAAATCAATTCTCTTTGCGAATGCTATTTTCAAAAAATAGATTTGCAAGGCTGTGCAATGATATAAAAGAAATGGTCCCAAATGTTTCTCTTCTATTAGAGATATTGCATAATCATTTCATTTCTACGGCTTAAAGAGTTTGATGTATTTTTCGAAAATTTCTTTTTTATAATAGTTAATAATAATTAGTATTAGGTAGTATTAACAAATGGTATATTATTGTGAATTTTTTCTTATAATCTTGGTAAGCTCATTTTCAGATGATTGTTAGTAGGTAATAATTTTTTATATAAAAATAAAAGATTGATTATTCTCGATACAATTTACTTGCTTCATATTCTTTTTTATGACAAATATAAGTAACTTTTTTACAATATTTGTTAATAACTTTGTATTATTTAAACCTTCTTTATTTATAACAGCGAAATTCTCAATATCGCTCGATGGCATCTCTTAAAATAATCTATTTTTACAAGAAATTAATTCTATTATTCTTTATAAATTGACTCTGACTTCATTGGTATTAATTAATTCTCTATGTTTATTAATTATATAAATGTATGGCCGATTGTATAAAAAATATTTTTTTATGACTTTTTTCTTTTCATTTCTAGTCTAGTTACAATTTTTAATTTTCTTCTATTAAATATATATATATATATATTGCATATATATGTTCATATAATTTTACGTTTATGTATAAACTTATTTTTTATATTAATTGTTAAAGTTTGCCGAACATAGAGTATTAAAAATATATGAATTCTAGTAAATCATTTATCACAAAAAACAGGTCTTAATTCATCACCAACAAATTAGGCAAGTACTAAAAAGGCAATGAAATAATTCATAATTAAAAAACAGCATAATTATAAATCAATAAGTATGCAACAAAACAATAAATTTTATAACAATAACACTAATTGTTTTTATACTCTATACATTCGGCAAAAATTTTTAGAACCCTCTAGTCTTTTGAATTTTTTAATTATTTTATAAGTAAATTAACAATGCTATCTTGACATGGAGATACATTATCTTACGCTTGTTTCTTATTACAACAAATGAGATGAGAAAAGAATTGCACTTGAGTGTTCGTCAAGAATAAATTTGTGCCATACGCGATGGTTGTCTTCTTGATTAAATATATCTAATAATTCTGTTAAATTTAAAGAATAATAACATTTATAAGAACTCTGACATAGTTATCACTGTGTAGATCTTTGCTTTTCTGTATGATTGACAGCTGCAAGTGCTTCTTCAGGTAATCTACTTGGATCGGAAAGTATGTCTGTTGCTGTACAAAGATACCTCAGCGAATTTAAGACCGCTAAAATTAAATTATTATTTAGATATTTCTATTGATTTGATTTAAGTATTATAATTATTTTTTTTAAGTACCTGGTCTAAGATCTACAAGAGAACAGCTTTGTTCAACCCAAATCATTGTACTCCGGCATAAATCGTCTATACTTGCTGTTGAGACCGATCCATTGAACGATATCAATAGTGGCTCTAATAGTTTGCTGAACTAATTAAAAGAATTAAAGAAAATAGTCAAAAAAATGTAATTTTTTCATTAAATACTACAAAATTGTGCAAATAAATAAAATAAAATTTTTTAAGAAAAGGATACGATCCAAAATTTCCAATTTTCTTGAGTACGTTTTCGAACGTATTCATCATACATTTCCTTCATTTTACTTGTTCTTTGTCTAGACACCGGAGCTCCAGTTGCTGGTAATAGAGACTGACAATTACTAAAACAAAATAAGAATAATTTTGTCATTTTGTACATACAAAATAATAAATTAATGTAAATGAATAAACATTGAATTACCTTATGGAAGTATTCAAAGTTTCAATTTGTTTTCTAAGATTATCCATTTCTTCATTGAGTTGATTTCTTTCTGCTCTTAACTGTCTAATGTAATCCGCACCTTTTTGTAACATTGCCGCTTTGCTTAATTTTGTATTAGGATTTTGGCTGAGTTGTGGAATAAGACTGTGTAACATATCAAAGCCATTTTTAATATTATATCTCCGTTTTTGTTCAGCATGAATATGTCCAACTCGTCGTTGTTCTTTGTATTGTCCACGTTCAGGTTCGCCCTTAACAAAAATTCTCGAGGGCGAAAGAGGACTACCAATGCTCATAGGACTATGTAGAGGACTAATATTTAAAGCTTGAGGACTATGTGCGCTAGTGGAATCATTTGGAGAACCTGGGCTGCCTTGAGTTTGATGATTTTGGCCTGTAGGATTGAGCATTACTTGAGTGTTGGTTCTTTGATGCGTTTGAGACTGTCCAGGTGTTGGATTTGATAGAGTTTGAATCGTAATGGGTGTAGTGATTTGAGTAGAATTAGACACTTGACCAACTAAAGTAGTTGGTGGAAACATAGGTAAAATATTTTTAACCGTAGGCGTCGAAGTCGTCGATACTGACATTATTTTTTCGGGTCCACTAGTTACTGTATACAAATTAGATGAGTTATTGGTCAATAAATGTGCTAAAAGTACATTATTGTTGAGGTTTAACGTTGGATCACTAACAGCAGATACTAAAGGTGGTGGATTTCTTGGACCAGAAAGAGCTGAACTACTCCTCGATCTACTTCTTGCTTTCATTTGATATTTTGGCACAGCAAAAATATCTTCTTTTTCTACATTTAAAATATTCGTGGGTCGCGGTAAAAGCTTTGCTTGGTGAGGAGTTGCAGTTAAGTCTAATCCAGATGGCTTACATTGAAGAAGAATATGTGATTGCGCTGGCGAACTTGGTGTTGATACTGAAACTGTAACTGGAGCAGTAATACTCTTTATGTTATTCGCTTTAAACTTGTACTGTGGATTGAAAGACTGTGGTAAAGTAGTAGTAGTAGATAATTTATACGTCTGCTGAGGTTGGATCAGCTTAAAAGGATCGGAAATTTGATTTGGTACTGGTAAAGGTTTAATAGCTCTCTGTTGAGTTTCATGAGGTACTTGAGGAAAACTAGATGGAGTTATGAGGCCATGAACCTGACTATCTACTGACGGTATTTGATTTGTAACACTTATTCCTACTGGAGTAGAGTTTGAATTTATTTGAACTGTTTGAAGTTCTAAAGAATTAAACGTTGGTCGGGGAGAGGCTTGTGCTTGATGCTGAGAATAAGAAACGACTTGTTGCGGTTGATTAAATGTTTGTTGAGGTGGCTGTTGAATAATTCGGTTTCCTCGAGTCATTGGTCGACCAGCACGAGGTATTTTTTCTCTCATTACTGTGTTGTTTTCATAAGGTTGTCTTCCTGGATTATAATTTTCCGTAATATTTACTGTATTACTTCTATAAACATTAGATTCCTGTGGTTGAGTATAAATTTTTGCTGTATACTGAAGATTTTGTGAATCTGGAGATTGATTTTGCCGTTGAACAATAGTTTGCACTGGTGCTTGAGAATTATTTGTTACTGGAGCTTCGTTTATTTGATTACTTTCTTGATTTAGTGATGTCATCAAATCAAGATCAGAATAATTGCTACTTAATCCACCACTTCTAAATATATCTTCTTCTTCAGGTACTGGTGGAAGTTTACAGTTTAAAAATTCCTGTAAGGGTTCTAAGGTATCCATAAAGTCGTCTAAGTTTGGTTGAAGTGGTCCCAGACTAGGTTGAATAAAATCCGCCAAACTTGCACCACGTGCTAAGAATATAAAAACTGTTAATAAAAAATAAAAATAACTTTGAAAAGGTTACTTTCAATATATTTTACCAATTTCACGAGGATCAGGGAAATAAATAGGCTGGTTAGAACTAATTGTTGAAAAGAGAGTATCTGTCATTAGTTCCATATAATCCGCATCTACCATCATACTATCCGGGCCTTGTACTCCGCTTAAATTTCCGTGTGAGCTTGTCATACTTCCAGGAAAACTCCCTGATGATTCCATTCCACCGCCCCAATCTAGAACGTCCATCGATTCCAACTGCAATTATTTTATTGAAGATTTAATAAAATTCATAAAACTTTTTTCATTACTTTAGTTATAAAAGATTTCAACTTAAAATTCATTACTATCATTATCAATAATTATAACTTTACCATATCTACCCCATCTTTGTTGGTCCATCCTAAGATCTTGTTGCGATAAAACATGCGCCATTTTTTATACTCAGCAGTAACAGCAGCAAGTTTTCGTTTCCAATATTTACCTTCCAGTACCACAGCCTAAAATAATAATCAATTAAAATTTATCATTGTTGGTTCTATTAAGTTTTTTATCAATTAAATGATCAAATTTATCTTGTTAATATAAAATAAAAATAGCATTTTTTGTTATCGAAAAAAAATTAAAGACGATTGATATAAATAATATCTATTATATATTATTTTCAATGATCTGATAAATTAGCAATAATTAAAAAAGTATTACTTAAAATAAAAATTTAATACAATTTAATTTTTAAATAAAATAATTAAAAGCTTTATTTATCTAAATGTTAATTTAAAAACAATGAATAAATTTTTTGATATATTTGATACTGCGATTATAACTCCAATTTTATCAATACACTTCATGAAGCCTGTCTCAATGTAATTAGACCACGATATCTCGGTAAGGCTTCTTTTAATTGAGAACATCAATAGTTAGACTTACTTCAGGCTTATTGTGGGTATCCACATCAAGGGGCGAGGCGAATTGGCACACTAGAGTATTTTGCTTCAAAATAACTGAAACAAATTAATAATTATTTTTTTTTAACTGTCAGTACTTGGAATATTTAAATAAAGTTTTCTCCACAAAGAGTATACTTTTTTCTCAATTAATTACCAATTATTCTATGGAGTATTTTTATGGAATTTATGCCCAGAACAATCTTTCATAACTAGCTACCACCTTCTACAAGTATTTTTGCAATTTTATGAAATAATGTATCTTTTATAGACATTAGTCCAATACCAACTTTACGTTTACGCATTGTCGAATTTTTTTTTTTAATAACTATTCAATTACTAATTTTCTATAATTTAATTGATAATTATAATTAATAAATTTTGAATAAAAAAAAATTATTTTAAATATATGTCCTGTAGTGAAAATTATCAATAAATGTTATCTAAATAAAGTATAAATCAATAAAAAAATTAGTTTTTTATTCTTGCGAAATTTCTTGAACGATATCTCGATTTAAACTGACTGAAGAGGAGAAACACGACGTAAAGAATGTACTGATTACTTATAAAAAGAGTACAAAATGTACAATCAGAGTGGGGAATAAACACGTGGAGATCACATGTACGGATTGTTGCATTTAAAAATCATTTGCTATCACTTCATAACCATTCTGTCTTATCTCAGTTCATGCTTTTTTCTTTATTTAAACTTTTTAACACCACTTTTCTCTTAATAATACCATCTAATCCCATTACGATAGATTTAGACACTTACATTGCATATGCCAGCACCTCCAAATAACATTGTTCAATCTTATCTTGTCTTTCCATCTTAATCTGATACCTTTAAAACGATTCCACTTTGGCGATGTTAATTTCTGTCTGAAACAAATGCAAAATTTTATGATTATAATTTTTATAAATACAACTATTAATGATCATTGAATTAAATATATGATAGATAAATAAAAATATCAGTAAAATTATCAATAATTTCAGTGGTTTTCCATGCAATACAATGATAAGACAATCATTGCATCGATAATCAATTTTAATCTTTGATGATTCTCGTTTCTTGTATATTAAATATCTTTTTCGTAACATCATCGTATGATATGATGATAACTCTTCAGAAAAATTAACATATTGTCAACAATGTATCTGCAATTTTATTTCTTAGAATCTTATTCAATCGTAATAATCAAAATTATTGTGGTAACTATCAACTAGTGAAATTTGATGATAAACCATCCTCTTCGATGCTACAACACTTATCATGAACCTTTTTAAATTCTAATTTATTTATCTGCCAAAAGTAACATCAAAATTAGAAAAGTTTTTTTTTATTATTTCATATTCCATATTTTAGTTTATAACAAGTTGAAGTTAATTTCGGCATGAAGTCGGCCGATTATTCTTATCAGATAAAGTTGTTTGTCATGATAACTAAACGAGTGATGTGCTTAGAATATCAATGAGAAGAAGTAGATAGATGAATTTACAGAAATAATATTCCATATAAAAAGATGTTCTAAATATATAATCAATCATTATTTCCATGATTAAAAATAACATGTCTTTTAAACGAGATGTAAATATCTAATAATAAATCAATTGTTGTATTCATTCTCAAGGCGTGATTCGATGCTTGTTGCTTGACTTTATCAATATTTGACAGTTCAAGCATTAAGATGTGATGATAACTTGACCTCTGTTGAGTAAAATGATAATCCATCGTTATATGTAATAATTAGTTGACGTTTCCGTAAACTTTTCTTTGATATTTCACTTATTTTTTACATTAGTAAATTATTTGATTTGATTACACATTCTTTAATGTTATCATTGAAAATTCGTTTATTTATTCAAAATCATGTTTTTTGTATGTATTGTGATAATGTCACACTTACTCGTGCGATTTTTCTGATACACATGGTTTTACAATTTACAAATTCACATGATTATCTAGATTGTCAATTAAATAACAATGTTTTCCAAAGTAAAGTCAATTGAACATTACAATTAAAGTAGAATTCATTCAATTAAAATTGATAAAAAAATTATTCGAATGGCGTAAGAAGCTTGTTAAAGACTTAATATGATTTATTTCTTGTTTGAATAAATGTCGAAATGCACTCGTGCTTCTGAAAAAAGTCATCTGTATTTAATTTAATGTGTGGTTATTATGAGATTGAATGAAAATTGGAAAGACATCGTTTGTCATTTGATTCAATTGTTATGTTGATGCACAAGTTCTTTCATTAAATTCAATCGTCTATTATTAAATGCATTACGTGAATAATAATAATACATTATGGGTTTTCATTTGATTTTTTTCTTATACATATCTTCAAATCAATAAAACTTTTTAGACTTAACGTATGGTAGTTTTAATCCTGTATCTTTTGCTGTCATACAAAATTTTTCATTTACTATAGTGTTCATTTATTGTTACTATTAATTATTAATAATAATTTTAACTAATAATTAGTTCTAAATTGTGTTTTAACAATTATAAATACATCATTATGTTAACTTTTTACATTTAAAAATCTAATATTTTCAACATTAAGAATATTTAGTTATCTTAATGAAGTGTAATGAGTAATTTAATCATTTGTATATATTTAAAAAAAATACTACTCTACAGTTAAGTGAATAATAATAGTTACATATCTATTTGAGTCATAAGAAAAAATTAATAATCATTTTAAAATGTTTTACAATTGGTAAATACAATTATTTGAAATAATAAGTTTGTATGATATGGTTATAAAGATATTTTTACTAGTGTAAATAAATTTTTATATAGATTATTATCCATTAATAACAATAATTTAAGATACTAGTTAAATAAAAAAAACTTACAAACTCAACTTTAAATATATAATTACACTTAAATTCGAATTAAAAATTTTTAAACATTAAATTTTATTAGATAATATTTCAAAAAGTGTTTAAATAATTAAAAATATAAAAACATGTGATCGCAAATATAATAAAACACTTTAATTCATGTGTAAATTGTCATGCATCTTAGACAATTCAAATAAAATGGACTAGTGTTAACAATAAAATATTCTTTGTTTGAACAACGTTTCATTTCTATTAGTATATCAAATTTTTTCTTAACAGCGAAGTAATTTTACCAATTATCTAGCTCATTAATAGCTATTTAAATTTTCTCATTCATTCTCCTAATTGTCATAGATATATTTTTTTAAATTAGATTTTTTTTTCCCTCAATTTTCTTAATAAAAACACTAGGTAATTAGAATAAATACATTTAAACAATTCGTTTGATTTTATCCCGAACGTAGAAGAGAGGAAAAAATTTGATTTCGTTCATTAAACCGAGTACTCTTAAAGCAATTACGTAAGCACGTTTGAAGCAACACGTGGTTGGTCGATTCACTCCCTTCTACTTTCCTTTCATGTGTGATATTCAACATAAGCTATATATATATATATATTTATAAAAGACGTTTGGATAGTTTTTTCCAAATATTTTAGTTGATTGCAATGAGTTTAAATCAAAGTCCACTTCAATCTTTGATAACCACAACCTTTATTTTTCTGATGAAGCGTAAAAAATTTTTATTAAAATGATAAAAAAAATATTTATCTCACCTGTAAGCCAATGACATGCATTGGAAGAGTTTATTTAGAGAAGTTTCAATACTAAGTTGTTGTGGACTTTTCTCTGTTGACGAGTTTGTAATGAATTTATCTATAGAAAATCCGACAGGTGCGATAATTGTATTTTTTACAGCTTCTTCTTCAGGTACAGGTACAGCTAATTCATCTTCATCATCTTGAGCTTCTGCTTCAAAATCTGAGACCATAAAATGACCAGAATGGATGGTTTCTTTAGAGTCTTTGGAGTCTCTTTTGACTCGGTGAACACCCTGGTGTTCGGAAGACATTTCTCTGGCTGTCATAACGGGCTTTCTATACATCAGCTCTGCTTGCATCTCCCTTGATACCTTTGGTAATCTATCCTTGGCAAAATAAACAATAATCAACTGGTAATAATGAATGAATGAATTTCTTATTAGGACTGTATGCGTTCCATTTTTTATCTTGTACAAGTTGCACTTTGACCCCAATTATTTATTTATTTTTACATCATAATATTGTAGTAATTGATTTAATTGTAATTACAATAAACATCAATAGTATCTCTGGTTGAATGATCTTCAGTCAGTGGAAATTCTTGCTTCATCATGGTAACAAAGAGACTTTTTCATAAAATCGAGTGGAAAATTTATTAAGCATTGTGTTTTGTATAAAATCATCAAGGAAATCTATCCACGCCTGCTTTAGCAACAACCAATTGGCAATCAGAGTGAAATCCAAGTGTAACTGATTCTCGGAGTTAGTCTATCAGCTACACATTCCTTTGAAGCTGCCCTAGTCTACCATCTAATCGTCTGATAAATATGGAACGCATCCAGTGTCATGTTTTCTTACATTCTCTAGTCTCTTCATTCACATTGAATGAGCAATAAACAAGTTTGAGAGCGGAAGAGACGAGAGAATGAAGCAATATGCGATGCAGATTAATCTAGGCAGCTTATTTTCATTTGCCAACATCACTTAGTAAGCAGGTAGAGAAGAAGGGGATGTCGCAAAATAAATTGCTCACCTCACTAGTCCTCGTGGCACTCGTGGTAAACTAGAATAACCTCCTTTGTTAAATCGAAATAAATTTTTGTTTGATTTGATTTTATTATAAATTCCTTTGATTGAACTCTGGGGAATTAAATCACAATGACGATTAACGACACACACGTTCACAATCACACGATGGCGGGTACCACGAGAGAAAAAATATGGAACACTCGCGGCAGTGCAAACAGACGCCGTCAGGCGCCAATAACTTCCAGTGCTTTGAGCTCTGATTTTAGCTCTAAAGCTTTAATTCTCGACATACCAAATCTCATGCTGACAGAAACGGCATTTAACGTGCGCGACGAAACGTCTTATTGTGTGTACAAAGAATGCAGCACAGCTGAGCGAGGCAAACGTGTGCCCCAAGTACAGACTGCACCCACACGTCTCATATATTCAGCGCTACTATCGGTGAAAGTCCAAACTGCGGTTTTTAGGTTAACTACGCATGCGTTGATAAAAATGCGCGCGCAATTAATTACACTTGCGTTTCATGTGTTATTGTTTACAAATAGAAAACGTGTTTTGTGAATAAATTATCCATTGTTGAGCATAAATACTTTCAAAAAATTACTGACCAACCGAAAGAAACTTTGTTATACAATTTTCAAGGCTGAATAAATGTATTATGTTTGAAAAATTACTACCAAAATCTATTGACTATTTCATTAGTTTACATATGTCAATGATTCACGTTTCCATATTCAAATCATCAATTTAACTAGTTTTTTGAAACAATTGTTTACTTACGTTAATTATTAAAATTTTATTGTTTCAAACGTCTACAAAGTAGACTTATTTAAATATTTGTCATTGAATAAAGAAGTCAACTTCAGTTATCCACAGTCTGTACTAGATTTTATTGAAACAGTTGTTTTTTAAAATAGAAAATTGAATACAAAAATTAAATAATATTTGTCATATAAACACGTATATTATTGTAACGCAAGATTATGAATAATCTCAATGATTTTGATGAATCTGAAAATATTCATTATGTGAGAGTGGAATTATAAAAGTGTTTTTAAAAGTCATCATCCCATCCAGAAAAATCATCAGCCACTAGTTCGTGTTCCACAGGGTATTTATCAAAATATTTCGTGTCTAAATGACTAGTTAGCTGCAAAGTAAGTAATAAATAAAATAATCGACAATAATTACTCTATTGTTGCATGTATATTACCTTTAACAGAAACGGAGATGTCAATGTTCTACCACGAAGCGATTTCCAATCAAACATTTTTAGCCATCTTAATGTCAATGTCAAATTAAAAAAATTATCATAACATTATAAAAACAAATGAAAATTTTGAGAAGTTACAACATTGTCATAAAATGTTAATCAGCTGAAGATTATTGACTTACTTATGATTACGAATATCAGCTATACCATTACGTAAATTTCCTAAACGTTCAACAGGTTTAGGCCTTAAAAGTTTGTGAATGATGTCAATTGCGTTTGGCTTCAGATTCTTAGGCATCCTTGCATAGTTTATTCCTTCAATGATTTTTTTATAAAGCTCTAAACGGTCGTCATCTTCAAATGGAAGTCGTCCTGTTAGCAATTCATAAATTACAATTCCCAAGGACCAGTAATCTACGGCTCTTTAAAACAATGATTTATTTTAACCTTTGACAACTAATTTTTTAATGATAAATCTAATTATTTAAAGTGATAAATTATTTATTGATGATTCAGTAATTTACCTATCATGTCCTTCCTTGAGAATTATTTCAGGAGCCATGTATTCTGCTGTTCCAACGAAAGACCATGTTTTGTAAGGTCCAACTCTTTTACCAGTACCAAAATCAGTCTTAAAAAAAATATTTTTGTTCTTGAAGTCAGTTAATAAAAGGTAAATAGGATGATTTAATTATTCACCAGCTTTGCATATCCTTGACTATCTAGGAGAATATTATCAGGTTTAATATCTCTGCAAATAATATCGAGTGAGTGCAGATGATCTAAAGCTTCAACAATACATGCTGATATAAATTTCACAGCTGTATTATCATATCTTCCACTTCTGTATAAACCAGTTCGCAAATCTCCACCTAAGCAAGCTTCCAAAAGTAAATAAACGTACTTGAGATCTTTAAATGTTGCGTATAATCTGAAAAATAATTATTATTTCAGTATTTTTTCTTATTTAGTATTTCATGATAATAAATTGTTTTATATTTTATTGGACCACTTGGTTATTATGAGCAATGATTTATTCTACGAAGAATAACATGATATTCCAAAAAATTATTCGCTGCTTTGTAACTTAGAATTGACTATTATTAGCTAATTTGATAAAATACTTACTTGCAAATAAATGGTGATTTGCATGATTGCATAATATACTTTTCAGTCAACATATATTTCTGGTAATTAAGATTACGTATAAAAATTTTAGGAACCTTTTTCAAAACGAAACTAGTATTAGAAATAGATTTTATCGTAACTAAATAAACTGTACCAAAGCTGCCTTTGCCAATTAAATTTCTGACTTGAATATCTTGGAATTTTAAATCAGGATATTCATTTTTCCAGTCAATGTGCCATAATTTTATCCTCTTTTCATAGTCTGCTTCCCAGTTTTTCTGTTTTATTGCTTCAATATCACCCAAGTAATCTAGAAAAGTCCTGTAGTATTGAAAGATAGATTAAAGTTTACAATTTTTCTAGCTTTTTGAACATGAATTAATCAGAAAATCCTCAACATTTTTATAGATCCAGTTATTCTTACTTTCTATCAATTGTTAAACATTCAACTCCAGGTGCTAGAGCAATAGCATTAGCTTGTCTTCGATTATCTCCTTCTGCATATAGAGCTTTTTCTCCAAAGTAACCACCTTTATGTATCTTTGTTAATTCTACTTCTTCACCATTGCCATAGGTTTTAGTTATTTTTACACTACCACAATTGATTATGTAAAACTTATCTCCAATTGTTCCTTCACGGACAATGTAAGCATCAGTAATAAAGAATTCAATACACATGAGTTCAGATATTTTTGCAAGAGCATGACGAGAAACATCTTTAAGAAATGGAATTTTTCCAAGCATTTCAATGTTATCTCTAGAAGCTAATTCTATTCTATTTATTATTGTTGCTAGAAAAGATGATCTATCCAACATCCAAACCTTTCCTGTTGTTTTGGCTAAAATTTTTTATTGTTTTTTAAATTAACTCCCAATAAAGCTTGAAAAATATTAGAAAAAAAGATCATAGAATTACTCATAAATTAGTAAAATAATGAGTTGTAATTATTTTAGACTCGTCAAAGATAATTAGCAATAACTTTTAACAATTAAATAATTAATAATGATTTATTAAAAGAATAAAAGTTATAATGATACCGGTTTTTAATGACTTGTTATTAAGATTTATGATCACTTTAATAGCTAATACCAATGAGTATGATTTTATAGTGATTTTTAAATTAGAAATGAAATATTTCTCCTAAACAATTTTTTTTTCTAGAAAAATATTTTGAAAAATTACCATCTATTGAAACTAATCGTTTAACATTATACAATAAAGCAAGTTCTCCAAAAGCCACTCCAGGTCCAAAAGAGCCTTGAAATTGATCTCCTTTATAAATGTCAAACGTTCCTTCTTCAGAAATATAGAAATGATGGCCCATATCACCTTCTTGAATTAACCGTGTTTTTGGAGGAATTTCTTTAGGATACATAGCATGAATCATTCCTTCTATCTGGTTGTCATTAAGATTTGCTAGGAAATCATTGTTTTTGATTGCTTCTCTTAGTTTGGATTCTGTACTACAATAGAAAAATTTAATTTAGTTTCAGCTTGACGAGAAAGAGAATAATTATAAAAATAATATTTACTTAGGATCCTTTTTATAATTTTTTAGTAATTCATGAGTGAATCTTCTAATTATTCCTCCTTCACCTAAAATATCATTCTTTCGCACTACTGATAATCGTCGGTAAATTTGTTGTTCATTTTGATCAAGTTTTATGTCACTATTGAGGTCGAAAGTTAGCCCAGTTCGATTTAAAGGAGTTGGACAACACAAGAACTTCATTTTTCCATATTTTAATATAAACAATTGTAAAGAGATAATAAATCATGTATCATTCTTCTTCTTTGTAAACTTAGGATTTAGGAACTTTGTACTACTGATAGACAATGATATCAACTAACTATCCTACATATTTGTAGAGAATGTAAAAGCTCTTCCTACAGATCTTATCTAAACAGATAACAAACGACGAGGTTGCAGTTATCAAGTATTGTATACATTCAAGTATCAGTAATAAAAAAGATAAATGTTGGTTTTAATTATAAATACTTTAAATTCGCTTTCTTGAGATTTGAACTGATTGTTTTGTAATCGATAATAATGAATAATAAGTTATTAATTGACAAGGCCATAATTTTAATTAATATCAGTGTTTAGTTAAAAGATCATTTATGAAACTTTTTCGGGAAATTAATTAAGTTTTAATTATAAAATAGCATAAATAAAATATAACATTTTTACATTGGTTTGTTGGTAACAGCATCTTTTTTTTATGACTTTATGACACGAGAGTCTGGATTGATTTATTTTAGATAGTAGTCAATAGCCAATAAAATAGAAAATTTGAACGTTAATCAAACTTTAGCTATTAGAACACTTGAAGAGATTTAAAAAATGAAAAAATATCTTATCCGTTTGTTATAAAATGACATTGTGGGGAACATTATTCTTATCTATAAAATGTTACGTTGAGATTATCTGTAATATAAAATGATTTTTCCATCAAATCGAAGGACAAGTTGTTATAATTTAATTGAAAATCCTCTTCTTCATCTACAAAATTCTTTTTTATGTATTATATATTATGGTGTTTTTTTTCGTTTATAATTAGTGATATCTTAGTACACATGTCAGTCAATTGTATGTAATTAATATCAGTTTATGACAGATTTTTATTTTCATTAATTACTTAAATTAAAAATCCATATCCCATCCAGAAAATTCATCAGGTGGCACTTCTCGTTCAGGTGGATATCTTTCAAAATTTCTAGTATCTGTTTGATTTCTTACCTAAAAATAAATATTTCATTATTAAATAAAAGAGATTAATAAATAACACTATAATAAAAAGGATAATAAATGAAAACTTACAGTAGGTACGATAGGTGCAGGAAGTGCAAGTCTTTGCAGCGCTTGCCAATTGAAATTCGTAAACCATTTGTGATCCCGGATATCTTGAATTCCATTTCTTTGATAACCAAGTCGTTCTGAAGGACTCAATCTCAATAGCTTTTTTATCAAGTGATTCGCATTTTTATTCACTATCGCTGGGATTCCAACCATCTCAATACCTTTCAAGATCTTGTTATAAGTAGTCATGTGATCTGAGCCTCTGAATGGGGGTTTACCAACTAGCAACTCATGTGTCAGGATTCCCAAGGCCCAATAATCTACCGCTCTATACGTAAAATACATTACGTTAGTGTTAAAATAAATATTTACGATAGATGTATATTACGTAAAAATGTTCAAAAGATGAAGGAGATAACATCACGACTCAGTGTACTCCACTAAGAGTTTATACATTGAAATAGTGAATAATTTTGTCAGATTTTCTAGTTTATAATTGGACAGCAATTATAAAAGATAATAATCGAGATTTGCAAATTTTTTGATAGGGAATAACTTTTAAAATAAATGATACTTATTCAGAATGAAATAATAAGAATAACATGTATGTAATTTTGAAAGAATTAGAGTTAATTACCTATCGTGACCTTTATTAAGAATAATCTCTGGAGCAACATACTCAGGAGTTCCGGCAAATGTCCACGTCTTATCTGGACCTATTTTCTTACTAAAGCCAAAATCAACGAGTTTCAAGTATCCTCTAGAATCCAACATAAGATTTTCAGGCTTGAGATCTCGGTAAACAATATTAAGCGAATGAAGATGATCGAGTGCTTCAACTACACAGCCCACCATGAATTGAGCTGTTGTATCATCAAAATATCTTCTTTTTTGAAGAGTCGTCCAAACATCTCCACCAAGACATACTTCCATTAAGAAATAGACATATTTCGAGTCTTTATAGGTTTGGTAAAGTCTAGAGAGAAAATATTATTATTTTTTTTTAGCTGTGATGAGTTGAAGTAACATTTTTACACTTACTTGCAAATGAAAGGTGAATCACAGGCTTGCATGATACATTTTTCATTCAAGACATGTTCTTGTTGTTGCTGATCAACCATAGTCTTTTTCTTAAGTTTTTTCAATGCAAAACTTTTATCAGGATCTGCTCTTAGTGTAACTAATTCAACCCTACCAAATCCTCCAACTCCAAGTGTTCCTCTGCTTTCCAAATCATACAAAGTCACATCAGAGTATTCATTTGTCCATAGCTTTGGTGTCAATGATCTTTTCTGTTTTTCATACTCGGCTAACCAGTCTTTATTTCGAATCTCATCTAAGCCTCCAAGATAATTAAGGAATGATCTGTAAAGATAATATTTGAACAGTCAACGTTAAGATTGTCTGAGCAATTTATTCTTTTCATTATCACAAGTTTTTGAATTAAAATGAATTTTTACATCGAAATTTACTATTAAATCTTATAATTTTGAATTATAAATTTTTTTTTATAAAAAAATCATTACTTTCGGTAATAGCTATAATTTTCATTTGTATTAATATTTGTAATTTTTGGTTAATAAGAAAATTAAAACAATCTAAAAGAGAGAAATTGTTTTTCATGAAGAATAAATAAATCAGTATTTTTTTGGAAACAAAATAAATCTTGATTCTTTATATCTGATACTGCAATAAAAAAGACTTATTTATTGAATAGATGTAACAGATAAAACTGTCTACGATAAAAAATATACTTACGTTCCATCGAGAGTCAGACACTCTACTCCAGGTGCTAGAGCAATAGCATTAGCTTGTCTTCGATTATCTTCCTTATCATAAAGAGCTTTCTCTCCAAAATACTGGCCTTTTCCAAGTACTACTAACTCTTCTTCTCCTCCGTACTCAGTATCTTTAGTTATCCGTACATTCCCTCCACTTATAATGAAGAATTTATCACCTTTTTCTCCCTGCCGTAGAATTTTAGCCCCTGCAGGGAAAAATTCTACTCGAATCAGATCAGATATTTTTGCTAGAACATGCTCTTTGGGTTCTGGTAATTTTTGTAACACTGAAACTTTCCGTAAGAATCGTAAATTTCCTTCCAGACGATCCTGCGCACTTCTCATCATTACTGTCAGAAAAACTGATCTGTCTAGGACCCATACTTTTCCTCCTTTTTTTACTGAAATTTTATTTTATTTAATTATGGTTTTTTTTTTCTCGAATCAATGACAATCATCAATTTTATGGGAAAAATTATGAAATCACAATGTTAGTTATATTCTATTGCAATGTTATGTAAAGCATTTTCAACAACATTGAGAATCATTTTATTATCATTAGTAATTCTATTATTAGCTTGTTTTTCTATTTTTAAAATAATTACCACTAATTGATCTCAGCCTCTTTGTGTTATATAAAAGCGCAAGTTCTCCAAAAGCAACTCCCGGTCCAAAACTCCGTTGGAATTTACTGCCCTCATAAATGTCAAATTCTCCTTCCGCCGAAACGTAAAAATGAGAGCCTATAAAGTATGATAAATTATTGTTAACCAAAATAATATAAAGCAGTTGTCAATTAGTTCATTTCTTTTAATATTTCATGCATAAATAAAACATTGATAAGTGGTTTCGTTAAAAATTCAAAGACGATAAAAACAAATACAACACATAAACAATAATATAAATATAAAAAAATAAAATCTCTGATAAGAATGCATGCATATAATTATTCTACAATAATAAAAAAATGTATCTTACCTATATCTCCTTCATGAATGACCAGAGTATTTGGAGGTATCGCTTTTGGATACATTGCAGATACTAGAGCTTCAACTTGAGCTTCTTCAAGATTTCCCAAAAATTCATTTTCAAGTATAGCTCGTTTTATTTGTTTTCTTGATCTGTTGAATTTTGATATAATTATTATCATCTTTTTATCAATTACAAATAATCAATAGCTATTAATAAAGAAATCATTTATATCAGCAATCATTTTTTAAATATTTATTGGTCAAGCTATATTTGAAAAATATATACCTAGCATCCTTTTCATAGATTGGTGTTGGAGCAGAAGGTGGAGTTGGAGTTCGCCCTATAACTCCCCCTCTAGGAATCTTTAAACCTTGTTGAGATATATCTGACTCAATGGTATCTGATCTCATTAATCCTTGTTCAGGTTTTCGTCCATTTTTCTTTGATGTTGGAGTATAAACATTTAGTGGTCCCGAGCCATTTAAAGTAGCTGAACTTGAAAATTGTCTTATCATTCCATTGTCATCAAGATCGCCAGCGCGCTTATAGCTCATCGGAATTGGCTCCCTGCCGTCTCCATTCTAATAATTAATCGAAATGTTTTTAGCTTAATACTGGCCTCGCGTTTCAACAATTTTCGTTTATTTCTATTTTTAGTTATTTCAGTTAATTATTTCTCTGATATTTCAACATTGCTTTAAGTAACAATTAAGTATTAATATTGGTCCAAGTTATCAAATTTTTTATTTCTGAAAATTAGTTTATGGATAAAATAACTTTTTTTGAAAAATTATCATTTTTAAAAACAATGAAGAAATATTTAATATAAACAATTATGTTATCATCATTCTTCAAATATACACTAATTTTTTATATAACATTAGAATCATTTTTTTAACATATTTTTTTTTATGACAGAAACTTTCTAATATTCTTAATACCACAAACAATGGTTAATTTGGGTTCAATGTTTAATAGAGTAAGTTAAATAGAAAAATAAAAAACCTTATTTACTTTTTTAAAATTGTTTTTGTAAATTTATGTTTTAAACTAAAAATAAAAGTTTTTATAAAAAACTATTGATTTATTTTCTAAAATTCGTTGATTACTTTTCGGAAATAAATTAAATGATAATATGATAAAATATAAACTTACACTTATAATGCTAATTCCAGTGACGCTCGATGTTTCTTCATATCCTGGAACTGGAGAAAAGTTGATACTTCCCCTTTGTCCCAGGATACTTGCTCTAGGGAAGCACGAAAATCTCATCCTATCTTCCGACACCGATGCATCGCTGGAACTGAGTCTTCTCGCTTCTGCAATGAATAATGATGCAAAATTTATTTATTACTCCATACCTGATAAGCTATTTTAAAATTGAAAAATACTCAAGTATTAAAATATCATGTTTCATAGCATGATATTCAACATATAATACTCATCTAAAGAGATCTAAGATCTTTTCAATATTTTTACATCTACATTCACTGTAGCTTCTCTTTCTTTATCTCTCTGTGAAAATCAAACAATAGTTAACCCTTTGCTAGGCTAATTGCAGCAATAAAGTCGCGTGATGCAATGACTCACTTGAATATAAATTAAGATACAAATTCTTAAGAATATTTTTATTTCTTCGATGACTGTAAATTTTTCAATGCATTGTTTACAAGTTCATTGATTGTTCCTATGGGAATTGTTAACTGGTTGATGGGTATCACATAATAAACCCTGGGCTATTTCAACTGGACTAGATATCAAGAACATGATAATGATATTTGATCAGTCTCACAGGTAGACAAGAGTTTAAATAAAAATTTTTGCGCTGTTGCTATTTTTAAAAATAACACTAAAGTTTTTTTTTCCACAGGAAGGTCATTATTATTCATCCGGAAATGGTCAATTAATAATAAATGTAAATAACTGTAAGCTTTAAGATTATTTTGTTATTCAGTGACACATCTGATAACTATTAATGATAAGTAAGTATTTAATATTTTTTTTGGGATTAAAAAGTTGAGTTTTTTTTTGTTGAATAATATAATTTAATGATAATTGTTTGATTTATTCGTCATTTATTTAAACATTAAAGTCAGTATCAGGATAAAATGATGGACATAATAATATTATTGTGTAATTCAATTTTTTTTAAAATCTAAAGTATTTCAATGAATTATTATTTCTAACTTTTATTGTATTAAATCAATTGAAATTACTATAAATTACTCCAATTCATAAATAATAACATTTCTATCATTACCAGGAATGCCTGCTAATTATTCAATAAAAAAATAACTCTGTTTAAATTTATACAAATTATTTATATAATAAATATATTCATTAACAGATGAATTTTATTTTTTTGTCTATAAAAATGGTGCTCTAATGTACATGATAATTTCAAGTTTTAGAGTGTTTTATCAAAAGACAAATAACATTAAAATTAACTTGAAATTATTGTTACGCGTATACGAGATAAAATAGAAGAAAAATATTTTCTAAACTATTGCAAGAGTCAACATTATCAAAAGAATGCAGTCACTCTTATCAAAATGATAATCATTGGTTTGTTTCCGCAGGTCGATTATGATCGAGAAAAAAAACATTGTTTTATAGCAAAAGAAGAACAAAAAGTTCAAGGCAAAATATGAGTCATTCAATGAAATAAATAGGTCCATTATTGAATTAGTTTTTGAATAAAAAAAAAATGTGTCAAAAAATTAATTACTATAGAAGAGCAAACAATAATGTATAAGAAATATTAATTGATAGATTAATTGAATTAAACCAAGGTGATGATTGAATATTTGTTGACTCACTCTTGATAACGGTTTCCACTTTTCCAGACTCTCTTGGAGATCGTGAGCAGTAAGATGTTACGACTAATTCATACGAATCGGTCGACTGACGACGTTTATCCCACAAAAGAAACTGGAATCTTATCGTCTGGTGTATTATATATGATAACATACGCAACTGAACCAGTGTCGATGGGTATGTGCGGTGCTTATCTTTAAGGTTGACAACGAATCGTGTATTTAGGTAAATTTAATTCACCCTATTTTATTTTTATTTCATCATAATTTGTTTTAAATATTTGTTCATGTATTTTTACTATCACTTTGATAAACATAAAAGCAATTACTGGACAATTTACCAAGAAATGTCTATACACAATAATAAATAATATTTTTTTCTTACCTATTTTTTTATCTAAATAATTATTTTCTTTCAATCTTTGATGAAATTAAATTAGATATATAATCTTAAAGAAATTTAAATGGTATAAAAAGCCAGTTTTGTAAGTTGTTCAAAAAATTATTCAATCTGCACTAGGCAAAATTTTATAAAAAATTTTTATCGACATATTTTCATAAATTAAAAGCATGATAACATTATGTTAACAAGTATAATGAATTATTTATTTTTATTTTCTTAGATTAAGAAAATCATGTTAACGATTTTTTAACGACTATTTTTTTTTTTCTTCATTTAATAAATCAATTTTTATTCAAAGTATATTTTTTAATCTAAACATTCTAAAATATAATAAAATGAAGGAAAGAGAAAAAAGATAGTGAGCAATGAATAATAAAAAAAAATTTTGAAAGAAATTCAACCTAAATCCGGAATTAAATAATGAACACAGCTGAGTCAATTGATAAATTTTTGTGAACGCCTGCAGTACATAACACCTTCATATTTTGTTACCATATGAAAGCATCTGTTTTAACTTCTGATTAAATATTTCATTTCTTTCGAATGCCATTAATAGATTACACAGTTTTTCGTGTTGCAGAAGAATTTAGTTTAATGTAGACAAATAATAATTTATCAACGACATTGAGTAATCGAATGTCTTGAAATCTGATGCGTGAAGAAAATTCTTTACGTATTCAAATAAAATTGAATAATAAAAAAAAATAGAATGGTTACTTCCTGATCGTAATTTAATTTTTTTAAGTACTCACCTCGACTAGTGACACATCTGTCAGCTTATATAACACAATTCTTGGAATCCTGATCGATATTTTATTAACAATATAACATAAAAAAAAACTATCTGGCCAATAACAGTAATAATAATTATTTATTGTTAATATGATTTAGAAAAAAACATTTACATTGATAACTAATAATTAATTGATATTTTATATCAATAATTTATAGCAATATAATTTTTATGTTAATTTATATTACTGAAGTGATTATAGGTAGACTTTTCAGAAGCCAATGAAGAAAGCTGTTATCGCTTCACCGGTCGTTCAAGTACTAACGTAAAACCGATCGCATGGTCACACAGGTTAGCGATAGCGTTCCACTCTTTTGTTAATTATTATCGTTTCTCACCTCTTGTATATACGCACAAGAGCTAAAAGAATTATTCCCGTTTATGTGTATCACATTGTCTCATTTTATTTCGCAACAAGTCACGCGCTGTGACATTAACCACAAATGTTATTTATTACAACCGATCTCTAGGATACATTCTCTGGAATTTTACGTATTATTTTATTAATGAATTTGTTTTTTCTACGGAATATTTATTTTTATTTACAAGACAATTGTTAGCAAAATTATTTATTTATTAAATATTTATAACAAATGTATTTTTTTTCTCAATTAAAAACCTTATCATTTGTTTGTTTTTTTTTTATAATAATTTAATTTTTTTTTTTAAATCATTTTTAAAATTCAGTCATATTCAGGATTATTAGTTAGTTCAGATGCTTTCAACATTTCAGCAAAAAATCCTAAAGGACGTTGAGATAATTCATGAGGTGATCCTTCTTCTATAATCTTCCCTTCGCTGAAAACGATGACTTTATCGCAATAAAGTAAAGATGCTACTCGGTGCTGTGAAAATAAAAATAATTAAATTAATGTATATTCATTGAGTAATCATCATCTTACCAGATAATCGTATAATTATCATGTAAAAATAAATTATAACATTAGTACAATTTAATTGTAATTATTTCATATTGATACTAACCGCAATTGTAATTACTGTTTTGTCTTTAAAAGTTGATGATACTTCTTTCAATAAATACTTTTCTGTTGAAGAATCCAAGGCACTAGTGGCTTCATCAAGAATTACAACTGCTGAATCTCGAAGTGTTGCTCGTGCCATGCTTAACAATTGCAGCTGGCCTGCAGAGAAGTTTTCCCCACCTTCTCGCACCTCCAGATCTAATTGAGTCATCAAGAGTAATTAATCTTAGTTTTTTTATCGATTACAATAATACGACTGAGGTATTAACATTTGAATTGTAATAGAATATTGTTAAAGATTGCTTTTATTGTTTTTTATAATAATTCTGATTATAAATTTTTTTAATAACAATAAAAATGTAATAAGAAAAGAAGAGATCTAATAATTGGTGATATTGATAGCATAATAATCACTTCGTTAATTTTATAACAGATTAATTCTTGAAATGATTAATAAAATCATTGACTCATTTTTTGTGTAGATTCTATAGTTAAGATAAAGAAAAAGTTAATAATAAATTTTGTATTTTAATTAACTTTAATTTTCTGTTTGCTTTGTTTTGTAAATAAATTTTATCAATAATTTATAATAATAATAATAATGAAAAAAAAAGAATAAGCTTATCCGAGTGATTCACAACAAAAATTATTTATTTAATCATAGATTAATTGCTTGTAGTCATTAAGTCTTTTCTGTTGAATTTATGTTGAAGCTACTGTAAATTTCAATTAAAAAAAAATTGTTTTAGTCAACTATTCGTTTTGTAATTTTAATTATCAATGATCTTCAGACTATTATTTATGTGAAGTTCTATTGTATTCTTAAGATATTGGCATTTATTATTATTAATTCATTTCAACATAAATAATTTTTCATAAGATTGTGTTATCATTTTAATATGATGTAATATCTCAGAATAAATTCTGAACAAAATTTCTTAAAAGAACAACAATTCTGGCGAAAAAATTTAATTAAAAAAATCGGATAAGTCATTTACTTAATCATCTTTTTTTTTTAGAAAACAGATGAATTATCTTCATCTTTCTAAAAAATGTATGGTTTAACTCACCAAGACCTTCCGGGTGTGAAGAAATCACATCTTTCATTTGTGTAAGCTTTAGTGCAGTCCAAAGTTCATCATCAGTATGCTCAGCTAAAGGATCAAGATTTTCTCGAATTGTACCACTGAACATGATGACATCTTGAGGAATAGCTGAGAGCCTTGAACGTAAACTTAACAGTGACACTCTTTTCAAATCTATTCCATCAATTAAAATTCGTCCTTGAGATACTTCTAATAACTGAAAGAGAGCCATAACTGTTGATGACTTTCCGCTAGCAGTTCTACCACAAATTCCCAGCTTTTGCCCAGCGGGAATGCGTAGATTTAAATCTTTAACTACGGGTTCACAGTCTGGATGGTAGCGTAGGGATACATTCTCAAATATTATTTCTCCTTTTTCTGGCCAAGTTTCTTCTGCTACATATCCTAAAAATAAAACATTTTTTTTTCTTTTTGGTAAAAAAATTCTACTTAACTATTAGAATTAATTATCATATACTAACTATTCAATTCAAGTAACTATAGATAAATGATTTTAAAAAATTTTTCATTTAAGTTTTTCTTTAAAAAATGTTTTTCCGAAAAAACAAACAGTATCAATTATAATGATTGGGTCATTAACTTTAATCATTAATAATGACTGACAGAAAATTTTTTCCTCAAGAAATAATATAAACTATTTCGAAGAAAAACTCAGTTGTAAAAAGTTTTATGTTTTTAGCTGATGCTCTTGAAAATGATGTTTATGATTAGAACATATCATTCAACAAAACGGTTATTAATTTAATTATCGAACATAAAACGAGTTGAACTAATGCAAAAAAATGTTAGTAATATATTACCATTCTCACGATAATTCTCCCGAGGCATTTCAGCATAAGATGTAAGCCTCGCAACACTTCCCATATACATTTCAATTTCTGAGACAAATTTAACGACCCAGTTAAGATAAATAGGAACAAGAAATGTATAATTCACCGCTAATCCAACTAACGCTGGTGTTACTCTTTCTGGATACAGCTCTGCTGAAAGCAAAGCTGCAAATATTGACGCAAAAACTACCACAGCACCCAGATAATCCTAAAAAAATATCACATGATAATCAAGAATAAATTCTCAGACTTCCAATTAACATAAAGGGATTGGGAACGTACCAAAGCTATTCCTAACCATCGGCTGCTGGTATTTAAAATAAGAAAAGCGTTTGTATTAGCATTTAAATATTCAATCATATCGTCCATGAACCTTTCTTGCTGTTTTGAAGCTCTTATAACTGGTAATCCAGTTAAAGTTTCTGAGAAATGAGCAGCAACTGGTCCTCGAGTGCTAAAAATTGAAAAGTTTAAATCATAGTTTTTAAAGCTGGATCATTTACATATTTTTTGCAGTAATAACAATTACTGTACGATACTTTTTATTTGTATGACCTCAAATTAGATAATTAAGATTTAATCTTTTAAATAATTAAAAAATTCTAAAATTGCAATGAATTGTTAATTTAAAAATGATATCAATATTTGAAATTGAACTAGTTTTTTGCTGATATTGTGCTAATGATTCATTTACAAATGATATCATTATCAGTTAAAAAAAATTAATAAACTTACAATTTTATACAGAATGATATTGACCATATTAACCACTTGCTCAAGTCACGTTCATTGATCAGATACCAGTCTTTATTTTCTAATCTAATGATTCATCAGTTCAGTATATGCAGATTGATTAAAAATAATCATTATTTGCATATGTCTACTAATTGGTTTTTCAATGAGTATGGTAAGATCTAATAAAATTTAAATAAAAAAAAAGTCTGAAAAAGAGTAGTTTTTTGTTCTTTATAATATAATTATATTCTCCTGAATCCTTTTTTTTTGTTTCTCTTTAATTCATGCAGTGTTAATATTCTCTTTACACGTGTGAAGAGATATCTAATGTAATTACAAAATCCGAAAATTTCTTCTGCTTGTTTTTATTAAACAATAATTGTTATTCGCTCTTTAATCCTTACCTTCCTTCAATTCTTTGAAGCTCTCGAGCGCTGATTCTGTAAAACCTTTGTAGAAAAAAATACGCCAAACAAGTTGGTATTGCAGCTGTTAAAAACCAAGGAGATATGATGACGTTCACAATGATAGCAGAGCCACAAAGAAGAATAAACGATGTTAATCGTTGGAACGATGTAGACAGTTTTTTATCAATAACGCCCATATCAGCACTGAACCGATTCAGAACCCTACCCACGGGTGTTTGCTCAAAAAAAATTAAAGGAGCTCGAAGGATTGATGCAATAGCTCCCTGATGAATATTTTTACGCGCACTAGTACCAGCCCATTGTCCTGCAGCACTATTTAAGGCTGCTAAAAATATAGAGAAGATAGAAAGAATAATATATATTCTAAAATAAAAAACAGTTTTTTCTTGATTATTTAATTGATGACTTCCGAGATTGGTCCACTGACTAAGCCATAAATCGGTAAATACTCGTAAAGCTTGGCATCCAAGAGCTGCTACAAGATAAATAAGACCTGGAGTAAAGCCTCCTGCTTTAAGATAATCCATCCAGACTGCAGCAGTCACTAATCCGCTTGCATCTTCATCAGGATCTGATACTTGTGAATCTTGACACTCAGTGCACTTATCTTCATCAAAATCTTCAGTAATGCCCGACTCTGTGGATAGAAGTCTCTTTATTGGATGATGTTCCCACTCTTGAGGACTTGTTTTATTTGAAGAAGAAGACATCAACCTCTTCAAGACCTTCCTTTCCTTATTTGCCGTTTCATCCGAGGCTAGATTAATAATTTTACTAGAAAAAAATTGCTTCAAGACATTAGTATTCTGTCCACTATCCAAAGTATGATGTCTCTTTCTAGGGGCGATGTAGTGAGTTTCTAGAATCGTTGGGGTAGAACTTTGACGGAGAACAGGAGGTGGATGTTTTGGAGGTTGAAGACTGGTTGCTCTTGCAGCAACTCGATGCTTCTTGTGTCTTTTCCTGACAACTCCCCACTCATCAACAGCAACTGGGAGGTCTGTAAGGTCATGTGCGAGATATCTAGACCCAGACATCATTGATTTTCGTAGCCGAAGGGGTACGAACGTTGGTGGAGACACGTGGGCGTCCGCATCTGTGATCCAGGAGCCGTCACTGGCATGTCTGTGCTTCATGGAGATGCCAGCGATACGGGAAACAAGTCTTACCAAGGACCAACGTTCTTTAGCAGTTCTTGGACCTCCTGCAATGTCTAAACGTCGTCTTGCTGTTTCCTTCCATTCTTCTATCAACGCTGGATCAGTTAGTTCGATGCTCGTCAACGTTCCAACGGCTCGAATTCTACAGTCTTCAGTTACAATCACCTGGTGAGCTGCTCGCAATAATTCTAATCTATGTGTTACCATCACAACTGTTCGTCCTCGTCGTAATAACAGTTTTTGGATCGCTTGATCGAATATTTGTTGACCTACTGCTTGGTCTAAAGCCGAAAGAGGATCATCAAGGATTACAGTGTCAGCATCACTATAAACAGCTCTTGCTATTGCAATTCTTTGCTTCTGACCTCCACTTAAATTTATCCCTTTTTCTCCAATTCGCGTCATGTCTTTCCCAGGAAGAATATCAATATCTGGTTGAAGTGCACATGCTTTTAAAACACATCGGTATCTAATGCGATTGTAAGTAGAACCGAAGATTATATTTTCACGCAAAGTCGTATTGAGAAGCCAAGGCTTTTGTGATACATATGCTACTTGGCTATCCTTGGCCCATTCGATTTTTCCTTGTAGTTTCAGCACTTCGCTCAACATTGCTGATATCAGGGAGGTCTTTCCACTCCCAGTCTTCCCGACTATCAGAGTCAACTTCCCACGAGGAATAATAAGATCGTCGATTATTAAGTGAGCGTCGTCAGAGCCCAAGGAGAAAACTCCAGTGATATGGAGGAGCGCTGGTTTCATTGATGGTTCTGGGTCTTTTTCAAAGACTGTATCTGATGAGGAACTTGTATCGTATGTTCCTAGAATATGTAGACCTCGAAGATCTTCATCATCTTCATTGATATTTCCTAGAGTTCCGAAGGTGGGGATTTTTACCGAAGTTCTTTCCTCAATCTGTAATAAATTCAATCAATAAATTGAAAAAAAAAATTAAGTTCATTTTCATTTATGTTAATTAGTTGTTTTCAATTGAATAAGATAGAATAAAGTTATTTGAATTTATTCTAATCATTCGGTATGATTTAATGCAATGTATTTAAGTTGTCAGTAATAAATGAATCATTTCTTCCTAGCAAGAATCAATCCTTTAATTACATGAATTGCACAAATTTATTGCTATCATGCTTATGATTATGTATGAAAGAATTTACTTTCATATACTTTCTTTCTAATATTGAACTTTCAGTCAGTTATATAAGAATGTGTAAAGTTGATAATTGCCTAGAATAGCTTTTCTGAGTTTATAATTGGATAAATAGTGAATGGTAATTTTTCAGGTTTCAATAATATAATATAAAATTAAAAAAAAAAGTCTTATTTGATAGTAAGAGCATGAAAGATATCTGATAGATAATTATTAAAAAAGAAAGAAATCAAATTGATTTTTAAATTAAAATGTCTTCTGAGTTAATTAATTAATTAATAAAAAGATTACATGGCTTTCACAGATAGAAATCTCTGACGTTCGATGCTCATCATTCTCATCAATTCGTCGATTTACTCTTGGATCTGGAAGTACATTGATTACTTCTGGCAGTGATAAGAAGTCTTCCAGTCTTTTAGTAGAAATCTGATAAACAATAAGAAATAATTCATTGAAAAACAACAAAGAATAAATCTTGTAGAAAGTTGACGTGAGAATAATTTAAATACTTACTCTAGCATTCAAGATGATTGGAATGATGACAGGAAAAATAAAAAGGGGAACTGTAAGTTGAGAGAAGAGGGCAAGACTCGCAAAAACGTTTCCAGCATCCAAATGAGTTTGCTCTACCCAAAAGTAGACACCGAAGGTGAAGAGAGTCATTAAAACAGAGGAGGCGTGGGTCAGAAATGCTAGAAATGATATAAATTTAATTTTAGAATATACATAAAGTACAATGTGATCATTTTGCTTGCTTAATATTTTTCAGATGTCATAAACATCTACATATTTATTTATCGTTAATTTTAATGAACATCAACATTCATTCATAATGTACAGTTGATTTAACTATCCTTATTTATGCGTGTAATATTTTTTTGAAATTATATTGCTCAATTGATTATTAAAAAATGGAAAGTTTCATTCAAAATTAAATTGGCCATTTGTTAAGTTTAAAGATCTTCCAGCCAAAAAGATAGACTAAGAAATCATTCAAAGAAATATTTGATGATTTATTTAGATTGTTGAAAGGTCCTTAGATTTAATCAAGACCTTACAAAATCAGTGGTGGATTTATTTCATCACTTAAATAACAAGAAGAAATTTATTCATGTTGCTAATATTTTTTTTTTTTTATTAATTTGATGTAGAGTGAAAATTTGAAGTACTTATAAGTCCCCAGTAGATCGAGTCCTTATTAAGCAGACTGAGTTCTTCTTCACGAGTTCTTTGGATTTTTTTTTCGAAGACCACTTCCCACGCTCGCAGCTTGACTAGTCTCATGCCTTGAAGAATTTCATTTAAGAGCTTCAGTCTCGCGTCACTTCGCTCCTGATATCCAATTTATTTTCATTAATTATTAACTAAGCAATAATTTGTTAATGAGGAAAAGATATACAGGCATATTTACCGCTATTGATTTTAAATTATCTGACATCTTTTTCCCAAGAAATAATTGCAATGGTGTTACAATTAATATGCAACAAACTGCACCAATTATCGCACTAATTCCCAGCTTCATATACAGTAGAAAAATTATTGCTATGATCTAAAAGATTATTTCACCAATTTAGATTGATAAAAAGTATTTAATAGCTTCTAGGGAATTAATATCATCAACATTGTCTAATTGAAGTGATATTTTTAATTAAAAACATAAATTTAAATATATTAAGTGATATATTTCATATTTATGAGCTATTAAATAATATTATAGCTTTTTAAAAAAAATTATATTTTAACATAAACAATTAATTTAAAAATCTTTTTTCATCCAAAGAAATCGATTAACTAACAATTAATCAGTTTATAAAGAACTTGAAAAAATATTATTCAATAATTTTTTTGAAATAAAATATTTTCAAGTGTCTTAATTGAACAAATTTTACTAATGAGTTTCTCTAATATATTTTTTTTTAATTTAATATTTTACATAGGCTAGTTAATTGACCTTAATAAATTAGTTTAACTAGTGAGCTTATTTGGTTCAATTAAAATATTTCTTCTTTTGAATATTAAAATATTTTGAAAATATACTTTATCACTTCACGAGTTGTCCTAAATGACATGTTGAAAATTTTATCAAAATTTCAAAGAAGTTTGTAATTTATTTTTAGTTGTCCAGAGTCTTCAAAATGATCATTAAACATATTTCAAACTCACTAGAGTGCGAAAAATAATTTTTCACTGTTCGATAAGCTTGTCAAGTTACATAAAATAATTTTTAAATCCTTGTCAAGTTACTTAAAGCACATGAAAATAATTAAAATATTTTTTAAGGTTGTCAATTAAATACACCAAGCAAAGAGAACATGATTAAATCTTGTTCTAAACTGTAATTGGTATTGTCTAAAACATGAATTATCCACTTGTGAACATTACTCATTATTATAATTACATCATCCATTGCCAATCCTGTGAGATTAAATTTTACAGTTCAATTCAGTTACAGAACATTTCATGTTTTCTTTTCTTTTAATCCATAAGATAATATTTCAAAGTCTGGTAATTTGATCAGTGTGGAGAAGAAGTTTTTGACAATTTGTCATATAATTTTACCTTGAGAGGAATTGCCCAAGTGTAATGACCAATCCAGAAGAAGCTCATGACATTGTATGCATCTTCAGCCATTAAATTTGTGAGTGTTCCAATGTCTGCTACATGAGACCGGTGATTATCTTTATCATTTTCTTTTCCAGAAGTTTCTTCCTCTTCGATAATAGTCCAGGAATATAAACGTAGTGATTTATGATAGATTAAAGCCTAGAGATAATCCCAAAAAAATTACTTTCATAAATAAATCTATTTATTTTATATACTTTATCTTATTTATAATTAAGTTTTTATTCGATTTGATTTTTAATTTTTTAGTTATTTCTGGTTTTTTTCATACTTGCAAGGCAGTTCTTAGTCGAATGCCCTCGACATTAAGAAAGTGTGTTGATGCTTGACTTAATGTGCTTTGTAATATAACAGCTAGAAATACGAGAAGACCAAGAAAATAACCATTTTCCAATAACTCTTGAAGGGTTATATAATTTTTAAATTTCTTTTCTCCACTTTCAGTTGAATTTTGCATAACTTCTACATAATTAACAATTTTCGAAATGGCTAACGGTCCAATAAGTGTTGTAGCATCACCAAAGAACTTGAGAATTCCACCAACAAGGAAAGCAGGCCATACTTGTTTCCAGTAGCAGGACCAAAGTGATGGTTTGTCATCTAAATGTGCGTACTAAAGTTAAAGAAAATAAAAAGGTGAGTGTTAACTAAATAACTCAAGTATGAAGAAAGATTTAAGTGGACAAAAAGATCATTTTACTCTTTGTTCTTCATAAATTTTTTTAAATTTTTCAAATTGAATGATGGTTGACTCTTCTTCAGGTAATTCTCCGAGGTCATTAAAGTCAAGTGGTGCGCGGTAGCCGCGACAAAGCAGATCAACAACCCAATGAAATGTCAGTTTGCTTAGTAAGACCGAGCAAGCGTGTCTGTAAGACACACGAGTATTTCCGGATGCTTGAACGTCGTAACGCTTGCTCCTCTCCATCTGCAAAAAGTCTAAAGCTGATTTATCTTGGCAACATAAACCTACCCACAAGGTCTAGTTTATTATTTCATTGAAGAAGTGATCCAAATGTTCCCTGGAACATTTCAATCACCAAGAATTTCTTTTTAAATTTTTTTCATAACTTACAAGACGATAAAGAGCATAAGAGTCAACGAGAGCAAGTAATCCACATAAGAGACTTGTTCCAATCGTGCTAATCATCCGCACGTGCCTGATAGTCAAGTCGAATCTAAAATTAAATCACTTGAGAATAAGAAGTCAGATAATATTATGATCTATATACCTGATCAAGTGGAATAATCGCCACAGTCTTGCTACTGCGATAGTTATAAAAGCACCACCAGACACTGCTAACCCTAGGCCATCTCTCATTTCAGTTTCACGATGTAAAATCCAACAAAAAATAACAGCGAGCAAGGAAATTGATTGTGAAACAGGCGCTTGATCTATTAAAGCCTCTGAAAACTCTAGAAGTAGCACGAGAAGAAGAAGAATGCAGAGAACACTGCGGAGATTGTGGCAGGGAAGTAAATTTGTCGTACACCTGGAAAAATATATTTCATGTAAGACAACGGGCTCTCAGTTGTTGTGCTCTCGTGCTTCAATTCAAATGCCCGCTGTTCTGTTCTGACTCACACGCTCAAGAGAGCGAGGAAATCCCCGCTGAGATCAATCGATGATGTGAGATCTCCAACTTACATTCTTTGGTCAGTGAATTTATACTTCACGATGATACATAGAGCAGCTATTAAGGCAAGAATAACTACTGCAAGATTAACAACTTCAACAAAACAATCGAATCTTGATGATGCACTACTTGTCATTTTGATCGTAGTCCCATTGTCGGTATCCCATGTCCATACTAAATGCCAACCGGAAGTGGGCAGCAGCCGCAGAAATGCAGTCTTCTTACACAAACCCATCATCACAAAGCCTCACTCTTGTTGTGTCTCTAACTGCCTTTAAGACACGCGTGTTGGTAGTGGTGAACAAATAAATCGTTTCTTCTAAGGCATCCGTAAATATGACACAAAATTATAATCTCTTTGACATTTGTTCATAAATCTAATTGAGTTTACGTGAATAAACATGACGTTAGTGTTACTATACACTTATTGAATGTTGCCAAAATAGATTTTGCGTCTGATAGTTTTTGCACTGAGTACCAACTGATTTGTTATTGGTTTAATAGAGACGTGATCCACATTCGAAGAGAGTTAGTGACATTGGAGAGTTGAAAACTAGACGGGGAATTAATTCACTGACCCCAAGAGAGAAAGATCCCCCTTTTGAATGTTAATCATTAATTGTTTATAGTCGCAACACCTTCCGTTATGTCATGGTAATCACATACTGATCATGATGATCATAAAAGCAATTTTAATTGTAATGTCAGGATTGAATGTTAAATAAGCAAGGGTTGGTGATAAACAGCAGTAAATTGTTATGAAATAGTCCACGTGTTCACTCCAATTGACTTAAGATCGACTTGACGATCTACTCTCGTCAGCAACACGCGCGCTACTGAGAATGAAGATGAGTTAAAGAGTAGCCGAAGGTATTCGACGAGTTTCGTGAGTCATCGGGGTTAAAAAAAAATGAACAAGTTAAAAGTAAGCATGTAGAGAGACATGTTCAACGAGTTTAATGATTTATCATACTACGTATTAGTTCGTCAAATAACACTCAACTTATCACGTATTCTCACTTTATTTAAATTTTTTTGGGATGAATACAATCGTTAATCTATCACTCAAGTAATGATTCATGTATTAACATAGATTATTTTCAATTTATTTTTATTAATTACACGTAGAATGTCCGTTTATACATATCACTGTAGAGCAATGCTTCATGAGTGTATCTGTCTATTGTCTGTAATCAACAAAAACCCATTGTTAATTATCTACTCGATTCATTCGATTTGTCATATCAACATTTGATATCAGAAAAGAAGTTCCAGATAATATTTCCTGAATTTTCATCAAAAAATACTTTACCTGTTGAATAGTTTTGTCAAGATCAGCCAATGCTTTTTCATGAGCTTTTTGTAGTTTTTCTGTTTCTCTACCTTGTCTGATCCCCAATGTCTTTCTTTCTTCAGTGAATTTTTTAATATTATTTTGTTTCTTTTCACGTAGCCTACGTTCTTTGTCACCCTTGGTCTTCAAAGCCTTATCATTCATGACTTCCTTGGCCGTTTCACCGGAAACTTTAGCTTGACTTGCATTTAGTTCTTTAGTATCTCTAATAAGAAGTAATTAAAATCATGATAAAATAAATAAATAGAATAAAAATCAATTAACTACGTAACTGATTTATCATCGTTGAATTAAAAGTAATAAGTGCTTACTTGTCTTGTTTTATCTGTAGTTGTTTTTTTTGTTGAGCTTGAATGTTTTCTACCACTTTTTTAAATTCATCTTTTCCAGCTTGAATGTGAGCCTTATTCATTTCGCATTCTTCTATCTTGTGTTTCTTTAACATTTCTGACCATTGTGTTATTTGTTCTCTAATTACTGTTTTTAAATTTTCATCTTTCAATGCTGAATCCTTACTATAAAAAAATTAATTAATTAAAAATATATGTAGTTTTATGTGCAATGTTACTCAATATATGTCTGACTATAAAGATCACTAACTCCTTGCCCTTAATTAATTTATCAACCGCTGCCATTTGTGTCTTCTGCATGGCTTGTCTCTCTTTTAAATGTCTCTTTTTCATAGCATCAAACTCTTTCTGTTGTTTTTTACCAAGTTTATAACTTTTGTCTTTTCTGATCAGAATAAAAGTGATTGGTTCAGCCTCAAATGCCTCTGTGGAAATTTGATCAATCTTATTAAAATACTTCTAAGAAGTTTGTTTGTGTCTGATTGAGTTATTTTGATAAATTATCATAAAGAGAATGTACAAAGAAGATATTAAAAACAGTGAGACTAAAAAACATAAAGACAAGGACATAACTGAATTGAAAAAGAAGAATCAGAGAAGAGACAAGGACAACATTAAACAGGAAGTGAGAGTATACTACGTTTACTATTCACAGTATTATTTTTATCCAATTGAATATCTAGATGATTTAAAATTACAACTAAACATCATCTATGGAATTTATGCATAAAATTATAATCAATTATTGATGATTAAAAATCATTTTTTATTGATTTGAATTATTACTCAATTGCTCATAATAATGATTGATTCAATAATTTACCCCATTTAGGTCCTTCTTCTTTTTTTGGTTGTGGTGCAGAACCACCAGTTTGCTCAATACCTAGAGCTTTCATATTGGCAGCTTGTTTCTCGGCGGCTTTAGAGAAGCCACCAGGATCGGATAACATCGCCATGAAGTCTGGAAAAAAAGGAATAATTATCGAAAACGATCTTATCCTTATAGATTGACATTTGAAAATGCTTGATAATCGTATGTTTCCAAATAAGGTTACCTCCAAAGCCATCTGGTACATAAATTGATATTTCTATGTTACAAAATAACATCGGAAGAGCCATCGGAAAGTTAGCTTCGGTCTTTAAAGAAATATGACGGTAACCAGCTTGAAGACCATCAAGAGGCAAAATTCTTTGACCTAGCAGTTTACCACTTTCATCATAAACACCTAAATTATGATATAAAAAAAAATTTGTTTAAAAGAATGCATCAACTGAAGTGGATTAGATTGTTTTTCGAGACATAAAAATAGTAATAGGTATAGTATTTATGTGGTGATTTTTAATTTTATTGGTTGTTATTAATGAGATAAAAAAATAATTTAGATAAGATTAAAAGCTTTACCAAATCTCAAAACAGCCAGATCAGGAAGTACAACTTTACGGAAGAGAAACGGTTCTTCATTATAAACAGGATTCAAGCCGTTAGCTGGTACCATTCTGGTTCTAAACTCTTTTTTGATCGTATCTGCTGGAAGACCATACATATCAACTTCTACATATGTTCCAATCTTTTTATCGGATAAAAATTGCCCAGCAATGACCTGACAAATTGTTTAATTAATTAATAAAAGTCAGTAATTAATTATTAAGTATTAACAACATCTTATTTCAGGCAATTAATTAAATGGGTTTGATGATGGTGCTAATTTTTTACCTGGACTTTACACTGAGCTGCAATCACACCATCTACTCCTTCAGCAAAAGGATCGAATGTCTTATCAGCTCTTCTCATGAACTCTGGCTTCAACAAGTAGCCTGTGGTGTTATTGAATTCGAACTTTCCTTGATTAAGTTGCATAGGAAGGTCGGGAGTTTGGAAATTCAATGCCACCATCTGACAGCCAGCATTCCAAAACACTTGAGGCATGTAGTTTGATGAATCAGCTCGTGTACCCTTCGGATAAATCCTACTCATCTGTCGTTTGTTGTAATTAACAAACTCTACGGCGGAAGTCTTGAGATAATTGAGTGCTGCGGTCTCAGAGAAGGACGACATGTTATGGTGAATATTCTTCTCTGAAATTTAATCGCTTTATCACTTAATCATAATTTATATCTGACTTTAAATTCGATCGAAATAATTTATTTTCATAACTTTCACATTTTATTTGAATCTTAACACCCCAGTTAACTTATTAAATAAAAAATAACACTTCATAGTGATAATTAAATTAAGAGAATAATTTTTCAAAAGATTTATTATTTGAATAAAAATAGTTAATAATTTATTGAAATAAGGATCATTTTTTCTTACTTTCTGCTACATCGAATCCTTGAAATTTTATAGGCTGAGCATAATTAATCATTGATGACAACCATGGGTGGCAAGCCATAGTACTACCAGTGTAGACGACAGCAGCAGCTTCTCCACCTTCACCACCGGCACCACCACCTTCACCTCCTCCTTCGGCAGGAGCAGCAGCAGCTTCTGGAGGTGGTGCCGTAGGAGGAGCATTGGGATCTTCAACTTGTTCGTCCTTGGCTTCGAATTGACCCGCAAGGAAAAGTTCTAATTCCGCTTTTTCGACTTCCGGCTTGAGACGTTTATTTTTTATCAAGATCTTGCGCTTTAGAGCACTTGGAGGTGGTAAAGGAGATCCTGGTTCGAGCTAAAATGTACATAAATAAATGCAAATTTATAGTAGGTGCCTTTAAAATGTTGTAAACTAACAAGTTGGATTTATGTTGTATTTTAAAGTATCAAGTGATTTATATGTGAAATTAGTTTATTAGTTATGTATAAATAATTATGCAAAATTTTTCAAGCAATTAATTTAAGAGAAAATTTACAAACTAATTGATTGAAAAAATTAAATTATTTAAAATCAAGTAATGATTTTGATAAAAATATTTTTTTTATTGAATAGGGTTTTATTTTAGAGAATGCAAATAAAATTACTGATGCTAATGAGTAATCAGCTTACAGGATAATCCTTCAATGGTTCTTTGAGTAACAAATCTCCCAAGATGTCATCACAATACTTTGCCAGCTTATATTGTTGTTTCAAACAGCAGTGATTTTCAAAGCTAAGAATGACTGGATACTCGCTGGTGACAAAAGCGCAATCTCTCAGAGCTACGATCACGTCCTTGAATAGAATATCAGTACACATAGCTTTACCATGGGTTATTATCGGCTCTTCATCCTCGCCTTTCCCGTCCCAGCAATCAAGTTCGACGCACCTTTGAGTAATTATTTTATTTTATGTCTTTCATGTCGCCTGCTTAATTTATATATTGAAAACCTGTAATTACCTGCAACCGGCGAGAAGCACTTGACGATACATCTCTACTGTACTTTTACCACCAATTTGTCGTCCACTCAAATAAGTATTGTGACTTGAATTTATGTAATAATGAGACAGAGGTTGGTCCATGTCCATCCATTCATCCAATTTGTCCAAAAATACTGGGGCATTTTCATCACTCATTAAATAACGAATAAATCCTTCTTTTGATAATTTTTCTGCAATTTTAAAATTGTATTATTATCATTTTATTCTATATTAAAATGTCAATTTATTTTTAAAGATTTTACTTTCATTTTTCAACTTCTCGTCTGATTCATAATCATTTATTATTTCAGTGCATCTTTTTTCATCATAAAGTGGATAGAGGATTTCATTAAGCATAGGATCTCTCTGTTTTTCATTCATGAAGTTCACCAAAGACATTAAAGTAATATATTCTTTTCCACTTGTTCTGAAAAAATATATTTAATGTTTTAGGCAAATTTGATTAGAGAATTTTTATTTTATTTATAGAAGTGATAATTAAATTTATACTAACATAGTTTGAAATAATTCTTCAATATCGTTTCGTGGACAAACTTTAAAATAAAGGGTTGTAAAATGTTCTAGTGTGAATGCTGATACTTCCATTTTATCACTCTAAAAATAACATTTAATTAATAGATAATTTTATTGCTTATTTAAGTTATTGCCCACTTACTTTTCCATTTGGTAATCCCATCTCCGACAGACATTGAAAAACTAACTTTTCTGTTTTCCCGGATGCAAAAGTTTTAGCGATTACTTTTACTGGAAGTTTTCCTTTCGGATCCACGGAAAAGCAAAGTCTCATCCAACTAAGAATTTTAAAACGGAGTATTATTATACAGTAAAAATAAAAAAAATGTTGATAATAAATAATTAATCACGAGAACTTTTTATGTTTGTTAATCCATTTAATTTTTAACTTATTTCTTCTCAAACTTAAAACAGCTTCAGTATATTGATTTATTTAACAAAAAAGTGTCTACATATTTGTTATTTATTGTACTTTCTAATATTTAATTTAAAATAAATATTAATCTATTAGTATTATTATTCAATGTATTTCTGTTAATCAAATTTATTCAACGTAGTCAAACGTTTGGTGAAAGAACTTACTGCTTCTTCAATTGGATTGTTGGACAAACATTACTTGCTTTTGTATTGTGCGTGATTTTTCTCAATCCATCTTGCCATTGCTAAAATTGATATTTTATTTATTAAAAAATTTCTTCATACATTCAGTGAATTAAAATCAATAAGAAGTAATAAATTTAATAAATGAACAATTAAGGTAATTACCTTAGCTTGTTCGGGACTTTCTAATACAATATGTTGGTAAATAATATTTGTATAATCAAGACCAGAACAGATCGTTAAACTTTTATCATTCAGCTGTTCGGGAGTTCCATGTTTACTCAATTTACTAGAAATCTTTGGATCTTTTGGAGTTCCCCCGTATCGAATATCACACACTTGAGCAAGTTCTATTACATCACCATCCTACAAGGATGATATCATTTATTCAATTAATATAAAATTTACCCTACATTTTGATCAATTATTCTCTTAATAATGTTAAGTGATTATAAATTACCTTCCCATCACTCTTCCAGTAGAGAAAAAATCCATATTCGTCAACTTTAAAAAGACAACTGGGTTCAAATTCTGTAGTTTCCTTATCTTCAAACCAACGATCACACGTAGCACCTTTTTGCAAAAAATCTGGTACTTCAATTTGCCAATTAAATTCAAACTTTTTCGTCATGTTGTTACAAGACCGTTAATAATTCTTTTATTGACTTATTAAAAATGATACAATAATTTTAAATAAATTCCTTGAATTCCTTCAATTAGAAATCGACAATTTTTTTTTACGAAAAACATTGAATATTGCAAGGCCAACAACTCAATGTTTCAATACTACAATAGTTGTTTTGTTAAACTACTTTCAACCCTACATGAAGTCGTACAATTTAATTAGCTTAATCCACTTTTGAGGAATTAGGATTCTTATGAAGACATGTGAAAGTGTCTAGATTTGATTTTGGATTTTTTACAAATATAAAAATCTATTAGTGACCTACTAATAATACGATCATTTTCATTTCTATACAAAAAAATTTCATTATTTATTCAGTTCATGGCGTAATACATTGATAAATGAATATCAAAATATATTTTTATTTTGTTAGAACATATGTCATTACTTATCATCTATTTGTACATAAAAATTTGTGGAGCATTCCTATAATGATCTATTTTTTGATTAATCCAAGATACAGAATTTTTATCTATTAGATAAAATGAGACATATTTCAATTAATGTGTAAGTAATTTTCAGCCACTCATTAGAGTATTTATCTTGACTATCTTAATTATACTTCCTTATATCATTATGAAGCTATTTAAACAAGTTTTTTTTTTAAATTAATCAACGTAACTTATTATTTTTTAAGTGGTTACTGTAAAATTAAACATAATCACTCAGTGAGAAATTGTTTTATTTTTTATTTATGCAAAACTATTACACTGGCAAAAAACGTAGGAAAAAATCCATTTAAAAGTGAATAAATAAATTTTTATCGTTTTGAAAAAGAGTCGTAATAAACGACTAATAAATCTTCATTAGATACCACAAACATTAAATTATTCTCAGGTATTGAATTTTTTATTTAATGCAAGAAATGAAATGGAAGATAAATAATTATGTAATTTAATCCATCCATAAACATTTGTTGAACATTCCAATATACAGGAACGAAGAGTAATTTAATTTTTGTACTCCAAGATATTGCAAAGTAAAAATAAAAAACTGATAAAATTAACTCGAACATCGTTATATTTTTGAAAAAAATAATAAACGGTTAATAAATTGTCACAAATAACATCAAATAACTACTGAAGCTCAAATCATAAAAAGTTCATAAATAATATGGTATAATGTTTATTAATATTCATAAATTATTTTGTATTAAAATATTTATCTTTTCTTAATTTCGTATAATCCAATAATATATGCAAGATGAAGTAGTGATTTCTTTACAAATCTGCTAGTTTTTCCACTCTTACTTTCTCCAATCTCAGAGAAAAATAGCTATAAACTAGCAAACTTATGAAGTAATTGGATTAAAATATCAGTTAAATATTGTATATAAATATATTATTTACATTTTATCGGTTAAAATAGTTTATATATATTAAATAGTCATTTAAAAACCTCATAAGATAATAAAATAATTAGTGTGAACTAATTTATCTTAGTGACTAATTATTGTATAATTAATACTATTCAATGTACGTCATTTGGCACGAAAAATACAAGTACTTTTTTTTTAATTAGACAGATTTTTCTTTTTGGTTTCGAATAAAATTTTGTATCTTTGGCATTTGATAAACACGTAGTGATGCTACAGAACCAGCACAAGCTCCAAGCCAATAGACAATCAAGTGTTCCATTGTTGAAGTACCAAGGCATCCATACTTTAATGATGTTGCTAAAGCCGGATTGAAATATCCTCCGGAATAATTGAATGCTGTAAAATTTTAATTTGTTTAATTAATTTTGTTTATCATATAAATTATGTTCTTAAAATATTTTTTATTTAAATTCTTACGTTAATCTTGTGATAATTTTAATACACATTCTTGCTCTTAAAAATATAAGTTAATAAATAAGTTCAAGTATTCAATAACAGTTTTATTTTTATAAATCATTATTATGAATAAAAATATGTGTATTAAATATTTGACGTATCAAAATAAAGAAGATGAGAAATTAAATATATGATTATTTTTGAAGCTGAAATAATACTGACCAGCAACAACTAAAGAAGTTCCAACGAATGCATCGATGAGAGTACTAAATCTAGGATTTAATTCACCTAGAGCTCGTGAAATTACACGACAAATGCATGTTGCAACACCTTCCACAGCTGCGCCAATAACTACAGGTACCTGCAATAAGAGAATACATATCAATTAAATGATTAAGTAATTATAAATAAATGAGTTTGGATGTGACTTTTCAAAGCCTTTTACATACTTGTAAATCAGTTGAGCAATCATCGAAAGCTCGGTTTTTGTGCGTTGAAACAATTTCTAAGTACCAAAGTAACTGTATATATCTAAAAACAACAAGACCTCCAACAAGTTCAGCCCAAATTAAGAGAACAGCATCTTTAAAAGACTTATTTCCTTGAATGAAGTCTTCAATGTGAGTATAAGGACAGGCTGTGGCATCTTCCCAGTTCAATGACCACCAGATAGTTAAAATGAAGAGATAAATAGCATACATAGACACTCCCCAGTTGTCTGCAACTACATAAAAAATGACAATAATAACTACTGTTTGTATTCGGGATTTTTTTCAAATAAAAATTATTTATATTTTGCGGAACGTATAAATATACTTACTTATTATAAGTTCGAAGCACGCTCCGCATAATTCAGCAGTAGCAATTCCCTCTAGAAGCAATGCTCGAAGAAAAGGTCTTTGTGTGTAAAATTTAACATATTTTCGTGCCCAATATGCTATTAGACTCGTAAGTATAATGTATAGAGTTGAAACCGCCAAGGCAATGAGTGACGCTCCCATTTCGTTTTATATTTGTGTCTTCAGACTCTGGTCAATTAAAGAAAGAAAGGTCACATGTTAATTGATTCAACCTACATCATTATTTAATTTTTCATTAATCATTAATAAAAAAATATTTCTAAATTTTATTTTAAGATAAAATGCAATAAAATTGTCCAAGCACTGCCAGTAATTTTCTAGCGTTTCAAAGAATGCTGAGTAAAATTATCGTGAGCTCATTAAATAACAACTCTATATGCGTGACGCAACTTGGAATGAATGAATCAACAGATGTTGAAGTAACTTACAGATTCACTTTAGAATTCCTTTTGTAGAATAATCACACTTAACTGTCAACAAACAACTGGCTACTGACTTCATATTTCCCAGTGTTTTTGAGAATTTTCGGTTTTCATATATCCCCACGCTGATGACGAGTCTTGGCAGGTATTTAAAGGTAGCTCTTACGAAATAAATCGTTATAGAATTCATATCTCTAAATAGACTGCAGTAAAGAAAAGAACTGATCTAATGTAGGAAACTTCAATTAATTATCATCATTAAAATTACACGTAAATTTATCAAGTTTTTACGATTCAGATTTATTCAGCTTATCAAGTACTAACTACATGCTTTGATACATAGTTAAATGAATTTTATTTTATAAGAATGTCGACTAAGTATTATTTTTCCATTATAAAAAAAGGCAATGAAAACAAATTATTTATTTACAAGAATCCAAAGAGTCCCCTTTGTGTTTTTTTGCAGTTGCTTGATTTTCTTGAGCCTCTTCTTTTGTTATTAGCCTGGAAATCCGTTTGTTCCGTAAGTAAGCCATTGTACTAACAGCAGAAGTCGTTCTAAACAAACGAAAAAAATTTACATCACAAATTATTTACTACAATAATTATAAATTAATTACCACTGATGAATACATACTTAGGCTTTGCTTCAACGTACATTTCCATTGTATTTCCGTCTCCAGAACTAGAAGATAGTCCTGGAGAATAAGTAACAACTTTGTAAATGGTTCGTGAATTAGTCTGTGATTCTCCTTCTTCAGGAGGTTCATTCATATTTTGTGAACTATTCCCTAAAGATTCCTCATCGGCCGCTTTTTTCTTCACCTCCAGTTCAGCTTTTGGAATTTTTTGTTCGGGCTTCTCTAAATTTTCTGGTTTAGGCTTAAGTTTACCATCTTGTGTAGGAAATTGAACAGTCGGTAAGTTGATCGTTTTATCACCTTTTGTTTCATTCATTAATTTAATTAAGAGATTTGAGAGCTCCTCACGTTTTCTCGTAACTATTATTTCCTCAAACCAATTTTTTAATGTTTTTATGGGCAGCGTATAATTCCTTATTGGATCCTGAAATAAAATATATATGGTTAACTAAGATTTTCCAATATTAGAAACAAAAATTTTATGCAATAATTTTATTTTACTAACCTTGAAAAAGCTTTCAACATATTGGAGAAGATAAAGCCCACAATCTGTAAAATTTGATTGCTGTGGTACTTTAGGACAGCATCCTTTAATAGTATCTTTTGAAAATATTTTTTCTTGGCCAACCTTAGCCATGTATTCGCAACTCAAATAATCACGGAGAGTAGCAACAACTCGAGATCGACTGGCACCAGCCAAAGAATCAAATATTAATATACACGGATACTTTAAAATTGTATCTTGTTCATTATGAGTAGATTCTGGTTGAGAATTTTCTGTAGTCTTAGCTGATTCAACAGTGATTCCTTCGTTAGTACGTGCTTCTTCTTCATCATCTTCACTGTCCATATCCATTTCATCATCATCACCTTCAGCTTCATCTCTTTCAGAATCATCATCGGCTGGATCAATAGTAATTGTTGTAGCTACTGGAGTGATAGTTGTATTTCCAATAGTCACAGCTTGAAGCTTAACATCTTTTTTCTTTTTCTTTTTATTCTCTAGATCCTTCACTGGCAATGAAGGAGGTATTACGGTACCTACAAGTCCCGGAAAACATATAATAGCTAAAAACCAATGAGCATGTTCATTAATTGGAATAATAACAAAGTCTTTTTCAAATATATTAACGTTCTTGGTCCACTTTTGAACTCTGGCATGTCTTTTGGTAGCTGGAGTCTGTGACACATTGTTATCAGGAGCTTGAGCATGACGGCTAGTTAATCTTTTGTAAAAATAAGAGCTAAACACATGAGTTCGTTGCTGATCTACATTAGAAAGCACTTCAAGTGTTAAATATTTTAAATAAAAATCTATAATCACATCATTTAAAAATTGATCTTCTCCGAGACAACTATAATCTTCAGTGTTAATCGTAATACCACTTTTAGCTGGAGGCGGTGGATAAACAGTCATTTTTTGAACAACATGTTGACTTGGCCGACCATTTGTAGCATTTACATTTCCTGAAGTGGCTGTAGATTGTCGTTTTATCATATTTTGCATCTGAGGGTTTGTTTTTGGTGATGCACGCACAAGAATATCGTTTGCTTCTTTTGAATTAAGTTCTTCTAAACGACCTCCAGGAAGGAACAGAGTTTTACAAACATGTTTTGATTCCTCTGAAATTTTCTCTGGCAATAGTGTTATTCTTTTATGCGTGTGGTCTTTACCAGCAGGATCATAATAAGGTCCTTTTGAATCCTGCATACCCAAAACTTCTCGAATCATTGCACCACAATTAGGTGTGGTGTAGAAAAATAGCACAGGCATACCTTTACCAAAATGAATTAATACTTTCACTATATCTGATAGATTCACTTGAATCTTTACGACATGATGACTATCTTCTAGTAATGGAACGGCTAGCATTAGACCACTTTGATTTATTGTTATTTTATCACGAGGAATATATTTATATGACCCTATCCTAACTGTACGACAAATTAGTGAAGTAGAAATTTTTGTTGGAAATAAATCATCTGAGTGCCTATCACCATTATTTCCATCATTTCGTGGATTTGTGTCTATTGGATTTATAGAACCATCTGAATTCAAAGTTATATTATGATTTGTGATGATTGGCTCTTTATCTGATATCATTTCTGGTATTTCTGACATTATATTCATTTGTGTCTCCATTGGATTAATTTGAGGTTCACATTTTTTATTTCCTGAATTTGATCCATCTTCTTCCTCATCAGATGAAAGAGTTAAACATTCTGGCTCTTTCATGGGTTTCATTTTAGGCGGAAGTTTAGCTCGTCCTCGTGGACGTTTGGCCATTAATTCGCGCTCAATCTTACCTCCTTGGTCACTTCTTTGTTTACTATAATACTTGTTAATGGCTATTAATGCTTCTTTCTTTTGTTGTTGTTGAGTAACAGTCATTGGAATTTGCTTCACATCACTAGGCAACTTTTTTCTACATCTTACACATCGATTAAAGTCCATGGAACTTATTCCGCAGTTTGGACAAACGGCCAATCTTCCATCGATGAATTTCGGTTCTTCATGTGGAATTGTTGAAGAGGTATTACTTTCGTCAGTAACAGTTGACGCAGTTTCTGATGAATCAGATGGATCTGATGTATCTCGCATCGTAGCAATTACTCCTGCTTCACTTTCAACGATATAATTAATATTCAATTTTGTATCAGAAACCAGAGAAACAACAGTTTGACCATTAAACGGAATTTTTGCTTGCTCTAAAAGATCTTGAACTGTGCATTCTTCATTAGGTATGTCAAACGTGATCAATCTTTGCTCTCCACTTGGCAATACTACTAACATCTTCACAACATTTCCACTTATCTGTTGTTGTACAATCGCATTAGCAGGATTATCAATAACTTTTTGTAGATAAGCAAAACTTTCCGAGCCTGAATCACAATCTCCAGTTGATAGATCTCCTTGGTTAGATTTTTCTGGAGAATAATTTGGATAAGGCATTCTCATGCAATCAGGGCTTGAATCTGGTGATGCAGGACAAGGTGGCAATGGTCTATGTTGTTGAATATTCAATGGTGGCATATGCCTTTGTGGAGTTACTGGAGCGCGTTGGTTACGATTAGAAGTTCGTGGTGGTTTTTGTGAGACATTATTCGAATTTTGCAATGATGGTTGAGGTTGAACTAAAGCTAAATTGCGTCGGGTTTGATTTCTTGCTTGTTTAATTCGTTCGCTTAAAGAATCAAGAGGTTGGTTATTTAATAAGGGGTTTTTGACAGTTCCTGGAACCATAGCAGGGCGTAGCTGTGAATTATCAGGACGAATTGGTGCTCGTGCTAGTGGCTTCGGTGGTATGGTACCTGGAGATGAACTTTTTAATCGAAATGTTGGTACAGTAGGTTGATGTATGAAAACGTTTCTCGTCACTCCTGAGTTTATTTCATCAGTTGCTTCAGCTGGTAATGACAATTCTGGAGTAGGAAACCTGTTTCTACTTTTTGGTGTTGTTCCTACTAATTTATCTGATGTCCCTTGGGCTAAATGTGCCAAAGCCAGAGCCTGAACAACGAAAAGATTATATAATAATAATTAACATCTATAAACTTGGTTTTTTTTATCATTAATCAATATATAGCTTTAACATTTTTGATAAATACAGACTTATTCATATTAATGTTAAACTTAATATTAAAAAATTGTGCAAAACTAAAATATATTCGACAAAGTTGGTAATAAAACTCACAACTTGAAAAAAAATTTCAAACTTACAGTTTTTTGAGTTTGATTCTTGATAAGAGCAGATGACTGATTCTTGAAACCAACGGCGTTTACCCACTGGACATCTTGCCTTTCATTTGGACTACTCATGGGCCCCTTTGAATTTGATCGTACAATTTTCGATGATTCTTTAACTGAGATTAATTCTGAACCTTCAACTGTTGTATTATCTGTATTCATAGGCTCTGTATTTATAATAAACACGTTTTGTCTGCAATAAACAATATAAATAAACAATAACACTATATTTTTAATTAACCGGAAATAAAAAAGAATGAGTTATTACAATCATTACCCTGAATTCACTGTAGTAGACTGATTTTGAACGACTTGATGTGGGAATGATGCAGAATTAATATCTGAAGTTGAATAGGTTAATAAACTTGGACCTCCATTAGCACCATTGTTCATATCCTGTAAAACTAAATGAAATCTTTGACCGTCAACTTCACATAGCTGCTGAACATCATCCACAGTGATAGGAACACTATTATCGGTAACTATATTATAATATTGTGCCATAGTCTCACAAAATTGTAACTTAAAATCAGTTCGGTCACTATTCAATCATTTTTCTAATACACAATCATCTCAGGTGCTCATATGCTCGTTCTTTTGCCATAGATCTTTTACCTGTACATGAAATATAAACATTCCAATGTTTTTATTGACCCAACTTATCTCTAAAAGCATACAGGTTGTTAAATGCTGATGAAATAACAGATAATTCGTTTTTACTAACCTTAAAGGTAAAGTTTTACTATTTGATATCTATGTCTAAAATACAAAATATTTGTAGTTAAAAATTTAATGAATTTTCATTAGTTGTAATAAGTAATTAACTGAATAATTACAATGATAAATTATTTTTTTAAAGCAACTTTTTTATGCATTTCCAGATAGGCAAATGCTCTAATTCGTGGAGATGCCAATACAACAGACTCATAACCTCGATGGTGGGAGCGGCGCGCTAAAAGAACGTTAACTACTTTTCATGCATTCAACAACCATCACTTTCTAGCACCGAATTTTATTATTGATACTTATTAGTTATTCAAAAGTATTACATATAAACTTTATTATTAAATAATACGAGAGAAGACTCGTGCTTTTACAAATATAATTATCCAAAAAAACAATTTTATAACTATGTACTTATAAATCTAACGTACTTACGAATGTCTGCCACTTTATTCTTTAGTTTCCATAAATGTTATAAAAATGTGTTCTTATCGTTGAAATACTTGGTTATATTTTTATTTTTAATCACTTTTTTTTAAACACATAAAATTCGAATAATGGTCATTTTTGTTCATCTTACGCGTTAAATAATTTCATGAATTGTCAGATATCAGTCTAGGCACAATTGGGTATGAAGCAAGAGAGATACGTCACTGCATCATCATGTAGCAAACCGATGCTTCCGTTTCTATAGTCGTTATAAGATCATGTACCATTACAAACAAATTGTCTCAATGTTTTCCATTTTGATTATAACATTGGCGAATTTTTCGTACTTTTTATGATGATACTAGCAAAAACGTTCTTATTTTATTAGCTGTCACCGTATAATTAGTAACAATCAACTTCTTTTCATTCTCGATCGACCACGTGCGTCTACATTCTGTTGTTAAAACGCGGGAAAATTTCAAATTTTAGTTTTAAACACCATCTGTTGGTTGAGATTTTACATAATTTTTCTCGCTCGATAAACTTTGCAACTCGTATTGACACACAACATGAAACACGTGTTTACAAGTGCATTGCATCTCAAAAAAACTCCAAATTAATAAAATTTACTAATATAAGTGAAATTTTTCAATAATTGTATATCAGTATTAATTAATTTATTTATTTGAAAATATATTAGATAATAAAATTAACGGTAAATATATATTTTTTTTTCTATCCATTATGAATAACCTCATTCTATTCACATGTCTCACATCCATTTATGTTTCTTCTAATATCAATTGAATGTTAAAAGCTTGATTTTAGTAATTTTTTCAATGGGAATGTGTAATTTTTCAGATGTCTGTTATTTCTACAAGATCAACAAGTGTAGCATCAATTTTAAAGACACCTGGATTAAGAAAAAAAATTGCTAGCCAAAGCAATAGGGTACGTTTTCGGCTTCCAGATGATCTCAAAAGTGTTTTAATTAATTATGAATCCGGACGTGAAACTAAACCTTATGAAGATCTTATTTATATTGTAAGAGATGCTCCAATGAAGGTAATGAAGATTCTTAATTAAAAAAATTTTGTAATCTTAATGACTATTTTGAAACTAAATATTTATCCTTCAGGACTCGGAATTGATACAATTATTAACACAAGTAAGACAGTGTATCTCTCTATTAGGACCCAAACAAAGGATTTTTATTGAAACTCTTCTTAAAATTAATTGGATCAACAGGGATTTAGAAGCAACAACTGCTTATAAAGCCTTTTTGGAAGATCTTGTTTGTGTTCATATTTATCACTGCAAACTTATCATTGATAGATTGGTGTGTTTGTTTAGGACAATTTCTGATGAGAACAAAGAAAAGTGGAAAGATGGAAAACCTCCAGATGAAGATATTTCTAAATTATTTCATGTGCATGATGTATTATTCAAATTTTTAAAAATTGTTCCCATGTAAGTTTCTCAATAAATCAATTGGGATATTATATTGATTCGATTAACAATTAAAATATTTTATTTTTCAGGTCTTATTCGATTCTTTTACAATGTTTGTCGTCACAATTTCCTTATTTTAAACATAATATGCAGTCACATGTTGTCTATGTACATTCAGCACTCAAAATACTTGATTATGCACCAGAATTGCGATTGGACATTTTATCATTAATTATTAATAAGTAAAGTATCTTCTAACGTATAAAAATAATATATTTTCAAAATTACTCTAAAATATTATTAAAATTATACAACTACGTTACATATCTATGTATTTGAATGTATTTAAACTTATGAGTTCTTTTTGATTACAGATTAGTTGTAATTGACGTTAATGCTCCTCGATCAGAAATTGAAAATCACAGGAATAACTTAGACGATGATGATGAAGTCTTCAAAATTGAGTCCGTTAATGATAAATCATCTGAACAATCGCGAGAACATCCACTCGCCCTTACTCTTGATATGTGTATGGAAAAGATTTTTCAATTTATTCATGACACTTGTTATCCAAATAATGCATTAAACATGGAAAATGTGAAAAAAATATACTTAGAATTATTGCAAATATTCGAAAAAACTATTTTGCCAACATATGCAAGCCATCATGTTCAATTTATCATGTTCTACATTTGTAGCGTCAAAACAGCTGTAGCAGAAGCATTTTTGAATTGGTTGTGGCATAAGGTATCTAATCCCAATGTTCCATCAATAATACGTCAATCAGCTGTTGCATATATTGCTAGTTTACTAGCTCGTGCTAATTTTATTCCAATTGAGTGAGTAATTTTTTATTTCAGCTTTTTACTGGATACCTTTTCGGTACATTTAATTAAGTATTTATGTGTTGTTATTATTATTTGTTAGTTTGCTGACGTCATTGCTACAGAAAATGGGTAAGTGGATACATAGTTACATTGCGGCGCAAGATAGTCTAGAGAGTGCTAACAGTGATATAAGAGTTCATGCCGTTTTTTATGCTGTATGTCAAGCTGTTTTTTACATCATTGGCTTCAAACATAGAGATTTAGTATCGACAAAGAAAAGTAAGTAATTTCATCGATTTAATCTCACAAACATAATTCATTATTCAATTATTATTTAAAATTTTGTTTTTTTTTCAGATCTTCTTTTCTTGCAAAGTTTGAATTTTACAAAAATTATTTCATGTCAATTAAATCCATTAAGAGTTTGTCTTCCGGTAGTAGTACAACATTTTGCAACAGTAACACGCACTTATCAAATAGCTTACTGTTACACAGTAATAGAGCATAATTCCCGAAGCAATTTACCAGTTCTCCAGAATTCTAGTCGAGTTACGACACCTAGACTTGATACATTTTTCCCTTTTGATCCTTACATTTTAAATGAAAGTTCCCACAGAATTTCTCCTCTTTATCTACATTACCAAGGTAGTATGAACGTAGAAACTTCAACAGGAAACAATAAGGAAGAAAATGATGAAGATGATTTTATGGATATCTCGTATCCACAAGAACAAGACTCTAACAATCGTAAGGAACGATTTTCTTATAGTACATCACCTGGATTTATTCATTCATAAAAATATATAATAAAATAAATTTTGAGCAGTAACGTCCGTGCAATCATTTAATATTATATTCATTTTATTAAATAAAAAATCTCAAAAAATATGTACTCGTATTTGATAATAATCACGTTTCAGTAAAAAAATTATATGTACGTCATTTCATTAATTATTCAATAATGAAACACTTAATACTAACTAATATAAGTATAAATATTAATCTAAAGTAATAAAAAAATATTCTAATGTCTCACGTTGATTCAAGGTATACTGGAAAATCTTCTTGTTGTTTTAATAACATCGCTAAAGCTGCTTCTAAATTTTCCGGTAAGTGATCAAGTAACATTCGAGGCATTACTGATAATTCCATGAATTCTTCTGGTTGTGCCCACCTCATCTCATATCGTCGATCTTTTTTCTTTTGTTTTTTACTACTAGAATAAATTTTCCATCAAACATGATTAATTAGTCTCTTATTCATCAAAGAAAATTACAATTCTAAAGTAAAAAAAAAAATAATTCCAAACCTGTTATTATCTTGTGGTTTACATCGAACTATGTGAAGAATTCGACCGGCATTGTATAATCGAACTTTTGAATACCTTCTTCGTGACACATCACGCTCGAAAATCATTTCTTCCTAAATAATAAATAATATTGTTTTATTAATATTATTAAATTATTTTATTTGTTGTAAAAATTGTGATAAAAGTATTTACCGTTTGGCGCACCGTAGGTGCCTCTGCAAGCAATGGAAGTAATCCAGGAATCGAATTTATCGTATTCCCACTTCTCCATGTTCTTTGAAGATCTCTATGAGGTACTCCAAAAAGAGCATATCCAAATCCATTTAATACCACTCGGTACTAAATTTTGTAATAATCACTTAATTCATCATCTACTAATTTATTAAATTAATTCTCGACTAATTTTTCATTTAATACTTACTTTAGGTAGCTTACAAGCTTGTAAAGTGATTAATAATGAAGTTCGGAAGTTCTCCGTGCTGTCGACACTCAGTCGCATCACCAGATCATCACCAAGACCGACTGTCAGAACAAATTCCTCGGTAACTTTCGCTGCTTCTCTGCTCAGTAGACCAGCTATAAAATTTTTCCTACTGTTATCATTGTCTTGATAAATGCTTAATTACTTCTACTTTAGCTACACAATTACCAGGAGTTGCATAGGCGTAGACTCGCAGATTAGGATAACGAGGACGAATTAGTAAGCCTAAAAGAACTGCAAGACCAGCGCCAAGACTATGACCTGTGAAAAATTAATCATATATCGATCATTTGTTTTAGAAATCTCCTTTATCACAGTTGATTTATAAAATACCTGTCAATATTAAGCTATAGTTAGGATATGTTTCAAAGGCTTTTTCCAGAATTTTATATTGATCCAGTTGTTTTAAGAGTACTTTAGCACCTATTATCATTCCTCTGTGTGCCTAAAAATAAGAAAATTTATTGTCAGATAATTCATTTCTCGGCTGAAAAAATTTACAATAACAGTTTTCAACTATATAATTTTTATTGTGGATAAGAATAATGGATTTTAAATACTTAGGATTCTCAATGCATTTTTTTTAACAAATGTATATTTTAAAAAATACTTACCATACTACCTTGAGGTAGTCCTTCTGGTTCAAATAAATCAGATGCTGCAGCAATATCAGTGATGAGATCTCTTAAAGACAGCGAACCTCGAATGACAATCACGATACTTGCGGTCTTATGATCGGCAACCACACAGAATGGAATCTAGAAAAATATAAGTCATTTATGAATAAATATTATAGCTAAACATAACCTTTGTTTATTAGTAAGAATAAAATAGTAAACTAACGGATAAATGATTACATACCTCACACAAATGATTCCGAAAAGAAGCAAAGAGAATATCATCGTCAGATAATTGCGAAAGATATTTCACTCCAGCAAGACTGCAGAGACAACAATTATCATCTAAAACAATCTGTTGGCGTCGTCTAAAGCACGCGCAACAAGTCATTTGTCGAAAAAGCTTACAGCAACCAGTGCAAGCGTGCTGGTAGATTACAAACAGCCATCCATAGGAAGCAATTGCTAATTTCATGTAGTGATGAGCCCATTCTAATGACATCCATGAAGGTGTTGAAGAAAAAATTAATCGAGCATCTAAAATTTAATGTCATTATTTACTCGCTTAAACTTTTTTTAAAACTTGTAGCATTTAAACTTATGAGTATTTAATTATTTACAAACCATTTGTGTATTCTGGGCGTTGCAGAATATTCAGCCTTCGTAACTCCATTGTCTCTCTTTTTTGACGAATGCGGAGTAAAATACATCCGGCAACTACGTCCGATGGTACGAGGTCTGTTCTCCTGAACAAAGCGCTCAATAAACCTAAAAGAACATTTGAGCATTAATTTTTTTCTGATTATTTTTTGAAAGTTTTTTTCAGAATTTCTTTGCGTTTTTTTTTTGTATTTTGAACTTCAATGAAACTCTAAAGTATTATAGCAATTAAAATAAAATTTTTAAATCTAACAATACACTAAGTCTAGAAATTTTTTCTTGATTTATCATTTAACATCTTTTTAAAATTTAGTAAACTGATTAATAATTTTAAGTAAATTAAATTATTAACGGATTAGTGTCCAAGATTAACGTCTTAATACTTGGACTTCAGCCGCATGTACCTATGTCTCACCAGCAACATGTTGGAAGGTTTCGGTAGCACTTTCGTCTCTCCTCATCCACCAAAAGTACTTAAATCTTCGAAGCCAAATGCGTGAGATCTTTCCATGTTCAATTGAGTCTTCAATAGGTTTGTCTGAGTAGCTTAACGATCCAAGAGGATCAAAGACCAGGGCAAGGCCGAGGATTGCAAGGCCAATGAGTACCCAATCGAAAAATACAAGTGATTTGATCACTGATATTGTGTAGTACTCGTCAGTGCATTGTACGTGGTCGCCAACAATCCAGAGGGTTCCAAGAATATTCCAAACTATTTCTGGAAGCAGTAGTAGTACCCTAAAGATATTAAATACTTTAGTAAATAAAGGGATGTACATGTATATGAATGGTTGTAATAATTATTTAATTATTTGTAAATACGACAACGAAAAGTTTCGTGTTAAAGCTGAAAAGTTTTATAATGGAAGTAAATATTTATATAAAAAACTTTATGTTCATAGTTAAATAGACTTTAGAGTGTCTTGATAATTATTTATAAATTTTTATAAACATTAAGAATGTTAACTTACTTGACTGTCAGAAGGGGTTCAACAAATCTTCTGGCATATGTATCAGTAATCGATCCTCTAGCACTATGATTAACAATAACAAATACTAAAATTGTAATTACTCCAAGGATAACTAATTCACCACCAAAAAATACTCTAACAAGTTCCCCACCAACTTTGCACGTCCATGTTTCACCATAGTATCTCAAGCATGCGATGCCTATTAAGACGAACCTGAGGTAATTAAAAGAAACTTAAAAATAATGTGGAAATTAAATGAGCTTTTCAGGAATACAATAATTATTTAATTAAAATGTTACCAAACAACTCGAATAAATATTTCAAAGAGTCCTGGATACACAAGATCATCAGTTGCAGCCAGCCATTTTCGTCCAAATAATTGCATTGCCGGCATTGTTTTTCTGTCAACAATTACATCAATTGATTCATTCTTATTCTGATGTTCTTTTTTTTATTTTATAATTTTTATTATTGTGAAACAGGTCAGCATTAATGTTTTAGATTACATTCTCTACTGCCTGTAATAAATTTAATGAGGTTCTTATTTACATTTAGCGTGATAGAAAAATTACTCATTAATACAACATTCGTGTTAACGTCAATTTCCGTTTATTCATTTACGTAAGACTTGTACTTATTTTCTGTGTACTCAGAGCTGTCAAAGAAGCATCATATCATAAAATGTATGTTAGTAAAAAATTCGTGTGATTAATACAATGAAAGAGTCAGTCAGTATTTTCTGATATTAAATGATCGTTATGTAATTGTGATATTGTTGTTATTATTATTATAAAAAGTTATTTGCGAGAGAGTATTACTTTTTTTATCGAAAATCGCCGAGTTATTACATAGAATTATTAAATAACTATAGACTTTCAAAGTTGATGGATATGATCTATCATGCAAACGCATTACAGCTGACGCGCCAGTGCATCCCTTAATTAGGAAGAAATGAAATTGTTATGTTCTATAAAAAGTTCATGACATTAATGATATTACAGACGTAAAAAATTTCTATAATAAAATAAAGTCATTTTAAAATAAATCCAATAAAATCAAGTTCTGTGAAATTATCTAAAAGATAATTTTTACATTCCAATCATTTGAATATTTTCAAAAAATTATTTTTTTTTACCTATTTAAGCAAGTTATTCGGTGTCGTAATTATATATAATTTACAAAGCAAGCAATAAATACTTGGAGTGGAACGGGGTCGAATTGAATAATATTGGAATTGAAGTTTGAAGAAAAAATTTCCACAAACCTAATTTATAAATTTCTTTCTGTTACAACATTTTGGTACAACTTCGTATAAAAAATTTTGTAAACCTAGTCTTCACGGCCAACCAGAGAATTTCACCAAAACTGGATAAAGAAAAGGACAAATCATTTTGTGCAATCATGTAGGATCTAAAAGAGGAGGTAAAGTACACAGTTTCGCGTCATGGTATAGAGAAAGTCATGAGAGAGAGAAAGTCAAGTCTTAAGAGAATATACACTGTATTATATCTTTATAATTGATGAATGTTAAATAAATATTGCATAATATAATAATGATGATTATCATAATGGTGGAATGGTAATAAAAGAGAAAAATTAAAATTTTTTCCAATTATTTGAAATAAATATTTTCAACTTTTACTTAGAGAACAAACAATATTGACGGTAAATTATATTACACGCTGATTTTTATTACTCTAACGATTAGAGTGTAGATAATTATTTAGTTAGTACGTACAGAAATATATGTTTTCTGAACAGATAATTTTTTTACCACTTTTTTTTTTATTTTCTAAGGAAAACATTAACGTTGAATGGATTTATTTCACTTGCAATCACTATTCAAGCCCGCCTTGTCAAAGTATAGAAGCATTCTGATGTGTTTGAAAGAGTAAAAAAAAGTAGAAAAAAGGACAAAAAGGTAAACTTACGATGTGAAATATTGGTCCAATAGTCTGAACACAAGAACTCGCGTTTGACTGACAAAAGTTGCTTCTCTTGACTCGTCCCTCGAGTCACTACTTCAGCTTATTCATCACTCGCGCGTGTAATTGGATATCAAGACTGGTGTACAAGCGCGCTAGGCGTTATCGCGCGAAAGGAAGGACGAGACGACGATGGGACTAAAGGTTGTGAGGAAATCACCAAGAAGAGAAGTTTGAATATGTCTTGAAAATGTATCAAACAACCAACTGATGTTATTCAGAGCTTCAGAGTGAGTCCGTTCCGCGCAACCGGTTTTTCATTGCTATCACCAGCAAGGCGTGATAATCACCGGAAATATCACCGCGCAGTTTTTACACAATAAAGCTGAAAAGTCAACAAAATAACTGGTTTAAAATATTTATTTTGAAAGATTTTAAAAACTAATTTTAACTTAATTAAATGCGTAAAATGATACCTGGAAATATTCAAATGACTTGGCCGCTCAAAGTTCATCAACAAATGTCGTAGAATTCTTGTCAGATCCTTTGAAAAGGTTCAAAGTGTAATAAAATAAAGAAAATTTTATGCATAGGTGAAATTTAAATTTTCAATTTTGTTTCAAAATACAAGGATTCTTTGATTCCACAATTGTTTTAGTACTTTTTAAATTTATGAACTAATGAATTTGAAAATTAATTGATTTATTATGAGCACTGAAAGTCAATATAATATCGCAGGATTTTTTAATTATTATAATTTATAATTATAACTAATATTTATGTTGATATATTCACCTATTAATTTTCACTGTCACTTTTTCTTCTTCTCATGTTTTACTTTGATCATTCAGACACTTTGGAGACTTTTGAAAGCCAACAACTAACGTGTTAATGAGATAAATGTATCAAACAAGTTGAATATACGTTCAAGTGAATGGCAACAAAAATCGCATTGAGTTTCTTTGCTGATTATCACAAAGTTGAGAGTCAGAGTCAGTTGCATACGTCGCGAACAACTTGAGACTTGTTCACCTTGCTCTACAATACCCTGACGACTAATCCCTTCCATCCTCACTTCTCTTTTGGATGCACTTTCTCTGTGCATTCCCTCTGGCTATTACATGTGAGATGTAACACTCAGTAGTGTGGCTTTTTATCAGTTTTTTAAACCTCTAAAAGACCTTGAATTTAAACTCCGTTAAAAATGTCATAAACCATTAAAATTTAGCTGAAACATCAAAAGAATTCTTTTAAATATTTTCGTGTTTTTTTTTCATCTTCTATAATAATTTTTAATGTAAACAAAATTCTTTGCTTTATACCTCATTAAATTTGTATTGGTGAAATATTTTGTGCATGCTTGTAGACAGGTTTTCATGTTAAACAACTCGCACGAGACTTTTCACCATGCTGATGTGATGCAGATACTTGGAAGAAGTGTCAAACTTTTCGAATATCGTTTGCTCGCTCGACACTTCTTAGACGAAGCATAAGAATATCTTAAGCGTGTGAAACAAAAATCATTGAATTGATTTTCTCACCACATTTGACTTTGAAATTTATTCAAAATTCTAAAGAAAAAAGATTCTATTGTGTTTTTAAAAAACTTTTTAGAGTAGACAAGAACCTCAAGAACAAGTTGTATCATTAGAGAAAGTTTGTATATGAGGTTGATGTCTGTGCTAAAGCTATATAAAACACATTGTACCTGGTCAGCTAGGGTTTATGGATACTTCGTAGAATGTCAAGATGCCGCCACGGCTACAATCGTCGAAGCGGTAGCGCTAGAATTCAAAAGTCACCGAAAGTTTATCAGTAAACTGTTTTTTAATACCAAAATTCTATTTAATTCTAATAATTATCAAAATCATCACTTAAATACTTGAATATAAAAAACTTTGGTAATTCGATGATTATCTGAAGCAAATTTGAGCAAAGAAAAGTAGTAAAATAGTAATTAAGTGAAATAATTTTAATAGTTACAGATGAGAGATAATGAGAGCCGAGTGTCCGTTTATAGGAGAGTAGTAAGCATAAATGAGATTGAATTGGTAGTAGTAAAGGACTGTTGGGATGTTTAGTAGTGGTGGTGCGGGTCGAGTCGAAGCTAAGACGCGTAATGACGCTCTGAATCAATATGTGAGGCACTGAGATATGCATACGAACTAAGACAAGCAAGAAAGCTCTCCTTAGTGTGGTGGTGCGGCGTCCGCGTCGACTGAAAACGCCGTAGAAGGGGGTTGAAGAAGGAGAAAGGGTGGTTGGCGGCCACCTTATAGGAGGGGAGAAATTAAAGACGAGGCAGGCACAAAAATAACGACCCGCGAGAGCGCACTCTCCCTCTTGTCCTCGCACCCCTTGTTCATTCCACCCCTTTGCCACCCTTTTTCTTCATCTTCTTCTTCTTCGCCTTCTTCTACTCTTCCTTCTTATTCTTATCCTTCTTCTTTCTCGTCTTATTCTGATTCTTTGCTTTCCTTTTCCCACGAGTCATTTCTTTACTCTCACGACGGAGATGAAAAGACATCAGAGGTAGGGGTGGCTGTGAGATGAGACGACCGAGTAGTCGATGGGGTTGCTGCTGTAGTGGGAGAGAGGCATAATCTCCTACACGCCATAAAACCCGCGGGCAAAAAACTATGCGAGGGCGAATCCGATTTCGAGGAAAGTCCTCTTCACAATGCACATGTATATACACACACACACATACATACATCCCTTTAACGTTACCCTCTTCAACCCCATTCTGCTTATGCGTATATCTGTGTCACTTGTAATTAATCGTTCATCGATTTTGTTTGCTATTGTCTCCACACATTCATGTGTGTACTCACGCAATCCAGTCGTACGATCGTCTATTTTATGATAATATCATCGTTGAAACTCGATACCACAAGATACCCGATTGTCTTGCTTGAAAATTTGCATTTACATGGACTAAGATCGTTGAGCCTATCGTCTGCTATCGCTGCTATTCCAACCGTACATAATCATAGAGTACACATACTATATCAGTGTGTGTTTATCCATAAAAAATTCCTCTTTTATCCAATAAATCTGAAATAAATTTATAATATCGAGTTATTATGATGATTAGTATTATTATATAATAAATTGAGATATATATGTTGTTCATTTTGTACTCACGCAATAATTTCATTAGCATTAATCAACATTAAAATATATATATGTATATATTTATACACGACATCAACATATGTGTCAGCTTGATAATTAATCTTCGTTCCCAAAAATAAGTGTAACATCGATCTTGCAGCAGTACAGCAGACTGAGTGTAGTTTAAAAGGGTTTGGCGTGTGTGTTTTGCTCCCTTGTGTGTCCTCGTGTCGTTGAAAATAGACGGGAGTTTGGTTTGGTTGGGTGTTGTTCGTATTACAAACGTTAGAAGGGTGTGTGGGGAGGAAATGAGTGGGTTGCGTGGAAGAAAGTAGCAACGGCAACTTAAGAATGAAGAAAGAGGAAAAAGGAGGTAGAATGGTTGAAGAGAAAGAGCCACACAGGGTGGACTTTGAGGGCTGGGGTGGATGGCTGAGTACGAGGAGGAGTATGAGAAGAAGGAGGAGGAGGTTCTCATTAAGCAGCCCGGGCACTGCCGCACGCCGGGGGTTCAAATAAGAAGAAGAAGAAGCTCCCTAGAAGAAGGGAGAAAAGGAACAGAAAACGCCAAGACTAAGACACAAGACTAGGGGTGGAGATGAGTTGGCGAGAGGAAAAGACTGAGGATGTAGGAAAGAGTGAGAGAATGGAGAATTATCAGGACTCTTGGAGCAGGGTACGGAATGAGAGGTACGTAGAAGAAGCAATATGGCTGCCACTGATGAGTGATGCTCGTAACCCTTACTGCCATCTTCCAAGCTAACCACCCCCGGCAGACTCCCACTGCCACCCCAACGCCACGACGGATCACCGTTCGTTCGAGCTTCTTACAGGATCTCTTATACGCACCCCTCTGAATTATTCACGCGCGCCTTCCAGCATTTTTCCAACCCCTCCACATCACTCCTATATACTCCTTGGTATTATTTTGATTTTTAACCAGTGCTCTTACGTCCCTCAAAGACTCTTGGACTTTTTTTCCTTTTTTTTTTATTTTTTTCAATAACCTCGAGACATTTCAAATCTTTTGACACACGCAAAGCTAAGAGTAAGCAAGAGAGAGAGAGAGAAAGGAAAGAAAAAAATAACGAGCACTTCCGGGACGTCGAGTTACCCCATTGGAATGAAACCCCAAAATTTGCGGTCTACGATCTACTTCTTCATCTCAAGGAGCGTGGATATAGATACGGATATATATTTTTGAAAAAGAGGATGAGAACAAGACAGGAAAAGAAACAGCAGATTTGCGTGTCCGAATGATGATAAGTGTGTGGCTGAAAGGTTAAAAAAACGGACAGCAAGCGATAGTTGGAAGATGCTTAAGGAAGTACATAGTGGTTGTCCAGGTAATGTAGTGGGGAATGAGAATGGAGGGGAATGCAAATTAGAAACGGTTGGGCAGAAAGCGGAGAAGGGTTGAAGACGATGGAGGTAACTCGGAAAAGGTGACTCAAGCAGCTCAAGGGGTAGCGACGGAGACTCGCTTACGTAAGGAAAGGGGTTGCTGGTGTTAGTGACCGGCTTTGTCTTCCCGGACAGAGTTCACCGAGTGCCTTGCATACGCGGCAACGTTGCGTGCGTGTCACGCGGCCAAGTGTCCGCCATGATATAAATATATACATATACGATTGGGAGCGGCAGGGTGTGCATGTATCGATTGCTGGCCAAACCACCCCCTCAGTGGCTCCTTCTCATTCCTCTTACGTCCTCTCCTTAGACCCGGAGTAATTATTGTGCCCGGTGGTCTTGTCTCATGTGTGTATCGCGGAAACGTGTTAGTAAGGCTTCAGAGAAGAGTTAGAGAGAGACAGATGAAAACCCAGGAGTTTCTCTCCCTCATCTTGTCCAATAGTTCCTATACGATGCTCCTGTACAAGCTCCAGTAGACTATGTTACTTAACGGGTGTCGAACTAAAACACTTTCAACTATTACTCTCACGTCTTGATGCTTTTCTTATCCATTCTTGCTTCCGCTTGCTTCACCACTGTGTCTAAAACACTTTATTCAATCTTCTGCTACGTCTGCAAGATCTTCATAAGACTTCTGAGACGTTGTTTGTTAGAGGAATGAAATTCCAAAGTGGAAACTGGACTCGAGGCCCTTGGGATGATGAAGGAAGGATGAGGTTGAGACCACCCCATACATATACGGCCGACTACTCCAAGAACATTCCCACTCCCTTACACTCTCCTTCTCTTTTCATCTTTCTATCTCTCTCTCTACCTAGACTTAAAAGGACCGTCCGGGTTTGTTGAAGACCAAGGTCCGAACACAACCACAAGTCAGACTCCCTCTTGGCTTGTCTCTCTACCTCTACAGGCAATCAACCCTTCGTCTTACTGCATTACTGACCGTCTTGTCTAGTTGTACAACTCTGGACTATGGATTTTATTCTACACATCAGTTGGCTTCTAGAGTTAGATGAATGGCCTAAAAGTGGAATTGATTAGTGGAGAAAATTAATTTTCAAGAAAAAGGAAGAAGATACAAAATCGGAGAACTTGTTGAGCGTGAAAGAGTTGAAGTAGAGAGACCAAGCAAGACTTGGGTTTAAAATAAAAAGAGTTACGCCGCCGGCTCGTTCCTTCAACCCTCTTACATCTCTTCTCCCCTATATTTTTCATCTCCTTCTTTTCTTCTTTCCATCTTTTTCTTGCTCTTACCTACCCTCCATTTCAAGCTTTTCACCCTACGTCGTCTTTCTCTTGCCATTGAATAAATTAACGTTTTTTCGGTTCGCCGATATTCGAGCTACAGCTTTCCTCTTCATCCTCTTCCTCGTCTCGAGATATATTTTCTATCGCCAAGATCCTCTCAACTCCTCAAATAGCTCGTATTATATAAAATAACGTGGATGAAAAAATTCCGAGATGGGGAAAATGTCTAGTCTACGAGTTTATTTTTGGTCAAGAACTTCAAAGAAGATTAGATGAGCCGATGTTTAGTTTGAAGATCAATTCCACAATGTTAGTTCGCCGCATCAAAGGTGATAATCTTTGCCTTCAATCTCAGTGTCAAGAGAATCAACCAAAGACTTTGGTAAAAGAATTCTTTGTCAATTGTTAAAACCGTGTAGAACGTTCTCTTAATCTTTCTACACCAATCTGTAATGTAAGAAATCAATACAATAGTATAAACAAATTCCTATACATACTAAATTGCATCACATTCTTGCAGCCTAAAATTTTAATTAACTCAGCAGAAAGTTTTATGTACCAATATGAACACCTATAAATACATCCAGATAAATTTTACTTTTTTGGTTAATTACAAATTAAACTATAGGTTGAAAAATTTTACTTGTGTATAAACTCTCATGTTGAAAGTATGACACAGTGTTATATAAAAATGTATTGTGTTGAAAAGTCTAACAATCCTATAACGAAAAATATATTCGGAGGATAACGAGGTACAAGCAAAACGCGTGGTGGTTTTGGCGTTGCCAAACTATTTGCCTTTCATGAATAGGAAAAAAAGTTTGTCGATGTGTGTTATTATAATATATGGTAACGAACGAGGTTATATTTGCGTTGTCGTTTGTAATAATAATGAATATAATAATACTAATAATAGCAACATGAAAACATCCTTCAAAAGAAAAACTCTCATCGAACGTAGTACGTACATGTATATAACAGAATATAAAATTAATTGAATTAATTAGAAACAATAATAATTACCAGGTCAAGATGATATAAATCACTGAAAAATAAATTTTTAAGAGGTTATAAGTTTACGACACCAACAATAGAGTTGTCAACCCTGTTAAAGATGGCAGTAAGCGCGTGGCGCGAGTCCACTATCAATTTATCTCTTTTCTCTATAGTGATTTCCCTTTCCTTTCCCCTTTAAGCGTCAATCTGTTCCCCTCCTATAGACTTCTGACCCGATCCTCTCCCTCGCGGGTAATCCGTTTTCCTTCCTTGTTACTCTGGCGAAAGGGAGAGTAAAAGGAGGGAGAAAAAGAAGAGACAAAGTCGAGAAGAACGTGGCCAAAGCCATGACCAGCGCAATCTGGTCGTTGGTCAGTTACTCTTGCGACTATTTTTACTTTTTTATTTCCAGTACTTTCACTCTCTGAAAATCTCTTTGCATAATCACACGTATTGGTGTAATTGCATAAGATAATATTGTGTTTGACGGAGACCTGTTTCACGGTTACGAATATATTTTATAGAAGAAGAGATGAAGCAAGAAAAAGAGATAGAGATGGAGAACGATTCAGTCATGGGCCGCGTGGTCTACCAGCAGGATATTCAACAGCAAGGAGAGGAAAGGGAGCAATAAAATCACCCGAGACTGCAACCCTTTCGTTTGAGTCAAATCGTAATCATTTTCAATGAAGAGGGCGAGACTTACAAGATCTCGTCTCCGTTTCCGTTAAGTCAATTTATATGTATTGATAACTTGTGCCATTGTAAATTAAATATGACAGTGGATACATAATTAATATATAAAAAACAGCTAATAATCAGTGATTATTTCCAGCCATTAATTATTGTTATCATTTCTTCTAACTAATTATGCATTATTTCGATAAATTTTTTTTTCATTTCTGATGGATAAATTCAATTTACTTAAAAATTTATATATGCAAATGTTTGTTAAATGGTTGGTTTTTTTATTAATTATATTTTTGAAGAAACACTGACAAACAATTATCAAAATCAATAAAAAATCAATTTTTATTAATTTTTGTTAATTGTAGTTGGTACACATGCTGTAAGGTGGCGCTGGTACTCCAGTTTACTCTCAATCCCCTCAGACGCGTAAACGTTCTCTACCTTTCGGCTCGTTTTCTATTTATTTCTTGCTTATTGTAAATTAAACTTACAGTAATAATTGAATAGACTTTACAAAGATACAACTTTTCAAATAAATTTACATCATAATTAGTTATATATAACTGGTAATCTTACTCCATTACATGACACTCCAAAACACGCATTCAGAGTCTGCTATACACTAATTAAAACAATGATTATTTTTTAGATGATTTATATTAAAAAAAAAATATTATTAGATACATTTTTTTTTATATAAATAGCTATTTATTATTAATTTTCTTAATTAATCATGAGAATAAATAATATTTTAAAATTTATAAAAAAAAAGACCGCGAAAAAATATACGCATGCGCATTAATGAGCGTTCTTTTTCATTTCAATATGTCTGCAACTGTCAGTTAAAAAATTGCAAGCTCTTCTTTTTAAAATGATTTTTAGAAATAGTACAAAATGATGCAAATATTTATGTACATATTTCTCTCTCAACCGATTGTGACAATTAAATTAACTATAGTATTAGTGAAAAGTGTAATCATTTAAGTGAATCAAGTATACATCGATAATCTCATTGATCGATTGGCTAAAGAAAATGGATAAACCGGCTTTTGGTTTATTTATTAGTATCCTAGCAGTGATGTACATACATACATGCATGGTGTATTAGACATTTGGATAGAACTTGGATGATGGAATGTTTTTTTTTAAATTAAAATTATGATGACATATGAACATAAGAGTGAAATCGCATTGTTGAGATTTTTAGTACGTGTAAAGTGTTAGTGAAGTGTGTTGACCATTTTTTCTCGGAACCGAATGGACGCAAACATCATAAGCAGAACTCTCCAAACAGTAAGTTTGTTTTTATTTTACTTTAAAGTAGATAGCCTTATCAAAGGGACATATTAAGCAACAAAAGTTTTCTTAATATTCATTCATTGGTCTATTAACCTCGTAATTGAAATTTTATGCTTTATAAACATGAAATGGCGTTGTATTTTTGGGTGATAAAAATTTTTCGCGAGTCTGTCTGACCTCAGGATATAGCAATAAGCTTTCTTAATGGAAAGTTAAGAAGGAAAGGTAAAAGGCGAGCATGCAAAATCCGCGTCGTCGCACCAGAGTAGTCCCAGGCTATTGGGGTAAACGATGATGGGATGAGGATGAAGGACTACGTGGAGGAATGAGGGTTGGTTTCTCCAAGAAAATTAAGCACAGCCTGGTAATTTGAGGTATTGATTTTTATAGTCTCTCTCGGCAGGCATATATTAGAAGTCCTTCGTTCCCTCTTTTTCTTTTACCATTGCTTTATGTCAGAGGCAACTCCCCGCCTGCAGACTAACCACCCTTATTCGTAGGAACGACACGAACACCGTGCTGATTCCTTTACCCCTCAATTTTTGCTCTTCTTCTTCTTATACTTTTCCCCTTTTCCTCTTTTTTTTCTTAATTTCATCGTTAATCTTGATGTATGTAATTAATTACTCATGAACGGTATATTTTATTCATGCATTCTCTCTCCCCGTATATATTTAGTACAATCGTCAACTTTATCTATATATCAGACGTGCAAGTTCCACTCTCGAATCGTGAATTAATGGCTGGGCCACGATCAAAAGTTCAGACAAAAGTAAAAAAATCTTTTAATACAGCAAAGAATAGAAGTTGATTTTTTGGGGAATTGTCTGATAGCACGACAACACAACACGTGTTTTGAATTTGCTTGCGGAAAAGACGAAGATAAATATGTTATTGATTTTCATATATCGTCACGCAATTGTTTTCGTGTATGTTGTTTAAGTATCAAAAACTCAATTAAGTCGTGCAAGCTACCATTAGGGTCGTACTGGAAATTAACTCACTAAGTAAAGTATATCAATCAGACGTTAATCATTTGACTTGAAAGTAAAATTCATTACCAGCATAAAATTAGTAGTTATTTTTCAATACAAAAGAAAATTTAATAAAAATTAAATTTATTTATATTTTTAAATAATATTAATGATTTTAAAATACAATTATTTGAGAAAAAATTTTTTCAATCAATAATTTAAATATGTATTAAATTGTATTGACAAAAGAGAAACAATTGAAAAATTTTTTTTAATTTATATAATTTTTATCAACAATGACAAATCGTTTGTTTATTTGTTTGTAAAACTACACATCCTTAAATTTTTTATACATTTAAGAATAATTATTTCCTGAGAAAAAGCTGTTTTCGGTAGAAATCAATTTTAATTAATTTAAAACCTAAAATTAGTTAAAGTTTTATTTAAATAAAAACTTGATTTTTAATAAATAAATTATCTAGATGCATTTTTTTTTATATGAACAATACTTTCCCTCTATTAATTAAAAGATCAACATATCAATTTGAAGTTTCATAATGATAACTATTATTTAAATTTTAACAATAATCAACATAATTTTAATTGAGTATAATATGATTCATTTATCACAATAAATTTTTCCATTTCTTTTTCTCCAACATTTGATTCAATGATTAGCCTGAAAAAGGCAGAAAATTCAAGAATAAATATATGCCAAAAAATAAATCAACCGTCATTAGAAATAAATTTAAAATGCGTCAGATCGTCAGCTCATAGAGATTTGACGTCAAGTCGAGGTTATTTTAAATTGCTGGAAGCTTCTCTCGTGATATATACCAAGGATTGGGTAAGTTATATATGGTGGAAAGGTGACGATTCGGAAGAATACACTAGGGTAAATTGACAAAAGCCTCAAGGGAATAAAATGTGAGAGAAGGGTCGTTGTAAGTAGTTGAAGTATGAGTGAATACATTGAGAAGAGAAGAAGGATTCCTTCGCAACGCGGATATATACATAAGTTGAAGTTCTCCACATGTGAGCAAGCGAACGATTTCGCGCTTCGCTGCACCCAGTGAGTGGCTTCGGTCCACATAAACGTTTAGTTGCTAGCGTGCCTCACCAATAGACTGTGTACATAGAGTAGGATATGGTCGAAAGGTCTAGTTTATCCTGTAAATTCCTCTGTTCTTCCTAGCTAAACTGCTAGACTGACAAGTGGTGTAAAAGTTATGAGGATTTAGACTCCATGGTCTATGTAAGCTCTTATCAAATTCGAATTTGGCGATATATATAACCTAGTTGGCAGTAAGAGGGGAAAGGCGTTCGATTTAGTGCGGTGAACCGAAGCAACAGGTGCGAGAGAGCGAGGCCCTGACATAAAACTACCTTATAAAAGCTCACGTATAAAATGTATAGCCAGTCGGGACAAATAACTCCTCCTGTAGACTTTAGATGCTTCTTCTTCTCTTCTTGACTATAGGTTATATTATATGTGTAGACACTGATTTTTCTTTACCCTTTTATTTTTCTTTTCAGTTTGATTTTATTTATTTACCTTTTTTATTCTCTTTCCATTCCTTCTCTCACTCGCTTTTACTTACTCTCACTAAATCGCTCGTGTGACTTGCCCCAACTTTATTTATTTCGTATGCGTGACTTGAAGATAGGAACTACGATAACGCGCACGATTCTCGAATCGCTTTTCAAGTGGTCTTACGGTCATTTTATTTTTTTAGATGCCAACTAGTCCACTATGTGATTTTATACACGTTTGGAAATAATATTATATGTATTACGTAGATATGCTAAATATTCCAGAGAAAAACAAGATTACATATCAAGATTGAAAAATTAACTTATTTAGTGACATTGAAATACTCATTATGAAGCTATTAATTTATTTTATGTTTATTTAATTTATTTTATTCAGTCGGTCTCATTTTAGTTTAAATAAATTAGATTGTTAAAATAAAAATCATTTGGTCTTTAAATAAACACAGTGACTATTAACTAAATAATAATATACATGCATTAAAAAAATTTAATCTACTAGTAAATTTGATCTTTTCTGGTTCTTAAAATAACTGAAAGTATTTTTAAATAATGTGCACATAAAAGAATCGATAATAATGAAATCATCTAGCAGACTATTACGTCATCATTAGTTCATTATTTTCACTGATTATAAATAAATAAAAAAAAAGAGAAATAAGAGCACATTAACTATGATTGTCTATTTAAGATGATTACTTTTTTTAAAAAAAAACAGACAGAATTCAAAACTATACAATTATTGTTTATTGTTTTTGATTTAGTTGGTTTGGTTTTATCTTTAAATTAAAGAGATTCTCATCAACTCAATCATGAGAGGATTAATCGTTTGCGTCTGTATAGGATCGTTGATCCGATGACCTCCAATCGAGAAGGTATATCCAAGTGGCTTTTATACCACATGGGAGAGTTTACGAAGAATGCGCAGTCTATTATTCTCGAGATCTACACCGTATATACGACGACCGTTGTCTCAGTTTACTCTTTCGTATCATGTGCACTTTGCTTGCCTCATCGTCGCGTGAATTCCATCGGGAAAATCTTTTTTAAGAGAAAGAACGAAATGGAGATAGATAGACAACTTGAATAAGCATATTTAAGGTGAGATCGTCACGCGTCAGAGACTCTCTGACTTCTTGGGTTGTTGTTATTCACCATTGGCCTCTCACGCTGATTTTTTTTACCGTGACGTTAAATTTTAACTTTTTTTATGAGAAGACAAAAAATATATGAAAATCATCTTTTTTATTTTTCATACATGAAAAAAAGATGAAGTTTCATTCAAGTGTGGAAAAAGGGAGGATATTAGTTTATTAAAAAATTTTTTTTAAAGCAAAGCGTTAAAATACATTAAAAGGAAATTGATATTTGTTTATAATTGATTTAATGGTGACTAAAATTTCTAAAATTGTTAATACTAGCCTTTTTTTATAATCACACTAATTTTACTAAATTTTTAACTTGATATTGATTTTTTATTCAGGAAGATTGCTATTGTACTTCTGTCAATCTATTTGAATTACTTTCTTTCTTTATCACAATTGATTGGGATAAATTTAAAACAAGATTTAATTGATATCAATAATTGTATAGATATTAAAGTATTTTATCAATCAAGCGATTAGATGAAGTATTAGTTGCAATAATTGATAAGCAACAGAATTATAATATTTAAAAAAATAAAAAACTTATTTTCTAACTATTAATAAAATTAATTAAGCTGTATTGATTTTGAAAGAATTACTTTATACTCATCTTAAATTAAAATTTTATAAAACACTGAATAAAAATGTAAGAAACTTTGTTAAAACAGAGGTACGAACATTTTTTTTCCATCATTGTTTCGCGAACATTTTTTTTTTAGAAAGTTGGGCTTGGTTTCTAGGTAGCTTTCTTTGGAGTGTAAAATAATTTTTACTTCATTTATCGGTTGTATAATAATCATGATGATTAATAGAGATAAGAAAAGGATAGAATTTTATTTTTTGTCTGAAGAAAGATAATATTTTGGAATAAAAATAATAATGAGATTTGTGTACAAACAAAACAATGATATCCCTACCGCGTAATGTAACACCAACCCAGGTGTGTCCGGGTTGTAGAACGTTCAAAGGCCATGCAAAGAGTCCAAGAAGAAGAGTATAATAAAAAAAGAATCAACGAAGAAGACGATGCAAAAGAGGACGATACATACTGGTGGGTCTTATAGTGAAACTGTCTGGGCTCGTACGCTAAGATAAAGACTTGTACATTCATGGAAAATATGAAGTCTTGTAGTCGTGACTGATCTCAAGGTACATTACTTGAATAGAATTATGCTTGAATTCAGATATACACAAAAGAATCTCTTGTTAATTATTTTTTTCAATGATCAACTTTTTGGAGTAAATTTTCTACAATCAATTTTTAATCTATATTAGGGCTAACAAAATCTACACTAATCATTCAATATGACATATCTCTATAATT